CCCCGCGGTGCCTTCAGTCAACACCAACCATTCGTAAAATGTACCAAGAATGAAACCCGAGGATATAGGATGATTGTTGTCCCAAGATAGCAAATCACCAGGATACCTCAGGGGTTGGTTGAGCTTTCGCTGAATGACAGCATAGACTGCCAGCGGATAGAAGATGGTCATATCTGTACCGGCGACGGCTGCCAGAATCCACTGCGGCATTGTAACGTTGTAGCTGACCCCAGGGTGGGTTTGGGAATACTTCACCAATAAATCTTCTTGGGTGTAATAGAAGTTGGGCTCTAACTCTACCCTAGGAGCTCCTTCAGTCAGAGGGACGTTCACGTGGCCTTGGTGAACGCCGTAGTTCTTCCCTCCAGTCTGAAGCACGATTCGCCTTGGCTGAACATCTGCCTGGTCCAAGGCGGAAAGAAAATTCTCAAAGAGTCGTCCTACAATGGAACCGTTTAGAACGGGTTCACCTGCGTGTCGGATGGAAGTCTCTCACCATTAGTTTCGGCCAAGTGATTTGCATCCCCAAACACCTCCGAGTCGACCCCTTGCCTTGCAACCTGTACATAGCCGAAGTAGAAGATGTAATCACTGAGTAGGTAGCAATGTCAATTCCTTTTCCCCAGTACACAAAACAGGACCTGTAGAAATGTAACCTTACGCCTGGACTTTGTGTTTCCGTAAGGCACTAGCAATTTGATCAGGCTCCCAGAGCAAATCCACGGCTACGTGCTCGACGTTCTTCGCCTCTGTTGCTGGTGGTCTCCTCGACAGGGCATATATCTTCTCCCATCGGTCCGGACTGGAGCTAAGCACATCAACCACTGGTTGGCCGGATTGACCACTGGCGCCGACAACGATCGCTCGAAGATTCTTCTGAGTAGGATCGATGACGGGCAAGCCGCGAAAAATGCCTTCTGAGCGTACTTGGTATGTCTTGCTTGTCGTGTGAGCCATGATATTTGACAATCTTGGAACAGGAGATAGACTCGCGATTACGCATAGCTTCAAGATATACTTGGAAACACCCCGCCAGATGATGTCAATGCCGAGTTAACGTTGGCGCGGATAATCTTTGCTATTCGGCGAATTTGACAGTCTGCGCTCATCCAGGGGACTCTCCAGACCGGTGCTCAAGGCTTGGAACTGTGAAAATAAAGGTGATTGGTAATCTCTACTTGCTTTCACGGATACAATCACAGTGCACAGCATCAAGACGAGGTATTGAGCTCTCATGCGTGACACGCGGTCCACACTTGCTTCCTTCTTGCAGCCTCAGCATCCTTGTACATGGTTCTCCGCCTTGGGTATTGATATCATATGCTATCTCGTGTTTTTGAGATGCTCAAGGCCTCTTTGCCAATCCTTGGGAGTACCACTTCAGGCTTCGCCAATGTACCTCTGCCAATTTGGACTTGGGTTACGAGCAATCCATCCACCGTCCACGATAAACGCTGCGTTTAGTCAGTGGTGACCAGATGACCAGACACACTTGGGATGGGAACCTCACGATGGCCAGTAATATAAGATGCTTCATCTGAAGCCAGAAAAAGAACCAGCTGTGCCACTTCGTTCGGATGCCCTCCGCGGTTCATGGGTATGCTCTCGAACAACTCTTCTCTCAATTCTTCATTTTTCAGGGTCTCTTGCGTCATTGGAGTGTTCATAAATCCGGGACAAACTGTTACCGCACGAATTCCATCCCGTGCATGGTCTATGGCGATTGTTCGTGTAAGGTTGATCAATCCGCCTTTTGCGGCATTGTAGGAGGAAAGACCATAATCTCCACCAATGCCAGAGATACTGGCAGTATTCACAATCATTCCTTTTCCCACCTTTTTCATGTGCGGAATGACAGCTTTGGCAAGGTAAAAGGCGCCACAGAGGTTGGTCATGATGACTTTATTGAACACGTCAACGTCATGTTCGACCACAGAGACTATCGGGCTCAGCATGGCGGCGTTGTGGAAGAGGACATCAATTTTATTGAATCTCGCGATGCAAGCATCGACAGCGGCAAAGCAGGACTTTGGGTCTAAACGTGTTCTCAGTGTCAGTGCAATCATACGATCCGTATAAAGGTGGACAAGGACATTAAGACGAATTGTTTACCTGAGACATCGCATGGATGAAAGTGAGCATTCGGACCAAAGCGCTGAATTGCATCCCGTTCCTTCGTGGTTGATTCTCGTCAGTAGTTTGCAACAGATAGAGGTATGGCGGCGGACAATGGTGTCTTGTCTGTCGGTTTGAGCCTGGCCAGACTCCCCGAGATCTTCGACGTCTTGATGTACCATGGAGAAAATACCTTCAGATCCGTCACAAAGACAGTGGCGCCTTCACCCAGGAACCGTTCGCAGGTCTGTGCTCCCAACCCAGAGGTACCCCCAGTGATAAATACCACTGCCTCGTTGAAACGTCCCCCCATAGATTCAGTGATATAACAGACGACCAAGCAGTGTCCTATCGCAGATTTTGGATGGAAACTAACTTCCAAGAGCGTTGATATTGAGTTGGCAGAGAGTGTGTGTATGTCTTCGACAACGGGTAAATGTCTCGACTCCTTTATTTCGCCCCGTTTCCAGGACGGTTAACTCCAGGTTCTCATCCTTCAACGTGGCTCTTATTCATCAGGTCCAAGTAGGGTCTAGTCTTACACAGATACCGAACTTGAGAACCTGGAAAGGGAAGACGAGCCGGATAGTAAAGCCGATCTAGGCTCACTCATAATTTGGAAGCTTCGGCGAAACCACCATCCTTGAGCAGGGCATCGACATGAGTCAGGGGGTCCAGATGCAGCATTCGAGGCTACACCACTATGTGCACCGAGATCTTTCGGCCTTGTTGGAGCTCGACAGTAGATCACTCTAGCTAACCATCAGTTTCGACATCGTTGGCTCTACCAATGCTGGTAGGGGCCTGGCTCAAAGTTCGCCGAAAAAAACGTACAAGAGCCAGGATCATATCTACGATCTTACAACTAGCACTGGTAATATGACGTAGATCTCGATATTCCGAAAGGCCTTCACGAGGCGGCTTGTAGTGGGAGTCGGAAACGCCTGTAGTGAATATAAAGCGCAGCACTTTGCAACAGAAACGACGATCACTACACCAACCCCGCTCTAACCACTTGTCACGTTCAACAATGGCACCCCTTTTGATGACAGGGTAAGATTCTATTTCCCACGGAAAGGTGCCGCTCAACTAACCACGACATAAGGGTCGGCCTGGTCACCGGAGCAGCATCTGGTATCGGACGAGCATGTGCCAAGATCCTGGTCGAGGAAGGATGTACAAGGCTTGTGCTCGCGGACTTGACTGGAAGTGGTCTGGAGGAGGTCTCAGACGAGCTCAAGAGCATCGAAGCTTCTGTTGAGACCGTTCTATTCGTCGGCGATATGAGCAAAGAGGTCGACGTCACCCAGATGGTCGAGGCTGCCGTCACTAGCTTTGGAGCGATTCATTATTGCATCAATAGTGCCGGCGTGACAAGTAGACCCAGATTACGAACGCATGAGCTGGAGACGGAGGCATTCGACCGAGTCATAAACATCAACCTCAGAGGCTTGTGGCTTTGCGAAAGGGCGCAGATCCGCCAGTTCCTGAATCAAGAGCCTACTCTGAAAACTCGCAATCATGCCGAAGGAATGGTGACACAGCGAGGGGCTATCGTCAACATCAGCAGTATTTTTGGTATCACAGCGCATGCAACGGCCGGGGCTTATCCCGCCTCGAAATCGGGAGTGTTGGGACTGACAAGGACGGATGCTGTAGCGTACGCGGAGGACGGGATCAGAGTCAACGCCATCTGCCCGGGTTTCATCAGTACCCCGTTAGTGGAAAAGGCAAAAGCAGCAGGTACAGACTACAACAAGCTCGTCAGCCTGATCCCATTCAGACGAATGGGTACTGCTGAAGAGCTGGCCGAAGCGGCAGTGTGGCTGGCAAGTGAGCGAGCAAGTTACGTGAGCGGTGTTGAGTTGCCGGTGGATGGTGCTTGGGTCAGAGCGTGCAACACATAAGGAGGATTTCGACCGCCAGAAGGCAAGTCAGTACCAAAGTCTCAAGCAACGAGAACTTGGTCTTAGACCTCTGACAGGGAACATGGAACAAGCACTTGTGCTAGGTACAGCAGAATAATTCTGCTTCAGAATTAAGTGGGCCACATTTCGCCGAAATGTTGGCTCAGTTGTTTCGGCGAAAGTGGTGAGAGGGCCACAGTGGCGTATACATTTTGGGCTACGATTAGGCTTGAGACAAAGTGGTTCGGAACCCGAAGATCACAGTTTCTGCTCGCACAGTACGGAGTATGTCTTCGATCCAGCTAACAGCTTTAACGTGTACTTTGAAGTAAGGAAAAGGACGCGCGGGATGATGTGCTCTAGCTACCCTCAGGCTAAGAGTTACCACTGGCAAATTCCGTTTTTCTTGATAGAATGACCAATGATTAGATCAGACGAACTACTACAAAGCTGGGGCTTGATCAATACTCCGAATCTGATTCAAATGAAACAGAAGTATCCAAAGAGGCTTCCGACAGAGATAATCTTCCCAATTGTTCCACGCACAAGAACAATCTGAACCCGGCGTCTACATGTGCGGTGGCCAAGAATCAGTTCTTGAGTAGCAAGCGATTGTTGATCTGATTGATGCTGCAAGTGACCGTCTGGAAGGGCGAGCATGCTCGCTCAGTCGTCCTCCCGGCCCAAGATCTCTATCTCCAGATCTGCGTCAACCCGCGTCCTCAGCGGTCCAAAAGTGTGGGGTTCCTTGACATTAGTAATAAAAAGCAGTGGTCACACCCACGGCTTCTCTCCCTGGACAGTATTACTTTAATCTCACCTTACGTATTGTATTACTTTCGCAATACGAGTTGAATCATCCCTCCTGCCCTTAACACCAGTTATTCAGCAATGGAGCAAAGCTCGAGTCGTGCGTACCGTCGGCGAAAGCGCAAGTTGGCGTGTAAATACTGCAATTCTCGCCATATACGATGCAAGATGCCAGAGACCTCCGCCAGGGGAGGGAACTACGGTCAATATCAGTGTCAAGCTTGTCTGGATGCCAATAAAGAATGCGATCTCGGAATACCTACAAATACAATGTATCAAGAACTCCTTCCGCAGTCTCAACCAACACAGTGTGAAAGAGCCAAGGGGAGTGGCACTTCCGCCCGCCATCATCAACATCGTTCCAACTTTCCCCGATTGTCACATACACAGCCATTAGAGCACTCCGATCACCATCAGAACATACAAGACGGCATCGCTCTCAGTCTATCCGCAGTGGCAGGCGAAGACCTTTCATTTTCGCCTCGTTCCAACAAGAGCACCCCGGCCCAGGAAGAAGGGTCGGAGATGATCCTCGTACGATTGACAGATACCACGCAGCAGGACAAGAATGAACCTGGCCAGACTACCAAAACGACCACCGACAGAGTCTTATATTTTGGAGACGAGTCGATCTGGTCTGATAGCCTTCGAAGAGCTCGTAGCAGCAAATCGAGGTATCCTGAAAACCGACAGCTTCTGAGCACCACCCGATTGGTAGTGGACAGTAACAACATCCATTATTCAGTGCCTCCGACGGTCAGGGATCAGCCGCACGACATTCCACAGGATGATGATCTCGACGTGCAGCTGGAAGAAATCAACCTACTCCAGAGGAAAGGGGCCTTTTCATTGCCACCTCCCGACATCCAAAGGAAACTCCTCGACGCGTACTTCACCTGGCTTTATCCTTTACAACCCATCCTCGATAAAGAGAGGTTTCTTGACGACTTCGACAGGGGTCAAGCACCCATCATTCTCCTCCAGGCATTACTATTTGCCGGCACCACCTGCTGTGACGAAAGCATCATCGTACAATTCTGGCCAAGTCGCCGAGCCGCTCAATCTACCCTTTACAGGCGGGTCAGAGCGCTGTACGACGCGGATCACGAACAGGATCGGGTCACGATTGTGCAGGTTCTCTTCCTCATGTGTTTCTGGTGGGGGAGTCCCATGGACAAAAAGGACTTCAGCCACTGGCTGGCGGCATCTATACATCTGGCACAAGTGACTGGCATGCATCGGTCGTATGTGATCCAATCCCCCACGCTTTATCTATACACACATCGTGAGAGAGCACGAATATATTGACTGACTGTCATTTCTTTCATCTCTCAGAACCAAGAACTCTCATCTATCCACCAAAGACAGAAAGCTCTGGAAACGCATCTGGTGGACTTTATATGTAAGCCATATATTCGATTACGCAGAAACCCTGTCAACACACACAGAAAGAGAGAGAGAGAGAGAGAGAGAGAGAGAGGGAAAAATGGGTTCACTAAGTTATGTACTCTCTAGGTACGCGATCATTTCGATGCTGCGTCCGTGGGCCGACCCATGATCATTAATGACGACGATTGCGACGTTGAACCGTTATGCCTGACTGATTTTGAATGCGACGAAAACGAAATACCACCCCTAGGAGCTATGCATTGCATTGAAATGATTAAATTGGCGACTCTAAGTACACACATACACACTCTTCCCCCCAAAGTCCCATGCGAGAGGGACTCAAAGCTAATACTATTGGTTAAAGTCGGCAGAGCGATTCGAGCCGTCCGATCGTCCCGTCAAATTCACAGAGATCCTCCCATTATTGAATCCAAAGGAGCCATCGATGATGATCTTTCGGCTTGGGAAAAGCAGTTGCCCGAGGAGCTACGATACCGCGAAGGAGAAGAGCGTGGCCCACAAGCCATGCTGTTTGCAGCAATGCTCATGCTGGGTCTGCAGTATGTGTCATCATCCTGCCGTTCTTGTCATCTCCCGTTTTCTCCTTTTTGCTAGCGTTTGGTATTGTGGCTGACGATGAAAATAAACCGTGATATCAGTTTCTGCCGGATTATACTACATCGAAAAGGCTTCCTGGACTACTCGAAACAAAAGAACGAGACCACCACCACCCACTCAATGGTCCCGGCGTCTGCCAATGTCGTGACTCGTATCGTCGAAGAATTACTTAGCGAGGGTCTCCTGCCGCGGGCACAAGTACATTTGTAAGCCCGACCTTTTTTCAAGACATGTGGTTGTTGTGCTCTACGGAGTGTCTTCGATTTCATCTCCACATTGGCATTGCGTTTGTTGGCCAAGTGACATTGACTTCCTTATTTTTCTAACGGGAACGATACAGAATCGCGGTGATTTTTGCCTCCTTCACCATCCATATCGTTTCGATGGAGCAAAGCCAGGGAGCACGGAGGAGGGTCCTTCAACACAAATCCAAGATGTGCCTGTTAGGTCTTGCAGAGTTTCGAGACTATTGGCCGTTTGTGGACTGGATGTATCGACTATTCAGCAGCCTACTACACTGGCTGGAGGTCGGAGACAACAACGGCGGCGCCTCGTCATTCGAGGGCCACAATCAGGGACCGTGGACAACCACCACTCAGCTTCGTCCGGATAACATGACTCTACAAGGAGCCGCTGAACCGACGAACAACAGCACCACCACTGACGTTACCAACACTCTCGATGATAATAACGACACGGCCATGTCGTCTCTCCCACCACTCTCTTGCGAGCAAGCTGCAACAAATTCCGTGCCCGATGATGCTCAGCCCGACCAACATTCCGGAATGCTCCAGCAATTCATGTCCGGCATGTTGACATCGGAAAACTTTCTTGACCCGTTCATGATGCCACTGCCACTGGAAGATCTAGATTGGGAAGATCTCCCGACATGGCCAACATAGCCAACCAACCTGGTGGAGGAAATCCCACATCTTCTGGACGAATTCCATACGCCGTTACTTACCTATGGTGGTAGAAAAAGGGTCGTTTCTGTCCCGAAGGATGGATTTTGTATACATCCCTTGACACCACAGAGTAAACTCTTCCTGTATCTCAATACAGAGGTCTTATTTGCTAGGTATCAATGACTTCAAATGTTGGGGGGAAAAATAACTTTGTCCAACAATGGAACTCTAGTCTGGATGCCTTATTCTCTAACCCCCTTTCTAAGGTTATATTAGCTGAATTGTTTACCAACATTGTCTCGACTGTGATCTTGAGCAATGTTCTTGGGGAGAGTTTTTTGTAATAGCTAGGTGATGGAGTGGTCAGGGCTTCGAAGTCTCATCGAGTGTTTTCCCCTTTTCAAGTAATCAGGTTTCTACGGAGCACTCTACCATGGTTTGCTAATTCCCATAATCAGTCTCCTTCTTCGAAAGAGGGGTTTCGGGATGAGTCTTCTTCTGTTGTTTTGTCTTTGTCTCACTCCTACTAAGGCATACCATTTCACTTGGCTGGAATTCGCTCACTTTACTTTCATTGTACTGTTTGCTTTACATCTTCCTTGCCTGTTTTTGGGATGATGAAGGGTAGATGAGACCATAGACACCCGTGAGTCAGTTGATAACTTGATCACACCCCGGTCTACCTTCTTCCCGATTTCGCTTACCATTCCACTTTTGCTCCTTCCATCTTTCATATTGCGACAACTTTCTCGTCTTTCAACAACAACAACCTCTCTCATGCGAGATACAAGTCCATCTCGCTAATATGGCTGTCCTTGGCAAGATCGAGGTGACAGTCTCCAGCGGTGGACGGGTGTTGCCAGAATACACCGTTGATCCAGACGTCGTCGAGAACCACGAGGCCGCTAAAAATGGAAACGCACCCATGTTTGTCAAATACATCGAGTCGACGCCTGGAGAAGAGTTTGCCATACATTACAAGCTACTAGCGGGTCAAGATTTTGGCACGGCTGATTACATTGGACTCAGATCATACTTCGATGGTACATACCTAGCAGGATCAGTCTTCGACCATTTGAGATATGTGATGAAAGGATCACTATCCGCCACCAGATATGGTGCGCAATATGATGTCAATGACCATACGTCGATAGAGAAGCACTTCTTCTGGAAAGAATTGCAAACCAGTAAGTCGCTCGAGCAACCAGTGGCACGGCGCTGACATGCCCCAGCCGAAGAAGCACCTCTCCAGGGCACTGAAGACTTCAAGAAGTATGCTCAACTGGGGACCATCAGGGTGGTTGCCGAACGAAAGAAAACGGTTTCTAGGCCACACAAAAGACAGGAGAGGTCCAGGTTGAATGAAGGGCCTGTTCCTCAAAAGGCACTCAAAGGTCAGGCGGTCGGATCCACCATAGGGTAAGACATGGTTTGCTGTTCATGGCGTAAGGCTTGTGCTAAGAGACACTGCCTAGTCTAGGTCCAGAGCGTCCTGCCGAAAGAAACAGAGTCAGAAATGGGGTGCAGGTTGATCAATATCCTCTTGCCATCTTCGTGTTTCTATACAGAACCAAGCGTATGCCACAAATGTTTTCTATATGCACCATAGCTGACACGTGTAGGTGACTTGCAAAAACTCGGAGTCATTCCAAGAACACCAAGTCCCGTCCCACTGGAACAAAGAGATATCAACACTTTGTCGAACGAGGAGCTGAGAGTGCTTGTAACACGCCAGCAGGTAAAGTAACTTCCGGCCATCTTAGTGAGGTTGCACTAATGCTCAGCTGTAGGCCGAGCTTAAACTCAGTCGTCAAGAGACGAAGACCAAAATCAAGCAAGATCCAGACTTCAAGATCAAGAAAGAAGCTACCTCAGTCAATGCCAACGGTATGTTAATCCCTAGACTGAAGCGTGAGGCTGCCGACCCAAATGAAGACAATGACAATGATATCGTGGTCGTGCGCTCAGAGAAGAAGCCCTGTATCGAGCCGGAGGTCATTGACTTGTCTGACTAAAGACTAAGTCCCATTCAAGGAGAAAGAGATGACTCAACTCGGAGTCTGAAGAAGACATCAGCAGCATTTTGGAGGTATTTCGGTCGGAGATTCATGGTGCCAAATATGACGATAGCAAATGCGGCGGAGCTCTTGGTATCGGAACTCGGGAAACATAATATCATGAAGAGTCCTATGACCTGACTGTGCGGACCAAGAGGCGTCCAAACCAGACCACATCATCCCAAACACCGGATGGTTTATCAGGCGGAGGCTCAATAGAAGCATCAGAAACCGCACTAGCAGCGTCGGCATCTTTTACCTGAACTGTAGTTTCAACATCAGACATTTCAGGCTTTTGGTTTCCAGCTTCCAAGTCAACATCATGATCTCGTGCACTTTTACTGCCACCTTCGGAATCCGGAAACTCCTCCAGCCTCAGAAAGACGTCCACCACACCGTCCATCCACCGCCCCAGCCTGTACCGTGAGATTTCGCGCCGGACGTCTTCCTCGTCTTCACTGTCGAATTGCCCTTCAAAATCTAGTACTCCGTACGGGTCGTCCTCGAACTCGTCTGCGAATTCACTCTCCACTTGCGCCGCAATCTCCGCTTGAGTCTGTGCGTCGTCCCAGTGCGGCATCGCCTCTTCGTCCATGGATGTCTGGGGAGCGGGTGTCATGGCCAGCGACCTTCGACTGCGTCTGCCTGCGTGACTGCTCCGTCTGGACAAACTCGGCGTGACCCGGCCAGAGCGGGGATGTAATCTTTGGTTGTGGTTGAAATCCCTCTCCTCCGCGTTCGTCGTCGTAGCGGGGGAATGCAACGAAGTCGAAGAGTCGCGTTTCCCAAGCCACGATTGGCCCTTGGACTCGCGCGATCCCTCGGTCAGCGCGAGACCAGTCTGGATCAGCCATGACGATTCGGACGTGTGGAGATGCAGGAGACCGGACCTGGACGCGTTGATGTTTCGATGTCCAAATCCTTCGCTCGTCAGGGCCCCCGAGGGTGTTGCGAGACCACCAGCTCCGGCGAAATGCGCGTGCGCGTGAGGAGCATGTGCGGCGGCGGCGGATGTGTCATGAACAGATACGGCACTGCGGATCTTTTTCCGTAGACGGGTGCGAGAACTCGCGCGCGAGTGTGCCGCGGAATGAGAAGTCAGGATCCCACTTGGAGACGGCAGGCTGGAGATCTGAGAGATTGACGTGGTCGTGTGCAGTTCGCTGGTCGACGGGTCGAAGTAGGCGGCGTAGTCGGCCGGGTCGATGGGGTATTTGGGCGTCAAGGGTGCGAGGGAGAGGTGGTGTAAGTTGGGGTGGGAGCGGCGATGTGGACCGGGTGCGAATGAAGAAGATCTGGATAATGAGGGCGACTGCGGCATAGCACAAAGAGTGTCAGTGTTTGCGTTTCTTGGGGAGGGTGTTTTGCCCCGGCTGGCAGTAGAACTATAAAATGCCAAATGGAAGAAGAAGTAGTAACGTACCTCCATTGCCCTAGGTGTTGAGGTGGACGGTGCGCGCGACCAATTTGAGGTAGGTCAGGTGGTAAGACAAAGTAGGCAACAGGAGCAGGGTGGGAGCAAGTTCTTCAGCCTTCAAAATGGCAAAATGGCGAAGATAAAAGAGGTATATATTGTTCTCAGAGAAAAGAACACGACGAAGGTGGTGGTGGTGATGAGTAGTTTGTGGTGGCGTGGATGATGGAAACCGAGGCATGTGAAAGGAGTGACAACTAAACATGAGGCAGGTTAGCCGAGATATACTGTACCCAGTGCTCATATGACCGTACTCCCTCCCCTACATATGGTATGTTCAGTGGATACAATATCAACGCCTATCCTACCTACGAAGTCCTTAGGTAGGAAGGGCTCGTCAAGATTTAATCTCCAGTTGACACAAGGCAGTTGGAGTAGAAGAGTCAAAATTCCTACTCATCTCCAGCATCAATGAAGTTCGAATGTTTGCAGACCCACCCCATCAGGTGGAAGAACTTCTCCGTGCATCCAATCCATACAGAAGCAGTCTCCGACCCATAGCCAATACCCATCAACCTCCCTCAGTACTACAGGCACATCGCAACCGAGCAGGATACATACTACGTCACCTTCGACCGCGTGGAAAGGGACCATGAGATAGCGATTGGTCGATGACACGGTGAACATACGAAAGTGAGTTGTAGACTGCAACCATCTTAGCAAGCTCGCTTCTTCGAACATGTCATCGTCGTCGAGTGAATTCTCGAGGCTTTCAAGGCTCATCTCGCACCATGATGTCGGCACTTCATCCGTCCAGAGTCTCGGTCCTGAATCGAATACCAGAGTGCGCCAGAACCTTTCTGTATCACTGACTCCCGCACCTGCAGCGGCGCCTCCGCGAGTCCCAGCAAAGTCCATCCATCCTCGGACTTGCTTGATTAATGGTCTGGAGCCTCTTGCATAGGTTAGTCTCTCGCCGAGGGCGGTCCAGCACTGTGTCACGTAATCTGAGGGTTCCTTTATGGTATCGATCTTGTGGCCGGTTATCGTAATTGCTCGGCGATCAGGGGAAAACCTGTATTCGGTAGGGCGATCTGCGCTTGCCCGAAACCGACTGCTTGTGAGGTGATCGATTGAATAAACGCCGCGAAAGTGCCGCCAATCTGGCAACCATGATGGCCACCCTGGATCGTGGTGAAGTGAGAAAGAAGCACAGAGAATATTCAGCGGACCATGAGCCCGCTTCGTCAGCCGATACTGCCCGAAGGACACAATGCCCACACCTTCAGACGCATTTAGATCCTGCCCGGGGTTCTCTAGCTGGTTGGATAATTCGTCGACACTTCGGGGTGCTGAAATGCAGTAGTCAACCACATCCGTAAAGACCTCTTCAACCGTCCGTTCATAGTCGACGTGAAACACGCCGTCGTACGGTCTCGTAGATTCCTCCAAGAAACCGAGAAGAGCGTAGATCTGGTCCTGCGGCTTTTCAGACTTGGAAGACCAGAATGTCTGCAAGACCCCCAAGAACCAGTCGGGAGTTTTGGGATTTGCCCTCGTTCGTCGTAGAGCGTTCACCATTCAAGGAGTGCTGTAATCGAGTACCTCTTCTAAAGCGTCTGGTAGTCTTCGGCTTTGGTCAGCACGGGCGCGGTTGAACCTTAGTTGGCGTAGAACTTCTATCAACCAGTCCCAGGGAATGGATTTGCTGCCACAGCACAAGAGCAGTTTCTGTGCAAATGCTATTTCCTGGATAATCCACACTCTTACCCAGAACCGCCGCCAGAGAAGGTTCCTGAGGGCGGCCCATACGTTGTCAAGAGCCGGATTCTGCATGGCCTCCATGAAATTTTCGCGTACTGGAGATCGATGATGCTGCTCTTGAAGAAGGCAGGGTCAACGTCTTGGAATGTTTGTTCGATCCATTCCATCGCTCTGTCGCTGTCTTCGTCGGCATCACCAAGCCAGACAACGACACCTTTAGCATTGTGGAAAATCTTCCTCATTTGCGGAACTTGTGAGCTTTTTTCGGTGTTGTCATCTTGATTGATACTGACGGCATCGATCCATACTACTCGCTCCCGACGCTCGTACCTCAGGCGACATAATGCCTGGTACAGATTTTGGGTAACACGGAACATACCCTGGTGTCGATCGTCTTCAAGTAAAATCTCGACAGCATCATCTTGAGAACCCCACATGTATGAGAGTGCCTCGTACCCGGGTGCTGTGATCACAAGATGGTGGGCTATCGAGCACCGGATACCTTGGGTTGCTAGCCCTGGGACAATCGTGAGAAGCCGAATCTCATCAGCGGGCGATGCGAGATTCTTATGACGGTACGCCATTGCTTGAGAGTAGATGACAATCAAAAAGGAATCTATCTCCAGAATTTGGTATTTCTGCCTTCACCAGCCGGGGATACGGTTCCGCCGAAGGGCGGGCGCAGCATTGCCAGGCACAGCCACCGGCGGTGCGTTGTTGGTATGCTCGAAAGATCACATGAAGTGTTGTGCATGGCTTCATCTCCGTGAAGAGACATCAATATTTACTTTCCATCAAATGTTTGGATCAACGTATCCGATAGTGTTGATACCGTGGGCGTGAGATTGCCCGAAGAGAAAATAATAAACGAAGTGAAGAATACGAAGCAAGGACTCCAAAATTATGACAGGAATACCAAACTCCAAAATTGGGGCCAAGGAAGACGATCTGGTCATGGATTGCTTCCTAGCATATACTTCCACAGACATCCAGTCAAATTGATATCATGCTCGAGATCAAGCGATATATATATATAAACTCAGACGAACCAGAGCGGCTCGATACTTCCCATCTACTCGGCCAAACTTTTCAAGAATGTCTTTCTTTCCGGGAGTCTATGAACTTTTCCGGATCTCGCCCTTATTTACCACGAATGCTTCCAGCGTGGCGATAGCAGACCACAACCGATTTTGAGCCTCTGGGAAAACCAGCGATCTATCACCGTAGAAGACTTCATCATTGACCTCCTCGGCATGTCGCGGCAGACAGTGCATGAACTTCCAAGACTCGTTCGCTCCGCCTCGTTCAGCCATAGCATTGGTGACCTGATACCCTTCGAAGGCCTTTAATCGCTTAACCTTTTCTTCCTCCTGGCCCATTGAGATCCACGTGTCGGTGACGATGACATCGCATTTGTTGACCGCTTCTTCGGGCACGTTGGTCTCCTCCAGTTTCCCGTCGCCTTTGGTACTATTGATTTCTTGTTTCATTCTGTCCGGAATCTCATAGCCTTCGGGTGTGGCAACGGCCATGTTGATGCCCAACTTCTTCGCGCCGATGCACATGTCGAACAGCACGTTGTTGGCGTCACCCACCCAGGCAATCTTCAATCCCTTGAGGTTCTCCGCCGACGAATTGAAGCTTTGTGTGAGGGTCGCAAAGTCCGCAATGATTTGCATGGGATGGTATGTGTCGCAAAGTGCGTTTATCACCGGCACGGACGAGTCCTTGGCCAGGTTCGCAATGTCCGCGTGTGGACCGACTCGCGCCACGATGGACGACACCATGCTCGATATCACTTTGGACGTGTCGTACAGTGACTCATTGACTCCGAGTTGTATGTCATTCTTCCCCAAGAACATGGGATGTCCGCCCATCGAGGCTATGGCGCCTTCGGTCGACACTCGCGTGCGGGTGGAGAGTTTGGAGAAGAGGAGTGCGACGGTCTGGCCGTAAAGAGAATTTCGCAGTGGCCATGCTGCATCTGCTCTGTGGGTTTTGTGGTGGGTGGCATTGTTCACCAGCGTGGCCAGTTCTGTCGACGTGACCTCCGAAAGGGAAAGAAGATGTCGAGGTCCAGAGGAAGAAGCGGAGGTTGAGAATAATGAGCGACTTTGTCGCTGCAGCGGTCGGACGAGGGAGGGGCGAAGAGGTGGCATGTTTGCTGAAGTTCAGGATAGACGGCGGCCGTGAAACATCTCCCACGAGATGTACTCGTAGTTGACTGGTAAAAGGAATTCTGAGTCACATCATTCACTGATGCGCAGTTGGAGGATTTTATTTTAAGCTTATCGTCAAGCTTCGTTGATCTCCCGTTGTCGTTTAACAAAGCGCCGGGTTCCTCAGCCTCGTTCTAGGAAAATTTTTGGTTCCTTCAGGGCCAGGGATTGTCTACCTAGGTACTTGGCCTTGACCTTCAATCATGGCTAAGGAACTCCTTGATAAACCTATCCTCGTCCTCGACGGAGGTCTAGGGACAACGTTAGAGGACGAACATGGGATCAAGTTCTCGTTCAAAACCCCGTTATGGTCATCCCATCTTCTCATTGAAAATACTTCAACATTACGAAAAGTTCAGCAAGACTTTGCCAGCGCCGGAGCTGATATCATTCTTACCGCAACTTATCAATCTAGTTTTGATGGATTCGAAAACACCAAAATGTCCAATAAAGACGACGACAGCATTGGTCTTGAAGAAGCAAGGAAATATATGCTCTCAGCAGTCGATCTCGCTCGGGAAGCCTTTGTTGGACGACCAGGCCTTGTCGCGTTGAGTCTCGGGGCTTATGGTGCAACGATGATCCCAAGTACAGAGTACAGCGGTGCATATGGACCCATGAACGGGGACGACTTGTTCAAATTTCACATGGATCGAATTTCGACCTTTCAGGACAACCAAAAGGCGTGGCAAGAAATCGACCTCGTTGCCTTTGAGACCTTGCCGCGAATCGATGAAGTCAGAGCCGTTGTCAATGTCATGCAAACGACAGCAAACAAGCCATATTGGATATCTTGTGTTTTTCCGAATGATGATCGATGTCTGCCCGATGGAACAACAATAGACGAGCTGATCGAAAGCCTTCTTCTACCACCGAAAGGAGGAGCTCGACACCACCACCAACCTTGGGCCATTGGAATCAACTGTACAAAAATCCACAAGATCAGTAAACTCATCAATGCATTCGAAAACACTTCAAAACGATCATCACTCGATCTACCTAGGTTGGTACTTTATCCGGACGGTGCTGGCAATCAAGTCTACGATACAAAACTACAACAATGGGTCGGAGATAACAGCGACCAAAAACCTTGGGACCTTCAGATGGCTGATATCATCCAAGAGGTCACACAGAGGGGAGCATGGAAAGGAATCGTTGTCGGTGGATGCTGTAAAACAACACCGTATCATATTCAACAACTGAGAAAGAGGGTAGACGCTTTGAAATAACGATTTGCGCCATGAAAAACACATATAGCGTGTATGAATAATACATATACGGGCTACTATTGCAGAGAAAAAGGAATGAGCGATGCTCCGGATAGAATTGAAAGTGTGAGTCTTCTTTCTCTATGACTGTGTTTTATGATCATTCCTCGTGATAACGGGAGCCGAACCCTTTTTATCTTTCGTTGCGATCCGCAACTCCCAAGTCTGTCAGAGCGCAGATTATCGCCCTCGCGCTGAGCCAGTTCGATCATGGGTCGAGAGCCATGGGCTCACCACCAGTATTTTCTGGGTTAGCAGGTGTATTAGCAGCTTCACCATCCGCATTTCCCCCAGCTTCTGTCTTGACTGTCTCTACGAAATCTCGTCTCTTTCCCCCAATGCGTTCCTGCTTGAACTTGTCAATTTGTTCTTTGATGTCGGTAGCTAATGACCAGGTCAGTGACATATGCTGGCAACGTAGGAGCAAAGTCGTGTGTGTGAGAACTTACCAGGAATAACGTCCTCAATCTTCAGGGGGACTCGATTGAAGGGGTCGTGTGGGTCGCTCAACAAATGACTGCGAATTGTACTGCGATCAATCACAATTTTGCTGACTGGCAATCGTACCGGGTCTTCCATCAGGGTATACATCAAAGGATCAAGATACTCGTCTGGAATGTCTCCGAGATCGGCATCAGCTGCCTCGTCTTCCTCCTTGGCTTTCTTGATTTTTTCAATCAATCGAGCCCACTTATTGAGTTCCTCCGGCGCCTTGAGGACGAACTTTTTCAAGATATTGCCTGCGGCAGCGAAATTTCCCGGCTTGTATGAGCGACCATCACGGGCCACAGCCAGAATAAAATTCTCTCTCTCGCCGAGGTTGAGATAGACATCAACGATCTCACTGAGGAGAGCTTTCGGATTGAAGTTATACTCTTGCAGATTGTCGACTTTGAGCGATGTACTCTTAGGGCCAACCATTGCGTCAAGGTTGTAGTCCAGCATGTCTGCCAGTCGCTGTACAATTTCCGGCATTGTAAAAGCATCGGCAAGAGCCTCGGTGAACAACTTCAACATGTCGACCGTTTCGTTCGTCAACTGCATGTACGATTTGGCTTTTCCTTTAGCCTGTTCTAACGCCTCCTCCTTTTCTTGCCGCTGCTGTTGATCCAAATTTGTACCAGCAAGAGCCAGTTCCTTGGATAAGTCATAGATTGTATGGAAGGATGTAAAGGATTCATCCAGCACAAAAGTGACATCGTTCAGCAAGAGATTGACAAACCTCACAAAAAACTCCATGTTAACTTTTGCTTCACGGTAGAGATTGTCCCGGTAGACTGTGTTGGGCCAGATACACTTGATGATTTGAAAAATCTCGAATCGAACGTTGAATTTGTCGAAGAACTGCCCATGACCGCCCATGAACTCGGCCTCAATGAAAAACTTCATCAAAGAATGCAGGAGATGCTCTGTGGCAAAAGGCAAACTGTTGTACTGGTCCGCTAGTATGCCCCGGCCGCCCTGACGCCAGGACCACGTGCCTCGAAAGAGGATCGTTACCAACGAAGCTTTCAAGTAAGGGTTCCGAATGTACTCCGAATTCCGCAGAAATGTGATACATAACATGATGAGCTCATCAGACTGTGTGGACGAAATGACTTGCGGCATATTATACATGATGAATCCGAAATTGCCGCTGATGATATCCAGGAAATACTCTGGTAAATTCTTGAAATGATCGGGCTCTGTAGTAGACAATGGAAGAGTGAGCTTCTCTTTGGGATATTGTCGATGGCTAGACACTTGTCGAAGGAGCCAGACTGTCACGAATCGCATAAACTGCATTGAACGTGTCTGGGCGTGTTCGTCCAGCAAGACACCCTGGACAGAATATTTGTAAGCCAACCCCCTATCGTGCTGATCCTTGTATTTTTTGAGGGCATTTTCGAACATGGTCAATTGTGGAGGGTTGTTGACATATTTGTGTCTTTCGGTTTCAAACTGCTCGATTTGTTTGGCCATGTGCTTGAGGTCGCGATCCATATCCTTTAGCATGTTTCGAGCCGCCTCAGACCCGTAGTGATGAGCAGCAACAGTCAGGAAGAACAATTCTGAAATGAAGTTGTTGTCGCCTTCAAGCTGCTCTTCGTAGAAAGCATCCGACTCGTCCTGATCCGCATTGACCTTGGTTTCGTCTTTGATATCAACTCGAGGATGTCGCCTCAAGTAATCGATATCCACACGGTCCAACTTAGAAAATTGTGCGTCCATGAAAGGTTCACAAAGTTGGTCCAGACACGTATTAACATTGATCATGAAACCGTCACTTGACACTGTTGCCTTGTCGACCCGCATAGCTCTTCGCTTATGGTTCGAATTAACGATGAGAGCGAACCAATCAAGGACTTGTTCTCTTGCCTCAGGTGAACAACGAACCAAGATGTTGATAATGTCAAACAGCTCAGACTGGTGTGACCTGAGAGCCATCTGCAATGATTGCTGTGCATTTCTAATTCTGTTTGGATCCATCGTCCGTGGCCCCGTAAAGTATTGTTTAGTGACGTCGGCTTGGAGGGGAGATATCTGGAAATATGGTCCAAGTAAGGTTGCAACCTCTAATTGCGCAGCTGGCACTGACTTGTCGACGAACATGGGTGACTGTGTAATGGCAATGGCCACAGGCTTGTACCTAATCAGATGGCGCATCATTGCAGTGTAACGTCGATAGTCGCTATCCATCGTCATCTTTGCAAGTCTCCGGCTCAGTTGCTCGACGGCTCGCACGAAGGTTTCCTTAATTGTCTCATCGTCATCGAATCGGGTGACAACTTCGGCCAGGAAATCGTGACATACTCCCCGATCTTCGTCCGGATCAGCGAGGAGATGATCAGCCAATGCGGCATCACCATCGTATTCCGTCCCGAAGACTTCTGGAGTAGTAACAGAGAGGATACACCAGCTCATACATAATCTCTGAGCCTCCTGAATAATGGACCACTTTTGATTCTCGGAGGTTTTATCCTTGACTCCTTTGCCCAGTCGGGTGATTCTCTTCCAGCAGCCAAAGAGCCAGTCGTGGGGCGTTACCTTCCCAGGGTTACTTCCAGCCTCCATGATCGCTTGCTCAAGCAGATCAATGTTTAATAACAAAGCCTTGTCATCAGCCTGTAGCTCTTCTCGTAGTTGTGGCAGGGGGTGAAGCGTCTGGCCGTGGATGTCCTTTGCTTGTTGGGGATCAAGGCTCAGACGGAAAATACTGCGCAGTGTACGATCTTCCCACTGTTCGATAGTCTCATTCGGCCTAGCGGTCTGTCTGGAGCCTGGTCTCTCTATCCCATCCATCTCCCGCTTCTGCGGTGTGACGTTCGCGGGCGTTATGGTTATTCGGGTGGAGGGCGCAGGTGACGGAGCACTTGATGCGCTGACGGAGGACGTGGGCTTTTCTGTGGGCGTGCCAGGCTGCGGCGAAACATTCTGAGGTGTGGAGGGTTGTGGTGATGGCACTGACTGCGTTCCATCTTGATGTGAGGCTGCTTCTTCTGATGACTGCGGCTGCTGCTGTGATTGCTGCAATTTTGCAAGTCTCTTATTGCGGATCTGGAATCTGTCAGAACTTCCTTAAACCAACACACCTTACACACCTTGTCCGAGTCCAGCGGAAGGTCCGACATTATTGTGATAGGATAGATGACAAATGTGGCGGAGGTGGTTTGTAGAGGCGGAAGAAGGATCTTGGGGTAATGAAGTCGGAGATACGACCAGTATTCGTAGTATATTTCCAGCCGCAGCCTGATGCCGCCTATCGAAGCCCGGTGACGTCCATAGAAGGTGCCTAGCTACTCAATTCATTGGCCGAATGGCTCTATCGCACAGCCTTGCAGCCTTGTGTCCCAGTGAGCCTCACTTACTTGTACTGAATACGGAGTATGATTTTGTTCAAGTATATGCAGGATAAAGGTCATTGTACACGCTATGCAAACTGACTGAGAGTCTCGCATCTCGATTGAATTGTTGCGCCGCCAACTCCCAACAATAATGCGATCTAAACCCCCGATGTCAACGACCACCTTTAATACTGCCGCGTAATCTTCAATTCATCTAAGCGTCGACAACCAGGCATAGGCATGTCCCGAGCCCTCCTCAGTCTGTTTTCATCGGTAAAGAAAAATCCAGTTGCCTCGTTAATCTCATGTCGCTTCCGATGAACCTCATTCTCGCACTGATATTTGAGACTTGATATATAATCCACCTCAGCTTGCCGATCCAAATTGCTAAACTGCCTCGACGTGTATCCATCAACTTGAGCAGGGTTAACAAAATAGTCGATCTTGTACTGTGGCGTAACCCGGCGCATTGTATGTGGTGGAACTGGTGAGTCAAATCGAACTTGTGGTCCAGTGTCGCCGGACCCAGAGAAGAATGAAGAAAGTAAAGGTAATATGAACAACAGTAACAGCGGCAGGAGCTGTGTCAGTGCAGACAAACCGCTAGGCGGAGGGCCCGCATTTGCATCTCTCGGTCTTCGTCGCGGTGTGCCACCACCCATGCGGTGCACTGTGAAACCGGGGCCGCCGCCCATGTTGAAGACAAATTGCGGTCCTCCAAAACCGCCAGGTGCTAGATAGTGGGTGAGCTACTTGTCTGCAAGGGTTGTAATGGGACATACCGAAGCCAAAGCCGCCATTCATCCCTCCACCAAAGAACCTATTGAAGAGTTCCTCAGGCGATATTTCATCCTCGTACATAGGCCCTCTGCCTGAGGAACGCGCAAACCCGCTGAAGGGACTGGCACCGCTCGCAGCACCACCGCTTGAAAAGCGACTATCTGGGTCACCCCCAAATTGGTCATATTTCGTTTTCTTCTCTGCATCGGACAATATCTGGAAGGCTCTCGATACCACTGCTGCCGTTAACACCAACTCTCGGTTACTGTAGACTTAAGACGTGTACTGACTCTTGAAAGCCTCGTCGGCTCCATCATATCCATTTTTATCCGGGTGCGTCAAAAGACTTATTTTTCTGTAGGCCTTTTTAATTTCTCCGTCACTTGCTGTCTTCTCGACGGAGAGGATCTCGTAGAAAGCGGTAGGACTACATCTCCGTATTCGAATGACTTCGGCTTTCTGCTGAGGTGTATATTTTCGGTCTTGGTTGCCTTGGTTATGATCTCGTGAGGTGGCTGAGCCGTTCGCCCTGGCATCAGAGCCAGAGGCCGAGGCGGACATACCGCAGTCAGTCTTTTCGGCGATGGGCGAATCGAGACGGATGGGTTTTGAGCTGCGACCGAATTTAACGTCTCGGGATGATCGCCTCGATATCTCTAGTAGCAGTGTCGTTGAAGGAAATCTTTTGGCAAAGGTGGTCTCAAGGTCGATGAAGGTGTATTTGGCGACGGCCGCTAGTGGGTTGCAAGTCGAACTGCCCGCATCATTTCGCGCTCTGCCGTTCACTAAGGGACGTATTTCTAAAACACCATGACGCAGTTTCCGCAACAAAGCTACAGTTCTGTATTTGGTCTTCGTTTAGAATCCTCCTCCATCATAACAAAGACCTCTGATCAACATGGCCGATCCTCAAAAGCAAGAAGAAGTCAAGCAGTCATTTCTTCAAACAGCGAAGAAATGGGGAGGTAAGTCTCTACAGCGCTATGCACTTTGCATCCGTTGACTGCTTCCAGAATATCTACTTACACTCCTGATAGAGAACCCTGTTCCTCCTGCTCTACTCGCTACTTTCATCTTTGCTCAACATGCCCGACCTTTTCAGCCACTCCCTATGTTGTTCCCGCCTATGCTCCTCTTTTCTACGTACCTCAATCTTCAAGGATATAAAATTGACAGCGCTGGCACGACAGCTGCTTTGAGTGGCTCATACTTGGTGCTTGCAAGCCGAAGACGTGTTGGACTCTTCAATAAGTTTGGCACTCGAGGTATAATTAGAGGAGCGACGATGGGTTTATGCCTGGCCAATCTTATTGGAGGTGGTCTTGCCTATGGATTTGGGAGTCGATCAAAGGAGGATGACAAGAAAAGAAATCTGTAAGAGTCGGAAAGCCAAATTCATATCGAGGTATGTGGTAGAGATTTCACCGGCCTCAAAATTAGACGATGCAACCTCTATCAAACTCAAGGTTGACTGATCAGGGAGACTACATACACGCCATGCAATGCAAGAATTCCCAGCGTCAGGGCATCAAGTCGGTCAAACAGGCTTCTGGACTACTCTTCGGCACGAAGCTGGTATCAAGGGTTTCCCGTCACTGACTGAAACATTTCTCTGGATTGCCTTGTCTGAAACAACATCATTTTATGGCAAGAATGGAACCCGACTCTATCTCCCCAGCGTCCGCAACGACAGATATGACGGTCACCTCTATTCAAGAGCATCTTTACTGGTTTTTTTGATAACAATCAAGCTAGCCAACTATTGCAGCAATCGATTACTGACATCGTCTCCATGTATCACCAGACTCGGTATGTATAGTGGAGTTATCAAAGGGGCTCACGGCTACAACGAAGGCCGTGCTTTGAATTGGTCTAATATTCACTTGGACGCCTTCTTACCCGTCAACATTGGGATCCTAGCATACCTAGTCCATACATCTGTCTACTCTCACTCCAGCGTCTACAAGCATGGCGTGGGGTTTCTCAATTCAAAGAATTCGAAAACATTGCCTTTTGTCAAGGATGTTGCGAAAATTATAAATTGAAGGATCCAAAAACATTGCATTCTACCTGTCAAGATGGTCTGTTGTTGTGTAGGCTGGACCGATATGCTTATCTGACCTTTCGAACACCTTGGACACATACACCGATATATCCTGAGATCCGGTTTTTTTTTAATTTCAATCCCGCCAAGTCATGATTGACGGATCCCCTTGTCTCCATTTGATTTCGGCCACCCACTTCTTCACCTTCCACAGATCTTGGCTGTCGTCTTTGACCAGAGCGAGCGTATACATGGCCCCGGCCAAGAGATTGGGAGAAGTCGGATCCGAGCCCTCGCCGGCCTTGAAGTGTTGGGCGACCGCGTAGGCCGTCACGGTGGCCGTTTTGGAGTCTTCTTCGACATGAACCCTCACGTTGCTGATGGCGTGAGTGGTGTCCATGGGCCCCACCCCCTCAAACATCTTGTCGATACCTGGACCCGAGATGCTCCCGACAAAGGGGATCTCCATGGTCATGTCGTCCGTCACGGCCGACTGAAAGAGTGCGCGGTCGTTGGTGTCGAGTCCCTGAATGGCGCGGTAGAGGGCATCGACGACGGACTCTCTTGTGGTCAGAGATGGGATATTGTATGGGAGGGCTGAGCCGGCCATTTTGATTTTCCCTCTTTTGAGCTGTTATATCTCGTGTGCTTGTTTGGGTAATGGTGGTCAGGGAAGGAGAGAAGGAGAGAAGCGTCCCAGAAAGCAAAACTACCCCTACATATATATACCACCACCACCACCTACCACTTAAGTTTCGTAAATGAGCTCCAGGTCTTCTTCGGGACTGGAATCTCCCCTCCTCCAAAGTCCGATGCTCGTGCATATGCATTTCAGACATGGGATCAATCTTATGTCCGTTATGACCAAGGTGTTTATCTCCGGTCTCTTTCTCTTTCGTCCAAGTCACAAACACAGCGAGAGAAGGGAAGGAGAAGAGAGAGAGAGAGGGGGGGGGGAGAATGAGTGAATGTATGGATGGAGTGTTGAAGCATTCAGGGACATGGATGATGGTGTAGACTAAAATGTTCCATTCGGCCCGTCGGGACAATCACAAAGAGGTAATATTTTCAACCATGAGTGACGAGTGTAGTGATGTGATTGGATATCACAGTAGATTCATATGCACGTTCGGGCCGAATGTTGCTATGGGTAGAACAAGTTCAACTGCTCTTTGACATGGGTCCCTACTCCATACTCCTTGCTCTCCGTTGCTACTCAGAGTAAATCGGGTTCAAGAAGGGCAAATCACCTTTGTGTCTAACAAGAACCGTCTTCCTTTTTTTCTCTTCTTGACAAGTCGTTCGGCTCTAAGCGTCGGACATGGAGTTAAGGACGAAGGGCTCTGATGAGCAGAACAAAACAGAATGACCCTTACCTGAGGTAGACACCACTCGGTATGTACTACTACCATCCTGAGATACTTTTTCCAAACTGGGTTTTCCGTAGGTAGGTCTAAAAATCGGAAACGACAGGAATGTTCCTTTCCAACCAACCTCTCCATGTCGGTAGGGTCCTCTTCCTCTTCGTTCCACTCGTCACTTGCAAATCCTCAATGGCGCTCGCCCAACGAATCAACTCGTCCTCTCGCCACGCCGTTTGCATGATCGCCAGCCCAAAAGGCATGCCACTCACGCTCCTCACACCCGCGGGGAGCGTGATCATGGGGTACCCTGCCTGGGCCGCGACCTGGTAAGTCTGACCTACGTCAGGTGGAACAAGCAAACCGTTCAACCTCTGGTTCTTCTGTCGTCCCTTCTCCCTCAGCGCATCATCAATCCCGTCACGAGTCGACGTCTGTGAGAACCCAAGGGCCTGGAAATAAGTCGAGTCCATGACTCCCTTCGAGTCCAACGATGCCAAAAACCCGTCTTGTCCAGAGTAAAACGCCGGTGTGCCCAGTGGCCACGGGTTACCACCTTCGGTACCGTCGTTGTCGTAATTGTAAGCCACCAAGTCCTCGATGGTTCTCACGTTTGTGTTGGATAGTTCAGACAAGTACTTGTTGATATTGTTGTAAAAGTCGACCTTGACAACGGTGTACTCAGACTCGTTGGGATACCCGCGGGTCCCGCCATAATCCCAGTTCCAGCCGTCTGGAGATACGATGGTTTCGTAGTCGGTGATCTCGGTATTGTTGATGATGGTTGCGCCTGCCGAGCGGATCAACTCGAGCAGCTCGAGCAGCTGATTCTGTTGTTCTTCGTCCGCATAAACCCAGAAGCTTTGCCAGGGTAGGCCGAAGGTGGCATTGGCGAGGGCATCTTTGGTCGTCATGAACTGTACATATCCACCACCCGGAACCTGCTGGGCGGATGTATAGTTGTCCGAGGGATCGACTCCATGGATGGCGTCGAGTGCATACACGGCATCGCGGACAGTTTTACCAAAGGTGCCCACCGTGTCTTGATGTTCAGACTCGGGAATGACACCGGCTCGAGAAGTTAGACCCACGGTAGGCTTGATGCCCACAATAGCATTGCGCTCGGCAGGGTTGATGACGCTGCCGTCCGTTTCGGTCCCGAGGGCAAATGCGACGACGTTCGCGGCAACGGCGACGGCACTTCCTGAGCTACTTCCGCCTGGGTTTGTGGTGAGGTTGTATGCGCTCCGACACTGGCCGCCACGTGCAGAGTATCCCTCCGAATAGTTGTTACTGCGCATGTCGGCCCATTCGCTGAGGGAGGCTTTTCCAAACAGGACAGCACCGGCGTCGCGGAGTTTAGAGATAACGTGAGCGTCGCGGGGGACGATGCTCCCGATCAGAGCCCAGCTACCAGCTGTAGTCTCCAGTTTGTCTTTCGTGGCAATGTTGTCCTTGACGATGAACGGGATACCATGGAGTGGACCCCTGACTTTGCCCTGCCTTCGCTCGTGATCCCGAGCTTGGGCGATGGATAGTACATCAGGATTGAATTCCAGTATGGAACTGATCGTACCGTCGTCAGTCAGTCGGCGGGGGTCATTTGGACCTGCTGATTTGCTTTTTGTCCATACCTTAGATAATTCTGAGTCTGGTAGGCTCTTTCCAAGTAACAAAGTACCAGCTGAGTTGATGTGACTGAACCATTGCTCATGGCAGACTGCATCTGGTCAATTGTTGCCTCTTGAAGCTGAAACGCCCCACATTGTGGCATGGGAAAGAGCTCCGTAGTATTCGCATCTTGCAATAGCGGGAAAACATCAGCAGTTGAAAGACCCCCAAAGGCGTGGACGACATCAAAAACAATATGAAGAACCAGAATGAGTCGTAGATGTACCATCATGCCGCATGTGCTGAGTTATGGTGGTGAGGGGGCTGTACATCTATGTGATCCCAGGGAAGTGTGGTGATAGCTCGAGGGAACGATCAGAGAGATGCTTGTACGACCAAGACCACACTCTCCATAGGATCGTCGCACACACTCCCAGCACTTGTGCACTTATCCGAGAATCTCTAGCACGGACAAGGCCGGCCGTGTTCAAGACGACGATGATGCATCGATCCTGCAGCTTGGTCGATAAGGGAAAATGACTGCCAATTGGAGAGAAATGATAAAGTAGTTTGCGCTTGCAGGGGTAGGTCGCAGTGGGATAGCCTTGTCCAGATGTGATTACTCAGCGTAGTGATGAGGATCTTCAAAGCCATCTTAAACTTCAAGAGAAAATTGGAAAGCGCTTCAGATATTTTAGCATTGGTGCAAACGTGGTCTGTTGTCTTTCTGGGTACATGCTTGGACGAAATAGATGCGCATTCTTCTCCCCGTATCAAAAGGCTCATGCCTTTAATCCACTCGTTCGAACCAGATCAGCTCTTTTAATACAGGCTCCATGTGAAGCCCCATTCTCACGGCTCTACCATTCTCCCAAACGAATTCAGCTCGTATATCCTCGAAGCTATCCTCATCCAAGGACGGGTGGAAGTGAGCGACATACTCTGTTTGATCCCTAATATGATCAAAGGTGAGAAAGAACCCAGTCGAGCGATCGGAAGCGTCGATAAAGACTTTACTGTCTTTTACCTGCACGACAAAGGTGTGATAGCCCGGGTTGGTGTATTCGCCCCTGAGGGCATGAAGCTGCTCCATCGGTGACTCGGAGGGTTTGGGTGTCGATGCAGGATCAGGGTTGGACATATCTTGAGTGGTAGTATCGCTTACATGATCGCTCTCTGAGTCATTCTCAATCTGGTTGGTACCGTCCGTTGTGGTTAAAGTCTCGGTTGTGGTAGCGGATTTTGGCTTTTGGGTCTTCTTTGGTTTGCTTCGTGTCGGAAGCCGTGACGTGCCAGGAAGATTACTGCCGCCAAAGCCTAGTAGGCTATCAATTAGTTCTCGAGCCAAGATGGTGGTCAGTCCTGTGCCGTCGTCCGAATTGGTAAGTATAACAGCGCCGAACCTGAAATCAGGCAAAAAGAAGAAACGACTCGCAAAGCCATCAATGCATCCTTCGTGACCTATTACCATAGCGCCGCGATAAAAGTACACTTCGAGCCCTGCGGCGTAGGCTTTGGGAGATGTATGCTTTTTGAGTCTTTGCATGCCCGGATTCGTAAAGGTACGCAATCTAACAAGACCTTGGTACAAACGGGGAGTGATTGGCGTTTCGTGGTCGATGAGGGCTTTTACCCATTTGATGAAATCATTGGTACTGGTGATGATCGAGCCTGCCCCTTGACCTTCCGGGCAATCTGGACTCTCATGCTCAGTATATGTAGATTTTGTTTTGTTCCACTGATACCCCATTGCGATACGAGGACCATGGCCCTTGCCTCGTGCCCTTGAAGGCTGCAAGCTCGTCGACGGCATATTCAACGGCTCAAATATGCGATCTTGTAGAAAGTCGGAAAAGCTTTGCCGGCTTTTCACTTCAACCAGATGCGATGCGACCGTGTACATCATATTGCAGTACATGTACTTTGACCGTATAGGTGCAGCGACCGGCAGGTTTCGCAGATTTCTCGTCACAGACCGTGCGTCGTCAGGGTAAACCGCTCGTGGACCCATGTAAGAGCTGTCGTGACTGTGATGATGTGTTAGGGTATCGCACTGACAGGGAATGGCGGTGGACCTGTTTACGAAGGCATTCCGCTTCTATGGCTCAAGATGTCCTCAATGGTGACACCTTCAGTATATCCAACACCGGGCATCACGAAATCTTCTGGGAGAAGCTCCGATAGAATGGTGTCCCAGCGGATTTCAGGATATCGTTCATCATCATCGACGAGCAAGCCAACACATCCGGCTGTCAATGATTTGGAGGACGACGCTATGTCAAACAGCGTGTCTGGCGTGCATGGAATTGGCGGGTCAAGGCATGCACTGCCATAGCCTCGGCTTGCGATTTGATCATTCTGCACCAACGCGATCGAGACTCCAGGCACATGATGTTGGTTCATCAAGGCCTGAACGCGGTTGGTGAAGGCGTCAGATTCGAAGCTCTCCATTCTCGACTTCTTGTGTGAGGAAGAGGGACAGAACTACAGAGAGGAATGCTTCAAGCTCTTCTGCTCAGCCCATATGATCTTGTCTCGTCATCGCAAAGGTGAGAAGAGCTCGGTGACTCACTGATCCTGTAGGATGAGATAATAGCCGCTCCAGATCACTGATGTGGTATCGAGGTATTTGGGTCCTGACCAATTAATGGTTTCCTGCTTGCCAAGATTCTGGCCGTATATTTGATCCACTTCGAGGGTTCAAATCATGACAATCCTCAATGTGTCCAGTGTATCATATGGACGCCGCAGGGAGGGCGTGCATTGATCTAGCCTCCCAAATTGAACAAGTCTAGACTACTCTTAAAGCCATGATTTGCCTCCATCGATTGAGACCCGGCCCGATGGCTCCGTTGAGTTGCGGCACGGTTAGTCAGTTCTGTGTGCTAATTTTTTTCCCTCGTCGTGCGTAGCCTTGTGCAAAATTGGTGAATTGTTATTGGTTGGACAACGCCTTCAAACATTTTTTTCCTTATAATTGTCCACACCGCACAGATTCCAAACGACCGTAGTAGTTATCGATGTTATTAGACATGCATAGAAGAAAACGAAGTCGATTATGAGGCTAGCTGGTTCGGCGTCGGCGGCCACTGCCTCCAGCCTGCCATCTTTACGTTCGCCAGAGTTGGTCACCGAAGGGCAATTGAAGACGGCCTTGCAAAATCTACGCTTGCTCTACCGACCCCTGCCGACTGTCCTTGACTTCAAGACGGTCGGGACGCCGAAATCATTGATCAAGCCCATCTCTACACCCGTTGTCGACTCTGGTTATGTATCTGAGGACAGTGACGACGATGACGCCGTGGAAACTGCCGTTGAGATGTTTGTGATGGACGAGTTCGAAAAACAGCTTGCCACACGCTGGTTGACGACGGTGATGGCCCGTGCCGAAGAGATGACGCTCCTATCGGAGAATGTACGCGACCTTCTCATCGAGGATGCTGCTTCGATCCTGGTATGCTTCAACAACTCAGTCACCTCCTCTGACTCCGATGAAGAAGCCCTGACAAGAGACTTTACCTTCGAGATCCCTCAAACCATGTCTGCAGGATCACCCAAACAAATCTGCATTCGACTCAACGACGATCCACTGAAAGGTGAAGACCATACCGACGTTGGTCTGCAGACTTGGGGAGCCTCCATAGTCCTGTCCGATCTTTTGTGTCGTTCTCCATGTCGTTTCGATTTAACGCAAGCCTCTTTGCCTTCCGCACCACGCATCATCGAACTCGGCGCTGGCACCGGCCTCGTCAGCCTTACCCTCGCCAAACTGCTACCAGCCCTTGGTATCGAGAATTTCACCATCGTTGCGACAGATTACCATCAAACTGTGCTTTCAAACCTTCGCGCAAACATTGCGTCCAACTTCAAAGTGGAGCTGCCTGGACACCAGGCGGATATTCAAACGTGCACGCTGGATTGGGGAGAGCCGCACAGCCATGCACCTCTGGATAAAAAGGCACATGTGATTATCGCCGCCGATGTGGTGTATGAAGTTCACCATGCCCTTGCATTGCGGGAATGTGCTGCGCATCTACTGGCTCCCCGAGGCATATTCTGGTTGCTTGTCTCAGTGCGCGGATGCGGTCGGTTCGAAGGCTTGGTTCAGACGGTGGAGGCAGCCTTTAGATCAGCCCAACGCGAGGAGTTGAGAAATGAACCTGGCCGTAAACTGCAAATACTGAGTATCGAAAATCTTGCAAAGCAGAGGGGGGTGGGCCGAACGGACGAGAGGGAGTATCGATTGTTCAAGATCGGATGGGTTGAGCAAACGAGATCATAAGTTCTTTGCACATAATTGTACATGAAAAATAGACCAAGATAGCCGGATAGAATAGGGAACATTCAGATAGAGTGTAATCAAAGCTTAGATAGACCAGCATAGATTGCCCGATGGTAGAATCAATCGATAGATGTTGGTTAAGCAGCTCCAAACTTACAAATGAGTATTTCCGTTCTCCCTACTGTAAGAAAGCAACAAAAACCACCAAAAACTGAGAACATGACAAGTTGGGTCGAAATCCTGACGCCGAGGTCCATGTTAGTCGACTTTAACATTTTGTAGGGCAAATTGTGCTCTTTCCGACGCTCCTTTAGCTCTCTAAAGCCCGTCGAACCTTTTGGCCCAGACCTTTTAATCGATGCAGAGGCTCGTTAGAAAAGACAAATCGGACATATTGACGGCCATGGACATCTCCCCATCCATCCATCGAGGTCGCACAAACCCCTTGGCCCAGGAGTCGTTTTGAAGCTGTAGCGCCATCGATTCCAAAGTCACTGACTCGTAACAAAAGACTCCAACCCCCACTGGGCACACCCACTGGGAGACCAGCCAGTTCTGACAGGATCAAATCTCGCCGGGCTTGAAGCTCGTCGACGTATTCTGCCAGGGGCATGGATGACGCGGACGACTTCTCTAGGGCAATCGCGACGGCTTCTTGCGCGATTCCCACAGGAACAACGACGTTGGCCATCGACACGGCAGCAATATCCTTCATGAGATCTTCCGGGCCAACGATCCAGCCAACTCGCCACCCGATCATCCTCAATTCTTTTGCAGAAGATCCGACAATAATGGTTCGTTCCGCCATGCCCGGCAAGCCAGCAGGCGAGATAACAGGACGCCTGTCGAAGACGAGTCTTTCCATGGCTGCATCCAGGATCAGGAGAAGGTCGCTTGAAACACATAACTCCGAGACTAGGCCCCAGTCTTCCTGGTTCAAATAGCCGCCACTTGGCATCGATGGCGACATGAGCAACATAGCTGCGGTTTTCTCGGTAACGGCAGACCGCAGCGCGTTGAGATCTAATTTCCACTCATTCCCAGGGTGGAAGGTGAAGGGAACGAGCTTTGGCACGCCCCCAGCGAGAAGAACACGGTTGATCAGTCCACGGTAAGTCGGGTCTGTCATGATGACCTCGTCACCTTCCTCGATCGTGGCTAGGAGCACATTGAGGATGCCGGAGAGACCACCAGCGGATATAACACAGTTGCGATCTCCAACATATTCCACCCCGGATAGCTGGGACACATGCTTGGCCGCCACGTCGCGCAGGCGGCTTTGTCCCGTGAAGGGCAGATAACTGTTGAACTCATCTCTATGGATGGCACACTCGGTATATTCGAGAGCCTCTTTATCCGGGGGTAAATCGACGTCAAGATTTTCGAGGCGGAGGTAGTCCGAGTCAGAGGCATCAGCAAGATTGCCCATTTGATCGACTCCAATACCCTGTATATGCTGCAGGCGACGAGGTCGATGGCGAGGCATCGCGAAAAAAAAGAAACAGAGAGCACTCGTATCACACCAAATCGATGAGGGAGAAAGAGAGTATAGAAATGGATACGGCAGACGCGGATACTCGAGCTTAATGCTTGTTAAGTACCCAGAAGGAGGTTATTACGCATCTTATCGGACCCTGATCATACTTCATTTTGCTTTCGACAGGCAGATATCGGACATACGACGCCAATATGACCGAAGCCGGTGTATCCTGTATCTAGGCGTCTCAACCAGTTGAATGCGAGTTGGACAAAGGTATGTGATGCAATGAGTGAGTTGATGTTTCCGAAAGGGCGTCGGCAGAATGCGCTTGGTGTTCATTTACTCCAGCGGATCATAGGACCTCGTTTCTTTCATACGGTCGATCAAGACATCTACGATGCCAAGACAACATTCTTCAAACACCTAAAACTTTTCTCGCTTCGCGTTTCTGCTTCCTTTCTCCTTTCTTCAAGTTATTAATTTGGTCCTCAATATACCCTTGTTATTGCCTTGAAATTCTCTGTGGCTATTACATATTCTCCATGGACCTAAATGGAGTAGCCCTTCTAATCCTGTCCGCCTGCTCTGCTGTGCTCTCCATTTGGATTGCGTATGCGTGAGATTATGGTGGTACGGGTTCGCTTGTGGCTTACACATTTATTCTTTGAATGATTTTGGCAAGCAAACGATCTGGTCTCCTGGATCTTGGACACTTGACTTTGATGATCAGTGGTAGTTTGATTTTCGCTATCGAAATGCTCTGAACGTGCTCCTTTTGGAAATTACTAACATGGCAGATGTCGTCTTCCTTTTCAGCACCAGACATCCGGCCGAAAGCGAACAATGCTATAACTCGTAAACACATTACCTTGTCACAGGCACTTTCGAAGCTTCATCCATCTATACACCGTGATGGTTGTTGTCAAAATTATGCCGAAAGAAAATTTAGAAGAAGGTCTTGAGAATCCTTCGTTCTCTATCTTGTTTCACCCTATCTCTAGCCTTTTTACAGGCTTTGTGGGCATGGGTCCTCTCTGAGGAGATACATTCCAGCTACTAGTCTTGATGTTCCAGTCAATTCGGACGGCCGTGAAACACCTTGTGAAAAGAGTGCTGAAAGTGTGGGCATACGTATATCCCCAACTTCCTGTCTCATCATAGTCGTAGTCCTAACAGCTGTACTGATCTTGATACCATGAATCAAGCTACTGCTCCCTCATAAGGTCGAGATAGCGTTGTACGCCATTGCCCTGATACTTGCAGTACGATAGGCCATTCATCTTCCAATAAAGTTCCCCGGTGCGCTTTGAGAGGACGCGGCTTTGTGCTGTCCCGGATATGAGCTAAGTGTACGGAGTAGGATTTCCATGATTGAATTTAGCCTCCGGTTGCTTCTCGGTAGATTGCAATCGCCCTGTTGCTTCCTGACGTGGCAAAACGTTCTGCTTTGTGCGTTGATATGGCGGTTGTGTCCTTGGGCAACCACTTGACACACCATAGACCTTTGTCACTCTCACTATGAGTGGCTACACATGTTCTTCGTTCGATGTCCCAGACTTTGACCTTTCCATCCAGGCTTCCACTAAGGAGGTATTGACCAGTATGGCTCCAGTCAAGACTGGTAATCCAAGCCGCATGTCCGCTGAGATTGGCGACTTGTTCACCTGAGGTGGGATCATACAGAGATACGACACGTCCATCCCCGGCAGCGGCAAGAAGCGTCGAGCCTGGAGAGAACTTTACCGATCGGACGGGTTTGATGAGCCCAGGAAGTGAATGTAGCAGGCGTGATGTAGCTGTAGAGAAGACATAGATGTTGCCCGACTCGTGACCGCTGGCTATGAATCGTCCATCGGGGGACTAGACCCGAAACATCAGTTTTTTCCAATCGTGTAGAGGGGTGAGCCCAGAAGTCATACCATATCAACGGAGAGACCGAAACTGCCCTTGGTCTCGAATTCCCGGATCTTCTCCTTGCCCTTGTCCAAGTCCCACACGTTGGCACGTCCGTCTTGTGTTGTACCGGCAAGATATTGCCCATCGCTAGACAACGCCACGGCCCAAACGTGTCCACCTTTTCTTGGTCCTTCGTTTGGGATCTCGCCATCTTCTTTCCAGATGCCCTCTTCATACCTCCATACCTTGACTTTCCCGTCGAAGCCAACGCTTACGGCCCTCGTGCCAGACGTGCTTGTGACAATATGGTGGCAACCGACTCTGTGAGCATCTTTCAAGACTTGGGCTATGGGGAAGTCCTCTTCCACTGTTGAATGAACTTTGATTGACGGCTCACCCGATCCGCTGAGGATCTGAGACGTGGTCACGGCCAAGGAAAAGACGTCGGTGGTGTGCGCTACTTTGTGTCAGTAGACACTAAGACGTTCTGCGGAGACTTACCATCATCTATTGTGTGCTGAGAGAGATATTGCTTCGACTGCGCGGGGCGTTAATCGCGACGGATTGTGAGATGGAGAGTCTCTGAACCCACCATCTTAACTCAAGAAAATTCATCTCCTAGGAGCATAGGTGATGCTTGTTCTTAGGCGCGTCTAATTCAAGACGTTGAAAGGACTGTCATCGCATCTTCAACAACATCAAATCGACACTGCGGTCAAAGTCGTGCCAGATGTCACAAAAATATTGAAATGACGTCATTTTCAGGGCATTATGGACATTTAAATTGATTGTCAGGAAGAATTTCTTACAGAGTACAGTGTCAATATCTCGATTGAACATTACAGCATGTCCCTGGTGGGAGTCCCCCATGCCTGAATATACATGTGTCAATATTGTCACAGGGCTAGACGCTCTATGCCACGGCGACCACAGACCCTGCAAGGTAGGAGACACCCTCCATGCACATCTGGAAAAGTCTTGTGCTCATCGATGGTTCTCTCGAACCGAAAAGCAAGCCAATGCAAGGAACGAGTACCAGATGGCATCATATATTGTCCCATCGACTAACATCGACCCCATAAAACTATGTTGCTTGTTGACGTCTACAATTCCATGTTAACAGGCTCTGACCCGTGTGTATAAAGCACAGCGCTTGTAGGTTCTCATGTTTGATATGCTCTATTCACACCTTTCCAAGGGCTTCTCAAAGTCTTGATTGAATCGGAGGAATTTACCAAACTGATTTCATTGCTCTGAATCATTCTGACATCAAAATCAAAACACAACCGAGCAAGGAAAGTGCTCCGTCTCTGAAAGACCTTGAAATGTCTGTTACTCGAACTATTCTTCTGCCTTCCTCAATCTCAAGAATTTCCTCGAGATTGTCCGGTGCAGCCAGTTACTCGCCACTGAAATCGTGTTCCATCAGATCACGCAGAATGGCTTCGACCAACCAGCCAAAGCTGGACTCCGAGACCATCTCTACGATTACCCAAAAGGAAAAGGAACTCACTGGCTCTGTTAGCCCTGCTAAATCTGGTCTCACTGCACAGGCACAATCTCATGCTGGCGAACCTCTCAACTCCGACACCATCTCCTCCATCACAGCAGGCGAGAAGAATGTCGTTGGGGAACGCGTCAAGGGCGGTCCCACCGCCGCTGCCCAGTCCATCCTGACCAAAGCCAAACAAGGAAGTAGGACTGGCCCCCATAGGGAGACATCTTCTACAACCGATGGTGTTCTCCATGGCGATACAATCTCCAACATCCGCAAAGCCGAGAGTGAGATCACTGGACGCGATCAGCCTGTGAGAGGGGGGCCTACTGCACAAGCCCAAAAGCATACCGGGGAGCCTATTAATGCTGAGGTCTTGCACGATATCACCAAGGGAGAAACCAAGGTCAGCAGCATGGAGAAACCTTTGCTAGGTGGACCAACTGCGCAGGCTCAGCACGATTTAGCCAAGAGCCGAGAGTAAAGAAGGCTCAGAAACGAGGAAATCGGGGCAACAACGATAGATGACGACCACCAAAGAGCAAAAATGGATGTTGATGGTTCGTGAATTTATAAGGCATATTCTACACATGATGGGAGCAGGTGGGCAGATAATCATTCCTGAGCAAGCGAGCATACTTTTCCTGTAAAACAGAATCAGATGAATGTAGCAGAGAAATGTAAATTATTAAAAAGCAATTGCTTTGGTATTTGTCGTGAAAGTTGACCTAAATTACACAGAACATTGTATTTGTACATGTTTATCGTTGTCATCCGCTCGCGAGTGACTTGACCTCTAGCAATTCGCCTCAGAGGTATTTGGCTTCAGGATATGAAGTCTCCTGGGCCAATATAGATTATGGTTCCTTCTACTGCAACATCCGGTTGCTACAGCGGGCCTTGCCTGAACTCTTTCTGCTCGAGTTTCTCCCAAAACCTGGTCAGGTCGCTCGACTGTGTTGCCACTTGCTACAAACAATCTGTCCCAGGTATGACACAATGGCCTAATTCCCGTCTTGGAAAGTATTTGAATACATCAATGGGTCGTCGATGATCACTGCAGATATTGAATGCGCCGTAGGAGAGGGCGGCGGAACTGAGGATTTTCCTATCCTACATTCTCCGCCGAAAGACCGGTATGGCGCTCGTCACCGAAGAGATGGGTATCATCCACAAAGTCTTCTCCTTTGGTCGGGTCGAGGACCGGACGTTCTTATGATTTACTCTGCGTGGCCATTTCTTTTTCTTGGGCGTCTCGAGTATTCCAGCTGTCATATATCTCTAAACCGGACTATTAGCAGGTACCAGAGTTGTTCAGTTCTTGAGCCTACCAGCAACACAATATGGACATAACGTATGAGCTTTCTTCGGTCGTCCACAACCAGGGCACTCATTGACTGCTTTCACATCCTTCAAAGCCTTTCCTGCCAATTGTCGGTGTCTCTTCTTCATGTGTGATGTCTTCTTTTTGGGGACTGCTTTCAGTATCCCTTCCCATATATCTGAAACGAGACCGGGGATGTTAATGGCGATTGAGGGAATCGCGATGGATGCGGAGAGGATGGGCCGTGAAGACCATGATTGAATGGCTGTGGAGAATGTGGTTGCGCTTCTCCGGACAAGAAGGCCAGAGAGAGTGTTGCTGAGGACAGCGGTCGTTGATGCCATACTGAGGGTGTGCCTGCGGACAGTGGAATATTTGCAATTGTCGTCGTTGTGTTCGTTCGGCAACATTTTTGACGGCAGCTTCTTGAAGATCCTCGAGGCACGCTAAAGCCACAAGAAATACCTTGCTACTTTAAACAACTACCACTGCCGCTTTTACGAGACCTGATATCGCAGCCTCAAGGTCAAGATCTGTTGTCTATCCAATATTGGTATGTGTGAAATGCCTATTAGACCTCTTTGACATCTGAAATGCACGGGAATTCTCTCGAAGTCCCGGCCCAAGAGCTGAGTTGAGGCACATTCTTTTGTGCAAATTCAATGCAATATCATTCCCTGACCTCTTCTTCTTCTGGGAAAGGAAACCACTCATCGACTGATCCCCCGGATGGGATATCTACCAAAGGCTCCTACACAAAAAAGATTCAATATACAAACATGATTCGAAATACCACGGTAGGTGATTGAATCAGAGTTCGCCCTGACATCCAGCCTAGGAACGACTCTCCGCGACCCTCCTAGGCCGGGGACTGCTTTGACATGTGCCATGAAGTGTTTTTCCTCTTTGCTGGAAACGCCGTGTATCTTTCATCCTGCGGTAAACGCGTGGATCAGCTACTCCATCCCTCTGCAACGAATAGTTTCATGCATTGTCAAGCACCGAATCCAGCAGTTCCTTTCTCCCTATGAAGGTATTTATCCTCGGTTGACGAAGCGATCCCCGCGCCAGCCTCACGTCACCCAACGTCATTGCGCTTTTGCCCAGCTGTTTTCCTTCTTTGCACACAATGCAGCGGTTCCGCCTCAGGGACGACAATGCCACGTAAGTCAGTTCCTCCGCGAGAGGGGACTTTAATATTCAAACACGCGGGGTCTGCGGGGTGGTGGACGAGGACGAGCACGATCCACAAATATAGAGACAAAGGGGGATCACAATTGATCATGCCGGGTATGATTCAACAGCCTTATCCCTGCTACGGTCCCACAGGTGACATGCTGGTGCAGAGGGAGATAGCCTATGCTCTCCAGGTTCTTGAGGACCCTGCCTCTTGACTTGGAGTGATCCTGCTCATCCGGTCGCTGCCATTTGTCCGGTTGCCTCCCCACCCTTGCACGTATCTAACGAAGAAATGTACAAGCCGAAGACAGTGTGGCCTTTCTCCTCAGCGGAACCCTGGCCGATGATCACCGAGAGGAAACGGACTCAGAACGATGTCGACCTACTGCCGGACTCCCTTTGTTATAAGTAGATCGAGCCTGGAAGGTTGGTCACTTGTTGTTCTGCCACGCCCATAATCAAGAGTCATAGGCTCCAATTTCCTCCATAATAGGGTGACAATTCACTTTTTGTGGCAAGGTTGAGATCTCAGAGTGAACATGGGACTGTATACGGAACTACCAGGGGACCTCTACGATGTTGACGTGATTGTGGCTGGAGGTAAGGTGATGTTCCACATCATAACACCATGTCATTGACTTGCATTCAAAATGCTAGGCGGGACTGCTGGGTGTGTTGTTGCCGCGAGGTTGGCTGAAGCAGATCCAAACCTGAGGGTCTTGCTCATCGAACAGGGCCAGAACAATTATGAGAGGCCCGAAGTGGTGTATCCGGCTTTGTTCCCTGGAAACATCCTCACGGATAGCAAGACAGCATTGTTCTGGAAAGGAAACAAATCGGTTCAACTCGCGGACAGGGAACCTATTGTACCGTCTGGTGGGATTCTAGGTGGAGGCTCTTCGATCAATTGGATGGTCTATACAAGAGCGTCAAAAAGTGACCTTACTTCTTGGGCGACGCCGGGATGGTCAGCCGATGACCTTTACCCCTTTTTGAAAAAGGTATGACTCCTTCCAGTGTGTCGGTAGGTCGCAGGAACTTAACTTTGTGGACAGTTTGAGACATATCATGGCCGAGGAGAAAGGGAACACCATGGCTACGACGGGCCAATCAATGTCTCCAGCGGTACCTTCAGAGCCAAACGTGCCGAGAACGAGTTCATCGATGCTGCAGCGAAATTGGGCTATCCTGAATTCAAAGATCTCCAGAACCTTGATGCGAACAATGGCACGGAGCGTTGGCTTCGATACGTTGGACCTGACGGTAAGCGCCAGGATGCGGCACACCGCTACATCCACCCGAAGCTACAGAGTGGTCAATACCCAAATCTTCACGTCCTCGTTCAACACCAAGTTGTGAGGGTCCTGTTCAATGAGAACAAAAGAGCAGGTGGCGTGGTGATCCAAGCAAACCCCAAGTTTGAGGATGCTAGTCGAACAGCGCGTCGCGTTGTTCGTGCTACGAAGATGGTTGTTCTCTCGACAGGTGCAAATGCCACGCCACTCATTCTCGAACGCTCTGGCATCGGTCAGGCCGAATATGTCAAGCGTGCCGGTGTCCCGATGATTGAGGAGTTGGCCGGTGTCGGTAACGACTACCAAGACCATCACTTGACCTTGTATGCGTATCGCACCAGCCTGTCACCGCGAGAGACGATCAACGCGTTTGCCGACGGCCGCTTCAATGTCCAAGAGATGATCAAGAACAAAGACGAGCTCTTGGGTTGGAACTCGATGGACGCCTCGGGCAAATTCCGTCCCACGGATGCTGAAGTCGAGGCACTCGGGCCCGACTTTAAAAGGGCCTGGGAACGAGACTTTAAGAAGTTTTCGGACAAGCCACTCATGATCATTGCCATGTATTTGAGGTGAGACTGTTGGAAATTTCTGAAACTTACTTGACAAAAACTGACCCGGCGCAGCTTCTTCGGCGACCACTCTACACTTCCAGGAGACGCAGAATACGTGTCGATGGCGAATTGGACCGCTTACCCTTACTCTCGGGGCCATATTCACGTCAGTGGACCCGACTTGACAGACCCTATCGATTTCGACGTCGGCTATCTCAAGGACGTCAATGAGATCGACGTCAAGAAACACATCTGGGCGTACAAGACGCAAAGAGAGATATTCCGACGCATGGGTATCTTCCGCGGCGAATTGGCCTCCAGCCATCCCAAGTTCCCAAGTGGTTCAGAGGCACAAGTGGTGGAAAAGACCGACGGGCCGATGGCGGTGGACGACAACAAGAGGATTCAATATTCGGCCGAGGACGACAAGGCGATTGAGCAGCATGTCCGCGAAACGGTCTCCACCACCTGGCATTCTTTGGGGACGTGCAAGATGGCCCCTCGAGAGAAGAAGGGTGTCGTCGACGCGAGTTTGAGCGTATATGGAACCAAAGGCCTGAAACTCGCCGACCTGAGTATCGTGCCGGAGAATGTCGGTGCCAATACAAACAATACGGCATTCTTGGTTGGTGAGAAGGCTGCTGATATTTTCATTCGCGAGTTGGAACTCAAGGACAAGCCAAGGTTGTGATTTCAAACCCAACAACAAGTGCCGAATTTGAATCATGTTGAATTTGTGAGAGGATCAATCGAGTACACAAATCAATCAAGTTGGATCTACTATTCGTTCACATAGTTTGTTGTAACCGAGTCGATCAAACCTCTTTTTTTTCCCTCCCCTGGAATTACCCTTTTTTACGGAGTAATTGTGTATCATCCTGCCAGAGTCCTGTTCGTCTGAAGTAGTTTTCATCAGTAATTAGTTCCCGTCCATGACGAGAAGACGAGCAGAAGCGGGTGAAGTGTGGACTTTGTAATGTAGATGATGGGAGGGGTGGGGGTGGGTTGTGAGAAATGTGGAACGTCGTATACATGATACACATCGACGGCACATCTCAACCTTTGTTGGGTCTTGGTTGATCCCTTGAGCAAAGACAGAAACATGACCTTTTTTTTGGCCCGTCGTCTCCCCCATTTGCCGGTTACAACAAAAGACTGGTCCGGTGTGAGCCAACAATTTGTCACTATCCCACCAAGACGACGGCTCGGTCTGATGAAGTTTCCAAATTTGTGTAGGTAGGGACGAGATGATTCGACGAAGGAGAACGGGGTGCCTTGTGACGTACGGGAGTAAGTACATGTATGTATATATGTGGGTGTATAAGATAAAGATCTACAGTATGTCAATCGACATCCGTCCCGACTCGTTTGTTCATTCACCGTTCGTTACCGGGGTGATTAATAAAAAAGAAACCCCCACTTCTCCTCGAAACTTTTGGTCATGATCCAAGCGCCGGGGTCCCAACTCACGGACTCTGACAGGATGGTGAACGTGTTGGTCTGGTACAAGTCGTTCAAGAATTCTTCCTCGTCAAACATGCCACTCAGACGAATGACATTGTCCCTCATGCCGGGAAAGGGGAAACGGTCTATCCAGGGGATGTGGAGGACCGTCATTTGTGTCTTGCTGGGGTGCAAACTCAACGGTACCTTGGCCGTACACGGGGGTGACAGAATCGGGACCTGAATGCCACACCTCAACCCCAAGATGAGTCCGTTGTTGTGTAGAGCCGCAAACACCGAAGAGACGTGCCTGGTCAACAAGATCTGATCGGTCCCGATGTTGGGTGGTGTCGACGTGACATTCGTCGTCGTTGTGGTCGACGACGTCGAGGTTGATGGTCCTGTGGATGTCGTCGCCGTCGTAGATGATGACCATTGTCCGAAATTAGGTTGGACTGGAATATTGGACAGTCGAGGTGATGTTTCGGTGATTATTCCATACCGTATTGGTGTCGATGATTTATTCGTACTGATACCCGTGTTGTCTCGTGAGAGATGTTCGGGCTGATGGTTGAGAAGAGCACCTTGAAAGGCTGTAGGCACGATATCTTGTCCTCGATGGTGAGATTGGCGATGCTCCTGTTGTTGTTGTTGTGAACGATTTTCAGCTAAGCGTTTTCCTATCAACAACACATCATCTTGTATGAGTATTTCTCTTCGCCCTGCTCACTCGTACAAAATAAAACTAGACAAAGACTCATGGCCAAAGAATTGAAATTTCCCAAGGACCGGTCTTGTAATCATACTCACTTCTCGCTCTCTGCGCCAACCTATCTTGAATCTGTTTTCTCTTCTTGGGATCTTTGACCCGGGACCAAGAGTCCGAGTCGATTTCCACTGACCCTCGCATTTTGAGTTTGATTTGTTGTTCGTTTCAAATCACCACCACTGTAGGAGAAAAAAAAAGAGACCTAGCCTTGTCCTTTGTTTTTTCTGACTTCTTTCTGACTTGCCTGACTCTGTAGTGTCAGATTGAACAATCAGTCATAAAATAAAAAAGAAAGAGTCTCGGTGGGATTGACATATTCTCCATGCCGTATATGGTACCATACCGGATAAAGACAAGTTCAGGTAGTTTGTGCTTGTTGCAATGCTATATTCTGACCTTTTACTTACTGGTTTTACAGTAAATAAGTGTTTGGGAGTATTTTCTGACATTACATGATCCGTCCGTCCACGGCGCCCCCGATCACTAAATGCCGCTCTGGACAGGAATTTCGATCCAGTTACTGATCTCCCTGCAACAGCTACTCGTAACCCATCTTGGTTCTTATCTAGGCATTTCGTTACTATATACCATGTGTGCGAAAACCACAAAAAAACGCATACCAGCTTATGAAATCCTTTCAAAATATTCGATACTGCGTCATGACCATTTTACTCTCTTCCGTATATAGACACGTCTCAACTTTGGCAGAATGAAAATTCTGACATCAGTTCAACATTGTTACCCGTCTTGTGCGACGTTCCGATTTCATTAACAACTTCTTTGCTTTGCTTTGCTTTGCTTTGCTTTTCATACACCACCAAAAAAAACAAAATCGTTCATTATTCGTTTCAACATTAAAATTTCATTAGTTTCCCAAGAACACCACCCCTTGACTGACTTCGTGCGGCCACATCGAATTCGTCCTCGCCCGGACGACGGCGGGAAATGTTAGGGGGTGGGAGAGCGGCGTCTTCCTCATCATGGTTGTGGCAGCGCCCGCGCTTTTCAACGATGTCGTGCCCCCGAACGGGCCATGGCTCGAACAATGCAGTATTTCGGGTCGACCTCGCAGGTTCAATCGACACACGACCCCAGCCGTCGTCACCAAAATCTGCACTTGAAGGTGTCTTGATCTCGGGCGACTTTTTCCACACCCTCTCGGGAGAACCCAGTGATGTATAGCTACCCCTCCTCGTCGACTCGGGTTTATCAGGATTTTTGATCGACGTTAGGTCTGACGACGAACGAAGCAGATGCCGTTGGATTTGGAGGAACTTCTGTGGCGAGGTCTTGGTCTCTGCAGCAGGAAGGGGAGTGGTCGACCGTGATAAATTTTGAACGTTGAGCATGGCCTTTTCCTCCGGATCACGTACGACAGACAACGTCCCAAAGTGTGGGGTGGGATTGACTGGCTTCGACGATATTATTGCCGAAACGCCCGGGCCCTCCTCCGTTGGTGGCGTGAGTCTTCTACTGTTTCGCAGCGGAATCGGTGGAGTCTTGCTTCTGATCTCTTCCGGTGGCGTTCGTTCCGGCATGTCCGGAGCGACGGAAGAGGTTCGCGTGCTACGGAGAGGCTCCTCGGCATCGGGACTCGTAGGTATTCTTCCTTGAACATCGCTCAGATGTGACTGACCCCTGTCAAAGCTTGTTGGCGACATCAGTCGGAAAATGGAAGCTAGAATGTCACTCTTGCTTGTCTCATCCTCCGTTGTCCTGTAATACCTTTGATGAACATGCGGCTGGCCAATGATGGAGGGATCATTCAGATATTCCTCGAAATCAACTGTATCCGAGGACCTTGAGATGGTGGATTGTCGGTTGTCAGTCCCAAGATCTAGATTCTGCAAATTCGAACGTGAAGATGACGTCCCGGTTCGTGGATCGTCTGCCTTTCTTTGCACCTGGTTGTCAGGCATCTCAAAGATAGGGGCCGTGGAGTCCGCCAGGTCTGCGGTATGGATAGTGGCAGATCGCAACTTCGGCAGAGGCGAATGTCTCTGTAGTGGGAATTCATCAGATGCGTCACTTTCGTATGCATGCCGTGAATGACGTTTCGATCGATTTTTCTGAACTTTGTAACTGGCAGCTGATGGGCTATTCGTGACATTCTCAAGACGCGGAGGGGACATTGCAGGTAACTCTGGAAGTGCTTTTGTCAGGTCGACTACCTTGCGACGAGAAATGGGTTTCTCATGGTGAGCAGGAAATGGCGACCGGGCATGATCATGTTTTGCTGAAGATGTAGAAGCCGAAACATGCCGTGGGTACAACTTCTCCAGCCCAGGCTCTTCTTCTTCCTCTTCTTCATCTTCATCGTCAGAAGAGTCAATAAAGCTCGTGGCCCCACGATTGTACGAGTCACTTGACTTTGCTGTTCGTGGAGGTGGTCTTGCCGGGTCGAGTCGAGAAGACCTTCCTTGCAGGGCTGGCGCCGAGTCACAACGGGCAGGCACAGGCCGAAAGGCTGGTAGGAGGGAGACTGGTTTGGACGAAGAGGAACGAGCGTATGGCATGGACTTTCTGTCCATCTGCGGCCCCCCTTCGTTCAGTGGAGGTAGGAGGTCGAGAAATTGTTGTAGCGAGAGGAGTGGTTCGACATGCTTTTTGGTTTTCTTTCCAAGCTCGTGCTTACGGATAGGCCTGACGTCCGGACGTGGTTCGTAATGGTGTGCGTGCGAATACTTTGACCGCGCACGAGAACCAGCAACTCCATCTTCTGCCACATCTGCACGTGGTTGATGTGATTCCTGCCAGGGAATCACCCACGGATCATTTTCGGAAGGATCGGTTCCAAACAAACCAGGTTTTGGTTTCGACCAAGGTTTTATTCCGGCAGCTGATTGATAAGGCTGAGAATCCTGGCCATGGCTTGAGACCGCGGGAGTCTGTGCTGCGACCCCACTACGATGGCCGTAGGAGCCTCGTCGAGCTTGTTTTGAGATAGTGTTGGACGACTCCGTAGATTTGCGGATTGAAGCTTGTTTTTGTTGTCGTTTAAGCTGATGCGGAGTCGACAGTGACGGCGTTGCTGCACTCGCCTGATTGACCGCCGTCGACTCTCCATTCCGAGATTTTGGGACAGATGAAGAGGACGTCCCAGAACGGTCATTGCACTCGGCATTCGACTTCTGGTTGCTGGGAAAGTTGAGAATGCCACGACTAGAATAAGTCGCCAACACGACCGTGTGTGAGTATTTCCCCGGCATTCTAGGGAGGTTGTCAATCGATCATTTCTGAGAACTCTGGGGGCGTGCAAGGGAACAAAAAGAAGGAGGGACAGAAATGATGAATCAGAAGTTGGGGATACACAAAATACAGAGCACGGTCTGGAACCACATGGCGGCTGGTACCGCCGCATTTTTTTTATGTCAAACTCCGGTCCTTGGAGAGCAAGAGACGAGGAACGCGTGGAGTGACTTGAGCAAGCCACAAAAGGGACAAACACTGCCAACTCGAGACGAGTACGAGAGATGATGGCCTGGCTGAGCGAAAACAGCCACGGCAGAACGCAAATTACGAACGGGATCCACAAAATCAACGACGATGTGATCGTTGAAGAAGACGCTAGAGTTCTGATTCTGGACAAAACAAACCATTTTCGTCGGCTTTGACTAGACTTGTCGGTGTAGTCCAGACAAGAACAGAAATGACAGTCCATCAGTCTACGGGAGCAGACACAGCTTCCCGCATATGGCGAGATCTTGGAGACAGCGGGATCGAGGAATCCTTGTTTGTCCGGGGGCGCCGGTTGAAGCGAGAAATGGGCGACTAGACGGGTAGATAGTCAGGGGCCGGTGCGACCTTCTTCATATTCTCCGTAGTGGGAGCCACAATTCTCGAGATTGGCTTGAAGTTTGTTCGTAAGGCCGGGGGACAGGCTATGGACGTGTACAGGAGAGGATGTGAACATTGGCATCATTTCCTGACGTTGATGAGGGTGATTTTGATGTGATAGCGACAGTCATGATGATGATGGTCATGATCCTCCGTACCTTGAGTCCAAATTGATGAAGCTCCGTAGTTCGCAATAAATGTCAACGGACTGCGTTCCTCGGGCTCGCTTAAGCTTCACCTCGGAACTCTAGACGCGAGGATGTTTTCATCTCGCTCCGTACGTACATATGTGACCAAGAACTCATCATCCTTGTAACCGGAGCGACAAAGTGTACTGTCCAGTACATTGTTCGCTTAGAGGGTGGAATGAGTGTGAATAGTGTGATCAGCCCATCGTTAGGCCCTGCAATGGCTGGCGTCGAAAGGGCCAAAAAGGTCTTCAGTCTTTGTTCTCCGTGCCTTGTCCTGGCTTAGAACGACGCCCCCAAAAACGCCTCTACACGTTCGAGACCTCGATTAGTCCGAGTTGAGATTTGCCACGTGGTATGAACAAAGTACTGTACTCCGTACCTTGCCGTCGAATTATTCTGATGAAATGAGACACAAAGTACTGTGTTTGACAGTACGGAGCATCTTCTGATGTACTCCGTACCTTCCCTAGGTGTCCGGCGAAATTCTACAAGGGGATTTATCCGCTACAACTAGAAAGACTTTCCTTGTACAATCACAGCAACGACGACAAGCATCATATACTGACCAACTACTTCCATTGCCTTCATCCTCCCTTCTCTCCAACCAAACTCGATTCAGATTCATTTATTCGTGTTACCATGTCCATCATCTCCTCTGCTACTCGTACGAAATCCTTGGTCCGCCCTACAGATGGATCAACGCACCCATACGGCAACCAAGGATCCCTTTTCTGCCCTTTTCCACTTTCTACTCGTACCTATACGTGGCTTTTGACAGTGCAAAGACCATCTCACCCATCGATCCGCGTCGAGAAGGAGAGCTAGAATTTTATCTGTCGGGTTACTCTACATTCCTGCATAGAGGAACAAAATAAAATACTACTGCTGAACACACAAAAACAGAAAGGAAAATAGCAAGAAGCCAAGAGAGGACAGAAGGAGTATAAAAGGTAATTCCCAACCATGTTTTGTAAAACATGTACATCCATGATGCAAGGTAAGTAAGAATATGATCCAATTCCCAAACGCCGCATGCATGTTTCATATCTCATAGCCGCATCTTGATCCTCAAAATGCTCCCGTTCAATTCATTTCCTGTGGTACACTCAAAGAAATTCTTAGGTCCCTCCGTTTTATAACCCCGTATAGTACGCCGCCTCTGATCGTTTCGTGATCCCAACCCATTCCGTACAATTTCTCTTCCAACACCTCGTCCAACCAAGTCCCTTATTGAGATGCCAATAGTGGTGAATGGTATACGCTTTGATATGGTGGTTCAAACACAAAAAAGAAAAATGCCCATTTGGTTGCTCGTTTCCGACGTCTCATTCACCCTCGTGGAAACTGCCGGTTTTCTTCTTTCCTCCTCCACCGAAAAGCTTCATGGCCTTTTTCCATCCACTTCCGCTTTCGCTCCGATGTGACTTGCTCGGATGGAGCGAGGTACCGCTGCTGCCGTGGCTGATACTTGCCATACCGAGGTCACTCGTAGGCGGCGTTGTCGGAGGTGTGATGGACGAGTCGTGCTCACCAGGAGGAGGGCTTTCGGGTCCGCCACTGCTATCCGTCAAGGCACTTTCAGAAACGGCTGACGAGTGCGAAACATGCGTTGACAGTCGATTGCCACTCTGACGACCCAGGGCGGACGATAGAGTAGAAGTGCGGTTATGCTGCTGAGGTGGTGATCGAGATGGTTGAAACGAGGCATCTGAGGTGTTTGGAGGGGACCGCCGCCGTCGTGACGCATGACGGTGCATCGTGCGTTCGTCAAACGTTAATCGCGCGGGTTCCAGATCGCCGTGGCCGGCATACTCTGACATGGCGTTGTAGGTTTGTGCATAAGGCAAATGCTTGAGGCTGTTGCAGAAAGGGATGAAAATGGATTCCGACATTAGATCGAACATTCGCCGTACCGCTGGATCCAGCTTTTCGGGTAGGGGAGGCCTGACTTCACAACGTTGCCGCACGAGGGCGTCACGTTCTTCAGCCGGTAGATTGATTTCGCGAGGCGAGCCAGGCCTAACGTAAATATCAAGCATTCGAATCCAATCCTGGATCAGATCCCAGCCTTGCTGTGTGTCGCTCGTTAAGGGCATCCCAGCCAAATGCGCAGAAGCCTCGTCATACTTCTCGCCATATTTCTTTGCTTCGGTGGTGAATTCGAGTGTTTCTAAACAGTGCTGCTGTGATAAAAATGCTGTGAAAGCGGCGAGGGTATAGGGAGATGGCGCTGTATTGTTGAGCACATCCTCCAGTGTGGGTCTGCCGGGCGACAAGAGGCCTTCCCTCCGAGACACCATACTGATGGGCCGCGCCCGTACCACATCTTCGCCCGACATGTCAAGTTCCTCCTCAGAAATATCGTCCAGAATATAGATAGCAGGCTCAAGTCGAGGTGACGGTTCAGGTGTAAATGGCCAGGCTTTGATTAACAACGGCTTTTTCCTAACCATTGCGCTGAACTTCGACCTGAGATGGCCTCTGCGGAAAGGGAAAACGAGTTGTCAAATCTTGAGTATGACCGCTATATTCCACCTGTTTCGCCTCTTTACCAACGACGATACTGGGATGTCGTGAAGAATCCTTGAGCGCGTAAAGACTGGTATATTATTAAATTGGCGTCCACGTCCTTGTAGCGGTGTATATCGGGTGTCAAGCTCTGCAAGACTGGGAGTGTTGGTAAAATGAATACCCGACGCTCTTTCAGTCGCAAGCAATCGTTTCGTACGACAACAGGACGTTGTGTCACCGCTCGCCAGTCCAGACGTTCAAGTTTTCTGGACACTAACGCTGCTGTCAAAGAGGAGCGAAGTTCTGAGTGGAAGAGAGGCAAATCGAGGTTGGTCAAGCCGTCAATTGGTTCGTGGAGGATCGGTCGTGTGGTTGTTCGATGGTTGCTCTAGAAGCCTGTCAAAGACGTGGTTGGAGCGACGTTGGAATGTTTTGAGAGTGGTCAGAACCCAAGAGTCACCTCAGGTGAGATTGGTGGGCCGGGTATCGCAGCCGTATGATGTCGCTTTGTCGACTTAAAGAGCGACTATGGGATTGATGGACAGTGGTAGGGCAAGCCTTAAACCGAGCACGAGCATTCGGCTAGGAGGGAAGAGAAGGTTCGCGGCAAGATCTCACAGACTCCTCCTAATATTGGACGTTGGGCTTAGTGAGATGGTGGTGGCTCGAGCACAGTCATGGCGAAGGGAGAGATTACGGAGGCTGTTAGAAAACCCAGGAGGAATTCCACAGCTTTGGACAGAAAGGCTTGTGTTTCGAGGTGCGCCTTGTTTGAAGCTGGTTCAAGGAAGAGTCATCGTTGGAGCCAGGAACAGTAGTAGAAGGAATTGGGCGAAAAAGGCAGCTCAGTCTAGTTTCGCAGCCAAGGTCGGGCCTCTTAGCCAGGCAGGCAGGCAGATGAGGTGACAGTGGTGGTGGAGGGTGGATAGTAGTGATCGGGACTGTCTCATCAGGTAGGAGGAAGAGAGGGTACGCCCAAGGACGGAGATTATTTGGGAGCTGGCTTGAATCGGTCAGGTCAGGTCAGACTTTTGCAGAACAGTCACGACATGCATGGTACCCCGTAGATGGGAATGGATTGTGTGCGATCTAGTGGCCCAAAGGCCTTTCTCGATGGAGGTGAGAGGAGGAGCAGGGCGCAGGCACAGGCTTTGGCGCAGTTTGCAGGCTTCGCACGGGCTGCAACGTTGGCCACTAGCCTCAGGAGCCTAGTTGAGCCTAGTGGCGATTCTTGGGCTACCATTGGCTGCGGGAAGGGCAGATGATGATCAGATTCGAGACTAAATCGTGGCAGAAAAGAGTAGGACAGAGCCAAAAAGAGGGGGCGCAGGGCGTGACGGGTAAGCGAGGATTACCCATTGCTACATCATTCACCTGGATCCGTAGCTAAGCCCATGGAAAAGCAAAGACCCTCTTTCAGGGATATGGGTATCACGAAAGCAGTTCTCCTTGATGCACTGTAAAGATTTTACGGAATGCTATCGCACAGCAAAAACACCAACAAGGACAATGATGGGGAGTAACGAGAGCAAAAAGGATCGTGAAAGGTGCCTGGACAATGATGACGAGGGGCAGGGTGATCTCTCCGGTGATCCTTTTTCTAGGCGGCTTCTACGCTTTCCATCATCTTTCTAGGCGACTTCGGTGCTTGTTCTCGGGCTTCTACGCGGCTTCCAGAATGATTTGTGTCTGTCCCGATCATCAGGCTGTCAATCTCGATAATCTTGCGGTTGACACACGTCTGAAATTTCTTGGTTAATACTGAGTCCTCAAGTACAGTACCTTTTTGTGATTCCCAACATTTACAATAACAGCCTTGGTATTGTAGCCACCAGCATCAGTGGTCTGCTTTTGCCAGGAATGACTCGGTCGCTGTTCATATTATTACCACATCATGGCGAATTCTTAGCACATCATCCGCCCCGCATAATATGCATTACCTTGTCTGTCTCAGGTAGCGACATTCCAGCTTCATATCCTTGCACTATTATTACGGTTATCCAGAAAATATGCTTCTGCCTTGACCCGTCGTCACCACCATCGTGAAACACTCTTCCTCATCGGCGCCACATATTCAACACATCGTGTTATCATTGCTCGCCTGAATCATCACCTCATTCTGTGCTTCGTATTCGCGCCACGTACGGAAGTGTTTGGTACGAGTACGGCTGTGCTGTTTCCCACTGTCCGGGTCAGAGGGCTGAAACTCATTCCTTCGGGGACGTTTCAGCCCTTCCGACTGGTTCCTGCGTAAGCAAGGGTACGATCAAGGTACGCCTTCCTCTAATCATTGCCGTGTCCGGCCCAAATAGCGCATATCATTGATGACACGGATTTGGAGACACCATGAGCACAATAAGGACTGGCCAGGAACAGCCCACGTGCGACACAGAGAATGTCTCGACATACTGTTTGCTCCCTCTGCTAGAGGGAAAATTTTCATCATTCTGGCCACCACTCCGTACAGTACAATTTGGTCGGGGTGGAGCATTATTGACAGCGTGTGCGACGTTGATCCGCTGTGGCAGGTTGCACTGCTTGTGGCCACGAAATTTCCCTCGCCCATGGATGGACATGTGCAGCAAGGACATTATTTCACGGGTGTTTAACTCCTGGACTCCCCGTTACCCCAAAACGAATATCAACGTAATAGACTATTGCTCCGTAGAACCCTGTAGTTGCATATTCTTCTGCCCATCAAGCTGACAATCCTTTCCAGCCTTGGAAAATGGGATGCATGCTATTTCAGCGAATAGTAGTGCTCCAGTCCATTTACAGTGGGAGGCCTTGATGAACCAACAGTCAAACTTGCATTTGTTGATTGACTGACGTCTTCCAAGCTTGCAAATTGACTGGCGGTCAAGACCAACCCAATTCTCCTTTCATCGCACGATCGGCTACTTTGCTGCCCGCCTAGGATCCAAAGCTTGTGATGCTTATGATAGCGTTCAAAGCTTTGACCACTGCAGAGAGAGAGAGAGAGAGAGAGAGAGAGAGAGAGAGAGAGAGCGATTACCCAGTTTCAAGGACATTCCAGAACCTTGCCCAGATTGGCAGTCTGTTTGTAAATGGCTCTTCAGCTCTCTGTGATGGAAAAAAATCAACCCCCTTGCAATCTGGGCGCCTGCAGCCATCAAACATTCTGTTCAATGCTCCAACCAAACACTGTGAGGTGGCATTCATCAAAAATTGCCCTACTCCGCTACAATTGTATTGTACAATAGGATACCAAGGCACGCTCCGTGCCTTATTCGCCTGCCATAAATGGACGCATCCGTTCTAGGTAGCACCCTCGCATACCACATCTCCACCAGGTATGTGACAGTCGACGCTATTGACGTGGAAGCGAAGTTTGCTAGTCTGTCTCTTCACTTGTCCTTCTTATCCTCAGAGGCAAGTTTTACTCGGATCCGGCGTCCTTGGCCATTGACTAAGTTTGTCGCATCGAGATCCCAGCCGACTTGTTGAGCTTGATTTCGGACCTGCTGCCACTCTTCATGAACCTTGTACATAGAGGACACGAGCACATTCGAGGCCTCAGACTTGGCGGCAGTCGAATCTTGTTGAACCTTGAGATCTCTGGTCAAGGGCAGATTGCCACGCAAGCATAGAACCAGCTGCCAGAAGCCTTTTAATTGAGCCTGAGCTGTCGCTGTTTCTTTCAGCACCATGACACCCTTCCTTCTCTCATAATCAACCCAGAGCAGGTACTCTTCCTTCGCGAAGATTTCAACCACATGGTTGAACTCCATAAGTGCATCAGATTCGCTCCTCAATGATGTTTGCATGAAATGCAGGAAGGAATTCAAATCAAGACCAAGTTGAAGGTCCATCCCATGATTTGTTCGTCTGAGCACCGATTCCTGCTCCCCCACTACATCAGGAGTCATGATCCGGCCATCGATCAAGTTTGTGAAGAAAATTGCCGCTCTTTCACTGTTTAAAGAGTTCAAGCGGACACTTCTCACGGCTTGCCAATTGGCCCATAGATGTAGCATTAATAGAGGCACCAGAAGAGACCATGTGGCCTTTGTTCCGTGGACTTTGCTGACAACCAGGCCGCCTGCCCACATTCCTACTAGACTAATGACAGTCTCTTGACTTCCATCTTTCGCGTTCAGCTCACCTATATTCCCTGCTTTGGCAAAGTGGGAACTCAAGATAGCCTTACTGCTACCACCAGCAACTCCACACATTGCTCGACATGCGTTGCTGATGCAGAGCGTCAACACCCGTCCGAGCAGAGGCATAGCAGGACTCATGCAGTCTAGCACGAAAGCAATGTCATTGACAATGTCAGCAAAGAATCGATAGAATTTGACTTCGGCTTCGATACGCTGAGAAAAACGATGAGCAAAGAGGATTGTAGCAACTCGGCCAATCGTTTCCTGAGCGATGTATAGCAACATTGTGGTGACTAGCGACGCATCCTCGGATCCAACACCCATGCCGACGAACACGGCCCTTGACGCCAGCAGACCAGCAATAGTGGAGGCGAATGCTTGTACCGAGTCCCAGATCTGATAAGGAGTGTAGTCAGGGGTCACCGTGGAAGGATAGCCAGCTGGCAGAAACGGTGATATGCATCTCTGAAGAATTGAGCGTGATGTGATGGAGGCGGACTTCTGGGCTGATTGTCTTCTGACACGGGCTGTAGCTGGGTCGAGTTGGTAGACGACCGATGGGAGACCATCCTCATCGAGCTCAGTAATAGATAACTTATGCGTCCATTTGGTAGTCATCTCGGGAAGAAGTACCTAGAATCCGTGAACGCCCCGACGTCGATAAATGTATTGGTCGTTCACTGAATGTCTAGTAGTCAACTTTGGTCGAATCGTTAGATCATTTTGTTTGATCAAGTCCAAGTACACTCAGTTAGGACTTCTTAAAATATAATCTGGAGCGTTTGAACAAGACAATTGTGCAACTCTGGATCTGTACTTTCAAAGTGGCCCTTGTGAAACGTTACGGGATTTGAAACAGACACTGGTGCCACTATGCTCTTCTGTATAAGTGCGTAGGCGGCTAAATAATCTGCCGTACTTTCCAGCTCACTCACGTGATGGGCAGTGCGACACCCTCAATACGTCTATCACTCTTTCACGACATACTTGCATCAGTCGCTAATCAACCGTGAATTCGAGATTGCCAGTCTAGCGACGATGATGCGGTGCCACAGATCCATCAAGCGTTCCGTTATCTCATGAAGATGTCACTTTAATCAAAGTCGAAAGAAGGAACAGAATGTTTGCATCAGATCTATGCTTTGCGACACTGACGAACATGAGCAACTTTACGTCTTTCGCAGAGATTTCGAGGCGTCGACATCCATCCCACTATAGCGTTGTATCGAAAAAGTGCTGAAGCATCCAACATGAAGCTCATGCAATGTAAGGCAGTTGCAGAGCAGTTCCTGCCTTTTCCTCTGACTACGTGCTCCTCCCCCCTCTTCCCTGCGTTGATTCTTTCCTTGCCATACCTACGTGGCATTTCTCTATCATGACCATACTGTCAGATCCCTTTATTTGCTTTGCTTCTCTCTTATTCCTCGAAAGAGCATTCCCTCAAATCGCTTCCGAGAACTAACAGTCTAGCATCGCTTCCCCTCTCATCACGTTTTGAATTTACATTTTACATGCTATTTACAATGCGAACCGTTAAGAAACTATTGTCTCCCCTATTATCGTGCTTCGGCGTCCGCAGCCATGGGGATGAATATGAAGCATCCGACCTCAAGTCACTTCCCAATCCGGCTTCGGCTTCGTCAATGTCCCTCCCTGCAAATACCGTGCCCCATTCGGTTGGTCACTCGGGTTCCCATACTACGGACACAGATGCTCTACGGCAGATATTTAGGTCATCTTCTTCCGTTCGAGGCTATCAGACAGCTCTGAGACCACATGAACGAACACACCAGAGAGAATCCTCATTCGATGCTGATTTCAAATTCGGAACAAAGCGTTCTGATGATCAGAAACAGCCAGGCCGTATCGAGCAATTGGGCAAACACATCAAGCAAAAATTGTCAGAGTCGGGGGTGAGCAAGAGCAGCTCCAAATTACAAATCGGCTCTGACGATACGGTTCGGGTATCCAAAGTACCCCAACCAGCACCATTGGAGCCGGAGCATCAAGAGGCGGCCCTGAGTCAACGTTCAACGGGTCTTCTAGAGCTACTCATGTCTAGGTCGGGCAGTGAAGGTGGCTACGACAGTGACGCCAAAAGTATTCAAACGACAATGCTAAAATGTAGTGACGCGACCCTCAAACTCAGTCCACAAGCAGCAGAGGCGCTACTACATCCTTCTTCTAGAAGGTCATCCATCAAGCATGATCTGGCAGGAGGCTCTCCTACGAAGCCGACCTCGCGTCCCGCTCTTGGACCTCCATTACCTTCCGCTCCTCCTAGGTCAACATTCTTGGTGGATGGACAGAGCGATGCTCCTGGCAGTCTCTCGAGGCAGTCATCTGATGTCGCTGATAACGCTGTCGCCAAACTACATCAACTCCCTACTTACGAAACTCCTCCATTAGATACAGCTCACCCCGAATCTGCTTCCTTGAATCAAGACAAAAATAAAGATAGCCAAGGAATGTCAAAAAGGATGGGTGATTCAATGGATGGGGAGAAGAGAGACAGCGTTGTTTCAACGACAGACAACAACCGAAACAGCTTGATCTCCAACCTAGACACCAGCTTGATTAACGCGATCACTCAGTTTGGCGAGCGCGATTCTACGGAAATTAAAACTTCCACAGAGGATAAACCAAGCGCCACCTCGGATCAAGCAAAACCGACTCCTAATATTTCGTCCTCCCCTCGGATGGCCACTATGTCTAGCAAAGATGATGTATCAGGCAGATATATGACATCCGTGGACGAGTCTGACTGCGATTCCATCCATCTCTACAACATGCGGATTTCTCAGAGGTTGGCAAGCCCATCATTTATTGCTGGAAGCTCCCGTCCAGATACCAGCCACACCACTATAATTCGATCCAACAAGAACTCGATGGAATACTGTCCGACGACACACTTGACTTCGCCATCCAGTCGCATGCCAGGCACTACAACTTCGGAGCACAATCGCCTGCCGTCAGATCCACAAACAATGCGACTTTTTGAAAGCGAGTCTAGTCAGGATATACCGCGACTGGTATGGAGACCTAGCACATCCAGTACTTATGCCCCACAACTCAGAGGTTCGCGACCCATTGTGAGCCGAGGAGACTCATCTTCCTACTATTGTAGTGATGACGAGGCTGCTGATCTGGATGAACCACACAGTGGTGTACCGCGAAGAAACCCGAACAGCATCGCAATCGGGGGCAGGTCAGAAACTGTCAGCTTTCCTCTTCGATCGTCCTATCCTAGCTTGGGTAGCTTGTCTGTTGCTGAGGAGAGTGCATGGTTTGGCAGGCAGTCGTTACAGCAGCAACGAGATGCTTTTAATGAGGACAAACCAGGTCCATTACTCAGCCACCACAGAAGCGTGAGCATGCCAGGCAGACCTGCCGAAGGAAGAAGACATCTGCGCAACGCCTCTGCAAGACGGACGCGGGCCCTCACCGAAGCTAACGAAGCTTTAAGTGTAATCAGTTACGGCGAGCTCCAGGATGCCAGAAGAGAACAGCTCACGGAGATCAGTGCGCAGGAAGTTCACGACACATGTAACGAGAGACTGAGTGAAATCGAAATTCCTCGACGACGTAGGCCAATCAGGTCAGAGAGTGATTCTGGAAGTCCGTGTCGACCATTGTGGTCAAGACCACGACAATACTCGACAGCTTCCGACATGCCGTCTACTGATCGATGCAGTAAGCCTATCTTGGATGAATCAACAACTGACATCTGGAGGAGAACTCTCAAACGAGCTTTAGATGAGCCGACTGATGACTCCATGGGTGGCTTTCTCACAGCACCCAAATTTGATCGCGATGGAAGGAGGAGAAATCGAAGGTCGAGTCTCAGTACGGACAACTCAAACCCGGAAGTTACTAGTCATATTCTGGCAGTAGAAAAGGGGCCAACCCATGTAATTCGATCACGGCAACGACTCTCTGTATCGGAAGAGATACCACGAACCAATACTGAACAGCACGAGGTTACAGCTAGCGAGACACATTCAGTAGCTCCAGTCCTTTTGGTAGAGAAGAAACGGAAAAAGAGCATACTAGATTTTGGAAAACGTTTTGCGACACAAAACCTTGCAGAAGACGAGCCTGGAAGCTCGAGCTCAAGCACACCATTGAAAGATCTGCTTGGGGTTTGGAGTCGCTTCCCAAGTCATACCAGAAATGAAAGATGTGGATCAGCAGGGCGCAAAGATGGTGTCATAGTTGAGGATTTTGCCAAAGACCAATCAAATGATGTTTGTCCTCCGAGATCGACGCCCACAACGACATGGAACAGGTCTCTGACACCCCTAGGGATGTATACTCCTGGTGGATCACTGAGAAGATTACCTTTCGGCCGCAAACATCGTATGGACAAGGGAAAGACGAAGAGTATGCCCCTTCCGCGCAGTGCCAACCAGAACCTGGTAATTCGAGTAAAGAAAGGCCGCCGAGGCCTAGTTGGAAGGTGGAAGAAACTCTACAGGAGCAGCAGCTCGGATTTCAAAGCGTATGTCGACCACTATGGGCATCGAAGCAGTATTAGCCTTGGTGCGAACGCCAGAAACCCGGACCTTGAAGTTATCCCAGGTCTAGAACACTTTCGAGAACAGTCGAGCAAGGACGGAAGCGACTCCGCCCCATTTGAAAACTTCACATCATCGGCCAAGGGTGAACCAGCGCCTTCGAACTCTGAACCGTGGGCACAAGTGTATAAAGACTGTGTCGGTAGTCTTTCGGCGCTCCGAAGTGATGCTGACATACGCAGTATGAGTGAGTGGACGGACCAAGTTTGTTGTGAAGGCAATGAGACGATGCATAGGCTATTAAGCTCGGAGCTTCGAGACAGTACTACCAACTTCGAGGCTCAACTTGGAGAAGAGTTGGAAATAGCCAAGAAAGGGCTGTTGAGGAAGATTGAGAATAGCAGTAGAGGGCACAGGCTGGAAATATCAAGTATTCATTTGAAGCAGGATTGAGTGAGGTTGAGGCAACACACGGTTGGGCCAGTTTGCGTGCGTCGGGAACGGGAGAAGTGTATAGTGATTAGGAATGATGGAGGAACATTGGAACCGAACTTTACAGAGCATGATTACAGAGGACATGGAAGTGTATGGAAAGTATCCTTTGGATTCTATGTTTTGTTAATGTGACCAACTGTCATGACCATGGTCAATGGCACATCCGCCTCATTTTTTTGTTTGTAATTAGAAAATAATGCGCATAAGCAAAAAAGCTCGTTAAGAAAAAGTCAAGGTCGATCCTGAAAAGGAGAAGAAGCATTCCTTCTGATGGGGTTTTCCTGAATTGAGAGACAGAAAAATTCCCATTCCCATTCCCATTCCCATTCCCATCATCCTGATAGGATGATTGAAGCCTCCTTGCTTGCACACTGGAACTGCGCAACAAGGGGGTAGTTCAAAACCCCAGTTTCAATTTTGGATGGGTTTGGCGTGATATTGTTGAAGGGAAAAACGTCGTGGACATATTGAAAAGTTGGAAAGAAGAAACCAATGCCGACTCGGTGTTTGGTCTGGAATGAACAAAGTTGACTTCTTGAAGACCCATTGGCGAGTGAGCGAGATTGACCATGACTGGGGTTGGTTTTTTTTGTATCCAGGCTCTTGACCGAGCACAGGTAGAAAAGTGAAAAGAAAAGAAAGGGTCGATCAGTCGATCAATCAGTAGGTCGGTCAACGAACGTGTGTGATGACAGTCGAGACTCTTTGTTTTGCGTTCGAAACAAAATGACGAGACTTGTTGTAAACCATCTTGCAATGCTGGAGGAGCAGAGAATCAGGGTTGTGGGTTTTGTTTTTCACAACAAAACCCAAGCACCGATGGCCAAAGAGACCAAACCGGTACAGGTGACAAGGACCAGACCCTTGACCGGAGGGGTGACTTGGGATGCTCCGGCGACACCCGTGGGTGAAGCGACTTGGTTCTTGTTGTTCCGAGCTTGAGTTTGACTCGAAGAAGCGTTGACGACGAGAACACCAAGAGTGTGACCTGCCGACGTGACCATGGACTCGAACACGGACCCGTGAGGAGTTGGAATGACAGCCACCGAGGTGGACGTCGATGTCATCATGGCGTGGGTCGACTTCGATGAAGATCCACGTGTGGTCGTGGTGTTTTGCCAGATTCCAGTCGGAGATGCGGTCGTCTGGTTGTCGTTTCTGTCACCAGTGTGTGCAGCAGAGACTGCCGGGGTGTGACGCGAGTGTGGTCGTGGCAAGGTGGCATTGATCTTTGTGACCGGGACTGTAACGAGTGCAGTATGTGTTGAAGTCACGGTTGTCGAGTTGTGGCCCTTGCCGTTGCCACCATTGGCACTGACCACGGAAGTAGTGGAAGTCTCGGTACAACGAGTTGTAGTCGTTGTAGTCGTAGTCTTGTTCTGGACAACAACGGAAGAGGTGTGAGCCTCGGTGACGGCGACATTTGCGTGAACCGAACGGAAAAGAGTCAACATGCGCACTGCATACTTGAAGAAAACCGGAGCTTGGGCGCGGCCGACGGCAGCATTGGCGGGTAGATTTTGTTGACTCTCGGGGGAGATGGTATGGCCACTCATGTTGGTGGTGAATCCTCCGGAGGTGGTGGTCGTCGATGATAGGAGAATGCCAAAGGGGGCGGTCGGGGTCAAGGTTGCTGCGGTGAATGTTCCGTTGGTCATCAGCGGGAAGAATGCTGTCCCTGTTCCCGTACCAAATCCTGTACCGAAATCGACGCTGACGCCAGTCGGAGCGACAACGATATTCGGGTCGGAAGATGTAATGGCAGTGGCCGTGTCCGTACCATTGTCGACGACGGTGATGGTCGTGGTGGTGGTGCTTGCTTCACCATTGTCGGTTGACGACAGAGACAACAACCCCAGAGTACCCGTAGTGTGAGCCACAATTGTGGTGTCGTGAAAGGTGAAGGTCGAGACCGTGATGTTCTTCGGATGGACCGTCTTGAGAGGCAGAGGGTGCGCAGTCACAGTGGGCAAGGGAGAGAAGGAGAGATTGACGGTGTGAGTGACTGTCACTGTATAAGGCCAGAGATGTTAGCAATGGTTACTATCAGAAATAGCACAGTGTAGTGTAGATGATAGGCAGAGGCAAGGGGTGTGAAATTGTGATGTGTTGGGATATCTTGCTGCGATGCGTTCACGCAGGAGCTGCAGCGTAAAGAAGTAGGGGATACAAGAACCAATACAACACGTACCCAGAGTGGTAGTGTCGACAGAAGTAACGGTCGGAACAGACAATGGAGACACAGTCTCAACCTCAGTGTTGGTCAGATTGGTCAAAGCTGCAATGATGGTCAGATCTTGCCGTTGAACGATGAGGGCAAGGCTAGAAGAGATACTCACCTAGAGTCGAAGTGGTCATTCTGGTAACAACCACAGTGGTCGTAGAAGTGACATTGTCTGCACCAGTTGGGATTGGAACAATTGCCTTTGTAGCCGAAGGTTCGGTGCCAGTGGTCTCATTGTGTCCGGTTGTGACTACTTCATTGTCAGGTCCTCAATCTTCTTTATTCTTTCTTTTTGCAATCTCGCAGAGATCAATATCATACCAGTGGTAAAGAGGGTGTGGGTACTAGTGGAAGTAGTAAACAGATCGGATGAGTGAACTGCGAACACATTGAAGTTAGTTGTTTTTGTTTCTTCAAAATTCGTGTTTTGACGCGTCGCGAAAAAACGGGCAAAACGTGAATTTGAGTTGGAACTCAAAGATTCAGATTCAGACTCAGACTCAGACTCACCCATCAAGCTGCCATTTTGAACCACGGTAGCGGTAGCGGTGGTAGTGAACGTCTTGGATACAACCAAAGTCTTGTCGACTGTTTTTTCAAATTAGCTTGATAGACTCCATGCATTCTCACTCGCACGGTGAGGTTTTGGTTTGGCAACTTACTGGTGACAGTGAGGTTGTGAACTTCAGTGCAGGCGGTGGCATTTGGATACTTTGGAACCGGAGGGACGACAGAGACGGACGAAAGAGGAAGGGGAGAGACCGTGATAGTAGTGTGCAAAACAGGGATCGGGTGGATGGTGGTAAAGACTGTTTCAGTAACAGTTCCAGTGCCATTGCAACAAGTCTTTGAGGGTGACGCGGTGGTGATGTTGATTGCCTGGATTACTGTCACCAAGAACAGCCACAGGATAGCGAACGGAGTACACATCTTTGAGAGATGGGTTCGGAGCAAGTTCTGGTGATGATGAAACTGATGGATGGAAACGAATGTTGATGAAACGAAGGGTTTTCGAACGAGTGGTGATGATGGAGAGTGAGAGGGTGAGAGATTTGGAAATTGGGAAAAGAGCATCACTGATATAGTCTCTGCCCTGGGATGAATCGCTTGGCGAAGCTGTTGTTCAGCATGGTGATAGAGCGGCGAAAGAGATGTTCCGGTGTTGATGGAACGTTGGCGAACGTCCGAATGAAAAGGGGTCTGTTGATGGACGATGGCGAGGGCGGCCTCGATGCACGTTGTCAACGACCACAACGACAACGAGGCTGACGAGGCTGGAGGGGATTGGCGTTATTGAATACCTACCAGATCAACTTGCAGGCATGTATCCTGTATCTGTTCTTTTTCTTCCAGGATTGTATGACAACAGGACAATCATGATCACAAAGTGATGGGTTGGAAGTGTGCAATAGCGATAGGTTAGATGTGCTTGCAATCATGTCACCGACACCAGACGGCATGGGCAGTGCAAACATGTCCAGCAATTTGGACTTTCTCCTTACCTTGTCCACGTAGACCTACAGATTGTGAAAGGTCGTTATTGTGTAAACAGCCACAGAAACCCTCCATCGCATCTTTTGTGTGTTTCTTCCATTTCTGACTTTTATATGATATGCGAGGAGGAAAGGAAGAAGAGAAAGAAAAAAGAACTAAACACAATGTTGACACTTGGAATTTATGCCGAGCCTCAACGCCGAGACTTTTGACCATTCAGGGGCCAAATTGAACTCACAAGCCTCTGATCCCCGGTCGCATAAACAACGCTCGAGGAGGAGAGTCGGATAATATAATAGTGCTGCAATCAATCTCTCTAAATGATGAATTACCTGGCAGGTAATATGAAACTTGTCTATCTCGGTCTCACGACTTGCAATACCTCTATGCTGTGCAACTATCTCCAAGCCTATTTTCCCGACAATGTCTACTTCACCATGGAACGACACCATCAATATTAGTAAAAGTAGCATGAGGACCATCCTTGTCAGTGTTGACAATGATCTTGCAAGCCTGCAACGCTCCATCTTCTGCCTTGCCTCCTGTCTCGCTGAACCCATTGATGTTTGTGGACCGATATCCCGGGTCGATCATGTTGACCTTGATGCCTTCCTTGCCGTGCAACACCGCATATGAAACACCCAGGAGATTCATGGCAGCCTTGGAAGCAGCATAAGCCTTGAAGATCCACCCGTGAAAGGGCGTCGTTGGGTCCAACGTATGCGCGGCAGAGCCTAAACCAGAGGACATGAAGACCAGGCGTGGCACCGGTGCCTTTTTCAGTAGTGGCAGAAACGCCTCGGTCATACAGGCTGCGCTGGTTGTATTTGTATTGAGGATCTCGTTCATCTCGTCGCGGAACGATTTGCCTGGGGCCTTGCTGATGGCTGCATTGTTGAAGAGAACGTCAAGGCGGCCAAACTTGTCTTCAACGTACTTGGCGGCTTTGGCGATGGACTCGTCGTCGGTAATGTCAAGCTGGATGGGCTCAACTTGTGAGCCAGGTGCAAGCTTGGTGACCTTGGCTGCTGCATCTGTGCCTCGTTGGGCGTTTCTGGAGCCAAGAAGGATGTGGTAGTTTGGTTGCTCTGCGGCCAATTTCTTGACGCACTCAAACCCAAGACCTTGGTTGGCGCCAGTGATGAGAACGACGGTGGTCGACATGGTTAATTGTCTGAGTAGATCAATGATAGAATATACGAGGATAATGAATTTGAGTGTTTGAGGTTTTGAAGAAACTGTCTTCAGAATGGAAGATATTTATGTTTCCATGCCGGCTCTTCAACGTCGGACTTACCAGTATCTGCGAGATGACTTGGTTGCATTTTGACAATATCGGTGAATCTAAAATTCTAATTATGCTCGCATGTTCCATATTTCCAGATGCCTGTTGGTGCACTTTCGGTGCTGAAGTGAAGAACAGTGCCTTGAGACCCAAGACTCATAAGGATTGTAGCCAAATGATATGCAGCTAGTGGTTAGTTAGCGAACGACCCAATCACATCCCAACGGGTTTAAGGATCCGATGCTCCGAGATGTTCCAAAAAAGACTTGAGGTTGACCACGTCTACTCGAAGCTGAGCACAGTCGGTGGAAGCATGCCTGATTTCGACATGCCCGCCTCGACTGCTCCATCTCTCGTTCCTCCTGCACCATTGCCAGGGATTCTGAAGATACGACCGAGGTACTACAGACACGAGATATGCCCCGCGCATTAACGAACCAGCCTGATGCGCCCACGAAACAACACCGACGCAGTACCAAAGGCTGCGTCACATGCAGGTACGTGCCATTGTCATAGCCCAAGGTCCCTTTACACGCCCGGTATCCGTATGCTCGCTCTTCACCTGCTCATTCCTAGTAGGATCCGGCGGGTAAAGTGTGATGAAAGCCACCCGATCTGCATCCGTTGTTCTAGTACAGGAAGGAAATGTGACTATCACCACGTTGAGAAGCAGACACCCCCTCCCGCTGCTTATCTGATGGTGATTCCTCGGTCCCCTCGACCTCAAGCTCACCATATCGACCTGAAAGCATTCGAATACTTCCACACCTGCTTCGCGCCGACGCTGTTGAACTATGGCGGACGCCACTTCTGGAATCGGCTCGTGCTACAAGCGTGCCACCATGATGAGGCCATCAACCACCTCGTCATGGCCACCACCTGTGTCGGGATTCGAAGTTCAAAGATGCTCCCTCGGGGCGTTGACTCGCCCGATGCCTGGGTCAGGTACCTCTCGCACTACGGGAAGGCCCTGAAAATACTCGCCCGGGCCGACCGACCTGATCCCGGGGTACTGCTCACGGCATGTTTGCTTCTCATGCTCTGCGATGAGCTCCAACAGAATCAGTATGGCTCGTTGCGGCATTTGATGTGCGGACGAAAGATCATCACGTCGTATTTGTCCAACAAGGGACACCACAACAACGACACCATCGATGAGATCGTGCCTATATTTTCTCAGCTAGAAATACATACAGGAGAAATCTACCATATCACCACGGGAGGATCGCCTGAAAGCACAGACCCACCAAGTCACCCTGGTCAACAGGTCTTTGGCAGGTTTGAAACTATCGATGAAGCCGCCGACGTGCTGCACCGTATTGCAGTCGATGGAGCACGTCTTCAGCTGAATGGCCACCCGCCCGTATCTCGATTTCACGTCGTTCCAGAGCTTACTCTTCGGCTCAACGATTGGCTCCATCGTTTCTCCTGGTCCGAGGTTGGGACCCTGAAAGACCGACAAATACTCCGCTTGTTCCATTTGAGTCTAGACACCTTGTCTCGGTGTGCCCCATTCACCCAAGAGTCTGCCTTCGATGTTTACTTGAGCAACATCGAACAACTCGTCATTGTCTGCAACCGATTGGTATTTTCCACCACGACCCACCTGATTCCAGTTTTGTTCTTTGTTGCTACTCGATATCGCAGCGCTAGCGTTAGGAGAAGAGCAATTGAACTTCTACGTTCTTGTGGTATGGATGGCCGAATACTGGCAAGTGTTGCAATGAAGGTGGTAAGGATCGAGGAACGCAGGGTCAGCGAACCGATCACATCCGCCGATATTCCCGAAGAAAACCGCATCCGCTTGGTGGGATTGCACACAGGGAGTTCTGCGGAATCTCTCCTCATTGATTACAGGCGATGGCCGTATCGGGAGCCAAAACCAGTCGAAACTGTCACTGTTCCCATCAAACGCATCTCGCTGGACTCCGGTGATTTTGATCCTGTGCATTCAGTGTGTCTCAACCTATCCCTTTATAAGTACCAAATGCTGACATCCTTCCCAGGCTTCGCTCTTGAGATCGGCAATAGACTTTGATTTTCTACATTCTTGGTCCCGGGAGAGATCGTGATTTGGTACACTGACTACTATGGTCGGCCGCTGATTGTGATTGTATAAGATGCACCCCACTATCTCGACTCGACACCTATGCTCCGCCTCCGAATTCGAGTTTCTGACCCTTGACGGATTTCCACTCAAAGCCGAACGACAACAGAAATGCAATGCATGCACATGCTATTGCTAGGATATAAGCATTTGTCACCGCAATGTCGTACGCTTTGAGTACACCAGCAAGCTGCGATGCCGGAGTGACTTCGCGGATATGGGTTGCACCGGCCCCAATGATGGTGTGGGGATTGACACCCTTGGTATACTTTGGAATCTCCTTGACCAATCCGTTGGAGAAGATGTTCTGGGCAATGGATATGGAAATTGCACCGCCCAGGGAGTTGAAGAAGATGGCGACAGCATTTCCGACCGGCATGTCCTTCTTGGTGAGAACAACCTGAACGGCGATAAAAGGGATTTGCACGCAAGCTCCCACTCCGACCCCCGCGAGGATTTGGTACCCGATCCACGTCCCGGTGGAGGAATCGACCTTGAGTGTGTGTAGAAGTCCAGAACCAACGGCGAAAACAGCCGAACCAAACCAGGTGAATGGCACATATGGGCCGAGTGCGGTGATGCTCCCTCCAACCGCGATGGACGATAGGGTAATGCTGACCAGGTATGGAATCGTCCTAATCCCGGACCCTTCTGCCGAAGTTCCCTTCACCGCCTGGAAGTAAAAAGGCAGATAGTAGACATGAGTGTACAAACCCATGGCGAGGAAGGCCGAGAAAAAGGCGCATACGAAGACCGTGCGTTGTCTGAGCATGACTCGAGGAGGCAATGTCGCGAGGTCGCCCTTCCAGATTTGGATTCCGGTGAACACGCTGATGAGGAGGCCGAAACCCAATAGGCACCCCCAAACTTTGGAATTGGACCACGGGTACGTCGTGCCGCCCCACTGGAGGGCAAGGAGCAAGCAAACAATGGCGCAAATCAAGAAGAATGCGCCGAGCAGATCGATCTGAGCAATCTTCTCCTTCAACGTGAGACTGCTGTGTCTGCGTTCTGGGTTGGTGAAGAAGAAGAAGACGGCCGCGATTGCGATCCCACCGATCGGGAGGTTGATGTAGAAGCACCATCGCCAGGTTACTCCTGTTGAAGATCACGTTAGCGTCTTGGTTCGAGGCCTGCGGCTTTGAAAACACCCACGATCAGTCAACGCCCCTCCGAGCAGTGGTCCTACGACGGAGGCAATGCCGAACATGGAGGAGAGAAGACCTATATACAGAGGTCTCTTTCGCAAGGGAACGGAATAACCGATGATGGTCATCTATGTATGAACAAAGGTCAGCAATCAATTCGTTTTCACTGTCTTGGGTTGGTGGCAGCAGATCACTTACACCTCCCGAGAACAGGGCTGCGGCACCACACCCGGCAATTGCGCGACCGACGATCAACATGGTCGAATTGACAGCTGCACCGCATAGCACCGACCCGAATTCGAAGATGATCAGGGCAAACATATATGTCCATTTCACGTTGAAGTAGGTGTAAACCTTGCCGAAAGATGGTTGAAGTGAAGTCGTGGTCAGGAGGTAAGATGAGCCGTACCAGCCGACGTCGTCCAACGAATTGAAGACGGTGGTGATCCTGGGTATGGCGGTGGCGATGATTGTGTTGTCGAGGGCCACGACGAACGTCGACAAGACGAGACCGACCGTAAGCAGGTGAAGAGGCAGACCGGTGGCATACTTGGTTTCATCGTCCTCGCCTGGCCGGCCCGGGTCGGTGGACGCGGTGGTAGTGCGAGTTAACTCTTCGTGGTTTTCTGTCTCGACAATATTCTTCGGATCGGCGGCGGAGGCGAAGGCGGCGGCGGCTGGCTCTGACTCTGGTTGATTTTGTAAACTGGATGTGATCAAATCTGAATCATTACCCGCTCCCTTTTCATCGTCGACCGTCCCAGGAGAAGCGTCGGGTCCGGTACGAGCAGTCGCAGGAGAATCTTCATGGTTGCCAGAAGAATCCGACGAAGTGACTGCTTTCTCCGCCTCTTGCGCCTTGGACCACGGTACTTTCATGGTTTCTTTTTGTCGCTCTTCCTTCGCCGAGGAGTCAAGTATCAATACAACCGGAAGATGATTTGAGTATCCTTCTGGCCCCTCCCCGCAGATTGTGGCCGGATCGAGCAGCCCGACCTTTTTCTACCACAACATACGCGGCGCAACGACGGTACCCCTTGTTTTCGGGAGTGTGACATTTGATGGTGGAGAGAAAATCAAGCAAGAGTAACACAAAAGGAACACAAAAAAGAAAGATGGAGTCGTATTGATGTATGTAAAGGATTTGTTGATCAGTCGCAATCCAGAAGATTCGCCCACCCCTCTCCCGGATATCTGCCTACCCGAGATCCCTCATGGCACGCAAAAGAGCAAGACTCGTTCGAGATTCAAATGGGAAAGCCGAAAGCGAAAAGTTGAACCATACTCGTATTGGGGGGGCGGGCAGAAGGGGAGGAGCCCAATGAAGGCGAACGTTTGTGCGAGTGTGGAGGGGGGACAGCCCAAGGTCGGTTGGGTAAAGAAAAGGGAGGTTCGTATTCTATCCCCGACTTGGTCTACTCCGGACTTGACTGTACGAGGGACACTTTTCATGCTCCCGACCCGACAACCCGTTGCTCGATTGGTGATTTTTTGAGGTGGGAGAAATTGGGGGGAACCGAGTATGGGGGGGTTCCTTGGTAGAGTAGGCAATGGATCTTTTTCAATACTTCATTCGAATTAGTCGAAAGGTCGAATCTATCTACAGTACAAGACTACACCTGGTTACAATAGACAGTACAGCTCAAGGTGGTTTTCTTCTCTCTCTCTCTCTCTCTCTCTCACACACACACACACACACACACACACACACACACTAGGTGTGAACTCCTCGGCTAGTGTATCGCGGGTATGGCTGTTCGAGAGGATCTGATTGTTAGTACTCCGTACCTAGAGTTATAAATGCCTCCCTATTTCATAAAGCTCCAACTGAGCCAAAATGGTTTGGATGGGTGAAGTCTAGATCGTCATTCGTATTCGTACTTGTCATCACGGACACGTTACGAAAATGAAAACGAAAACGAAAACGAAACCGAGAATTTTCGCATGACGACACCGGAGCGAGGGCGCCGCCCCAGGTGATCCGATTTCGAGCAGCGATTTACCGTACGCGTATTGTTTGCTTTTCACCTTTGCTATTAAAAAGAAGTCGAATTGAATCACTGCTGATCAAAAATTTGGATTCTCGTACTTCGTATGCTCGCACATATCACGAGGGTGTCTCATATGTTGGAAAGTCAGCAAGTGGATGACGAAAGATGATTGACAGCGGGAGGATTTTCGGTTCTCCTGGCATTGATCCAAGCACTTGTCCTTCGGTCCCGGTCCGCTGCGCGCCTTGGAGCTAAAATAACTATTGTACCTAAGAGTAGGCAGCGTCCACACCCGGATGCTGGAACAGCACAAACACATCAAGTACCGAGTACGTAGTACTCGTACATATTTATGATTATTACTGTTCCTAAACGTACACCAGGTCTCTCTCATACTGATGCCATAGCCAGTCCATCTAGCACTGCAATAATAGTTTGCAGCCGTACGAGTACGGGACGCACAGCTGATCAGCAAGCCGAGTGACGGTGACGGTGACGGTGAGGCTGGCATTCCTATCGGGGGTCCGTTTCTCTCATGCCCAGTTCCCGAATCAGGACAATTTCTGCAGACCAGCTGTCCCGTCTTCCTGGGCAAGTGATCGCCTTTGGGTCTTTAGGAGTCAAGATCAACAGATTCACCACGGAATGCCCCGTAAAAGGCACAGAAAATAGTGTAGGAGTACCAAAAAAGGAGAATGATGATCTTTTTGATGACGAAGATGGCTTGACATTTTAGCAAGTTCCAGTTCTCACCCGCGCGAGGATCAATTTTGATCACTCGGGGGGAGTGAGTGTCCCTCTTTTGGGGGCCCTTTCTGACCATCCCTAGCCATTACTCTTACTCAGTAGGGGCGGATCTGCCTTGTCTGCTTGGAAACAAAACCCAATTTGCGGAGTACGACCAGATCGTCTCACAAAATCCACCTGAAAAGGGAGACAAAGAGAGATGATCAACTTGCTCATCTTGTGGAGATATCTGACCATGAGATTTTCCGTGCCGTAGGGTCGGGTAGAGACACTGGTTTCCGTTGAAAGGTTAACACGGTCCAAAAAGGAATGCTCTGTACTCCGTCCTGTACACACTTGTCGGGGTAAACTCGCTCGTTGTCAATCGTAACAAAACACCCCATCTCTTGCTCCATTTACCGAGGAATGCACCGCGCAGACATCTCGTCCGAAGCTCGAATCGAGATACGATTGCAGGGAATGATTCCAATCACAAGGCCCCGGGTAATCCAGCTGCTGCATGTTGTGCCCAATGATAAAACCCCCGGGGGGCGGCGTCGCTTAAAGCCTCTGCAGCAGCCAACATAAGCGACGTGAGACCAGGAATGGCCCTGCAAGTTATTCGCTGTGAAAGAAGGGCCGAGATCGAGGGAAGATCGACTAGGTGCCCCTCACCGGACTTCTCAACACCCACCCAATCCCAAGAACAAGATAGGCCCTTCCAATACTCCCCGTACAGACAATAGCTGCATCATCAGGCGGACCCTGGTGTTCGTATTGCTTCGAGTCTCGAACACTGATAGACGCGCTTCTCGTCATGCTGCAAACAGCCGCACAAGCAAGGGGGGCAAAGGAAGAACGGAGGGGAGCATTCGTTCACACCCCCTCTGTCGGGACAGGGGATCAACTTGTCGATGTCCAGCTCGAGGTAAAGGCGAGGAGGGTCAGGCCTACTAAAACGCACGCCCATCGTCGCTTCCCTTCGAATTCAGTTATCTCAAGTCTTGCTTCACACTGCCATCTTGAAATTACTCAAACCCGTCCTGTCTTTTCCACCACTGCTTTTTTTTGCTTTGAAAGCCCTTCGTACCTATTCTGACTTCCAAAGGAGGTTTGCTCTCCAGACTATCGTGTAGAGACCAAATGTCCAAGAGGCCTTCGATCGAAATCATCGACGACCCCATCACTCTCCCCTGCGATCTCACCTTACCCAACCGTCTGGTAAAATGTCCCATGCAAGAAACGTGTGCTGAACCACCTCACTTTGACCCGCCAGTTGAGAAGTTCCGCTCACTCTACTCGTTATGGGCCACCGCTCGCTATGGTATGCTCTTGACGGGCCAGGTCCAAGTCGATATGCGTTTCTTCTCGATCCCAGGCGATGTGTGCTGCCACGAAGGATCGCTTACTGAACCGATACTGTCCAAGTGGAAAGAGTGGGCGAGCATCGCCCAACATGGTGGTACACCATGCCTCGTTCAGATCTCGCATCCTGGCCGAATGAGTCCGACGGGAGGCGGTGTCAGACCGAGTGACATGCAACCACCTTGCCCGTCGGCCGTGCCTGTGAAGATGGGTGATGGCTGGCTGGACAGATTCATGCTCGACAAGGTCCTCGGTACGCCCAGGGCAATGGACCACGCTGAGATCGACGAGGCGGTCGCAAACTTTGTCCGCGCCGCTCGTGTTGCGCGCATGGCCGGGTTCGCAGGTGTCCAGCTACACGGTGCACATGGCTTCCTCATCTCGCAGTTTCTGTCACCACACACGAATCGACGGACGGACGAGTACGGTGGCAGTCCAGAGAAGCGTCTACGTTTCGTCCAGCGTCTGATCGAGGAGATTCGCGCCGTGTGTCCGCCGCCGTTCTGCCTAGGCGTCAAGTTGAACTCTGCCGATTACATGGAGGAAGGTGGCCTCTCGCAGGACGAAGCGCTCGGGCAGGTGCGATGGCTCGTCGAGTGCGGCATGGTCGACTTCGTCGAGATCAGCGGCGGGAACGCCGAGAGCACGACGTGCGAACTGCAAAATACTTTTGGCGTGTACAATCTCACGGAGGCGCCAAAGAGGGAAAGCACACGTATCCGCGAGGCGTTCTTCGCGGGATTCGCGGAAAAGGTGCAGCAGCTGAAGAGCAAAGTGCCCGTACAATTGAGTGGCGGGTTCCGCTCGCGTAACGGCATGGCGGACGCTCTCGAGAGTGGCGCTTGCGACCTGATCGGCCTGGGACGCACCGCTATCCTGCAGCCCGCACTCCCGAGAGAGGTTCTTTTGAACGAGGCAATCCCAGACGACGAGGCCCTCGCGATGCCACATCAGGTCAGGGGCATGTGGTTGGCCGATATGGCTCCGGTGAAGATGGTCGGTGCGAGCTTGGCTGGGCAGGTCTTTTACTACAACATGCGGCGTTTGGCAAGTGGGCTTTCGGCAGATCCGTGTGTCAGTATCCCTTACGTGGTGTTCTCTGGCATCATGAGCTTGATGGGAGGAATGCTTGCTGGTGTGAGTCAGAAGATGGTTGCAGCTTTGAGGAATATGCTGGTCCGGTATACGGTCACGGCTGATTGACAGTAGTAGTAGATATTGACGAATGGCTGCAGATATGGATAATCGACAGGGCACAGACTGAGTTGACGGGATTGGATAAACAGATGGCGTTCCAGGAGACCAAGAATGTCACAGAATCGAGGAAGAGGTGTGGACTTTTTTGCACATGCTTCTGAGCATTTTCAATTTGTCCGCATATTGGGCAATCCTTCGTTGACATGAGTTGGCCTCGGCTTGCACCAAAACCTGACATCGTTTTTGACATGCTGAATTTGCTCGTCCTCACCGACCACGGACCCTGTGAGGCCACTATCGAGGCTCGTGGATATGTTCCATGATAATGCCATCGCAAAGGTATTTCCCATCCAAGAACAACCAACTGCAAATCATCAAAGGCCCTTGTTTATAAGTGTCCCATGAAACGGAACTTTTTGTATCCATAAGCTATTATACAACTCGCTTGACCTATTGAACACAAAAGGGTCAGCCATCAAGCTCAATCCAATCAGGCGTTCGAGATGATCGCGTCCACAGTTCTTCTTGACAGACGAACTCTGGGCAGAGTAACAGTACAAAGGATTTTTTTCATCTTTTTTTTTCATGGAAGAGGACGGCTGTTCACCTCGAAGAAACGCTTCAACCACCAAACTTGGAACACTCCTTCTCCTATCAAGACCCCCAGCTGGAATATTGACCACCACTTGACTCTTGCGTTTGTACTCTCGGCGGTGTTTCGGTGCGTACGTTCTCGGACGACGATGTAGGTTTGCTCGTCTTTGACCTGGGCTAGGAGTTCGGAAAGTTGACGCACTAAAAATTCACACACAAGTACAATTAGCAAAAGATTGTATTTTGGCGGAGTATCATACATGTAAACTAGAAAGGAAGGGGAGCCAGCCAGCAGCATGAATATCAGCGGGTGAGTGTGAGTGGGAACGTACCTTCGCCTTCCAAAGGATCAGATGGGGCCTCTGATTCGGGAACGTAGACGATTCCGTGAACGTTGAACGAGACTTCTTTGCTGTTGGCGGACCAATGTTCGTTGCTGAAGCAGTAGATGTATTTGCCATCCATGCGGGCCTCGAAGGAGTAGTCACCGGAAGATACCGTGCTCATCTGGGTTTCGTAGTTGCCGGCAGGGTCGGTGATCTGGAAAGAAGGGAACGATCTAGTCAGTGAGGTTCCCCTTTTTTTAATTTGGTAGGGGACATCAATTAGGACGTTGCGGGTGAGACAGTGAGTGACACGCACGTAAAAATCAATGTCCAGGTTTCCTGAACCTCCGAATTCTCGGTCGCCCACTTGGAAGGTCACCGTCATCTTGTCATCCTTGTGCAGTTCTTCGTGGAAACATTCACGCGTGTGTGCCTTTAATTGAATGTTGTGCGCGAGGGAGGCCCCTATTAAGCCTACAAAGGCCGCAATCGTTCCTAACCTCATCGTGTCTGAGCGACGGTGTCGACGGAAAAAGTCTGGTTTGGCGTAGAGGTGGCTCTTCAATGTGACACAAGAAGAGAGTTATTCACACTGACACGCTCTGTGGTGGTGGAATTCGAGTTGTAGTTCACGCGATCAAAAAAAGGTGTCTGGAAGTGTCCTCTGCAATAATGTTCCAACTCCGCAGTTTATCCCCCAGTGGCGGTGAATGAGTGGCTTTCATTGGCCTCATCAGCCACAAAGTGCATCTTATCTTATCTGGCCATCTACAATACCCCTGACTGACTATCTTTCTTCCCATACTCCATACAGAAGACACAAATTGTCTTGTGCGCAAGACATATTAAGTATACGTTCCTTTCTCTGATGGAACGCAAAATTGTCTGTATCATAATTTTGAGATATCAGTCATACCATTCCGAAAGATTTGTTCGACCATATGCTCGACTATTGTTACCAGTGACCACCAGCTCAGTCTTTCTTCCTGCTAACACCACCTTTCGCGAACAATTGTGACATTAATCTATATCCCCTTGATGACTCAAAATACCCAGGTAACAATGGCATCCCTTTGATGCTCCATCTACGGCTATGTATCTACTCTATTGCCGTACATTACTATGTGATTCTCTCATGTGCCGCTGTTGCCATGCGGAGAAGGAGACTCTTCCTCTCCGCATTGATTCTCTACCCGAGGCGGCCAAACGCCGTGATTGCCGACTGATGAGTCTATGACCGCTTTACACATATTGTGGCGACGACCATTGCTTTCGTCAACATTACATCTGATCGATACAGGCTGCCGAGACGGGACTGTTACTTGAGCCATTGAAACAAGAAGCACGAGTCTTGCTTGAAGTTGTCAAAGATAACAGACCGGGTGGTTTCGAATACTAAGATCCAAGTATCATGGCTCTACCACCATCTTGCCAGGTCTTGGTAGCAGGCAGTGGAAATGCTGGATTCTCGGCTGCCGTCGCTGCAAAGCAGGCGGGAGCAAAAGAGGTAATCCTCGTTGACAAATGCCCCGAAGAATGGGCAGGTGGTAATTCCTACTTCACTGCAGGGGCATATCGCACGGTGCATCATGGCAAGGACGATCTTCTCCCACTGGTCAACAATGTCGACCAAGCAACAGCTGACAAGATCGACATGGAACCGTACACTGTCCAAGACTTTTCGAACGATATGAGAAGAGTATGTGCTGGGAGGTCCGACCCTACCCTGAGCAAAATCCTGGTCGAAGACTCCAATTCTGCCGTAAAGTGGCTCAAGAAGAACGGCATTCGTTTTCAGTTATCCTTCAATCGACAGGCTTACGAGATTGATGGGCGGTTGAAATTCTGGGGTGGCCTAGCCCTGAAAACTGAGGACGGCGGGAAAGGTCTGATTGAAGACCACAAAGCCGCGGCTCGCACGCACGGAGTCTCGGTGTTCTATTCAACGGCGTTGCAAAATCTCATCACAGACCCAGAGACTGGGGCAGTCACGGGTGCAGTCTTATCACAAAACGGCAAGACTGTGAAGATCAAGACCGGTGCGGTGATTTTGGCCGCTGGTGGATTTGAAGCCAATCCAAGAATGCGGTCTCAATTGCTAGGACCAGGGTGGGATCTGGCCAAGGTTCGTGGCACACCTTTCAACACTGGGGATTGTCTGGAGATGGCGATGCGAGACGTAAGAGCACGGCAGGCTGGCAATTGGTCTGGTTGTCATTCAGTGGCGTGGGATGCCAACGCTCCCGCCCATGCCGGTGATCGTGTAGCGTCCAACGAATTCACCAAATCCGGATATCCATTGGGGTTGATGTTCAACATCAACGGAGAGCGATTCGTCGATGAAGGCGTAGATCTGCGGAACTACACATACGCCAAATTCGGTCGTGCTATTCTGGGACAACCGGGACAGAAAGTTTTCCAATTATGGGATCAACGAACAATATCTTGGTTGCGGTCAGAAGAATATCGCGAAGAGCGGGTGAGGAGGATTATGGCCGACACAATCCCTGAAATGGCCGATAAACTTTCAGAGTGCGGACTGGTAGACCGACAGGCGTTCATTGACAATATGGAAGCATACAACAAGGCTGTTTATGAATTTCAAAAGGAGAACCCAGGGAAGAAGTGGGATCCTGCCGTCAGAGATGGTTGTTCAACTCAGTCTTCCAGTATCAAGTTATCTCTCGGGAAGACAAATTGGGCCCTACCACTAGATAAAGGTCCATTCATGGCTGTCGAGGTGACTTGCGGTATCACATTCACGTTTGGGGGTTTGTGGACTGTACCGGAGACAGCTCAAGTCACATCCGACTCCGGGAGAGAGATTCCCGGTCTTTACTGTGTCGGAGAGATGATGGGAGGTTTGTTCTATGAGAATTATCCTGGCGGTAGTGGTTTGACATCAGGGGCTGTGTTTGGGAGAAGGGCAGGTACCGCGGCTGCGAAGGAGGTCCTGCAGGGTGGTTCTACCGTACCAGGAACTGCAAGACTGTAGTAAGCAGGCCAACAATGGTGATGAGACAGGCAATACCAAAGGTGGGCGAGGCAAAGACATTTCCTTATCACGTTTCTTCTGGCGTGCCTTGGCCGGTCGCCGTTTCTTGCCCAAAAGGGGCATCCACGTTCCGATATCTGAAATGACAGCAGCACGATAGCTACACAGCATCACGAGTGTAAACATAAATGCTTCGGTACATAAGATTATGAAGGTCCGGAATGCGTCGATTTCGTCCTGCTATCTAATGAGTGTGATTCGTGGGTGGGTTCTTGTACGAGTAGGTCTGCCGATTCCACTTCCCTGTGGCCACCGCCTTGCAGATCATTATGGGAACACATAACCTAACATCTACTCGTACTTGTAGTCCCGTAGATGTATGAGCAAATTCCTGTCGGATGAGAGAGAGATAAGGAGTACTCGGTAAGAGAGATCGGCCAACACCATGCTATAGCCCAAGGGATCGGCCAAGATTGGGGGACTCGGGTACCGAGTACGAGTACGCCGGTGGATGATCAACGGAGAAGGGCGCATTGAGGTCTTGTCTATATACGGAGAACGCACAGGTGGTGTTGTCGACCTGGTACGGAGATGCGTGCGCCTCAAGGTCTTGAAGGGGGAGAGTGGGCATGCTTTCTTTCCCCGAATACGGCCTCCAGTCCGGAATCGGGTTTGGCTTTTGGAACCACGGAGCACAAAGTACAACGTACAGTAGAGAAGTGAGAGCCGAAAATGTTTCTCGGTACCGAAAGCCAACCAAGCCTAGGGACCTTTAGTTAGTCTTGACAAGACCTCGTATCTCCAAGAGTTTTGACTGAAGCGATGACAGGTCACGGCGAGGGACTTGTCCCTGCCTCCTCTTTTCGTTTGTTTCTCATTCCCTCGGGTTGATGAAGATAGACGTCGTCGAGATTGTTCACGCCTCAATCCGTTTCAAGAGCACAATATAGCGATACCACCACAGAATCGCTTTCTGTTTTCTCCCCACAAAAAGCGAATTGTCACCCGAATTGCAATTACTGCATCGTATCATTACCGAACAAATCACTAATTATGGCTCCCACCAAACACAAAGCCTTGATCAATGTCGACATGGGAGAAGCATACGGTAACTACGTATGTGGTCCTGACAAGGAACTTTTACCAATGATAGATCATGCCAATGTAGCATGTGGGTTTCAGTATGTGCTCTCTCTCTTCTTTCTTTTTCCTCTCCCTCCCAAATATATCTTTCTACTGGCACATAACGCGGGGATGAAGTATGTGATCAATATATATCATGACGCTGACACAAAGGACTTGTACAGCGCAGGAGACCCACTGGTGATGGCAGAGACGGTATCACTCTGCAAGGCACACGGCGTCAAGATTGGAGCCCATCCTGGTCTACCTGACGTACAGGGGTTCGGACGTCGAGAAATGACACTCTCACCCGAAGAACACACGGCCAACATCGTGTACCAAGTCGGCGCTCTCCAGGGTTTTCTCGCCCGAGAAGGAGTCGAGCTTCACCACGTCAAACCCCACGGGATTTTGTACGGCATGATGGTCCGAAACATTGATGTGGCACGGGCGGTGTGGGCCGGGGTACCCAAGGGTGTCAGGGTCTTTGGTCTCGCCGGGACGAACATGGAGACGGCAGCGAAAGAAGCCGGCCTCGAGTTTGTGGCCGAGTATTATGGAGACGTCAAGTACCGGGCCGACGGGACCCTGATCGTGGACAGGAAGAAGAAACCATGGCTCACCGAGGACGTGAAAAAACACGTCCGTCAACAGCTGGAGCATAGCTCCGTGACGGCCGTGACGGGAGAGGTTGTGGACTTGCCTGTAAAGGACTATCAGATCAGTATCTGTTGTCATTCGGATTCGCCTGGGTGCGTGGAAATCGTAAAAGCCACAAAGGAAATTGTAGACGAATTCAACAAGAAAAGGGGGCTGTGAAAAACCAGAACATCCATAGCCTAAAGTTTGTAAATATCCATACTACATACAAATTGCTTCGGCGAAGAACCGGGGATCGTAACATGACACAAAACTCCTCAATACTAAGCCTTTGCAGCGACTCGTGCTATCGCGATTGTCTGACCACTTTCCACCGTGTCGCCGGGTTTGATGAGGATTTGTTCAAGCTTGGCCCCGACGAGTTTGTCCGGGACGACCACATCAATCTCCATCTTCATGGCTTCGAGAATTGTGATTTTTTGGTCTTCTTTCAGAAGTTGGCCCTCTTCCGCAATCACTTTCCAGACGTTGGCTTGCACTGGAGCTTCGATGGGCATTACATCGGGGTCTGTATCAATGTCAGCATCAGTAAGTCATATCGACGCCAATTGAGTGACCACGGGGGGGTCCTACCTTCAAGCATAGACTTTACTGAATCGGCAGAGACAACTCCAGCTTTCTTTTCTTCATCCCATTGAGCGAGTAACTTCTTTTCCAAGGCTATCATTCGACCCTGCGCCTCGGATCTCTTCGCGTTCAACATCTTGACTTCGTCCTGGGTTTCGGTGAGAAGTTTGTTGTGAGCACCGACGTCGAAGAAACTGTCGACGTATTCAAACTCGTAAGAGCCTGCCTTGAACTGGAGCATTTTCGCATCATACTCGTCGGTGGTGACCTCGTAAAAGGTAATCACATCCATGTCCTCGAACAACCACGGTCGGTCGGGTGTGAAGCCTGCCTTGTGCCCGAAAAGGTCGACCCCCGGAATGGTCATCCCCGTGGGCATGTACCCACCCGGTGAGTCCGTGGCGTAAATGGAAATCGCGGTGCCTCCCCACGAGAAGGTTCCCTCCGGGGTAAATGTACGACTGGGATTCATCTTCGGACAACTTATCCGGTGACGCGGATCGGATGGCAACGTCTGTGGGAGTGCGAGAAAGAAACCGACTCCTATCACGACCGTCTCGACGCTCAGAAAGAGCTGCTTGAGTTCATCGATGGTCATGCCGTTGTTCTCGGCCACAAACCTGAACGGATCCGGCAGGTAGCTCGCACGCGGTCGTTGATTGACCATGTACCGCTCAATGGCGTCTTCGAGCTTCTTATGCTGGAACACTGCCGGTAGCTTGAACCTCCGATTGGGGAGTTTCGCTTCAGCCATGGATCCCAAAGAGTCTTCAATGTTTAGGAGTGTCGTCATTAGCTCGACCCTGGACAACTTCGAACTGTCGTAGTAGATACACAGAGAGTTGCCACAGCCGACCATGTTGAAGATGGCGCCTCCGTTGTTTTGTACCGTGCAGAGACCTTTGTGAGCCTCGAGCGCTCTCTTGAGTGCCGTAGCACGGCATTTCATATTGAGGTTGGCCTTCCCAATGCCATAATCAACAAGAACAAAACTGTCGCCACCGGCTCGATACGTCACCTTGGGACGACTGGTGGACTCTTCCAAGCATTTGATAACATCGGCCGCTTCGACATAGGGCTCAGGTGTGGGCTCGCTGTTGTCAAACCCAGGTGCGTCTCCCCATGAAGCGGATCTGGCGAAGGTTGCCACGTTCTTCAAGAATTCGGCGTTCGATCTCGAGCACTGCAGAGACCGATCAAGGCTGGTGCGGCAGAATCTGAGCTCGTCCCCCATGCGTATCTGACCGACCTTCCACCAGTCGCTGGTGACTACGGTCAAGCTACAGATGAACCCTCCAAAGTCAGGACAGTCGACGGGAAAAATGACGGGTTCATCACCAGTCCAATTGAGACCTCCAATAGGATATCCATATTCAATGACGTTGCTCGGATGAGCGCCACCATCACCTCCATCACTTCTTGCATACTCTGGCCTAGGTCCGATAAGTCTAATGCCGCCTCGAGCAGCGTTGTGGCTGATTTTCCAGATGTGAGAGTACAGCATGTCGATATCTCTCTTTGTTATGTAACCTGTCTCGTAAGGCCCAGGCATAGCTTGAATTACCCATTGATGAGAGTAACGCGGTCGAACACTCTCCGGTACCGGTCGCGAAGCTGAGTTAGTTCGTTCAGGCAGCTTCCCCTTGTCAACAATGTGTAGAAGATCTCCCGGTCGAAGTGCGCGACCCTGGTAACCGCCTACTTGTACCATGGGACATGTTGCTTTGCTGCCACACCAGGTAGCAACGTTCGAGAATCCACCAAATACCGCCAGGTACGCACGGCAGCCCGTGTCAATGGAGCCAATGGCAAGTTTTTGACCAGCAGAAATATCAACCCTTTGCCAGAGAGGAATTTCCGTGTCATCTAACTTTGCAGATACGGGTGGGCCGCAAAGAGCGACAACTGCTGGAGACAAGAAGAGGAGCTCCGGGCCTCGAAGGGTGATTTCCAAACCTTCTGTGCTAACTTCATTTCCAACAAGAATGTTTGCGGTCCGGAAAGCAATCGGGTCCATAGGTCCACAGTGTCCAAAGCCACGACCGACTGTGGGTCGACCAGGAAAGTCCTGTATCAAAGTATACGACCCTCCTGATATGACATCAATAGCCGTTGGTTTATACTGATGCGTCTCAATGAACTTGGTTGTTGTAAACCCTGTTTGAAATTCTGGTGCTTTGACAATACTGAGTAGGAAATCTAGATTGACTGGAGGCCCGCAGATCTTGCTCTCGGACAGGACCTGATGGAGGAGCATGGTTGCTTGATCGCGAGTAGGTGCATGCTGCATCACTTTTGCGAGAAGAGGATCATACTCTGGGGTTATCGTCTGCCCTGCTCTGATCCAAGTGTCGATCCTGGTACCTGTTAACTGATGCCAGTCAACTTGCTGCAAGAGGCCTGGACTCGGGGCGAAATTTCGTGCCGGGTTTTCGGCGTAGAGTCTGACCTCGATGGCATGGCCTGTTGGCTCCAACAATCGTTGCTGTAATTGCTCCAGTTCTGAAGAGGAAATACCGCCATTGCCGCTGAGCTGTGCATCAGCTTGTCGTAACATCAACTCGACCAAGTCGACATTGTAACACATCTCTGTGATACCATGCTCAACTTGGAGACGAGTGTTCATTTCCAAGAAAAAGAAATCTCCGGTATCGTGATCGACCAGGTACTCGATGGTGCCAGCAGATGCGTATTTGATGCTCTCGGCCAACCGAACGGCACATTCGGTGAGTGTCTTTCGTAGTTCTGGGTGCGCTTGGCTGATATACGGGCTTGGGCATTCCTCGACGACTTTCTGATGCCGTCTCTGAATCGAACATTCTCTCTCCCCGACACTAATTGCTTTGCCGAGCCCGTTACCAAATACCTGCACTTCAATGTGATGACTGACATTGTAATACCGCTCGAGAAAGACACCAGAGTTCTTGAACAGAGCTCCACCACGTGATTTGACCGTTTGAAAGTTCTTTCGTAGCTCGTCTTCATTCATGCAAACCATCAATCCCATACCGCCTCCACCTGCGGTGGCTTTCAGCATGATAGGGTAGCCTATAGCTTGAGCTTGATTCACAGCTGCATTTTCAGTCTCCAGTAACCCTTTGGAGCCGGGAACAACGGGGACTCCGGCCTGGACGGCCAAATCTCTAGCCGTATGCTTCAGTCCGAAGGCTTCAATGGCTTCCGGAGAGGGCCCAACAAAGACCATTCCAGAAGCATTGACGCTCCTACAAAAGTCTGCATTTTCTGAGAGGAAGCCGTACCCAGGGATGATTCCTTGGGCTTCGTTCTCAACGGCGAGCCTAATGATCTGGTCTCTGAGATTAAGGTCATCAGTCTGATCCTAGACGCAGGAAGAATAAACCGAGTATGACGTTGACATACCCATCAATATATGCCGACCTCGCTTCACCCGCAAGCAAGCATGCTTTATCGGCCAGTAACACGTGCTGGGAGGCACCATCAGACTCGGAATAGATAGCGATAGTTCGGATACCCAGTTGTCTGGTCACGATTAGTCATTTGGTGGCCCTCAAAACGTGGTTCTAGAGTACTTTGCAGATTTGATCAGTCGGCAAGCGATCTCGCCTCTGTTGGCGATCAACAGCACCTTGAGCGACTGCATGGTGGTGGTGGTGGTGGTGGTGTGCGTGGTGCCTGAATATAGACCTCCTGTGGACTGGACTCTTTCAAGAACAAGGTCTCGATTCTGGCACCTTGCAGGAACCTCTTTCGAACATGGGGGTGGTTCATGTAGATTGCGAAACCGGGGCGACCACAGGTTGTCAGAAGTGTTTCCCTCTGCCTATCTAGCAGCTGGATCCGCCTCATGGAAGTCGGTCACTTGTCTTGGTACTCATCTGCGTGAAGGGAAATGTTTCGGTCCCGAGGATTGACGAGCGTTGGAGAACTGTTCCTGTTGATCATGCAATGCACAGGTTCGCATAAAGCCTTGGTGAAGCGGCGCTGCGTGCATCTCCTCCGACTGAAAGGGTCCAATCCTGGCCATCCTTTCTGACTTAGCACAGATTATCTCTTGCCCGTGACTCGACTGGTTGCAGATCTTGAAGGCCAATACGCGTACCAAGTGAAGTCTGATATGGTGATGTCCAATGAAGAGTCACCGTACCAAAGGCCATTTGTACGAGTACGGTGGAGAATGTCGGCGATGTTTATCCTCGGACCCGGCGACCCAGTCGGACATACGCGTTTGTTCATCTCTTTCTCGATACTTTTCCTTCCTCATATAGTCTAGCCCAAGACGCTCGACTTCATTCCTCGCAACGCTGAGTCCACCTCGTCCATCTCTTCCATATCCTTTCACATCATTCCTTGGAGAAGCGTCAGCAACACGACGACTTATTGGATTTAGTGGGGACGATCAAGATGGTCAATCCTAGACTGCCATCCGTTGCTTCGGCTATGCAAAGCATGGCTTCTTCCCAGGTCTACAAGTATGTTTTCCACGATGTCAGGCACGATAAGCAAGCGATACATGTGGGTCAATGATCCCTGACTGCGTGTGGGAATGATACCTACAGCTATAGCGCGCTTATCAGCAGCATGAGGGAACGTCAGGTTCTTGTCGTCTGCTGGTGCTGACAGTACTGGTGGCAAACAGCGCTATGTACAAAAGTCGGCGGGTTTCTCTTCCTGTATTTTGCCCTCAGAGACTCAGTTCTCAACGCTTATTGTATGCAAGAACCATCTTCTGCTTCTGAGTAAATATGTCCGACAGCAGCGGATTTCAGATCGCTGCACCTTTGTCGTCAGGGCTTGGATATGGACTTCTTGTCGGCATTGGTTCCGCCTTTGCAATTGGCATGTCAACACTCTCATGGTTCCTCAGTCGTTATATGAATGAGATTCAGGACTCGGAAATGTTCATGACAGCAAAACACTCCGTCCAAACCGGTCTTATCGCCTCAGCTGTTGTGTCTTCTTGGACAATCGCGACCACACTTCTCGGAAGTACAACCTACGGGTATTCCTACGGGATCTCTGGTCCATACTGGTATGCTGCAGGTGCATCTGTACAGATCCTGCTATTCTCAGTCGCAGCCATTGAACTCAAGAGGAGGGCACCGAACGCACAAACATTCCTGCAAGTCGTCAAAGTGCGATATGGCACTGCTGCTCATATTGTCTTTTGCGCCTACTCCCAGGTCTATCAGCTCATAACTACTGTCAACTTGTTGGTCGGAGGCTCCGCTGCATACTCTGCCATGACTGGTGTCAACCGTGATGCGTCCTGCTTTCTGTTTCCCATCGGTGTCGGTAAGTTTGGCTCGGTAGTGATGGGCTGTACGTGTTGTAAGATGTCGTCGCTGACACTTGACAGTGATCTATACGCTCGCTGGTGGTATTAAAGCAACTTTCATCACTGACTGGGTAAGTCTACTGATCCATTGTGTCGAAACAAGGTGACAATGACCGCAAGCCATGTCCATCTCATAGCAATCCAATCGAACGATAAGAATTCCTAACCTGAATCAATAGGTCCATACCGTCATTATCTATTTGATCATGTTATACTCCCTCTTTCGGATCTACGTTACCGCCGAAGTGATCGGCTCACCCGACAAAATGTGGGAACTTCTCAAAGAAGCAGCGAGATTACACCCTGTCGAAGGAAATGCTCATGGCGAGTATTTGACCATGGCTTCCGACGGTGGTGGTTATATCGGTCTCGTATTCATTGGAGCCGGCTTCGCTGCCGCTGTCGACAGTCAACTTTTCCAAAAGGCTATCGCTGCCGATCCACGCAGTACCTCCAAAGGCTACATCATTGGTGGCCTGTCGTGGTTCACAATTCCATTTGTCCTGGCTAGTACTTATGGTCTCACCGCCGCAGCGACAGAACACCTGCCCAGTTTCCCCATCTATCCCCACCGCATGAACGCATACGAAATCTCTTCAGGTATGGCGATGCCTTACGGAGCACTAGCAGTCAACGGCAAAGGTGGCGTCATCGCAATTCTTCTCATGGTGTTCATGGCTGTGACGAGTGCCATGTCGTCCGAGACCGTCGCCACCACAGCCCTCCTGACGTACAACGTCTACCAAGCTTACATCAACCCCAAGGCCACTGGGAAGCAGCTCCTGTACTTTTCTCATTGCGTGACTGTCGGTTTCGCGATTGTGGCTGCGGCGGTCGCTATCGCCTTCAACCACGGTGGCTTCAGCGTCAGCTTCTTGATTACTGCTATTGGTATCTTCGTCGACAGCGCAATTGTGCCCATGGCTTGTACCATCATGTGGAGAAAGCAGTCGAAACTCGCCGTGATCGCGTCGCCTTTGGCCAGCTCTGCCGCCGCTATTTTGGCATGGTTTTTGACCGCGCACACCCACTACGGCGAAATCTCCATTGCCACTCTCAACGAGAACCTGCCCCTTGTGGCTGGCAACATGATGGCGCTCACGGGACCCATTGTTCTCACGCCGCTCCTTACCTATATCAGGCCAGACAACTTTGACTGGCAGGTGTTCAAGGACCAAATCAAGCGTGGTGACGACGAGCATGTGACGGTTGACGGCCACGTAGTCACGACGCACGACGCCGAGGCTCAAGCGGCCCTAGATGAGCGCAAACGTCACGAAGACGAGAATGAAAGAATATTGCTCGGAGCCCGAAATCGGTCCATCATAGTCAGCATTGTGCTCACGCTGGTCCTTACGCTCCTTTGGCCTATACCAATGTACGCAACCGACTATATCTTTAGCAAGCCGTTTTTCCGGGCCTGGGTGGCGGTTCTTTTCATTGTCGCCTTCCTCGCGTCCGGAGCCATTATTCTCCTGCCGATCTGGGACGCAAGGAAGGTCATGGCGCTTATCGTCAGGCGGTGGCTCAAGAAGGACGAGGTATATACCGCCGAGGCTATCAACGAAGTTGTCACAGGGAAAGATACGAAGGGTGTGTCGGAAAACACTACTCCACTGCAAAATAGTATGGAGAAGTTAGATGGCTAATGGCAGCTGCGAGCGAGTTCATGTCGACCTTGAACATAGAATTGTATAGACATTTGCGGGATCTAGTCATCATATAGTGTCTATAGAGCGATACGAAGTATGAGTAGCCTCGTGCGCACTGTTGTCACTTCAGCATCTAGACGGACTCCTGTCTGGTAGGCAGAAAGTCACTCGGGTGGGAACCTTCTCACGTCACGTCTGCACTTACATCTGAATTTCACATGGCGTGAAGGAGAGAGGAGACGAATCCATTCTCCGTGAACGGGGAGCTCCCTCTGCACGCTCTGGAATCAACTCGGCTACAGACAAATGGTCGCCGCTAAGGCGGTACACCTGGCTAGTACTACTTCTCTCAACTGGAACCCATGCTGTTATAGGCACTCCATTTACCTAGACAAAAACCCCTCTAGGCATTCACCTCCGCCCAAGAAGGTGCGCCTTATAGGCGCCCTGTTCGCCTGAGATCTACCACTTACAGGCATACTCTTTGACTATAATTTACTCCTTTATAGGCACTCTCCTTAGCTAAAACCTCTTAATTGAGGGCTGAGTTTTCACTACTCAGCAATATAATATCGTCTTTCCTTTTGATCATTGAATGTAGAGAGGACACCTTCTATTCGTTCATGTAAATACTCCGTACATTGTTCTTTTGGTGGGTAGTGGCAGAGAAACAGGCCGTTGACCAAATACCAGAGTGAACACTGTGACTTTTTGTCAAGAGAGTTTGAACACGGTTCCGCATTTTCATTGGCCATCCGAGCTCCGATAGAATATGCTCCGGGTGCTCGTTTTCCAGAAAGAAAAAAAAAGGAAAGAACACGACACCAACAGGACTTGAACCTGTGCGGGCGAACCCTTGGAGTTTGTTAGTGGAATGTTTGAACAGACATAGTAGAACTGGCTTACCATGTGATATCGAAACTGATTGCACTTTGCGATGCAAATGGTTCTAGTCACACGCTGAAATGTCGTTAGAACACGGATCGACGTAATTACGGCTGCAACTGCTTACCCTTAACCACTCGGCCATAGTGTCTACAAATGACGCCCATCAGACGCCATTGTTGAGACAATTTTGTCTAGTCAAGACTTATATACTAGTATCGAATCTGTGGGGCCAAAAACTTTGTTCTCGGCTACTTTGCCCAGTCGTTCCGGGCACGCTAGGTGTCGGCTCACTTTGCCCACAGGTATTTAAGACCTTGGCATCGTAGAATCTCCGAGTACTGAAGATGAAGTTATGGCTGGTTGAACGGGGAATCGAAATTGTTGTTTTGACCAAAGGGGCCAGCTACGACTGACAGGCAGGTCATATGGAATTTCATGTCCCCCAGAAAACTGCCTTGTAAATGAGGCAGAGCATCTACTCGTACAGTAAACGGCCTTCTTTTGAATCCGCTCCTTTACGATCTGCCTTACTCAACTTAGTGACGATGCACTTGAAGGAAATATTGTCTACTCGTACCTCTACTGATTCCCTTATGGTCTGACAATCTTGCATCCTCCCTCAGTACTGATAAATGCCGGTGGATGCAGGATGTGATCAGTGATCACCATCTGTTTCTCAAACCGAAACAAATATACAACCAGGACGTCAAAATGACGCATCCAAAGACCATAACTCGCGACGACCCCAAGGTAAACTCCAACTCGCTACACGAGTACCACATTGCCAAACGCGGTCCGCAAAATGTCCCAGAGATTGTGATGGCACGTCTCGAGCCAGAGAGACAAAGAACGGCAAAGAATCCCGGGCATTCCTACGCCCGGACGGACAATATCAGATTCGACTTTTACGACCAAAAGGTGTCCAATGCGCCGTTTGGATACGAGCAGTTCGTCTCCTTGCCGCCGAATTACGACGAGCTGAAGGAAACCCAATGGCCGCTCATTCTGTTTTTGCACGGGGCGGGCGAATCTCAACGTGGCGGCAACGAGTCCTTTGTGTCGATCAGACACGGCATACCGAAGGTGATTTTATGTTATGACAAACTCAAGTCTGCACCGGACGACGACGAGGATACCCCGGCAATCAACATCCCTCGAGCTGAAAGGCTGCGCAAAAGCAAACAAACCACACAAGGCGACAAGTCGTCCGAACCAGTACCAAAACAAGTGTGCACTTTGGTCGCGGAGAGTTTCATCACGGTGACGCCCTCGCTCAACATGGACTACGGGTACGGATGGAACGCGTCGATCTTGACGGCTTTGCTGGACGAGATTGTACACCGGCACCGCGTCGACCTCGACAGGATCCACGTCACTGGCTTCAGCATGGGAGGGTACGGCACGTGGGAACTCGCGATGCACACACCCCGTCGCTTCGCCACCGTCGTGCCGATTTGTGGAGGAGGGGATGATCTCAGAGTCGTCCATATCAAGCATATTCCTCACTGGTGAGTTTGTTCCTCGTACAATCGAGTTACATGTGACTTTCAGAAGGTCCCACTCGGCGGAAATGTAGGTATGGACACAAGCACTAGACTCCCCTGGTTGATGGACCGTAATATTTCTAGGATTCACCATGGCGATCTTGGCGACATTATCCCTGTCAACGCGTCGACTCGAATGGTCGAGGCACTTGAAAAGGTCGGCGCCAAAGAGGTCGAGTTTACGAGGTACCCGGACTTGATGCATGACAGCTGGACCGAGGCGTACAATAACCCAGAGGTGTACCGGTGGATGTTGGAGAGAAAGAGGACCGTGAAAGGGGACGAGGAAGGAGTGCCTGATGAAAATAAAGTGATTCTTTCAGTAGAGATATGAGTTGCTGGATAAACAAACGAATGCTTTCATTGTCCATGGTATCATGGATGACTCTGTCTCATAGAACTCGGGCATTTTCCCCATATTCCCCATTTCCTACTTTTCCACTTCCCAAATGGTAAACCCGTATTTTTGAACCCGAAAATAACTCAACTCATTCAACAACACCTTCCAGTATTCAGAAAAACAACGACAACTACCCCCCTCCCACTGTCCTTTCAGAGGGTAAGACTTCCTTCTCTTCTTCACATGTTCCATGGAGAACGTGTACGTCGACGACCATTGACCATCAATCTCTGCCCTAATCCGCTTGAACACAACTCTGTCTCTCACAAAATGGAAATGAAATTGTTCATTGTGACTCGAGGACGATAGTAAGTTCGCAATGGGCGGCAGCACCGACATGTGCGTGAGCGTCGCGGACCGCCTCGTGGACGACGATAGTCATAGTCGGAGCCGAGGTCAGAATCGTAGTTGGAAAAGCTGTGATTCCTGTCAGCCCTTGGGAAACCCCCCATCAGATGCAGACGATCAAGACTTGCTCATAATCAGACTCTGACACGTAATCATCACCATAGTCATCATAGATGATGGGCCGTCGAGGCGGAGGCGGAGGAGGGGGAGGACGTCTGCGTCGTTCTGGGATGGCGAGTGCAGCGAGACGGACCCGAGGGCCATAAATCATGGTGGCCGGGTCCAAGTGTCCATTTCGTGCTATGGTGACGGGGCGACCTCTGAAGAATTGATCAAAGATGTCCATGGTCCAACTTCCCAGATCTTGGTATCGTGGGGAAGATTGTTCCTAGCGCACTTGTACTCTGGTGTAGCTGGACAGCAGTTGTGGCAGATGTTGATACCTGGATGTACCCGGGAGTGAATGGATGTTCTTATAAGCCCAACCCGGCGACAGGGTTGCTTCGTTTGGGGTGTCGATTGTAATCAGACTGTGGTTTGTAGACAAACAAGATCACAAGTTGGATAACGGTTGAGATCGCATTCGTGTACGAGGAGGAGACAAATGATGAATGAAAAAACAAAACAAACACTTGGGTGGTATTGGTGTAGTTGTCCTCGGTCGACCACGCGTATGTGGGAAGCAGATGAACAACCACTCAACACGCACTGGCCGTTCAGCAAAACAGCCTTTCCAAGACTGTAACATTTCCTTCTCGGGATGTGAGCAGAGATGGAATCGGGGCTGGCACGGGAGGCAAATGTTCCATCCTAATTGTCCCTTTGTCCTTCGCGAACGTTTACCTACCTGAGGTCAAAATACCCTCTATCTGCATTTTTGCCTGATGTCAAAGTATTACAGCAGCCTAATGAGATTGTTTGCTTGATGGGCATTTTCATATTTGCCCAGTGTTCTGGTTACACCAAGGGTCACCTGTGTCCCCAGGCATTGCTTCAAGTACTTTCAGGGACGAACGAGTCAAACTCTGAGATTAACTTGAGGCTGGTGGTTGGAGAAGTCAGAGATTGCCAATAGCCTTCTGTAATAGATTCGGAGGGGGCCCCAATGGCAGATGTGAAATGCCCTAGGACACTGCTCGTATTATCAGTTTGATGAGATTGAAAGTCAAGAAGAAGGGGGAGGTCGTCAACTGTCAAGGGTCGAATGAAATCCCACGGGTGACCAAACTACCAAATTGGAGGCGCAGCGGCTCTAGGCACCGGTAACGTCACTCTCCGAGGCACGCGATAAGACAATTTCCATGTCCCAAAAACCGACCTTTACTCACTAGAAGATTGGATTGCTCTCGAACCACCAAAGCATACAAGAATATGCAGCAAAAATGGGAAATTCTCAGAGCGCGCACAAGATCTCAGCGCAGGACAAGTAAGTACCTACCTACACTTCCCGCTAAACTCGACCTGTTTACTTTGGATGAGGAGTTGATTCCCATTCGCACCGCACCGCACTGCACTCTCCTTAATAACTGCGTTGTATGACACAATACTAAGCCTCTCTTTGGGAGCAGGGCGATTCTAGACATGAAAAACCAACGCGACAAACTACGTCAATACCAGAAACGAATAACGGTGATAACGACCCGCGAGACCGAAATTGCCCGCGAATGCCTGGCCAAGGGCGACAAACCCAAAGCCCTCCTGGCGCTGCGCCGTAAGAAATACCAAGAATCCCTCCTGTCCAAGACGGACGCACAACTCGAGCAGCTCGAGCAGCTGACGAGCAGCGTCGAATTCGCGCTGGTCCAGAAAGATGTGCTTTTCGGGCTGCAACAGGGCACCCAGGTGTTGAACATGATCCACAAAGAAATGGGCGGGCTCGAAGGGGTGGAAAAGATGATGGCCGACACGGAAGACGCGCGACGCTATCAAGAGGAGATCAGCGAGGCCTTGGCGGGCCAGATGTCGAACGAAGACGAAGACGAGGTCGAGGATGAACTCGAGGCCATGGAAAGGGAACTTGCGGGCGTGGCAAGTGCATTGCCCGACGCACCCAACAAGACCGTCTTGGGAGAGGCAACACTACCTGATGTGCCGCAGACGGAGCTGGAGAGATCACAGAAACAAAAGGAACGGGCCAAACAGAGACGCATCGCTTTGGAGGCAGCATGAAATGCATGCATCATGGCGGAGAATGATCACAGAGTCACTCCCTTTTGTTCTATTGACTCTCTATGGGGCTATGGAAGCAACAAGGAGAAGAAGAGGATTCTTAAAGTATGCCCATGGATACCCGCCACCACCGGATTTCGCATCATCGATCGTCGTCGAAGAGTGCCATCGTTCCCTTCGCAAGGCACGATCAGCACTTTCATACCAGGGCAAGCATACAACCAGAGGCAAAAGGGCTACTACTGTCCCGGCATGGATCGATTGACATTAGTCAATCCCTGAATCAACTTGTGGTCTTGTGGGTTCGCCGCAGCCTCGTACAAGACGCTGACGGGTTCGCGGTTGAGAGCCATGAAATCGCCCTTGAAGCCGAGGTAGGCTATCCTGGTGACATCCTCGTCGCCGCCGGAGTGGTTGTCCTCGAAAAAGAGATTGACGGAAGTCGTGCCGCTCCAGAGAGCTCGGTTCAAGGGGATCTCGGCCACGTCGTTGGTTTTGGGAAGTGTCAGCATCTGAGTCGGGGCCAGATCGGAGGCCATGCCGAAATCCATGTCGTCGCGGTTGCGAAAGAGTTTGAGCGTCATGGGCGCCGAGTCGGAGTCTGAGGTTCTGATGAGGATGGAGTAGAGTTTACATGAACCGGAAAACGGGACGTGCATGAGGAGTTGCTCGTCGGCGTCACTTTCTAGGATGGGGGTTTCGTTCATCCGCTCGTCCCAGGTCTTTTGGACGATGGAGGCACCCGAGCGAGGTTCGGCCTCGTTGAATGTGATGATACCTTCAAAGTTGATTTGTTTGTAGAGGTTAGATTGAAGAGCCGGTTCTAGATCGTGTGAGTGGTCGTGTCCATCGCCATGACCGTGTCCGTGGTCGTGACCATGGCCATGATGATGGTGATCGTGAGAAGACATTGTCTCGTTTTTCTTTGGATTCTCTTTCAAATGCAATCTTGATATTTGTTACAACCTGAATGTTCTAGCATGGTTCAGCGATGGTAGAGGTGTTCTGGGTATCTTAGGGATTGGGTGAACATGTGCATAGAAGATTGCAGATTCCTTATCTGTCTGTCAACCATGAATCATTATTGTTCTACAAGAGGTTTATTCTTCAGAGGTTGTTACAGCCATAGGTTACACGACATTCGAAGGGGGGGATACAAGTGAAGTCATTTTGCAATACAGTCGCCGCTTTTGATGTCACGTCGACGTCAGTGTGAGTCGACACAAAAGCAGCATGAATAGCATCACCTGAGTCCATCAGAACCTAATGACATGGAATTTCTCCTACTACAACACATGGTACCGTTATAGTCTTCCATTGAAAACATGCTCGCAGAGTACATGGCAACTGAACAGTCACGTCCGTTCAGCCAGTGTTGACAAAAGACAGTGATCTCAATCAGTAGGCTACCTGAAGTTCAAGCATCCTACTCCTCAACAGCCCAGCAAGTACCGCTTGAATGCCAATCACCAAACCAAGCCCGACACATATGGTGGAGGTTTTACGTGGATGAACCCACCCTACGTTCCCTTCGTACGCACTCGCAAGGAACAACACAAGGTCAGAGCAACCATGAAACAGAACCAGCACTCCCAGAATTTGTGGCAGTGACATCGGTATTCCTCGCACGTCCCTCGCCAACACGTTGACGCCGATGAGAGCTGCCGTCATGGAGTGCCCAGGGATTCCAACGAGCGTTCTTTCCAGAATGGTGATGGCAAGTTTGAGAGGTGATTCGTTGTTCTCGTATGAACCGTACACGTATGCGATGTTCTCGATCGTCGCGAAGCCGACGCCGGCCGCGGCAGGAATGACCAGGTAATCTCGGTCGTGGGTGACGGTGCCGTATCTGGAGGCGCACATCAATGCCAGGTATTTGAGACCCTCTTCGATCACGCCGGCCATTACGAAACAGAAGATGACCAGAAAGAATCTGTACGACCACCGCGAGGACATTTCTCGCCGCTTAGCACGGTGGGCCGCATCTTTGATCTTGTCTTCCGGCATGGTGAATTCCTTGATGTATTCTTTTGCATTTTCGCGAAATATGATGAATGCCACGAGATATGAGAGGATGCCTTGGGCGGTCATGGCCATGGCCATCCCTATCGTGCCAGTGATGAGGTAGGCCCCAATGAGAGTGCTGAAATCGGTCTTATGGGTTGTCGTCTGGCTTTCCCAGCTCCAGAGCAGCGCAGTCGGCAAAAGGAGTATGCATGTCATGACTGGAAAGATGAGGGAGTCTGTCGAGAGCCTGGTCGACGCCATGGTATTGTATGAGGAGCAAAGATGGTGTGCAACGATCAAGCAATTCGAAGATTGGGTCTGCAAAGAAGTTGGAATGCGCTTGTACGAGCAGAGACAGGACTTTGGGTGTTGTACAAGTAAAAGTCTTTGAATTCAAGATACAAGTCGAGGACAATCCATCATATGTATCGAGAAGGAATGGCTTCGACCCGATCTGTCCGTGGTTCCACTTTGGGTTCTGCGAACGCTTTCCTCTTCGTAGCCGTGTTCGTGATCGTATTCGTGGTCGTAAAGGACCCACCCTTGAAGTGACAGCATCCCTACTAGTTTTGATATCCCCTTCAACTGGAATGATGTGTCCCATGTGCACTTGACGCATCAGGATGCAGCTTTAGACCTATACTGTCGGACTCTTTCTTGCGCCAGTGTAACTAGAGCTTTCATTTCGGGGTCTGTGAGATTGGCCAATTTGGTCCTCACAAGCTCGTCTACAAGGAGACCTCCGTAGCTCCGCGCCCACCAAGCCTGATGGCCGGATTTTTGGCAGAGAACTCCCCAGTACATCAACAACAAAAGGGAGGTGGTATCCCCTGATTTGATGGCTTTGATATAGTTATCTCCGGCCATGTTGAGCCAACCCAAAGTATATCCGCTGTAGGTTTCATCCGCACATTTGGCGAAACACTCTCGAAGCATCGACAGAGCCTTCTTACAGGTCTCCCACAAGGAAATCTGATTGACTCGGTGTTCGTACGCTTCATTGACCGTTGACCCAATCCTAGCTTCGTTATAGTCACTCAATTTCGAAAAGGCGCTTTCGATTTCTGGGTCGAGCGTCGTCAACGGCAGCTCCTCAAAAAGCTTCAATCGACTGATGTATGGTGAGTTTGCCAGGTAATCGGCGTTCCGCCCGACAATAGCCCAAACCCCTTCTAGCAGCTCAAAGTGTGTGATGGTGCTTTGAAGAATGTCGTTACCGCCCAGGTTCAGACTGGAGGCCGCGTCCGGTTGGGTCTGAGCCGAAGCCAGCGCGAGAATCATGATCATTAGGGAGAAGCAAAGCATTGGCTCGATGGTCCCGGGAGGGGCATGGTCTAGGTGACGCCTGAAGGCGCTGATCGATCGCGTCTGAAATTCGAACGCAGCATCGACATAACTGTCGTTGTCGTATGTGGCGGCAATCTCGAAGGCAGTCACCGCGAAAATCCCATCTAGTAAGAAGTCAAAGTGTAGAGCCATTGCCGGTACTTTCGTGCGCCAGAAATAGTCATCCTCGGCGACCGGGGTGCACATGCTCTTGTACGTGGTGGTCGAATATCTGTTCATGAGCTGAAGCTCGAAGAACCGCTTATCAAGCTGGCCCGGGAACAGTGGCGGTTCATCCTCTGAGGGGCGAGAATCGTGTTCGGGTGACCGGGTTGATCTCTGTGCTTGTATGGGAGCGGTGATCGGCTTTGGGGGTTTCTTGCTATCGCGTTGAACAGGAGATTGAGTCACTGTTGTAGCGGCAGCGTATACGCACGGAGTCCCTCGGATTCGACAGGGTTTGCAAGGCGGGCCATCCTCTGAACAACGAACATGTCGTTGTTTGCAAGTAACGCAACCTTGACGCGACTTTGTGTGGGAGCGTCGTGGGGCCATTGCAGGTGTAAGAAATTTTGCGCGTAGGACGGAGTTGTTCTAGTCGCGGCTTCTTGGTCACTTTGAGACTAAACATCAACGAAAGTGCCACAAGTGCTTCATTATCTATGAGCATTGATCGAGGAAGTAAGAAACATTCAGAGGAGAGGGAGAGATCATAAATCGTTCTCGACGGCTTACGAGCACGAACACGAATACGAGTACGAAAATGGCGCTTTCTTCCCGCTAGTGGCAAGGCTAGTTTTCCCGCTAAGGCCCCAAAGGGGAAGACGAAGGAGAGTCATTTACTCCGTACTCGTATCTCAAGGAGCATCGCTCATTGTCAGGATGGATAGTTCTTCCTTGTAGCTGATGGTTCTTGTGCAACTTGAGCCTGGTATCAAGTATAGTGCCGCAAATATGAGCTTGGTAGGCCAAGTGTATATGAGGCTCGAGAACTGTAACATCGGTTTCTTCACTTTTCTCTTACTCCTACCTAACCTAGAGACATTGACAACCAAGTACTCAGGATCTTCCTCTCACATCACAAAAGCCACTATGTCTTTCCTAAAATCTCCCTCAAGGCGATTGTTCCTCGCCAATGAATTCAATGGGCAACTTCAGCGACAACCAATGCCCATCTGTGTATCGTTCAAGCCGCAAATTCGCACCGTGAGCCAGCAGGAACCCAACCTTCGAGGAAGGAGGCCCGGGCCCAAGAACGATCCATCATATCCTTCATTCAGTTTCGCTGGTCTGGGCGCCTCTCGGACAGTTAGGGTTACCGTCCTGGCTGCTCTCGGAGTCCTGGGCACCTTAGAGACAATTTTTTGGGCAAAAGCGTTGTGGCGTTACTTCTACCCGAGCACCGAAGCCACCAGTGAAGATGAGTGAAAAACGATACCAAATAATATTCCATTCCGATCCTATCCAGTCAGCTGTGTCGAAGCTTGAACCATAAGCTGCAGATCAACACTTTTTCGACCATGTCAAACCAAACCAAAATTGCAACGACTGCTCCCTGAGAGTATAGTGCAAGGCAAGCTCAGCCTCATATCACCTCACAAATCTCATGAGGGCCTTGGCCGAACTCTTGTTCATCGGCATCGTCTTCATTGGAGCTCGACAATTGCGCATCGACAAGACCAATGGGATTCGGAAGCAGTCCATGACAACGGCATCCTAGAACTGCGTGTCATGATTCGTAAGATACTAAAGTGGGCAGATGCCGAAGGGATGCAATGGTCGATAAGACTGATACGAGGGAGAATCCAAAAGTCGATGCATAGAAGGAGTTGCAATACACAAACCATTGCTCACTTTCCCCACGGAAGCGTTGTTACACCTGCATGAACAGATTGCAGGTGCATTTTGCACATCGAAGTATACGTATGATACGTTAGAAGACTGCTTGGTCGGACCGGCTTGACTTTTGGGAAAGTTGAGAGCTGAATGAATGTATGCTTCGATATACAAAATGTCAAAGCCATGGTGGGCACGAGTTCGCACAACAAAGGTGTTTTCTCTAGACACAACATGAACCCAAAAATGTCTCCATTTGCATCTGGCAACATCAAACACTTGCCATACCATTGGGAAACCTTGGGGTCGAGAACCATCGGATAGTAGCTTTCCCGGGATCGAAACCTCCCCGTGGTTGGAGTAGGAATGTAGGACCGTGAAAAGGAGTTTCAACCCCAAAGACGGCAGGTTCTGTTCGTTCGCGTAACAAATGTCCAACTTTGGACAGGGCCAGTGTATGGGAGGGTATTGAATTTTTCCAGTGGTAACATTGCTGAGCATGTAACAGAATCTCTTCGGAAGGTCTATAATTCCACCGGGAAATGCACGTCGCCCAATCTGATGTTGTGAATGGTACTTAGAGCCCTGAGAGAAAATCAGGGACAGCTCACAATACTGTCACGTGTGGTGTGCAACTTGCTGACGATCATCGCTACCTTGATGGACTAGGATATGAACGCCTGTGAACAATCATTTTGAAAAATAATTCAGGATTGAAGATAGTCTGCACTAGAAGCGTGGTCGAGGAACTCCAAGTGGGAGTACTCCGTACTAAGGTCTCTTCGATGACTTCGCTGTTAATTCTGGCCTCGAGCCCATCGGTGAATCCGATCGCGGAGTGACTAAAGGTCCTTGGCCGTCGACGAGGGGCGAAATTGGGATTGTTATTGCGGCTCTGCGGAATCTTTTGGATAAACGTAGTACTTCGAAAGGAGTACGCGTATGTCTCTTGACCTCGATTCTGACAGGGTAGTGGCCGGATGGGGCTGAATATAGACTGAACATCTCAGTACACCTTGCATGCAACAGACCCGATCAAATGCCGTTTTCGTAATGTATGCAAATGTTCTGGGTTTCGGCTGCGTTGAGAGTGTTACGATGCCATTGTTAGGAAGATTTCGCCAAGTTGCCCCTAGAGCTGGGCGATGCAGAGAGCCTCACGGATAGTTCCTCGGCGGCCCCTTTCCGGGCTTCAAACACTTATCATTGTCGAATGAAGTTTCCGAAGCCCGATCATTGGGACGAACCGGGCCTTTGGCTGCATAGGGTCGCCAGCTTTCCTTAAATTGTTTCAGAGGCGTTGCAAGCCACGACTGCGTCCTGGGGGCTGAAATGTGAAGATCCATAGATTTCACAGTCAAGATCTGGAGGGCCCTGAGTAACAATTTCGTGACGGTGAACCACGCAAATGTACTATGCAGTACATTGCATCCACAACTATCCACACCTTGATCTGCATCTGTCGTGGCGGCTGCAAGGTATTACTGTTCGTCGTTGGTATTGATGGGCTCATAATCGGGATTTCCCGACCATTTTAGCGATAAGGCCCTCCACGGTTGTACCAAGTGCAAGCCTTGTATATTTTGGGGGAATTAGACTATGGCGACTAGCGAGACTGTGTTGCAGTTTCGAGTTTTCCTAACCCCCCTTACTTCTTTTTTGGGCTTTGTTTCATTGTTCAGCATCCATGGGGTATTCATTTATTCGAAGGCATTTCCCACACTGAGGCATGCTTGTACTTTGGGGCATGTGATGAATCATCGCCTCAGGGTATGTTCATCAAGCTAGAGGGCTGATGATGAGATGAAAGGTCCACTTTGCTCAGCCGGAATTTGGTCCTTGGCTCTTTGAGCCCCAAAATACGGAGTCTCTTGTATCAACTCGTATTTCAGCGACCGCGTGTATGAGGAGGGGTTGGGATAGAACCTAGCAGCACCGACACTGGCTGCCAGGTCACTTGAGGACTCCAAAGGTCTTATAACAGCAGTCGCCCTCTCTGACCCGTGTCGACGATCAGCTTCATTTCTGCTTGGTGCACAAAGCATCATGAGAGTCTTCCATCTTGTTTTTGGCAGCACTTTACTGCTCGCACCTAGCTATGCCCAGCAAACCAACCACACACAAGAATTCGTCGGATGGCAGGAGTCCCCGAATGTTAGGGGTACAATGGATATTATCTGGACTTGTCTTGTGAGTATCTTTGCAGGCGTTTAGCCGTTCATCCTACAAACGGCATAGGTACTTAATGCCCGAGAAGTCCCGTTAACATGTCGTAGTTCACCGTGTTCATTTGCGTGTGGACTGCTGTTCATCTGAACGTTCCTGCACCACCTGGTACTGATAGTGCCATTGATTTGTGGCTGAGAAGGATCAAATGGGGTCAGTACACTTTCGGGCACAATCTTCTCTGCACCAAAACTAATCATGTCCAAGTCGGTAACTGTTGCATTGTACCGGAAATCGTTATGATGCTGGCCGCTGGCCAATGGTCGTTTGCTCGTTCTTGCTGGCGCGAAATGAGAGACATTCTTGCCGAACAAGACTCGCAAGTGATCATGGAGAGAGGTGATATGCCCGTCGTGAAGACGGTCACCGATCCTGTCGTCAGCGTGACCGCCACTCCACCTTCACCCCCAGCGATCGATGGCGACGAAATTCAGATGGTAGAGATGAGCCGACCAAAGATGCAACGCTCCGAGACCTTCGCGGAAAGGGAGGAGAGAGAAGACGATGAACGATGGACCTTGCGTCACGGTCAGTCTTGTATGTGACTTTGAGGTTTATGCTGATGGAGGGCCAGCTTTCTTTGCCAATATGGGTGGCTTCCGGCTCAAGGAGCAGGGAAACCCAGCACCTTACCTCATCAATGCGAAACACATCAATTATCTTGTGCGCAAAGGGTACATAGATCTTCCCACAATCACTACCCTCGAAATCAACGACCACTCCAAATCCGACAGCCTAGCTAAATTTCTGGCCATCATGCAAGTCGGTTGGCTTGCCGTCCAGGTTATAGCCAGAGCGATCCAGAAGTTGGAAACAACACTGCTCGAAATTACGACCCTCTCTTTCGTCGTTTGTACCATGGGCAGTTTCATTGCCTGGTACCGAAAGCCTTATGATGTTCAGACATATGTCTTGCTTTCAATGAAACATGGGTATACTGTCAACGATATCGACCTGACCTTCACGGACCAGAAAGACGCAAAACACCGAAATCTGTTGGAGGAATACCAATCCGAGCATCCTTCGAATGAATGCAAGATTCTCAATGAGCGTGGACAACTTGTTGCACCATATACCAAGCTCGACATCATCGACGATGGGGAACCTACCTTTACCGGCACCTTCACCGACAAATATCGAAAGTATTGGGGTGGTCAAGTCGGCAATCCGAACAGAATCCGAAACGACCGTCTCCCGATAATGGAGCACCGAGTGACTTTTATTATTGTGAGTTTTGTTGCAGTATTTGGTCCTTCCTCCAGTCTATGCTAACCGACGTGATCAAGGCGGTCATCACATTCGCCTACGCAGGTCTCCACGCTGCTGCCTGGAACATCCCCCTTCCAACGAATATCGAACAGTTACTCTGGCGCATCTCATCAATCGTTATGCTTGGTTGTTGCGTGGCGTGGTTCGGCATGGACCATTTCCAAGAATATCGAATCAACAAGAAAGAGAGGGAAGGGATAGTTGATCGAGATTCGATCGTCCCTTGGTGGAGGATACCAGCGTCCATCTTGGTGGCCACCGTCTACGGCCTGAGTCGCATATATGTACTTGTGGAATCATTTGTAGCTCTCCGGTCGATGCCAGTGTCGACATACCAGCAAGTAGACTGGGGCAAATGGGTTCCTCATATATGAGAGGCCTCGATGCGATGACGATATAATGGCAACGTTGACGATGACAAGTTTGACAGGATATAAGACGGACAGGACACGAGAAGGACCAGAGTTCGAGGCGCTGTGGCGTTTCAGGTTGGTGATTCTTTTATATTTGAGATCTTGACTGGGCTTGGCGCTCAAATCTGCCAACATCGACCTTTCTATTGAATATTTATCAGGTATTGTGTCTCACCACTTTGCGCATGACTCGAGCTATGCTTGATGATACCATTTTGTTGGCATCCTCTGATTCTAATCATGCATCCATTCGTGACCCGCCACTTCGCTCGATGAACGAGTTCAACGAAAGCCCAGAGTTTATGGACGAGTTGCTCCGACGTGAGCCACTTGGAAGGACTAGCACTCGATGACTGATGACTGAACAACAGCTAAAGGGCTGCTCAAAGACATGATCGTTAATGTATGAAGCTCGCTCAAGGGTAAAAACTTATCGCCATGTGCCACAAGTTTCATGGAGTGCCGCAAAGTTATTAGAGCTCAAACTTCTCCCCTCGTTGGTTCGGTGGACACCAAAGCGCAGGATAGACCCTCGAGAAGATCCTGTCGCACATATAAAAATCAACGGTAGGCTCCCACCCTTTCAACCGCGTAAGTCCTTGATTGTGTCGTTGTCATTTCACAGCACAGCAACCCTACCTTGCTTGACCTACCCATCGATGGCAAAGCCACCTCCGACTTCCATAGACGACATGGCAAGAACAACTGTGAGATCAACCATGATGTGGTATCTTTCTTTCCTGGCTCCCCTCGCAATAGCCTTCCCCCTGTTTCCGATCAAAACTACTACACCAGAATCATGTACACAGATGCGTGCCTCAGAATGGCGCCAACGAAGCATATATCAGATTGTCACGGACAGGTTTGCCTTACCAGATGGGACGACTCCCGAACGTGGGCTTAGAGAACACTGCGGGGGAACTTGGAAGGGTATTGAGAACCGCTTGGACTATATCGCTGGAATGGGATTCGATGCTCTTTGGATCAGTCCAGTCGTACACAATCTTGAAGAGAATACAACTTGGGGCTATGGTTATCACGGATATTGGGCAGATGACCCTTTCAGACTCAACGACCATTTTGGCACGGCGGAAGACCTACGAAGTCTCTCGGATGCACTACACGCCCGAAACATGGCCTTGATGGTGGATGTTGTTATCAATCATCTTGGGATAAATCAACCTCCGGATCAGCTCGATTATTTGCACTTTCCCGAGCCGTTCAACAGCCCCGACGCCTTCCACCCGAACAGCCCCATCAATTACAACAACCAGAAATCAGTGGAAGACTGCTGGTTGGTCGACGCGCAGCCTCCACTACTGGCCGATGTCAACACCGAAAATCCTGATGTTTTGGAGGCAATAGTCAGAAGCGTGGTCGATCTCGTCCAGCGCTACTCCATCGATGGCATTCGACTTGACACTGCAAGACACGTACCACAACGCCATCTTGAACGATTCCAAGAAGCCGTCAACGTCTTTGTGACTGGCGAAGTCCTGGACGGAGAAGTCGAATATGTTGCACAATATCAAAGGTCGATGGACAGTGTCCTCAATTACCCTTTATATTTTGCCATCAACGGAGTGTTTGCTGGAAATGCCACATTCAGTACTCTACAAGATGTCATCAATCGCGAAAGAGCCTCGTTCTTGGATACCACAGTTCTCGGCAACTTCCTGGATAATCATGACCAAGCTCGATTTGCGAGCAAGACAGGCAACAACATCGCCCAAGACATGAACGCTTTGACATTCATTATACTCGCCCCTGGGATTCCAATCGTCTACTACGGATTTGAGCAACGACTTCACGGAGACAAAGATCCCGAAAACAGAGCGCCCCTTTGGAGTGTAGGATATAATACCGACGCACCCCTTTATAAGCTGATCGCCAAGCTTCAAGCCATCAAGCATATCGCCAGGTCGAGTGATATTATGTCTCTCTTCGATGAAGACCTGGGACAGGTTTTGGCAATTTCAGATACGACATTGGCTTTTCAACGTGGACCACTCGTGACAGCCGTCAGCAAAGCTCAACTGGACGACGACAACAACAGCAGCAGTAACAGCACGGGGCTTCAGCTTCCTCGGTCCGCTTTCAACGAGGGAACTCAACTGATCGACCTGATCAGCTGTGAAGCCACCACAAGGGCAGGCGTCGATGGATCATTCACTGTTTTACACAACACGAGCTCCCCAGAGATTTGGGCATCAAGAGAACTTGCTGGTGGATTGTGTTTTTGAGAGGAGAGGTAAAGGGGTGGTTTTAAAGCGAAACAGTTATTGCATGTATACTGAATTATCACTCTCGGCAAGGCCATGTCTGTCTCTCAATTACTGATCAAAGGTTTGAAAACCGAAATGCGTGCTCTTTCTAGTTCAATGCTTCGTATGAGTGCTCGTTATTCATTGACATGTGGCTGCTGTTCGAATTTCATAGAGCTCCAAGCGAACCTCGGCCCCCCGTTTGGAAGATGCGACCGCGACTCTCCAAGGGCTTTCTTTCATAGGGGCTCAAGAGGTTTGGACCAATCACTAACAATCTCACCGCCTCGAAACAACCCACGTCCACCCCTCCAAACCACCAATTCACCCGATTGATGTCACAGTTTTGCGTTTCCCTCGTCTAAGCCTCGCAGGCTAAGTAAGTTAGTCAAAACTGGATTGGTGAGAGAGTTCGGAGGAAAGAAGAAGAAGAAGAAGAAGAAGAAGAAATAGCTATTCTTTTCTGGAAATGTTGCGTGACACCGGAGAGTCGTTGAGAAAAGCAAGAAACGTTGCGCAAGCCGAAAAGTCGAGAGAAAACGAAAGACTACGTTTGACAGTTGTGATATCAATACAAAATAACCTGATGAAAAAGGGTGTCACCCGCCAATGCTGAAATGATACCGAAGATACGCTATGGACAAAATCACTTCCGAGGCATCATATCTCACAACGGGAGTCGTTTACACCGCGCTACCATGTCTGATCTTGCTCCTTGCGACATTCTGGACACGGCGACGAAAAAGGGTCAAGGTACGAGAGGATGAGCTTTTCTTACCTACTGCACGGTATCAAATTGCTATTTCTTGTTCCATCTGTGGCCTTGATCCCACATGATGCAGATGTGCTTGCTGCTGAAACATTTCCTTGAAATCAAATAGGACCTCGCGGCATTTGCTGCTGCGCATGGATGCCGACCGGCACAAAAGCACCTATCTAATCCCTGGTGGCCACCGTTGGGACTTGACAAGTAAGTGAAGTGGGCAAGAGGAAACGTCCAAACTTCTTGAAATGTTATAATCCGTACTCACCTACTTGTCAGAGCACTTCCCACAATCAAAGCAGATCGGGCTGGTCGTTTGCCTCCTTTCATGCTCCAAGAGTTCGAGAAACATGGACACACTTACACTCAACGCGTCAATGGGCAATTGGTGGTGCTGACTAGGTCACCGGCCAATGTCCATACCATTTGCAAGTACCGGTTCAAAGGTACGACCATGTCTTGTTCCTTTCTTTTATTCGTCTGGTTTGCGAAGGGGGTTTTTTCAAGCTGATCAAGAGTGACTGGGATAGATTACGAGCTGGGTGCCGACCGTGCAGGTAACTTTCGACCGTTGATTGGACACGGGATCCTTTCCCTGGATGGAAGGGAATGGACGAGGTCTCGAGCCATGCTAAGGTGAAAGGAACTCCTTGACATCACTTCCAAGTACCTCTCTTTTGGCTTCGTGCATGTGTCTGACGAGGTGATATATTTGATAGACCTCATTTCAATCGCAGCATCGAGCAGGACTTTGTTCGACTCGAAGTTCACGTGCAAAGATTGCTGGGTAGATTGAAGGCGAACGATCACGGCCGGGCGATTGACATTGCAGACTTACTGCTCAAGCTGAGCACTGATTTCGCGACGCAGACGGTATTCGGTCACTCGACCGACACTTTGGTGTTTGACATGAAGCACTGGTCCGGGGAACAGGACAAAGGGAGTGCGGGCGAGTTCTCGACGGCCCTGGGCCACGCTTTGCACATGCTGGGCCAACGAGGTCAACTGCTCAATTTCTACTGGCTTCGCGATTCGCCGCGGTTCCGGAGATCGTGTCGAACCTGTCGGGCGTTTGTCGGTAGATACCTGACGGAAGCAATGTCGGGGCGGCGGTCCGGGGCTTCGAACCAAGCCAAAAAATCAGAAGAAGAGGAGGGCCAAGTAACAACAAGCTCCCAGGGCGCAATTTCATTCATGCACTCTCTCGTCGCCAAGGAGACTGTCCCGACGGGGGTGATGCGAGACCAGCTCCTCTCGTTGCTCCTGGCGAGTAGAGACACGACGGCGTCGTTTGCCAGCTGGGTCGTGTACGCACTGGTCAAGCATCCCCGGGTGATCGCCAAGCTTCGTGGCGCCATCCAGACTCGTCTCCCACATGGCACGGTGCCCGGTGCGGCCGACATCTCAGCCTTGACTTATCTACGCCACGTCCTGAACGAGACCATGAGAATCTTCCCGGTAGTGCCCTTGAACGGGAGGACCGCCCGCGTCGACACCGTGCTCCCCGAGGGAGGCGGCGAGGACGGTCAGAGCCCACTGTCGGTCCCCGAGGGGACGAAGATAGGGTTCAACATTTACGCCCTGCAGCACCGCCGGGACATCTTTGGCGAAGATGCGGATGACTTCCGACCCGAGCGATGGGAGAGTGATGGTGCGTCGGGAGACTTTGAAGGTGCTTTTGCTCCCTTCATTCTCGGCCCTCGGGTCTGTTTGGGTAGTGAGTTTTCTTTTTTTGGTTGCTTCTGTTTACTGACTCCACCAACTGAATAACTGGAAGTATGGGCTGACAGTGGCTGGAAAAAAAAACTTAGAAAACATGGCCATGATGACAGTGTCTTACTTAGTTGTGCGACTATTGCAAAGTCTCGAACGGCTAGGCCCGGCCGAGGCTCCCGAGTCAACAGTCCGTACGAAGGTGACCAACACGAGCAACTGGCCCAGTGAGGAGACTCGATACGATATGGAGGATGGAGCTACGACGTTTGGTATTGGAATCACCATGGCACCTCGGGATGGTGTGTGGGTTAAGATCTGAAAGCGGCTGCTGTTCATGAATCGTCAAATTTATCCGACGTCGAAGTTGGAACGAGCCTCACAATAAACTGCACCGGCCGTGATCCAAAAGTTTGGGTGAGAAATGACATTGTTGTTTGTTCGGGCCACATGGCACTCGCCTGGGGCGTCCCGAAAGTACCTTTTAAACGAGGCCGAATGGAGGAAGTTTCCAGGTCCTGATATAGAACAGAACTAAGTGGGCAAGCCCGGGAAACTTAAAAACCCAGGCTCTAAGCGTCATGTTTGGTTCTCACTAGGCGTGGTTACACCTTTGAAAAAGAGCGGTGGTGTAGCCTAGAAGTCTTGGTATGAAGTACCGCCAAGGCCTTCCCGGCGTCTTTAGGCCTACCTAGGCGTAGCTATCATAGCCCAAACGAGCTGCGTAACGGCATGTTGGCTTGCATCATAAATGGGGCTCAGATTCGCTCTGGGGGGGGAAGGGGGAGGTTCGCCTAATAACGCCTTTATTGTCTTCCAGATGGAGTTTGTTTGTCTCCGACGTCAAAACCTACAGCCTGTACTCGTACTATCGAGGCTGGGCGCCTTGTCTAGACCTTTAGGAGTGTGTTTTTGCAAACGTTGTCTCAGAGTATACTTCGTACCGTAGGAGGGCCCTGGGTTCTGGTGTCACAGAGGGTGATCAGAATGGGGACAATAATAATATTGTCGAGGTCTGCGTGATACGGATGTTCTCCGTCGGTCTTTTATTGCGAGCCTCTCGACCAGAATGGCGTGCTTACGGTAGTGATATTCATAAAGCACCTCAATAGTTCAGCCAGCCTTATTTCAAACTCCCGACTTCCCGACTTTCTCGTGTCCACAATTCCATGTTGATGGAAATCCTGGAGGATCTTTGAACATTTCCAATAGTTCCCACAACTCCCAAGCCAAGGGAAGAGATTGGCTTTCTGACATGAGCACAAGCCCCGGGGTGTCCTTACTGCTAACATATTCCTTCTGAACCCCTCCCTTTAAAAGGGACAGAACCGAGTACGCTGATCGAATATATTCTTAACGGACTCCGTACGACACCCTCCTCAAAAATTCCAAACTACGAAACGTTTCATACCATCACTCTTCATCGTCAGTTTCGTACTCCAGCCTCTTTTGTTTTGGTCGGGTTTGTTCACCTTTATGGATAGTGGGGAAAGAAATAAAATAGAACCTTGAGCCTGAGAGTCTGGCCACTGAGTCCCCGAGCCCAGGCAACGAGAAGTCAAAACTTGGGCATATCGTCGAACCCCCGCACTCGAACGACTGCACCACCATCCAACCAGCCTTGTGATTTTTTATTTTTACTTGCGAACCGAGACGCCGTCGACTAATAAGTGCTCGGTTGCGCTGATCAGTTGATGACGTCTCCAAGCTTCTGCTGCGCCTAAATTCGTTGACGTTACCGCTCCATACCTCAGCGAGCTAGGAAGACGAAACGAATTGCGACAGCGTCTCGAACCATCTCCACCATCAGACTACGACTACGTCTACCATTGACGTCGACGTCAACGACAGCACCACCAGCACCAGCCCAGTGGTCCCTCTTTTCCCTGTCCAACGCTACGAAAAAGGTGTAACTACCAAGGTATAATAACCTTGGGTTCCTCATGGCCGCATACCTCCTCGGCATGGTCTTGTGAGTTTTGACATTCTCAGACGCTGCACCAGACCATCTTCTTCTTTTGGTTCCCACCTATTTTCCAACTCGCTGCGGACTTGTTCTTTTTTTTCTGTGCAAAAGATGATCAAGCAACTGATGCATTTATTCTTCAGTACCGGTCTTTCATCCTCACAAGCTTCCGATGACGACTTCTTCAATGAACCCTCGACGATGAGGCCGCAGATGACTGCTGCGGCGGCTAAGAATAGCAACTCGAGCGACGGTTCCAGCTCCAACACCGGCACCACCATCATGTCGTCATCACTTTCGACCACACCGTCCGCAACCACTTACCAGGTCATCGCGAAAGGTCTCCCTGGTGCCAAAGTTCACTATGCAGCTTCAAGCGCGTGAAAGGTCTTTGCACCCCACAGAAAGGCCGATTGATTTCAATCCGGTCCTTTCTCCCTCTCCAAAAAAGCGTGTTGAATGGCTCCGAAATCCTACAATGGCTCTCTGACAACGCCATGTTTTTGAGCCCTCGGACTCCCTTCCAGCACAAAACGGGGACCGTCTGTCGAGACAATTTGACTCAGCTCCGGGAACCGAGGTGATTCGGGGACTCCGTACCATGAGGATGAAACTTTGGCTTGCAACGTGTCCCACTCAAGAAACTCACGAGCATCATCGAATGGTCCGAAGGCGAACACTCGTCTCCGGTCAATTACTCGGCATGAAGCTTCCCCAAAAATTGCCGCTGAAGCGTACAACAATTATCACGGAAGACTTTCCACGGGGTATTGGCGTTGTCGATCGCCCTCGTTTGACGTGCCGCCAAATCTTGCAAAGCCGCCTATAATCCCTGGGACGGTACGAGAGTACACGTAACCACCAACGTCAGCCCGCGTATCCATTTTTTGGGTCTATTTCCGGGGGCTGCAACTGCCCATGAGAGAAAGAGAGTGACGCGTACTCATGCAATTGCCCGTATGAAATGCGCAGATGCAGTCCAAAAGGCACACTGCTCAAAAACGAGCGAGATTCAATTCTCCGTGATGAACGTTCCAAGGACCCAAGGAGATCTCCCATCCTGCCGATATCCGAGTTGACAGGCAAATGAGACACCGCGAACATCTACAATGCCCTCGACGAATTGTGTCTGAACGCAAACGCAATCCAGACAGAATTTCAAAAGTCACCTCTGAGGGCTGAAATCAAACGACGCAATAAATTTCTTGGGAGGCTTTGAACAACGGTACCCATCTTTCGGCCAGACCTCTCCGTCACTCTTCCAGAGGCACGACGATGAAGATGCCGAGTTACAGTTGCTGTTCACTCCGTATAATCATTATTATTACGACCGATTACGAAGTTCATGACCACATTTTGATGAAAGCTTCGGGGAAATGGATGGCTTTTTTAGCCTAGAATATAGAAATGGCAATCTAACTTAACTGATTTGGACAATTAAACCGCCTATCTAAATAGGGACCCAAGCATGATTGATTTTCCTTGCTTCTTACCTAAAGCCCTTCCCAAATATTAACTCGCTTGATGATCCTCCGCCGTGCTCGACGCCAGAACTTGTACCTTGTATGGGGAAAACAGGCCAAACTCGGTTCATTTCCACTTCCTGGCAGTACAACCATCACCACGGTCGTTACCATACTCGTCATACGTTGAACAATGTTGTGTGCTCGGCTCGCGCCGGTACGTCAGGGAGTCCTTTGAGTCGAACTTTTTTCTTTCTGCCATCTTGTTTCTATGAGGGAAACCTGGTGTGCTGATAACCACGACACCGTGTCGGCGTACATGTCAATTTCGACATTGTGTGACCGATCACTGGACGGCCTCCCCTCGTAGACTAGGTATTCGAGTCGGGGAAGACCAGCACGACACTCTTCGGCCTGCACAGTTCCTCGGGGAAATAACAGAACGGTCCGACGGGCCCGTCCATTTCGTGGTCAGACTGCGTCCACAGTCCAAACACGCCTCCGGACTTGATCCCCCCCGGTTGGACGCCCTCGAGCTGCCACTGATCCCGACCGCTGTAGCTGATGATGAACCGCCACCGCACCTCCCTGTTCCCCGGCACGAGCCACGCGCACCCGCGTACGGAGATGACGGGCATGTGCGTGCCGGCCTGGCCGCGGGACTGGCCGCGGGACAGGCCGCGGAAGTACAACGGTGGAAGATCGTGCGATACCGGTAGGGCAGTGTGCAAAGACGAATCCTCGGCGAGGGAGGCGTCGAGCTCGAGGTCCAGCCTCATGAGGTCGCCGCACGCCTCGGGTTCGTCGTCCAGCGTCGGACGGGGGCCGGCCCGCATCTCCCACGCATTGTAGGCAAACAGGTCCGAGTAGTCGAGGAAGGCGTACGTGCCCAGCCACGGCCCCGTGACCCTGGCCCAGTCGTGCGGCACTTCCGGGCGGCGGAACGTCCGGTGTGGGATCGAAAAGGAGAACCCCTGGGGCATGAAGATGGGGTCCCCGACGCACATGGAAAAGTTGCGCGCGACGACGCTGTGGATGCCCTCGAGGAGACTCCAGTCCACGGTGCCGCTGCCGTCGCGCTTGAAAGGGCCGTAGTCGTTGTCGGGCCCGCTGAGGGACCAGTCGTAGACCTTGCGTCGTGCGGCGCCGCGGGCCCTGTGCTCGAGGCGTTCCCGCACCGTCAAACCGAACAGGACGTGCAGTCTGGACGCGCATTCGGGGCGGGAGACTTCGTTCTCGATCCAGGCCATGGACCTCGTCACGGGTCGGTGCGGCGAGTTGAGGACGGTGCCGGTGTCGTGGATCAGGCTCTCGAGACCCTCACGGAATGAGTCCGTGTCTGACAGGGCTCGCAGGTTGAGCGACAGATCCCTGCCGTCCACGTAGTAGAGGACCCCAGGGGCGAAGTCACGCGCGTTGGGACCGAATTTGGCCGTGTCGAGGATGCTGAGCAACGAGTCGATGTGGTCTTTGGCACGCCGCGTTTCGTCGGCGACGCACCATTTGGAACGGATGGCTCGGAGTGCTGATAAGCGGTTCACGAGTTCAAGGTACCAGTTGAACTGGGAGTCCTTGAGGAGGGAGGCTGAGTTGGGCATTAGAGACCAGGCATCTTTGGGATCATCAAATAAGTGCAGAAAAGCTGAACGCCAGAGGGTCTGGTTCTGGGGGCTGGCGAACCTTTGAGCTCGCTTGTTGGTTTGACTGAAGCGTATGATGTCTTGCGGCTGTAGGAAGGATAGAATATGGGCCAGGAGTTCCTGTGGGATTTCGAGGATTTTCATGGCTGGGGATGGTTCAGTTTACACCAAGAATGAAAGTGAGTAGGTAGGTAGGTAAAGGGCAGATCGATTGAGCGTAATGATGAGAGGACTTCGCACTTGATGATGATGATGATGAAGACGACACAATATATATATGACAGGCTCGTGATTGATGTACGGAGTAACTCAGTCCCGACTCCGGCCAGGTGCCTAGACGAGCGCCCCGTCATCCCCTGGAGGAGGTGATAATAAGTGATGTCTATCCCCTGGAGGAAGTGATAATAAGTGATGTCTATCCCCTGGAGGAGGTGATAGTAAGTAATGCCTGCCCCTCATAGTACGGAGTAGTTCGCGGAGTAAGGTACCTGGGCAGCCTCACCAGCCTCACCTTGGGGGATCTTTTTAGGGAATCTTGTACTTTGCATACTCACCAACTCGCAAAAGTCAGATAGTAACCAGATCAGCCAACGTATATACAGACAAACATACGGAATGTCCATTGACAATTCTTGCAGTCCGTCTCTATATACTTACCACCTAGGATACCGTGGTATGTAGATTAGCCCAAGGACCGTACAACAGCCCCCACCTCGTCGCGAAATGTGGCCAAGGGTTCCTCTTCCCAATGCTATCCATTGATGCAATCTCACCCAATAACCGCTGGCACAGCCGCAACGCATTCCAAAGCCTGCGCATGCCTGATATGTCTTGCTCCTGCCTCAATATCAAGAGATATTGCCAGTATCGAAGCATTTCCTAATCTTGCTTTCGTCTTGTCTAACTGCCCATCTCCCAACCCTCACAAAGAGACTCTTCGCAGCTTGTAACCTTCCAAAGAACTCGCCGGTAACATGCCTCTGAGAGATTTACTCAAGAAGAAGGAGAAGATTGATGACGAGGGAATCCTACCGCCACCCTTACCGCAGGCGAATGAGTTCACCTTTGTTCGTACAGACACGCACACCGAAGAGTACATCAATCCCCCGACCTTTGACGATGTGAGAGATCCGTCTCCTGCTAGTCCAAGGGCCACTTCCGCCTCGAGACGATCGTTCAGTCGATTTCGCAAGAGTGTCAGCCCCAGCGGATCTGACATGTCGTCCCCAGAGAAGGAGAAAAAAGACCGCAGGCGACTATCGGAGCGCCTACATTTGAATAAAGACCGGTCGGGTAGTACCAGCTCGGTCAATCTACCCCCTGACCTGCCGGACATTCGAGATACATATAATGAGTCTGGTGATCGTCAGGACAGAGAAGCTCAATGGGAAGAACGGGCCACCAAACTAGCAGGCAAAAGTCCTATACTCCCAGCCAAATCACCGACGAACGAACTGGAGAGTCTGAGCCTAGGCACGAGACAGCGAGCACGGAGTGTGAACGACCCGAAGGGCGACATTGACATTCAGAAGGCCATCCAACTTCATGAGTCTGGTGACCTGTCAGAGGCAACAGAAATGTTTCGCCAACTGGCTGAGTCCGGCAATGTCTTGTCCCAAGTTCTGTATGGACTCTCCCTTCGCCACGGTTGGGGGTGCCAGCCCGATCCTGCGCGGGCGGTAACCTATCTGTCAGCGGCTGCAAGCAACTCAGCCACTATCGAATCAGATGCGCTGAAAGCCGGCATGAAAAAGGGAGGCGCGGCCAAAGGAGAACTTGTGCTTGCCATTTTTGAACTGGCAAACTGCTTCCGACATGGTTGGGGCATTCCAGTCGATAAAGTCGCAGCGAGACAATACTACGAGACAGCCGCCAACCTGGGAGACACTGACGCAATGAATGAGGCGGCCTGGTGTTATCTGGAAGGATTTGGGGGCAAGAAGGACAAGGTGAGTAATTCTTCGTGCATCCGTCTACCTGCTTTCACTATGTGCTACTGTGCTCGAGAAGCCCCTATGATCCCAATCCCCACACGTGACAAGTGCCAGCAGCGAGCCAGTTGAGGCTCAACGATCCATGCGAACGTGAGCGACCTCAGCCATCGCACAGCGGGTGTGCTTGTGTTCCCTGTGTGATTCAGCACTAATCATCCCATGAATCCGGCTCTGACCAAACACGGCCCCCAAATACACATACCAGCCAAATACAGGTCGCTCTCAGTCGCTGCTTCACTTTGGGCAGCAATGCATAAGTCCCACAGCCACACAAAGGCCGTCTCACTGGCATCTCGCTGCTGTACCTTGCATTAGTCCCCCGTGGTGTTCCTGCTGCGAATCACATTGCACCCTTGCCTCGGAGAAATACAGGCGCACTGACGCATGCACCTTGCGATCTAGTTTAAAGCGGCACAGCTTCTCAGATTGGCGGAGAAGAACGGTGCAAAAACACTAGGGAATACCTGGTAAGTGGTGTCGTTTGACATCTCCTCCCACCCTCTCTCGCGCACACGCTCCATCCGCGGCCCCAATCGTGCATCGTCACCTGTTCCTGGCCTGTCTGGTTTTTTGGCCGAATCGGGTCGAAAATATGGCGGTGTCGTGAATGTCAACGCCAAGACTCACCTGATTCGTCGGTAAACTTGGACACCGACTTATGCGACCGCACATGCGGCCAGGGCCACCATGTCTACGGCCTGCGATTTGTTTCTGAGTCGACGGACTCTGAAAGGTTCAACTGCCTAAATCGAGGTGGTTGGGTTGACGGGGCACTTGGGACCGCAAAATTGGGCGTTGATTCCATGTTTGAAGGCTTTTGCCCGACTCCCAAGTCTTGGTGTGGGATCTTTGCTGACGCCTCTTGGTCAACAGGATTTGGAAGGAAAAGTACGACCCGCCCAAGTGAGGCCGGAAAATCCTCCAGCAGAAATGTCTCTTTAAGCGAGTCTTGCTTGGTGATCGCTACTGGTCGCCCGCCATGTCTCATTGAGCCCGGCCCGTGGTCTACACAAGCCCTCCACCACATATCGTATTGGCTACTCTCAGGTCGGCTTCGAAAGCCTTTGCGGGATACGAATCGATGTGTCCAGGCAACAAGGATACGCGCGTTGAACGAGGCGGTCAAGCAGGCCTGGGACGAATCTTTGACTCATTTCCAGCCTTAAGTTGGGCATACATTGTTTTCTTGCTCCTGGCTCATGAGCTCATGAGATTTACATTGACGAGTCTTGGCGTACACATCAAATGAGCTTGATCGATGGTCAGTCTCGACGCGACCTCAGGGAGGCGGACAACTTGACCCATCCTGTCTGTCCGGTCTGGTGATGATAACGGCCGCAGTCTTGGTCAGTCTCCCTTCTGCGAATCCACATGCATGACGCAGGGACAAGCCGCTCATGCCATGCCCATCATTTCTCTTACAGGAGCAACATTTCGATTGCTTTCCTCGAGCTTTGGAGTCCTTGGGGGATAGGGCGTCATTATTTTGGAGTGGAGTTGTCTTCTTCTGGGTGGGTTTCCTCCAAGTGGCCGTCGTTGTCGTGGTCTGTGTCTTTGCCGCTCCTTTCTCTACGAGTAAGAATGCTGGTCACAATACGGAGTATGAGAAATGGGCTTCTTTGCACGCTTGATCATCGCACGATCATCACAACACGGGATAAGCATCTACTTGGATATTGGTCGCTTTGACGTTTCCCGTCTGCTAATGCCGACTCCTCATTCCCGGATAGTCGTTTGAATGCGAACATCAAGTGGTTCTGTCTCTACCTTTTTTCCCCGTCCATGTTTACGGCCTGTTGACGGCCAATATACTGCTTCTCTCCAGTCGGATTTGCTGGAGCCAGGCACCCGCCCTCCCCCCAGGCATTTTTGAGTGTTGAGCGTCTCCATGTAGCGGATCCAGTCCCCGGTGCTGAGTGCCGACCATGTTTGCCTTCTCCTTCCTCCCGCCGGTCTTGACCATGCGTCTCATTCCTGGCGGGCGCCGGTCGGATCGCCACTCGTCCCCCATCAAGTCGCCCCCCTGATCTTCACACCCGCCCGCACCCAAGGAAGCACGGTGGAGTCAGGCGTCCTCTGTATTTTGCGCGTCCACCGTCATGATCGATTGACAGGACGAGGGCGTGAGGGAGTACAGATGATACTGCTAAGGATGATGATGATGATGATGATGATGACAAGAACGATATATCCCATTTCATTCATTCAGGTCATTCATAGGTAGTCATGCTATATCATATGGATCATAAGTCAGGTAAACATCGTCGATATCGTGAATCTGGCTAGCCCAAGTTGTGTTGCAACTTCTTCTCCCTTGTAACTCGTGGAATCTGTAACCTTTGCAACAAAGCCCAACCCACCCACCACCTTATCATCCTCGCCCCATTTTGTTCAGGAGCACACCCACACTCAGTCACACACAACTTTGAAAAGACAACAAGAAAAGATCTCTGTATATCAGTGATGAAGACAGAAAAGATTGCTCTTGTTCGTCAAGGCTAGCTCAAATGGAAAACAAAAAAAATGGCAAAGATACTTTCGGACTGGTCCCCAATTCATTTTCAAGTTCTGTTCAAATCATCCAAAACAACTTGTTTAACAATACTTGGTCGTTCATACTGTGCCCTAGCCAGTCCCGAATTGCCCTGTTGCCCCATTCTGTGCTGTTCTGAGTTCCCAATTTCCATCTGTTTCGTAACGGTCGTTATGATAGTCCAAAAAAATTCCAGAGTTTCCATTCCATTCGTTTGTAGTGGTCATTCAATTCATATAGAAAAAACAAATCCCCAAACCAATACCGAATAAAGACAAAACCACTATGGTAGGAGTAAAGAAATTGTGCCTTGGAGCCGATGATCTTGTAGTTGTTTCTGTTGTGGTGGTCGAGTATCATTCTTGTTCAAGACAGGTGTCCAGAGCTGAAGAAGCGCGAAAAAAGGAGACATAGGGAACAAGTGCAATTTGTGGTTGGCGTCAAGCCCAGACTCAGTCCTAAGCTTACTCCACGCGAGCAATCATCTCCCGAAAGTCCCGGAGGACCTTCTCGGGGACACGGTCAAGGAGGACACTCCTTTCGGAGGCTTTGCTGCTCATACCCGCCATCCTGTCAATACCATCTTGTTCAGCTCGCATGTTGGCAAACAATTGCTGAAGACGAGTAGGTTTGACTTCAACAATCTCAACATCGTCACTGTCATCATCGTCAAAGACACTGCCCCCGTTGGTGATATGGTTGTAGGAGGAGGCCGATAGAGAGAACGCGGCACTGGTCTGCTGATGACGTGATGGCGTTGTGAGTGTTGCGTGCAAGCTGTCCAAAGAAGTCTCAGCAGCATGTCCGGTGGAAGACATCATGTCGGACTGTGCCTCTCTTGCCTGTTGATAGTCGCTGTGTTCTATGGTCGATGCTGGACGAGATGGAAGTGCTTCATGTGCACCGGCCGGAGCGGAAGCAAGTACTGCGTTGAGAACGTTGCCAGCTTCGGCACGATAGTCGTCAGCAAGGGCTGGCATGATAGGGGTGATGACAGCAGCTGAGGCTGCATTGGTCGTTTGCGAGCCGGTCTGAGAGACGATGAAGGCACCGGCAAGCAGGCACATGTAGAAAGTATTCCAGCTGAAGCCAGTATCGACCTTGACGTCGAGACTATCGCCTTCCAAGGGCTGAGTCGATGTGTGGGGACGTGGGGTCGCTTGCCGCTGAAGTGTCTCATTCTCTTCCATCTTCAGGTCCTCTGTGTTGATCAGACTGAATTCATTTTCCCATGTGTCTTCGAGGTCCAAACTTCGGAAGTTGGTAAAGTCATTGGTGAAGGCATCGGCAGCACTGTTCGAAAAGGTTTTGACATGCTGTTGCCTTTCCAATTCTCTGACAGTATCCTTGAGAATGTTGTTCTGGCGTCGAAGGTCGGCGGTATCGAGAGTCTTGGTCCTAATCGCCTCGTCCCGTTCATACTGCAGTCGCTGGATATATTGTTCACATTGTTGGCGTTGACGTGCCCACTGTTCTCTCTCTTGGTGGAGAGATGCTTCGAGGTGAGCGATTGTATTTTCCATCTCATTCTTTTGGTCCGTGAAGATCTTCTTCTCTTGCTCCAGCTTCTCAGTATGAGTCTTCTTGCGTTGACGGGAATCAAGCCTACACCAATATGGGTCAGTATGTCGACAGACGCTAACAACAGTGGGAGCACTTACGCAGCTTGACGGTTGCGGAGAAGACGTTTCTGTTGCTTGAGTTCTTTCTTATCCTCGTCATTCACACACGACGCAATAAGGAGGTCGATGTTGGCGAGATTCCGTTCGGCGGGAATATCAAACTTGGCGTTCTTCTTCCTGATACCATCTGACCTGACCACCAGTCCAGGCGAGGGAGCCCGGTACCTGTGATGCCGCAGACGGCGACTGCGCACCGTGGCATTTGAGGAGGTGGCCGAGGCCCATCCTCCTTGACTCGACTGCGGGGACATGGAAACTGCCGACAAGGGATCCTGTTGAGAGAACCCAGACAACGTGACTGGGCCGCCGTTATATTGGACTTGCTGGCTGAACTGGTCCTGTGCTGAGAAAAATGGCGTAGGAGTGCTAGCCTCCGAACGTGCCGAGAGTGGCCAGGAAGGGGTCTGCGCGAATCCGGAACCACAGTTAGTAGAAGGCGGTTGAGCAAAGAACGAGGTGTTGACGTTGGCTAAGGACATCGAAGGCTGTGAGTAGTGTCGGGCGGCATGCACGACAGCTTGAGGCCTTTCCTGCCAGACTTGCGTAGATCCTGCGTAGTCGTCCTCCACTTTAGTCATGGCGAGATGTCCAGTGTCAATGGGAGCAGCCGCTGTCATGTCGGCCGGGGTAGAGGAGTCGAGGACTCTGTCGTCCAGGACAGAAGAATTGTCTTCGGTCAAGGCGGGCTTCACGTCCTCGGGCCAGTGAGGGCCAAAGTCATAGAAGCCCTGCTGTGAATATTGCATGGCCATGGAATGAGAATTTTGTCGAGAAAGCAATTGCTGTGCGTAGTGTATCGGAGAACTGGGCAAGTGGCGGTGAGAGAAGGTGGGGAAGAACAATGGTAGTGGTGGTGTCAACCCTTTGGAGGGGAAATGGTGGATTTCTCAAGTAGTTGTAAAGGCAGAAGTAGAAGAAGGGGTGAGCATAATGATTTCAAAGTGAAAGGTAAAGGATCCGGACGATAGAAGTAGATGATATAAGACGGTAGGGGAGAAGAGGGAGATGGACCGGGTCTTTAGTACTGGGTATCGAGGAGAAAGCGCGTAGGTGGTTTCGATACAATACCGTACAGGCCGAGGCGCTCGCGTACGGAAGGATTAAGGGAGCCTCAGACAAGAAAAAGACCCAAGGCCCGCGTCCCGGTCGGCGGAGGCAGGTGAGAGGAGGAGAGGAGGGAGAGGATACGAGTAGATGAGGAAGACGAGTGGGAAGAGGTTTGGCTGAGGGGCACTTCTTTTTTTTTGGCTGGGTGTGGAGAGGCGCGAGACTTGAGAAGAGTGTGATTGAGTGAGCGGTCGTGAGACCTGCTCCTCCTCTGTGTCTTGTCTCTGTCTCTCTGTGCGTGCCTCTCTCCCTCCCTTACCCTGCCCATGGCCGTAGCTGCGACCGCAATGGAGGCCTGGGATCAAAAAGCAGCGGGAGAGTGAGAGCCAACAGGCGGTGGTTGGCGGGACAGTCACTGGACCAGGATGGCATTGGATGCTCTACAATGGCCTGTAGTGAGTGCTTGGGCAGGTTTGCAGCTGTGGATTCAGAGCTGCGCAAACTCTGCAGCTGTCAAGCGACGACACTGGCTGTCATCGACTCCTCCCAGCGGTCGCCCAGTATGCGACCTCCTCTAGTGGCCTGCAGCTTCCTGCTCATCCACAAACTGCGCTTCGCGATCGAGAGGGATCGGAAACGACTTTGGCGGTGGCCCGGGGACTCTCAAAAGTCTCATGTGGCCATCATCGTTCCTAGTACTCCGTAGGTAGTCTCCTTTAGGCACAGAAACAGGGCGAGCTCAGGGGGTCTTGGGGCCACGGGGTCTGGCACCTGCACAAGAGGCCCAACGGAGTCATTTGCCTTGAAATCAGTACTCTGTAGGCACCAGGTAAAACAAGCTGGGTCGCATTCATGGTTACTGAACAAGCAGCTTGTCGCGGGCGAAAACGCGACCATGAAATGTAGGAGAAAAACAACAGTATTATGGAGTACGGAGTAGCTCCCAAGTGTTGTTCCTTTGTAAACATTACTTTGCCTACGGAGAACCACTGCATTCAGTAACTGGGTAAGTAGTCTAGGCGACTTCTTAGGCTGCGATTACCGGTCCTCGCCGCACGGCTCGGGCCTCTCACCCCGTGCCTAAGGACTGTTTTCTTTGCACTTCACACTCTGTTTGTAGCTAAACATCCTCGCCTACAGCTTGTCCCCAACTTTTCGACCAAAATATGTATCCGTCGACCCGTGGATCATGATCGCCGACTCCATATGACAATTCGACTACGTGCGAGTACTGTCTGACGTCCTCGTTCATTGCTTGGGCGTGAAAAGACTGGGAGATGTATCAGGCGATCCGCACCAGGTTCTCTAGGCTGATGACACCTCCTGCCTAGCGAGTTTTCCCAATCAAGAACTGCCCGTAGCTTCATACCACATCCGGTGATACCATCGTCTGATCTAAGCCAATTCCCAGAATACACGGCCGGCTAATCACTGGAAATACAATGGCTCGAGTCGACGCAGCACGGTTAGTCCAATGTGATGGCTTATTTCGAACTCTGACTTGAACAATCATGAGAATTTCCTTCAAAGCGACGTAGTTACGATGGGGCCTCCAGTCATACCATCCTGGACCTTGCCGGTACCTTCTGTCCATGGCTGTGGCTTGCTGGTGGCTGGTTCCGTACGAGAAACTTGGGATAGGCCTCCACCCCTGAAACACTGCAAGCCCCTTGCTGCCCAAAAGGTGAGGCTGACCATGACAACTAACAACTTGATAGGCCTATTCCGTATCACGCTCTCATTCAGATCGAAAAGGTTAGAAGCATCGGCTATAACGATCAGAAGCCTCAGACTTTGCAAAATGCAATATCGGCATTGAATCTAGTTCTAAGCGAAGCAGGGCGCATATACGCACCAACTACGTTCCGGCACCTGCAATGATGGCGACGCATCCTTCCCTCTCCTGATACTCCGAGCCTTCATCCGATACACCTTCACATCCATTACACAAAAGGCCCCGTCCATTTGCCAAAGTGCCTCATATGCAGGAGGGAGCAGAAACAGAACTTTGTCACGCTTACTGAAGGTGACTGACCTACAAGGGGATGAAGTCCTTCTGTTGGATGAACCCGCCTTGACCACTCACACTACCTCGAACCAACTTCTCATGCCATGTTGGTGTCATTGCATCGAGCGAGTCAGAAGTTGAGGCTTGCTTAACCCTCTGACTGTTCATGTCAACATGGGGTAGATAGCATCGTGCCTTTGTGCAGTGACCAGAGTTAGAATAATCCGGACAATGTCGAAGGTGGAGGAATTTGCAGGCTGAGCCATTTTGGCAATAGCCCATCAGCGCAAAATCAGTGCATACAAACGCGTCCGGATCAACAGCAGAATGGATATACGGACATCCTTCGCGACTGCAGCTGGACTTCAGATGGAAGACGCAGTAGGGTGTCCGTTCTGGCGAAGCATTGTGACTCAATCCACACTTATCACTAGCAACACACTCAATACCACGAAGGACAGAAGGGCAAATTGCAATCTTGTTAGCATCATGACGGCCGAAACGGCATTTGCTTCCGAAAGGGCATGAGCCTGAATATGTCAGCATCAAATGCGCTAATTGCGTCAGCCAGCTTTGCAATGGTGAGTCTATTACCGGTAGAGGTGTATCGCTGACACAAGACGTCGTTGTCGTCTGTCTCAAACTCGTCCAACGTTTCCGAATTCTGTTCTGATACACGACCTGTGAAGACTTGAGAGTGCTCGATGACTTTGGATGGATTGACAAACCATTTTCCATACTCGCTTCGAAGGTATCTTGAGCGCCGTTTGACGTCACTGATTGTTGTGAGACATGGTCGAGAAAGGCAAGGTCTTCTTCTGCTGCAGCTACTGCCTTGTCAACATCACTTTTGGCCCATTTGAGAAATTTGCTCTCCGGCCAGGAAAGGGTCTGCATGACGGCCTTTGATGCCCGGTTGAATGCTGCAAGAGAGGTGGAGGGTTCTTGGTAGGGGTGGGCAATATCTTGATAGGATGATTCCATATGCAATTGACAGCTCTTTGAATACATTGTTGAATGTCCTTCGACATCATGCTCTGGGACAGGGTTCATCTGTGCTGAATTGCTATAGTCACACCCATCTGAGAGGGTTAGATCGGTCATGTCAAATTGGTCAGCACTACGGACCTTGAGATCCTTTCATCCACGTCTGCGCTGATGAGGCCATGGCAACTACCAATCTATGATCAAGGTTGAATCATTAAGAACAACAGAGTGAGCAGGAAGATGAGACGTGCCTCAATTAGTAGAAATATTGATCATGAAGTGAACTGGAGTCGCGGTCAACAGCTTAGTCATTCACCAGCCCTTGGATGCATCTCATCTCTCTCAGAGAGCAAGTTAGCCGATTGGTTTATTCTGTTCTCAGATGTAAACTGCGAAATTTGGAGCTTCGCAGTGGGAGAAGCCATCTTCTACACCATTGAACTTTGCTCTGCTTCTACAGCAGGGGATGAGGTGGCATCGGGGTCCAATGAACCTGAACTTGAATTGAGCTGTTGTTTTGCAACTTTCCCACCCTCCGTTTGGGGTGTTACCCTCAGAAGACAATGCTCCAACCCCGGGTGCCAATTCGCACTCTGTGCAGGGCATGTAGCTTTGCGAAGCCTGCTCTGCGCAGATCATACGCGCAAGTTGTCGACCCAGTGCACCCGAGTACATCAGATCTAGACGGCGCCTTTACGAGCTCCTCACTAGCCGAGCCCGATGACCGTATTGGCTCCGCAAAGGAGGAAGTCAAGCTCCGACGATACACTCCTCGAACCCCAGGTATTCGTCACTTGGTCAGACCCTTGAATGATCACCTGTGGAGAGGCCGTCCTTGGTTTTCACTTACAGCCCCGAAAAAGGGCCATGCACGAGGAGGGAGAAACAACACCGGTCACGTCGTGGTCCGGCACCGTGGCGGTGGTCACAAGCGAAGGATCAGAACCGTGGATTTCATGCGACAGCAGGGCGGGAAACACCTTGTCGAGCGTATCGAACACGATCCAAACCGCACGGCCCATATCGCTCTAGTGAGAAATCTGAAGTCGAACGAACGGACATACATCCTGGCGGCCGAGGGTCTACGGGCCGGCGATATCGTCGAGAGTTATCGAAGCGGTCTCCCAGAAGAATTGATCAAAGAGATGGGTGGCACGACAGATCTGGGTGTGGTTGCTTCGAAAACGGCGTGGAAAGGCAATTGCTTGAAGCTTGGAATGATCCCAGTGGGAACGCCCATCTTCAACATTTGCCCGTCGAAGGACTCGGTCGCAAAAATTTGTCGCAGTGCCGGCACACACGGAGTCATCATCGGCAAGGGCGAAGACAGCGTGCAAAAGGAAATGATCAAGCTCATCGGTGAAACCAGCAGCATGGACATGACCTCCTTGACGCCCGACCAACTCATGGACTCTTTGACTCCGGCGCAGTTGAAGAGGTTCGAAAAAGTGGCCAACTACGTGACCGTCCGCCTTGCCAGCGGTGAGGTTCGCCTCATTGACAAGGAAGCCGTCGCCACGATCGGTGTCGCGAGCAACGTCAACTTCAAGTACAGACAGTTAGGAAAAGCAGGGCGGTCTCGGTGGCTGGGTATCCGTCCGACCGTTCGAGGTGTGGCCATGAACGCGGCTGATCACGCCCACGGAGGTGGCCGAGGAAAGTCCAAGGGTAATCGTATCCCCGTCAGTCCTTGGGGTATTCCGGTATGTTTGATGATCCTACCTGAACTACACGTTCCGCTTGTTGATGTTCACTACTAACTCCTCTCGTCACCAAAAGGCCAAATCTGGATTCAAAACTCGACCTAGAAAGAAGATCAACCACATGGTTGTCACACCACGGCCTCGGAACCAAGGAAAGCGGCGGAGAGGTCATGCTTGAAGTGGTAGATAGGAAGAAGCCTGTACCAGTATTTATCATTCCCTCTATGTAAAACAATCGCTGTCACATGGGTTTTGTTCTGCTTGATAGATCTCTACCGCATTGAAGCCATTCTTGTCTGTTACAGCACTTGTGGGGTCCAAGAATGAAATGGAATGTAATGAGGTTTTAACAGATATTTCGTGAAAAATTGACCATGTCGACCAAAAAATCTCAATCTACCAGGTCACAAATCTATCATAGACATAAAGTCGTCAAATGTTACCTAAAGTCAAGAACGCTCTTCCTCCGCGATTCGAAACTGAAAGAACTCGGAATGATCCCCAACCCTTCGAAGAATCCGAAGAACAGTCAATCAATGAGTCCCTGAGCAAGTAGACTCGTCAAGAAAAGAGACATGATTCATTCGACCGTGACAGGCAAACCCGTCGCGTGAAGCCAGGACAAAAACACCTCGGGCAACCCTTGCCGCAAGAGTTCGTCGCCCATGAGGAACGGTCGGTCCCTGGTCCACTTGAACCGTCCGCGCTGCGACTCGATAGTCTTTCCCGCTTCGATGGCCATCTTGGTGTCGACGAGGTCGATCCACAGGTCACTCCCGGGCATCCAGGTCCTCGGCGTCACCGAGGCGACCCGCTCCCGGAAGTCCGGTCGCGTCTCGGCTCGCGCCCACATGTTCCTCGCGTCACGGATGGCGGGCCCTCCAAAGGTCTCAAACACGTTGGCGATGTCCTCGTGGGGGATCAGCTGGTGCGCCGTCCGCTTGATGTACGCCACCTGGTCGGCCGCGAAGTCGTGGACGCGCCGGACGTCGTGGAGCGTCGGGCTGGTCGAGACCTCGTCCAGAAATGTTTCGATCTCACGTTTCATCTTCTCGAGGCGGAACTGCGTCCACTGCTTGTACAGCACGGGCCGGTCGCTGTAGAACCGAACGTTGGTGATGTGGCTCGAATCGTAGACCTGGGGGACGTCGGCGCAAAAGGACGTGATGGTCGAGATGCGTTCGGTGACACCGATGCAACGAGCGGCGAGGTGTTCGACTTGGCCGCCCTGCAGGATCACGCCGTAGCCTAGAGTTGGGCCTTCGACCTGTTTGGAAAGTAAGTATATCAGGACGGACGAGCACTGGATGGGGATAGGTATTTAAGTGTAAGAGAGAGTGTGTGTGAGTGAGCATCACCTTCATGGGTACACCGTCGCCAGTCTTGATGTATGTTTCACCGCCGAGCATGCCTTCCGTGTCGCTGAGCATAATGACACAGACATAGGGATAGGAGTCATAACTTGAAAAATTCCAAGTGTTAGTTGTCAGGAGTGTGCGTGTAGAGTAGAAAAATAGGGGAAACCAACTGCCAGGGAATGATGGTAGAAGCTTGAAGAGGGTCGTAAGCACGATCTTCGTCCGTTAACGGCACCTTTGTGGTTTGTGGCTCGACGCTGAGCTCAGAGACCATTTCTTCAATGGTACCGCCCTTGGTCTGGATGTTTGTGTGGCCTATCTCAGTTTGCATCACGATCCGGAGGGGAACTCCGGCTGCCTCTGACAACAGTCGGGTTGTCTCGGGGTGCGTCCAGAATTGTTTAATAAAGGTCGAGTATTCTGCGGCATTGCGAAGAGTCAGGGTGGCAGGGCCCGGTCTTCCGGCACAGTTGTGAAGAACTTTTGTTGTGAATAGAGAGCGTCTGTAGGCCCGGACTCCCTCTGCTGAAAGGATCGGAAATGGCAGAGTAGCTGCAATCTTTGTACTTGTAGCGGACGGTTGTAGGTTTAGATCTTCGAAAGTGAATGATTTTGTTGGAAGCTCGCATGCCAGGTGTATCTGGACATATTGTTAGTCAGAGAGGAAGCATGCGAAGGGGCCATGGTGACAACCTTGGGATCAAAGACATCCTCCGGCTCTTCCTGTAGTCGGGAGATCATTTCGCCAGGATAGAGCAATAAAGAGCAGTCAGGGAGAAGAGATCAAAGACAAACCTAGGATACAGCCACTTGTGTAGTTTCAGCAGCGAAGTGTGAGGAGCAACCACTGGAAAGGGAGGGAGTGCGAAATCTTTTGGGAGTCACAATACACGCCCTTGGGCAGTATCTTCTGCCATGCGATGATCACAGCGTCCAAGTGTGATAGACCAGGACTGTCCAGAGTCGTCCGTAAAGCCTCCACATGATCCTCTTCCATATTGGGTTTCAATTTCCCTACCTGAACTCCTAGTGGCCGTAACGATCGCTTATCGACGTCAAAAGATAGTGGCCTTCGACTTCCAAGAGAGAAGATAGCGCATCCGTCTCCCGCCATCCTGTACATTCCGAGAGGGACTTCTCCACCCGTTACATCTGGGGTTGATTGAGGTCGAGAGGACGATGAAGCGTGGCCTTCGACAAATTGATTTGACAAGGTCAAACCAGGATAAGATCTAACCTCTTACGTCTTAGCGCTGTAGGGACGAGAACGACTCTTCAACAACCTGCTCTCGGTGTAGCCTGCTTCATAACCCTGAGCACGACCCTTGATGTTCTCCATGATCGGCAGGTCTGTGGCTCCCACCCTTGCAGTGGACTCGGACAAGCAACAGGATAGACGACCTTACATACGGCATTGTGAAGCTTAGTACGACCACCACTGCAAAGAACGAAATGCGCTTGCTTGACGAAGCAGAGATCTTTCTCACGATAGGCACTTCAGTATTCAGTCATCAAGGAGGCCATTTCTCTGGCATGTGGCAGCTGAGTGCTAATCTGCGTGTGTCGAAAGGAGTCTGCGATCAATAAAGCGGACTAGGTTCTTTCGCCCAGTCGTGAAGAAATCAAGGCAAGTGATGTGTCAGAGATACCAGGCTGTGATCAGCAACATTTTCTTGCCCTTCTCATATGTCCTGCCAATCGTATGGCTTGTACCACTTCGCTGCTCATCGGACCGCACTTCCCTTTCAGACTGTGTGGGCTACTGAAGTCTTACTATCGCGCGGTCTTATCCGCAATTCCTATCCCGTCGAATTCGTTGTTATCAGAAGGCCTAACTCTCATCTCCGTCTGGTGAGAACGTCGACCCATTGATGCCTTGTATCTATAACGAGAGAAGCAAGACTTTCCAAGCGAATTTGCATTGAAAAGTTCTTCAAAACGTAAGGTACCAGTACACAAATGGCGCCAATCGCATTACACGACGAGGCTGTTTCGGTCGTCCAGACTTGCAAAGTTGCAGCAGCAGCAGCCTCTACGAAGAAGGAACTCACCCCGCTAGAGTCGCTTGCCCATCAGGCGAATAGCAAACCTCTCCCCAAGATTCCCACCTTCAACACGCACGAAGAGAAACGACAATGGCAACTCGAACACATGGCCGCTGCGTTCAGGGTCTGGGCTCGAGAGGGCTATGCGGAAGGTATCAGCGGACACATCAGCGTGCGGGATCCAGAATTCGAAGACCGCCTATGGATTAACCCCCTTGGCGTTCATTACGGCATGATGAAAGCAAGCGACATGGTCTGCATCAACTACATGACCGGCGAGGTTGTTGGAGGAAATACAGTTAGTCACACTGTCACGCATTATGCGTGATTGAACTCTTGGCTTATCAACAATGCAATGCAGGAAATCCCAGCCAATGCCGCTGGTGTCTCGATTCACAGTGCTGCACACAAGCGCCGACCTGACGTTCACGCAGTCTGCCACGCACACTCGATCTACGGCCGTGCGTACTCGGCATTCGGGAAACCACTGGAGATGCTCAACCAGGACGTCTGCAACTTTTACGATGCCCACTCCGTGTACGAGACGTATGGTGGCGTGGCTCTCTCCGGCGAGGAAGGCGAGAATATTGCCGAAGCCCTTGGAGGCGGCAAAGCTTGCATCCTCGTCAACCACGGCTTGTTGACCGTTGGTAATACTGTGGACGAAGCCGCATTCCTGTACATGGTCCTCGAGAGGAGTTGCAAAGCCCAGTTACTCATCGAAGCCGCCGTGGCCGGTGGAAGAGTGCAAAAGCAGCTCATTGGCGATGAAGAGGCGGCATACAACTTTAAGATGAACAGTGACCCCGAGACGTTGTACTTTGAGATGCAGCCCCATATCAGATACGAGGAATACCTCCACGGTAGCGACTACAAGAACTAGATGTCTTGGTCAGTGATGCGAGCAGTGCGTTTCAGGAGAACGATGAAGCGCCTCGACAGAGATGTAACATCAAGACCATTGACGAGTTGCTGGTACATCAAGTTGTCGCTCCCTGTGAAATCAGCTACCTTTCATTCTTGAAGTTATCACGATTGTGAAAAGAAGTAGGAAGTTTGGATTGGGATCCCGAGAAATGACGGTGGTGCCGATATATAGCCGATTCCCGCGGCCTCGTCATGAACTCACGAGGCTGTGTGTTTTGCAACACCTCCTGAGATTTCTGAAAGAAAAAAAGACGTACCATACACCGTATCGACACAAGATTGGACTCGGGTGGTGCTCCTAATGCTGCAAGCTCCTCTAAATGATAACAATCACAAGCTTCATCTCATGATATCTCGTCTCAAGGGACAAGGCACTGATCAGACTCCGTAAGGGGGAGCAGAGGAGAGATCTCGTCTCCGGTTTCGTTTCGACACCTTATCGGTTTCAGATCTTCCTCATCACGCACCTTTGACGGCGGCACCATGGGAACGCTCGAACGTCTCATAGTTTCAAGCGCTGCCTCGAGATGGCTGTCCTTATTAAGGGAGTATCTGTTCCCCCTCTTTCCTCACTCTTCTACCCAGCCCACAGTGATCTTCTATCTCTCTTCTCTCTCTTCCCCTTTCTTCCTTTCTTCAGCCTGGTTGCTCTGCTCTACTTTTTTTTTCTTCATTCCTGCTACTGAATTTCTCGTTGTCTTTTTCAGGTTTGCAATTCGTTCTCTTCCACGTGGCCGGCCACACTTCTATCGACGCCTACAAGGGCAGATCTATCACGATACCACATTCCGAACAAATACCCTCATTCAAGGCCATACACACCCACATCCGACCCTCGACTATCATCATGAAATCAACCACGCAATCCTCCAGCTTCTTGGTCCTCCTCGTCTCCTTCATATCCCTGACCACCGCCCTCTCCTTGCCACTCCACCTGCTCGACGCCCGTCAGTCCTCCTCCCTTTCCTCTTCCCCGGACTGCGAATCCTACAGCAGGATAGCCAATTTCTCGGTCGTCGGCACCAACGCCACCTACCGCGCCGCCTACCTCGCCGCGTCGCCTCAGGGCAGCGACCCGGCCCGGGCCCCCCTAGACCAAGCCATGCTCAAACTCCCCGGCCTCCAATTCAACGCCACCCTGAACAGGGAGTGCGGGAACCTCACCACGGTCGCGTTTGACGGGGCAGAGTCGAACTTCACGAGCGGGATCGTGTTGCAGTTCAAGGTGAACGCGGCCGCGTCGGCCAAAGCGGGTGCCACGTGCGTGGCGGTCGTGGCGGCGATGCTTGCCCTCATAATCGGTGGTCTACTGTGAAGCTGGACAACGATGGTTTTCCATGGGCTAGCTATGTTGTCCTTTTCAGGGGGGATTTCCATTTTGCCCGGAATTGCTGTATCTGTTAGTATGTGAATGGATATGGGTTTCACGAAGATGGTCGATACCGAAGAAGAACATGTTATATGCCTAGGTATACAGATAGATGCATTCAACGTTCGGCATGCAGCGTTGGAGATGGGAATGACCAGAAGACGATATTCGTCCATATCACGCAAGACAGTCTACGATGAGATACTTCTTCGGGAGTGAAAAGCGATCGACCACAAGAATTAAGTTGCGGATCATATCATCTTTATGTGATAAACATTGATATCTCCGATCAATTCTTCCTCGCAGAAGACGAAAGACACTTTTGCTAGGTTCAGCGATTCAAGCATACTGGTGACGACTTTTTTTCCATTCTCGTGTCAAGCTCAAGTCGACAAGAGACGCCTTACTTTCCGCATGCTCTCCAGCCATCTCTGGCCCTGATTGCTTTTGTTGGACACTGTCACGTAACCCCACGCTCAGATCCTTTTGGTATACAGCCGTCGACAATGATTCCCTGTATAGATGCATCGACGTTCGGCATGTCCATGCGCGCATACTTTTCATCATTGTCCCTCACCTACGGTAAAACCCCTTCTCCGCCGGACAAGAAAGTTCATCAAAACTCCATGAAGTCCCCTTCATGATGGTGTTGCTCCAACTCAACCGTCACACGACTGAAACGGAAGTGTAGCTACCCGTACGCCGTCTCGCATGCCTAGTCGTTGCAATCCGCATCAAACAATAGTTGAATAGCAGATGTGGTCGTTATATCTAGTCTTGAATGCTGTCGCTAATTATCGATGTTACGAATACCTGAGGGCTAATGAAGTTGTCGTAGTAAGATGTAATGTGAATGATTCTTTGACCAACCATGCACTGTGACTCCAGGTCGTCGTTCAGGACATGTCATCATGTAGCCGTGAAGTCTGAATAGTTGAGGCTTCTGAGGGATCACAAGATCTACTGACGCTCAATGAGGCGGCGAAGTACGGTAAGAACCATTGGCCCGACCTTCAACATTGCTTGAATCGTCATTTGGTGATGCCTCGCCAGCAAGTTTATTGTCCGAAGCCACGATCTTTCCGTGGATGGTCTGAAGTTCTTGACCCTTGATACCTTTGTTAGGCCAATAAGTGGCGGCGTAATCCCTAGTCAACGTTAGCAAGTACTTCGTAAACAAGCGGTTGGTGACCTACCAAAAACGTTTCTCAACGGATTCATGGTTGTCATCAAGATCCGCTATCTGCTCAGTAATGAAATTACCAATTTGCTTCAGCAGGACTCTTAATTCATTCGCTCGCTGTTGAGAATCAGGAATGGCGCTCTTTGTTGTCGCCTTGATCTTCTTCAAGCTCTCTCTAACAGGCTTGAAAAGCACCTGCATGAGTGGATCGACGTCGGACGAGGAACCACCAGCGGGGTTTTCGCTACGACGGTGCTCGCTGCCGTGCCGATTGTGATGGGAACCATGGCCATGGTCATCACGATATCTGCGATCTCTCTCATCTCGGCGCTCGCTATCATGTCGACCGTGACCATGACGGCTGTCAGCTCGTGGAGTACCATATCTTTCAGAGCTATCACGATGAGCCTGGCTAGGGCGGTGTCGTGGCTTTTCAGAGTCTCGATGTACCTTGCGATGGGACCCGGGAACGGGTGAGCCGATGTTGGCAGAGCGTTCAGCTTGTAGCTTCTTGTTGTTTCGATGATGGTTCTCCACGGCTCTTTTAGCGGCAGGGTCGTCACCGTACTTACTCTTCAGAACAGAGATAAGATAGTCCGCACGTCTGACGAGATGAACCGCACCTGGTGACTTGGCATTCTTATCATCGAGCCTCTCGCGTTCGGCTTTCTTGTCGACACGATGTTCTTCAAGGAAGAATTTGTCGTTCAAACCAAGGTCGGGGTCATCCCGAATCTTTTCCCAGGCACCATAGCCATGACGAGAAATGCCAACACAAAGCATACCATCTTCGCGTGCTCCCCATGGACATGTGTATCCTGCACTCTTCGTGGCTTCGGGAATGCGGAACGACTTGAAGTCAGGATCCTTTGAGGTCACATCTTGCAGCAGTCTCATCTCGTTAGGGCGCTCAAGGATGGTCTCCGCATTGATTCGCTTGACGCCATGGAGCTCAAAAAGGATAGCTTTGCGGTCCTTTTTAGTGATCGGACGATTCGCAGTTCGCTCCAATTCTGCCATGCGTTCCTGTTCTGCGTTGAAGAGCTCAGTCGATTTGTCCCAAACTTCCTTCATCGCAGCTTTAACAACGCCAATATCTCTCCCACGAAGACGGGCTTCAGCCAAAAATTCTTCTTGTCGATCATCGATTGAGCCATAGCGAAGGTGACCTTTGATCAGATAACGGTACTCTCGTTCACTTAATGGCCGTGCAGGGTCGGCCTTAGGACCTTCCTCGGACTCGCTGTCCGAGTCAATCTCCTTCTGGCGCTGTTCTTGTCTTCGTGCCTTCCGAGCCTCACGATCCTCAACATCGCGATTTCGCACTCGAGGTTTGTTCTGTTCGATGACTTCAGCAAGATATTTCTCATCGGCCTTCTTCTGTTCCTCTGCTTTGAGCTCCTCGAGTTGCTCTTTAGGAATGATATCATCCCAAGACATTTCATCGACTTTAACATCAACAAAGTCGAAACTGCGTAGGAATTCTTCGCCACCATCAGCATCTGTGCCATCTGGCTGTTCCACTTTGTAATCTTCGGCATTGTTGAGTACAGCATCCAGATCAAGTTCTTCAAGCTTTTTCTGGTTGTCTGTCTGTTCAAACATCTTTTGACCACGTTTCTTGAGAATTCTTGAAATTTCACTTGAGCTTCCAGGCTCCCCAACCAGGGCGGTACGTCGGGCTTGGGTTTCTTTATCGGTAACGCCACGCTGGATGGTCAAAAACTCTAGCATCAGCTTGTTTCTGGCACGTTCCAAGATTTCTTCCTCAACTGTCTCCTTTGATACCAAGCGGTAGACGCTCACAGGCCTGACTTGACCGATTCTGTGGGCGCGAGCCATAGCTTGCAAATCAGCCTGGGGGTTCCAATCTGAGTCGAAGATGATGACTGTATCGGCAGTCATGAGGTTAATACCCAGACCACCAGCTCTTGTTGACAGGAGAAAACAGAAATCGGTGCTCTCTGGTGCATTGAAATGATCAATGGCGATTCGACGAGGGGCTGCCGCGATAGTACCATCGAGCCGCTGATAAGCATGACCTCTGTAGTCCATGTAATCCCCGAGAATATCGAGCATTCTCACCATTTGACTGAAGATCAAGACGCGATGACCGTCACGCTTGAGCTTGGTAAGGAGTTGATCAAGCAACATCATCTTACCACTACTGGTGACCAACGCTCGGAGGACTTCGTCCTTTCTAGCGCCATCGGGTACCAGTCGTTCTTCTGCACTGGGAAACATGAAGGGATGATTGCTTGCCTTCTTCAGTTCCATCATGATATTGAGCAGCGACTGTTTCTGTCCTTTCGCGCCTTGATTGAGAGCGGCATAGTTTTTGGTCAAAATATTCTTGTAGTACTCGAGCTGAATATCTGACAATTCGACTCGAATGATCTTTTCAGTCTTAGGTGGCAAGTCCTTTTCAACCTTGTTCTTTGTACGGCGTAACATGTACGGTTTGATGTCCTCGGTGAGCTTGGCAATCTTTGCACTTGCTTCTTCCGTAGTTAAATCCATACTCTCGTCAATGTTAATGACACCAGGATTTAGGAAGTCGAAAAGCGCTGACAACTCGCCAAGGTTATTTTGCACAGGTGTACCAGTGATAAGAAGTCGTGCTGGTGCTCTGAACTCCCGTAAGCGATCGTACAATTGAGACTCCCTGTTCTTCAAACGATGGGCTTCATCGATAGCCATGAATTGCCACTTGATCTGGCTCAAGAACGGGGCATCTTGCAGAACGAACTCATAAGTTGTGAGAAGGACGTGGAACCGTGGATGACGCACGTTGCCATCAGGAAATAACTCGTACTCCTTGATGATATTGCGGGCGGCTTGAGGTCCGTTATAGACCACGTAATTTATGTCAGGAGCCCAATGGTCAAAGGTGTCGGCCCAAGCAGGCATGGTTGAGAGAGGAACAGCGACGATAAAGGGACCTTGTTGACCACGATCGTGCCTCAGCCAGCTCATGAAAGCGACGGTCTGAACGGTCTTTCCTAGACCCATTTCATCGGCAAGGACAACATTCTTCGAACGTGACCAATTGAAAGCAAGGAAGTTCAACCCTTGAAGTTGAAAATCCTTAAGAGTTCCGTTCTGGATGTATGATGGCTGTTCTCTCATGGGAAGGAAGGCTCGTCGGGTTCCAGGATTGCTCTCGGTAGCGTTCGATCTGAAATCTTCTCGTCTGCGTGCCAAGTATCGATCAATCTCGGTTTGAGCGATCTCGCTTACCAGACTTGACGATTCCCAGCTGGCGTCATTGTACAGAAGACCCTTCCACTTTACGAAATACTCCGTGCCTTCTTCACCTTCACGGTCGCCAATCACTCTTTCAACTTTCTTGTGCTCTTCCAGAGCTTCAGCGACCTCCTCTCGGTACAAGAGCCACTTCTCCTTGTCCTCAGGTGCAATGTCGGGGTCGTTGACGATTCTAATATCTTCCATCAAGTATTTCTTGATGTAATTATCCAATCGTTTTAGACTTCTGACATCCTTTAAAGACTCTATAGTCTCCCAGGTGGCATGATAATGTGATTTCTGCTGCCACTTGATGAGAAACTCGTAGTCGTCCTTCGTGCGCGTCGGAGTTGTTATATCGACTTTGAGACGGTGATTTAATACTGCGTCAATAGCAGGAGAGTTGTCTTGTTCGTTGGCCCAGTAGTTCGGCGTCATCGTATCAACATCATCCTCTTCAAACATGCCATCATCCTCATCTTCATTATAAGAAGAAACTTTTGCAGCGCGACGGGTGGAGAAGCGGATTTCGGCGTGAGCAGGTGTGAGGCTATCGGCGGACTGCAAGATTCGTCGGCGCTGCTTCTTGGTGAGCCTCGCACGTTTGCCGCCATACGCATCGGAGTCATCGTCAGACATAGAGGGCGAATCGATCATGGGTGTATGCTGTTTCGAGGACCGCTGAGAGACTTGTCGCAAACGCTTTCGCGGGCGAGGAGCAATGTCCGAGTCCGAGTCCTGCTCAGCGTCCGATTCGGCCATGTTAGGAACATGACGAGCTCTTCCGCTGCGTCTCAGACCGTACAGTTCTGGGTTGTTTCGGATGTCATCATCTCCATCGACCGGAGGTGCCTTTCTCTTAGCCGGTCTGATGGACTCATCCGAGGAAGAGTCGTTTTCTTCGGATTTCACGCTGTTTACTTGCATAGAAGTGTCCATCTCATAATCCGCATCACCCTCAGCGTCTTGTTCGTCAGAGCTAGGTTCATTTACATCTTTCATGTTTTCGTCCTCATCGTCGACCTTGACTTGTGGCAGCGAGCTGGCGGCAACGATAGGTTCTGCGGGTTCGGACAGCTCACTTTCACTGTCGGAGTAATTCGCTCCATTCTGCGTTATAGGCTCGGAACGTTCATCGGTGTTTTCTGGTGACCTTGAAGGATCAGGTATTGAGGGTGGGAATGGTTGCGTCAAAACGCCGGAGGCTGTAGAAGAGAGCGTCAGCATGGTGTGCTACCAAAAAGCTCCGGCAGCAAATCGACGCTGCGGTCCTATAATTTGACACCTGGCGACTCAGAAAACACCAAATTCCAGCAAGAAAGGGTTTTCCGAGATGAATAACAGGTGATATAAGACGTGGTCGATGGACTGAACGGGCGACGAGATGGGGATGAGGCGAGAAGCTCGGATGACCGTGGCAGGCCAACCCGATGCGATTTCTGCACAAAAGTGACATTCAAGCGCTCAAAAATCCAGTAGATAGCCTGGCCACCTTCTCAGAGAGATCCGCAGCGACAAATGTATGATCTCGAACTGGATCGCGACGAGTCTTGAATACCAGGCCGAGCAGCCGCCGACCAGAGCGTGATAAAATTTTGGCAGGCAAAGTCGACGAATCGCATCAGAAGGGATCACTCACACTCCATCATATTCAGATAGAGCCCCTGAGGGTTCTCAAATATGTTGCATTCAGGTAATGGTGGTGTAAAAGCGTGATGTCGTGAAAGTGGGAGAGAGGAATTGCAAAGCGGAAGAGACGAAGGCCCGGGGCACACGAGACGAGGCTGCTATGGCGAGCTGGAGTGACTGGCCCTGTGAGCCCTGGCACCAAAATCTGAAATGGAAGGTTGGCCGACCCGCGGTTCAAACAATAAGCGACAATATTAATAGGGGGTATTGAGAGCGCAGGTAAATGCCAAGACAAAGCCTACACTTTCACTTCTGGGTGACTCTTCAGGCACTGTCATGCCCCGCGGCGCCCAATCACAATATCAGCATTTGGGATTTTTGTGTGTATCCCACTTCACTGCCTCGAAGCCTTTATTTCTATGCCTGCACTCTGTTGAACTTCGCACCTTATTTAACTGTCTCGTCGTTGGCTGTGAGTCACGGGACAATCTTGTGCGAGAGGAGCAATAGACGAAGACTTTCTGCCGTTCTCCTTTGGTTTGAACCAGCTGTTTGCTACCGAACACCGCACAGTCATTTCTTCGCCGCCGGCTTCACGACTCGAGAGACAGTCAAGATGTCTGACAAGTTGACAAGGTATACATTCTTTGGTACTGAAGAGCATGGACAGTAACTGACTTTCATTCTAGAATTGCTATTGTCAATAGCGACAAGGTTGGTCCTTCACACACAATTTGGAATTTCATATTGTAGATTGTTAACACTTCAATTTTCTGCCCCGCAGTGCAAACCAAAGGTGTGTGCGATTGAGACCAAACAAAGAAACCATTCTGACCCGAACAGAAATGCCGTCAAGAATGCAAGAAATCCTGCCCTGTCGTCCGAACTGGCAAACTTTGCATAGAAGTTACGCCCGAGTCCAAGATTGCCTACATTTCTGAGCGTTTGTGTATTGGTTGTGGTATCTGTCCAAAGAAATGCCCGTTTGGTGCCATTCACATTATCAACTTGCCCACAAACCTCGAGACTCAAGTTACGCACCGATACTCGGCAAACAGTTTCAAGCTGCACAGGCTTCCTATGCCCCGGCCGGGACAAGTGCTAGGTCTGGTTGGAACAAACGGTATTGGAAAGAGTACTGCCTTGAAGATTCTCAGTGGTAAATTGAAGCCCAACTTGGGGCGCTATGACAACCCACCGGACTGGGAAGAGATCTTGAAGTATTTCCGTGGCTCGGAATTGCAAAGTGAGTTGCTCCGCTGCGAACTTCCATGTCCCGGCTTCTGACGACAACAGACTACTTCACCAAGGTGTTGGAAGATGACCTCAAAGCCATCGTCAAGCCACAATATGTGGACCAACTCCCTCGTGCCATCAAGGGCCCCGTCAAAACCGTGAAGCCTCTTATTGAAGCCAAGGCAGACTTGGGGAACATGGACCATGTCATGGACGTGCTAGGTAAGACTGCTTATCTGGGGACATGAATAGTTGACACTAACAGCCTACCAGAGCTCAACGCTGTCAAGGAGCGAGAAATCGGCCTTCTTTCAGGCGGTGAACTTCAAAGATTTGCTATCGCTCTTGTCTGCGTGCAAAAGGCGGATGTCTACATGTTCGACGAGCCATCCTCCTACCTCGATGTCAAGCAACGTTTGAGTGCCGCTAAGACCATTAGAGAACTCCTTCGACCTGATGACTATGTCATTGTTGTCGAACACGATCTGTCAGTCCTGGACTACCTTTCTGACTTCATCTGCGTCCTCTACGGAAGACCTGCCGTCTACGGTGTCGTCACTCTTCCGGCCTCTGTCCGTGAAGGTATCAATATCTTCCTTGACGGCCACATCCCTACCGAGAACTTGCGTTTCCGTGAGGAAAGCTTGACCTTCCGTATTGCCGAAGCTGGTGAAGACTACATGGCCGACAGGGCACGTGGCTTCGAGTACCCTGCTATGGAAAAGACGCTGGGAAGTTTCCACCTCAAGATCGAAAAAGGCACGTTTACAGACTCGGAAATCATTGTCATGATGGGGGAGAACGGTACCGGAAAGACCACTTTCTGCAAGATGCTTGCTGGTGTCGAAAAACCAGATGGCACCCAGAAGGTCCCGGCCATGAACATCTCCATGAAGCCCCAGAAGATCACCCCTAAATTCCAGGGTACTGTCCGCCAGCTCTTCTTCAAGCGTATCAAGGCTTCGTTCCTCAACCCTCAATTCCAGACCGATGTCTACAAGCCGCTCAAGATCGACGACTTCATCGACCAAGAGGTCCAGAATCTCTCCGGTGGTGAACTGCAACGTGTCGCCATTGTGCTTGCCCTTGGTCTTCCTGCCGACATCTATCTCATTGACGAGCCATCGGCTTATCTCGACTCCGAACAGCGTATCATTGCTGCCCGAGTGATCAAGCGATTCATCATGCACAGCAAGAAGACTGCCTTCATTGTCGAGCACGATTTCATCATGGCTACCTATCTGGCGGATCGTGTCATCGTCTTTGACGGCCAGCCATCCGTCGACGCCCGGGCCAATACTCCCGAGAGTCTGCTTACTGGATGTAACAAGTTTCTGAGGAACCTTGACGTCACTTTCCGCCGTGATCCCAACTCCTACAGACCACGCATCAACAAATATCAATCTCAAATGGACCAGGAACAGAAGCTTGCAGGCAATTACTTTTTCCTGGAGGATGAGAGTTGAAATTTTTGTTAATTCGCGAAGGACATCCACAAGCATAATAACGATCATCGACATGATCGACATGAGAAAGATCGACGTCACGATGGCATGAATCACGACCAAAAGAATCACGAGTCCACGACTTCCACCAGCGCCGTGGCCTCGTGTCTGAAAAGCACGGGTAAAGGTGCCAAGAAACGCCGCGGTGGCGTCCTAGTCGGAGATGAGGACGCCGAAGCGGATGAAGACGACGAGGAAGATGACGATGAGGGAGGCAGTGGTCGACCTCCTGCGCCTCTCCATTCCAGCCCCACTCGACATTGTCTGCGTCTGCATTCTTTCTCAAGTGTGGTGATGCAGACGCTTAGAAGAGCCATAGATGAGACTGTCGAAGCGTAATGGCTAAAGAGAAAGGTCCGGGTCAAGCTAGGTGACCACTGCCAGTGGCGGGTCTGGAGACGACAAAGACCATCTAGGGCGTTGTTCTAGAAGATCAGAAACCTGTTGTGCCTCTTCTAACAGGCCCAGTTGGTGCAAACAAGTACGAGTCTAAGAAGAGCTATGTTGCTTACAGAATTAGTCGATGACGAAAAACATAGTCCCGATGTTGATTTTTAGTTCTCCATTTGTGCTTTGTATTGTTGCTCGGCTCGAAATCCTCAGGTAAGTTAGGTAGGGGTCTCGTGGTCTCACGTATGTCACCGTGCCAGCACCCCGACGAACGCTTTACAAGTCCATCCCAGAAGCAATGTTGACCTGAACGAAGGGTCGCATGTGCCCTGGATGTGAGATGCCATGCTCGCATTGAGTTGGATGGAAGAGATCGAGATGCCGTCCAACTCACGGGTATGTATGTGTATCGGACTGTGGGAACCGACGTTCAGCCGATGAGATACGTTTCCCTCCGGAGATCTTCCTTTATCAGAGAGGTCGTCGTCGCCAACAAGCGACCATGTCCATGGACGCCCTACCGAGTATCCGTACCAGACGACTTTTCGATCGGTTTGACAGATTCATGGACAAGCCACTAAAGAAACTCAACACCTCAGGCATTTAACATCCAAGGCGGGGCCCCACGGTTTCATCACACACCCAATCGCCTACATCGAAAGCCGCCGCGAATGCCTATTTCCCCAGACACCACTAGGGGTGAGGTGGGATTGAACCGAGATACAGCCTAAAGGGAGAAAAGAAAGGTTGCATCGATTCCCTCTTCTCGCTCTGTTCCACGTCTGTTCTTGACAAAATCCCGGCGGGGGGGAAGTTGACGAGGTCCTCTCCGTCTATGCGAGTTTGATGCAAGTCCGCCCTCCTGGGCCAATACGATCAGGGTTATCTCCTCAGAACGTACGCTCGCTGTACATCGTACAGCAGCTACGAAAACATGTCTTCTCGAGGGGCGCTGCGAGTTTCTATCGAGCCCAGTGAAATCAGGCTCAATCCCGCAAAGTCTAACACACTTGAAGCTCATCTTTTCAATGATTGGCCGAGCCAATGACTCTGAAGACATCACGAAGGGTCTAGAGCCACGCTCACGCTCCCCGTGCAGAAGACGACCGGACCTTTCACAAATCGGTAAGGACCATTCTGTGGTTTGTATGTAAATGACCATCCTCCCCCCTTACGACGTCTCCGACCCCTAGGTCGGTCGTAACCCCCTCTGCCTTTTCAAAGAGTCACCCAGACGTCCTAAAGATTTGGGATTGCGTGTTGACGAAGTCTTCTGCTTTTCCTTTTTCAACTATGGCGACCGTCATCAAGGATGGCAGTGACAGAATGCATGTAGAAGCCTCAGACACTGGCCTCGGACACCTCAAGGACGTCGGCCTACACGATGCCACCCTCGCCAGCGGTGCCCTCGAAGGGACGGCTCAGGAACACAGCATGGGAGTCTTCCAGGCCTTGAGGACGTACAAGCGGGCGGCGTTCTGGTCGATCCGTACGTTTGTTGCCGAATCTTTACGGCATCTACCCATCTATTTGATTGTTTGGTGTGTTTGTTTTTGTTACTAACAGTGCATTCTCCATGGCATGGACAGTCCTCTCCACGACCATCGTCATGGAAGGGTACGACGTGACACTGATAGGTTCTTTCTATGGTTATCCTTCTTTCCGTCGAAAGTACGGTGCCTACCTCGACGAAGAAAACGGCTACCAGATCTCCGCGACGTGGCAACAACGCTTCAACTGTCTCGGGGCTCTGGCCAACATCATCGGCGCCCTGTTCAACGGGTGGGCCACGGCTCGCTGGGGACACCGCAGGGTCCTCATGTTCTCACTCTTCTGGCTGACCGGCTTCATCTTCATCGTCTTCTTCGCGCCCACGATCGAGGTCCTGCTCGTGGGGTCCTTCTTCTGCGGCATCCCCTGGGGCGTCTTTGCCACGACGGGGCCCTCTTACGCCGCCGAGGTCACCCCCCTCGCGATCCGAGGGTATCTGACCGCGTACGTCAATCTCTGTTGGTGCATAGGCCAGTTCATCGCCGCGGGAGTTCTCAAGGGTCTCGTGAACAACGACACGGCTTGGAGTTATAGGGTTCCTTTCGCTGTACAATGTGAGTCTCCCGGCTTTTTCCGGACGTGGTATTTTGTATCCATGGTTGTCCTTAAACTCCTCAATCACCGACTGACACCTTCCGATGACGAATGACGAAACAGGGGTATGGCCCGTCCCTCTCTTCGTCGCGGCGTACTTTGCACCCGAATCCCCGTGGTACTTTGTCCGCACCGACCGGATCGAATCGGCCCGCAAGTCACTCGAGAGGTTGACGGAACCCGAACACCACGGCGACATCGACCCCACCGTCGCCATGATGGTCCACACGAACAAACTCGAGATGGCGGAGCGGGCGGGCGTGAGGCTCTGGGACGCGTTCAGGGGCACCAACCGGCGCCGCACCGAGATAGCGTGCGTGGGGTTCCTGTCCCAGATCACAAACGGGGGGGCCCTGTGCTACTCGGGGTCCTTCTTTTTCCAACAGACCGGCATCGGCGCCAGTGCCTCGTACGCCATCTCCCTCGGCGGCACCGGCATCGCGTTCGTGGGGACCGTCATCTCCTGGCTCTACCTCTACCGGTGGGGTCGAAGGACCATCTGGCTCGTCGGTTTCAGCTCCCTCGTCGTCATCCTCTGGACCATCGGTTTCCTCGCCCTGCCTCGCCAGACAAAGGCTCTGGCGTGGGGGCAGTCCCTCCTCTGCATCGTCTGGCTGGGCGCCTACTCCATGAGCGTCGGCCCCATCATCTACACCCTCGTGTCGGAAATAGGGTCCACCCGTCTCCGCACCCAGACCGTCGTGCTCGCCCGGAGCACCTACTACGTCGGCAACATCATATGCGGAGGTCTGCTGCAACCAAAATTGATATCCCCGGGGGCTTGGAATGCAAAGGGCAAAACTGTATGTTGCACTCTAGATCGGTCGTTTCTTTGGTGGCCGAATGACTGATCCCTTTTTCTTTTCCTCGGAATTCAACAGGCATTCTTCTGGGCGGGACTCGCTACCTTGACGTTGATCTGGGGTTATTTCCGACTTTTCGAAACAAAAGATAGGACTTTTGGTGAGCTGGATTTCATGGTGAGTGAACGTCATGCCCTCCCATTCTGTGTATGTTGTCCAAAACTCAAAAATACACATAGTTTCAAAACAATGTCCCTGCTCGTAAGTCGGCCAGGTATCAAATCAGGGAAGAGGAATTGTATACCGCAGATGGAGACGTCGAGAAGTCTTGATGAGTTTTAAGTGATAGGCAAGGAAATGGGGGAAGTGGGCGCGGGGGGTGTTCGAGATGATATCTGTAACAGCATCAGAAAGTGAAAAACGTGGTGACCATTTTTATGGGTTCATGGACAGGAGGAGAAGAAAATGAAGATGTGGTGTCATGTTGATTCTTAAAACAAGTCAGTTGTGTGGTGGAAGAGAAGATTGTCTGGAATCTGGATCTTTTTTTTTCTCTTTTTCCATCTTTTAAAGGCACGAGTGAGATGGCAGAGCTCGAAGAGTTACCGAACCGTTACCATGTGTTTTCCTTTTGGTAGTATCTGTGACGGTACAAACATGATCGACGTGAAAATTATTATCTGTATAAATATTCTGTACTCGTCCCCCGTACAATATATAAAACTGTTAAAACAAAACCGCGGTGGCGTGTCAAACACAGCACCTCGAAGAATGATAATGATCACGAATCAAAGGATGAAAATTGATTGTCAATCTAAAATACTCGTATAATAGAGAGAGTGTCAATCAGATCTTCCTTCACACCCTACTACCACTTATCACAGGGCCAAAATCACCACCAACACCATCATCATTCTCCCCTCGAACATATCACTATTGACATCAAGAAAAGTTACTCAATCAACCAATACAATTTCAAATGAATACATATACAAGAGAAACGCCTCTTGGTAAAGCACTTGTCCTCAGTGCCATCTCAGGTTCACCTCCTTGTCTCTCCAAGGTGTTTTCTTCCTTGCATAATCTTTTGCCCTCATTTGTCCTTGATTGCTTGATGTCTTGCTTCCTCCTCGCGACAATGTCTCGCCTTGATCAGGACAACGTCCCTAATCAACCACCTTTACCTTGCGGCTCTCCATCCCCCTTCACCATATGACAAATGAAAGGTGTAGTAGCGTAAAATACGCCTTATACTGGTATTCAGTATGCTTTGCGCCATTGTCTCCGCCCAATCCCACCACTTGGGCTATTATCATTTGTGTCAGACAAAGAATGCCTTTTTCCTAAGCATAAAGCTCATCACTCCGTGCAATGAGTAAACATGACAGAGTTGCAGATCGAGATCTCTAGTACGATCAATGAAGATGACCAGTCAACAAGGCTCTGCGCAATGAGCCTCAGCCCATTCATTCCTCTCATCTGAACAAATTGGTTTGCTGCTGTAGCAATAATCTTCCCCCGGAAAAAACATGCATTACAAAAGAAATATTGTCATAAAGATGGTCTCCTGGGATGACAGGCGTTGGAGCCAGCCGTGCCCATTGTAAGGCCCCAGATCGAAGTTGAAGTTGAATTGGTTGACAACTTCGACCGATGGTTGAAAAGAAGAAAACAGTAAGAGTCCACCGAAACCGAGCCAGCGTCGCCCATGCGGCTCAAGGTCATAAGTCATAATCAGTGGAGAGGGGTGTCGTCGTAAAAAAGGATCCCAAGAACGCCAGAAAGGGTTTCAAGGAGTGGTATGAGTGCCGTGCATCCTCGAGAAAAGTGTCGAAGCTGGAATGCCGGCACATGCATGCCCAATCCGACCCAGGTTCGACGACATGTTCAAACGTCGAACCTTTAATCATTATAATATTACACAGAACCAAGACTCAAAAGAGCTTCAATCGCAGCTTGTTCTTGGGAGTTGTTAACGCCGGCGCCGTTTGGAAATGAATAGGGAGGTGTAGGGTTTATCGCAACAGGCTTCGTCGGGGCGGTACGAGCAATCTCAGCTGGAGTCTTTGATCGCTGCCTGGGCCGATAAGAGTAGGTCGCGATAGGTTGATAGAGCCGACCAGGGCCAGAAACCGATCTCGCATTGTTCGGCAAAGACCTCGCACGAAGTGCTTCGGCGCCAATACTGGCCCAGTCTTCCTCGTCCGTAGCGTCACCTTCTCCGAGATCTTCGTCGAGAGGTTCCTCGGCGATAGACGATACATAACCGCCTTCATCGCCGTCCAATGACATCTTATCAGCTTCATGCTCCAGCATGTCTTGGTCCTCATATTCCATCTCCGAGTGAGAAAAGACGGCCGAGTTACCGGTGTAGCTGGTGCCGAGGTCTTGGGAACCCGTGCGCCAGGATCTCTGACCGGGAACCTGTAAACCAGGCTGAGAGTAGGATGAGGGTAGGCTCCCGGGAGGTGTCATGGCAGTGCCCTGACGCTCTCGTGGCGGCTGGCCCTTGATGCGAGCATCCCATCTTCCCCAGCCCACTTTATCGAAAATGACATCGCCTTCTCTTTCGATATTGCCACCCTTGCCCTCGAGCGCAGCCACGACAAGACGACGTGCTTTGGCCGAGGTGATGCGCGAGAAGCCTGGCACCGTGGTGGTCAAATAGCCCATGATGTGTCTGATGGCCAGGGGACCATGGGAGAGTAAAATGTCAGGCAAGTGATGCTTGGCCAACATGCCGGGGGTGATAGCGCCAGCACTGTCCAGATCACCCAAGCTGTCTAGAGCCTCAGCACTCAGTGCAGTCGGTTGATTGGTATCGTCGACATCGTGGAAATCGACGTCTGAATCGACAGCGGCGCTCTTTGGCGACACGGGGCCATGGTGACGGCTGTCGCGGCGACCGTGGTTGCGCGGAGGGAGGTTCGGCGAGATGGAATTGGGAGGAGTAGGCAACATGCCCGAGTGGTTTTGGGAGCCTGCCGGTGCAACAGTGAAGTTGTCCCGGCCGAGGGCATCGCGAGGCTTTGGAATGTCGACAGATGCGGACTTGCCATTGAGGGCCATACCGAGGGCCGACACGGTTGCTGGGGCCATAGTTGATGTTGTGTTGGGAGGATCGTGTGAAAGAAGTCTGCTCATGGCAGAGTATGAGTCAGCGCTCGAATTGAATTGAATCGATCGAGCATAGGTGCGCGACGCGGCGTAGATGGGTAGATGTAGTGTACCAGGTGAGATTGTGATATCTCATGAAGGGGTGACTCACCACACGATATTCTTCAACAGAAGAAGCAACGATAGCGCTTTGCGTAGAGTTGGGCTGGATGGCAAAGTGCGATTGGAAGTGGCGCGAAGGTCGAGTAACCCAGAGTGGTGATGTTGCGACGCAGGAGGGTTGAGTCAGAGGCGAATTGTGGCGATCAGAGACGACCTGGACGGTGGTCTCTTGGGCAGTGGATATCTTCCCTTGATATCAGGAAGATGTGGAAAGGAAGAAGAAAGAGAAGAAGAGAGAATGGACGTTCTTGATAAACAGGAAGCGGGGGGGTGCAGCTGCTGTTTGGTGGGTTTATGGTTGGGAACGGTAAGTCAATCAAGTAGGCATGAACGATGGATGGTTCACATATACAAGTCGATGGGTGCAGGTGGGTGGAATGATTGGCGATTGTACATGAATGAAGGTGTGAGAGTGTCACTACGAGGACTGTGCAAGCCTGTACTCCGTAGGTGCCGTCTTACCTTAGGGTAGCCTAAAGTACGAGTAGTAAGGAGGAGGGAAGCCCACAACCCACAAGCCACTCTTGGTGAGTCCGGGCAGTATCGGGGAGCTAAGGCCAATGGAGGCCCATAAACCGGGCAGGTCATCAGGGCAAAGAGCAAAGGCCCCCGGAGCATCGGAAGGTCCACAAGGCAGAACAGTCATAAAGTGTGGTGGTTTCTGCGCCGCTCTTTGGTGACTCCCTCCCTTTTATTACGCGTTTCTCCCACAGTTCATGCAGTCTGTCCTGGCCTCGAAAATCCACCCGGACCTTGGAATTCCCTCCAATAGTCGACTTCCCACGCCAACACATGGCATTGTTCATCACCCTCACTCGAGATGGCACATTACGAGGTTCGATAATGAAGTCTTGGTCGCGACAACACTAGGGGTTTCTCGTCTTCCTCGCTCCGTACTTGAGTAAAACTCTGCGCACAGGGCTTGAATTCAATTCTACGTGTTTCTTATCTCGGAGAAACCAGTCAAGCCTTGTTCGCTATTTCGTCCTTGACAGTAAACTATCAAGTCGGAGTTCCCAACCCACAATTGATAACGAAAAAGGCGCGCGCCACCCGCAATTCCCATCTCTAATGGTACGGAGTAGCTGCCCGTTGTCTATCGCGGGCATTTGCGGAGACGTCTGCGTCTGGCACACTTTGTCGACCACGAGGGACCGATTAGGAGCCCTTGAGCAAGTGAGTGGGATGCGTAATACTGGACGATAGGTATTGTACGTACACTGTGCTGTGCTCATACTCGTACTCGTAGAAGCCATAACAACATTTTGTAATGATCATCAGGCTGAATAATTGTGATCTTCAGTCGATCTTTCGAAAGGCATTTATTGCCTCTAGGGTTTCCCGCACTCTTTCCAAGGACAACGAGAACTCGTACAGTAGTGGTGATGGTGATGGTCACATGCTCAACGTCAATTTTCGTCCCGCTGACGCTTCGACATTCCATGCCTAGGTGCTGTCCTTACAGAGTACACATCATCACATCATCCATGATCGACTTTTGCCCATTGACTGCACAAGTTTGCATGGGTATGGCTATGATGAAAATCGACCACACAATAGCGATACAACAATGTAATTTAGGGGATTTACCGGGCCGAAATATCCATCCTAGGCAAGGATTCCCATCCCACACTCTTGTCAAATTCGCACGTGGGTGAAACTCTGGACGTCTCTTTGTTCAACGTGTGCATCCGGCTAGAGTTTATTACAAACAGTATTACACGCCGTGGGTGACGCATTCATCCATCATGTATACATCTTTGAGCCAAATTGCCTAGCACAAATCAATCGCAGTAAGAAAGGTGAAATGAGGACGATTACCATAAGATAGTTTGCCTTTTCAATCTACATGACTAGCTTGGACTATACACTATTGGATCATTATATTAACATCTCCTCCAACTATGGTACACTAATGCGTACCCTTGATGGCCGCATTCATTGATATCGTGGGTAAGATGACCGTCAGCACATTAAAGAAACAGATATGATAATGAGATCGCTTGGAAAAGAAAGTAAAATGCGCTTTCCGCCACATCAGGTTCAGAGGTGATCGACATGAGATCCTTCAAATCGCCTTTCCTGTTCGCACTTACATCGTCAACCGCCGACTGTCTCGAGATTCCAAAAACACCGACTGTATCGAAGCCGCTGGCTTAGAACGGGTTGGAGGCTCTACCATTACGTCCTCCCAGGATTCATGTTTGATCACCATTCTCGGCTCGTGAGACGCCTGGGTTGTCCGGGGTGTCGATCGGGTCCGAAACAGTGCAGGTTTCTTCCCTCTGGGCCGAATCTGGCTCTTGACAGAACCTGCCGTATTAGGTGGGATTTGCGTGTTCGGTGATTTTCCTGCAACATCGTCCAGCAAGTATTGGTAGAGCATTCGCGAGAAACGGTTCGAAAGTCACCGATTGGGGGTTCCTAGATTCAACCACGACATGTCGTTGTTTTCAGGTGTGCCACTTCTTGCGCGCGTGTGCGAAAAATAGTCGCGAGACTCCTGCCCATGGCCGTTAACTCGAATAGCAGGCGCTTCAGCTGTACTGACACTGCCTCCGTCCGGATTCATGCTTCGAACCGAGTTCGGCATGGGGAATGATGGTATGGACGAGCCTTGAGTACCGGTCGTTTCCTCCGATGATGCGGTCTGCAGAGGCATGTCTTGCGTTTGATAGTAACTGCTTGGAGGTCGAAGCGGTCGCTGAGCTGGGCCACCCCAGGTGTTTCCTACTGGTGTCCATGGCATGCCGTCCACACTGGCAGGGATCCCGCTGGAGAATGCACCTTCAATATGATCATCTTCGTACTCTTCGTCAGAATTGGTACTGACAGAACTGGCGCGGGAGATACGAGCAGGTATTCCCTCAGCTACCTGAAGTCCTCGTGACTGAGGGTCCGGGTGTCCATGTTCAAGTGTAGGGCTTCCTGCTGCAACCATATGAGCCTGGAGCGGGTTGCCATTGCTGTCTCGGAGAACAATTTTTGTTGACCGAGCAGGGGTTGATCGGGTTGAGCTTTCCGGTACACCAGAACCTGGCCAGAAACCACTTTTGCCTCGACTGGCACCTGAGCTCCTTCCAAAGAACATAGTCCGGTTGCCTGTCTGTGGCTCGCTCTGGAAGTATTTACCCCAGCCTTCATCAGTTTTGCGTTGGGAAGCTTTTCTCGCCGGTGTAGCTACGGTTGCTACCATAGGTTCCCCGACAGGAGTAGCTCGCCCTAGCTCGATACTTGGTCTTGCTTGATAATCTCCAAGAACTGGGTTCATTGGTTTGGATATAGATAGAGGACTCTTGTCGCGTTTGAACAGTGCTTGGCCGAACCCAATGCCAGATCCGCGGTATCCGGGCGTCTGGACTCGTTCCGAGGACACGCGTCGAATGAGATATTTGGGGTCACCTTTGTTTCCTACCATGGCAGTGCTGTCGGCCTCTGTGATCACGGTGGACGGCACCGGGCTTCTTCCCATGGGTTGGCCTTGCCGTGCCAGAGGTTGTAAACCCTGTTCCTCGAAATTGTACTCTCCGCTTCTCTTCTTGTCGTCTCCATAACCACTTTGCTTCTCAGCCCGTTCCCGTTTCCTGCGAACCGAACGAAGCCACAGGAGGATTATGATCAGGATGGCGGCGAGGCCACAGATACCACCCAGTACTCCACCCAGAATGGCCAAGCCATTGGTTTTATGAGAGGACGTGCCGGCAGGACTACTTGGTGTAGACGTTGCGCTTGCGCTTGCAGGAGATTGCGTAGTTGAGGGTGTACTGATGGCTTCTTGTTTCCCAAGGATTGATGTTGTGGAAATCCAACTGTTGCCTGTCTGGTTGAAGAAAGCCACAGAGTCGGTAGAGCCTCCAACAAAGGCGGCCAGGCCATTCTCTCCTTGTACCAAATCGAAGTCGGTGCGAGAACTTGAGGGGGCGAGGCTGTTATTGTAACTTGGGTACGTGTTGAGAAAAACATCTCTCTTAGCTTTGGAGCCACCGCCTGCCGAGGCTGTGGGGGTGGATGTTGGGACACTGCCTCCAACTGTTTCGCCAAAGGACGCAAGTTGGCCTCCAGCATTTAACAAGACATTTGATGTGATGTTGGGCACGTCCTGTCCCAGGTTGAATGTTTGCAATATCTTGCTATTGTCGTCCAGCGTCAGGATGGCGCTCTGCGCCACAGATGAATCAGGAAGGGGGGCAGGGAGGGAGAGTCCAAGATCTTGCCAGCCATCTTGAGGACCAAAGGTAAAAAGATTGACATTTGTCGAACTGCCGCCTGCCATGAAAGCTCGATCTTCACTCCATGGTAGCATGATAGGCTTCTTGGTTGGTGGTGCAGTCGAGCTGTAGGCCAGCACACGATATGGCGGATACGTCTCCAGTACAAATGTTTCCGAAGAGAGACCATCATAGCCACTGTCTTGAGATCCGGCATACACTAAGATGGAGGACGAGGTGTTCATGTAGGCGGCCCCGTGGTTGTGCCGGTTCTGCGTGACCTTGACGGCCGGGGTGATAGTCTGCCAGGACTTGTCTGTGATCGAGAAACGCTGCAGTCCAGGGTAATCAGAGGAAGACGCATTCGCAGCTCCTCCAACAACATATAGAGCGGTTTTTGAGTTGTCTCCATCCACACCGCCCTTAACACAGACGGCTCCTTTCACCGACACGCCATTTGTCTCTTGCTTCCATTGTGCGCCCTCTTTCAATTCCAACGTCTGAAAAGCGTCCGGAGAATAAACGTAGATGACACCATCGTGGACGATCGAGCATTGATTTTTAAGTGCAACGGGAGGCTTTGGAGCTGACATCTCCAGGCCGGCCTCGTGTCCTCCCCTTTGTGACGCAGTCTTCTTGTCAAGCTCGTGTAGGCAGACTCATACCGGAAGAGACGATGTATAGGGTATCGTAGAACAGAAAGAACCTGCACTGCAGGTTGTTGAATTGCTGTAGGATTTCAGCAAGCAAACGCCTGCGCAAAATGAGAACCCTGGTTGCTGTGCAGGGTGCGCAACGATAGGATCTAGAATCGATAGGGCGAACAAATATTGGATGGCGCCAGGACGCGGTGGTTTCGCGCAGTAGTTGAGGTGGATGTTTCTCCAGCGACAAAGGAGGGCCCTTCCGCCACGGGTGTGCTCTGAGCTCGGGCCAGCGGTTTCTTAGGAGGGCGAGCCTTGTAACTCGGGTTCGACCACGATAACTGGCTCACAAAGGGCTTTGTTGGCAGTCTTTGCGCACGAGGAAAAGAGAGCAGTCAATTCGAGCTCAACTCGAGCGATCAACGAACGGCTGTGGGCGCGAAAAAGGGAACGAAAAGGGTGCTGAGACCTTGAACGAGTGAAATGTTAGCCTTACTGAGACCACAGATAGGGAGGGAGTGATAATGTGCGTCCACCGAGTACACGAAGAAAGAGATTGAGACGTACGAAAGACGAAAGATACAGCTTTCGACAAGGAATAGTTGGCGTAAGTGTTCTCTGTCAAAGACTCCTAGACGCGAGTATGATTTTGATTGCGTGGTGGAGTGGTGCCAATGGTAAATGAGACGGAATCCTGTCCAAGGTTGATCCCGTCCAAGTGGGCCGCGGTGAGCAGAAGCGATCAGCAGATGGGCGACACCAAACAGAATAGTCACTTATTTTCAGCCTCGCAGTACTTGTATGCAGGAGTGAAGGCCTTCTATCAGGTGCTATGGAGTCCAGAGAAGAAGAAGAAAATTCGAGGAAGAAAATGTAGCAAGGCAACAAGAGGCGGGCGGCATGGGTCGAGTTCGGGCGGCAGCAGGTGTGGGAAAGACGGAGAGGAGGTGTGATTGTGGACAAGAAGTCGCTTACGGAGCAGGCTAGCACCAAAGAGAACGATGAGAGGACGAGTAGAAGGTGGGAAGCGAGGGCGTTGTCCCTACCAAGATTGGTGTAGAGTTGTTTCTCGTTGTGACTACGGAGTCTGGTTTTGGTTGACGGCGTCCAGCCACTCTCTTGTGCAGAACTCTTTGCTTGTAATATTTCCTCAGTACTACCGTACAGGTCACCCACCAGATATCATAGTTGAAGCGTATGTATAACGACCACTCGTAGCCGTGCTGGTAGAAGCCTGTATCCATGGAACCACGCCTTAAGCCAACCATATTCCCGGACTTCATGTTTGCGTCTTTAGCATCCGACTTGACTGGTCACACGGGGAGGGCGGCATGAGAGGGACAGACGGTAGGCAGCGGGCTTGTTGAGAAGTGATGGCTCACTAGAGATCATGATGGAGGATGGAGCAGGCCTAGCTGTACCGAATCCAAGGCCTGGTCTGCCGTTCATCAGCTTCAGGTGTTTCACAGTGTTTGCCGAGTCGCGGGACTGGGAAGAATTACTGGGCGACTAATACCAATGCAGGCTGCTAATGAGCCACTGACGCAGGAACAAGACACTGCAAATCAGGGGTCAGACACCAGTCACCACCAGTCACCACCAGTCACTTGCAACTATGCTAAAATTGGTACGGCATGGAATACACTAGGAACACTACAAAGGCACCTTGTCCTGTCAAATACTGTACGGAGTATCTCGTGTCCGTACAAATAGTACTCGTAAACTATTGGCCTTTACGAGAACCACGTGCAAAATACGAGTACTGTAAGAAAGTCAACAACATGGAAATGGAAATCACCTCGTTCTCTGCTCGTCCGAGACTTCTGAAACTTCGGCCACGCCACAATGCATCAGTCAACACCGGGATTATATTGTGATAATTACTCCTACTTCGAGGTTCGCGACAACTGATCGTCCTGTTCTGACGTTGTTTGTCTGAAATCATTCTCCCGAGCCATTCGTCTGCTTCGCCTTCCATTGATGTGCCATCGCCAACAGTTTCGACATCTTTGCCGCACTCTCGTCATCAGCAGGGAACACGTAATCAATATACTCCTCAAATCGATCCTCTTCGATCTTTCTCCTCTTCTTGACCTTGCGTGGCATCTGTTTCTCGATATTCTCAATATCTTCAGGTGATCCATGAGTCTGCTCGAACGAACGCCACGCGTTCAACAGGTCTACTCTTTCCTCCTTCATCGCCTTTGATTTGAATAAATCGTGTGCTCGTTCAAAGATCTTACGAGCCCGCGCTTTTGCATCCTCGCTTACTGTCTGTTCCTCGCCTTCGACCTCCGGCTCGTTGGGATCCGGGACGTTGATTTCGAAGCGTGCATAATTGATCCATACCTTGACGTGGTCCGTCTTGCTGAGCAATCGTTCATACAACGCTCGAGCACGATCGTACTGCTCCTCATATTCCTCAAAGTCGATGTAAGCTTTCCAGACCAGCTCAGGCATATCGAGGGTGGGTTGATCGACAGCTAGTTCGAAAATGGCCCTGGCTCGTTCTAGGTCGTCGAGTCCTCGCTCAAGCTCTGCAAACTGAATCCATGACTGACCGTTGGACGGGTTCCACTCGATTTGCTTCTCGAAAAGTGTCCGACACCTCACAAATTCAAACAGCTGCTTCTCAAGCTCAATATAACCTCGGAAGAGGCTATCTTTGGGACACATCCCAATGGCTTGACCAAGTGTCTTTCTTGCAGCCTGGAGTTGCATTTGTCGAATTTCAAACTGTGCCTTCATAAGCCAGATCTTGGCGAATGTCCATTGTTTGTGCGGTATAAGCTTGAGGCATTCCTGATAGACCTGCCTTGCTCGTTCCACGTCCTTGTTTGTCATTTCCTCCCACAAGGCGTAAAAGATCCACAGATAGATGTACCTTCTCCAGTGGCGCTTTTCCAGGGAGGGCGGGATCTGCGCGATGGCTCGCTCGTACACATCTCGTATCCGATCGACATCGCCCCCGGCTTCTTCCAATTTGGCGAGATCAAACCATACATCGTAATTGCGAGGGTTTGTCTTGAGCTGTTCCTCGTACTGGACCCGGCGTTTCGCCAATATCACATCCTCAACTCCCTCCCGATTGCCAAACTGCTTCTCAAATTGTGTATAAGCTTTGTGCAATGCCACGGATTGTGAGCGTGGTAATCTATCCAGAGCGTACTTGTAAATCGCTCGAGCCCGTTCGTACTCTTTCAGTTTAGCTTCGTATCGTGCGTACGCGATAAAGAGTTTCTCGTCCATGAAATCATCACCCAGGCTTTCAATGGCGACGCCGAACACATCTCGCACCAACTGGCTTGTCCCATTCTCTTCCTCGAACTTAGCCCATCTGATCCAGTTCCGGGGTTCAGGGTGAACAATCGTGAATCGCTCAAAAACAGCACGGGCGCGGTCGTACTCTCCATATCTCTTCTCCAGTTTGATGTATGCCAGCCAGGCGGTCTCGTCAGGTTCCCAGCTCATCCAGCGTTCGAAAACTTGTCTTGTGCCAGGTACATTCCCCAAGGTCTCCTCCATATAGACATACTTGTACCACAATTTGTCGATCCTAGGCAAGATGGTGACCGCTCTGTCCAATAAGTTTCGTGCATGGTTGATATTCCTCGTCTTCATTTCGGCTTCAATGTACCGAATCCACAGCTGTACATTGGTGCTATCCACGTCCAGCGCTCGCTCGAAGATTGACCTCGCACGTCGGAATTCCTTCTGTTCAAGTTCCCATTGTGCATATCGCATCCAATTGTTCATATTGATTCTGTTGCGGCGTACATAATCTTCAAACTCCTTCCTCTTCCGGCCTTGAAACTCATGAAGTTCTTCGAGATCGGCGAATCGCTGCGTTGGTGCTTGGAGGCCCGGCTCTTGTCTGTCTACGGCTTCGCGTAGAAGTTGTTCGGCAGATATCTGAACAGGCGCGGCGGCCTTGTTCTTGACCCGCGGAGGGCCTCTGGATGAATCCATCTTTTGAGGAAACTAGGAGCAGTCACACTCTGTTATGAAGATGTACGACGAGGGTTTGAGGAGAAGAGAGAGGTGCTAGTCTTCACGAGTGAGGCCGTAGGACAATCACGCCTGCTCGAGTTGGCGAGCTAATTGGCGTCGCTGGTGGAAAAAGGCAACGCTGCTTGTAAATTTATCTGATGTTGCAACTTTTGCGCTCAACTTTCTTCTCTGAGCCAGGCATCGATTGCGGAGAAACGCCAAGTCTCAATCTCCACCCACTACCGTACGGACGAGTACTCCGTGCCTACATGCAAGTCTCATTTTGTACTGTTCTGCTTCCTCCATGACTACCTACACTGCTTCTATCATAATAGCTGACAAGCCAAAAGGCTTCATCCGAACCCCTCTATGCCCAGGCACCCACGACGCTCATCGCGAATGCGCCAGAAAATACCAATACACATGCAAAGATCCGATTCTTTCCCCGTAGAACATCCCAACTGTTGTCACTGAGAAAGTCCTCGGAGAGCAACTCCACCAACGATGCAAAGGTCAAAAGTCCCGCCGAGAGAGCATTCATTGTACCCACAAGTAATAGGCCGGTCTCTGAGGTCGGGCTATACAGTGAGTGAGTTGCGAGACCAATAGCTTGGCCAATTGGGGTGCTGTTCGACATGTTAGGAGGCATGTACCACACAAAACAGAGGAGACTCCATACGTGCATCCATATGTAAGGGCCATGAACCACGGCTGCCATGTGCCCATCGGCCAGTCAATATTGGCAATGCGAGAGCCTAGAGCAAGGCCTTCGAATGTTTCTTAATGGTCCGCGTTAGTTTCAAAGCGAGTCGAGCTGTCGGGGTCTACTTACGATGAAAAGCAATGGCAATCAGAAGAACCACAAACTCTTTTCCGGTCGAAACGCTCAGGGCCATACCGATGAAGACGCTGTGGAAGAGTATGCCGATCTCCAGGAGAACACATTGCAACCGAGCTTTTCGGAGTTTTACATCTCGGGCCATTGTGTCCATGGACAATGAATGAGCGTCATTGTCTCCGAAACGAAAACTTGACCGAGCCCTGGCTTTGGAAGGATTAACATGCGATATCTCGTCGACGTCGTGTGCATCGTGAACTCGGGAGAGGTTGCGACTAATACTCGAGGTGTTCCCGACCAAAGGACCCATGTCTCGCAGTGGGCCGGTTGGGTACGTCCGCGAGATATTGACACGTGCGTCTTTGGTGAACGCAGTATCATTCCCAGAAACGCTATACCGCCTCGGCTGGACCTGTCGACACGGATGGAAGATCATCTCGACAAGTATAACTAGGAAAATTCCAGCCAGGGCTATGGCGCCAGGCATGGCGGGATAGTCGGTACTCCAGAAGCTGGACAGGCAAGAATCTCCTAAAGAAATAAAGGCGGTCGGGAGAAGATGGACAAATGCGGTTGCAATGAGAACGCCAGTGCCAAAATGCCGAACCACAAAGAAGAAGCGTGCTGGAAGCCGAAGACCTGGAAAGTTGGAAGCCAACATGGCAAACGAGCAAGCCAATGTCGAGACGAAGAGAATGATGAACAAAGCACCAACATGAAGCGGAGTATTATAGAGGTCCTGATCTGCTCTATCGTCGGAGCAGGTCGATCTTTTGCGTACACTCGATGTCTTAACTCCCGGTGACTTTGTCAGATGAGCGGAGGCCGGGCCGTTGCCGAAACATCCTTGATGCACCTCATAGGTCTGGCCGATGGCGGAGAACGCGAACGAGGTGATGGCAACGGACAATCCCCAGGTTGTCCAGCTCCAGAGTGCCGACGCAGTGGGAGCCGGAGTGTCGAGGGGAGATGCAAGACGGTTGCGGCCATCAACAATGGTAACCGTCTTGAGGGGCGAGATAACTCCTGTGTAAAGCCAACATGGCCAGTATTCAGTCTTCAACTATCAATGCTGGGGGCAGAGCAGACATAGTAGACCAGGTTCCACACTTACCACAAGGGAGCCTCGCCTCGCACGCCACTGGAGCAAGAGTGTCGGGGGGCCTGTCCAACAGACCGACTTCTACGGTTGGAGACAAAGAGCCTATCCCGTCATGGTCGTCAGCCCCCTTGTACTCTCGCGAGTTGGTGATGCCATTGAGATCCTGGCATGTCGTGAGATCGGCTGCCAAGTCTGGTGGATTTTGGTTCCAGTCTGGGTGCTCTAGCTTGACGTTGTCAGTTCTAGATGGACAATTCATGGCGAAATATGGTTATAGCAGTTTCTGTGAAGCTTGACAGGATGGACAGGAAGCCAGAAGAACTTGCTGAATGACTGTCGAGGTCAAATTGAAGACAGGTCGGAGGTCGTGACCTCTTCGTTTTCTGGGCATGTCGTGTATGTCCTTGGCGAGGGATGATTCGGAATAAGGCTTGCTCCACCATTGTGCTGATTGAAGAGTCAGCTATGTATGGAGTATTAGGAGGGAATTTTACTTGTACATTAACGTATAGGAGGAATCTTGCTTGTACATAACTCGACATGGCATGACTTCTTGTGGTCGCCCGTTTGTATGCTCTCGATACCGCCTTCTCTAAACTCGCGGGTCAAGCCCGAACCCAAGTCTCGTGAGTAGCCATCATCCAAGCGGCGAGAGGATGATGATGTTTCAAGGGCTCTTACCAGAGTATGGTCAAAAATCAAGATGCTCAATTGCATTCATGAAGACTAAGCTCTCAGCTTCTGGTGTCTCATACACTATGAAGATCAACATCTGTCTTCCCCCCACCCTTCATCAAGCCTCATCCTGACATCAGGCGTCCAATGACCAAAGTATATATATCTCCCAAGCTGAAAGTCTGCCAAACTCTTTGCAGACGGTGAAGAATGCTGACAAGTGTGACCTGCAAACCCTGAGTCTAGATCCAGAAATCAGAGTCCCTTTATCTTCCCGGCTCTTCTCAAAGAGACAACCCTGCCTCGTTCACTACTGCGTGGCGCCTCGACTACTTGACAGATAACAGAAGTTCTCGAGAGAAAAAAACATGCCTCTACCTACGGTCCTACTCGTACATGGAGCGTGGCATTCTCCGGAGCATTTTGAGCCTCTCATCGCCGCCCTCGAGGCGCGCGGCTTTAAAGCCCTCACCGCCTCTCTCCCCAGCGTGCATTACGCTGAACAAGCCCGCCCACCACCGACTGAACTTGCAGCAGACGTCGAAGCCATCGCCAGCCTGGCCCGGACCGAATTAGACGCCAACCCGCAGACCGACATCGTCCTGCTTGGCCACTCGTACGGTAGTCTTCCGGCCTCTTGCGCCGTCCAGTCTCTCGACAAACCATCCCGACGTAAATCGGGCCACGCCAATGGTATCACCGCCCTATTTGCGATTTCTGGCCTGCTCTTACCGTCCGGCTCATCCCCTTGGGAAATGGGCGGAAGACAATACCCTGCCCAGATGAGCGTGTCGAAGCAGATGTTTCCCGATCCATCAGGCAATGGGCCTGATGTTGAAGTAGTCTTTACGACACCCAGTGATCCTCCAGGACCTATTGACCTCCTTTACCATGACGTCGAAGCCAAAGAAGCCGAAAGATACACGGCGATGCTCAAACCGTTCGTCTTCAACAACCACTACTCCGTTGTGCCATGCGCAGGCTATCTTGCGGTGCCCACGTTCTATTTACTATGCTCCGACGACCACGCATTGCCGCCGGCGGTACAGGAGATGGTGGTAGCGGGGGCAAATGCGGACATTGAAGCGAACGGCGGAGTTGGGAACGTTGAGATCACCAGGATTCATAGTTCACATAGTCCGTTCCTAAGCCGGGTGGCGGAAACATCGGACTGGATCAAGGCGTCCGTGAATCAGCTTCGTTGAATCAATGCACACGCGGACAAGGAGGCAGTCAATCACTTCCACCAGCAGGGTAGAAATGAGTGTGAGAAAGCATTGACTAGAATTGGTGTAAGAGACTATAATCTCAAATGGTAAAGGTAGAAAGTATAGCACTAGATGATGTCCCAACTTATGACGCTCGTACATAAGCTAAACTTCTTTATCACCAACCTCGGCCTCTTTCTGAATGCTTGATACCTCTGTCGGACCCAGCTCCCCGTGGACCGTTAAATATTCTTCGGCTTCGACGACACGTGGTATCAGAGTCGCGCGGTCTGGCTTGATGGCGTTGAAGGCCCAATAGAGGGAGACGCTCACGGACGTGCCGTAGATCCAGTTGATGTTGTACCTGCGTGGAAAGAAGAAAAGAGTGGGGGTTAGCGTCGTCTACTTTACACAAACTGCGAAGAGATGACGATGATACGGAGTATTCAAAACTTACAGATGCGTCAGTCCTGTCCCGATGAGGATGTTGTTGTTGATGGCGTGAATCATGCCGGGAAGAACGGGCGCCACGGCGACCACCATGACGACCGCAGCACGCCAATTGACGCCCTTCCAGTACCTGTAAATGCCGCGGGGGTCGTAGAGTTGGGGGACGTCAATTTTGCAGCGCTTGACGAACCAGTAATCGCAGATCATAATGCCCGCCATCGGCGCCAGGAAGATGACATAGGCGGCCATGAAGTTGAGGAATGTGATGGCCGACGCCAAAATCTTCCACGGTGCAAAAGCCCAAGCTCCGAGGGTCGCGGCCAGGATCGATCCTCTCCTGATGTTGAGATATTTGGGGAACAGCGTGACAAAGTCGTGCGAGGCGCAAATGGCGTTTCCGGTGAGATTGACTGTCAGCACGGAAAATAGCCAGATCAAGCTGCAGAAGAATGCCGCCGCTCGACCTCCAGGAGACCCCTGCCACTGAGCCACAATCTCCAGGGGGTTCCAGATCTGAGTTCCGTATACGACTTGAGCTGCGGATGTGCCGATGATGCCAAACATGTAGGTCAGCAACTTCAGGATTGGGATCGACGGTATTTGGGTGTATACGGCCGAAGGGGTCTTTGCGAAGCGAGAAAAGTCGGAGATGTTGACCGTCAGAGTGGTGTATCCTCCGATGATACTCATTAACACCGAGAAACATGTCCAGACTTTTTCGCTACCGTGCAATGTGGATTTGGCGTCGAAGAGAGGCCCTGCACTGCCTGCCTTGGCCGTAAGGTAGATGACCATGGTCAGTGCCATCGGAGCAACCGTCACAGCCTTGAAGAAGAGTAGAGGCCCGAGTTTGTGGACTGGTATGAACAGCAGTGGGAAGATGAGGACGAAGAACAGGAAATAGGAGCAGAAACCTTGCGTCGTCATACCCACCGATTCGGGTACGTGGTTTGGAATGTTCGCATACGACGGCCAGATAGCGGTTAACATCTTACCATCAAGTTAGCTGTGTTCATATGATTCAACAGCTGAACAAGGGGTGGTGAGGCATACCTGTGTAACGCATAAACCTCCATTGGTGCAATTGACACCAAACCAGAAGAGACACAAAATCAATCTCGAAACCACGCAGAAATAGCTGAACCAATAGCCAAAGCTGGCACGCACAGCAACTGGGAACGATACTCGAAGTCTGGCGCCCATTGTTCCGTTGAACGCTTTGAGGCGATCAGCAACAGTCTTGAACTAGCAGGGCGGAGATAACTTACCCATTGGGATAGAGTTACAAAGACCACCGACGAGCACCAGGGGTATGCATTCCCTCCATGTCAGACCTACGGCGAGTACTGAAGATCCTGCAAGCCAGCCGTTCCTGTATGCCAGAACGTCAGGGGCTGCTGCGACCTCCTTTCCAGCAAGACAGGGCAACTTACACGTCGGCGAGATCGCTGAACCAGTATCCAAGGAATGACCAGCCGCTCCATGTTCGTCTTTCCGGGGGCACAGGGTCTTGATCTGTATATCAAAAGACCATCAGCTGCATATCCAAGCACTGTAACAACGTGTGGCTCGTACCGATATTGGACCACACATCGGGCGGTGCCACACTCGATTCGACTTTTGGCAACTCCCAAGCCTTCACACTGGTGGCTTTCGCTTTGGCATCAGCCAAGATGGCCTTCGTATCGATCTGGGGCATTGACAACCGCATCTTGTGTCTGTGAGAGAGAAGTTGGACTTGTGCAAGGCATCATGCTCGCTTCTTGCCATGTTTAAGAATATTTATCAATGTGTCGTCCACATCTAGAACCTTGTCCTTGGGACACTCGACAACGCCTAGTGAGCGGGTGGTTATCGGTCCCACCGCTTGGGTCAAGGAAATCGAAGTTATGTGATTGGCGTATGATAAATCAGCGCTCGAGCTCTGGGACGGCCGAGTTGTGGCTTGGCCGAGTGAAATTTGTTATCAGGGAGGGAGCCCCTCCATGTCCGTTCTAGCAGACAACTCACCCGGACACTGAGAGACTCCCCGTAAACAACGACTTTTCCTAGTCGAATCCATGGGTCAACGATTTAGGTGGTTGATGTTTAGCAAGGGTTGATTGAGGCTATAACAGAAATGCCGGAATCTCTTGGCACGCCTTTGTCAGCAGCATCTTCGCCAACTCGCAGAGTCTCACAACGACCAACCCGGTCGTGTCGAGGTGTGTCTTGATCATTCTGGAATATACTATCGTAGCCATTGACAGTCATATTAGAATGCACGAGACGCAAGATCAGATGTTCTCAAGTAATCCCGTGTACAAGATGCGTCCAGCGAGGAATCGGACACTTGTGCAGCCGAGAGACTGTTCAGCTCAGCGGCAGAAATAGACGACATGTCGGCGAAATCAAGTTTCTCACCAGCATGGCCGACAAGCTATCGAACATGCCTCCTCTGATCACGCGAACAAGCGTACTCAACATATTGCATGATCGCATTAGTATTCTCGAAACAGGAGTTAGCAGCGAGGAACTGAGATCCTCACTGCCTCCGAACAGTGATAATCCTGAAGAACAAGCCAGTCCTCCAGGTGACTTTGACGCAGCGAATATGACGGAGATCAACCTTCCCAGACTGACCGAGCAAGACACCTCACAGTCGACGATCACGATCGATGATGTTGCATGGGGAAGGCAGTCGAAACGTATTTTTGCCACAAACAAGAACAACGTGACACTTCCAGCACTCCCAAGAAAGCTTTCCTACGATTCAGAACAGGACTGGGAGTTGCCTACAGAGTCACAAGCTCGCGTACTGGTAGCCTTCCACACTGAGTATCTGTGCTGGTTACACAATACCTTATATACGCCAGATTTTCTCGATGCATGTGAGGCGTTTTGGAAGTCGGGCATTACAGATCACCCTTTATGGTTTGGGTTGTACCTCTCAATCATGAGTGTAGGCCTGTCACGGCGTGTTGTCGTACCATGCTCCAGTACTGACAGCCAGCGTTGCAGGTTTCAGCTTGGTGTCTGCCACCGCACCTAGCTTCAGAACTATGGCCACAAGGTTAGTCGCCTCTTGACTAGGTCCTGTTAACTTGTCGTTGAGAAATCGCTAGGGGATCAGAAGAAACAAGCGACGAAATGGTATTCTGGCATGATCTACGTGCTTTACTCCAATGACTTCATTGGGCAACATTCACGTCAGTATACATTATCGGACCTTCGCTAGCATAGCCAGGAGAAGACTTACTTTAAAGCAGTGTATTCGATTCAAGCCATTGTTATATCTAATTTGGTCTCTTATGTGCTAGGGCACAGCGACTTGCAAACCGTGTTGATAGCTACGGCGATAAGGATAGCCCAGTGCATGGGCTTGGATCGACAAAACCCAGATGAGCCACCGGCTGATGCCAGATCCCCCTATAACGGTGACTTGAGTTCATGGAAAGCCCGAGTCTCTAGCCAGACAGCCCGCCGAATCTGGTGGCAGTTGATCATACAAGACTATTTCGAGATTGCATTCGCAAACAATTACAGTAAGTAGTGACGTTCACCGGCGTTCTCAAAGTACCAGAAGCTGATCTAGACTCAAGTCGTGCGGCGAGATCGATTTTGCACCCCCATGCCGACAAATTGTGATGACCACGACCTCATGGAGCAGCCAGAATCAGTGCCTACGGTATCCTCGTACTGCATTGCTCTTGCGAAGAGTATAGACTTCATCTGTCTTCGTGCTTGGTAATCACTAATCTCGAGGAATAGTTGCATGTTTGATGCCCTCACTGGTCGACAAGCTGAATTCGAACCTCGACCAACAACCCATCGAGGATCGATATCCGCATGTCCTTGAGATGGACTTAAAGATGAGAGATCTCGTCTCGAGTCTTCCAGCTTTCTTAAAAAGAACCGAGCCTGAAGACCCGGCCTGGCCAACATGGGTGAGCTGGGCAAGATCCACCTTGACAATAAGTGCAGCCGACAAGGTAGGCCGGTTGCCTCCCCAAAACCCCTCCCGGGCCAGGCCTGCATTGATTGACTCTCTACAGATTATCATGATACATCGGTCTTTTATGATTAAGAGCTTTCGTGAGTCCCGATACACCTACACGAGAGTGACATGTGTCTCGGCCGCATTGACGATCTTACGCGAATACGACCGTATCAAGCACAGCAATGTTGCCAGTGTGTGGGTGGTTCCGGCCTTCACAATCAGTGCTGCTATCATAATTATGTTGGATCTACTTCACAAATCGGTTACGGACGAGACAACACTTGCCCGCAGAGGGATGGTACAGAGCGTCGTTACCAACCTCGAACAGGACAAGCACAATGTCATGGCAATGCGGGGCTCCAAGCTTCTCAGAGCGCTTCTTAACCGAGAAATCGAGATGCGTGAAGCACAGGTCAGTCCGCAGGATGATTTCCACTGCAGTTTTGACAACGAAATATTCGGGCCGCCACCGCAGTTTGCACCCAACATTCCTGGAGATGGGGAAGATGGTAGTCTGCCATTCCAGTATGGAGCCTTCGAGAGTTGGTTTGAGGGCTCGGTGCCTTACTTTTCAAGTACCAGCATGGATCTTCCATACTTTGAAGGCTTCCATTAGACCAGCGAAGGTGGGATAGCTCAATCAAATACATGCTCCTTGCACATGAACAGCCGGATAGATCTTGCTGAACTATAGGTTGTAAACCTATTAGCTAATGTCAAACTGTTGACAATTCAAATCGACTCACGAGAGCGCATGGATCCCCTTGGCGCTCTCGGCAATCGTGCTTATCTTGAGGTTCAACCGGCCGGATGAGTATAGGCTCACCCGCCGATATGGAAGAGATAAAAGTAGGCCGAGATACAAGGCTTGATGTGACCACTCGTATGGCCCCGAAAAGAGGTGCGCCTCAATTACGACGGAAAACATCGGATATATGATTTTATATCATTGAATCGTCTTCTGAAAATCAGACCTCTCAAGTCTACAAGATAAGGAAATCTGAGAGGGATACAATCACAGTGAAAACAAGCGAATCATTGACCATGCCGTCCACTGTATATCAATCTTCATCAAACTTTCATGTCATTCCTCTCAAGAGCGATCTGAGAAAGGATACGCTCATTGGCGCAGAAGTCGCCTTCAACGACAATGCGGATGGTGGTGACGAGTCCAAACTCTCTCACAGAGTCCTCGACGTGAATGACCTGACCGACAGCGATATCTCTCTGCTGCGACAGGCTCTTTTCGAACACTCGGTCATTGTTTTCAGAAAACAGCTGGGGATTGATCCCAACACGCTCCCAGCACTTGCGGCGATCTGGGACGACAAAGTGCAAAGTCATCATTCAGGCGAGATTTCTGCCTTGACTGCCACCAACAACATTCTATCCAAAAACAACGCTTCTCGCATTCCCCGAGCCAAGGAAGTGACGATATTGGGACAGGGAAATTTCGACGGATATGAAGGTGTACCGAAGCTAAGGCTACGGCACGTTGTAAGTATAACCCCGTGCCCATCTTGATCAAGAAGTCTCGGTGCTTTGAAGCCTTGATGCAAGAGCCACAGTTGTTGAGTTGACGAGTATTCCAACAAAGGAGTCAAAAGTGTGCTAATTCTGTTATGATCAGAACCACCTTGAGTTTCACGATGAGCCACTGTCACAGGAGGAGCTTGACCAAGGTTATACAAGGTTCTATCGATTCCATTGTGACGCACCTTTATACGAGAAGCTTCCTGGAAAAGTTACCATCCTCCATGCTCTAAAGGTTCCTGAGGCACCCCAACAAAAGATCAAGTTTGAAGACGGTCAAGAGCTCGAGTTGGATGCAGGGGCGACAGCATGTAAGTATTTTCTTCGTTCACCTGAGACAGTCATTGCAATTGGTTCACATTCTGGAATAATTTATGCGTGGGCATATACTGACTCCAAACAGTTGTGTCGGGAGCTCGTGCGTTTCAACTGCTGACCCCTGAAGAGCAAGAATTCGCTCTCAACACCATCGTCCAATACGCCCCTCGACCTTACGAATGGATTCAAAATTGCAAGGCAACCTCAGATGGTCTCTCTATCGCCACAACTGGACTCGAGAAACCAGTAGACGAACTAACGCCGTGGGACCCGGAGAAGGTGCAAGCTCACCCGGTAAGCACTACAAACACCAACCAAATATGTATAAGCCACTGACCAAGTCTTCCTGGTACTAGATGGTATGGAAGAACCCTCTGTTTCCAGACCGACCGCACTTACAGATTCTGGGCATGTGTGCCAAGTCTCTGATCACCATCGACCCAAAGACAAAGGAGAGGTCGGTGATCGATGATCTTGCTGAAGTTCGAAGGATTTGTCACTCGTTCCAGAAGCGATCCATGGCACCATCGTACATCTACGCACACGCTTGGCGAGATGGTGACTTGGTCGTTTTCCACAACCAGGGTGTATGGCATACCATCACCGGTCAGCTCGGGGACGTTTATGATAGCGAAACTACTGATGAGGCTGAAATAGCAAGGAGGGAAGCCAATAAGAGGCTGATGTGGCAATGTACGATGGCGAGCGGCGTGGCACCAGAGCCCTTCAATCCGGTGTTGAAGGCCTTTTAGTCGTTTGATTAATTGTTCATGCATGAGCATCGGTGTTGTGACCAGGTCCTAGCATACACTGGATAACAAAATGCATAGAATAGTCACAGGCGGTCTTCCGGCAAGCCATGCTTTCATTTGAAGTTCAACCAAGTCTTTCAAGCAAACCGAGATCTATGTCGGTATATAGTAAGCCAGCCGCCTGTAGTATTAGCAATAATTAATAGGACATGAAACAAAAGGATATTCATGGACCCATGCCTGGAGTATGCGATCTCACCGGAGATGGATACGCACCGAGTCATGGCTGCGGCACCGTTTCCCGCACCAATTTCCTGACACGAGTCATGCTCAAGTTTTCTCCGCATCCCAAACTTTTGTCGACGTGATTCAGAGAACCAAAACGATTTACATTTGATCAGATCATTGCCACTGCGACAACACCCTTACCGTCATGTCTACGCTCGCTGACGAGCTTCTGAATGATTTTGAAGACTCTGGCGACGAGAATGAGGACCAGACGCTTCAAGATCACGAATCGGCCAACGGCCTGAATGGCGTCCGTCAAGACGAGCATGAAGACGGCATGCCCGAGGATGCTGCAAACGACGAAACCATGGTGGAAGATGACGATGAGGAGGAGGAGAAAGAATTTGTTCAAGCGAATCTTTTAGAGGACGAGGATGAGACAAAGGCCAAAGTCGAGAAGATGCACTTGGGGTTGGTTCGCGACGTGCGAAGTGTCGCAGGGTTGATGAAGACTCTTCAACCGGTACTTGATGTAAGTTCATGTCGCTCCTGTATCCATGTCTTTGTGGTTTACATCTATATGTTCTAGTCCTAACAGTCCACCCCTCGTTAGAAAATCTCCCATTACCAGAACCTCCCTCCGAACCTGCGAACTACAACAGTCGGATCAATCGAAGACAATCCCGAGTACCATCTCCTGACGCAGTCGAACTCTCTATCGACTCAGATCGACAATGAGATCATCCTTGTCCATAAGTTTATTCGCGATCATTATTCTACTCGCTTCCCCGAACTCGAGACATTGGTGCAGAATCCTTTGGACTATGCAAAGACGGTGGCCATTATTCGAAATGGACCCCTTGAAAATATCAAAGCGTTGGCAGACTCTACCGACAATCTAGTCAAAGCAACTCTGAGGTCTGTTCTCGATGGGCCAACACTTATGGTCGTGACCGTTGAAGGTACTACTACCAAGGGACAACCTTTAAGTGATGCAGAGCTCGAGACAACGTTACGCGCATGTCAGATGGTCATAGAGCTTGATCGAGCGAAAAAGATTCTGACAGAGTATGTCCAATCAAGGATGAACATTTTTGCGCCAAACTTGACGGCAATCATTGGCTCTCTCACCGCTGCCCAGCTGCTCAACTTTGCTGGAGGAATAAAAGGCCTTGCAAAAGTCCCTGACCGGAACGTTCCTGCCATGGGATCAAGAAAGCAGAAGCAAAGCGGCCTGGCGACGAATGTTGGAATACGTCAACAGGGATTTTTATATCATTCGCCTCTGATTCAAAGCATTCCCAATGATCTGAAGATTCAAGCCATGCGCATCGTCTCTGCGAAGCTCGTTCTTGCGGCTCGCGTGGACAGTGTGCATCAAGCACCAGATGGATCCACAGGAGAGCAACTTCGCGATGATTGTCTGCGACGACTAGATAAACTAACCGAACCACCACCCAATAGAGGGCCCCGAGCTTTACCTGCTCCCGATGACAAGCCTAGTAGGAAACGAGGTGGTAGAAGAGCACGCAAGGCGAAGGAAGCTACCGCCATGACAGAATTGCGAAAGCAACAGAACAGAATGGCGTTTGGTAAGGAAGAAAAGGAGGTCGGCTATGGCACCGGCGAGGAAACTGCAGGACTGGGCATGATCGGTCAATCCAACGATGGGCGTATTCGTGCCACCCAGATTGATCGTCGAACAATGGCCAAGCTCAGCAAGAAGAATCCCGGTTGGGGTGCTTCTGGTACATCGACCAGCTTAAACAGTGGCATGAACACATCGCTGAAAGGATTTGGCATGGGAGGAAACACGACTTCGCTTCGAGCGTCAGGTCTTCGCACGAGTGGAGTCGGAGGTACGGCCAGTTCTATTGCCTTTACGCCAGTGCAAGGTCTTGAGTTGGTGGATCCAAAAGTCCAAGCCGAGCTCAAGAGGAAAAGAGAGGCCGAGAGTGCAGGTTATTTCTCGAGTGGAACATTTACCCAAGCCAACGCTGGTAAGACCGAAGGAGGATTCAAGGTTCCATCGTTACCTCCTGCAAAGAGGTCAAATATGGGTCCTCCACCAGCTCCAGGAAGGTGAACAGCGCCGCAACAGTACTAGAAGTTATTGCACTATGGACATGGTCACTGATTGTGTAGCAAATACTGTGTGGTTGGCTGCTTGAGCCGCATTGCTTTGTCCACGAGCGACTACCAATTGCACTCTATATTGCCATCACAGAGAGCTAAATGGTGAGCAATGCACTTGTCATAAAGACCCCCTCTGACTCTAGACAGCTACAAAGATTGTGATCAACTATGATGTCGACTTGATGCTCCTGGACATATTGAACGGAACCCATCTGCAATCTTGAAATTCCGATCATAACGAATGGAAAGATTGCAGCCGATATGATTGCCATGCGATCGATATTCATGAACTAGCCTTCGAAATGCGAGACAAGGAACCATTTCATCTACATTCGGGCTTCGTTGCCCTCATGTGCCCAGTGGATTAGCAGGAGAGAAGCGATCGAAGAATATCGGCACTGGGTCTGTGACAATGACCAGCCAAGACACTTTTGCGAAAATGAAAGGCAGAGCCTATCTGGAACCATAGGAGCTAGGGAGCGTCTTCAGCCACCGCGGTGCACGTGTGCTGGGCCGTTACAAACCTCTTATCAACCAGTCTCTCCATGACAATGCCTACATGAGTTGCATTGTTTGCAGCATACGTACCCACCTCCCCCAAGGTGTTTGAGAGCCGCCCTGCATGCACGATGGGAACCGAATTGCTTCTGTCGTGTCAACGAGGTACGACGTTCAGGCATCAAGTGTAGGGGAGAAGTCCGAACTTTGGTAGACACCATACTCCCTGAACTGCACTGGACATCATATATGCTTTGCTATAACGTATAGATGAGCAGAAAGATCAAGAAGATCACTTTTCTCCTTTTCTACAGAAGAAATTTCTACGAGGGAAAAAGAAAAATGAGACCTTGAACTCGGTAGTATAGTGTCACGCCGAGACATCTTATGGTGGTGTCTCGAGGAATAAATCCAAGTTCTGCATCTTGTGTCCTTGTCAGGTTGCTCTTCATAGTTCTCGTATTGTATGTATTTTCGTGGTCCCCATTCGAGGTCTCATCAACCCCTACCACCGCCTCTACCTCCTCTACCGCGAGGACCCCCCTTACCCCTGGGTACACCCCTAGTTCTCAACCGTTCTGGCAACTGATTCACGACCCCCTTTCCGTCCTCGTACAACAACCCCAAACCTTGTTTGATTTCGACCGCGGCAGTAAAGTATTTTGTCGGTACGACCTTGTCATTCTGTGATGGGGTTTGTTGTTTTTGCGCGTCATCCTCCTCCTCCTCCTCCTTTTTCGTAGTGACGGCAACTCCATCAGTCAAAACCACACCATTCTCACTCCTCCACCATTTCATGTCTGGTTGTTCTACCAGTGCTCGCCGTATGTCGACGTACACCAAAATCTGGGCGTCCGAACGCATGCCTGAGATGACCTTGTTATTTTGTAAGAGTGTCTCGTTCGATCCTCCTCTGCTGTTGCCGCCACCTTTGTCTTGTCCGTCCCTGTCCGCGCTCTTCCCATCCCCGTCACCTTCAGTAGTACCACCTTTGGTGTCAGTCTTTACGTCGTGGTGACCCTGACCGATCCCATCCATAACATCTTGATATTTTGGACCAGTGGCGAAATGGACATGGTTTCTATTCATCTTTTTGAGTCCTCCACTGGACAAAATGGCTTCCCAGGAGCCATAAAACGTCCCGTGTACCACCGTGTCAGGAACAGAGGCGGGATCGTCGAGGGTGATGGGGGTGAGTAAATTCTCGGCCTCGACCGTGGCCATGCTGTGTCCCTGTGTGGCACGGATGTAAAACCGGTGTAATTGTCGAGTGTCAAGTTGACCTCCGCCGGTGTTCTTGAGTGTTTCATACTCGGAAATTGCACGTTCGGTTTCCGTTTCCGTCTGCGTTTCGGTGTCTTCCTGCGGTTGCTGTGCCCGTTGCTGCTGCTCTCCCTGATCTTGGTCATCATCACCAACGTATTTCAGTGAAAACCTCTTCTTTTCATTCTCCAATACAACATCAACCACCTCCTCAAAGGTCACTCTAGGTTGCATACTCTTCAACCTCTGCCAATCAAGCAAGTGATCCATCCTCACGTACCCGTGATTGTCGATGGGTACGCGTTCCTGAGCGGCGGCGTGTCGGAGGAGACGCGAGAGGGCCTTGGAAATGAGGACCTGTCTCGGTAAAGGACCGTTTCTATTGTTGCGGTGGCGTTGTTTGGCCGCCGCTCCTCCTCCTCCTCCTCCTCCTCCTCTACCACCGCCACCACCACCACGATGTGAAGAGCGTTCTTCTGACCTTGGCATCTTTTTTGAGTCGAAGATTTTTTTTTCTGTCTTTGATCTCGTCAATCTAGAGGCCCTTCTTTTCTGTGGCGTCCCCTCAATGACAACAGTGAGGAGGTACGAGACAGGGCTGTTCCAGGCGTACCAGTATCAGACACCTAGACTTGGCCTTCTGCGTAAAAGCCCCCCGGAGGTATTCGCCAGATCCAGAAGCTCTAATTATTACTCACTCTGGCAACGAGATGACTCATGAAGCAACGCCAGCGTCAATCGGTGAAACAATCACTGCCTGTCCCTGACAGACAAACTCTCTTGGTCTGTTGTTGAGTACGGGAAGCCGTGAGAAATATCCAAGCAGGACCGGCTGTTTTCTAGATTCAGTGAACCGTAGAAAACCCCTCGGCTTCTTGACCGAGCCAAACCTTGCAATGACACACACAAAAAAGGCCGGAGTAACTTGGGTGTCTTTTTCCTCGACAAGAAAAGTAAGGACGTGGTATTTGGATTCGTCACGTCGATATCTACGATTCAGAGTGTTTGACTTGAATCAAAAGAATGGGGGATTTTTTGGATATTCCATCTCGCGCAACCATGACGCACTGCAAGGCTGTCACGGCCTTATTTGGCTACTGTAGAACTCGACTAACTCCTTACTTCTCGAGAGCATAACACTCAAGTTTCTGCTGCATCACCAAATCGTGAGACCAACAACGATGAAAGAATACCTCAAATAGATGCATATCTGTAATACTCGTGATTCCACAATTGAACAGATTCCTCTCTGTAGCTACAAAAATTCTCATTCTGCACTACTTCGCCACTACATCTTCACTCCAACCGCTAGCCTTCACCCCGATACGAACATATTGTCCGGCCAGCTATTAAGTAGGTGTTCGGCTTAAACATCTCGAGTGTGGTCTTGTTCCCCCCCCTCAAAACGCACTGTACAAAGATTTATCCTTTCCCTTCCACCAAACAAGTTCTGTAAATGCCGCGATAGGAAGATAAATTTGATAGGAAAGTCGTCAGAGTTTCAGGGAGCTTAAACCCCCCAAAACTCAGGGGTATAGATGGATACGATGAACGAAACTTTTCAATGAAAGAAATGTCAAGACTCCCCCGCCATGCATTTGTGGCAATGAGACACAGAACAAAACAAAAACACCGGTCGGCGGCTCTAGAAATTTTGTGCAATTCCACCTTGGGTCTGCGGGAATGTGGGCGCTCGCTCGATCCGAGTATTTCGTCTTGCTTGGACATCTCGTATCACAGGCTGGCCTCCGGCACCTCCATAAGAGCCGTCGCCATATGGTCCGTGACTCGGGGCTGCGTCGTTGTAGATGTTGTAGGGCACTTCCTCCTGGTAGTACGGACCTGATGCATTGGGCGTGTCAGAAGAGGAAGCCTCGGACTGATGACCTGTCGAGTAGGCAGAGGACGCGTTGGATGGCCCTCGTCGAATTCCTGCAGCATCACTACGATTCCGAGTCAGTCCTCCGGCTCCCAAGGCCGCAACACCGTCACCGCCTTCGGGATGACCGTTCATCAGAGGGTCAGCAGAATAACCGTCGGACGCGCCGGCCGGTGAGTCTTTGTAGCCGTTACCACCAGGCTGGCTGCTACTCTCCGACATGGCCATTCCATTGTTTCCTCGACCATTCGAACCAAGCGTCGTGGAGGCTTTGCGGTTGGAAGAGGTGGCTCCCCATCCCCGATATCCGCTGCTGTCATCTTGTGGCTCTGACTGATTGTCGGTATATGCACCGGCCCCGGCCACGAGTGTGGGATCGCTGTTCGGGTTGAAACCATACTCGGCCATCTCATTCTTCCGGAGTTCTTCCGCATTCTTGCGAGCCTTTCTCTTCCGCCATAGGAAGAACCCGATCAAAAGTGCCGCGGCGATCACCACAATAGGGATCACGACGGCTATGGCGATCTTGGCTCCTGAACCGAGGCCACTGCCGGAACTGGACCCGGAGCCAGAAGCACTCAAGGCTGCTGCAGAGGAACTCGCCGCAGATTCTGTCGATGTCCTGCTCGAGGTCGCAGTGCTACTAGAAGTGTCGGGGGCAAATGTTGAGGTGACTACAATGGTCGAAGGGGTCGGAGTATTGTTATCCGAGGTCGGAGGTGTCTGAGTGATTGTAGATGTGACATCGACTACGCTTGGTGTCGTCGGACTCGGTGTCGTGACTACTACGGTGGTGGAAGGGGGAATGGAAATGGTCGAGACGGTAGTTGAAGGAGGAGGAGGAGTTGTGGTGGTTATATCGGGCGTTGAGGTGGTAGATTCAGTGACTATAACGGTCGTGGTCGGAGAGGTGGTTAAACTTGTCGAGGTCGTGACGATGGTCGTCGTGAGGTTGTTCGTGTCTGTACTGTCTGGCCAGAGTTATTAGTCGTGTTGTCAACCCAAAAGCCAGTCCTATGACGCTTACCTGTGGCCGACATGGTTGTGTCGCTTTGGTTTCGAGGGGTCCCGAGAATCAAGAGAGCTTGCCCGCGGCAAGCGGAGTGACCGAGATGGATTTAGGTCGATAGGAACTTAGGCTTAGCTGTAACAGTCCAGAGATCTCAAGGGAGGATGAAGTTCTTAAGAGAGCGTCGTGTTATGTTCAAGATGAATTGGTAGAGCTGCTAATCGCGCAGGTGACGGATGGGAAAGTGGATGGGTGTCAGAACACGGGTGATCCTTGCGGCCAAATACGAGACTCGTAAAATGAACGTGTTACAGGCGATATCGTCTGTCGAGGGGGTCCCGACATGTACGGGTTGTAGGATCTTGTATATATCTTGTGCTTGTACGGAGAGTGTAAAATGAACGAAGGAGAAGGTCTCGATCCAAGTTATCACGTACAGAGAGATCTCAGAATCGTGGCAATGGATCAAGATCAGGGCGCAGGGAGGTGTTGGATGTTGTGGGCGGAGCAAGATCTGAAGAGGTCAGGGCGTCGTAGGGGTTGGGGAGGAGTGAAATTAATTGGCAAAAGATGGGACAATGTAACGACAAGCCACGATGGGCTACAACTGACTCCGTACTGAGGATCATCATACAAACAACCCTTTCCATCCCAGCTCGCTTCCACCATATCGCGCTGATTCACCCGGCTATAGGGCCGTTGGGACACCTAGTGGTTAGAACAGCAACTAGGCCTCTCTAGCTTCCATGTCTCGCTTCCTCCCATTCGCAAAAAACTTGGTGGCACCCCGGCCATGGCATGACAAGTACAACAGCAGCTTCGGCCAGTGTTTCTTGCTGCGAGTGCTCGCCCAAGGGGAGCGTGATCATCGCCATAGAGTTGCGTCAAATTGAAATGTCGGCTGATGCGAGCACCGAATATCGTGAGACTCTGGGGGCCCCTACAGGCCGCCTTTTCCGCCAACTTGTCATACACCAATTGCGCCAGAACCAGGGATTACCGCATCTCAAAAGGTCACCGGTATTTTGGCCTGCACCGACTTGGGTCCGAAAGTGACTTTCTACGAGGCTCCGCTGTGTGTTACCCAAGATTAGACATGCCCAGATGTCGAATGTCTCGTATTCATCCAATGCCAGGTCCCGTCTAACATGCATCTCCGGACGCACCTCGCTAAACGATGATAAAATATATAGATCTGGGCGAGTCTTTTCTTGCGATATCAGCCGGATTGACACTTTTCAGCTGAATTCCGTACGGACGGCCTCATCCAAGATATTATACATTTTCCTCCTTTGGCATTGGTAGTACTAGTACAGTGGCTACACACAAAATATTCCAGAGAGCTAAAGGGCATGCTCGGTGCCGTTGAACTCCTCCCGCTATGCTCAATATACTGCACGCTTTAAATGTCAGAATAAACCATGGGGTCCACGGCCGTATACACATTTCAAGTCCATGACGACTCTAGATCATCGGGTTAGATCCCATTGTGGCCTCAAAGCCGCAAACAACTCGTTCTTCGTGCCGGCCACCTCTTTGGGAATGCGGCTAACACGATAAGCTCCTGAACGGATGCTGTGGTTGTGCATAGCAGAAATTCCAGATCGGTTGCTTCGAATGCTGCCAGTCTCGCTCATTGCAGAATCTGCTACGCCCAGCCGACCTGGTGGCGCAAAGTCTAGTGCTGTGAAAGTGCCAGACCTTCTCAATGCGTGACTGTCAAAAGTGTTAGTATGTATATCAAGGGACACGAAATGATCGAACTTACGGGCTTGGAATCACCGCTAGGTCGTCGAATGACGACGCCAACGGTACATGGGGCCTCAGCGGGATCTTATACTGCTTGACCCCACCTCGAAGACTATCAGGTGTACCGGCTCTTTGGTTTTGGAACTTCTTGGGTGGTGCAAAATCAGCTGGTAAGAAATTGTCGTTGTCAAGTAGATGAGGAGTAGGCAAAACATTGAGTGGCTTTGGTGGAGGCAACCTCTTCTTGGATCGCATGGAAGGTGGAGGCCCAAATCGTCCTGATGCTGATGAGAATGCTCGCGGTGCCGTCAGGAAGCTTCCATTCGACATTGCACGGTGACGTCCATACGGTTGGCGAGGGGGCTCAAACGCGCCGGCGTCGTAGTAGCCGTCATGGTAGTTATCAAATCCAGCCTCGCCAGGACCTTGATACTGTCCAGGTGGATGTGGCTTCGACTCGTCAAAGTACTCCTTGTAGAAGGAACGGATACGATTGGCTCGCTGTTCAGGATTGTCCGAAGGATCCTCGGGAGGAAGAGGTCGCATGCCCATCATCGACCTCCGCGGGTCGTAACCAAGATACTGTTCGTAATCTAGGTAATCCTGGTAATCTTCGGCCCCATTTGCTTCGTATTCATCATAGTAATCATCGACATACGAATCCTGGTACTGACTGGATGGGGTCAGGGGAGTCTCGGGGACAGCATCTGTTGAGGGGGTGGTAGGATGTTCAGGAGCGCCGTTGGTGACTGGCACGTTCATCTGTGTGTCCGCCGCAGGCTCGACTGAATTCTGCTTGACACCTTGAGAGTCAATGAAGCTGAGCTGAGGGAGACGTGGCTGGCGTTCTTCTGGTTGGCTGACAGTGATACTGGGCGCGTCCGAGGGTCTCGGTTGGTGTGATGAATATGGCACGTTTGCAGCTGAAGCCTCATCATATCGGGGTTCCTTTACAACGGCTGGCGAGGGAGGTTGAATGTCCTCTGGAGGAGGTTCAACTCGAATCTCAGCAACTGTGGCCGTGGCCACTTTTTTGCTCGAATCTTCTTGCGGCAAGCCATTACCTCCGGAAATGAACTGTCCAAGGTAATTGTTACTGGCCCTCATCGCCGTCAGAGCACCATTGCTACTCGTTGTACTGACATATGAATCTCTTCCAGCATCAGCAGCATTCGGCGCAAGGAGGTTGTTGGGCCCAGTGCTTAAGGTGGGAGACATAGTATCCACTGAGTCACTACGTCCGCCCATTGGTTTTCCCTGTCCATTATACAACAGGTTTTGCTTAGAATCAAAGGGGTTCTTCATGGAACTGGTGTAACTCGAAGAATCGTCAATCGGGCTTCTGTGGCTTGACGGAGGTCGGATGGATCCATCGTCCGGAATAAAAGTAGTTGCTCGATACTTGTCGTCACCCGTGTTCAATCGAGACAAAGAATGCAGAGATTCCCGAGACTGGTGAACCTCTGGAGGCAGTAGGTACGGGTTATGCATCCCCAGATCGATCGATAATCCACGAGCTCTCCGTCCCGGGCTGGGATTTTCGGACATTTGGGGTCCATTGCCGCGAGATTTCTCGGACGTGATGTTGAGACCAAAATCCAAGGACTTGTGCTTGTCCTCTGCATCTTCCTGCCGGAGCTTCCTTACATGCCTACGGTGTAGGTAGAAAAAAACTGCACCCGCAATGGCTAGTGGTACGAGCACTCCCAAGAGAATTGGCAACGTGTCGCTGGATCCTCCTCCACCACCACCATCCGACTTGGATGAACTCGAGCTTGACGGCTCGCTGGCCTCGCTCCTCGCCACTAACGAGACTGATACTGACTCTTCCACAAACAATCCATCTAGCCTGAAGTCGGGTACGGGACCTGGTCGGGCAATAGGGTAAGGGTTCCGGGGTTGTATTTGTGGCTCGTGTTCGGGCAAAATATGGCCGGACATTGTTTTGGTGATGATCGAACGCCGACTGAGCGTCCTCAGCAGACAAAGACGGTGCGAGTAGTATTATTGTTTAGCAGGGGGGGTCTAATAAGACATGCTGAATCAAGGCCCCGGAGGTTTGTGTATGTTTGAAGGTTTTCGAGGGGTGGTGGTCAATGGGTTCGGGTTCTGTGCTTCACGGTCCAGACTGGGCGGAGGAATGAATGGACGTGGAATGAATTCCACACTCGGGATGTTGGAAAAAGAACGACTGAGGTGAGGATTCTGTACAAAAGAGTGACTAGGGGGGATAATGAGTGACAAAACAAAGAGTCAGAGAAAGGAAAGATGTTGATGGTAACGGGCAGCCGTGCTCAATGGATTGCAAGCAAATGTGATGGGAGCAACACAAAGGAGACACACACAAGCACAACCACAGATCGGCGGCACGGAGTTTACCAGGGTCAAGCTTATTATTTTACGGGGGGTAACCATGCTCGGACGAGCTCTGGAGGGTACTCGTAGTACTCGTCGTAGTTCCAGGGATGCCCCCCCCTAAGCCCAAGGCAAGCTGCATTAGTGGCAAAGCATGTCCTTGTACGGGGTACATACAGTACACCTTGGGCAGTTTAGGGACCACAACTCGAGCAATGGGCGCCTGGGAACTCAGCCACAGCACCCGATTGTAGGGCCAACTATTGGCTGTCTGTGCCAGATTAAAGAGACGGAGGCCTGCCAATCCCTTGGGCGCCAGACTCCATCCGGGATCCATCCAGAGGGGGATCAAAGGACTCCTGTGGATGCAAGTTGTGGGCGACCTGATTCCTCTACTCCGTATGATGCACGTGTTTTGCATATCGAATCTCTCTTAAATTTCATGTTTGGCCTTGTTCTTACAGTACGGAGCATGATGTGCAGGCGGACTTTAAAAGATGCTTAGCAGTCGCTTTGACCGTGATCCGATCATATCCAGCGAGGAGAAAAAGCACAGATACAATCCGACCACCACCACCACCACCCACTACTCGTAGTGTAGACACTTGTGACCTTTCACGCTTTTTTGTAACCCCTGACCCCAAAAACAGCCTACAAAGCACTCAAGCTTTTTTTTTATTTTTACACGTTTCTGTTTTCTCTCTACTTACCTACCTAATGGAATAGAAACATCGGACTAATCACGTATCGTGGTGCACGTCATTTTGTCAAATCGACCGACCTATTTTCTGTCAATTGACATGTCGTTCAATTTCCGACTTTTTTTGGCTAGGATCAAGGACCCGTTTCCTAGCCCACACAAACTTCCTAGACCTCCGTACAAGTAGGAGGTACTGTCGGTAGCCTAACTTTTTGGTTTCGCGCCGCGTCCTCCAGCACCACGAGTATGTAGGGGATACGAGTACGGAGTACGACTGGTCTCACATTGTTTTTCTTTCTCTTTTTCCCACCCGTCTCGCACCTTGTAACCCTCGGCGGACGACCTTAGTACCCGTTGATGAGCAAGGGAAGATATCGTCATGGTAATGTGTGCGTGACGGGGTTGTGCCCGATGATCTTATTGTACGGAGTACCCTGTCGTTAGAAAAGCCCATCTGGGATACCACACCTCGCTTGGCGCCAGTCTAGGTACTTACCCGCGGCAACGGCTTTTTCAAGGTCGCTTCACCTAGCATATCATAACCTTGGATCCCCTTATCATTTGCTTTTCTCGAAGAAGGCTTTTTTCCACTCCGTACTCGTAAGACGATCCCAATTTGCCCGTTGCACATACTGTAGACCATGTTATGAATGTCGTCATAGGAAGTTCAAGGCCATCACCTTGGCTCTGAGTCAAGTGGAGACGTGATCAATCCAATGCACCGGTAAATCAGGATCGGGAATTGTCTTCCAAGGGCCGACTTTGTCACCATTGTCAGAGGCCTACCTGCCTACCTACAAAGCGTCTAGCTTAGAGATGGCCAACTGGTAGCCACATCAGTCGCTGGTATCCGTACATGGCTATCTTATTTCCCAGCAGGCCTGACTTTTGATGCTGTCATGTGCAGCTATCCTGCGTGATGTCGACCTCGGTGTGGACCGAAGCATCGCTTTTCTCGTGGACCATCACACTCTCCATGCTCCAAGTATCAAAAAGGAGCCTATACACCAAGGCATATGGCCACACTTTCCAAGCGCGTCTGATTCTCAGCCCACGGGACTCCAAGGCATGGGGATGAGGATCTTGCTCCTCATGGTCTGAATCAACGGCACAGTTTTGTGTACCGTGTCCGCCCATCCCTCCACGCCCCAGGATTGCTCTCGACGCAACTTGCGCTCCTCGAGATCTGCAAACTGCCACAAGTGGTGGACAGTGTTTAGGTCTCCGATCTGAACGAACCAGGCTCCTACACCTTCCATCACTTCTCTTCTCGCCTTCAGTCCATTTCGCCAGTGCGTTTCCCATTCCAGTAGATTGCCAGGGTGTAGTGTGTAGGATCGTAACTCAAACAACCCACCCAGCTTCCGTGGAGGAGTTGTTGGCCAGAATGAAAACTCCTGCATCAGCGAGACCTTCTTTGAATGGATCAAACTCTTCAGCTTCTTGTCGAAGGCGGGAAATTCAGGATGGGAGGAGATGCTATGTAGTGATGCATGGTAGCCGGTGTAGCGTTGATACTCCCAGATGTGCACTGTCACGACATTTGTTAGCCAGCTATGATCGAGTCAAGTGTGGACGAAACACATACCAAATGTATCACAATCGCCGACCTCGGTTCTCCAGCTTCCTACCAGGTGAACTTTGTTCTCGGGGGTGTTTGCCATCCTGGGGTACCAACTACCTACAAGCTCGACATACTCGTCGACCTTGTCAGGCTTGACTTCGTGGAAGACGATCGAATGGACGTATTTGCCGCGGGCGAGGACCTGGGAGAAGGACCGCTCCATCTCCTTGTCCAGCTGCTGGCCTTCAGGGGTGCCGTAGATCAGACTCGAGAGTTTACCGGATCGTCTGGTCGAGGTGTCTGTCTCGGCTTGCCGCGCTTCTTCTGCATGAGGGGCGGTAGAAAGTGAGCCCAATCCCAGGGAATCAAAGACGCCGGAAGCACTATCAGATGCACTGGGGGAGACGGTAACAGGAGACTGACTTTCAGCTTGTTCCTTTCTCTTCTTGGCCGCCTCAAGGCCATCTCGGAATTCCTTCTGCCGGGTGTTGAAAGCATCGGTGCCATCGGGTGTTATGTCGCCTAGACCCGGGGAGCGAGCAGGTTCTCGACATAGGGCGGAGGTGGTGAAGGCGCGGAAGAGAGAGGAGGCTTGAGGCGAGGAGAGGGGTAGTCGTCGAGCGAGCATGACTGTAGAAATAGAAATGAAATCGGTTGGCGGGGTGTGGTACGACAGACACGTAGTAACAGATGACAGATCTGTCGAAGTAAAGGTCTATCTGCCCTTTTTTGAAGCTGGCTGGGATTGTTTGTTTGTTGCTTTGAATGTGATGTTTGGTTGTAAGGGTGCGTCCAAGGTACACACACAAGCGGAGAGAGGTAACTGGTTTGTCAGGTAGTAATAGGTAGGTAGTGTAAAGCTGGGGAAATCCCCCAAGTGGACGAGAGATGCGGGTTGTATTGTCTGGTTCACAGGACAGGCCGGGGGTGGTAGCAGTAGAAGCTGCGATTGGAGGTAGAGATCACAGTTGACGAGGAGGAATAAGGACGACGTCAGTGGAAGAGCCCCCAGGCAGCTTTAAACAATGGGCATTGGGTGTTGGTTGACGTTTAGTGCCACCACTAACACCTACTTAGCAACTTTCCCTCTTTGCGGGGCAGATGCACATCATTCTTTTCTCGTGGCCAGTGTCAGTCCATCCATCACTTGTCCCGCAGACAGACAGACGAAGTATCATTATTTTCGCCGGTCTCGTACAAGCAGAACTGCGATCAACAAGTCGATATCTATCAGCTCGCCTACCTACACGAGACAAGGAAACCAGCGATGTCTGAACACAATCCACCGCTCACCTACGAGCCTTCGGCCTCGACACACCCAATCCGTTCCTCCAGTCTTCCCCCAGAAGTGTCTCAATGCCTCAAGAACGCACGCTTCCTACATCTGGGAACCATCTCCTCTGCTCCCGACTCATCTCAGCCTACACCGCATGTGAGCTTGATGAACTATACCTTCCTCCCCAACTACCTCGAACACGGTCCTGTGATAATAATGACCACGTCAGCCCAATCCATCAAAACCCGCAACCTAGCCTCAAATCCAAAGGTCTCCCTGCTCGTTCACGACTGGGTCAGCCACCGCCCGCCCACGGCGACATCAATATCTGGTGAGCGCTCGGGCAGTCCCCCTGCCGCCGCGACTCGATCCAGTCTAGCCAGCTTACTGTTGAACCTGAATACGTCGGCGCTGAGCTCCATATCCACCACCATAACCGGCGAAGCGAGATTTCTCGAAAGAGGTAGCGGTGAAGAGAAGTGGTGTAAAGAGACTCATCTGGCAAACAATACTTTCGGGGATCAGGCCAAGGACGAGATCGGTCTGTTTGGCGAACAGCACCACCCACAAAATCCCGACGATGCTGGAAGCTGTTACATTGGCGCTGACGATGTGAGAGTGGTCATTGTCCCGATCCGAGAAGGACGAATAGCAGATTGGAAGGGTGGTGTTAAGGACTGGGTCTTGGTCAATGACGATGTGCCGCCAGCAGATCACGGTACAAGAGGTCGAAGCAACGGACAGCCCTTGGTAAATGGGATATAACGATGATTGATGTAGGCTGTTTCTGAAGCATTCAGCCCGTTATCTTTCCAGGTGAGGATGCCTTTCAAGTTGGTCGAAAAGTGTGCTACAATCATGCCATTTACCAGGATGGTGTTGAAGAATGATTGATTATCTGGGACTTCATCGGCACCAGGGGTCTGTCATATCCACGGCACAGCGGTGGGATGAGCGAACGAGGCTTTTAGGCCCTAATCCTAGGGCAGCATGTCAAAGGAGTAGTCCTACGGGCACTCGTTCAGAAACATGCGCCGAGCTATAGACCAATGAAGCAGACGGACAGAACGAGAAATGTTCCAATTAAAAAGCGATCCTCAAAGGCATTTTATTCGCAGCTCGTATATCATTAATGAAGCTCCCACCACATAACTAGCCAGACTCAAAGATTCAAGTCAAAATGCAGCGGCCGATGCCTGTCTCCTGCTTTTCCCAAAAAAGAAACCAACAGACTATCCCAGAAAATCAACGCTAAAAAGAGGAGGCGTCCAGAACACTGAGGAGAACGAAGAAGCAACGTCGGAGGGGTATGTACAGCAGGAAAGTCGTGATATAAGGTGGTGAGTCGATGAATCAGACCGGAACTGACGGGAACAGTTCCAGGACGTTAAGGGCAAAAGGTGAACAGCACGGATCTGCCGGGACGTTCTCACATGACAGAGCATTTCGAATCGTCTCCGGCTTTCGCGGGCTTGACCTGCAGCGCTACTCGAGCAGCCTCTGTGAAGGCTTCGTTCACACCACGGTTTCGCATGGCTGAACATTCTGTACAGCCCATCAGTTTCTCCCGTATATACCGGCGGCGGTACGGCTGATGTAGGCGCAAAGGGGGGGAACATACCGAGATACCGTAGCGCACCGATCCGCCGAGCGACTTCCAGGCCTTCGTTATACTGAATCATCGGTCGTGGTGGAGTGTTGGGTTCGTCTTCGTCCTTCTCGTGCTCTTCTCGAAGATCGCACTTCAAGGCGCACAGTACGATCTTGACGCCAGGACAGTGCTCGTTGATCTCGGCTATCCATTTCGTGCCAACGTTCTCGAGGGATCCACGGTTGTCAACCTGTTTGCCATTGTGTCAGCGCTTCATCTTTGAGTCGTGTTGTGTTCGCCAGTTTTTAAGACCCCGCTCGTGTGTGCTGCTGCTGCTGCGCATGTGTGAAAGGGACAAAGAAAAAGATGGTGAGCCATACACTGAAACACAACATTATCGCTTGCGTGTCGTCGTATGATAGGGACCGTAGCCGATCGAACTCTTCTTGTCCCGCAGTGTCCCATAACGACAGTTCCATGTGTATCCCGTCAACAAAGATGTCGTGGACATAATTCTCGAACACGGTGGGCTCGTATACTGTCTATGAGCGCCACGCATTAGTGAGTTGTCCTTTTGTGATCTCTTCTTTTTGAGTTGAATGCCGGAGCGGAAGGGCACAACAAACCGGAAAGAATCCTCGGGTAAAGACGTTCAACAAACTCGTTTTGCCACAGGCACCATCTCCGAGGAGGACCAGCTTGCGCTGGACAACCTTGTTACCGCCGCAGAGAGGCATGGCTGTTGCTGCGGAGGAGGAGGTGAGGCAAGTTTTATGTTGAGGATGGTTGCGAACGACCGGATCGACCGAAAAGCGGGCGACGGTATAGGTAGGAAGGTAAACAAAGCGAGCGGGTTTTGGCGGGAGTTAGGATAAGAAAACCGATACGGTAAAAATGAGGGAGACAAGAGGAGTGAGAGTAATAGGACGAGCAAGTCAAGAGGAGGAAGAGGAGAGGAGGACTTGGGTGAAATCGAGACGAGTAGAGAGGGTTGAATTAATGACCAAGATAGTCGAGTGTAGATCAGTAGGAAATCCGGAGGAAGATGTTGACGCAGGCGAGATGGGCAAGAGTGAAAATAGTGGCACTTGGGAGACCTTTTGCCTGGATTTTGCCGCTCTGCCTCGTCGCCCCAGCGTGGCTTTGGGCATGTGTTTGTTGGAACCGAAAGCGGAGATTCAGCGAGCCATGGGGAGTGGACTGAGGCTCCTCTGCATGGACAAGCACACCATTCTTATTAGCCACGGCTGATGAGGGTGCATTTACGAGTACAGCACACCTTTTTCTGCTCAAAATTACTCCGTCCGAATACCTCTCCCTCTATACCTGAGTATCTGGAGAGGTATCTGGCTAGGTAAAGGTTCTCTGTAACTAGGTCCTGAATGCATTTGGATGCAGCTCCAGGCACTCCAACAATCGCTTTTCCTTTTCTTGGGTGCTTGATACCCAACCCACGTGTGCCATCGTGGCCCTCCACCGGAGTTTCTCCTCGTGGCGGACGAAGTACAATGATCGGAAATCTTTTTTTTGAATCCTCTCTGTAAATAGAAAATACGTGTACTCCATACCGTTCCGCAGCTTATGGATGAACGTTGGCACTGACGCAGCAATGCCTTAAGGTGTGAATCACGAGTAGAGCCCCTCGGGATGATCATTACAAGCAGAAACAGGTTATGTCAGATATGCAGTGAGGCAGCAGGATGTCCTGGTGACTTGTTGACTGTAAGGCTGCCGCTGATTCCCGCCCCGGATCTTCATTTTGCATAAGAACTAGCAGGTGGGCTGTACTTGATATAACACAGCACATATACATTCTCAGGCAAGTCAGAGAAAACAACTTTCTGAGGTAGACAGAAATTAGTATCTCCAACGCTCTCACACTCTTGAGTCCTTTCACAGCCACACATTACGGGCAGCCAGGCTATTTCAAGAAAAGACCTCCCCATCTCACCCACCAGTCAGCCACAGCCGTTAAAATACGTATTCTCAGCCTAAAAAAGACCTGCAACAAGGGATGGGTCTATTGCACTTGGACGTACTATCGTTTCAGGCGGGCGACAAGAGCATCGAGACGCAATCAAAGAGGAGCGCCAAACGGAGGTCAACGATCGAAAACGTGCAAGAAGCATCATCAAAGGAGAAGCGTGGTAACAGCAACGTCTTGAGAAAGCCACTGCATCTTCACCCTGGGTGGAAAGAGATGTCTCAATCCCCATGATGAGAAAGTGTCATGAGTGCGCAACCAACCAAACATGGCAATGGCTTTTCGAAGCTAACCAAATCAAAGCCCAACGATCAGATCAACACTAGAAGGTTCATGAGGGACATTGGTGTAGAACGGAGTCCAGGCGGGTCGCCTGCTGAAATTTTTGGAAATGTCTTTTTCACATTCAAACCCTTTTGTTGAGGGCCTCTCAAGCTTGCTCTGGCGGAATGTAGAGCTGCACCATGTTTGCAACGCTTCTCGCAGTTATGAGCAAAAAATACTCAATTCGTTGACGCCTTCCTTCCATACCTCTAGAGAAAACTTCTGCCTTTTTTCTGCTTTTGCTCCTTTCAACGTCCGCCCTCTCTCTACTCTTCGGCAATGTTGCCCCGCTCGCTCACGTACAGACCGTCCAAGAATTTTCGGATATCCTTGTTTCGTACCCTGCAGATCTGCTGGATATCGGCGGCGCATTGTGAGACGTCCTCGAGTGAGTTGCCGCTGAGTTCGATCTGGTCCTTGACACCCTTGGATGCCTCGACGCTGACGCCGTCGCGCATTGTGACATATCGGACAATCTTCTCGCCCAAAAAGTTTCTGCAACAAAAAGTAACAAATCTTGATTAGTATACATGTCTTTTCGTTTGAATGTCTTTTCCCTTTGGGGACTAGGATTGTGATTGCAATGCAAAATTTTGGAAGCCCTTACCTGATCTCAACGTGGTCGAGGCCTTCGGCGTTCTTCTCAATGTTGACGTTGATGGGAAAATGAGCATAGACGTATCGCATCTTGTACTTGTATCCCCTGGTGACACCGGTCACCAAGTTCTCGATGATGGACTTGACGGTTCGGAGGGTAGCGACATTCTTTCTCGATCCGTGGTGGATTTCGATCTGGACGATTTGCTGGCCCTTATGGTTCTTGGGGAGGGAGAAGGTGACGGCGATGTGCGAGAGATCCTTGGTCAGTTTGCCTATAGAGAAACACCCAAAGATTGTCAGTCTAGGATTCCCATAATTCTTTTTTCTTGTGCCTGCGCCGTCTTGCGATGGGGAGGAAAAACCATTGTTCTGGTCGGGCATTTCGTACCTCGTGGACCCTCAACGGTGACGATTCGTGATCTGATGTGAATCTTCACGTTGTCTGGGATGACCAGCTGCTCGGAGGAAAAGATGTACTTCATCTTGAGCAGTGGTTGTGGGTTGTTTGGCGGTGGTCGTTCAAAGGTCGTTGTTCTGAGACTTTGAAGATTGAGGAATTTCGAGTTGTGCGGGCATTCGCACTCTTGGCGCAAGAGTGGGTCGTGATTGGTCAACGGTGCAGGGAGCCAAAAGTTCGCAGCCTCATCGCCGCTTTTGGCCCAATCGTGTTTCCCACTTAATCGGGAGAACGTTCGCTGTGAGAAGGAGCAAAATGGTCTCTCCCAAGTAGAGTCAAACAAAGTCATTGCAATTTGGGGGAAAATTATGATTCCCTTTCATACACCCTCTTTCTAAGCCTGTACGCCCAATATCCAGCGTGACGCCGCCTTGAATGGATTGTTACTACGTAGACACAAAATCTGCAAAAAAAAAGGATTCCCCGAGTACGACTTCAGAATATTAATTGATTTTTGATTTTGAGGGAGCAAAAAGCAATCCCTTCCGATACTTGATTTCATCCGCTCGCTGTTGAAGCCCCAAAAATAGTAAAAGGAATTTCGTCACATTTCCAGGTTCGGCGACGGCCCAGATTCAATGGTACAAAGCTCGAGTTGATCGAGCATTCGTTTCAGGCATCACTCATAGCTTCAGCATTTCGCTGGCCATTTGGGCCCCTTTGATCCGGTTGGCAATCTTCTTAAAGGCCACTTCTCGTGCGAAATCGGGACCCTGATGCTTGGGCTTCACGTCGACACTGAAGGGACTGAAACCACAATCGTCCGTTGCTCCAAGCTGGTCGCGGGGGATATATTTTGCTGCCTCTACCAGAGCATCGCAAACCTGTTCCGGCGTCTCGACATCAGGGCTCAGTGGGTTAATCACACCCACAAATGCGACTTGCTTTACTCCGTCGGCGTCCGCCCGGATGGTCTTGCCAATTTCCTCATACACTTTTGTTTTGTTCTTTTCAGAAGCGAGCTGGATTAGGAAGTAGCCTGCATTGATCTGGAAGAGCGAAGGCAGCAGCTCTTGGTAGTCAACTTCACCCGAATGGACCGAGTCACAATCACCACCTGGGCACGTGTGCACGCCGATGTTCTTTCGTTGTTCCGGCGTGAAACGAGCTACACGTGGTCAATGAAGAGTCGAATGGGAGGTTGATGTACTTACTCAGGACTCTATTATTCAGATCGATGAACTTCTGGAGGAGTTTCATACCCGTCCACGGGTTACGGGGATCATTCTTCGCCGTCAGTCTGCCTTCGGTGAAATCAATGGAAACTCGCTGCGCTCCGGCGGCGAAACAACCACGGATATCCTTCTCGCATTCATTGACCAGGTCATCCTCAAACTGCTCTCGAGTGTAGCCTTCCACTGTGTCGTTCAGGGGGTACAGAAGCCACATCATCGACGGCGCAATGACGGCTGATTTCATTGCACGACCGTCGGCCAACGCCGCTGACTTCTTGAAGTTCTCATAAGCGTAGGTCTTGTACTTGAACGGTCCCTTGACAAGGCGTGGCAGTTGTCTGTGGTGCCCATCGTCAAAGATCGCAAAGTACTGACCGTCGGCTGCGAGATTTTCTGCTAGCCCAGTCCCTCCCAAAGTGTCGGTGATGGGGTACGTGGCGAACGAGCTCGCCCTCTGCTCGCCGTCCGAGATCAACGTTTCTCCCGTTGTTGCGAGGTTCTTGAGTGAGTCGGCCACCGCTTTATCCTGGGCGGCAATGAGGTCATCCCGAGAGATCTTGGCTGCATCGTAGTCTGCAAATGCTTTCTGGAGGTATGTCGGTCGTGGAAGACTTCCAACAAGTTCCGTAGGGATCCCCATATTGCTGTCTGTGATCTCACGTAGCCCGAAATTAACTAATTAGATAGAAAAGAAAGAAGGAATGACGAATGTTGTTGTCAACAATCCTCGCTCACCCACGAGTAGTAGCCACTAGAACACCTGTACGGAGTATGTAAGAAGCTAAGGTTTCATCACTCGTATTTGTGAGAATGAGGGGAAGCTGACGAGGTGCTGAAAAGTCACCATGCTTCTGGAAAAGATATTGGCTTGTTGGCTGTCGTGTGTGGACACATTTCTTACTTCGCAGCGCAGATCGATGTCGGGTACGAACGGGGTCATTTTTGACTCAAAATTGCAATCGCACGATGTGTCTGGGAGGCACTATGCACGTAGCATATTTCTGCTCGGGCTAGGTAGGCAAGGCTATAAATACTTCTCCGTCTACGCGCAGAATCCGGTGTTCTTGGCAAAGGAAGCAAGCGTTCAACTGGTTACCCTCTATCGTAATTTAGAAGGGCAAGACTTTCAGATCGCGACGATGGGATGATGCTGGCGCTCATACTCTTTGGCAAGGCTTATCCAGTCATGCTGGGGATCGTGGTGTAGCTGACGAAGAAAATCGGTGAGTAGATGGTAGTGCTCGTAGCGGGTGTCTGTCGCCAATAGCTGACACCAATTCTCGACCTTCTGTATGCGGTCTACATGATCGCCACAGCAGATGCCGGCGATGAACAAAGGCCAAGTCAGGCTCGAGAGCACCACCCGAATCTCTTGAATATGTTCAAGAGAATCGAAGAGTCTGCCGAGGTGGTAACAGCGCGTGCTTGCCTCCATCCCGATGGATGGAAGACGTTTGTAAGCGTAAAGTAGCCCGGCATGATGGTACGCCGCCACGAGACATATAAAATCATGTCGCAAGGTGTCGGATGCAGTCTCGAGGAGAGGGCCTGCTGAGAGCAATGTTGATCCCCTAGCAGCCTCGAACGCATTCTCTAGCTCGGTCATAGAGGCTGGGCAGACTTCTAAAGTCTCATGTTCTTCATCGTCTTCGCCTTCGGTACCGCGGTCGTCATCAGGGCTTTGACTCTGAACACCGGGTCGTAAAGAGCTCATCGTGATGACATGTATGACTCTCAAGAACTGAGCAAAAATATTGTTCTGTGCGCTGGGCAATACAGCGTTCCGGACTCGGTCGATCTCGAATAAAGACGTGCAGGCTAACACGTCATATGCTGCAGCTTCATCTTGCAGAAAGACAAACATCTCAGTGTCGCGGTTGGTTGTACACACCAGTGTGTTGAGCAGTGTTCGGATCCCTTCGCGATGGAACTGAGCAACGTAGAGGTTGGATAGAAGTAGCGAATAGTCTGAGAGGACCAAAACTGCGGCGATGATCGCCTGTATATCTGTGGGATCAACGTCATACTGAGCCGTAGTACCAGGATCTTGCATGGTCAGCTGAGTGAGGCGCAAAGTGATCATCGTGACTGCGGTTTCTGAGGCGGATCTCAACAGGTCTTCGTCGACGCCAGTCCCAAACGCCGCATGCCTGGCAGCAGTGGCCAAGATCGCCAGCCTCAAAATCGGTTGGGATTCGGCCAACGGTAATATCAAGCGACGGTAACCATTGTGAGGAGAATCTATCCACGGCATGATGGGTGTGATCTCCGTTTCATAGTAGTGAAGGAGACGCCTGATGACTGGTTCTGTGAAGCGATTAAGCGTAGCTATCAAGTCGGCCTCGGGGAGCTCCGTCGTCGTCACAGCGAGCACAGGTGAATCGTCCAGGTCAGCGGCTTGATCCTCGTGCGAGATGGTAGCTTGTGCAACATCGGGCGCTGCGAGTCCCCTGAAACGGCCACGGACGGCAATGGCATTTGTCCATCGGAGAGGCTGTTTGTACCCAGGACAGACGAGGCCTTTCTTCAAACACTTGGAGCAGTAGGGCAATTTCCGATCACAGCGTATCCGCCTCCTATTACAAGTTCGACAATCTATTTACAGTCAGAAACAGCGATCGAGTTGATCGTGACTGCGGTCGAATGGGTCGTACCTTTATCTGCCATGGCGCCCTCTTCAAGAGGTCACATCATGGCTTCCGACAATATCTGCGATAGTGCCTGCTGGATCTTCAAACACGACTTTAATAATTTCAAGTTACATTTGATGTACAAAGGACATTAGATCATACTTAGCAAAAGATCAAAGAGCTTCCCATGTGAAGGCACAGATGCGTCATGGGGTCCTTCGAAGTGTGGGGAAAAAGAAGCGGAGTTATTGTAATATGGCTACGAGGCGAGGCTGTAGACCCTGAGCGGCATCGACAACCTATGATCCGAAGAAAAGACCCAAAGGACGCATATATCAAGATTATTGGGGCCTGTTTCTATGTTGAGCGTTGAATACCGCTCAAGTGACACCCGACTTCACGTGAACCTTGTTCAGGTTGACATCATTTGGCCAGAGCCGTACCGGACATTTCGGTTCCCCTTTTTTCTGACGCTTTCACAGTGGCTAGTAATGCACTATCGATGACCGTCTTTTCTTCCAGTGCCACTGAATCTCAAGCAATGTAATGGCTCTTTGCTCTTGCGACCCAGGTTACGCCAGCAAAAATTGTCACTGCGCCGATGATAGCAATAGCCCAATTCATGTTGGCGATCTCGCCAACCACCGGCATATACTGTGGGAAGACGTAGAACAACACGACTAGAATGCTCCACGCCAAACTCACAATATTGATGATGTTGCCCCATGTTTTCCCGAGGTTGAATTGCGGTCGTCCCTCTGGGAGAATTGTGTCGCGACCTCTCAATACAACGCAAAGGATCGGTATGATAAAGGAGATCTGAATAGCGATGCCACCGCCAGACAGTATGGCAAAGAAGGCGAGTTGTGAGCCAAGTACCAATAGGCCGACCAGCATACAGACCGCAATGAAGGCCACCAGCGCGCGGATTGGAATGTTGTAGTGAGGCGAGATATGGCTGAGATAACCGGAACACGGGAATGCCTTTTGCTTCGCCATCTTCCAGACCATGCGAGCACTTGCGGTAGACTGGTTGAGGATGGTGAGGTACTGTTCAAACAGGTCAGCTAACGCTCCAGACGGCCTGGAATCCTGATGTGGCACTGATGCATTCACTCGTAATAAGAGGGTGGCAACCTACGTTCAAACCCATCATGGTGACGCAGCAAAACACACCTCCACCATACACGGAATTCGTCACGTCCATGAACCATACCAGATAGGGAGCACCTTCGTCGAGACGGGCTTCCCAGTTGGGCCCAACCGTGTAGCACATGATTATTCCAGAAAGGAGAGCAGTAACACCCGCCCAGACCATGGACCAGATCATGACTCGGGGCGCATCACGAGAGGGATTCTTCATTTCCTCACTCACTGAGTAATGACAAGTCAGACCATATTTAGACGTGGAGAAGAGTCAGAGGACAGCTTACGGTGCATAACTCCATCGGTACCATAAAGGCCATAGATAGGCGTGTAAAAACTCAGAATGAAAACCCATGCATCACTGTTCCAACCGCTGTTGTTGATGAAGTCGGTGAAGACGAACTTTGCGTCTGTCTTTTCTGCCATGACTAGGAACACGATGGCCCATACCACGAGTCCGCCGACATTGAAGCACCCGGCGAAAAATTGGAGTTGGGCACCGTAACGCGAACCGGCCAAGACTCCCGTTATAAGAGGCAGTATGAGAAAGCCGCAATAGAGTAGAAACATCATATATGGCTATCTCAGCGACCGTCAGATTTGATCTTGCCAGGTCAAAAGGGGTCGCTTGGGAGGGGCTCGTAAACTTACCTTCCACTCGATATTCGGATGAGTGATGTCCACGAAAGTATTGACGATGTTTGCGCTGTTCAACGCGCACCCGGCCGCCACGGACACTTCACAAACCAGAACACAATAACTGACAGTATAAGACAGAAATCGGCGATATTTTTCAGGGGCGACCATCTGATGAGGACAATTAGATAGGACAGCGCTCCAGATGCTCTGCTTACCTGGGTGTAAAATGCCTGACCGCCAGCATTGGGCCAAAGTGAACAATACTCGGCCAGCGAGGCCATGACCAGTGTCTGCCCAATAGCGACAATGATGCTGTGATGGTTTCGATTAGCCAACACTTGATCCACTTCGAGGAAGAATACTCGTGTGGGACGGAGTACTCACGTTCCGTATATCAAAGCCACTGGACCCCCAAGCGAGAAGATTATGGCGTATAGAATTATGTTGCAACTCCAGGTGGAGAGAACCGTCGTCTGGTATGCCAGTACTGTTTGCCAACTTATTAGTGTTCGCAATCTCTTGGGAAAAAGAGGCATTTCTGCATACAGCTCCAGAAGGTATGAATTCTTTTGAGCTCTCCCTCGTGAATGGATGATTCAGACGAGACTCCCTCTTCGACGTCGAGCGCTGGAGGACCGTCGGGCTTCTCGGTGGGCATCTCGTCGGCTTTGGCCATGAATTCCACTTTGGCCATGTCTGGATCGGGTTCAAAGCGCAACTGGCATTCACTCTAGCGTCTCAATGCTGTTCTTTGGCGCAGAATGCGACAAATATCATTCAGGCAAGACAAGACCAAAGGTCGATGGAGGGCGGCACTGTACATTGCGGTTCCAGTTCAGGTATTTCTATACAATTTGGCAATGATAGCAGGGTGTAGGTTGCTGCTCCTCCAGTTGCTGTGTTTGTACAAATAAGGCCAATAATAAGAGAATCCATGATGGAGGATTGCGCGGTAAGCGAAAGGCCCAGGGATTGAAGATTTTCGGCCCATATAACGGATCGATCGAAAGCCGCCACCCATACGCGGCTGAGTCGAGAAGTTAAAATAAATCGATTGTAGAGAGCATTCATGAAGGTGATAATCTACACCCAAAAGAAGCATTGATTGGAGAAAATTGATTTCGGAGCTAAACTACAAAGGAGCATAAAATGGAGAGTGGAGCGGCAATCCACCTCGTACTCGTAATTGGACATCTAGCTATCAAAATTTGAAAGATTGTCCATGTCGGCATCGACTGATCCAGATACTATGGACAACCCCGGGTCATCTATAACCTATCATTGTTGAGCTTTCGTATCCTATATCCAACCACGGCAACATCTGCGCAGCTGGGATCAGGATCCTAAGGTCGCATACAAATCCGACGTACGGCTTGAGCAAGACGGGCCCGTTTTCGTCTTGCACGGATGGCCATCGAGTGATAACCGGTGTTTCAATATCAGAACCCATCAAGTGAACAGAGTCTCCTCGGGCGGCATCTACGAGGCGACATAAATCCACGAGGCAACACCTTCGAAAGCTACCCGCGATGACGCGACTCTGACCATAGGAACATTATGCGATAACTTTTAGAATACGATACCATGTTTGCAGAAAATGCAATGGCACTGAGTGTGGTAAGCAGCACATCAGTCCCAACTTGAAGACAAACGAAAATTGAAGTTATTCAGGCAGCTGGTGGTGCCGCCGCACTCACCGATGGCATAATCCACCCATTGGACACGGTCATTTGTCGCATACAGTCAGGAAACGCCCCTCATGGAACAACTTCTACAACCAGTCGGTTGTTCGACAAAAATCTGTTCCATCGCCTCTATCGAGGCTTCGGTCCTACCGTGGTCGCAAACATACCGGCGTCCATCGCCTTCTTCACAGTGTACGATTCCGTCAGGGCATCGTTTTCCAAGGCTCGCGCAGCTGGACACTTCGCCAGCCTACCACGTTCATTCGACTATGCGGCTGGAAGCGCGGCAGGCGAACTTCTCGCGTGCGCCATCATCAATCCTGCCCAAGTGCTGAAGCAGAATGCGCAAGCCATCCGGACACCCTCTCATCGACACCCGCCCGACCAACTGTCACGGTCGGCGGCGGCACAAGTGCTGAAGTTGCTAAGGTTGTTTGCCAAACAACCGTCCAAACTATGGGCAGGTTACAGCGTGTTGGTGGCAGCTCAGCTGCCCCACGTGTGTCTCATGTTTTCGATCTACGAGGAGCTCAAGCAAAATTCGCCCTTCGAGTACTGCAGGCCGCAAACGGGCGACTCCGACCCGGTACAGCAGGTCAAAGCAAGTGCTGTCTGCGGCGCCATTGCCGGCTGCTGCTCATCGTGGATTTTTGTTCCTGCCGATGTGATCAGACTCAGGATGAGACTCGCAGCCGGTCGCGCAGTAGAGGACCAGCATTCCCGGACGATCACTACAGTCGAGGGAGTTGGTGTAAAATCAGCCAAGCCAAAACTGGCAAATTTGAACGCCTTGGCTTTTGCGAGAGACATTGTCCGCCGTGAAGGATGGGCAGCCTTGTTCAGAGGGTCTCTTCTGACGTGCATTGCCGCAGGCGTCGGGGGTGGGATATACCTGGGAAGCTATGAGGCGATAAAGACGCTGTGTAACATGGAAGAGTGATGGTTTAGATGATGTAAAAAGAGCTCTCTACTCTGTACTATCCGTTGATTCCTCTTGAAAATGCAACTCTTGATACATCTGGGGCGATCGTACAAGCATTTCTCTGTCGCGACAAACTGCAACCTCCATTTAACTGCCATTTGGGGTTTAGCCTCGCTGCCCTTTCTTGATGCCGCATGCCTCGTATAATTTGACGTACGTACGCGAACTACCATTACGAGTAACCGATCAGTATGTCGTCGCATTTCGATCTGTCTGGTCTCAAAGCATATTATGTACTTGTTCATGGGATGAGCGGAATTGCCATGGCCATGGACCGATCCACGGCAGCGGTGAAAACGCACCAACCTGTCTAAACACTACAAAACAACCCTTTATCTCTGGGACGTGACTGAGATTCTGCAACTTTTTATTCTTTCCTTTTCGGAAAGTAGGCATCAAATACTCGTATCTATTACCTCATCTCGCATCACAACCATGCTTCAGTCCTCGGGCGCCCTCTTATTGTTCTTCGTCTACGTCGCGTCTCTCGCCGTCGTCGTCGATGCCAGCTACGCATTCTACGTGGGCTCTTCTCTCACGGCATCCGGCGACATACTCATCGGCGGCAGCGGCGAGGAAGTGTCTGGTCACTGGCTCCAGATATTCCCCGCGGCGGAGCACGCCGCGAACGAGACCATCACCGTGGGAGTGACCGACGAGGCCGTCCTCCCCGGGCGCCTCATCACCATCCCCCAGGTGAGCCACACCCACCGGTACATCAGCATGGAGTACTCGGACTACTGGGGCCTGCCGGCTCCTTTGACCAACGGCGGGCTCAACGACCGCGGGGTGGCGGTGCGGGACGTGTGGGCTCCGAACCGGCGAGAGCTGGTCGACATGACCCCCGACCCCCAGACGGGGGTCAACTACTCCAACCTGGCGAGGCTGGTGATGGAGCGCGCTCGTTCCGCCCGCCACGCCGTCGAGATCATCGGCGAGCTGATCCGCGAGCACGGCTACGCCACGTACGGAGGCAACACCCACCTCGTGGCCGACCGGGACGAGGCCTGGGTCGTGTGGGAGTTTGCCGGAGGTCGAAAGTTGTGGGCGGCCGAGAGGTTGCGTCCCGACGAGGTCCGGGTCTTGTACCCCGGGTACATTGGGGATTTCCCCGTCGACTTCGAGCGGGACCCCGAAAACTACATGGGCGCGCCGCACCTGGTGACGTTCGCCCAAGAGCAAGGCTGGTGGAGCAGCCGCGCCTCCAAAACGCCGTCCTTGATCAACCTCGTCGAGGTCTACGGTCTCGCCCAGGACGACACGTCCCCCGTGGGAGGTGGCGTAGGCCGAGTCTCGCACCGGGAAATGGAAGAGGCCACTCTAGAAAAAGTCCCCGTCACCGAACAGGACCTCATGTCCCTGGTTCGTGACCCTCGCATGTCTACCGACGAAGCCGGGTATGGCCAGGTGGTCCGCCTCCCCAAGGACGGCAACATGGACCCGGACCTGCGCCGGATCTGGATCGCGCCCACCGGTTCCGTCGCCGCGCCGTTTGTCCCGTGGTGGTTGGGCGTGCAGTCGGTCCCGCCCGAGTTTGGCCAGCACCGGTACCTCCTCAAGGAGGCCTCTTCGACCTTTTTGAACCCGGGTTTCCAGCTCCAGGAAGCCTCCCTCTTTGCCGGCCGCCTGTTCAAGCGAGTCCTGTATTACATGTGCTCGGCGCCTCGACTGTTCAGACCCCTGGTGCAAGACATGCTGGTGGGATTCGAGTCCCAGTCACTGCGAGACGTCGAGTGGGTCGAACGCACCGGGGAGATTCTCGTTTCTGCCGCTCGGCGAAAAGAAGGAGGAACCGATGAAGCCGGCAGAGACTTGCTCCACAAGTTGCTCACGCACTACACCCACTCCCGTGCGAGTCACGCTTTGGAGTTGGGTTCCAGCATCGTGGACGCGCTGGATGGGTACATCAAAATGACCGGCGGGTGGAGGGATCCGGTAAGCGGCGACAAACGCATGAACCTGCCCGCCGACGAAGAAGGCATCAATTGTTTGTTGCTAGACGAACCCGATCCATTCGATGCGACGACGACGCCTCCTCCTCCTCTGGCAGCGTTACAACAAAATCAACGACCTCTGACGAGAGCTGCAAAGGCGTTTGAGAGATTTTTTGGCGGCAGTTGAAGTGGAGGAAAGGCGGCGGTATGGGCTGAATTTGAAAAAATCCTATACTTCTCATCGTATGCTCGCTCAGGGCCTTGCTTTGGTCTAGCAGACTCTATGTCCACGCTACGGTCACATATGTAGCCTGTAGTCTGAAATACGGTGAATAGAAATTCTATGGCCCTAGAAGCAATTTTAGCCTTTCCATTGTGGAAGGGGTTGGAATACTATAGATGGTATGATTATTCAAGTTCATGATCTCCTAGGTAAAGAAGTTTTGAATAAAAGCACAGAGTTCAAAATTGTCTATGTCATTGACCAGATGAATACGGATCCAGCTGTGTAGACATTAGCAATCATGAAAGAATTGAGGCCCGTCAAGATCAAGGCAAACCACACATGGCTGCCAGGATGACTTGATTCTATTGACCGGCAGAGTCGAGTCTGTCCGACCGATTCGTCAGAAATGGCAGTATTGGAAAGGGAAACCATTTGTTATTCCTCAACTTACAAGGTACTCAGAGGTCACTTTGTAATAGAAAGCCCAATTACTTCCTGGTGTAAGCCACACAATGGTAGTCGAGAGGCAAGCGACAGGCCCAGCCATTACCATGGTCCAGATCAAGAAGCTCTGATTTGAATCAGTCATCATGCTGAAGAACATGAAAGAGTAGGTAGCGGATAATATCACCCCTTTACTCACGGGAGTATCACGAGTAATGTCCTTCATTTCTGAAATGACTGTAGATTGCTCCTGCATCAGTATAAATCCATGCTATAAGTAATCCGTAAGCCATAAGCTTACAGTATATCACACCGTCGAATCCATATAGAGTATAGAGCAATACGGACATGCTCCAATTGATCACCCGGTCCTTTGACATCCGACCAGAGGGATCGAGGCCTTTTGGAGAAGCAGAGTTCGTGTTTTTGCTGTCGGTTTCCACCCGTATGGCGAAAGCCAGGAAAAGACAGCTTGAAACATTGGACAATTCAGCCAACAGGTCCTTTCTCGGTACCAACTGCTTTGATAGCCAGTCGAAGATTGCGGGCCTCGCGAGAGCAGCCAAATAGATCAATAGCGCGGGATAAACCTATGGAGAATGAATACCTTTAGCAAAGAGTCCTCGAAAATCGTACACTTAACCATAGACTTGGGTGATGCGCCTTGCCTTCTGCTGGGAATTGGGACCTGAGAACCCCATAAGATCACACGCCGCTGACGCGCAGTATGAAGCGTTGATAGACAGCGTCGAAAATTCTCCAATCAAGACGCTCCAGGCAGCGATATAAGAAAGCAAGCGACGATAAGCTCCAGTATGAACGAGCTGTGAAGTCAACGAACATTGTTTCATCTGCTTAGTACTGCTGACGACTTGCATGACGTCCTTACCTGGTTGTTGTGCTGCTGGCCACTCTTGCAAGGTTTCGTCGACTGGTTTTCCACTAAGAACGGTACAACTAGCATTTGCCCAAAGGTAATCAATGCCCTGTACTCCATCCGTTAATTTCAAGTTGGACTCGGCTCGTTATACTGGGTTACTCAATTTACAGCTCGAGGTCTGGTAGCAACTTACGTGACTGAACACAGGTGCGGAAACCCGATCGAAAAGAAGACCTGCGAGTACATGGCCGCATAACTAGCTAGTGAGGTCAAAAAAATCGTCTGGTTTTGTATGACTGCAGCGTCTGCTATTAGTTCTGCTGCCGTAGGATGTCGGAAACCAAGATGGTACTGACACGTCCAAAAGGCGTAGGTCTGCTTGAGTTTTTGCTTGTAATTGTTGCTGGCACTTGCACAGACGGCAGGCTGGTGTGTCTCTTTGTGTTTTTGCTCGTCCATAGCCTACTGTCACTCATGTACTGGGGAGGATTGAAGGAGGTGGCTCGAACAAGAATACGAATGGTGCAAGAACTAGGGGGCGATTTTTTTGGTTTTCGAAAGAAGGCCGGACCCTAGACATGAGTATACACACACTTTGAGATCGTGATGGAAGGCAAAGACGTGGCCCATGACACTGATCATAGCAAAGGGTCAGGCCCCCATCCAAAAGCCATCCCTAAGCCATCCCTTGCAAGCATGAGTCTGCTCGTTCGAAGAGGAACCGAGGATGGTGGGAAAGGGACCATGCTTCTTCTCCGGTTCGACAACTGGTGGCACTTGACTGCAAGCAGCATCGACACCATGAACCAACGACAACTCGCGCACACAAAGCGGCCATTCCTCTTGAGCCCAAGCGGCCGTCTGTGATCTTGATGCACCGAGTCCTTCTGAGGTTTCGTCGAGCGTTGAACGAGACTTGACTTCGCGCTTTCCTCTTCCGGGCAGTTATATTGAGTTCCAGTAGACTACGCTAACCTTTATAGGTAACTCTATACGCTGCACCTTGTGGGAGGCTTGAGACCCAAGCAGAGAGAGTCGCAGTGGTCTATCCGTGTCAGAGGAGCCTTTTAGATAGAGGCATGAGAGTCTTCGAAGGAAAATTGTTCCTGATGCCACAAAAGGTTATTCCTGATCGAATCTTCAACTCAACAGGAACAAATGTACTCATGATAGGTCCATGAGAAGGGGCCATTGCTTTCAAGAATCATCAATGATGCGTGATCATGTCGTGCCTTCTTCGTTGCAGAATGACACCTCCCATCGCTGAGCTCAAATCGAGTACAGTTGCGAGCACCCTGTAGTGCCCTCTGGTGTCAACAACAAAGAGTCGAGGCCCGCCACTATACACTCACTTGACCAACATCAGACTCGGACAATCTGTCGATCAAAACCGCAGCTCCTACGCTTGTGTAAATGTACAGGCAGTACGCCTCATAATGTAGCACAAATCCTTTGCTTTGTTCAAGAAAGATCCATGCCAGCCTCGTGCTCCAATTGTCCACCACTGGCATTAGCGTCTCCTCCTCCGCCTTCGTACTGCAAAATCTTTCCTTGGCTTCGTTGGAACTCATCTTTAAAGATAAGCTCTCGAAAGACCTCTTCGTACTCCTCATCCTCGTCCACTAGGAAATTGTCGTTGTTTTGACCGCCCAGCCCTTCTCTTGGGCCGCCTAAGTCAAGCATATCACCTGTCTGATAATCGTAATAAGATTCCAGCTCCGGATCAAACTCTTCTGTCGGCGACATCTCATCTTCCGGGGCCTCCTCATCCAGCATCATATCGATGTCGACTTCTTCAGTGCCGTCACCACCGGCCTCGGCAGCCCGTCTCCTCATCTCGTCTTCCCAGATCCTTCGCTCCCTGACAAAGTCCATACGCAACACCTGATCACCGACAAGCTCACTGCGTGTGTCGTCGCGTCTTCGCCTTATCCGGTCCAGGAAACGACTCTTCTTCTGCTCCCTGCCCTGCGCCGCGTGCCGAGCGAGTGTATTTGCAGATCCGAGACTTTTTGCTCTACTTTCCCATGTGTCAGTGTTGCTTCTCTTGCCGCCTGCCGAGCCTGCGAGACTTGGAAAAGCGGAAGTGCTCTCGGTCCTTTGGAAACCGAACCTGGCCTGCCCATTGCCGATCGACGAGGAGTCTGGGGGGGTGGCCAATACACCAGCACCCACAGTCGTACTTGCGTATTGTTTCGACGCTTCCGGGGTCTTCTGCAGATAGAATCCGGACAGGCGATTAGATGTGGAGTTTTCATCCTGCTCATCGGCAGCAGCGAATTTCCCCAGAGGTGAGCTTCCCAACCTCAACGGGGAGGAACCTCCGCCCTCGCGTTCAGGGCTGGTAGGCATGAGATTCGCATTCCTCGACGTCCGAAGCGGCGACGGGGTGACCGGTGTATAAAGGTGAGGCTGCGGACGATTGGCGGCGAAGAAGGGACTAAACTGTGGCGTAGGTTGAGAAAACATTGCACACTTCTCGCTTTCCTGGTGCTGGGAATGGTTGTCGACTTGTGTAATCCAGCAAGTAACCAGGCAATTAGAAGGGCTGCAACTCTAGGTGAGCAAAGATTGAAAGCGATTGTGATCAAGTCAGTAAGTGGTCAGAGAGTAGTAGAATCGAGGACTCGAGTGCTCGGACGCTCTCGATATGACGCGAGCAAGGCGCGACCGGTTTTAAGGCGACGCGCCCGATACCGAGCTAAACCCTTCTAATCGCATTTTGTCATTCAACTCAATCAAGTGGCTGACAACTGGCACCCTAGCATATCTATACGACTATTATGTAGGTACCTACAGTAGCGATCTCTCGTATATTCCTTGCTTGAAGCCGGAGACAAAGCATCCAGGCGTGCCGTCATGCAAGGTACAAGGCAAAAGCGAAGGATCTGATTTCAACAATTTGATTCATTTTTTGTTCTCTATTTAGCCAATTCACCTCACTCCATTCAAGGCAATATCCATATTTACAACTGACACAGTGGAAAGGACTGGCAGTTTGAGTTGTGCAATAGCACTAATTACGCTCAGTTTAATACTTTGACAATGAAGTTCCGTTCGCAATAATTGACCCACTTCCTAGGTGCAACGCCTGCTCTCGCGCCGGGAAGGGCGACAATTTTTGATGTCGTCCCTTTTCGCTAAATACAGAACAAGATTCGTGACGATCGTAATGGTCGATGACCGACACTGCTGCCCTGGATGGGTGGTGTTAAAAGTTGGAAGCCGTGTTGACAGGTCCAGGAGAGTGGTATTGATCCAGAGTTCGTTGGAATGGCGTGCTGTCGGATCCGGTGGTGGCACTCAGCTTGTCTTGGTTGACATTGGGATCGTAGAGATCATCATCGTGGAGGTTCTTCTTCTTGCCCCAGATGCGCCAGGCAGTGTAGGCAAGTCCGGCGAGAAGCAAAGCACCACCCACGCCTCCAACAACGCCACCAATGGTTTTCTTAGCCGTAGAGCTCAATCCGGAGCTGCCACCACTGCTATTACCACCGTTTGTCAAGGATGCAGGGTCGACACTTGTGGTGACAGGGACAGCACTACTGCCTGTGCTCGTGACGTGCATAGTGCTTCCTCCTTTGACACTTGTGATTGTGGTGACGACTTCCGAGAAAGATTCGGTCGTGATCAGCGTCCTGGAAGCAGACGAGGTGCTCGAAGAGGTCAACGGTGCTTGGGAGGAGCTTTCGGTGACTCGCGAAGAGCTTGAGGGTGTGAATGTCGAGGTTGTCTCGATGACGGTAGTCGAAGTTGTGGGACTGGCACTTCTTGTAATGGTTGAAGAAACATCAGTGACCGAGGCTGAACTGGACGGAGGAGAGCTGGATGGGGTCGTGCTGCTGGGGGCACTATCACTCGACGATGACGAAGATGCGCTCGCAGAATCGCTGCCGCCCGTGGACAATGGGACACTTTGACGTTTGAAAAGTGCAATTGCATCGTCAAGGGCGTCGGCAGAAACGCACGACACGAACAGGATCGAGAAGAGGAGCAAGAATATCTTCTGCATCTTGACAGATTCGAGGGAACGAGGATATGAGGCAAGTAAAGCCTGTGGCTTGATTTTGATCGGGGCTGCAGTTCGTCGCTTTCGCTTGGAGAAACAAAGACGTGCAGTGAAGCGAGCGTTGTCGGGTCGAGGTGAACGAAGAACCAATGGCGGTGCTCAGATGTGTCGAAATTGGCCGCAAGAGGGCAAGAAAGGGTTTTGGAAGAAGATGGATTGGTACAAAAGAAGATGAGACAATGAAGACAAAGAGAAGCGAGAAGGAATAGAAAGATGATGAATGGGATGGTGGATTGGTTGAGAAAAGCAAGGTTGCGTGAGGAACAGAAGCGAGAAGAGAAAAACAAGTTACACAGCCTACAGCAGCGTTGGTGTGAGTGATTTCGGGTTTAGTTCAGGCTGCTGGTTGGCTTGTACTCGCGGCCTTTGCTTGGGTGTTGCAGGTGGTGTTGGGGACTAATAAAGGTACCTATTGTGTCCCCCCGACTGTACGGAGGCAACCCACTGCACCCTGTACTATTTGTTTAAGCAGCGCCTCCGCCTGCTCCCGGCGAGATTTTCACCGCCGCAATTAATTCTCCGTCAGGGCCCGTAGATTGGCACTTGACTGTCTCACTAAAAAGTCGATCACGTGCTGATCTCACAACCGTCCAGTTTCAACTTGATGAAGATCTTTGCATTTCCCTCTCAGCCATTCGTTACAAGTGACGTCGGCCGTGCGCAATGCAACCCTATACAATTAATGAGTCGAAAATTGCGTGCACTACTTTGTACAACCGGTGGCAGCACAACTACGACCTCACCATCCGACCGTACGAGATGTGGCCATACGACTTTATGTACCTAGGCAGGCTTAGAAGCGCCCCGGGTCCTGACTACCATCATCTGAGGCTCTCCATAAGCACAGAATGTCACGCTCTCAGAATCAACATTCACATCTCTCGGTCAGCCGGAGGAGCCTTAAAAAACATTTGACAAAATCCACATGCTGTCTTACTCAGATTGTTGCGACATATTTCTCGACATTCGACTTTTTAGACATGCACCTCGTGATACTGTATACTCGCACTGTTCCAGATAGGTGACCAATTTCGTAGATGATCTCGTGTCGGCTCTTCCATTATCGAGACATCAATTTCAGGCAAACCAAAATGTAGCATTGCAAAACAAACGACTAGCTCTCAAACCACAGCTTCCTCATGCGCTCCGTCCTTAGGAGCGTACATGTGGAACTGCGCAAAGATGGTCACGTCTTCCACCATCGTGCCCAAACTACCAATCAGCCACGGCAGGTTCTTCATGACATACTCGTGCTGCGTCGAGTGACAGAGAATGCCTGCGCCATACGTAAGGTTGCCCATCAACGACAGGATGAAGAATAACAGCGATAGCCCTATAACAGACTATTAGCACGCTGGAATACACGGGCTGTGATAAAGACTCGCCTTCGCAGCTCTTGTCCCTTGCATTCTTGACGATTTGCGGTATCCTTGCACCCAGATATGCCACGGCACTCGCATAGCCCAAGATTTGAGCACCAGCTGCCATCTTTTGCGTTTCAGTATCGGCCGACGTAGGACTGGGCTTCCACGCTCCCGACTCGTACGCGAGTGCCCAGCCCGCTGCGCCGACGACCACAATCGCCAGAACGCTCATGACATTCTTGAACCACAACCTGGTGCCCGAGTCGTCGCTTTCTTCGAGGATCTTGGCGAGATGGTCGTCTTGAGCGCTACTACTTGGACGGCGTCTCAAGCTCGCACTGCTCCGTCTCCGTCGTTCCCTCGAGCCAGGTATGGTAAGGCTATTTGTCCTCTCTCGTCGCAGGAGCGGCTCGTCTTCTGAGGGTTCCCCGGCCGACGATTGCCTCGCTGCCAACAATGCCCTGGCCTCCCTTCTCTTGTTTTTGATCCCATAGTACAGGCACTGTGCGATCAAGACGCCATCTGCAATGCAAAAGTAGACGCCTATTGCGACAACGACGGGCACAAGACCGGCCCAGAGCGCTCCTGCAAGGTTGCAAATATCTCCTATGAACCACACGAATATGAAGGCAAGACTGATGGCTTCGGCCGATCCGTTGCGGTAGTTTTCTATAAGCTGAGGCACGAGCAGGAAAATCCAGCATGCGAGCGAGATCGAGCCAAAGATACCGGAAAGGGCTTCGCGAGTTGTGAGAGGTACGCTGGACTCGGGCGCGAGCATGGTGAAAGCGGTGGTCAAGAAGCCTGCCATAACGAGGCTTCGGGGTGCGTCCGACCAAGACAAATCTCACATACTAAATAGTTGGTTCGAGGTTGAACAAGATGTCGATAAAAGAAAAACCTCAGCTTTTTGGTGTGAAGAACCTAGTGCAGTGGAGTGTAGGGTTGATTATCGGTAGCTCTGCGCTGCACATGGTCCTGTACAGGACGTGCCCTGACTGCTCTGGGCGTTCGTCATTCCCCTCATCTCAACCTTCTAGGCAGGGACCTACGGGTAAGGGCCACCGGTGCCCGTTTCAGGCTCTAGTAGCCGACGCCCAGGGAGCCCGAGGCTTCTGGGTGCTTACCTCATGCGTACATCACTTCATCTCTGATTCGTTGCCGAACAACTTCAACATGGCACGTTGAAGATCTCGGATGCATATCATCAAGATAAGATTTCCTCTACTGGCACGAAGCAAGGCATCGATGATAATGAGACGGCCACGAACGAGGCACACTATTAGCGAAAGTATTGGTGGGACAGGCCGGCAATGAGACCACCACAAACAGGTTTGCTTTCTCAAGTTAATGACGGGCGACTTTGACACAAGACGAAAAACAACGCAACAGGTGGAAGCCTTCTGGTGTTCAATCTATCACAATCCCTCCATCTGTACCAGTTGGCTTTTATTGCCATGTCCACTCCACCGTCCTCCACCTGACCGATCCTCCCTATGTTACCTTATCCTATCACTTCACACCGGACTGGTTTACCATAGTTCATGGTAAACTTAATCCTAGTACCCTTCCACCTCCACGCCGCTGGGGGAAACGACCGCTCCTGCTTGATGTAGGCGGCTCTCCTGAGGACGAGTTTGACTTTTGGCTTGAATGACTTCTCCGCCCCGGCCGCCATGCGTCGTGTACAAACGGGCATGGCTTGATTTGGAGCGAGCCTGGTTTTCTCAAGTCAGTAATGCGTATGGTGCGCCAAAGGGATCAACCTCTACTGATTCAATTGGTTGTGTATGAAGGCTTCCGCTGAAGCAATTATCACACTCGAGCTTGGCTGTGATGTGAAGGTGAGTGACGGACTGAGGGCGTGCTCTGAAGTTGTTTGGTTGTATGGAGGACGCTATGAATTCTCTTCGTTTTTCTCCCTGATCCTCTACCGTTTCTGCCTGGGTGGATGAGGCCTTTTGTATTTGGATCGATGAGGGCCTTCAGCCAGCAAAGTAAAAGGAAAGTTTTGTGATAATCTGGATATTGAACAGGTCCTCAAGATTACCCTCGGAGCCTGGCACGGAAGTCGACGAGGATATGCGTTTGGAGCCATGGACGAAGCAGTTGTGAAGGCCTGTCTTCTGTTTGACGAACCAGGAATAAAGCCAACGACGATGCGATTGATCGCTTAAGGAAAGCATGCTGTTGGCCCAAATGCCAATTGTTGGATGAGCCTTCGATAAAGTGTATTCACAACCAGCTCGATCACATCGCTCGTGAATACCTCGCTGCTGTGCGGCTATTCCTGGCAAAGTACCCATGTTTACACACCGCAATTCCCTTGAACAAAGAAGCTTAGTCTTCCCCAGTTACAGCCAAATGAGAACGCCACAGTGGATCGTAAGAAAACCGATTTCGAAGATCCCCAGTTCCTTTGCTAAAATTCTCCTGCGTGTGACAACAGATTCTAGTAAGCGTAACATCTCTGGTTTCCTCACACTAAACTGAGGTTGACAAGATCGAGTCAATATCAAGCCCTGCAGCCGGATTGTAGGAGGACGAGAAACTTGAAAGGCTGCCATGATGGGCCTTGATGCCACATGTCCCTTAACCGAGGCCGCTCCGCATCATGATGGGTAGGACCCTTGACTGTAAGCTTTTGTAGATATCCAGTATGCCGACCATGCCAGCCCATCGTTTGGACAATGTATTTAGTAGGATCAAGCACGTTCCGGAGATCTCGTGGATGCCATTGAAATCCACCGGGCCTTCGGCATCCCCGCTCAGTTCTCGCGAGAAACTCACCACAGGCAGTCGTCCATCGATGGCAAGCAAACAATGAGCCATGATGGTGATTGTGGCTTGATGAATGTAGTGTGCTGAGGTGATGGTGACGGGATACATACCCCAGGGAGTACCCTCAGCACCACGCAGAATTTTGTTGTAGAACTCAACCACCTTGACAGCAGAGTGATAGCTCTCGCGAGGTATGATCTCTGTCATTTCGTGAGCCAGCATAGGTTCCTTCGTAGCTGCCAACGCACGTAGTAATAACGGCTGGAATAGGAACAGGATAGAAGTGTCGAAATTAATCTCGCATGTCATACTACCCATACCAATTGACGAGTCGAGAAAATGTAGTTCTCGTCTCCATGACAGAATCTGTTCCAGACTTTGTTCATACCACAGACGCGATAAATTAGGGGCTAGAGCTGGTAAGTAGAGCTCTCGAAAGATTTCGGAGCGGAGATAGATCAGACGGTAGAAATGCGAGGTCAGAATCAATTGGAATGACGAGGAATCCGCAGTCGTGGACTCTGTCAAGGTGGCTGGATATTCTGCTGTGATGATCTCTTCGGTCAGATCTGATGGTCGTCCAAGGTGTTGCGCAATTGATCTTTCGATACAATACAAGCCCCAGAATATAGATCTGCGTCTCTTTTTGCTCTTTTCATCTTCGTAGTCATCATTGGGCTCGGTGTGGAAGTTTAGTTCCACGCTCAACCGGCATGCGAAGTCCAACAGTTTCCAGATATCACCTTTTCTGGGATGAAAGACGCCGAAAGATATGAGCAGTAACAAAGCCTGCAGTGCGTCCACAGATACATCTGAAGTGACTTCTTCCACACACTGCAACGCCTCCGAATAATAAGCCATTGACTCGGTATCATAGGCCGAATGGTGTCTTGCCTTGTTTGCTGAGGCGATAGCGCAAATCATAGAGACACGGAAGAACTGGTGGGCATCCTTGCCAGTGAGGTACTTTACTGCCGTTCCGTGGTGGCGTAAATAGGTATCAACCTCGAGCGCAATGTCATCGGGGTCGAAGAAAGCCGTCATAACATTGGTGGTTGTCATGTACAAGTCGACCAACATTTCAATCTCTGACCGAGATGGTGTCGCCCGTGGCTGCACCGGCTCTGCAACCTCTGTGCTTTGAGCATTCAGCCAAAATTCAGGCCCGGCATAATCTGGATTATGAACCATTGGGCCGAGTTTTGCCTGAGCGTGGACAAGCACCTCAACCACCAAAGCATACGGGGAACTGCTGCCTAGAAACTGCCAACAAGTGGGATTGGCATGATCGATTATAAAATGCTTGTCGAAGGATAGGTCGCTGGTATATGTACCCCATTGTTGAGGTTGATTGTCAAGGTGTGATGAAGTTGTAGAAGTCGTGTGTTCGTGATGGCCAATGTGGAATGTGTCCAGCGGTTCCGCAGATCCATTCACCGTCGCTTGTACGGACCGTAGTCGACTCAAACGATTCAACAGGGAATGGACATAGCTACCGTGGGAAGTCAGTGGCAGCCTCTCAACGTCGGTCGGGTTCTTCCAACACACCTTCGAGGCAATGTTTGCTGCAGCGCGTGGTCAAAAAAGGTACACTCAGCCTTTCCCTTCTGACACAATCGACAGGCTGGCAGATTCGTGTCGCACTTTCTTCGCAGACGACGGCATCTTTGGCAAGTGGGTAGTAGCCGTGTGAGATCTCCTTCGGAGATGTTCGTGTTATCAAACTCCATATTGAGTATTGTAACAGCCCAAGTCCGATCTGGGGTAAATGTCAATAGAGGTTGATGAAGGACATGTGCGCTTTAGTGGCACAGCCTCGCCAGGTATATAAATCTTCTGGGTTTCAGCTGTTGACAACCTTATGACCACTCTTTCACGACCTGACCTGCGATTATGTGAAGATGTGAGACGGGACATTAGTCCGAGAGAAGAAGGTGGGCAACGTCGTGGATTGACGAAACACAGAGAGAGGAACGAGAGATACGATGTCTCCGGTCGCGGCAACGAGGGCGGGGCACTGGGCGATAAGGAACGACCTGCCTGCCCGAGGTAGTGAGTGATGAGTCTGTGTACGACGACGGATGTGAGTAATAGGATTCTGGTGAGTGCAGATTAACGGACCCTGTCAAGTGTGCACAGAGTGCGGATTATGGACCCAGGTTTGTACTAGGTACGGAGTTTCTCGTACCAACCGTCCCCTATCAGTCCCTCTATAGGCTGCGACGGCGAACCCTGCATCGCCTATAGCGCCTCTCCCACCCCCAATTCTCCCCTTCCTAAACTGGAGCTTCGCTATCTCTGCCTCTGCATGTCTGCATCCTGTTCTCCACCAACTGGCCGGCTATTCAGCGAAATCCAAATTACCAATACAATCTCACTGAGAGGCGCCACTGATAGGCTCGTCGGCCCAGATTTTGTCGTCCATCCTCCGCCTTGAGACAAGCATCCCGCCACCTCATCATCGGCCCTTGTCGAATTCAATGTGTAAGGTGAACTCCTCCAAGATCCATGCAGTGTCATGACCAAACGACCATAGCCAGCAATCATGGCCGAATGTCGTCGCTCTGTCTTGTCGTGCGCGCGATGTCGCCGCCGGAAGATCAAGTGTGATCGCGCCATTCCATGCGGCCAATGCATAGCCGCGAAATCAGAATGTACTGGCTTCAGTTCGAAAGATCAAGATCCAAACATCCCACGAAGTATCGTCCAACATCTCGAGTCGGAAATCGCCAAGGTAGAAAGTGAACTTGCTCGAAATGGTCACCTCGAGGAACTCAATGCCTCGGACATTCTCGCTGGGATGCCGACCAACGATGGTATCCCTCTGGAGGAGAACGGCCTGTCGATTCTCGATCTCCCGAAACTTGACGAGACGCCGAAAATGTTGGTCGACATCCCGCCGGCTTCAGCCACTACCAAAGACACCTCTCGCGACGAAATAATGAGCTGCGGTGAGATCCAAGCCATGATATTCGCCATCCTCCCGACCGGACCTGGGATAACGGACCTGATAGCAAGAGTGCGCATGAGTCTCACCCCATCGACCGCCATCGCGTCAGGCAGCCCGAGGGAGGCCCGCAGAAAGTCCTTTTCTCGTGCGAACAACGAAGTCAGCTGTGCCATGCTCAAAAGCATACCGACACCCATCGTCCGAAGCCTGATCAAGAAGTACATGACCAGAGTCTACCCCATCTTCCCCGTCCTCCACGCTCCTTCGCTCTGGCAACAACTGGACCGCGTCGTCAAAACCCTGCAAGAAATGCCTGAGCGACACCGCACCGTCGCGCCATCCTTTGATTTCCTGATCGTGTACCTTATGCTCTCCACCTCGGCCACTTTGGGCAGCGCCCGCACCGGCCACGAGGCCAAGCACATGGTGTTTTCGAGTTCGTTGTTCGAAGAAGGCATCCAGCACTTGACCGAGAAAGCCAAGATTCCCTCGGACCTGGCCGGCATTCAGGTCACACTGATGGTGCTACAGTACGCCTCGATCAACCCTCGGCTGGCGAACGTGTGGATGCTCACAGGTGCCGCGATGCGCGCGTGTCTCGAGCTCGGCCTACACCGAGAGGCCCCCGAGGCGTTGCAGTTCGACCAGCTCACGCTCGACCTCCGCCGCCGGATTTTCTGGTGCGCGTACAACTTTGACCGGGCGATCTGCTCTGCCTTGCAACGGCCGCTGTCCATCCCGGACCAGAGCATCGACGCGCATTTCCCCTCCATCTTGGACGACAGACACATTCACCCGTCCGGCATCGACGCCACGGGCAGCGAGACCAAGACGCACAACCTGCGCTGGATCCACTTCCGGCGGCTGCAGTCGGCCATGGTCGAGGTGCACTTCCAAGGCAAGCCTTTGGAGCCGGGTCAGAGCTGGGAGGACTGGCTCGTTCTTATGGAACGTCGTCTCCAGGCGTGGTACGAGGACTACAACGACGGACATGAGCTCACGGAGTTCACCCTCGCCCACGGTCTGACGAACCTGCACCGTCCATCTCCGCGGGTGCCCATGCCCGAGCCGCGCAGCCTCATGGTGGCCTTCGAGGCGGCGTGTTCCAGCGCGAAGCACCTCCGCGACCACATCCTCTCGGGCTTCTACCGGCGGTCGTGGCTCATCGCGCACCATGTTCTGGAGAACAGCATGGTCGTGTTGTATTGTCTGAGACACGGATTCGACACCATCTCCGCTCGCTTCAGCGCCCAGCAGATCTTCGAGATGACAAAGGTCTTTACGTCGAACTTCCTGGCCCTCGCCGCCCAGGGGTGGAACGAGGTGTCAAACTACGCCGGGGTCTACGAAAGATTGCTCGGACCTCTCTTGGAGTCGGTGTTTTCCAACCGGCCCCCGTCACTGTCGTCCTTCGGCCCAGCCCAAGACGCCGAGTTGTTGAGGCTGTTGTACCCCGGCCCGTCGCAGCTGGACAAGTTACGGTTTGGGAGTAGATCTTCCTTCGACGGTGACGGCCTGCCGTCTTTCGACATGGGCTCTTTGAATTGGGAGGAATTTAGTGTCAGTGACGGTCGATCGGCTTCGGCCGAGGGCTACGTCGCCGGATGGGATTTGTTTGACCCCAACGCCATCGGTGCACCTAATGATCTTGTTTTTGGTATGGCTTGAGAGCTGACTACGATTCAAAAATCATTTGCCTCTTTGTTCTCTCTTTTGAAGAGAGCCCTCCAAAAGTTTATGCATACATTGGTTTCTTCCTGTGGCGGTGATTGTGTGGTTCATCGATCGCGTACTCTACGACAGAAAGCCCACTCCCGTCCGATATTTGGAAAGCAAAGGACGACCGACATGTGTCGTGATGCCCTGCTAAATTCGGCCAAAAGGCGAATCGGCGTCCTTGACGACACGGATTGGCCTTGGAATGAAGTTGAACTTGGGGTGACATGTGGTGTTGATTTGCGAGTGTCTTTTTTTTTTCAACGTTGCAAGAAATGGCCCCCCCAAAAAAGAGTCCCCCTCTTCGGAGCCATTCATCAGTATCGATACCCAAGGGGGTAAGGGGCGATTGGAACGGAAGAGACTACTGCCAACGCAGAGAAAGAAGTCACCCACCGACGGGTGTCACGGGGGATGGTTGAAAATGGCGTGGGTCTTCCACCATACATAGATGGTCCAGTGGTATATGCGTATGGAGCGACGATCCTTGTGCGAGCGCCAGGGCGTTAAACAGGAGCCTTGTGTTGACGAGGTATGAATTGATACTTCGTTTTGACTATCTTAAAGCATAGGGAAGGGAAGAGATTTGGCTTGACATTTTGAGCTTATTACCAGTGTCTGAATGATAATGTCGGTCGAAATGACCATGTATATGCATGATACTTTTCACTGTACTGGTGCAATAAAGCCTTCAACGATTCCATTCTTACATGATGTATGCACGGTGTATATCTTTTTCTTATTACATGAGCATCTATCAAGCAGGCCAACTCGGGAAGATGGCCTCGATTCGCTTCACAAGTGCGTCAGAGACACCAAGACTCTCTGTCTCTCGGTTTTGGCCGCCCAACACTCTCTTCCAACTCTGTACGTCGTGCAACTTGATCTCACCATCGAAATCAGTCTTGTCCCATTCGACAGTCGACCGAGGTCGTTCGGATCGTTCACCCCCGGCGAATTCCTCGTGCAAAGCCAACCGTTCCACCACGGCCCGATTGGCAGTCAACTCGACCTCGGCGCCGTCGAGCACACCGCTGGCGAACTCGAAGCGAGGGGTCTGTTCGAACCGCCACTCGTTGGACATGAGTTCGCGAACGCCGTCTGCTATTTCGGGGTTCTTGTCGTGGTCGCACTCCTCGGGTCCCAGGGTGACCTCGTCGATCCCGGCCATTCTGCCATGGTCGGCGACACCGCCACCACCACCACCGTACATGAGCCAGAACTCCCGGATGATGTGTCGAGTGATTTCTCCTCGGAGGGTGTCCCTCCGCCGCCGGTCGGCGGTCCAGGCGAGGTTCCCCACCGGGCTTCGCACGCTCTCCACCCCCCTGGCGTCGATGAGATCCCCGCCGGGGCTCCTCAACAGCTCCGAGATCTTGTGGATGTACGGGCTCGAGTAGAGCAGGGTCCCGTGGTGCAACGCCCTTCCCCTCGTGAGTTTGTACGCGCTCCCGCTGACCTTGAGCCATTCGGGCTGGCCATGCGCCGCGCGCCGCATGACTATGTCGTTCCGGTCGTTGACGCGGATGTCGCCAGACCCGTAGCTCGCGGCGGCCCCGGGCGACGACAAGAGGGCCCTCACCACCATCTCGGCGTGCGTGCCTCGCTTGAAGGATTTCGAGTTGGGCACGATGACCGAGTAATTCAGGTTGCCCGAGTCGTGGAAAACGGTCCCACCTCCGCTGCGTCGGCGCACGAGGTCGACCGGTGTTGTTGCCCTTCCATTTCCTCTTTGCCGGTCAAGGTTCCCAGGCGGGCGCCTGTCTGTGGGCTTGATGGCTTCTTCCTGTCCCTGCTCAGGCACCAAACCTCGTCGTAAGGCGTTCAGGTCCGTCTCGAGCCACGGGTTCTGGTTACGGCCGATCACGACGCACGGTCTGTTCGTGTAGAATAGAAGAAGGCGGGATTCAGGGTGCGAATGCGTCAAAAGGTAGTGTTCGATCGAGAGGTTGTGGTAGGGGTTGTCGGAGGTCAGATGAAAGATCAGAGGTGAGGTCTCTTCCGAGACCCGAGAAAGGTCCCTGAGGTTCCATGATGAGGAGGTCGAAGTGGTGGTGGTGGTGGTGGTGATAGACCGGCGAGATACTGCGTGGTGGGTGAAACTCTTGCGGCGAAGACCGAATGTCTTTTCAGATTCTGTCTTGCGAAGCTGGTGCAAGAGGCATGTGGACTTGTTCAATGCGCGAGTCGATGCCGTCCGCATTGAAACTTGCACACCAACACAGATGTGAACAAGACACGAGAGGCTGCGAGTTTGGTAGAGCTGTCTTATCCAAAGCCCTGCGCCCGTACTCCGTACTGTGATTCTATCCAGTTTGACTCGGAGAAAGGTTGGCCGAATGTCTCGACGGCACCAAGCGGTTAGAGCCGGCGAGATGAAATTGTGTGTAGCCCGCAGTTTGTACCTGACTAAGCGACTCACGGCTCTCTTATCGCGACGGACTTCGAGGCTAGGAGCATCAAGGGCTCTTCAAAGACTTCTGCTAAATAAAGTATCTTATTTGATTGCTTCCATTTATGAATCTTAGCTAATCGTACCTGACAACCTGACATGTTGTTCACTCCCCAACTCCATACCAAAGTACGTACTGGTGTGCTCTTCACACTACCATCGATGCCGCTTTCACAAATTGAGAAAACGATGCAGGTAACCCATGGTAGAGCACTAAGATATAGACTTCCGTAAGCATCCAAGTCAAGGCCTACCATAATGTAAGAAAGTCAAGTACTCCATAACCAAGCCCTATATGTCTTACGCCTTCATATCCGGCTACATTGTATCAATCTGCTCGTTGTTTGCCCGCGGCCACAGGCATACCACCCAAATCTTCCGGCTCGAAACTGCCAGTCATGAGTTCTGGCTGCAGTGGTGGTTCTCTCCAACTTGTACCACACACTGAGTAGAGGCCTTGCTTAGCATCCACGAGCCTATGCGGCCGACCAGACTCGATCTCCTGGTGCAAACGTTCTGAATAGAGGAAATGTCTAATCACCTTTTTGACATCGTCGAAACCCTGCAGGCGCATCTCCGCCATTTGTGCCGTGTAGGCTTTTGTGAACCACATGTCGTGCTCAATGGTCACTGGGTGCACCTTTTCCGCCAACGAGCCCACGTACAGCGCCCAAAGTCGAAGTCGCCGGTAGTTTGCCGGATTACTGTCCGACTCACTCTCTGTCAGCTTCGCACGAAGATCGATGATCAATTTGAGACCGAATCGCACTGGCTCAGGTGAACCAAGTACTAGTGAAGCCATCAGGGCAGTTGCGATGCATGAATAAGCCTGTGTCATGGGCCGTTGAAAGAGGTGTGGGTAGATCGATAGGTTGACATGATGATCCGCAATCCTGGCTACACAGTCGAATTTGCGGAGTTGTTGCCATCTCAAGAGCTGATCATCTGCAGGCACATCATGCAGGTGTACATATTCTTTTGTCTTGAACAGTTCGCGCAAGTCAGTCACCACTGCTTTCATGATCGGGTGCTCAACCAGAGGATCGATGCCGGCTGCGTGCTCTCCCAAGATGCCTGCTGATAGCAGTCGTGCTTTCCAAGGTTGGCTGAGGGGTCCAGGGGTCCACTCCTGTGCAGCGAAGAGAGGACGAGTTTCGTACTTGAGAGCAAAATAGCAATCGCTTGAAAGGAGGTCTTCACGGAACCATGAATCCATGAGAAGGACGCCGCCAGCTGCATTGACTAAATTTCGCAGCATTTTGAGATGCATACGGGCAACGGCCGTGTTGTCCACCAATGTTTCTGAAGCGAAGAGCTTCAGAATGGCCTTTAAGGTGGTCAGCTCGGGAGGATTTGGCTGAGACACTCGCTGCCGCAATTCCACCATTGCCTGACCTTGAAAGTATCGCGATTGATAAGTCAAGCTGTCATCATTTGTCATGATTGCCATTGCCGCCGCAAGGACGCTTAGATAGGCATTGGCGTAGCAGGTGTCTTGACTGATCATTGTCGTATCATCCCAGCATTTCGAGATTTCGTATGTCACTGGGCTTCTGGTCGATTCTTGAGGCCACAGTTGAGGAATAAACATGTCGTAGGCGTAACTTATTAAGCCGCTGACGAGTGGGTTCAGAGACAGACCAGAGGTTTCGAATAGTGTTTCGCTAAGATCCAACGGAGTGCTCATCGACGTAAACATTGAGGAAGGATCCTCCTCGTTGACTGCAGAGTGAGTAGAAGGCGTAGAAGCGGACGATGCCTGGGGGTCAATAGCAATGCCCTGAGCTGGGGTTATGCCAGGATATCCGAGTTGCAATGGCTGCTCTGCCATCCAGGGGTTGAAGTTAAACGGATTGGCCGATGGAATTGACTGAGCCTGCGTAGGCTCTGTTAATCGTCTCCGTCGGGATGTTTGAGAGGAAGTACGACGTACAGCTTGGGCCGGGCCCCGCGAACGAATATTTGGCTGCTGTTGAGGCTGTGATGATTGTTGAGATTGCTGCGGTTGTGACGGAGGCGAAAGTGGCCCTACTGGCACATTTGCAGATGCGCGCAGTCTTCTTGCTTGATCTTGCCTTTTCCATCGCTCGTATCTATTCATGACATGCCAGGAAACGGCAGCATTGTGATCTTTGGAATCAATATTGCCAGCATCCTTGTTGACAAAGGAAAACTCGCCACGAAACGGCGCTGGCTGCTTGGAAGGACGTTTTTCTTCAGACATGAGTTCGGAATCTATCTGTAGAAGTGGCACTTCCTTGGGATATTGGTGGACAACGATAGTAGTTGTAGCCATGGTACCTGCAGTGTTAGAAGAGCTGTTTTTGAAATACAGATTGCGGATTCTAGATGCGGCTGTGTTTGTTCGAGAAGCTGGCCGGCGGTTCTATATCGCTTTTCTCATCCTTACCTGAGCATTGTAAATGATGTGGAATCTCAATTGGTTCCTCAGGGCTGGCAAGCAAGCTGCTAGTGTGCCTATGGGCTAACTAGTTACCGAAAGACATCTTCACTAGTCTATTGATCAAGGTTAGGAGAGAAGGGGTGTTCCACGGTGCACTATTGGGCGTGCTGACACGATGCTTGAAAGAGATTATCCGGGGAGGTCAAATCGCATGGTCGCTAGGATTTCATAGATCTGGAATCAATCGACCACCGAATGACATAATCGCACATGCATGCTTTACCGGACTCTGGAAGGAAAACACATCCCATGGCGCCGCAATAACGAACGATATGTCAGGCGAAGATTCCTAATCGCGCATTTGCGGAATTAAGCGAGGTGAAGCAACAGATACGAAGAGGCGGAGAGGGAGGAGAGCGAAGGGATGACAATTCACCAAGCAGATGCTTAGGTCATGAAGTCTTGGACATCGTCATAATCCTCACCATGCCGCAAGGAATCTAGTTGCGGGCATTTAATGCTCAGCTTTTAGCTAAGCGACTTGTCGACCATGGGAAATCCTCACTTACTTGACCCAGCTTACCTGTAGAAATTAGCACAAAAATGATTGATCCGGCGGCCCAAGATCATCCCCTGCGGACTTTTGATGTTGATCATTCGACTCCGCTGTAAAAAGTCTGGCGCAGTTGAAGCTGGTTCCCGGTGCTTACTGTACCTCTGTCTGGTCTGATGAGAGCCTCACCCACCATCCCTGGAGGGACGATTGAGATAGCAATTATCCGTGCTTCATATTCAGTGTCCATACAGTTGCAGCCGTGCCCTGATGACCAGCAGGTCTAACATCACCATTGTCGTTGAAGATAGCTAGTCGGTGTAGCTGAGTCTTGGAATCACGTCGCACGAGCTTCTCGAGTAGGAACTTGGGCTCCTTCGGGGCGACGCAGTGCCAGCGCCAGCCGAGCGATGTCGGATGATAGCAGTGGCCTCTTATGAAAAAGAAAATGAACGAGATGATCAGAGAAACCACAGAATCTATAAAGAAATCCAGATAGCACGTAGATTGCCATCGACCATCCACTGTGTACCCTCTCCGAACCCTGGTCATCATTGGCAAAATGCCAGACACAGGACAATCGATAATATTTCATATGAGATCTGCTCTATTCAGGCGAGTAGTATCTGATACTCTAATGTTGGCCCGGCTCACGCCGAAGTGGTTTGATAAATCAGTATAGGCAGTGCCATGATAGAGTCATCAGATTCATGTCGTGATGCTTATGCTAGAACTCCTTTGAAATTACTGACACCCAATGCTGGCCTCAAGTTTTTCATCACGGTAAGAAAAATCAAGGGCTGTTGCTGCTGCCTTTCAAATGAACTTGAGAAGCGCTCACGATGTACCTCAATATGAAGCTGACTGAACAACGCCAGGCGTAAGTTTGTTCGCATGAAAGACTTGGAGGAGAGTGGTCAGCCAACCAGGGTTAGGGACAACGAGAATCGCTTCGAAAATGCATGAAGCTGGTTCGCCACCGCAAATCGACACGGTTGTGATTGTCTTCGTACAGCGGCATATGCCCGATGATCAGAAGGTTCAAAGAGTCACTCCATGCACACAATCGTAAAAGACGCCAGCTCTGTGATTGCTCGTAGGGGCTTCCAAGTTGCCACTGTTGTTGAATGTGGTTGACGACAACCGCCCAAAATGATCGACTGGCAGCTGGTGGCTTCCCAACCCTTGTACGTCACTAGCTCTTTCCAGATGAGAGGGCCGCCACATACCAGGACATGCAACGCTGGCGTCTGGTCAGAGCGGTCCAGACTCTTGGGGTCCTGAGATAATCCCTTCTATTGTCCTTTACGGACGTCCGCATTCGCCATTATATTTGTAGGGGGGTTGGCAACAAGCCAACGGAGTATGCGACCATCTTGAATGATGAGCAGAAGCCTGGAGGTCGTTCTGGAGAGTTAGTTGACTGTTATGTGGTGGGTCTGTAAAGTTTTGTTGGTGGATGTTGTCTACAATCGAGGGAAAACAGAGTGTGGAGGTCTGGTCAAGATCTTGTACGCCATAATTGCGTATTGCGAGTCAAACTTCGTTCCTCAGGCAGGAGTATTTGCCCTCTGCCAATAAGCGTCAGCCTGAACACAGAACCCTCGGATGCTTCGAAAGGAGATTGCCAGATACCATTGAATTCAAGAGGAGTCTTGAGATGTTTTCAGCCAACCACTGTTCGGAATTCCCATCTGCATTGGTTCTCGACCATGGTGGAGGGATAGGAGATGTGCTGAGGAGCAAAGATTGATACCCTGTCCGTGCTCGTACATACTGTGATCGGTCGACCTCCTACTCGTACAAACGGAGGACTAGTAGGAAGGTTAGGGAGGTATGTCCCGCATATGAGCGGCTCTGCCTTCCGGAGTGGCTGCGGTGCTAAATTTTCACGCCAATTCGTGTGAGGCTGGTCAGTGGTTGAAGAAGGGATGCTGCTCATCGGCCTTCCCCAGCCCATCCCCAAGCTCGCGCCGGGCGTGTTTTAGCCCCCGGCTTAAACCCTCTGAATTTGCCTTCAACTAACCCGTTCGTGGCAAAGTGTCAACCACTTGACCACCATCCAGGCGACAAAGAATACGAGAAAGGGTGCGGGAAGCTCAGGCAGAGGGGAGATCGAAATCAGACACGCGATCGCCATGCCGATCTTGCTTCAACAGATGACAAAAAATTTTCATTGCACGCCAACCCAGGGATCCAGGAGCCCCTCACGTTCGTTCGAGTGAGCATGGCATGAACAGACCATTCGAAGCGACGTGGTAAGAGTGCATGAGCTGCAGTCGTTACGTACACGATGTTCCCTTTCAATGGACCAAAAAAGCCTCAGGCTGAGGTTCCGTGCTAACCATGCCACGGTGCACATCCAGTGAGAGGCAGGCCAGCACCCCTGTCGAATATCGTGAGGGCGGCCTACTCTCTGAAACTTCTGCAGCCATCTGAAAGGAGAAAAGAACGATCGTTCTCCCCTGGCATTTATTGCCTGGTTGGCCCCCGTAGACACACGCTCACAAATGCCTATCGCCCGCCCCAGTTCGCGCTTGTTGCTGTAAGCGAAGCGAACTTCTTGTCTAACGAAGACATCATTACTCCATACAGTCTGAGGTCTTTTCTTAGAACTCTCTGAACAAAGTCCATTGAAGTGGCAGGCTGAAAGGTGCTCAGGGTCATTCCATTCTATAGTCCGTAGTCTTTGTACAGTGTGTCCAGCAGGAATTGTGGAACCATACTCGTATGCATATCATCGAGAATTAACAATCCGGAAGATTCCTGTATCATTGCGCATGTACGGAGTACGTACTCCGTACTTATACCTCAGAAACGTCCAGGCATATTCCGGAGGCCGGGTGCAACAGAATAATGCAACAAGATAATGAAATTAGCATGCATTGGTCAAACAAGTTGTCGCAGCAGTAGAAAAGTGGACTAAAAGCCTTGGCTTGTAGTCATGAATTCTGGTAGAACTTCCCAGCAGCCTGTGACACCGTCAAGCAATGATGGTGTGTTTCGAGGGCGGCCAAAAAGCTATGTACTGTGCCTATCCTCTTGACCTTGTGGGCGCAGCATTGGAGTCGGTGCTCAGTTGGACTTCATACAATTACAGTACGGGTATGAGTTGGGGCTTGCTGTCGTGTGCTGATTGGCGGCTATATTGGGAGACTATCCTGGCAACTCCTACAAGCAATCCCTCCGAGGGATGACCTGCTGATCGTTGGCGATCAATTTGTGAAGATCACACCCTGGTGTTGGGGGCATGTGAAAGTCTCATTCTTTGAGAACGAAGTCTTTCCTGCAAATGACTGTCATCTCAGGTCAACCATGCGTCTGCTTGTGAGTTACAACCTGATCCAGATATGCAGACCTTGCGTTGTCAGGTACATAGTACCTTACGTGCCGCCAGTGACGACACATGGCGCACTCGGACTGAGGTTTGCAGCGAGCGGGCCGATGCAAAGGCGCAACAGGCGGGACACTTGTTGGTCCCGAAGGCTTCAGGTTGCGCTGTTCTCCATTCTCGTGTGGCCAAGGTGCTTTCTATTCGCCTTTTCTAATCAGCTAGTCCTGTCATCCATCCCCTCCAAGCCCTGGCTCGACGCCGAACAGATATGCCCCTCTCCACACTGCCTTAGCCTCCTGTGCACGCGAAGTGGCACGGCTTGGAACTGCTACACCCTGGGGTATCATGTTAAAGGGACTGTACATAGAGGAAGAAAGCCTCCCAAACCAATATATGCGCAGCAGAAAAGACTCGGCTACAACTGTACAGTACAGTGTTGACCGAAAGACGAAGGTCCAAGGGCCCGAGGTGTGACAAGATACGAGACTCGTGAGGAGTGGAGTAAAGGGCCATCCCCATTCATGTTTCGAGAGTAGAATGCAGCTTTGAGTACAGTAGATTTGGCGCACCACTGACGGAGACTAGAGATAGAGCAAGGACGGTACATACGCTGGACTGGCCCTGTTAGCTCTGGACATGTGCAGGAACCACACCACACTTCCAAGTAAACACTCCGTCGCTGCCCTTGTAGTGGCAACTTTGCTCGTGTTCATATCTGTGGCCTGATGAGCAGCGCAAGGACTCCAACTCCACACGGTTGTTTGCTTCGATGAGGCAGAGGCCTGCAGGAGTGCGAAAGGAGAAAATGGCACACAGAGATCCCCCCTGTTCTCTAGCTGAACAACCTTCTTCTGTTGTTTCAAAGGAAAAGTAGTGCTCTCACAGATGACAAGAATCAATCGATGATCGCAGATGGGATGTTCCGTGTGTTCACTTGGTCGCAGAGTCGGTCGAAGCGAAGTGGTGGTCAGTGCTTGCTGGGCACCACACCAATTCCACTGTTAATCGTCCAGCAGAGGGCTAGGGAAGAGGCAGGGATATACCGGTAAGAGAGTGGATGGGAAGAAGCCACTGCATCCTCGTCGCCCACCAGAATGACAAGCCTGGCGTTGGGAAATCGCCGCTCAACATGCAGCCAGAAAAAAGGGCCCGCTTCTTGCATGGGTTTGTCAAGCGTGCAAGTGCCCGAAGATCCCTTTGCTGGACCACTGAGAGGGCCTGTTTGCCTGCCTCTCTGGAGACCGTCTAGGGTTGGCCACTTAGGCTTTTCCGTGCCCCCCTCCGTCATCTTTTCGCTGGGCATGCGCTGCCTTTCCACCCTGTTGTCCCTCACATGCATTAGCACAGTAGTCTGTACGGTACGCATACTCGACGGCCTCTTCATTTCTTACATCGACTCGCCGCAGTCTTTTTGATTTCGACGTTGGCTGCCTTTGCTTGGTTTGTATTTTCTTTCTAGTTTCACGAATTCTTTCCATTTCATCGCTGCCGCCGAAGGGAAAATTCATCCACACATACTCTGTACACACAACCTACCTCTAGGATTTTCCACATCTGACTAGTTTCATCAAACGTCACGGCTCGAGACCCTCTTCGCTTTCGAACCGATAGCCTGGCCTCATCAACATTTTGCGTCTTTGTTGTGCTGTCTGGTTCGACCACGTCGGCTACCAGAAGCAGAACTTTCGTGTCCTGCAGGATAGCGCACCACCAAAATCCCTCCCTTTTCCCACCGACAGGAGCCTGGGAGTTTCCGTCGCCCTGTGTCGGAGATAGAAGATGTCTGTATAAAGAGCTGCCAATGGAGTGAGCTGTGGACGGAGGAACCATCGACCAGCGTATCCTGCCGTCGATCTTTCAATGTCCCAAACATCACCCAGGACATAGCACAGAAGAGCAGTCCTAGAATCATGTCAGACAACATTGGTATAACATGGGCTCCAAATCTTCAGCAGCCGCGCCACAGCCAGGGGGCTGCAGCGGCTACAGGTGGACTCAATGTGCATAGACCTGGCAACGATGGGAGAGAAAATCAGCGGGGTGGAAGGGAAAATCAGGATGGAAGAGACTCCGGCACTCAGGGCAATACCCCTACCGCTCTTGCGGCACAGGACCCTCTAGAGACAGTGGAAGAAGATATTGGTCACGGGCTAGATGCGCAAGCTCTCCCAGGTCTGGCTGCATCACCTGGTTTTGGCTTGCCGAGACCAGAACGTTCATTGCCTTCATCCACTCAAACGTCGTCAAACTCATTAAAGGCTTTGTCTGTATTGGAAAATGAACGCGGCTTTGGTCCTGGAGTATCGCTGGTACAGCGCAAACTCTCAACAAGGTCCTCACAAAGTCAAATTCGTGGGCGCCGGCTCTCTCACTCTAAGTCTCTGTCCGCATCACACCCAAGACTATCTAGCACCACCGCGGACCATCCAAAATACCCTGATCAGTCTTTTGCCGCGTTGCAAGCGCAATTCACTGGACAAAGACCTCACCCTCCATTGCGGACAAGAAGCTCTCATCCGGCTCAAAATCTTGTCTACAACGAAATGTCTACCTGGAGACCTTCTAGGGAACGACAACAAGGTGCTCAGGGCACAAAGACTGCTGACAACACTCCGATGTCGAGCCCTGGGCTCTTCAATCCTGAGGCCAGGGTGCCATCAGCCTCATCTCTCACAGACCTCTCTCCTCACCTTCACCATCTCCAAACACCAAAGGAGACCCACACCGTCGAGATCGAGCACGATACCTTCTCTGGCAATAAATTTATCAACAATTATGAGATCGTTCAGGAGCTCGGCCGTGGCGAGCATGGAAAAGTTAAGCTTGGTAGAGACATTGAAAAAGGAACTTTGATCGCCGTCAAGATTGTGCCCAGATATTCAGCAAAGCGACGACTCGGTCGACTAGGTGCTCCAGAAGATCGAACCAAACGCGAAGTCGCCATCTTGAAAAAGGCAAGACATCCAAACGTGGTCAGCCTGCTGGAAGTTATCGACGACCCATCTAAGAATAAAGTGTACCTGATACTCGAGTACGTCGAGAAGGGAGAGATCAAATGGAGAAAACCAGGAGTGAGGGAAGTCCTAGCTGTCAACAATAACCGGTTCTCTCAAGAGCGCGTCGGCATTGATGTTCCCATCGAGCCTACAGAGCGAGACTTGTACATTGTTGCCCAGGCTGCGCGGCGCCATGAGCAGCAAGAAAAATCCCGGTCATCGAATCTGCAATCTATTCCAAATTGGAGTCTCGAGTATGGAGACGAAGAGGAGGAGGAAGACGGGCTCTCCGACATCTCTCGGTCGGCCTCGCGGCACTTCTATACTGGTTCTAGCAATCCCAGTCGTACCAACTCGAATGATGACCACCATGCCGAATCAGCTCTGGCTGGCAGCATGTATGGTGCCTATGTACCGGAGTCTTATCGGGCTCGGAAATTCAGCATCGCGACGAGTGCCATCTCACACATGTCATCAGAGTTCAACTTTGAAGAAATTGATGATGAGCACTCCTTCGTTCCTGCCCTGACATTGGAAGAGGCACGCCGGGCATTTCGGGATACTCTTGCTGGCCTCGAGTTTCTGCACTTCATTGGCATAATCCATAGGGACATCAAGCCAGCCAATTTGCTGGTATCAGCTACCGGCACCGTCAAGATCTCAGATTTTGGTGTCTCCTATCTAGGCCGCCCAACGACTGAAGAAGATCCTGAGAATAGGCTGACGGAGAATGATGTGTCAGCACTCGACGACGAGAAAGAGTTAGCCAGATCCGTTGGTACACCAGCGTTCTGGGCCCCTGAGCTGTGCTACGAGGATCCGTCGATGTTCGAGGAAGAGAATGGTCCTAGGATTACTGGTGCCCTGGATCTCTGGGCTTTGGGTATTACCCTTTATTGCATGGTCTACGCTCGTCTCCCATTCTACGCCAACGACGAAATGGGTCTGCATGAAGCTGTGTGCAAAGCAGAGGTATTCTGCCCGAAGAGCCGTTTAGTACCTGTGGACACTTCACGAGACAAGCCAACGTCGTACATCCCATCTACTATCAATAGTAACAAACGCCTGGACTACGAGCTCAAATTTGAACCCGTCCCTGACGGTGTTCGTGATCTGATCCGCAAACTTCTCGTCAAAGACCCTGCCAAGCGCATGACTATAGAGGAAGCGAAAAACCACGAGTGGGTGGTCGAAGGCATGCCCGATCCAAACCAATGGATTAAAGGTCCAATGGAAATGGCCAAGGAGAGCAAAAAAATGATATTGGAGGTCGATGAGAAAGAGATATCTCATGCCGTTGGCAAGAGAAACATCATAGAGCGCGCTCTCAACACAGCCGGAAGGATCGCAGGCAGTCTTCTAGGCCGAAGCAACACTCGCAGACGAGCACCCAGTGCAGCAACCTCAGCGAGCCACTCAAGCGAGTCAATCGCATCGCCTTCGAGTACAAGCACCGTTGGCCGTGGGGAACGGGATAACAAGATCAGGGACGCACGCCGGTCTTCGTTGCGAGGTGATGAAGTCCTTGCAGCCTTGAAAACTTCGAGAGAAAATGGCGAACACCCTCTGGCACAAAGTCAAACTGCTAGTCCCGACTATTCTCCCAGGGAAGCGTATTTCACTTCATCCTCAAAGGCCTCAGATGCGCCGTTGACAATGTCAAGCACCATGCTCGAGCGGGAAGGTCGGCCTCGTGGACCTGATCGGGCCATCTCAACCATGTCTACTGCTGACTCAGTCAAGACCATCCGAGCTTCACAGATACAGAGGTTGCCTTTCCCGCATGCAGATACTGCTCCTGAACTGGAACGTCCAACCGCTGCTGGGGAAAGATCTTTCAAAGCCATGGTTGATGGACTTTGGGAAGGTACCTCGAAGACACTTGGCCGGCTAGGCAGTCGAGACCGCCGATCCCAATATCTTGATCGTTCCCCAGCCCCAAGTCTCCACTCGTCAGACGGCGATGGTCATGCAGGACCTAGCCTAGCTATCAGCACTGCTTCTGCTGCTGGTGCTATCGAACAGCCGGAAGCTCTGAAGACTGTAATGTCACCAGTCGAGTACAATACAGCTCCTCCAGCGCCGGTCGCAATGAGTATTCCGCGTACGAACTCGAAATTTTCGCCTCCTGCTTCCAGTCAAGACGCCTTTGAACACGCCCAGGAAGTCAACCAGCGAAGACTCATTCAAGAAGTGCATTCTCGAGCCGAAGCTGCTGCTGAGGCCGCTTCTAGAGCACAGAGTGAGCCTGTCACCGATGACTGCCCTCCGTCTCCTGATGACATTGTATTCCTCGAAAAACAACGTACTCGTTTAGCCAACGAACCACCACCATTCTCAATCGAAGCTGGGCCATCAGCGAGCACCATTGCTTCGTCTCTTGAAGATTACGGCAATAGCAGTGTCTCGCAAAGTATGTCCAATCCGAGCTTCGGCGTGACTTCCAGCGCGTCCTCTCCTCCTGGAGAAGGCTACTATCATGGAGAGTCTGCAAGTACTCATCGGACCACTCCTGCTACGGGAGGAAAGGACCTCGAGCCAGACTTCATGCGCACTGCAGACACTATCATCAAACACGGTCGCCCCCAGCAGACTGCTACAGCTCCATCACTGGAAGATTGGACTGCCCGCTCATACCAGGATAACGATGGAGATTATGACGACTCAGATGACGATGGTATGGTGATGATGAAGGGCTCGAGCGCACCGAAGAAACCTGCGCGGGCTGAGGGATGAGGGCATCCTCGTCACCGACCTCCAAATGCCATTCTACGACCGTCACTTGTTCAAGAACGGCTCCACGACCCCTTTACGCACTTCTATTCTACCACCTTCAACTTTTTCTTTATCGATACCCGGATTATAGACAGTACGGCGTCGGATTATTTTCTACTTTAGTTTTCTTTTGTTTATGCTGGGATGGTCATCATGTGTCACAGATCTTGCTGTGGAGGCAACATTGAGCTGCATTATTGCCCAAGGAATCAAAACGAGATGAAAAGTAACGGGAGGGCATTTACTGATTCACGAAGATCAAAATGCTTGTACACCAGGAGAACCGTCTCCGCACTAGCGAAAAGACAGCAGATTTTATGATGGATGGCTATCAATTATCGCTCGCTCATTGGGCCTTTTCTCACAAGGTGTCGCGGGAAGGCGGTTGGGGCTTCTCATTCGATTCGGTTTCGAAAATGTACATTTAGTGGACGAGAGGGAGAGCTTTCTGGAGAGCTACTTGGAAGTGCTAATAGCGATGGCGAACGACATGATCCTGTCCATCAACAGACAGTAGGACAATGAGAACAAACACTTTACGCGGGAATACCCAACTATTCAATTCTCCATTAATGGTGCTATAAGTTGTCAGTTGCTAGGGTAAACCAAGAAATGCGTACGTGGTCAGTCCCTCAATGCTTCGTTCGAGTAGACTCGACAGTGCTCGTAAACCTCCGTAGTCAATATAAGAGGACGAGCATAAAGGTAGGGAGTTATTTTTTTGGTAGAGAGATGGCCGTAGCACGTGACCGACGAGTCAAGTTCAAAATTATTCTCAGCAGCGGAGCTTGTGATACGAATAAGAAGGCCCTTGCGACTTTTCTCCGAGTACATTCTATTGACCCGTCGACCAGAGGTATCCAGTTTCTAGAGCAGCCGACAGATCTTTACTTGCCCATTCTTTCGATCCGAGACCTGCAACGAGTGCTTATGGCCTGATCCAACTCACCCTTCCACTCGTTGGTTCCACGGGCAATTTCGTGCCTGTGTTCGACTTGCACAACTGACCTCGGTGCACACAGCTCCATTTCTACAGGACGCCCTTCCACCAACCCGGCAGAATGCAGAAAATTCTTCGTATAAACCTCCAGGCCCGAAACCAAGCCCTGAAAGCCGAGCGCAGGAAGAACCTCAAGGACCTCAAATCCGCCTGGCGCGAGCACGACCTCAGACAGATCCAGATTGAAAAGGTGAGGCGAAAGTATGTCAAAGACGAGCGTAAGAACCGCAGGGAGGACTGGCTCGCTGGCCCCCTGGCACCGAAACGCAATGTTGCCGAGAAAGCAGAGACATACGGCGCCGCGAGCTTACTGCTCCACGATGGCCCTCCCTTCCCCGAGCGAGCCTTGAAAGGTCCCAAGAACGAGGAGGAAGAGCTTGAAGGTTTTGGCAACGAAGGAAACATTGTGGTTGGGGATCGCGTATGCGTCGTCGGTGGCCATCAAGGTATCCTCGGCCGGATCGGCGAGGTCATCGAAGTTCATCGGGAAAGGAAAGAAATCACCATTGAAGGGATAAACGTGGTATGTATAGCGCCCACAGTTTCCCACAATTCGCGAGAGGGCAAAAACAGCGAACAATAGACTGAGTGTGACCACAGGCCGATATGGAAACCCCAGTTGGCACGAAACAGCGCGAGACCCGACCCGTCATGTCTGCACCTCTTCCGGTCCCTATTGACACAGTACGTCTGGTGCACAAACTTGTCGATGAGGCGACAGGCCGCAGTCGTGACGTTATTGTAAAACACATCCGCTATGGAGCGCCATATTTCCAACGAATGCCCTACAGTCAACTTCCTCGGCATACTAGGTACATCGCTGGCGAAGACATCGAAATTCCATGGCCCGAGGATGATGGGCCGACCTATCAAGCTTACGACGGCGACACACTCCGTCTCGACGTCGAGGCACCGACATTCACACCATCCCTGTATACAGCACCTCTCCGACCAGGCATCATGGACGAGCTCAGAAAAGATAGGTATTCGCCCAACAGAAAGTGGCATGAGGATGACTATGTTCGTATGAAGATTCTCGAAGATGCAAGAGCAAGTTGGTATACGGAGAGAAAAGTCACAACGCCAAAGGACGAACTCGCTCTGGAAAAGAAGCGCCTGGCAGCTGAGAGAGCCGCACAGATTAAAGAGAAGGGTGTGAGCGATCAAACTTTGAGCCTCATCGAGGAAGTCTTGAAGCAGAAGGCACCCAGGAATGCGGCGACAATATGAATTTAGATCGTTTAGATCGTCGGGCATGAGCAACAAGACGTGCGATCTTGCGTCCCGACAAACGACCAGTCTGTACTCCCTGTGGGTATGTCATTCGTTCGGATCAGGAAATGCGTCACTCTGTCTGTGTCCTTGCCAACTGTTGCTCAAGGCGCTCTTGACGATCCTCAGTGTCCAACGTAGCCTCAAAGGGCTCGCAATGGAGAGCTACACTGGTGAACCGCAAAGGGTCAGGCCACGTCATGTGAGCTGGCTGACATTGGCATATGGGACATTAAGTCTCAAAATGGATCTACGCCGTCTGCTCCAAGAGGCTTTTCTCGTCGGATCTTAGGGTGACAGCGTTCAGCGAGCTCTATGCTAGGTTCTGAAAGAACGTCAGGAAAGGCCGAATCCTGTGATGGGGGCGCTGAGACCTCAATGGCACATGTATACATACCACTACAATATCCAAAATCAGCTCTGTATTATGATTCCGTCACCAAGGTATTGGATACCGGCAGCTCTGTTTAGTTTCTATTCTGTCGCAACAAAACAATTTCGGTGGACTCATTGTATCATGCATGTATTTTCTTTTTACTAGACCTCCTGTCCGGGAGCTGCGTGCTTGATCTTTTGTGCTACGTAACCAATGGACCGATGTATTCGGCATTGTTATTTTGCGATTTCGCCAGATCCGGCCACTGCACTATGAATCGGTGGACCAAGGGTTTCAGCAATCGTCCACTCAAACTCAACGTCTTGACTCTGGCGAAGCTTTCAATGAAGATGGTCCTCATCTGGCCGCCGTGCGCAAAGGAGTTTGCTTGGTGCGGGCCCTTTTCGCCTTCACCTTGGCGTTGCCGAGGACCAGAACACCCAAAGAACAACAGAATGACGGAGGCAATCACGACAATGACGCCCGTGCCTGGGCCGTTGGTCATGATCAGGTCGGGGTATCCACGCTGCCGCCCACTTGGAGTTTTCAAGTCTCGGTGCCTGCCCTTTAAGACATCGATGCAATCCAACAGACACTTCAGGCTCGTCCAGGGTGCCGTGAGGATACTTTGATGGACCCGCCTCGCTCGGGGGACCGTGACGACGTCGTAGTTCGTCGATGTGTCGTCGGGGATGGTGATTCCAGGGGTGGACGAGAGATCGGCAAGGAGCGATTTTTCAAACTCGTGTGCTTTCAAGGCCGAAAAGGCGTCACCCGATGACACGACATAGGTGCGATACGTAAAGTCGAGCTGGAGGCAGGGCGCTTGGGAGAGGATGTTGAGCATCTCGGCCGTGTGGCCGCCTGAGCCGAGAACGATGAGGATGTGTGTGGGATTCGATGGGGATGGCTGTGGTCGCGAAGAAGGTGCTGGGCGCGAGAGAACGCTGACGAGGCGGAAGAAGATGATGTTCAGAACGATAACAATCGTTACCAGTAGAGCGACCAGGACGTGGCTGGCGGTCAAGAAAGAGGTGGTTGCTGAGAGCGGATTGTCTGTCCCGGATGAGGGCCCAGCGTCAGGAGATCCATCCATCTGAGCCCAATGGGAGTCCATTTCTGAATCGAGGCTTGTCTCTGTTGTTCTCTCACAATACTTCTTGGGATTGTGTTGTGTTGATCCAAATCATCTGGTGGTAATGTTGATGGCAGTGGTTTCGTTTGGCACTGGGAGTTTGTACTGAAAGTGAATATTATAGTCGAATCCTCGAGCGTCGAATCCAGTTGAAGGAAATGCACAGTATCTTTTCCAGCTCACCTCCCAGTCCTTGCTCTCGTCCTTGTCAAGGTAGTCTGTGTCGATTGTTCGCATATTGCATCCCTACGTAGGTAGATGTCCAGCTGTTGTAGCGACATGTAACGATCGCAAACGCTGTTCTTTTGGTCGGAGATACTGGTGGTTGACCCGAGATCCACGCTAGACCAATTAAGGAAATCAGTTGTGATCTCTCGAAAGGCATCCAATTCACAACCCGGTGTTTTGAAGGACCAGAAACAAAGACCTCATGGCAACTCATCCCTAGAAATACTGTCGCTGGAGGCAAGTCAACTTGGACATTGATCATGCGGCATCATGCCAGTATCACTACGCCAGCGCCTAGACTGCCACTACTGCGGCAAGAGATCGAAACATAGCAAGAAGGATGGTCGCAAGTTCCAGTGCGAACACTGTCTTGCCGTGAATTTCTTTGACGAGGTATGTTGAGCCCATCCCTCCTGCTGAGGTTCCCTACTGACTATTCTCGAGAATGGCGAGATTGCAGACGTCCCCGTCGAAGAGTCAGCGCCCGCGCAGCGATTCGCTCAGCCTGTCATTGTCGATCCGCTCAACAACGGCTCCTCGCCGGCCGACTCAATATTCTGCTCGACGTGTGTGAAGAATCAGCAGCTATACACCTACAACCTCTCTCAATTCCTCCCCGAACCCGACCACCCCGATTACGAGAAATTGGAGGCCGAGTTTCCTGCGTACAAAAATGGACTTGAAAAACGCTATCCCCAGTGTTGTGCGCGCTGCGAGCCGAAAGTTAGGGCCAAGCTGCATCAAGCGACTTATCATGCGAGAAGTGATCATCTCCGGCGTGTTTTGGAAAAGTCAAGACAGAGACGGATTGGGAGCCGGCTTGGATGGAGAAGTCTTTTGGTTAGTGCCGCAGGCATTGGATACTTTCTCAGCCTCGTTGTGCAATTGGGCTGGCATCTCTATGGGTCGCAGGTCATCGAAAAGTCCTCTGGGCAGATACTTAGCCCGCGGGAATGTTACGAACGTCGCGTCTATTCCTCGCAGTGCCTCGATGGGCTGGAGCCATTTGTTGGATTGTCGCTAGCGGTCAGCTTGCTCTGCATCTGGTGGAATCCAAAATGGCAACACAAGCTGTCCAACAACGAAGGAAGCCTGTCTGGACTATATGAGTTCTATCTGGTCCAGATGGCTCTTCTAGGCCTACGCTTCAGTGCGTGGATCTTCATGTTCCATGTGCATTTAGACGTGAGACTTTCAGCTATGCTACATGCTTGCTTTGCCGTCGCGATTGCAATCATCGCCGGATGGTCTGTCTTTGGCATAGTGAAGATTAAGAGTCTTCCGCCGGTCAATTGGCAAGATGATCCCGCTCCTCTCCTTTCTCAAGACCAATTTGTTCCTCCAGAACATCCCGACGAGAATACACAGACTGGTCAAAGCCAAGCTTTCAACTTTGGAAACCTTGCCACTGCACAGCAATCGACATATCACGCATGGAGGCCACCCACTCCTCCGGAAGATGGTGGGGATTCGATGGACTGGACTCCGACCCAACAGACGTTCCGACCCGAGTTGAAGAGTATTCGATACCAGTCTACCAACCCGAGTCCTTTTTACGGCAAGTTGCCAGCTCTCAACGCACGGGGTTTGCGCTCAGATATGGGTGGAAAGGAACCAGAGACTAAAGAGGCCATTGGAATACCACCGGGCTTCTTCGATCGGCCTGCAAAGTCAGCCGTACCGAGCCGTCACCAAGACTCACCTGGTGAGACCATGGCTCCGCCAAAGTTCTTTCCAAAGGAAGCAGATACTGGATTGGAAAACATATTCGGATCGGTATTTTCCCTCAAGGACCAGTCAATAGATTCGCCGAGTGCAACAACGAGATCAAGAAACGAACCTTCAAGAGACGTCACTCATACAGCCTCTACGCCTGAGGCCTTAGCTCCGTCTCAGCGAGCCTCCTTCTGTGCGATCTTCAGTGGTCTCTCGTTCTTCGCGATCCTGATGTCGGTAGCGGTGTGGATGTTCGAGGCAGTCATTGTCGTCGAATCCTCGAGGTTCGGTTATTTAGTCGTGCTCTCCAGTACCTTTGTACCGATCGGTCACCTAGTACTCCACATAGCCGAGCGCGGAGTTCAGGGTCAATTCTTGAGGCTACTCGCATATGCACTCGAAGCAAGTTTCTTGATCGGAGTGTCTATGCTTCGTGAACCCTTTGGCGAGCTTCTTCGGGACCTTTGGACGAAGTTGGCGATCGCTGCGGTAGCTTTGCTGTTGCCTCAGGAGTTCTTGCAAATGAACAATTCAAAGAACGACAATCCACCCAGGGTATCAAATCGAGGGCCGTTGCACCTCACATCCGGTGCTCCATGCTCCACCATCCAGCAGGATGCCTCCCTGCAGAGGCCTGTGCTGAACCGGAAAGATTCAAGCGACTCAACTGAAAGCAAAGCGTCCATTGCAACAACATCTACAGTGCCAGAATGGACCACACCGAGGACCAGCAGGCAGCGATTTGATGCTCCGGGGTTGGGGAAGAGCACACCACGATCTACTAGAGGTCAATCCAAGCGTTCAGGGACTGCACAGTCCGATAGGAGTAACCTCGGTATGGACGGGTTAACACTGAGCGATCGTCCTGGGACCGGGAGAGGGGGCTTTTCGAACGACTGGGCTTTCGGATCTTCTGGATCACATATTGCAGGTCCGAGAACGAGAAGAGGTTATTGACGAGTGTGGCTGACGCATCTCATTTCCGTGATTCCATCTGATACACCTGCATTTCTGCATTTTGCAGAGCATTGGCCGGTCCTGTATAGATTATGGCATAGCGAGGCGTGACGAGTTTAGAGGGCATGCATATGTTGGCATGGGCTGAATCCATGGAGTCTAGGACATGAAGCACTTGTTTCCGTGTCACGGTATATTGGTCAGTCTATGCGACACGCTCATCAGTCTCAGTAACCGAGTGCTATAATACAGCCAGTCCAACGAACCAAGTCGTTAAGCTCATAGTCATTTATGGTTTTCTTTTTCGGGTCCAATTCGACGCTCTATGTCAACTTTTGTTTGATAAAGAATGATCTCAAATGTGACAATTGCCATGCACATGTAACACCAAGAACACCAAGCTGAATCAAGGTCCACCGAACGATTTTGGCATTAGTAGCTTCGCTCTGATCACGGAATTCCGCCTCTCGTTCCTAGAGGGAGGTTATGTTAGTACTGTTTTGTGGTCTCACGTGGATTCAATCAAAAGGGGCAAAACCAGAGCAGCTCTCTGCTCAGGGGAAATATATCTTGAAACGTACCCTTTGGAAAACCTGCTCTCTCCGGATGTCCGTAAGTCTCCCATTGAGTTCCCTGACCTTGCTCACGATGTTGTCGATCTTTGACTTGTCCTCGGACTCGATCTTGGACGTGGCACCGATGGCCATGTCGAGGGTCAACTTCACCCCACCTATCGTCGAGCCCGCCGAACCCGAGAACCAACCTCCAACGCTGATGGCTGCCGGGCCGGAGGGGGTGAAGCACAGTCTGTGCAGGCCCGGGTCGGCCGCGGTAAATGTGAACTTTGAAAAGGTGTCTGAGGAGGTGGTCGTCTGAGTCACGACGCGGTGGTCATTGTCGAAGACTTCGTCGACCGTTACCTGGATGGCGAGCTCCGACGTGGTTCGAAAGGTTGAGGTTGCGGGCGAGTAAGCTTCGGCCTTGTATGTGCCTGGCGGGGGTGGGAAGAAGTTGCGTCAATGTTTGCGTCCAAGGGCGAACTCACAAAACTCATGGGAGGGTTTGAGGAATATGTACGTACCGACGACCAACGTGTCCTTTGGTAAATCTTCATAGAAACATTTTGGCGACGTGCCGTCAATGTACAGGTACAGCGCTTGTGAAGGAGCGAGGAGGGAAAAGGCCGCCACTACAGTCGCAAGAGGGAAATACATGGCCGGGGCTCTTGCTGATGGTGGTGTTTTGCAGGGACGTTGTCGATGAGCACGAGGGTCTGAACTGCGGTTAATTGAGAAATCATGCACATGTTCCGCCGTCGAAATGTAAATGTTGGCCAATTCAGGGGCGTCGAATTTGTTGGAGTCGCGCAATGCAAATGGCCGATGCGGAGTGGAAAAATATCTCGCCGCTTTCTCTGAATTCTGGTTCTGTATGCGAATCTCTGCGCCTGTGGATTTAGTTCCCTGGTTCATCATTCGCACGATTGTTTTCCCATCAATCAACGACGCGTATACGAATGAGAAGTGTGCAGATCTAGAAAGGAAGGACAAATGGGCGACTAGGATTCCAACTCTATCATCGTTCGTATCACACTCCGCTCTCACAAGTGTCGCGGCGGCCGCACGACGCCAAAATGGCCTCTTCGTCCGACATTCGCGACATCATGAACTTGGGCCAGGCAGGTCCTCGCCAGCCTGCGCCCAAGAAGAAGAAACTGGCCGACACACAGCCGCGTGTGACTGGGTTCAAGCGAGAGGTCCAAGCACTCATGGGCGACTCGGTCCCTCCGATCGCCATCGTCGAACAACGCTCCTACAAATCGAGACCGTCTATTTCACAGAAGCTGTTCAAGCCGAGACATTGGGAGGAGAGGCCGTTCCAGCATGGGGCGAGAACGGATGGACTTGTGCTGAGACACTGGAAACGATCCATCCCGGGGTCGCAGACGCGCCCACCAGTTATTTCCAACGACGACGGAGGATCCGGTGATGTGGAAATGACGGACGACGCAAAGAGTAGTACTGCTGTCGTGCCCGAGCTGCGGTACGAAGATGAATTTCCTTCACACAAATGGAATGTCAAAGTGCAGGTTCCGACGTACACGGACGAACAGTACGAAAATCTGTTGAAGGCGGACGACTGGTCTAGACAAGAGACAGATTATCTGATGGAACTCTGTCGTGATTATGACCTACGATGGGTCATCATCGCAGACAGGTTCGACACGACCGAAATCGTCAAACCCAGTGCGTCTCAACAGAACGGCGAAGCGGCAGGCAGCGAGGTCGCGCCGAAATTTCCAGATCGGACCATGGAGGCACTCAAACAACGTTATTACACCGTCGCCGCCAAAATGCTCGAGACTCAGGTACCAATCAGCAGCATGGCTCAAGCAGAATTCCAACTGTGGGAGAAGATGCGCAGTTTCGACGCCAAGACCGAGACCACGCGCAAGGCAATGGCGGAAAAACTGTTCGAACGCACCAAAGACGAAGCTGACGAGGAGAGAACCTTGCTGGAAGAGCTCTACCGGATCACGAAGAACGAAGAAGACTTTATCAAGATGCGTGCAGACTTGTACTCCAGGCTCGAGCCTGTTGCCGCCATTCGTCGCACCGACAGAGGCGAGGAGCAATCAACCGCCATGTATCAGACTTCAGCTGGGTTGTCCATCCTGTTACAAAACATGCTCGCAAAGGAGAAGAGGCTTAAGCCGCCTCGTCCTATGCACGAAGGAGCACACGGTGGACACCCCACTGCGACACCGGCCGACTCCCGCAAGGCGAGTCACGCCACCTCATTCAGCCGCCGCGACACCGTCGACACCCAGGCGGACGAAACTGCTTCACAGAAGAAAGGTTCGACGTCACAACCAACCGTAAGAGTGTTGACACCGCAAGAAGAGGCTCGTTTTGGTGTTGCTCACCCCCAAGAGCGACTCACGAGTGGTGTCCAGTTCCGCCACGAGAAGATCAATCGCCTTACCATGGCGAAGAGTCAGACACAGACCACCAAGATCCAAGCTGCCTTGACGGAGTTGGCCATTCCATCACGTCTGCTTATGCCGACCGAGAGAGTCTGTCGGGAGTTTGAGCGGCTAGTGAAAGAGATCAATATCCTGCTTGACGCCAGAAAGGTCAACGAGAAGATCGCTACCGAGATTAAAATCTTGGAAGAGCAGAGACGCATCAGGCTCGGTCTGCCCAAGGAAGGAGAACAGCCTGTGCAAAACGACGGAAGCGTAATGGAGGTGGACTCGTCGCAGATCGTGGATAGTAAGCTCGAGACGGCGCAGGACAGTTCAATGGTTCTTGCGGACGAAGAGAAGGACGCGGAGGGTGAGGTTGATACCCCTGTCGACCGTGACAACAATCAAGAGAAGACAGACGGTGCTCAAGGCGACGAAAGCACCATGGCCGTGGATAAAGCGGACGACGAGGATGCGGATGCCGACGAAGATGAAGAAGTTGCTGAAGCCTCGGAGCTCAAGCATGAAGAAGATGAGGATGCACAAGGGGAAGATGAAGATGAGAATGGCGACGATGAAGATCAGAATGAAGCTACCGCTGATCAAGACCAGGATGGTGAAGATGAAGATGCGGAAGAAGAGGACGAAGACGAGGACGACGATGGACCTCAACTTGGAATTGATGATGACGAGGACGAAGAAGAGGAAGCAGAAATCGCCGCTACTCCAGATCTCGACAGTGACGCTGATGAAGAGCAAGATGAGGATGAAGATGAGGAAGATGAAGAGGCCGAGGCCGAGGCTGAAGAGGAGTCGGAAGAAGAAGCTGAGCAGGATGACGGAGAGGATGGTGATGATGATGATGCAGAGGCCGATGGTGATAGTAGTCCTGAAGCTGAGGCCAAGGTTGCCGAGCAGGAGGACTCTGACAAAGCTGGAGATGATGGAGGAGAAGAAGAAGAGGAGGGGGAGGAGGAGGAGGAGGAAGAAGAGGAAGAAGAAGAAGAAGAGGAAGAGGAAGAGGAACAAGCAGCAGCAGACAAGCCAGACGAGGGTGTCGCGTCAGCATCTGCCGCGGCCATGCGTGCGCACAAGAGGTCTGCCAGTGTCATGTCCGAAGCCAGTCGTGCGGGTAGTAATCGGAGCGGGCTTGGTAGGAAGAAAAGAAGGTAGATTGAGAGGTGTGTTGATATTTACCTTGGTTTTCACTTGTCGTACACATGTTACATGACACATGCACACATGGCCTAAAGTGATGTCTTTGGTTCTGAACAAGTCATTTGATACTGGGCTGAGTACCTAGGCAGATATCTAGGTGGGTAGCATTTGGTTCATGGCATGATGGAAGTAGCCACAACAATTACTTAGCTAGGTAATGAATAAAAGAATCGAGATTTCCCATTGCTATGTTTCTCTACTGGCACAAGCTTTCACAAGATGCCTCGTTCGGAGTACGGAATAAAAATTACATGTAATATGGTTGTTCAAAGTATCGCTGCTTGACGGTCGTACGGTATTCTGTACTCCGGGACCAATACCTTGGTACAATCCCCGGCATCGGGGGGAGGACTGCACAGCGTCATTCCCTCACCAAGGGTAAATTCGGTTATTCGCGGCTTTGTGTTTTGAACATTAAATTGTCCCCTCGGTGGTCTTCGCCGACACCACCACCATCTCTTCTTCTCTTGTTACCGAGTACAAACTCGACGAGACGTTCCTTTCGAATGAAGAGTAAAAACATGTGAATTGGAAAACGATAAATTTTCAACGCTCTCTATAGACGAGTCCTACAGGAAGGGGGGGAAAAAAGGAAGAACCATGAAATACGTCCCTTCACCACAAGCGCTTAGGCTCCTTTCAGGTCTGGCGAGGGGTCAAACGTTCACCACCTCGACGGGTACGACCACACTCACAGGCACTACCTTTTTCAGACCTACTGCGGCGGCGACTACTTGGTTCCTCCGGACGAACCGCCACCGCCAATTCCACTCTTCGACGCGACTCGAAAAGACCGAAACTCACGTCCTGTCGGACATTGGAGAAGGGGTCAAGGAGGTACAAATCATACAGTGGTTCGTGGAGGAAGGGGCGCCCATTGAAGAATGGAGCCCTCTGTGCGAGGTCCAGAGTGACAAGGCGTCGGTCGAGATCACGTCCAAGTACACGGGGGTCATCAAGAAACTACACTTTGGCCAGGACGCCGTGGTGCAGGTGGGAGACCCTCTCTTGGACATTGAGGTCGAGGGCGGTGACGACGCCGAACCTGTCGCTGAAGGAGAAGGAGAGAGCATAGACCATGAACCGCCGAAAGATGCCGGTGAGACTACAGTAGACCCAGAACAGGCCGCAGAGGGCGGTGGTGGTGGTGCTGCCCAGGTGACACAAGAAGCATCACGATCAGGAGGCCAGGTAGCCGTCACAACACCCAAAACGCCTCCTGGAAAGCACGCCTCTCTTGCGACTCCGGCGGTGAGAGGGCTCTTGAAGGAACACGGTCTGGCCATAGAAGACATTACGGGCACTGGCAAGGACGGTAGAGTCCTCAAGGAGGACGTATACAAGCATCTCGAGACGTCTTCGACGTCGTCTCCTGCCTCGGCTTCGACCTCGACACCATCCAACAAGCCAACCGTCGACGCCGTACAGACAGAGACGCCACAAAAACTCTCACCCGTACAGTCTGCCATGTTCAAGAGTATGACCGGTTCTCTTTCGATACCTCATTTCTTGTATTCTGACACCATTGACATTTCAAATCTATCGGCCATGCGGACCCGACTGAACTCGACACGAAATCCTGACACTCCGAAACTTACATATATGCCCTTCATCATCAAGGCCGTCTCGCTCGCGTTGAACCAGTACCCCTTACTCAACGCCCGTTTGGACCTCAGCAGCGAAGGTACAGGCAAGCCGCAGCTCATCATGAGGAATGTACACAACATCGGCGTGGCAATGGACACACCGAATGGTTTGATTGTTCCAGTCATCAAGAACGTGAACGCTCGATCGATTGCAGGCATAGCCCAGGAAGTTCAGCGTCTCGCGGCACTCGGTCAGGCGGGGAAATTGAGCCAGGCCGACCTCACAGGCGGCACGATCACTGTCAGCAACATAGGCAACATCGGTGGGGAGACGGTAGCCCCTGTGATTGTTGAGGGACAGTTGGCGATTATGGGCATTGGCAAGATCAAGACGATACCTGTTTTTGCAGAGGACGGTGTTTCTGTGCGTCCTGCACAAGTCGTCAGTATGAGTTGGAGTGCGGACCACAGGGTCATCGACGGAGCTACCATGGCTCGAATGGCCACCGTGGTCCAGAGATACCTCGAGGAGCCAGGGAGTATGATTGTTGACATGAGTTAGTGACAATCTCTGGGATACACCCTGCTTGAGGCGGGATAGGAGAGACACCGTGCATTTGTCTGGTTGTCACATACTAGGTCTTTTGAGACTCAACACTGCACTGTGGGCCATGTCGATGCCCCAAGCTTGAAACATTGAATAGTCGTCCATCAATGGACCCTTTCTCAGGGGCCTTACGCCTTCCGTTTAAGATAGAAAGACGTGAATATGATTGTTCTCAGGCCTATTATTGGGTCCAAGACCCAAATTGCACCATCAGGGCAAATTAATTGCGCAACAACATGCTAGAAAATAGCTCGCTCATCCAGATCAGGCAGCAAGATCTCCGAAACGAGCAAGACGCTCATCCACCGACTATACATAGTCTCACAAGCTCGCTTAGAGCGATGGGTCGATGCCTTACGTGCTCGGAAGCAAGTCAAAGGCCAGGAACAGGCTGGACGTTTCCCAATAGCGTGTCGATCACCAGATGCCGTAGATGTTCAGGACCACTTACGGGGACGTGGCAGAAGACGGATTCATTGTCCAAAATAGATCCATCCCCGTCATATGCTCAAAAGTTGGCATGAAGGAGGGCCCTCTGCCGCACTGTGCATAGTTAGGGCCCGTCGGAAAACGAATAGTTTGTAAGCTCTCCTGAGGTGCCGCGTCAGGGACATGATTGAGGATCTTGAGAATTGAAGGCTTCATGCATGTTCGCGCGGACCCCTGACCCCTGGGCTTTGAACTGCAGGGTCGAGAGCAAGGGATACTCGAGATGAGGCCGCAGCTAACGACGTCCCTACAACCCTCGTGCATGAGGGACTCCAAGGACTAAGGCATCGTAACTGTAGGCATACTGTCGGCCAATGATGGTTGCAACGACGGCAATGCTGCTGACTGCCCAGCTTAGGCCTTATTTAGCCTTACTTAGTTCCTCTGAGGAGTGGAAATATGTTTCCACCTAGTCGGTCGAGGTTGCACGGTAGTCGAGAACAAATGAGCATCCATAGCCCTCTCCTTTGACATGAATGAAAGCCATGCTGCCAGGGTCAAAGGGCAAACAGTGTGCACTGTAGCTCTCGCCCTGAAGAGCCAAGCCGGAAGATTAGCGCGCTCCAGCCTGATGCAAGAAGCCACCGAACTGGCCTGGAGAGCGAGCACCCGCCTTCTGCGGATGTGGCCTTTTTACTGAGCAATTTTGCTGTCTCGCGAGATGTCGACCTTTTCAATAGATCGTATTCGAGGCAAATGACGGCTGCCGCTTCGACGTTTCGACCGTCCGACAAACCAAACATTATGTGATGAGCGACAGTGGGATCAGGGAATTTTCCTGTTGCATGTCAAAATATCAGTATTGGAGAGAGACTCGGTCACCGCCAGCATCGTTCCACCACGACGCGAGATCACGTCGAGATCACGGCAACCATGCTCGAGGACGGTGCAGTGGTTACTCCCTCGTCAGGAGAAGATACATTGTGCCATGCTGTGGAAGTGTAGGGTGTTCTACTGGCCCGTCTCTGATATGGCCATCAATGGAACATACCAGATGGGACGGGTTGATTGGTAGAGGACTACCCACGACATCCCCGTCTTGGTGCAACTCCTTTACGTACTTTCTATCCACTCCGGGTCGGTATCGAATATTGGCTTGGGCTCGAATGCATTGGTAAAAGCACCTCATAGACAAGTCCATTGGCGGACAGTAGTGAGATTGCCTCGAAGCATTCTCTGAGACCCTTGGTCCTCTAGGTAGATCTCTGCTTTGAAGCCTTGCATTGGTCGTACTGACGGATAGTGAACTCACCACACCTCGTGCCCGAAAACGTGTCGACTACCACGTAGACATTGACCTGGTCCCAACCCAAATATCATAATATCATTGGACGTGGGACAGTGTGGCTGAAAGTAGTGTAAAAAGCTGATTTTTTTATGAAATCCGAGCAACGGCAAAATAGGACAGCAATTGAACTGCGCTCTTGTCGGCGAATACCGCTGGGAGGTTCTGTCGTGAGCCTGCGTACTCGTACTGCCAGCATCTTCGGCGGATGCCAGCGCCATCTCCGTAGAGCTGTGCTGTTGATGTCGTGGATAACCGAAAAAGGATCTCCAGCACAGAATTGGAGCCTCTGGTTTTTCAGAAAAAAGCTAGCTGCGATGAGTGTCAGAATTCCTCTAAGCGAGGGTCAACTCAATGGGGTTGTGGTAATGATCAGCCGCAGTAGATCGGAAACAATAATTGGAGGCCCTGACACGGTCGAGCTGGGCTTAGTGGTGTTGGAGGTACTCCGTACCCGCATGACCATGACCGATCGTATGGAAAGGGGTGTGATTGCACGGAAATGTATGGTTCGGTGTCTAGACCTTCTGCGCCACGAAGGATTGGCATTTGACGTTGCAGTAAAGAAAGAGAAAGCTGCACTTCAGGCCTTGTTCCGGCGCAGCTGCAGAGATCTTCCATGCCAGAGGATAACGAAAAAGTTTGCTTGGAACTGCTCTGGCCGGTCAGCACGAGGAGTGTGGAGTTGAGTAACATGATCGGCGAGAGGGTCAGAGAGCGTGTTGGATCGTGCTGGACAGGGCTAGGATAACCAAGCCAGGAATGGAAGAGACAACGACCGGCCTAATAATGTCGTACACCATACCTATCCAGAAACGCGAGTTTGATATGTGCCTGTCATCGTCTCGGCGCCCAAGACGCTGTGGAGAGCGCGCAAGCTCAGATGCCGGCTCCGTTAAAGAGATGCAGGTCATCACCACAAGTGGGTTTCATGTGTAGTTGCAATGGACCCTGTCAGAGGTAACAGCGAGGTTTCCGATGTCGACCCTGGTCCATGGTGATGGCCCTTGCATGCTTTTCATACTGCCTCGATCGAAATCTTGACGACCAATTTCATCGCATGTTTACACGTCGAAGACAGCCGAACTCTTATTGCGCGTACTCCCTTCTCCATAGGTGTTTTGCAGTCATGATTAACTTAGCAAGGAGACCGCCCGTCAACGCACTGACGAAGCTGGGACCTTCGGAAGTCAGGCAAGGTGGATACAGACACTAGGGACGAGCGCGCCAGGGCAGCCGGGGAGAGGGTCTTTCGTAGAGCAGAAAATCACTTCGTTTCGGGTTCGGTAGCGGGCACTGAGCACAGAGCATTCGCGGCAAATAATACTGGAGATGGCTGTGGCCGGTAGTGGATGACGCAGACAGGCGGGCAGATGCTGGCTTCACCCAAAACAATATAATAATTAATACCTCAAACTCGGCGGGTCTTTCTAATTGGATGCTGTCAATCTGAAGACACAGTGAAAATTGAAAGACAAATCGCTTAGACAAAGCCAAAGAAAGCCATTTGGGCAGCTGCTTCAGCCAGTGTATGTCATGCGTGCTGCGGCTACCGGACTACGCCGTGTTGGGCAGGATGAACGATGATACAGATGTTACGGAGTAGCGTAGCAGGCATGGAATCGGAGCGATTGGACGAATTATCCTGGGCGGTACCACAGGCCATAGAGGAGGCGTTGAGGCGCCTGTGTAGCGTCCCGGGGTCGTCGACCACTGCTATAAAAGTACTCCGAACTGTGCCTACTACTTGTCTAGGGCTGGTACCAGGTACAGGGTCCTACCTGGAGTGCTCACTACAGTACACACATCATTAGTCTGGGTAGTAGAAAGAAAAAGTAGAGCACGTACCGCAGTCAGGCGTCTTCTCTTGCGCAATTGGCTCTCACGACCACTTTCGAAGCTGCGCTGATCCATAGCAATTTGGCAAATTCGCCGGTTTAGTATTGCGTAGTCGTACGCTTTCTTGTAACATGCCTACGCAGGAACTTCGTCCCGCCTGTAACTGCCCTTGCTGGGAGGTGAAAATGGTTTTTCTTTTTTTGCCATTTTTTTTTGCCCTTTGTAGCACTAGTCATTTTTCAGCTCGGGACCCAGTGCGCTGTCTCGCTGCCCCAGGCTCGCAGGCTTACAGGTCCAGCAGGTCTCACTAGGCACCTTAGGCACATTTAGGCTGCGTGTACTTTCCACCATTGGGACCTCCCGGCCTCCCCGCTGCTTCCCCCCCTGCTTGCGGAATTCTATATTCGCTTTTTTGGCCTGTTGTTTTTTCCGTGTCGTGTACTCCGTAAACAGCCTGCGATCTCAGTATTCTCCCCCCTCCCTGTCCCTCTACCGTATACGGATTTGGCAATGCTCCCAGTCGTCAGAGATCCGGCCGAGAGCCGGGCTTGAGGCATGTCACCATCCACCAAGACAGCTCCATCCACTCTTAAGCGACTGAACTAGTTGGCAGCCCCAGCCTATTCCTGCCCGTACCACAAATCGCTATTGCGATCATCCCAGCTTTGCAGGGGGTCGAGCCCCGATCTATTGAGTACAGACGAAGGCCTTCTACTCGACCTAAGCTGCTTCAGACCCTGCTTACCTGAAACTATCGATCTTTGTTACCTCAGCCATGGCACAACCGAAACACCGTCGTGATTTGCGTTTCAGGTGAAACCTCGATGTCAACACGACGCGGAGAAGAGCAGGGCAATGCAATAGTTGGTCAGGCTAGAGGCAGCCTCATTCTCGCCAATCACGGCCCCATGTTATTGAAATGTCCAGATTGAGCTGTTCAAGGAGTCGGGACAGTTGATGCGTCCATCGCACCACTGTCCCCGTGTCTTGGTCTCCGCGCAACGTCTTCATCATCGTTAGCTCCGTAACACTCGAGCTGAAAGTATTCAGCCCGGTGGCCGCCGTTTCCACTCCCCATTGACGTCGCCAGGGCCCGAACAAGTGGTCCTGGAGGGGGGACCCGCCCGGGTGAGCCTTCAACGTTGGCATTATTGGTTTTGCTGCAGCAAAACCACTGAGAGCACGAACACCCTCGGCGAAAGCAATTTGACTTTGGGGGGCTGAACGGTGCAGAGCAAAGCAGTAGACCCCTCGACCAACGTTTCGCTTCACGCCATGGGAATTTCATACTGGCGACTGGCGTCGATGAAATCAGCATTGGCACACCACCACCCCTGTCGACTATGCCGTTCCTGGAGCCCCTGCAATGGCTAAATCTCGAGATCCTTTAGCTCCGAAGTCCCCATCGCGATGTTGACCCAGCTTGCCATCGCGACACCAAATCCACCCTGGGCTCAAGCTGCCCATCGTTGCCCATTGAAGCCTTGTCGCACCCTGCCGAACGGCAATCCCGGCCTGCGGATTGCGGCGATCTACATCTGACACTTTTTGTTCGCCAACTCTACGTCGGATGTGGCATAAGGATTCGTCGCGAGACGGTATCCCTGCTCACCTGGCCTCTGGTGCCGGTGCCAATGCATGTTTTCCAATGATTCCTCGTGATGCCCATACCCAAAGTTGACCCAGCACCGTCTTACCGAGTCTGAATCCAGCATTCACTTTGTATGCACATTTCCTTCCTCGGACGCTGGCTGCGGAACTACCGTGCACTGGAGCAATACCCGCTCTTCTCTGGTCTCATCCACTTCGACGAACCGCCAGCAGCTAGACAGCTTGTGGCTGACTCGCATCTATTGCGCGTTCGGAGAATAATCACATCGGACGGCGGGCAACGGGTTGCTGATTGGGACTGCTCTCCATTCCCCAAGCTCAATCCGGCCTGCCGTTGTTGCAGATCCATCAGAGGCGTCGCTCCCCACAGATATAGGGCAGTCTCCTGCCTCCCGAGCATGGTCATGACCTGGACCGAATTCTCAAGTATCATACATGATCCATGACCGTTCGCCAAAGCGCAATTAAACTCCATCACACGCACCCTGGCCGTTGCGCTACGCTACCCAGGAGTCTTTGTGTCTGTCCAATCACGCCGGCGGTACACTACTTGTCCAGCTCAACTCATCTCCTGACCCTTTTGAACACATCACGCCCTCCCATTTCTTTTCTACGCGGCGACCCTCTTTGAGACTCTCAGCTTTGAGTCCTAGCCCTGCCACTGGAACTTCGCTTCTGGTAACGAACTGATTGCTTCTGCGGATCATCCGTTGTAGCACGGGTTCTTACGTACTGCCGGCTGTGACAGGCACGCCGACGCCTCTTCTGTCAAGAGGTACTTGAATGATGTCGGTCGCCACGGAGACTCTTCACCGTCATACCAGCAGTGAACACATCTCTATTGTCGCAATGTCAGAGTCTGGCAGCGAGGCCAGCAAGGCAGCGAAGAAGAGGTCAGTGTGCTAACTTTAACTTTCTGGCCTTTGCCAGACATCACTGACGGTGCTACAGGGAATACAACCGGAATGCCCAGCGAGTATTTCGTAAGTGGCCACAACGGCTTGTCCCGCCACACTGCGTCAGTGGCGAGTTCTTCTTCGAACACGCACTAACATACACCAGGTCAGCGGCGCAAGGAGCATTTGAGCAAACTCGAAGCGGCGCAGCGCGAACTCAACAGTATACAAGTTGAGGAAGTCGAGCGGCTCCGTCGCGAAGTCCAACTCCTTTCGCAGGAGAATGAAACCCTCAAAGCAGCGTATGGGTCTCAGACAAATTCTCCTGGACCGACGATCACAGCATCGCCTTCGGGGTACATTCACTACGGGGCACCTCACCCTGGCTATCTGGGCTCAATGGGTGCAAATACTTCCTATATACCTGGGGTCGGACCGGCGGCACTGCATCCCCCCACCACAACGCCGATGTCGAACACGACTACGGATCCAGCGAACCTGGTGGTGGTTGTCCCTCACAATATTCGTGAGATTCGACGCAACCTACACGCCATGTTTAGTCCCCTCCTCGAAATCCCAGTAATATCCAACCCTCAAACGCACTTGGCCACTTTGGCGGCGCTCGAATCATCATTACCCAGCCCCTTGAAACCCACACCTTTGCAACTCTCCACCCCTCACCATGCTTATATAGACATGATACCTTCCCCCAGTCTCAGAGATCGATTAATAACGGTGGGCCCGGCGAACGCCAACTCATTTCTCACGGAAGCATGTACTATCGCATGCGACATCGAAGATACAGGTCAGATGATTGTATGGGGGGAAGACTGGCTAAGTGAATTCTCTTGGGAATTCTCTCCCAGTGTGTTTGAACGCTGGGGAAGTTTTGTTCTCGGTCCTGAATGGGGTCAACGTGCAAACTTCTGGCGGAAACAGAGAGGAGCTCCGGTCATACCAGGTTACGATTGATGAAATATGGCGGTAGCACCCGATTACGGCATTGCTCAAGGAGGAGATTATGTCCAATTCCGATCGTCGGCAGAATTCATCCTCGAATCACTAGCCCTCAACAAACGGAAAGGTTCGCAGGTCGCGGGTCAGGCAAAGATCACATCCAGCCTCGAAAATGTTGCCATGTCTGGGTCAGCATGCTGGAAGAAAAGCCTCTATCTGGCGGCTTGGCTACGGGAGGCGCAGGCCGCCATCTCAGGATTACTGATTTTCAAGACCTTCATCTGCCCAAACTCTTGTCATAATGTATGTTCCATATGACCATGTACTATTATTGCATCTCTTGCTGTTTGCCTTCACTTCACCGATCTGTCACACCATGGACAAGTCATCGATCGACCTTGAGTGTTCGAGCATGCTAGTCTTTATGATTGGCGTCGAGTATTTTGTGGAGGAAAAGGTGATTGCGCGTGTCATTCAAATGATGAAGGATACCCCGATGTTGTCAGTGTCATTGCTGAATGAAGGGCCGTTTATATACGACAAATGAACCAAATTTGTCCAAATGAAACCGACCAAAACCTGCAGCACCGCAGGCTCACGAGAAGAATTTCACAGTTCATGGCTCTGGATGTGTGTTTTTTCAATCAAAGGCGCAGTCTGCAAGTCTGCAGATTTGTGCGTGCAGGGACGCCGAGTATTACGTACATAACCACCATTCCAGCTTCTTCCATGCAACACTCCCGATCGACGATGCGTGGACTTAATATACATATCTGCCCTCCAACAGCCAGAGCGGTCAGTTTAGAAACCTTCGCACTCCGCAGAATCGCCAAATTGCGAGGCAAAACATCACGTCTTTTTCTGGTCTTTGGCAAATGCCCCTCAACCAGTCCACACCTGGGTGAGATCTTGATACGACATTTCTTCTCGCTGCGCCAGGCAGGCTTTCATTGAGTAAAACATTCCGAAGAAGAGCGTGACGGGTGCGAGATTGAGGATCCATGACAAGCACGATACCGCCTAGATCAAGTCATTATGATGAAAACAGCAAGTGTGACTTGTTAGCTTGCTCGCACTAATATCAGAAGAGTCCTTTTCCACCTTCCAGTCTATTTCAAGAATCAATGTGCTCGTCGAATTCGAATGGTGTGATCATTCGCAAGTGGTCCATTACCACTCTTGCAGCTACCGACCGCAGAACAGAGCCTGCCGCTCACTCTCTCACTTGTAGCTTGCACCTCAACCTTTTCAAGATGCTCACCTCTCACCGAGAAACTTTGACACGTTCTCTGGACTCTGATCGGCGAGCTGAATATTTTGTTATTTCGCACTCTGCCCGAACAGAAGCCACTCGAGACTTCGATCCCTCCCACATGGTAGTGAGAGGAGCACCGCGAGAGACACAAAACGTGATTCCATGGTCCGCTGGATCTGCACGACGTCGACGGGTCTTTCGGAAAATTTTGTACTTGAAGACGTACAAGCTGAGATCCACCACGAGCTGATCCTAAAACTGTCCGACGACACAGTCTACTCGAACACAGGCAAGTGGGAGGAACCGGTGCATGGCGAGCGTCGATCCAACCCGGCTAGCAAAATTAGGGCTCCACGACCGAACGCACATCCGCTTCGTCATTCGGCCATTGGGTCATGAGACGGCTGGAGGAGTGAACGATTGACGCCGTGAGTGACAAGAGAGCCGTAAGGCGTCGAGGGGGCGTATTGAGAGCTTTGGCTGAAAGCTACATGTGGATATATAGACACAAGTACCTGGTAAACCTGGAGACTCTGGTGGGGAATCTCGAGGAAGATGTCCCGCGGTTCTCCCCCCCCCCCCGCCGCCACCAAAATTCCAACTCGTTCTATCAAATATTCAGATGATTACCGGGATACAACTCCCAAATTCAACAAGGTTTGGTGATTGAGGAAGCTCAGCTTCTTGTCTGTCAGGTCTCCACGGAGAATGTAAGAGCAAAGGGCGAGATTTTTACGCGAAAGTACGAACAAAGCCTTGACATTCCACACAGTCTTTTGATGGTCATGGCTCTAGCAACGTCCCCAGAGGACTTCGAGACTTCTCCTCAAACAGACGATAGTATCATGACACAAAAGCACGGCGTCAACAGTCGTGAAATACGATCTCGGAGAATCGAGATAGGTAAACTTTCCCAGCTACTAAATATAAGGCTTGAGCCAAGCGCGGTCTCTTAACATTATGGAAGCGATGTTTCTTCTTCTTCGACAGTTGAAAAAACGTAGTCGACGTGCTCCTGGCTGTGGCTGTATGTTCAAAAGAGAACCTCTTTCGTATTCACTCCTGTTATTTTCTTGACATACCAGATCTGCTCCATGTGCAGTTCGAACTGTCGACCCAAAAAAATCCCCAAGAAAATCCAAGCGGCCAAAAAAGGGAGGCGAAAGCTGAGTAAGCACTCGTCGGAATGGGCCAATAGCAACGCTCCGTTTCGATCGGAGGTCCTCCGGGTTATGAGCCCGGCGCGCTTCCGCTGCGCCACGTTGCTTTTGAATTAATCCTGACGGATTGAATTGAACAATAATTTGACCATTCAAATAGATAAACTGATTATATTTTGTGGTGGGGCTGATATTAACACCTATGCCCAATTAGGCTAGCTCAATGTGACGCCCTGTAAGGCTGTGGATCACAAGACACGATTGGCCACGGCCCAATATCGGCTCTAGATCTTAACGCTATTCCCTTTTCTGCCTCCAACATGAGTGTCATTCGATGTGTCTGGATTCTTCGAGAATGGGAATCGACGACTTCTGCCAAAGTACTAGTACCTCGAAACTTTCGCTCTTCTGTTATAGAGACAATGTTATATCGTCTCCTGTATCACCGATAGCACCCGTTGGAAGTGTCCTTCATAGGCACAGCAGTAAGACTTCACAATGAACGTCGCAAGATCCTCGCTCGCGCGGCGGGCAAACGCACCTCGCTCCATATCGATACCTTTGTGTCGTCGAACACCATCGGCTTTAATGTCTCCCAGCCTCAGATCCTCCTTACCCACACGCTCCGTCATCCCAACAACCAGCCATCCAACGCTTTCCTTCGTCAGAACATACGCAAATGGACGACCTCATCCGCCCGGCGGCACCCACCGTATGAACATGAGCGGCGAGCCAGAAAAACCTGCCTTGGAGGAGTATGGTGTTGATCTCACAGCCCGCGCCAAAGAAGGAAAGCTTGATCCGGTCATTGGAAGAGACGGAGAGATTCACCGCACAATTCAAATTCTTTCGAGGCGGACGAAGAACAATCCGGTCTTGATTGGTGCCGCGGGCACAGGCAAGACAGCCATCCTCGAGGGCCTGGCTCAGCGAATAGTCAGAGGCGACGTACCAGAGAGCATCAAGAACAAGAGAGTCATTTCCCTGGATTTGGGCCAGTTGATCGCAGGCGCCAAGTTCAGAGGTGATTTTGAAGAACGACTGAAAAAGGTGCTGAAAGAGGTGGAAGAAGCTCAAGGAGGCGTCATTCTGTTCGTCGATGAGCTGCATACTCTTTTGGGCTTGGGGAAAGCAGAAGGTTCCATCGACGCGAGCAATCTGTTGAAGCCTGCTTTATCCCGCGGCGAACTGCAGTGTTGTGGTGCCACAACTTTGAATGAGTACCGTCAAATTGAAAAGGATGTGGCGCTCGCACGACGTTTCCAGCCTATATTGGTCGGTGAACCGTCAGTACAGGACACCATATCTATCCTGCGAGGTATCAAGGACAGGTACGAAGTGCATCATGGTGTTCGTATCACGGACGGTGCCCTCGTCGCTGCCGCAACATACAGCAACAGATACATCACTGATCGTTTCCTTCCGGACAAGGCCATCGACTTGGTCGACGAAGCTGCGTCGGCTTTACGTTTACAACAAGAGTCGAAGCCAGATTCTATCCAGAAACTTGACAGAGAAATCATGACGATACAAATAGAGCTCGAGTCCTTACGTAAGGAGACCGATGTTGCTTCCAAGGAGCGACGACAGAAATTGGAAGATACACTGGTGGAAAAGAGAAAAGAGGTCTACCGCCTGACCGAGATTTGGGATCGCGAAAAGGCAGAGATCGAAACTATCAAGAAGACCAAGGAAGACCTGGAAAAGGCTCGTTATGACTTGGAGCAAGCCCGGCGAGAAGGTAATTTCGCCAGAGCCGGTGAACTCCAGTACGCCACCATTCCCAAGCTCGAAGACCAATTGCCTAAGGAAGGTGAGGAAGTGAAAACGACGACCAAGGACGGAGAGACGTTGATCCACGACTCTGTGACTGCCGACGATATCGCCAACGTGGTCAGTCGCACGACGGGTATCCCAGTGACCAAGCTCATGTCAGGAGAAGTCGAGAAGCTCGTCAAGATGGAGGACAAGCTCCGAGAACATGTCCGGGGTCAGGATGAGGCTCTGACTGCGGTTGCCAATGCCGTCAGGATGCAGCGTGCCGGTCTGAACAACGAGAACCGGCCGCTCGCGAGTTTCATGTTTCTCGGTCCCACCGGTGTAGGCAAGACGGAACTGTGCAAACAGATTGCCAATTTCCTCTTCAGCACAGAAAGTGCGGTGGTCCGATTTGACATGTCAGAGTTCCAGGAGAAGCACACTGTCTCCCGCCTTATCGGTGCGACGGCAGGCTATGTCGGTTACGAAGACGCAGGTCAATTGACCGAGGCCGTCCGACGGAAACCTTATGCTGTCCTGCTCTTTGATGAGTTCGAAAAGGCGCACCGGGACATTTCAAGCTTGCTTCTGCAGGTTCTAGACGAAGGTTTCTTGACTGATGCGCAAGGCCACAAGGTTGACTTCCGGAATACTCTGATCGTCTTGACCAGCAACCTCGGCGCCGAGATCCTGATGGGTTCGGGTGCGAATGTCGAGAACGTCACTCCCGAACAGAAGAAGGGCGTCATGGAGGTCGTTCAGGCAAGCTATCCTCCAGAATTCCTCAATCGTATCGACGAGTTCATCATCTTTAACAAGCTGTCCAAATCGGCGTTGAGGGACATTGTCGATATTCGCATCAAGGAGCTCCAGACCAGACTTGACGATCGCAGAATTCGCCTCGACATCTCGAATTCGGTCAAGGATTGGCTTTGCGAGAAGGGGTACGACCCTCGATATGGCGCTCGTCCTCTGAACAGGCTGATACAGCACGAGATTGGACGCAGGTTGGCCGACAGGATCATTCGCGGCGAACTGAAGACCGGCGAACTGGTAAAGGTCGTCATCTCGAAGGATGGAAGTACATTGGAATTGGAACCTGCGAAGACTTCTTGAGAGGAGACCACCACGTCACCAATGCGACCGCGATACGTCTCGGCAAAGCGCGCGAGCCTTACCAAATTTTGATATGCAGGCGTCTTTCAAGGCAGAATTCTGCGGCCTCTTCATTGTGCGGCAGCCATAGAGATCAACCTCTGTGCTATTTCGTTTACTGCCACCAAGCTTATCGACCGGGACCTCAAAGGGATCCTATGTATATCACCCAAACATCAAGCCCAATGGGAGAGACGCTGTGAAATGCTCTATCTTCCTCTTGGAACATTCTGTCAACGTATATACACGATTGCATGAACAACTCTTGACGGACGCTGCATGACTTGGAGTTTTTTTGGTTTGGCATTTTGGGCATTGCCATGCACGGAATGAGGATTAATTGATTGATACCCCTCCCAGCTCTCGACTCCATTTTGTAAATACTGTACAATGAATATAACAAATGTCATTTTCACAATTCGATTTCTCTTCCGCTGGTTGGTTTGTGAGCTGCCTACGTGTCTCTAAATGTAAACACCTTAGGTAGGTAGCCTTTTACCCGGAATGAATGGTCTTCTCTGTATGGTACGGGGTGGGAGTTACTCCCTGCCTGCATGCAACTTGGCGCAGCGGAAGCGTGTGCCGGGCTCATAACCCGGAGGACCTCCGATCGAAATTTTTCTTGGTACTAAGTATATTTACAGAATATATTTGCTTGAAAAAAAACCAAGTCTATACCACTTCCCATGAAGACACGAACTCTGATGACTGTGACATGATTACCTAGGTGAGTGTTAGCATGTCAAACGCCCAACGCCACAACATCGTCCCGCCTTGATGAAATGTCTGCTGCAGATCGGGACAAAGTCAGTGACAGCATAATTCAATCGATACCAAGGTAAATGAATGGAACACATCAGTTAAAGCGGTATACGGCATACGGTTACCTGCAGTGATGAGGCACGAGGTACTGGAGGAGTTATTCTTCATAACTTGGACTCGTGACACCCTGACGACCAAGAGAAGGTAACTCTAAGTATCCAGCTATATTGACTTCGTGTTTTTCTCTTATTCTTCCTATTCAACTTTTGTCACCGTGTCTAGCATTCATTTGGGTTTTCTCATTCATATCTATAGTTTCAACCGTCACTGTCGAAACTTACTACACTCCTCTCCCCTCTGAACCGGCTCTGAATTTACTGAATGTCTCACTTTATGTGAAGCCTTCATCCCAGGCGTCCTATATATGTGGGCACACCCCCAACAGAACTGGTCAACCTCTTTTCCCTAGTTGCAGCCTAGTCCGATTTGACCTGATGTATCCATGTATACAACACCACCACCACCATGAGATAATGAGACCTTGTCCTTGAAGCTCGACCTTGGTCGTGGATAGTTTCATCAGCCAATCCTTGGATGAACGGCAACCCAAGCCTGGGTACACAAACAGATAAATTTATATATAGTTACACGAGATTTGACCATACTCATGGATCAAAACCTCCGAGACACATGTCATCGCTTGGCTTGGTGCATTGGCAGATTTACTGCCGTCCGACCAGGCTCGCTTGGAGGCACAGCCCACAAAATTGCTACAGAATTCAGACGATGATGATGACTTTTCGATGTGGAAAGACACCGAGCTTTCACAGTTGGTTGTAAGCACATTCCTCAGCTTCATGGTCTCATTATTGACCAGTTTAAGCACAATTACCCAGATTATGATACGAAATCTCAAGACGAACACCTTGCATCCAGAAGACACCGAAACCAATAGAACGTTGAAGTTCACTCTGCTTTCCCCGAGCAGGGCTTCCAATATTCAGTTCTCGGTACCACATCGCCTCCTTGCCATCGCCATCCGTCGTAATGCACTGATGGATATCAACACCCTGGAAGAGCTCTTTGAAAGTCAATTACAAAACATACGAGTGAAGCCCGAGTTCCTCGGCAAACCAGTTCTTCTGAGTGCTGTGTCCAAGGGCACGGCAGTTGACGCCAATCGGCCGCTGAGAGCGACAGCTTTGACTGAGTATTTGAAATTACGCGGCCAGCGCGTAGGCTGTCCTCAAGGCACGGCTGCTTTTTCTGAAAGCCCTTCCGACAAACCAAGTGAGAGAAAGCCATCACATTCTACACTCTGTACGGAAGGTTTGTAATTTATCTTGCCCTGGTGTTGGGCAATGATGCAGCTTGTGACATCATGGGCCACGATTCGAGATCAACTACTCTGGAGCGCCACTACCTTGAGTTCGCATGTTTGAGGAACCTGGTGGGAATTGGCCTTGGAGAAGGCAACGAAGGCCAAAAGACTGAACTCACTGCCGAAGCCCGTTATCAGTCTATGAATCGGCTGTCACAGCGACAACAGGACAGAGCCACAAAACCGGCACTAATGTGTTCGTGAATGAAGCTCTAACGGGTGACACTCAATTTCGGCATCTTGAGGACCCGAAAGAAATTCGCCGACACCGGCTTCCCGGTTCGAAGGCTCGCTGAGTATCAGGGTGCTGGAAAACCGGCTGAGGATCCATCTGTGTGGTTCAATAAACGCCCTCGCCGCATACAAGACAAGCGTGAAACAGTTCGCATACGACAGACTAAGGATCATCGTTCAGGAGTCCAAGGAGAATAAGAAGAAGGAAGCGGCGATGCAGAAGCTTAATGAGACAATGAACAAGTTCTCCTCTCCCCGAAAGGGTCACAAGAGGGCCAAGAAATGAGCCTCGTGGTTTGTTCCCGAGTCAAGTCAGGGACCAACGGGTTTCTTGTGAGATGAGTCGGTCATGGCCTGCTGTGTTCGATCGAAATCAATGAACCGGGCCAGGCTCCCCCCCCTGATAGACTCAAATCTTTGACTGAACAGTACCTGCATGGCCTTAGACCTGGCACATATTTGTTGGGGTCACCTGAACTCATGTTTTCGTCGACTTTGTCAATTTCTTCTCTCCTTCATACTCGCCATCGCAACATGACCGCGTGGAAAGTCACTTTTATTCGTACCAACCAAACCTCGGTATATTCAACAGCACATACTTTGTTGGTTAAAATTGAATGGATCCAAAAGGGTAACATGGCGCTAGCTCGACACTGCGGGATATTGTACCAGGAGGGCTATCGATGGGCACGCACGATCCCAACGTCCCAATTCTGGCATCAAAGCTCAACCCCAACCGAGGAGAAAAGTCAAAAGCCAGGCAGACACCACAATGGCGGAAGCGGACGCAGTCGCAGGATCAAGCTTGGAGCCGGAGCCAGAAGATGGTCAGGAGTCTGTCGATGGAGAGGTAGGCGGACAACAACAAGCTTCCGAATAAATATCTATATCCAGAAGTATTGGCGCCCCAAGTAAGTACTGTGGCATGTCGACATGGATGCCCTACGAAGAAAGCACTTTGGGACGGATAGATACTACATGGGAAAAACTGGTGATCCAGATTCTTTGACTCCCTTGTCAAAAGACAAAAGAAAGAAGAAGATGGTGCATTGGCGTCGGGTCCAGGTATTGGAGTGGATGCTTCACTGGCCGATTTTGGTTTTCATTATCATCATCGGTTTCAGAAACCGAACCACAGATCAAAAAGATAGGCTATTCTCTCTACGGGCCAGACCTGTTTTAATTTAGATCCTTTGTGAAAGGTGACGACGGTCAAATGTCAAGCCCAGTCAAAATGTTCCAAGTGTAGATAGACGTCCTTCACGGAACCTTTGATGATATCCAACTGTTGGTCGGCGACGGCGTTGCGAACGTCATTTTGCATCTCGAGTGGACCGCAGACGAACACCCCAAGGTTCTGACTCCATTCTCTAGACCCTTCCTTTGCCACAATATTGTTGAGGTCTGGACGACCCATGTGTGTTTCTACTCCAAGGGCGTCGAGGTCGTCGATAGAGTCTGACATGGATCCCTCTGGTGGCAGCACCTTTTCCATATCCTTTTCATCGAGCTTGGACGTGAATTGGCCTTTGGAGGGCTGTGTGGGAGATGACGACGACTCTAATAGTTCTTCTTTGCCTCCTTCTCCGGTAAAGTATATCTCCACGCTGGACTTGACGGCGGCGAGTGCGGTGTTGTATGCGCCGAGCAGTTCTTGGATCTTACCCAGGTACCACTTGCACGTGGCGCGGTCGCGGGTCGCGAGGACGAGCCTGAGAGAGGGAGCGACCTGGGCGTTCTCCTCCGCCCGGAGGACGCGCTGGACGTGTCTGATTTGCAACTCGACAAAGGGGAGCGTCCAGCCGGCTCCAGAGCCGCCCGCGATGACGACGAGACGGTGGCACTCCAACAGCCTCTGCATGTTGACGCCCCCGTACGGGCCGTAGAGCAGGACCGGCTCCGACGTGCCTCCGGCGGCGTGCTTGGCGAGTCGACCGGTGAACCCGCCCGAGGGCCGGATGTAAAAGTCGACCGTCCTGGAGGAGGACGACCCTTCTCCGCCAACCTTCTTGGCGGGCGAGTGAGGCAATGAACAGATTGTGAATGGGTGGAGGGTGACACCGTGTAGACCCATCGACCGGAAACGAAGAAAGCAGTGTTGACCCGGAACCCAGTCAAAAGCGACCGGCACCGAGACTTGGATCAGACCGTTGGCGGCCAGGGAGATGTTTGCCCGTTGGCCGAACCCGTGTCGGGCAAAAGTCCGGATCTGCGAATACAAAACGCAGACGACGTACAAGACTCCGGTGGCAATGAAATAGTCCCTGTGGTAGAATTGCGTGTCAGTGTCCGCCGGGGGGGTTGGAGGTGTGACGCCTCGTTAGAAGCGACCCTCGTTACTCACCAAGAAGTCAGCGTGTGGTCGCAATGGAAGAAAAAGAAAACCACAAAGGTCACGACCGCGATGAAGTGCATCACTTTGAACGCTTCATACCACATTTTCCTTATTGATCGTTTCAGCAATGCTCCTCTTGCAAACTTGAGAACAACAGGACAAAGACTCACCGAATTGGACTCATGGACCCGAATGTCAACCAGGTCTGGGCGAGCAAGGCCACGACGCCAGTCCAATACACCACACTGGTGTCCCACTGATTGATCATGTCATGCGACCAAATGTCGTTGACGATGAATGGGAAGGTGTGTATGAGCGCTAGGATGTACATGGCATAAGAGATCCAACGGTGGAATACCTGAAGACGAGATTGTGTTAGCATGGTCGAGAAGTTCAGCCTCGGAAGTCGTTTGATTAATACCTGAAGTTTCTCATGCGAGACACCCGTCACGAGGGTGATCATATTGGCCTTTGCGGCGGTTGCACTGATTCATGTCAATATGACTACAGACCCTCAGAAAGAATAGGTCGGGTGTGCCATACAAGACAAAGGGCATGCAAGCCAATGACATCCACCCGGCTCTGGTCGCTATCGGTGGTGAGTCGCCATAGCTCAAGGTCCTCGTGTTGGGCCAGTAGTAAGGCTTTGGAGCGAGGGTCATGCCTACGTTGATATTAGCATTTGGGAATGATATCCTACTTCAACTTTGCTCACAGAAAAAATAGATGGTTCCGGTGGCTGCCAGCAGTAGGAGCCCCAATGGAGGTGAGTTCCATCCTAAGATTTTCAAACGGTACCCTCGATAGGACAGATATCTGAAGCTCGCTGCTACGCGTCGCCAGATGGTTATCTTGTCCCCACTCCTAGTTGGCAACGTGGATGACAGGAAGTGTGCGAAGGAGAAAAGGATAATGGCAGTGAGAAAGAAGGCGATGGTCGGCAACCCGTAGCGGTGATCGGCTTCGTACCTGAATCGTGGTTGTTAGAAGAGACTGTCAGATGTTCTTGTGTCACGAAAAAGACAGTACCAGAAACGCCAGTAGCCTTGCTGATATGTACATTGCTCTGTGTTATTGAGCATGCACATATACTTCCGAGAGGAGTGCAGCGTAATGGGAGAATCGAGCCACGCTACCATGATTAGATCGATTGCGGTGTACGCTCGACGGTCGTGTGAAGAAGTTTTCGCGACCTTTCTCTTGAGAGATGTGTTGATGATATTGTAGACCCCTATATCTCTCTGGCTTGTGATCCGTCTCACCCATTCGGCGAGTATTTGTCAACGGCAATTCGGCATCGCATGCATCCTCGATATACGTATCCCGGTGAGTTATCCATCGCTAGCATGAGTGAATGGCTGGCCACGAACGACTTTCCCAGGGATGGTAAAGTATTGTGAGCAAGTTTCCACCCTGAGCAAGTTTCAGGCGACCTATAGCGTTACTTGCTCACCGGAATTATGGAGTCGCTGATTGGGTCCAACAACGGTATGAATGGACGACCTCGAAGTGCTGGACGCTGGATAAGACTGACAAGCATCTCTTTTTCAAACTTTATCATCTCTTCATACAACTCGAATGTGCCTTGCCTCCGTCTTGCAGTATACCACAAACAATCAACCGTTGCACAGAAAATCACAATGGATATGTCGGGTATGTCATCGATGACGAGCATGGCAGGCTCACCAACTTCGACAATGGCAGGGAGTGCCATGAGCACTGCCAGCTCCATGAGCAATGGGGGAACCATGATGATGGGTATGGAAGACATGATGATGGTCTTCTTTTCGGGAACCAAAACACCCTTGTATTCCACAGCATGGACACCTGCGTCCACGGGACAGTACGCTGGCACATGCATATTCTTGATTGTTCTTGCCGTCATCTTTCGAGCGATCCTTGCCATCAGAAGTGTCTTTCCCCGAGACCGATACAGTGCGACCTTGTTAGGGCCGGACCATGACAAGTTCAGTGCTCGCACCATCGAATTCCCCACGCGAGGAATACAAGCCCGGCCTTGGACGGCACATGAAGCTGCATCGAGAGCTGTGCTCGATGTTGTTTTGGCTGGAGTGAGCTATTTGCTGTAAGAATTCATCGATATATACTACACCAGATTGGATGACGGCTGACCCTGAAGCTAGGATGCTCGCAGTCATGACCATGAACGTCGGCTATTTTCTCAGTATCCTGGGAGGAACTTTCCTAGGGAGTTTCGCATTTGGTGGCTGGACAGGAGCAACCAGTCATTGATTGAGTTGAACCATAATGCTTTTTACGATACTTATGATGAGCTTCCCGGCGCCGATGACTTCTGTCAAAAGAGCCGGACAAGGTTCTGCCAATGGGTTTCAGTCACGTCAGCCTGACATGACAATAAGCCTTCAGTGGTGCCAATAGTCCCAGTGCTGTAGAGATTGGAACAGAGTGAGCCATAAACCTCGTGAAGGTTGCTGATGGCGATAAAACTGAGGAACAGATTCGTGTCATGGTAAAAGGAAGAAATTGTTCACAGTCTGACGATTCCCTGATCGGTCAATTGTGACGAAAACTTCTTCAACCACTCGATTGACTTCTTAAGATACTCAATCATTGTATACCCAATTGCTGTAAATATTATGCCTGGATACTCACCGACTTACCTAGGCTTCAATCACGCTAGTTTTCAGGGCGGACATCGTTAAGGTGTCGATTACCGCCTTGAATCATCCTCAATAGAGGTGAACTGACGTCTAAAGACATGAAAAACATAGATTCTTCCTTATACCACCAAAGTTATAATATCTAACGAACCAACTTCGAGTTCATTCCAACGATGGCTCGCGCAATATCCCAATCGCCACCCTGACCAACCCAATCCGTTACTACAATGCCAGTGGACCAATCTCCATCTTTGACACGGCCTTGATCTTCCAACATGTGGTTCTGGCACAGATGTGCAGTGACCGCAGGATTGACCTCAGCCGCGATCTTCTCTGGCCAAGTCCCGACTTTCCAAAAGTTACTTGCGCTCAAAAAGTTCACGTAGAGAGGATTTTTCTTGTCTCCCTGAGCCTGGACATTTCCACGTTCGAACTTACAACAGCCACTACGCTCGAGATGGTCCCTCGCGTACTGGATCTTCTTCTCGATCGTTGGTTTCTCGAGGACCTCGTAGAAGTCCTGGACGCAAACGTCACCGGATGGACACATGGCGTTGGGTGTGTTGTCCGCCCAGATTTGGGCGTCAATGCCCCAACCGCGTCCATCCCATTCCTTGCGGAGTGGTTCTTCCAGCACGAACCGACGCAGGAGGACGATGCGTCCTCGAACCTCGCCCAATGAAGGGACACGGGGTTCGGTGAACCACTCACGTAAATTGGTGTAGTGATTCTTGAGGATGCGTGACAATTGCTCGTCGGTTCCTTTGCCGGTGCCCTCGCGTTTCAGCGAGAGGATCAGTGTCTCACTAGGATGATCCTTCAAGAACTGCAAGATGGTGTTGTAGAGGTCTCGGAAATACTTGGTCCCCGACAAAGCTATTGGAAATGCAGCATGGACGAGATGCAGCTTGTCTGAGTTCGGATCGTACGGCTCTGGTACTTGGACGCGGATGTCGAAGAAACGAACACCATTTTCCAACTGTTCTTTAGGCGAGACAGCCTGGCATCGCACCGAGGGTGGTGCATTGTGGTGTGTCGGAGAGTTGTGCGTGCCTGGGATCGACAACGCACCTAGAGGTGTCTCGTCTGGCAGTTCCTTCATCCACGCCTCCAAGTTCGACGTGTTGAACAGTGCGACGTAGGACGAGTCAGGGAGATAAATGCCAGTAAAGCGCATTTTGGGGTTCGGCGCCAACGCGACCAAGGATGCAGTTTCTTTCGTCGGCACCGGACAGTACATCTGATGCTTGCCTCCGAGATCAGTCTGGAACGTTAGCCTGAGTCGTTCATTGGGCTTGTTGATGACAGCCTTGATATCGGTGGGCACGACGGTGAATGGTGGTATTTTGATCGAGACGTCTCTTGTTGCAAAGGGTTTGGCATCAGCATCGATCTTTGGCACTTCTTTCCTTGTGGTGCTGTTCGTCAGGCCAATGCTGTTGGTCACCGAGGCCAGCGACATTGTCACGTTTTGCATCTGAAACCCCTCATCTGGAGCAGGGTCGAAATGCTCGACCAACACTAGAGTCAGGGGATTGTTGCTGACATTGCGAATGGTGACGTTGGGAGCCATGATTGCAGTTTGAGGTTTGCGCTGGAAGATCGGAAAGAAACTCATCAAACAGCAAAGGAGAAATACACAATTATGAGACGATCATGAGCTCACTAGTAGTAAGGTACGCCGAGTTGGCATGGCCACGCAATAGCTGCAGTTCAGCTGAGCTTGTTGTCGATGATGTCGACTAAAAAGCTTGGACTTCAGCTCGAGTTCAATAGACTGGACCCTGGGAAATCCGGAAAAGTACAAGCCTTGGAGGGGCTATAGGGGGTTCGATTTGGAGGAGGGGCCTAGCATCATCATCATCACCACCAACCACTGATCATCATTGCTCGCTTCAAGCGCCAATCCCTGCTTACAACTATTGCTTATGGCTTCTCTTCTCAGTCCTCAAGATCACAAAATTTGACATCCGAACAGGCCGGCGGCGTTTCAGATCATGGCAGCCTTACTTTTACTTCGGCCGTCTCACCTTAAAACATAGTTTCACACGGCCCGGCCAGTCCGAGGTCGGTGCTCAATGTCTCTTTATCTCCTTCGCAGCCAGTTTGTTACATTTTTTCTTGGCATAAATTTGTATGAGAAAGTCCACTATATTACTCCGTATTACACTTCAAGACACAATTCCTTTACAATATTAATAAAGAAACCATTAGAATAAGTCTAAATAATCTCTTAGAAGATACTAAAGAATATATAAATATAATAAAATTTAGAAGATTTCGCAAAAAGGATAGAAATCCTTGCGCATAATTGAGTTGAGACCTTTAACTAGAAGCTTTAACTACATTCTTAACTAAATGATGTTTAGGCACGTCCTCTAGGCATACATTAGTTAAGAAGAAGAAGATGCCAAGAACAATTGTAATAAATTGGCTGCAGAGGAGATACATACTGTACTGGGAAAGGATGGAGATGTCTCCTAGTGGCCGTTGATTGGCTGTGGCAAGTGTGTGCGCGGGACGATGTGAGTGTCTTGGTCAAGGCATTAGAATGAGTAGATAGTAACAAGCATAGCACACACGGAGGTGTGCAACTAGGCCCCTAGGCAATGAGATGAGTCTTCTTTTCCTTGAGTATGAGTGCGCTGTTCCCTGGTGGCTGTGAGCCCTAGGTGCGTGATGCTGAACGAGTAACGCACTCACCCCGTGGCCCTGTGAATGTCGAGTGCGCCTGTACAGACACAGGTGGCTAGGACGACTAAGCGGCGAGTGCTAACGAGTCTCTGAGGTCGACGAGGACGTCGACATTGTCTACAGGACGCTGCAGGATCGCAGCGTAGGTCACAGAAAGGGTCTTTACGGATCAGGAAGACCTCTGGGTTCGAGGTTTGTTGTTGTTGCGGTTACAGACTAGCCCTGTGCGCACCTGGTGCTTCCCCGTTTACTCCTGTTATAATACTTTGAGGTGACTGACTACAGGTGGTCATTTCTTGGAATGCTCATATCTTCAAAACAAGATGATTAATGGTACCAGGAACATAGAAAGTTGTCGACATTATTCGTGCCAAATAGAAGATCGAGAAGCGATTATATTCTTCAGCCGCAAACACGAGTTGTACATTTCTAGGGCTGAACTAACGTGCTATCATGTTGAAGGTCCTTTTCTTCGGCTGACCCGTGGACATAACCTGCGTCGCCGTCCAAGTCATGGCCACCTGGTCGAGATTCAATCTCCAACTTCGGTTCCATGGCGATGGTTGGCCCCGAACCTTCGTGTCTACGATGTGGAGGGATGAAAACCTCGTAGTATCTCGGGAAAACAAAGCCCAGGATGATAAGAACCATGCAGATATTAGCGACGATAAAGCCGGTGATCATCAGCGGATCATATCGCAGAGTGTGAAATTCCGGATAGGCGAAGCTGAGAATAATGGCGAGAACGGGGCCACTGACATATCGAAGGAGAAAAGGCCAGAAAGGAGGAATCTTCCAGTTTCGTCCTGATCCGACTATAATGTTGAGATCACGCCTAAGTTGGTTTCCCTGGAAGATTGATCAATAAACGAAGAGCATGCAAAGAGTAGGGACACGTACTGAGTAGAATGCCAAGTACCAGAAACGACTGAGGAAGACATTTCGTTTCCAGAAGCCTGCCGCTTTCACTTCTGGAGACTTTGCAAGAAAGACCGACACGACGGCAAGTACCGCGTAGAAACCAATTCCGGCGCCGGCGCCGGCTCCAGGGTTTCCAATGCCATGTGCAAGGGATATACCAAAAACCTGTCCACCAAAGTACCCGACGTTGTAGACCGTAAAGGCAACGAGGCCCGTCTGATCGACAACATCTCTCCAGCGGTAAACGGTTGTTGCACTGACAACTTCGGACCACACCACAAAGATCAAAGCCACGTTGTTGACCCATCTGTCAATTCCGTCGAGGAGGTAGTATCCAAACTCGGTGCAGTAGGGCAGACACATGAGGAATGAGAGCAACGTAAGACCAGTTACAATCACAGGTCTCGAGTACTTGAGGCCGGAGTCGACAAGCAACGTGGCAACTGCGTCCAGCATAACGAAGGCCGAGCTGAAGCCGAGAACTACCAGTGTGAAGAACAGCAAGATTGCCCACCAGTTTGCACCTGGCATCTGCAATACGGCTTCCGGCAGGGTGAGGAAGCCGACGACAAAGGCACCAAGTCGAACGCCATCCTGTGGCCAACGTCGAAGATAGCCCACAATGCCAAACACTGCAAAGGCAGCAAAGTTCTCGAAGAGGACGTTACTGCCACAGATCAAAAATGCATCCATCACGGCATTCGAGTGTTTGGCGTTGTACGAGGCGTAGGAGGTGAAGTAGCCAAATCCAATTCCAGTAGAGAAGAAGACCTGGCCGACGGCAGTTTGCCATACCGTCCCGGAAGTCAGTTGCCCGCCTCGCCAAGTCGCCCACAAAAGACGGACGCCCTCTCCAGCATTGTCCAGCGAGAGACTTCGACCGACAATGATGATGGTGGTGATGATCGGCAAGCCCATGGTGAAATAGACCACTCGTCCAGTCATGCCAACGCCTCGAAAAATCGAGATCCAGATGAGGAACCAGATGAAAGCAGACCATCCGACGGTCTCCCCTATCAGGCTGATATCAGGGTACTTGGTGAAAGCGACGACGGACTTTCCGTCGGAACTCAGACTGCCCGCAATAGGGTCTGGGTTCCCGATCACATCGTTGTTGTAGAAATCCTCGATCCTACCCTCCCACGGTAGCGGGCTTCGGAAGGAATTGCGGAAGTAGTTCATGATCCATGCGAGATTGACGGTAAAGTATTGTACGACGATGAAACTGACAAGGACAGGGCCCAGACCCACACCTTTCAGGCGATGATTAATGTTGGAAAATGCGATCAATGATCCGGCACGGTATGCCTGGCCGATTGATATCTCGAGGATAAGAGCAGGAATGGCGATCAGAAAAACAGCCAGCAAATATGGAATGAACCATTGAAGGCCATAGTTGTTGTACACAACGGACGGATAGCGGAGGAGGTTTCCTTGCCCGGCACAACCACCCATTGCGGCCAGCAGGAATGCCGCCCGTGAAGGCCACTGATCGCGTCCATCATCCGATTGTTTGGGGGGAGGAGCAAACCAGACCGCCGCCTTCCTGAGATATTGGACAATTGCCATGTTGGATGGGCTTAGAGTAATTTTTTCGAAATAAAACCAAGAAACGCCCCAAAAATCCAACCACGCGACTGGAGACGACGTGCTTTATACTGGCCAGGGAGGGAAGAGAAGTCGTCATGACCCTGTTGTCGATGAAATTTCAACCGTACCTACCGTTACAATCCCACCAAACTTGATTTAGATTGCGTGCTCCTACCTGTGACGAATGCCAAGTGGTAGAGAACCATTTTCACCCGTGTTGACCTATTGTTCCGATGCGTGACGGAGTGCAGGACTATCAAGCACATGGCTGGCCTACTTGGCACGGAAAGGCGGGAATGGATGGTGGGCGCCGTGCACAAGGCGCGAAGGCCAAGGGGCGTTCTCCGCTGTTCTAAAGAGTCTTGGTATAGTTTGAAGAGTTGTAGCAGGTCGAGAAAATCTCTGGGCACATATCGGCGCGTCGGTGCCAAGAATTCCGCCCCCCTCGAGGACTTGGCGAATATTCGCGAGGTTACAGTGGAAAACCTGGTGTGCATAGACAACTATGAGTGTATTCAAAGAAGAGTGGCGTCGAGTGCAGGCTGTCGTATCAGGGCAAGGACATTAGCAAGGGAGTCGTATCGTACTGGCTGAAGCTTGAACCAACGGGAGTTGCCCGACATTGGGAGTAAGAAGAAATGGACTTCTGCTGGGACTTGACGTGTCCCGATCGAACGGCGCTGCACCGCTTAATACATACCCGTCCTTAGTAATAAATTTTCGTTTCCATGACCAAAATGTTCATCAAGGTAAATGTGAATGTTTTCCATGAGGGTTGAAGGATTAGCATAAGTGGCTAAGCATGAGCTCATGGGAATTGCGCTGATCAATTCGATTAAGGCTACCCGAAAAGGGCTTTAAGATATCACCGTTCAACCACTTGAATCTATATCAATACTACGAGTCGTCGAGAATAGCTTTGTGGACATTTGTATTGGCATGTCTCCGTGTATTCTCGGTTTGCTGCCACGTTTCCCGGTTGTGAATACGCTTCACATGCCGAAACCACATTGAATATCTGTAGAAAATATTTGACCTCATTTGCTCGTATTACCGCCTTCATATTCTTGTAGATCACCCAATCTGCAGAAGACGTCGACGTGCCCTGCGTCTGTGTGCTCATGAAGATGCTTCCCCTGAGACGTGATTGAGTATACGGCATCGCTTCCATCCACATCTATTGTATGCGACCCTGTGGAAGTGACTCCACGGCGTAGGGATGTTTGTTTCAAATGTCGTTTTCTCGAGATCCTGTGGCAAAAGGCAACACTGTAGTCCCGGTGCAAACATTCCTTTCGTCTGAGATCCGAAACGTGGGTGCCATCACATTCGATCGACCATTTCGTCTCGAGCAACGCTCACGGACTCAAGGTTTATTTAGTACTTTGTTTTCCTGTCCGAGGTCCTTCCTGCATCATGCTCCAGCACTTCCACTGCTAATCACTGTGTCGGACAACCTTCTTCAAGTCCCTTTTCATCCAGGTCAGGCATTCCCATACCGGGGAAAGGATTGGCAACAAGATCCTCGGGAGGGGCGCCTTCTGCCTGCATCGCTTGCATTTTCTCCCACACGAACTCTCGACATTTAGAATCATCATCACTGTAATCTTTCTCTTCGAATTTGTTTACAATCTCATTCACAATGACCTGTTGTCTCGAGAAACGCTCGTACTCGTCACTCGGCAATTTAGGCTTGTTTTGCTCCAGCCATCCTGGGTACTTCGTACTGAGCTCTTTCATCGGGTCGTAGAGCATGTCCTTGTTTGTGAGCTGTTCCATCATACCGAGAAACATTTTAGACAGGTCGCCATCGCCCTGGCCACCAGCACCTTCGGCATCCAAGGCGCGCAGCATTTCCGCTAGCATATCCTCCTCCGACTTAGAGGATTGCGCCGTCGCACTACTTGCAGCTGCCGAAGAAGACTCCATGCGGGCCATCGTCTTGCGGATAGTGTCTTCGAACGAAGAATTCGTTGCTTTGCCCTTGGAAGAGCCAGGTCGTTTGGCCTTTTCGGGACTTTGGGACTGTGACTCACTCTCCCTTCTCACGCGCTCGTTCACCGCAACGTCCTCGACCCTAGATCCAGTGTCCTCGCCTAGTATGGCCTTCAAGAGATCTTCGGGCTGAATGCCTTCAGACTCCATCTTCTGCGTAAACTCCTCGAGCTCACGACCCATTTTTGCGATGTCTTCTGGCGAGGCTGCCGAGGCGGCTGGGTCGGCCGAAAACTTGGACATGACTGTAGACATTTCGGCAGTGAGGCGAGCCATGAACTCTTCCTCGGACTCATTCGGTTTGGGACCTTCTGGGATGGGAATGTCAGGAGGGAGAGAGGGTTCATCGTGCGTCGCTGCGGCTGGTCTGCCTGGGCCGGAGGATGAAGGTGCGGGATCGGATTGAGGTTTGGGCTGCGCTAGGGATGCGGCTGAGAACTGATCAAGAACATCTGGAGGAGCATTAGTATGTCGGTGTGCGCAAGGAAGAAACGTTGACCATTGTACCATCGAGATCGTCAAAGTCTGGGTCCGAGTCAGCATCGGCGCTGGCTTCAAGAGGCTTCTGTGTCGCCGTAGCTGTATCTTCAGAGGAGTGCTCTGCCCGTGGCGGTGATGGCTGCGGTGGTTCCGCCATATTTTATAGAGTTATGAAGTATGTTGTGCTGTTGCCGTCCGTGGGAATGAGCCTCCTCGTCCAAATCGCAGGCTGGATGGAATCTTACTGTCGATGGAGCAAGTCGAGCTACCAAAGGGAGGATGTACGAGATTCGAGGACGAATAGGTGAGGATGGGCTGACAGGATAATGACCAACAATTTATCTCGCTATATCATCGACAAAATGGAACAAACTCAGGCGGGCATTACTTGTAGTCGTAGGCTGGAGATGGTCCCCGCAGGCCGAGGTACCTACTTTATAACTGACGAGGCCAATACACCTCTTTTGCATTAATGACCACCTACCTTCGGATAAGAACCTAGGTAAATAGCATATTTTTTCTTGTCGAATTACATCTTGCGGCCGTTTTCGTCTCGGGTCAACCAAATCATCGACATGATCGGGGCAAATGAAGCGAACTCCATTCTGGCCATCGTCATACTGGCACACGAGTTCTAGAACTTCGAGGTGGTCGGGTTTGTCTTCTCCCCGGCTGCTCTCGACCCAAAAACCCAAAGGTGACCCCCTACGCGTACTCTTCTGCGGCTCCGATTCATTCAGTGCGACCTCCTTGACGGCCCTGCATGCCTTTTCAAAAACACCGCAAGCCAACATCGCCTCCATTGATGTTCTCACGAGGACAGACAAACGAAGTGGTCGAGGTCTAAAGCACGTCAATAGTCCACCGATCAAGCATGTCGCCCAACGACTTGACCTGCCCGTTCATCAAATCGACACCTTTAGAGGGTGGAGTTCACCGGAGTACCAAGGCTTGAATGGACGGATTAACCTGGTGGTAGCTGTATCCTTCGGGCTGCTCATCCCTCGAAGGATTCTCGATATTGCAAAATACAATGGTCTGAATGTGCATCCCTCAATGCTACCGGACCTGCCAGGAGCTGCACCAATTCAATGGTCCATAATCTATGGCAGAACGACAACGGGAATCACGGTACAGACATTACATCCATCCAAGTTCGATCAAGGGACAATACTTGACCAGACTCCTGCTCCCGGCATCGAGATCCCCAATCCTCAAAGTATTACGACTCCGCAACTCATTGACTTGTTGGCGCCCTTGGGAGCAGATATGTTGGTCAACGCAATTCGGCACAGACTGTACATCCCGCCGCAGACTCCCATCCGCGACCAAGAGAATCCGGAGGAGGTTGCAATGGCTCCTAAGATCACTGCCCAGATGAGAGTCGTTGATTTCGCCAAATTCACGGGTACTGAACTACTACGGCGAAACCGAGCCATCGGACCTCTACAGGTTTTCATCAAGAATGACGATGCGATGAAGGACACGATCCGCATCAAAATATCCGAGGATGCGCGATTTGCTACCGCCTCTGACATCCCAGAAGGGTTGAGAAGCTGTGCCGACTCCATCCCAGTGGGCGTTCCTTACGCAATTATACCGAAAAGCCAAGATCCGATTGAAAGTGATAAGCCTTTGTTGGTCAACACTCTCGCCACAGATGGCGAGGGTAGACAACTTGTGTTTCCTCACATGACTGTCGCTTCTATGGGAAAATCTACTGGTGCCGCAGCCGCTGCTCGCACCGTAGTCTTCCTGAGAGCAGAGAGTGTCGGAGACTTTTGTCTGCAGGTCTCTACGCGGCCTTTTGAATTGCCGGAGATCCACACCGCATAAGAACAACCTATACACCGAGATTCGCAGAAGCCATCTACCTGATGATAACGCCGGCATCTGGAAATGTTCAGCGCTATACCCGTCCAAATAGGTTTTTGACCTACCAACTACAATTTGCTGGCCTGTGATCGAGGTGTTCTTTGCAGTCGAGATGAATGAGTCGGCACAGTCATCCAGATATGTCTTGTCAATGGTTAGCATGTCGTGGAAGGGCAAGAAGAGAAACCCACTTCATGTTTCAAGGCAGCTGCATTAATCGTCTGCTGTCGTCGGTCCTCAGTGTACCTCATACCCTGCTATTGTTAGCGGTCGAGACTTTGTTCTAGTTTGGACTATACTTTCCCAATCTGTGAGCAGAAGACCTGGCAAAATTGCGTTGACTCTTATCTTCGGGCCTTGGGTCGAGGCGAGGCATTTCATCATGTGAACACCGGCGGCCTTGGTCACAGCTACTACATGTTAGAAGGCCAGGCTGAACTGAGGAAGTCTTGACATACAGTAGCCCATGCTACTTCCAGCACAGCTAATACCCTTGGATATGTCAGCTTGGAGACTTGGTGGTCTCGACAGTTTCCTACCGCAATCGATGAAGAAATGAGAAATACTCCTCCATCCGGGTTGGCATTGAAGAGCGGTGCAACCTCCTGCATCAGACATAGTTGTGACATGACATTCACGTGCCAACACTGCTGAGATGAGCTTGGATATTGAACATCACAGCGGTAGTCTGTACCTTGTCCCATTCATCGTGGCTGAGATCGTTAATGTCTCCAAATTTCGCAAATCTAGTCCAGCCAGCATTGTTGACGAGGACATCGATTCCACCGAGTTGTTTCACGGTCTCCTGGACCAGCCGAGCACAATCTGCTGCGACTCCGACATCCTAAGAACCATGTGAGCTTTGCTCGATACATGTCAAGTAGACCACAAGACCCACCCCTTGGACAATGGCAGCCTTGACACCGAAGTCCTTCGTGCACTTTCCGGCAAGCTCTTCTGCTTTGTTCTTTGCGCTTGCATAGTTGATCATGAGATTTGCACCCTCTGCAGCAAACTTTTCGCATATCACAGCGCCTAGGCCTCTGCATCATAATGAGGACTCTGTTCGATGATTTCTTGAGGGGTTATACCTAGATCCACCAGTGACCAAGACATTGCGACCTTTTAGGCTGTAGGGCATGGTGCAAGATGATAGTGATGATTCAATATTAAAATTTCTAGAGTAGACTCCTTCCGATAACAAAGTATATATCTCTGGAGAGAAAATAACACCAAGACAGCAATGATACAGGAGACTACTCTAATAATGAATAGTATTTGTGGCACGTCGCGGGGCTCCGGCCAAGGTGTTCAGTATTATACCTGAACCCCGTGGTCGGCATCCGTCTAATACATGATGCGGGACAAGTGCCGAGATCCGCAGTGCCAAAGCCGCATAAAAAAGCCGTGTCTTGCCGCGGTCATTCGTAGATTCATTCTCCAGCAGAGGTTTATCATCAACGCTGCTGGCTTCTCCTGCGATACCCAGTCCTCGAGGTAAGGAAGGCCGTTGAAGGTGCAAGGATTGGATCTCGAAATGAAGTACGGAGGAGTCGATCTGATACACACAGGAGAGCTCATCAACTCGTGCAACACAACTCAAGCAAAAATGATCTTGCTTGGGGCCTTGAAGGGTTGCAAAATGGATGCTGTTGATGGACATAGGGCAAGGTGCAAGATTGAATCAAGTTGAATCATGATTGTCGTGGGCAGAAATATCTTGGGCGGTGTAAGTAGTTGAAAGGCTGATTGCTTTCGTCTCAGACAGACGTGGCAGTAGCCATGGCCAGGGTGTGTCTTGCTCTTTCCTGATGCTTTTGTCCACATTGTTGTTCGCTTCAATTCCTCCTTGCAACTGCCCCTGCAATTACGACGACTCTACTTGGGATACCAGTGTCAGGAATCCCCCATCGTGTCGACACTTTTCAATGAGTCCACGTCCCGTTCATCGTCTGTCGAGGATTGTGAACTAAGACATCGTCATTGTCGAATTACCATGGTCTCTCACACACGAACCCACAGCAAAGGCTCCTTCTCTATCTTCTCCTTTGACTCAATCCGCTCCTTTGGTCATGCCGGCTCACGACAAGGTATACGTGGTCCCTCTGCGCGTTTTCAATGACTGACCCTGAGTCCAGCTTCTCGCATCCCCTCCAGTGCCGACTTGAATGGCCGCATAGAGTCCAGCCTTTCCTATCGTTGTGATCCCAATGATCAACCACCAGCATCCTCTGAGGTTGAGCAGCCCAGGAATAATGATGTCGTGGCACAGTCTTCGGACAGAAAAGAGGGTTCTGCTCAGGCCCATAGCCTATCAGGCAAAGGAGACAACGTTCAAGAGACTTCTGCAATGCGGAGCAGACGGCGGTTTCGACCATTATCGTGGCTACCGTGGTCTCAGTCTTCAGTTGCATCACAATATCCCCGTAGCCAGTCTGTCCACCTTCCCAAAGCTCCTAGCACATCCACGGTTGCTCGAAGTTTCATCTCTGCTCCAATACTCACCAGCACTACCAATGTGGATGTTGCACGTACTGAGGGTGTCGTATGTGGCGAGATATCTGACATGGGTTCTGCCAGGACTAGGTGGGATCCAGTGCTGGGATGGGTTGCTAATTCGCCAGAAGAACACAATGAGCGCGTGCCTTCTTCGGAGAAACTAGAAAGAAAGACAACGGGACCGAACGTTGCTGACGCATCAAAGTCACCAACCAAGATGTCTATGTTGCAAAAACGCCGCATCATCAAGCTAGGCAACATCATAAGGAAGAGGGTTAAAGGGGTGCCAGTGAGATTCCGATCTAGAAGAACTGCCTCCCGCGTGGTTCATGCACACAATGAAGACACAGATGAGCACCCGGCTTGTGGGAGCCCTGACAAGCATCTTCCAGTGGGAATACTGAACCTGTACAAAGGAAAGATGAGAGCACTTACTGAGAATAAACACCTCAGGCGGAAATCGTTGAACAGCAGCAAAGAGATGGCCCAGGCACGACAGGACCCGCCTCTTCTCAGTGATTTCGCTGATGGAACAATTCTTGATACTGAGGCGGGTGTTGAACAAAGCGACTACGAGGAATCTGCCTTTGGCTCGTTGACCAAGTCATTTGCGAGCGCAGTCGACAAATTAGATTTCCATTCACCTCTCCAACGCAATCTTCCTTTTTTGAGATCAAAGTCATCTTTCTTTTCTCAAAAGAAGGCATGTCACGGAGACAAGGCAGGGTTCCTCGACAGACAACGACACTTCCAAGCGATGATGGCACCGACACCAGTCCTCGAACCTGAGTATCCTTGCATCCGCTCAATGGTCGCTGCGGTGCCAGAACCCGTCAAGAGAGCTGCAAATGACCTTGCAAAGCAGGACAATGTCCCAACCCCCGTGCTCTTCTCGACCGAGGCGAACAAGTACGTGGATGCAAAACCTCCAGCCGGCTATCCTCGAGGAGTGAATCCTTTGGGAATGCATCCACCAGACACATTTGCCAGCGCACCGTCAGGTGGACGTCCAGAGATTTCTGCTAGTGTCGACGCTGCTGCTTCACCACCTCCACGGCAGACCCCAAATCCCTCCACACAGATTGATGATGATGACGACCTGGCCTCTCTTCAGGATGCCCCCATCTATTCACCCTCGTTGGGCGATCTCAGTCAATACGCGCGAGATACACCTCCATCCCACCGACGAAGCCATCCAGAGACCTCTCCTCCAACTTACTTTGAGCCCACTCCTACCCGGGTTGGTATGTTGCCCGCCAGAGAACCATCGACCGAACGGCAAGGAAGGCTACTCAAGAAGAGCAGGAGCGGACTCTTTTCTAGATCCAAGTCAAGCAAAACAATTACTCGAAAGGATAAGGAGATGGCCAACCCTTTACATCAACGAGATGCCAATCAGCAGTTGGCCGTGTACCAGGGACGGACAGTGAAGAAGAGCCGAAGCCTTCAATTCGGTGGACTCTTCAGAAAGAACAGTCAGCCAAAGTCGGGGGTGCGGGTTCCATCTGAAGTTCCATTTCAGCCGACCACCCCTTCACCACTTCGAAATGTCACTCGAGTCTCCCACGGGAGTGACACAATCAATAACAAAGTCGACAATGGCCCGCCACGTATGCAGTTCACAAGACAATAGAAATCATATGCAACATTCAAAGTCGACATCGTGGTCAATCAAAAGCGGTACTGGGAGAAAGCTCTAGGTGATTAGCGTTCGAAATGGTCAGCTGGCAGTCTATATTAATCATGTCAGAGAGCGACGTGTGAATCCATGAAAGGAGGTCAGAGCAGGAAGAACTGGCTCCATGAATGCCGATGTACCAGTACTTTGCGCAGTCTGGGACAACTGGGGGCGAGGATACGGTGTGTAGAGCTTTTTACGTTACTGCACGGTGCCTGCATATGGTGGATCTGGGGTTGAAGAGCAAGCGAAGAACATTCAATCCTAGCAGACTTCAATGGCCTCTAGAGCTTTGTAGAATAATTATCCAAGCAAAATCACTAGTCCCTCCTCTGTGTCTTGTGTTCTTCAGTTCTTGTCACATTGAGGTAGTGACAAACAGCGACAGCACCCCTCGGCACTGGCATTGTAGCAAGATTCTGATGCTTGGGAAACAGAACCAAAGGAGAAACGATCAGAGCCAAATATCTCAACGTCCAATGGAGGTCCGAACCGCTGCGTAGATGGCGCCGCAGAGGCTCTGGATCCCTGCTAAGCGTTGATTTCGGGTTCCACTGGCGCATGAAGCCTCCACTGGTGATGAAGGTCCAGGGTTGAGGTGGGAAAGTGACAGCAGTGACAACATGAATGGATGACACGGGAAGTCAAGAAGACGAATTCATTACATCTGTTGTCTCGACCAGGACAATTTTGGATTCACGATTACCCCGAGGTAGCGATAGAGCGTTTTTAGGAATTTTATTCGGAGTAGGTGATCACGAACGATGGTCATTTACCAAGATAGGCCTAACCAGGTACGGGGAGTTTTCGTACTCGTAGACTCCCTAGAAGCGCCCTAGGTGCGGCAGAATTGATAAAGCAAGGATTAGCCCGATGGTCCGGAAGGTCGAGACACTTCGGAGGAGACGAGTGAAGATGGAGTCCTCCGAATTGTTACAGACAACTGGCGCACAATAATAAAGGGATGCAGTTCCAGGCCAGAGAGATCGGCGACGAAATGAGATAATTTAGTGTATCCTTTTCGAGTCTGGCCCTCGGTCACCTTTCTTTCCTGACATTTCAAAGAAGGCCTAGTGAGCCTTCAAGCGTACAGTAGGTACTCCGTAGGTATCTTAGGGAGTTAGTACGAGCAGTAGCCACTCCCTCCCAAGGTGCTCGTACCTTGTAGTCTCCATAACCACCCGTCCCCCCCGACGACTCCCTGCGCCCTGGATGTTGAGGCGTCAATACCGTAGCACTACTGTAAGCCCAGCTGCCACACACCCCCAGACTTCTTGTTTCGTATTCCTCTCAAGCTTCCTTCGCCGAGCCGGATCTTCTTTTGTCAATTCATTCTGATTTTGTATCTTACAACCTTTATTCATTGTTGTTGCGGTATAGCTTGTGGGTGCGAACGCCGACCCTTACAAGTCCGTGCTGGACAGTCTCTAGGCGAAGTTGCCGTGGTCCTTGGCAGGAGCTCCGACTCAAACTCTCCCGACAACAACTGACCGTTTACGCCTAACCACCCTCAATCCTTACCTCGTTATACGCATGCTTCCTACTCTCGCCTGAGGCTGAAATCGATGTACGTGATCTTGATTACTGAGGTGCTGTTTGGCACATAAACTTACCGATTTTTCCAGTCACCGCCGTTGCGGAGGTGAAACACCCTCGAATCAAGCCTCGAATTCTTCCTCCTTGTTGACGTTGGCTTCGCCGCTGAAACCCTTTCTCGGCAACAACATTCCTTCGAATACCTTTGGGTCATCAAGTCAGCGCAAGAATCCACGAAACGATGGCTTCCTCCTCGTCAAACGTCGTTGGTGTGCATTACCGGGTGGGCAAGAAGATTGGAGAGGGTTCCTTTGGTGTCATTTTCGAAGGCACCAACCTTCTCAATAACCAACAAGTGGCCATCAAATTCGTATGTCACTTGACACCGCAGCCGACGTGTAAAATCTCATTGGCATTAGGAACCTAGAAAAAGCGACGCTCCCCAATTACGAGATGAATATCGAACATACAAAATCCTGGTCGGCTGCCGTGAGTCTAATGGCCTCAATTCAACCTCTGATGGGCCGAACAGGCTAACAATATATAGCTGGCATCCCCAATGTGTATTATTTCGGGCAAGAAGGTCTGCACAACATCCTTGTGATCGATCTTTTGGGTCCTAGTCTGGAAGATCTCTTCGATCACTGCAACAGACGATTCTCCATCAAGACTGTGGTAATGGTCGCGAAACAGATGGTAGGGATTATTCATCATTGCTGTGGGTATTCGCTGACGAACCAAACCCAGCTTTCGAGAGTCCAAACGATTCACGAGAAAAATCTCATCTATCGCGATATCAAACCTGACAATTTCCTGATCGGTAGGCCTGGTACCAAGGCTGCTAACGTCATTCATGTGGTCGACTTCGGCATGGCAAAGCAATATCGAGACCCTAAAACTAAACAGCATATCCCCTACCGTGAACGAAAATCTTTATCGGGAACGGCCCGTTACATGAGTATCAATACACATCTGGGCCGGGAACAGTCGCGACGAGATGATCTGGAAGCGCTTGGGCATGTGTTTATGTACTTTCTCAGGGGAGGACTCCCATGGCAGGGACTAAAGGCGGCAACCAACAAACAGAAGTACGAAAAGATTGGAGAAAAGAAGCAAACCACTGCTATCAAAGATCTATGCGAAGGATTTCCAGGTACGTTTGGCACTACAGTATATCAGGGCCTGTGAGAGCTAATCGTGCACGTAGAGGAATTCAACAAATATCTCAGTTACGTTCGAAACCTTGGATTCGAGGATACCCCCGATTATGATTTTTTGCGCGACCTCTTCACGCAGGCTTTGAAAAACAGCGGCGAGGTTGAGGATGGGGAATACGACTGGATGAAATTGAATGGCGGACGTGGTTGGGAGACAATGAAAGCACACCCATCTGCGGCGCATCTACACAATGTCAACCCTCCCGCTGATGCATCAGCGCGTGCCTTGCACGGAGCTTCTGCTATGCGTCAAGATGGCGGACAACGGCCATCGCGAGATCGTGGAGCAATATCGGCGGATCGTTTAAACGCAGCGCAGCCCCCGCCCCCAGGGTCGCCAGCAAAACCGGGAGTGGCAGCCATGGGGAAGAGCGCTCGAGATCGCACAAGCGGCGCCGCCGGGGGTAACATTCCTAAGAGGAGTAGCGGTTTAGTTGGACAACTGGATATGAATACACCTCCCGCAAGCACTCAGGCGCAATTCCAAAACAGTAATGCGAACTTGGTGGGATCTCGGCCTCGGGCGAGTCCAGCTGCTGGAGCTCTGCAGAGTAGCCAAGGAAGGCCTACTCAGCAACAAGATCAGCAGCCCGGATTTTTCCAAAAGATTGCGAAGGTTCTCTGTTGTGGTATGTAATGATATATGAGGGAAAGGATTTTGTGCTCACATGTTACAGGTTGAATGCTTTCCATAATTGCAGCAAGCTATTAGAAGCGGAGCACGGTAGATATTCGCCCTCAGCGTCCCGCTTGCTGTACGACAGCACTATTTTCACCACCTACTCTCAGGAGGTTCGCAATATCACGGAACAGTTATGTCCTCCAACTTAATCTTCATCACTTGGATTCGTTTCCTAGCACTTTGTCCGTCGGCAACACTCCGTCAAAACCCGATATTCGGAACCACGAGCTTGGGAGGAATCAACTATTTTGACGAATCACGATCACTCCTTGCCTTGAACAGATACTGTTTGCGCTGTTTTCTTATCGTACAAGGTCAGCGGGATGGTGTTGTATGGATGCATTTACAGATGGATGCCGGGAGTTTGACAGTTGGAATTGCATAAGCATGAACAAAAAAAGACATTACAGACCGGAGCTGTCTCGCTCCCACACATGCGCAGAAGACTGGAATCTGGTGGGCGTCGAAAACCAGACCAGCCCGCCTCTTGCTGTGCTATGTACCATAGACCAAGCATAGCAGAAGCCGGGAAAATAAAGGACAAAGGAAGGGGTGTAATGAGGAATAAAACAATCCACAAACTGACTCGATCTGCGGTCTACTGTACTCCGTATGATAAGTAGCTCTTTGGGACCACACAGTTAGTCGTAGACAGGCTTGCACAGCCACAGTCAAAGTAGAGGTCACAGCTGAATACGGAATCGTATCTTGGCTGTTTCTGGTTGGGTTTGAATGGAAAATCATATGAGGGTCAATGCTATTCACCCACGACATGCACTGAAGCTGTATTTCCAGCGCCATGTCACAGATAGATTTGTAGATTGCTTTATGGCGTACGGAGCAGTGGAAGATGTATCTGATTGCAGAAGTACCAAGGCCTTTGGGCATCAGGCGAACAAGTGATTTGGGTCCGCCTCGACTCCATACGTGGGTAAAGATATTTCAGGATGTACCAAAGTTCCAACGACGACGAATCAGATGACGAGGCCGGCGAGGCAGAAGGCAGACACTGAATTCCACCTGAGTGGGATTTGGGCCCTGTTCGGATTGTGGCACTTCTTGGGCACCTGTCACGGATTTCTTCTGCAGGTAAGCATAGGACTCGATGGTCCGCTGTGAATGGTGAGGAACAAAGAGGCAGACTGTGACATGATAGTCCGCAAGGCAATTGTCTCTTGGGGCGACATCTTGTACATTACGGTAGTTGCAGATAATGCATTGATACTGTACACCAGAGGTGAGGAGGAGGGCGAACCACGATCATGATGCACTGGCGCCGGGGAATTTGGTTAGTTTCAAATAACAAGCAACGATGGTCCCTCTATTCAATTCAATTCATCTCACAAACTTTCAATCTGTGTCTTTCGCAGTCTTCACACTTTCCTCGCCGCACTCTTTCCTCTGTGCCCAAGCCCGATAACACACCGCGACTTCTTCTCCCACGGCTTTCGCATCGCCTCTAACTGAATCGTCCTATTGCCGCCCCAATCTGCTGTTCTTACCAACTCCCCACACCTTGGTTCATTCACATCCGAACCAACATTTTCTGCCTTCCGGTCCACCTCGACAACCCGACAAGATCATAGCGACGTTTGGCTGGTCATTTCGGGGTCGCGACCGTTCAAGCAGTGTTGTTGTGACCTGTATACATCATCGAAGGCTCTGTGCGATCTCTTATACTCCCTCGCTTCGGCACTGCCTCAACGCGGCTGAGTACGCTCCTGGCCCAAAAGTGACTCCGACTCGTGTAGAATGTCTGCTAACACACTGCGCCACAGGCTGCCTGGTAAAGAGTTATCCCAAAATACCTCCGGCTAGCCCCATCCACTCGTTGGACGGCTTGTGTGCTGTTCTACCGACGATCGAAAGTTCCCGCAGGTGCCTGGCTTCTTTTCCTGTCCACCACCGTGATTACCCAAACCCACATCACCATCGCCGGTTGAGCAGAAGGGCTCTTTCATAAAAGATGGAAGACTCCCGGGGAAGGTCCTCCTCGAGGGGCAATGCGCAGCACATAAGCCCTCAGCCTTCTCCGAATCAATACGCTACAACCGTCCCAGGCGTGATTCCTTCGGTACAAGCAGCTTTAACCTCGGGCAAGTTCATCAACTCAAACACACAGCCCTTCTCAAATCCGTTCTTCGATCCACAGCAGCAGAGCGGTCTGCAGGCCAACTCCGCTGAACCGAATTACTACGGCGATAGTCAGTATCAAGATACATTCCAGACCAATCAATTCGGAAACCAGTCATTTGACCCATCATTCAACAGCACCTTCATGTTTCAAGGAGAAAATATGCCTAATGACTATCAAGCCTACACAATAAGTAATGCCTACGATATAAATCCACAGACGAACATCAACCCCGCCGACCTGAGTAAGGTTTCTTCTCCTCCACCAGACCAGCAGTCACCTAGTTTGCATCCACCAGAGAACCTTTCCTCTCAGCCTGGCTCGCCTGCATCCACGAATGGACAGTTCTATACGCCACAACATTCAAGGCACGCCTCGCTGGATCCTGCCAGCGCGTACGGAGATAGTTACTCTGGACTCAACTTCCAGCAGCACAGGAGGGCACCATCAGATCACAGTGAAATTTCATCGGCGAACCACTCCCCATACCTTGGTCAGGCAGACCTACACGATCCATCGGACTTGAACCATTCCCCGTTCCTTCAGGCGCAACCTGACACCAACAATGCCTTCGGCATGGAGAGTTTCAGCCTGGGTGAACAGGCCAACTACCGGTCTCCGCGATTGATGCCACACATGGAAGGTAATCAACAAGGTCTCGGGCCAGATCAAAGCTTGTCATTGAATCAACCAATGGGCATACCTATTCCTAACGTTTACACCTCGGAAGCATCAGCGTATCCCTCTATTGTTCCGAGCAACCACATGCGCAACACTTCTGTCGTTTCTGATATTGGACAAGCTGACCAGTTTGCGCCACCAACCATTAATATCGAGCCTGCCCCTGTTTCGAGACAACAGAGTTTTGGCCCACAGGGAGAAGCAGTAGAGGGGGCATTGAGCCCTCCTTCCTCGAATAGTAAGTTTCCTACTTTTGATGACATTCTCGGAGTTTGCGTTAACTTGAAGCCAGGAGGTCGAAGCCGAAGTAAATCCGACGTCACGTTCAGCAGACCCTTGTCCCGATCTGGGACTCCCGGGCTTACCTCGACAAACAACCTTGCCGTGTCAAGATCACCCGAAAGAGGGAGTCGTTCTTTGTCTCGCGAATCATCCCCGGGCCCAGTTGCCTCTGGCAGAGTGGAAAAGAATCGCAGAGCCTCGACTTCTTCTATGGGCCAATCTCGTGACTACATTCTTGATCTAGCAGACCCGAGCAGACCCAACGCTTCCCCAGCTGGCCAGAGTGCCCGAGTCCAAAAACACCCAGCGACCTTCCAGTGCAATCTTTGTCCCAAGAGATTCACGCGAGCTTACAACCTGCGGTCTCACCTGCGGACACATACTGACGAGAGACCATTCGTATGTACGGTGTGCGGCAAGGCGTTTGCAAGGCAACATGACAGAAAACGTCACGAAGGACTTCATAGTGGCGAGAAGAAGTTTGTGTGTAAGGGAGAACTTCACTCTACCCCTGGTCAATATTGGGGCTGCGGTCGGCGGTTTGCTAGAGCCGATGCTTTAGGGAGACACTTCCGATCCGAGGCCGGAAGGATATGCATCAAACCGTTGTTGGAGGAGGAAAAGGCCGAGCGGCAGAGCAGAGCGATGATGGAACAACAGCAACAACAGCAAGCACAATTCGCACAAAATTTGCAAGCTGTCCCTCAACCAATGATGATCGGTATGGATCCCACTACGGGCACTGGTGGATTTGCTCTGCCAGCAGCACTTCTTCAACAGTATCCCGCTCTTCAAAACATCGATTGGTCTCAAATCTCAACGGTCGACGATCAAGGTGATCTGAGCGATGTTGGTGGTATGGGAAGGGCTAGCTTCGATGGTTCAAGCGGGGGAGAGTACTACGATGAAGATATAAGTGATGGATATGTTAGTGGAAATGGTCTGGATTTTTCTAACCCTGGGCCTCAGATGTATATGGGCCAATGAATAGGACTACAGGGGTCGGCGATCTTTTCCGCGGTTTGTTTTGGACGATATCCCTCTTTCCAGTTCTAGCGATGCTTTGTTGTTCTTTGACAGTGGATAGACCTGGTTTCAACGATCACGACCATGACCATATGGGATGAGATTGAATTTGATGATGCTACGTACTTGCAGATACCACCTTACTTTTGGATGGGACAATGAACGCTTTGTTGATCAATTGTTGGATTCCAGCTCAGCATTAATCCCCATTTCATACAAGCAGCTGGATGACTTATCTTTTGGACGATCAATACTCATAGCTGATATCACCACGAATGCGCCAAACAACGAACTGGTACCAGCTAATCTGAGGGCTGAGGAGCATTGTTTACATTAGGGTAAGTCACTCCTTTTAGAAGATGTTGACGAGTGACAGAAAGCTAAACCTATTCACAGACGGCCTGTAGGAATACGACTTTGTGTCAAATTCCAAGCTGGGGTTCTTTGGCTATTCTCAGCTCTTCAGATCACACCGCCCCTGACGAGGCTGAATCACGTGACATTGTTTTCCCGCCTTCGAGATACAATACACCTATTCACCTATCCTGTATTCAATGAACATTTACTCACCACCCAAAGAATACTGCCTCACCTACCAGCACACGTCCGAAATGGGTAAGCATGGCGCAAGTACCAGAGCCGCCGCACATTTCACTTTCTCGCGATCTCAACCACCTTTGCAACCTCATCATCTCGCGACACCACAAAAATCACCACAATGGCTCGTGGCAGCGGCAAAAAGAGGGCTCATCGCTCTAAACGAGCGACTAAGCAATTCTTCAACCAAGGATCGCAAGATGGCTCGGCGAGCGCTCCCGGTGAAGGCGAATCATCAACAGCACAAAATCCTCATCCTGCTCCTGTCCCTTCGTCTTCCTCTTGTCTTGAACATCCACATCCAACCCCATGTCAATCACAGACAGCCCATGACGAAACAAAGCCAAAAGCTGTGATTCTTCCAAGAGGCTACACATTCGTGACACCTCTTTTGCACCGAGCAGAGAAACTTCAACTCATCACAGAATATGTAGGTTTTAATTTGACCTGCCTGGTGAAGTTTGAAGTGAAAAGTTTCGGTTTCAGTTTGCTGACGCACAATTTGTTCTTCTCTCTCACGTTTATAGCTCTGGAAGCGAGCTGAGAAGGACATCATCAGCCATTACAGAACTGCACCTCTCAAAGCTACCGAGGAGCTGGTGGCCCAATTCGCCTTCGCGTACTCGATCAAACCTCCCGGCTGGACGACCCGCGTGTGGCGAGTCGATCCCGAGATCATTCGACGCGTCGCGAGGGGACTCTGGAAAGAGGGCGGTTTGCACAACGTCTTCAGGGCCAACGGCACAGAAGGTCGCGGCTTGGAAGCTCGAGACATTGTCCTCACCGCCAACAAGAACCAAAACCTGGGCGACTGGGAAGCCGCGGCTTACATTTGCAACTGGTTTCTTTACTGCGCGGCCGAGTACGAGGACAGGGAGGACATCCAGAGAGCGGGTCCCACCATCATCGTCGGGCTGATCAACTACACCTACATCTGCAAATTCAGGGCGTACTGCGGAGATAACCCGAGTTTCGAAGACAGGACCTACTGGGATTGGTTCCGATTCGACCGAAGGACCAGAATGATGCCGGCGAGACAGAACCTGCTCGTGCCCGACGCGGGAAAAGTCAAGGACCACTTTGAAGACGGAAGCTTTTATCCCGACCTTTCAGACATCGAAAGTGAATGTGAATTCGAAGATTGTCAAGCTTACATCACAGAAGAAGCGGAAGAGGGTCAGGGTTCTTCTTCTGCTGTTGTTCCTCCTACGACTACTACTGCTGCTCCACCTGCACCTCACCACGACGACAATGCTGCTACTGCTGCCGGCCCTGCTGGTGCTGGTGCTGAGGTCAAAGGAAAAGGCAAAGCCAAGGCCACTCAATACTCTTATGCAACTTTACCCGGTCAAGGCAATGTCATGAGTCCAACGATTGGTGTCGACAATCCTGATGTTCCTCTTCCTCTTCCTACTACTACCAATGTCGGTACTACCAATGTCGGTACTACCAATGTCGGTTCTACCACTTCTGCCATTGCCGACACTGCGACTGCTACAACTACCGCTGGTGACAACAAAAAGAAGAAGAAGAGAAAGAATCGCAAGAGGAAGAATAAGAACAAAAAGAAGAAGAACAACAAGGGCAAAGGAAAAGCCACGGATGTTGTTGATGGAGAAGAAGAAGAAGAGGAAGACGCGTCTGTCATTTACTACTCGGCCAACAATTGCGACAACGACGACGACGAAGATGATGATGAGTACGGTGACGAAGACAATGATGATGACGATGATCGAGAGGGACTCGACGCGCGAGAGGCCCAGAAGAAGTTGCCATCCCTCTACGAACAAATCATGTCGTCATACGCCGAGTACTCGCACAAGAAGGCCGAAGAGTCCACCGTCAAGGCGGCCCTGGAGGCCCTGGAGGCACACCGGGAGTCCTTGGCCCGCTCGAGGGCGGCGGCGGCGCACGAGAAGCTCCAGCGGGAGTTGATGGCCGTGCTGGAGCGGGTCAAGGACAAGCCTGCCAGGGTGAGGCGGGCCATCCTGGCCAGGGAGCACCAGCGCCTCCTGGCTTCCGAGACCCTGGCGGCGGCGAGGGGCGCTCAGAACCCGAGGCCCACCTCGTCCGCCACCAGGGTCGAGGAGGAGGGAGAAAAGTCGGTGGAGGAGGAGGCCGCGGAGGCGGTGGTGTTGGCTGGGGCTGCGGCGGCTGCTGCTGCTGCTCCTCTCCGACGCCCCCGGTTCAACCTGGGCACCGACCCGGGTTGGATGGGGGATTTGGAGAGGATGCAGATACAAGTTCTGCGCGTTGGTGGTCGGGGTGGTGGTCGGGGCGGTGGTGCCGGTGAGAAGAAGGAAGAGAAGTAAGGGGGGTGGTTGTTGATGGGGGGTTGGTGCGTGGTCGGGTGGTCGCTGGTGTTGTTTGTCGTGTGCCGTTGTGTGTTGCGTTGTGGGAGTTGCTTTCTTTTTCCTTTTTGTGCTTGCTTTTCTTTTGTTTCTTGGGGGCTTTTTTTTAGATTAGTTTTTTCTTAATTCCCTCGCAAAAGAGGTGTTGACCCAAATCTTCATACTTTCGTGATTGTGTCATCGAACGTAGTTGTACTCGTAAAGTTAACAAGTCCGATAGATCGCAGACAGATAGGCAGGTGTTGAGGGCACAACGTCCGACGAAATATCACAAGGGTATCGAGAAGAGACTGACGTTATAGGGTATAGTGGTCTACAGAATGATAATGGTTCTATCGAAAAGACGAGCAAGTTTATAGTCATGACGCCGGACAAGACTGCAAATCGACAAACCAAAAAGGTGGTGATGAGATGAGTCGGATGTTTGACATTGTAGTAGACGTTAGAAATGACGACTTTGTCAATGCCATTCATTTCTAGTACGTGAGGGAATGTGATGGGAAAGGAGGAGAAATGTTTCTTTCCATCGGTCTAACAGTTATGTTTTCAAATCTATTCTCGTCCTCGCATGGGAACAATTGTACAAGTGGCTGATTTTGATACTCTTTGACATCAAAATCACGAAAATTCCGGGTTGTGATCCGGGGTGTCATTACCGTCCTTCTTCGTCTTCTCCAAGGTTTCCAACTCTCCTTCTTCGTCGCGGAAGGTCCCCGGGTGACTGTCTGCCGCCGGGACCACATAGCCACTCGACAGCCTCGGGAAACACCATCCCGGGTGCAAGACTGTCTGGACGATGGTGGCGACGGTGACCATGGTCCCGTCGAGGACGATGAAAGGGATCTCGCTCTGCATGATCGGGTTGCCCCAACCGCCGGCCATCTCGACGATACGGTAGACGCATCGGATGAAGATACAAGTGAACGCCACGACGAGACCCATGGCGAACAGTCGGAACTTGGTACTCGCCATGAACATTTTCGCTTCGGCGGGGAGAGGAGCTGGTGCGCGGTATCGTTTGATGACGTACGTGAGTGCGGCCACGGCGAAGAAGGAGAGGGTCGCGACTTGAAAGGCTATGCCGGCCATCTATGGAAAGAATCAGCGAACCGACTGACATGGAAAGGAAAAAGAAGCACTGTTGAATGAGGAAGAGGGAGGGGGGGCGCAGGGAACAACGGAAGCCATGCCAGGCGAGAATTGAGTCTCGATTTTTTTTTGGCGCGGGGAGAAACTCACCATGAGGTCGTCACCAACTCGTTGGCGAGATTGGTTGTCCATGGATGTAGCCGCCATTCCTCCACCGACGGCTTGAATGACGAGCGAAATTAAATCTCCGGTGATGAATATCCAAGTGTACCGTTTCGGGCGGATGCGTGAGTACTCTGGGCCGAAACAGAGCGTGACGTGTTTGAGGACGAGGTATATCGCCGCCGAATTGAACGCGGGGCCCAGGATGAGGCAACAAATTTGGATTTGAAAACCGGCAGTGTCGAAAGGGTTGTTGTGCAGCATGACACGTCCTATGTATCCGATTGCCTGGTCAATGCAGCCGAGGAACATTGCGAGGAGGTATGTCCATGTCTTGTAACGAATGCCGGCGTACAGCTGGAGGGCCGCCGCCATCTGTTTTGTTTTTGGGTTCTTAGTTTGATTCCCTCCATCGGGGCCATCGACAAGGGAAAAGGCGGGAATGTGTGATTGTGATTGTGCCAGGCTCCAAGAACTCACAAAGAAAAAAGCCGCAAAAAAGCAATTGGCACCAATATTGGGATAGTAGCCGTAGATGGTATTTTCGACGGGACATTGTGGTGAGACATCATAACAATACCGAAAGGGGAGGTAAGTGACATTGCCACTGGTGGAAGACATGTTTGGGTGCTGCGTGAGGGATTGACAGTGGCTACAGTTTTATGTGCTTGTGAAAGAAAAGGACAGCAATCACGCTGGAAAAAGTTACGAGAAGAAAAGCAAACTTGCAGTTGCGCGGATGAATGATAGTATATGAATTAAAGATGAATTAAAGATGAATTAAAAAAAACACCTCGACAACACCACTGCTGCATATCTCCGTATCAGGCATCCACTAAAAGCTGGGTTGCGGCTCGAATAGGGTGGTAGTGTGCTTGTACGGAGTATGCGAAGGAGTCATAGGAAGCCATACGACATGCAGGACGGGGAGAAGAAGAAGAAGAAGAAGAAGTACCCACTCAAGAGAACCCCCGTGCGACAGAAAAGACTAGGGATCAAGCAAGGATTACTCTATACGGATACGTGGAACCCTTGTACGTTCATATCGCTTGCTTTCATGGCGGATGTTGTACTCCGTAGGTGGTCAAGGTGTTGAAGCTAAATACCGAATACATACATACCTTGCCATCAGTTATTAGGCGAGTTGAACACTTGGTCGAACGGGTAAAATACGAGGCTACTCAGTACTTAGGCTGAAGTTTGTCTGAAGACAATGAGGCAATTTATATAAGTACAAAGCAAGAGGATGATCTTCGGTACACGAATGTTAGATACGGAGCACCAGGTACTTTACCTACTTTGTTTACTCAGGAAGCTGCCGGTACAAATTCACATGAATCAGATGTCGTGGTGTTTGGAGTGAAAAATTTCGCCTAGCATATCTCGAACCTGCATGGACAAGGCCGCACTTTGCAGAATTAGGAACATCTTGCGAAATGTTTGAAGGAACTTCTGGGCGTCCATGTAACCCGTACTCGGTACAGTATCTATGGAGTACTTGTGTGTCAAAGGGTATTCATCACACTGCCCAGCTGGGAGAGAATAATACTAATAACAATAATAATAACAATAACAATCATAATAAAAGAGAAAACTTGTATAGTAACTTGCCCATGTCTCTTTTTTGCAACAAGAGGTTGACCGAATTCGATGGTCCAGAGTTTACCGTATTTCGTATGCACTTCGTATAGGCGAGTTTTTTCGGCTTGGTGACTTCGTATTCACACAAAGCGGAAGAGATGCCGCGGGGGGTAAGTCTTTACTAAAGGTCGTATTCGCATTTTGTCGTAATCTTGTTTACTTCATAAATAACCCACGGTACATCTCGAAAGGCGGTCGAGAGAATGCGTTATGCTGATGCCTTGTTTCATGGCATGAACGTGATGATATAAGATACAATCAAATCAAGCCGGCGTGCTTCCTCCCTGTCATACGAATTGATGACTAAGGTATCTAAGAGGTCTTCTCAAGCTTCCCGCATAAACTGCGCTTTCCACTTTACTCGATACGCCCAAAACATACACTCGCTCGATATGTTTTCAAGCTTCAATGGCCAGTCGATACCAGACAACCCCCTATGACCGTCGTGGTTCGAGGACAAAAGGGATCTAAGGATCGACATATTCAAAACCTGCGCCCCACGAACACAACAAGCAAAGGGCGAATGTACCCGACAGCCAAACAATTCCCTTCATGCAAACCCTCTCCGCATGTCTAATTTCATGTCTCTTAAGATGCAATTCTCTACTCGGCTGAAGTGCTTCCCGCAGGCACGTTTTCTGTCAGAACCCTCAAAAAGGGGTATGGTTTTAGATTTTGACTCGAGCCAGGAGCTCCCAAAACGGTAAAAAACCCTCAGACGACAGCTGTCAGATTCACTCTTTGCCACTCCTCATCTTTCTCTTGCCCCTTACAACGCCGTGTATTGCAATCATGGCATTCTACACATGCTGCCAATCTACGATACGGTGATCTACTGTCGTTAGCCAAAACCCATCGCGTCTCCGACTGGATCGAAAATCTACCGGCCCGTCCAGTCGAGTCTAGTCTATGCGAAGACAACACGCAACGGATATTTGTCTGTCCAAGCGTCGACAAGTCGACAGAACTCGCTGAACCTTGATTGAAACAACACTCAATCAAGAGGATCTGGCAAAAGGAGACACCTCATGCATGTCTCGACAAGGGCCTTTGCTCGTGCAAATAGGTCTTGAAGAATACTCACCCAAGACATCAATTCTCCTCTGGTACAGTGTCGCATAACAATACTCATCGTTTGGGAAATCCCCCCGGGCACGCACGTCAGATTGATCTACAGCATAGCGGTCCTATCAGAAACATGCACCGATCAGGCACGGTCTATCCTATCGACAAGGGCACGTCCGTGACACGCTGTCAGTGGATAAGTGGCACATTCCTCGCTTCCAGCAGCATCCCCTTACTTCGCCGCACACGCAGGGACACAGATCCCTTTCATAAAAGATGCATCCCTGCCATTACATGAAGCTTGAACGTCTCGACTTCTTTCTCACTGCTGACGCCGTCGTATACGGCAACGCAAGATGTCACACATGGAAGAGTACAGACCGTTGACTGATCATGTCCCCCCACAAAATGACGCTGATGAAGGAGAAGAACACGACCTCTCCGAAGTCGATCTCGAAAAGCTCCCCGAAGAAGAGAGACCTAAATGGTATCAAGACCCTATCAGACGCATCTCGGCCGACTGGCGAACATCAACCAGATGGGACGCGACAGACATAAAAACCCTACTGCTTCTCGGCCTTTCATACCTCGTCCTCGTTTTCCCACGTTTTGTACATCCCGGTGGCCTCAAAAAGAAGAGCGAGTTACACCCGACAGCCTACCTGGATGCCTTGAGAGGCTGGGCGGCCGTATCAGTGGCCCGATATCATAGCTTTGCCAACAGGACATGGCTCCTTGAGCAGCCCGTCATCCGTATGATCCTCAACGGTCGGGCCATGGTGGACATCTTCTTCATCATCTCCGGATACGTGCTCAGCTACAGACTGCTCAAGATGGTCCGAAACCGGCAGACGGGGCTCCTCAGGGCTCTGGCGTCCTCGACCTTTCGAAGGTGGTGGCGACTCTACATCTCGACCGGCGTTGCCTCCCTGATAACCGCCATCATGTCGTTCTGGGGATGGTGTCAGCCCGCACACCGCCAGTCCACCTTCTACCTCCAAATGCGAGATTGGTTCTGGGATTTCGGCTACTCGAGCAACCCCTTCGGCGACATCAAGGGCTTTTGGTATGGCGACGTCTTCCGCACCCACTACCTCGACCAGATGTGGACCATCCCCGTCGAATTCCGAGGCAGCATGGCCGTGTTTTGGTTCATCGCCGCGGCCTGCTACATGGCGACGTTTGGCCGGAGGCTCTTCGCCTGGGTCGTCATCGGTCTCTGTTACTGGTGGGGCATCATCTACGTCGCCCTGTTCATGTACGGCATGTTGATCGCCGACTACCAATTCGATCGTCACCCCGAACGGCTTCAGAAGATCCGACTCCCACAACAGGAGCAGGACGAATTGCCCGAGGTGTCGGAGAAGCCACAAACCCACAGAAACTACCGCAAGTATTTGAAGATCGTGGGCTGCCTCGTCCTGCTCATCATCGGTATGTTCTTGATGGGACAGCCCGCGCCGTACGACGGTCACTACAACCGGGACTGGTGGCCGTGGGGTTTCTTCGAAGATCTCATCCCCTACTGGTACATCGCCGAATTGGGAGAACACTTTTGGCTCGGCATCGGTGCCGCCATCTTCGTCTTCGCCTTGGACAATTGTCGCATGCTCCAGATTCCCTTCGAGTGGGGCTTCTCCCAGTATCTCGGCGACATCTCGTTCGGCGTGTACGCCATGCACAACACCATCAACTGGGCGCTGTATATGCCGATCGTGGACCCCTGGCAGAAGCGGCACTTTGGTACCCAGAGCTACTGGTCCGGTGCTCTGGGTGAGCTTTTCACCGCCTTGGTCATCATCTGGGCCGCAGATTACTTCACCCGGATCGACGAGTTGGTCGTCAAGGCCGGCAGGTGGTTGGAATCCAAGACTTTTATCAAGTGGGACGATTAGACCCAGACTTTGGGGGTTTGACGGTTTGGTGCTATCTCACTTGCTTCCTTTTCCTTTTCCTTTCTTCTTTATGGCAATACGCAAGGCGTTCGGTGTCGGTGTTTGGGTGTTCGGGTCATACAAACATTGCCTACTCGGGGGGTTTCCTGGAAATAAGAAGCATGTGCCTGTGACTTGAAGCTCAAAGTAATATATGTGAGCTTTGCGGCTGATACGTAGTCTTTTTTGTTTGGTTCCTCCTCAGTATCGAATACAAGTATGACAGAGCAATGACGATGATATTCATATGAAACTCCAATCATTTTTTATGGCCACGTACGCTTGCTTCTGATACTTGTGTCTTTGATGTTTAGTCTTTAGTCTTTGTGTCATGCGTCCTTTTATCCATATTTGTGTGTGTCTCATGTCGGTCGTTCAAGTTTACCATTCTTGGCTCTCTTGTGTCGGTCAGTCTGAGATGTGTCGTATGGTGTTTAGGCCAACAACTCCTCCAGATCTCTTTGAAACTCGGTCACTCTCGTTTCGAAATCCTTGATGAGCTCCGCCGTCCTCCTAGCCCCGTCGACGCCGATGAAGAAATGATGACCCCCTTCGACGGTTGCCGACAAGGTTTCCGGTGCGGCATGGATGAACCGGGTGAGTCGTTTTCCCTTTTCCTTCTGGTCCTCGGTATCCGTCCGCTGGAGGGCGAGCTTTTTCGAAGGTGAAATACCGCCCAAGAGTTTATAGGTCAAGAGGAAACCCCAAGTGTACTTGTCGGCGACGGAATGTCTCAGGTCCACCGGACTCGAACATGATATCGGACACATCAGAGGTAATTTCCCGAGAGGGAATCGATCGGCAACTTCGTAACCAATATCTGGATCGTCCACAAACGAATGACGACCCTTTTCCTCTTCTTGTCGACGTTGCGACTTTCCGGACCACCTGACGCCGTAACAACCGAGACCGACCGGGAAACCACCCAAATATTCACGCCTGTAGATCTCGTCCGGGATGATGATTCTGTCGCCGTGAAGTGCATTCTGTTCGTGCAACTGCATCACGAAGTACGACTCGGAAAGTCCGGCGGCCGGGGTCGCGTAACCGGTGGTCGGACTCGGCGTCAGGACCGGTCTGTCCCTGATACCTCGTACGGCCGGGGTGGCCACCAAAGGCACGGCGAAGGATATGACGATGTTTTGTGCCTGGGCCGCCAGACAAAACGGTTGTAAAATTTTCCCACCCATGCTCCAAAAGACGAGTATGACGGTGCCGCCCAAGTTTTGTCGTCGGATGGTCCTTTTGGTGGCCTCCACGGCCTGTTCTCCCCATTGTGAAACCGTCATTCCAGGGTCGGTGGTGGGCATGACGCTCGTGTCCGGGCTCGTGTCTATGGGGTAAGAAACGGCCAGAAAGTGGTAGTTCTGTGGTCTTGTCGTCAACCAGTGGGCCAAAAAGTCGCACTCGTCATGACCCTCGTGGCCACCGTAAAAGACTCGAGCGAGGTGTGCAGCCCCGGGGATCAAGACCACGAGAGGTCTTGTCGACGGGTCGTCATCACCACCACCACCAGCCCCCCTGCGAAAGTACGTTATACATGGTGCGTCGTTGATGACCGACAATTCTTCGCCTGGGTATAGGTTTTGTCTCGTGGTAGGAGGAGACATTGCTGGACTTGACTGGGTCACGTCACTCTCGTTATGTTTATGGCTGGATATATTTGTACATATATATCCTCGTGTGCTTTCTGACGGCAACAGTCTACTTGTCTCTTTGTATGTTGAAAGAAAAAGCCGTCAATGATCGATTGCTCCGAACCCCGGGGAAGAACATCAAGAGTTCATGGTAGTAAATAAATAATGTATCAGAACCTTTGTATTCTGTATTCCTTGGTTGAGGTAAAGCTGAGTTTTGAGTCTCACGATTTGGAGTAAAAAGGCTGTTTGTGTTCACCTAATACCGAGGTTATGAATCATTGTATATCACGACCAACTACTACTCCGTACACGACCATGGGGTCATTTTGATGTCTTTTCGAAACGAACAAAGTCTAGAATCGAGTGGATCTGGACTGGGTGATATTTGAAACGCACAGAGTCCATCATGAATCATGTCATTTCTTTCACAAGGGTCGATTCGCTATATCATAAACCTCAAGCAAGACAATCGTGTCGTAATAGGACCAACAACACCCATCTTGGTCTACGAGATTATGCAAAGTTCTGGTTCGAGATTCATTGAACCGTTTTTCAGTGTACAGGTGAATCCTACACTCCATCACACGTGCGTACAGAACTGGCCCACTTGCGCTGTGCACACGCTCAACCAAAGTTCAACCCCGTGCGTCTGTGCTTCTCACTCCACCACCATCTGTAGAATTTCCATGACTTGTTCCTTTTCCGTGATCGGCTTTGCGTTCGTTTTGATCCAATGGTCCGTCAAGCTGTTTGTCGCCAGGGCATCCAACTTGTCCTTTCCAACACCGACGTCCTTGAGTGTTCGTGGCATCCCCATCTCTCTGAAGATGACGTCCAAGATGTCACCGAGGTCAACTTTCTCCAAGGCCCCGGCCTCTTTCCCGTACTTCGCTTTCAGCAAATCCACCACTATGGGTGACTTGAGCAGGACCTTTTTCGTGTAGGCCTGTTTTTCAACGTTGGCGCCCACCTTTTCATTCCACTTGCACACGGCCGGGAGCATGATGCAACTCGTCTCGCCGTGACCGACTCCCATGGGTCCCAGTTGATGGCCGATCGCGTGACTGGCGCCGAGAGGTACGCCAGAGGAGACGGCGCTCATCGCCTCGATCACCCCCCTCATCGTCTCGAAACGCGCGTCCAGATCTTTGGAGTCCTGGTGTGTCCTGATCAGAGCCGGCACCAGGCGCAGCAATCCCTTTTCAGCCTCCGCGTCACCCCGGTCGTTGGATCGCAGACTACATAATGTCTCGACACAATGGTCGACCGCTCTGACGCCGGTACTCAGCCAGATTCTCTCGGGTGTCGTCGTGGTCAATTCTGGGTCCAGTATGACCAGGCACGGGTTCTTCTCGGGCGGGGTGAATAGTTGTTTGCGATCAGTCCCGTCGTCGCGCGTCGCCCCTGCGATGGCTTGGTACTCGCCTCCCGACAAGCTCGTCGGGATCGCCACGTGTTGTACAACAGGGTCCTTGAAGTTTTGACCTTCCGAGGCCAGCTTCTCCATGCCTTCGACTGTGGTGATATCGTTGGCCAGCATCCAGCAGATGAGTTTCGCCGCATCTGTGAGACTGCCGGCACCCAGGGTGATGATGCAGTCGGGATTCTTTGGCGCAGCATCCAGAGCAATTTCTCGAACTTGATTCCAGTGCGTGTGGGGGGTCATGCCGACCCGAACGCCGACGACTTTCTCGCCCAGAGCACGTTGGAGGCGTTTGAGGGCATTAGTGTTGTTCGACAAAGAATTGGATGCGATGATGTACACACGTTTCGCCTTGAGCGTCTTTTCAACGTGGTGCGCCGCCGCTTCGTCAAAGTGCAGACCATAAGCAATGTTGGGGACTGGGCGGTCTTGAAAGGCCGGCTCAAGGTGATCAGTGCCATATGTAAATGTCATGTTCGTTGGTGGGAGATCTCTACAGCAGAATCAATCGTAGACTCGTAGTCGCTCCATGAGATCAATGGGACAAGAGTAGAGATATATAGGTACAAGACTTGATGAGGGGGGGAAGACATGATATTGATTCAAGTTTTGGAGTAATGAGTGGAGAAGTGGATATCCAAAAGCCGGACTTTCTTTTGTGCAAAGTATTTTCGCAATACAAGGCTTGGACGAGTAAGGAGGTTCACAGATATATCCGCAGCGACCAGTAGACCGCCGTGTAGTCATAGGGAAAGACAAAAAAGTTGAGCGAGAACATGGGAGATCACTAGACCCCGGCTGGAGAAGCACCTCAATAGGTACAACCCTTGCAATTTCCTCAATGGGAAAGTGCCTGGTATTGGGGGGAGGAGTCAAGATCAATGGTCGACTATGATTAGGGTAGTTTGATGGAGAGTAGTTCACGATCGGACACCGCACAAAACAAGGCATCAGTACCAACACGGAGCGTTGCGAGTACGTTGGGCCGAGAAGTGTCTCCGACAGCCAACATACGAGACGTGCGAGGGGAAAAACAAAAAACTTGGAATCGTTTCTTTCAATGAGTTATTGACATTGTGGATCAATTGCTCAAAAGATGATTTCTGGCTCGAGTGTAAGTCCGCATGAGTCTTAGCATGCCCTTGCTCGTCCCGGACCGTTCTTCTCGAGTTCTTGTCTGCTCATTTTGGATATCCACAAATGTTCAAATTGTCCTTGGACTTGAGATGCAGAAAACGTGTCCCCCCTCCCTCACGAGAAAGAGACGAGACAAGTAGTCCAGCGTTTTTGGAGACACAAGGCAGGAAAGGTTGTGCATTGACTGCAAGAGTGGTTTGTATGGAGGATTCTTTTCTTTTTGTCTTGTCTCGGAATAGTCGTGGAGAATAGAGAGGGCAGTACGTAAAAACCGAAGCGCGCTTAGTCGAAGAGACCGAATCCCATGTCCTCGTCGGACTCTTCCTTTTCTGTAGAATGGTGGTTAGTCGAGAAAAACCAAAACGAAAAAGTTGAAACGTACCTTCTTCCTTGGCTTCCTCAGCAGGGGCGGCGGCCTCGGCGGCACCGCCGGCGGCAGCACCACCAGCAGCAGGCGCGGCAGCAGCGGCGCCACCACCTGAACCGACGTTGGTGAGCATCTCCTTGACGTCCTTGCCCTCGAGAGCCTTTGCGAAAAGGGTGGCCCAGATGGGTTCGACTTCAGGGACGTTGGCGGCCTTGATGAGGGTGTTCAACTTGTCGGCCTACACAAACGGAGGAAAACCGGTCAGTTAAGCTCTTCTAAAACCTCAAAGGAAGTCGTCTCTCTCAAAATTTCACCGAGCATGGATGGGGGGTTTTCGTACAGTGATCTCGATGCCATCGTCGGCAAGGATGAGAGCGGCGTAGGCGCTGGCGAGTTCGGCGGTAGACATCTTGACGAGAGTTGAAGAGAGGAATTCCCAAAGTTGTTGGAAGTTGGTGGTCGGGTTGGGTTGTCGAAGAATTGAACCTTGCGCGCAGGGTAGAAGTTCAATGTGGGCTGCACAAGAGGATATTTTGACTTGTGGGATTTCGATGTCGGTCACGTGTTGGGCTTGGCACTCATAGAGTACGAGTACGGGTTACAGCCTTGGTAGAAATCCTTCTTATGTCAGCAAGGCTGGCAACCCGACCGATTCCTCTTGCTTCACACAACCGACCTTTGGTGCGATAGTGCTCTAGTACGACACGCAATATTTTAATCAACGACGAGCTATACAATAGACCCGGGTGAGAAGAGTTTCGAAGACTGCAATAGAGCGATCTTGTCTTCATCCTGACGATAACAAACTCGATTCTTGGTCACGCTTTTATTACTGCGCCTGTTCTCCGAGGAGAGGCTCGTACCATTCGGCACAAACACGCTACCATGTCCAACTTGGATATCGACATGCAATCCCTCCAGTCCCTCCGGTCTCAGTTTGCGCGAGCATTGACAGACTTTGCCTCGTCCTCTTCCAGCACATTCAAGGTCCTACGCTCTGTGCCCTCGTCATCACCACCGAGCTCCTCACCAATTCGAACGCTTTACGTGCTGGACTCTTCCTTCAACCCACCGTCCAAAGCACATCTAGCCCTCGTCAAGAACGCACTGAAGACGACAGAATTTCTCTCAACGTCCTCGGCCCAGTCTGGAACTTCTTCTTCTGCTTCCAAGCCTGCCCTCGGGACCAGTTTTTCCGAGTCTCGAGTTTTGTTCCTTTTGGCGACGGTCAATGCCGACAAGACACCCGAGCCGGCCGACTTCCCTGACCGTCTGGTCATGATGACCCTGATGGCCGAGGAATTGCGGTCTGCCTTTTCAACAGACCCGCCGGTGGTCGACGTAGGGATCACCAAGAAACCTTACTTTGTCGACAAGGCCGCTTCCATTGACGATTCGGGCGTCTACACGACGGCAAACCAGGAGGACCAGGAGCATTTCGAACAGATCCACCTCACGGGATTCGACACGCTCATACGCATCTTCACGGCCAAGTACTACCCCGACCACAAGCCTCCGTTGTCCGCACTGGCGCCGTTTCTCACTCGGCACCGCGTCAGAGCCACGGTCCGCGTGGACAAAGATAGCCCTTCGAAGAATCTCAGGGACACAACAACAACAACGAGCAACGGCAATAGCAAAAACGATTTGTCGAGCATCGATGGCCAGCTAGCTTACCTGAAAGGGATTGCGAATGGGGATATGGAGGACGATGGGTTGAAGAGGGAATGGGCGAGTAGAGTTGACCTCGTGGTCGACGAAACTGGCGAAACCGAAGGCGTGAGTTCGACTAGAATTCGAAATGCTGCGAGAAAAGGTAACTGGTCCGATGTCGATGAGTTGGTTGGGAATGGTGTCGGACATTGGATACGAGAGAACAAGCTTTATACATGATGTTGATACACACACTACAGAATAGAACTTTCGACGACCGTCCGTATATGTCCAGATTCTGCATTGACATCATACGAACAAAACGACGGATGATGACCAACCCGACGGCCAGTTCAAAGCAATGCAGCGGAGAAAAAAGAATCAATAATTGTACATGAACTCGTGAACCTGATACTTGCAAAGTCGATTGTCAGAACACTTTCAGCAGACCACAGAACCACTCGCCCCGGTCCAATCTAACGTGCGTCCACTCATTCTTGACCTCTAACCCAGAAATTCCCAAGGTTCGTTCCCTCAGTCAGAGGGGGGGAGCCTTCTCAAGCATCGCCGCCTCTCTCTCCGGGTCGGACGTCACCCGTGCCTTGGTGCAACCCGACGCCCCCGGCGCCAGGCTTGTCCGAGTCCGAAGCGCCCATGCTCGTCACGGGGTCGGTCCGCTCCAGGCCCTTTGGTCCCTGGTCGGCGGGGTTGTGCATCTGTTCGCCCAACTCTTTACCTCCGGCCGGCGCCCGCGACGAAGTGTCACCACCGCCCAGGTCCCTGCTGCCCAGGTCCCTGTCGTCTGATCTGCTACCACCGCGGCTCTCTTTGCTCGACTTTCCCAGCTCGGTGGCGGGCTTGACGGTCCCCGAACCCGGCTTGGTGTCCGTCACCTTTTCACCGGACGGGGTCAGGCCAAAGACGGCAGAGTGCGAGCCCGGTGCCGCGGTGCCGGTCAGTTTCCTCCCGGTCCCGTCCTCGCCCACGACGGCCGGGTCCCGCCCTTGACTGGGGGACTGTGCGTGGGAGTGTCCCGACTCCAACGAGTCGTCGCCGCCGCCGCCGCTTGTTTCGTGGGACTTGTGGTGGTGCAGAGGGTTGTGGAGGTGGAGGCCGGACTTGTGCTCGGTGCTGTCGGTGGCAGATTTGTTGTGTTCGGTGCCAGTATGGGAAGAACCGGTCGGTGCACCAGTGTCGGCACCGGTGGAGGAGGTGCCAGAAGTCGCGGCACCGGTTCTGCCATCTGCGTGCGTTCCGGTCGTGGCGCCAGTGTCTCTACCCGTAGAGGATGCACCCGTCGAGGTTCCGTAGGTCGCAGCACCGGTTCTGCCATCTGCGTGCGTTCCGGTCGTGGCGCCAGTGTCTCTACCCGTAGAGGCTGCACCCGTCGAGGTTCCGTAGGTCGCAGCACCGGTGCTGGCATCTGAGTGCGTCCCAGTCATTCCACCGGTGTTCGCGGCAGAGGTCGTCCCGGTCGTGGTGGCATGATGAGCAGTGGCAGACCTGCAAGCAAGCAAAAGTTAGAAACTCCTTGTCTCTTACGGTCATGGGAGACACCTTTGGGAAGGGGGTTTTTCTGGTAGACGTACCCTATGTTTGAGGAATTCTGCAGCCCAGATTAGTATTCGTTGAGTCAACAGGATGTAAACGTGGTAGAGAAGGAAGAGCCAAACTTACGTGGCCTAAAGTATCATCGCCAGTGCGATCTGTGGTATGGTGGGCGGTGGTATCGGCAGCGGAAGTGGTGCCTGTGGTAGAGGCATCCTCCTCCTTGTTGTAACCCATCAAGTTGTTGATTGCGTTTTTGGCTGTTTCCATGTTGGATGGCTTTTCTTTTTCAGGTACGGGTTCTTCTGTTTTCTCTAGTGTGTTGTACGTCGAAACGGTTATCACGGTAACGAGTAAATATTTGTTCTAAGCTTCGACTTTGGTCCAAGTTATGACACCAAAGTCTGCACGTAATGAAAGGAGTTTTCCCAAGCGAGATTGTGGACCAGGACAAGGACCAAGCGAAGCAGACGAAGAGAGAGAGGGGAGGGAATAATATAACAAGCTGGTTCCTGTCCCAGCTGCCTTGCTGAGCATGACCAAGTAGGAGGGTTTGTTACGTCTTTGCTCTCCCCAGGATGATGCGGGAGACTGACGCCATAAAAATGCGTCATAGCGCATTGACTTTTTGGGAACAATGAAGAACAACAAAAAAGGTACTTTCAGTAGTACGAGCTACTCACGAATGAATGAGCTTCCAGGGTTTTTACCCAAGCGACGGATACCGCCGTGGCTCTGGGGACCCAGTCGGCGTCGCCTTGAGATCACTGGCCAGTTCCAAGAAATCTGGTGAGAGAGAGAAGAAGAAGTTGGATGTTTGTGTCGTTCGAGGATCATCATTCATCATCATCATCATCATCATCATCATTTGCTGCGGGGCAGAACTTGCTGCGAGGCTCTCGGTATCTTGGAGGGGCAGTTTCATAACCATCGACGAACCAGAGCAACCAAGCAAACGTAAGCTCGCCAAAAGACTTCTGTCAAGCAATAACCAAGGAATTTGCCATGGACTTTTTGGGATCATGGGATTTGTTACACATTTCGCAGTTAAAGCACGATCGATCTTTTCGTTTCGCTAAAGAAGCCACATTTTTCTTGGTACGACACCACCCAAGCATTATTGAGGCTACTTGTGTTTAGTGGGCGATGAGGGGCAGCTTGGGATTCCCTCCTCCATCCTGCATCATCTCTCGTATGGGTACGGAGGCACTATACAGTATGAGTACAAGTATCTTTGGAGCTGAAGTAAGGGTACTGGTACGGGGATTACCATTCCCGGCAGCACGGACATGTCGTCATAGCGTAGCCATCTGGAACATCCCCACGGCTCTTCAAGGAACAAGTTGAAGAATACTACGAGTACTACGAGCACATGCCATGAGTGCTTGGTCGATCGAATCGCCATCTTTGCCGGATCTACACATCTACAAACCAATCACCCTTGCATCGAAACCATTCAGAGCCTCCATGAAGACATAGCCTGACAATTGGCATGCAAGCGAAATACTTTGTACAAGAATTGAATATATAGTCACCGCCCTTTCCATCCTTCTTTCCACCTTGGTTTACATCTATATACATGGAGTAGCACTCCGTATTCTCAAGGCTTTCGCCCGGTTGGTGTCTCCTTGGCGTATTTCGAAACCGTTAGGAACCCGGAGCTCGCCAAGTTCAAAGGTTGGGTCTCGGTGCCGTTTCCAAAAGTATAAGGAGCTCCCATCTTAGATGTGCTGGCGCTCATGCTGGTGGTGGCAGTGGCAGTGGCAGTGGCAGTAGACATTGTCCCGGCGGAACTCGAAGTCTCCTCAACCTTGGTCTCAGCCGATGGCTGGCTCATCATGGCCGAAGTAGTTCCGACGCTTCCGGAGTTGGTAGACGTCTCCTGAACTTGCTTCTCGACGGATGGCTTGCTCACCATGGCCGAAGCAGTGACAGTGATGGTGCTCTTCATGGTCTGAGTGACAGTCACATACGAAACACCACACGCGCTTCCTGCATTGGCAGCGACTCCGGTGTTCGCAGGTACAACAGTGACCGTCTCCGTGGTGGTAGACATCATGGTGATTGTGGTGGTACCATCGCCAGCTGCTGTGGGCTTCACGCCTACTGCTTGATTTTGTGAAGCGCCAGCACCAGCACCGGCACCGGCACCGGCTCCAGTCGGAGAAGGCTTGGTGATGGTGGCATACACGACGCTCGTGACAAAAAATGTCTTCGTCTGGCGGATCGTCGTGGTGACGACAGATGCGGATGCCCCAGAGCCAATCGTCATGGTCAAAGTCTTGTCCTCAACGCTTGTGCTGACTTCGACAGCCTCACTCGAGGTTTCAGTCATATCAGCAGGCATCTTGGCGCTGTTCGTAGTCTTCGCTGCCACCACGGCACTGCCGGTCGAGGCTGTTGTGACTGCTTCGGTCATGGACGCCTCGTTGCTAGAGCTTGTCGAACTTGAAACATCCTCCATTTCGCCGCGGGTAGTGCTAGCCTTACCAGACGAAGAAGTCGAGATGTCTTTTACTTCACCTTTGCTACTGGTAGTTGTGGTAGAGTTGGCTGTCTCAACATTCTTGACGTCTCCAGTAGAAGAAGTGCTCGTGGCCATTGAAGATGTCGTTTTGTTCTCGGCATCAACGCTAGCCTTAGTGCTGCTGGAGGTAGTAGAACTACTGACGACTTCGATTGAGGTCATATTGTTGGCGGCTATTGTAGTTGTAGAGGTGGTCGAGGAGGCCGCGGCATCCTTTGCCGTTTCGACACTGGACGATGTCGTTGTCGTTGTCACAACAGCATCTTCGGCGGCTGTGGTGGTGTTCGCTGATAAATCGGATGTTTTTATAACTGTAGTCACTGCAGCAGCACTCGTGGTCATGGAGGAGGACGACGTCGAGGTCGAGGTCGAGGTGATATCTGCGGTCTCGGAGGATGTGGTGGTCGTAGACGAAGTTGTAGCCACAACAGCAGCCTCCGCAGATGCAGTGGTAGAGCCTGTACTACTGGCCACCTCGACAGCTTCGTCTTCCGTGGTGGTTGTTGCTGCGATGCTACTGGTAGAAACTGCAACATTGACAATCGGAGAAGTGGTCGTAGTGGTGGTGGTGATGTCGGGCGACGAAGTATCATTGCTGTACTGCCGTCTGTACAGCATACCGTCAGGGCGTGCCTGCGCCTGTGCCAACGTCAAAGAGGCCACCAACAAGGTTATGGTCCTGAAATGCATTTTGTTCTTGCTTTTTCTAATTTTCGTGTTTTTCGTCAAGTCGTGTGAGATTGAATCAGAGTGCTTCTGGCGATAGCAGGATCAACCCGCTCAAATGAGTGCGAAATGCGTTCAAAAAAAAAAGAATGACTGAAGACCAGCAGAGATGTAAAATGAATGACTGACGTCGCTAGGACGATTGATTGAACGATGAATAAAGAACGACAAGGGATCAAAGGGAATGCAAAATATGAGCAACCGCGAACAAGTGAACAAAGATAAATACAGTACCGACCTCATTCCTTTGCTAGGAAATTGTAGGAGCATGGCGAACTCGCCCGTGGCCAGACACTCCCGGGGACATCCTTGGTCAGGTCTGACCGGCGAGATCCAGCATGAAACAGAAAGAGATAATGGTGCCTGTGCAGGATAGACATGATTGACTGCGTGTGCAAGATGAGGGTGTCTGATGTCGCACGATGTGGACTGGGGTGGTCACATCTTCAGGGGGAGGAAGAATAGCCGTACCAAGCTTGGTGAGAAGGCTGATTGGTTGCCTCCGGCGCCGAACAGATCGTCACTAGACTTGGTTAGCTCTAGCGTCATCTGGAGCGGATCGACTCCTGACTCTCAAACAAGGTCTCCGACACTTATGGGGATCCATTGACGTCCCTGTTCATCAACCGTCATTGAGTGAAGAATTACGGAGTGTACTCTGTATGAAAAAATTGTACGAGTTACCAAGCCACCTCGGTTAGACGTTGGTCGAAGCATCTGAAGCATTTCTAGAAACCAACGCCCACAGGTCGAACCCCCGGGTGGTCCCAGTGCTGCGTCAGCGCGAGAGATTGTCTTGTACTCCCTATGAGTACTTGTATATACCAATGAAGATGACGCTTAGGTGCTGCGGCAATTTGCTTAGTGCCACCCGGATGTCGTACACGTTATCTCGGAAAGTTCCAGATATGCTTGCAATACGCTTTCCGGAATCCTGGTTGCAAAGCCACGTTTCTCGAGCCCCTCTCAAGAGCAAAGGGGGGATGCTTCGTATTGTATGACACTCAGAGGCCTGGTGCTACTAAGTCGGTCTAGCATCATTGTTTGAATGGACGCCAAGGACCTGCAAAACCCTTCGACACCTTTAATGAGACAGTCTACTCGGTAAAAGCCTCACAACGGGTATTGATCTAGCAAACTTCTGAGTGACATTTTTGTGGCCTTTGGTCTCACCACTTTCCACAGACGGAGCAATTTTGATGTCCTGCCAAATGTCTCAAGTCGTATCAGAGATAGCGACCAAGTGTGAGAGGGATATCATTGACCTTTTCATGGCATCACATTGATCGGGGTGGCCAAAAGTCATTCATATACCGCTGATTATCTGGTTCTAGTTCTAGTAATCGTACATCAACACTGGTGTGGTTCTCCTTCGTCTGTAACGCCTTGTCAGCCATCAACGAGCTTCTCAGTCTGAACCGGACTTACTTTTGATCATTTTCTTCATAGCCAGCACCAAGCTGACTGTCATCACAGCAAAACCAAATATGATACAGATGACGGCAGGAATAGTCCTCCAGCTTCTCGTGCTTAGCTTGATATAGCATAAAGGCGGTAATATGTAGGCAAGTGCACAAGCACTCGTAGCCCCTATCAATTCGAAGACCGCCCCCAAATCACATGTGATGAGGCTAAGAGCCATGGCACTGACAACCAAAGCACTGCTGAAGATCAGATGGCGGTGTGGTTGGTACGGTTCTTCAGGGAACCAATAGTTGTTCATTACCTCTCTGCACACAAAACACTCGAGAGGAAGGGTGGTGAGCATGTTGAGGCCGAAGCACAACCGTGCGATCTGAATTAAGAAATGTCCTTGCGACGGAAAGTTGTTCAACACATTACCCTTGGTACGGTCACCAAAAGCAAGAAACCCTGCCAACGCCATGACAAGACAAGCAACGAGTGAGATAAAAGTGCTATAGTGTGTGACGGTCGCAAATCGATCTAGCGTAGGTGTCTTCAAAGAGCCGTAGATAAGCAAAGAATTATGGTGGCAGACAAACGCTAGAACGTTAGTCGAGCCCTGGTCAAGTAGTCGAGTCGGACTCACCGAATGAGATAACTCCAACGGCTTGAAAGAAGCCGTCGTTGATAAAAAACAATCCGTTGATGTTGCCCCGCAGGTCTGGATCGACAAATGGTCCCTGTGTAACAACAGTTACGATAATTACGAGCATACTAATCAATGCCAGTGTCGATGCTTTTGCAAGCTGCCATAGTTAGCGAGTTTTTAAGGCGATCCTGAGGGACATACCTTTGCAATGTCTCGATACAAGCTCAAGGGCCAACTGATCCCCAGGATGAACAGGATTATAACCGCCCTCCGGTCAGTTAGAAGCCACAGAAAGGGAACATCTCTCAGCCCAGGAATCAAAGCTTCCAGAACATGTGGTATCGTATCGCCCACGATAATGCAAAAAGCGATCATGCCACCGAATGCAAATGCCCACTGCGCAATTGATATTGCAATAAGCCCACTGTTACCAAAGCAGTGTTGCATGGTCGCTTGGAACGAATCTGCGCCCGACAACTTGCTGTTGATCACTATCAAACGTATAGTCCAATCCACGGTGATTGTAAGCCCGACGAGGAGGAGTATTCCCATTGTAAGGCCTGCCTGCCGGAAGGCGTATGGTTGACCAATGATTCCCGCACCAATAATGGAGTTGGCCATGTTCATGAACGCACTACGCATCCCACTCTTGGGTCGAGCATCTGGTAAATAATCCTCCGGCTGGAAGGAGTCCGACAAGAATGGTGACTCGGCCGGCGGAGTTATATCTGTGAGCAGCGGTGCATGCTGACTTGGAGAACTGAGATAGTCCTCCTCTTCCATCCACTCTTCCGGAGGCGGCTCATTTTGCCCTTCGACCAAATCGAAGCGTACCCTATTTGTAGTTCGCGGTGTACCATCTGGGCGTGGATGGGAGAGGGAGGACTGCCTCTGAGAAGTAGGACGAGTCGACTGATTCGAGATTATGGAAGGATCCTCATTGTGGTCGGAATCGTCTTCAGTCGAAGACAATAGAGGAGCGTGAGTGTCGAGGCTGCCTTTAGGTGTAACGTTGACTGAGCCATCAGAGTGCTCGTCATCAACGGTCATCGCGTATGGAGTTGCATATCGTCTATGTGTATTCGACTAAGGTTGAGCAACTTTTGGTTTGGAAGGTGTTCACATTGAAAGATCGGTGCACGTGCCGAGCGGAGGTTCGGTCATTGACTGCCCGAGTCCGAACAGAGCCTCTTCTTATCTTGGAGTTACACCACGAAACATGCCCTTAGACAGATATTGTGTTGAATATAGAACCTCTTCTTTTCATTTTGTGTATTACGATGAATGCATGTATATACGCTATGACTGGGACAAATTTCGCTCATATACTCTTATCGTCGAGTATTAAAATACCAATGTCCATCCGATGATCAATGCAAGAAAGGCGCTAGACATGACGCTCACGCCCGTCCGCGATGCCGATGAAGCATCACTACTGTCTGAACTTCCAAAAGGACTGCTGTCGCCTGGTCCAGATGAGGTTGCAGGGGTTGCAGACGACGATGAGGAGCCGCGGCCACTAGCCGACGCTGCCGTAGTCTTTGATGACTTTGCAGAAGATGTATGTGACGCCGACGCGGTTTTGGTTGACGAAGAGGATTTCGTGGATGTCGAACTTCCAGTAGAACTTGAGTTGGCACTTGACTGAGCACTCAGTCCAATCTGGTTGTTATCAAAGTCGAAAACCGTGTAGACGTTCTTGAGAAAGACGTCACCCAAAATCCATTCGTCGGGTCCGAACGCCTGGTGCCCGATGACTTTACTTTGACACCCATTTCCAAGGTCCTGTCCCACGTAATCCTTTGGGGAAACAGCGTAACGAACACCGGAAAAGGTGAAGTAAAGGTTGACGTTGCTGGAACATGGCACAACGAAGATTTCGCCGTTCTGAGTGCTGCCAGGAATCAACGAGTGCAATTTCTGGGCATCGGACGGTGGCATCAATATGTACGAGGTGCCCGTATCGAGGATGGCACTCTTGCCTGTGAAGCCAACAGCCTTGCCATCGACTCCGGCGTCGTCTGCAGGAATCTCCCAAGATGCATCGTTTGCAACTTTGGTGTAGCCTAGCTTACCACTGAACTTGGACGAATCGATGCCTCCGAATGTTATCTGTCCATCCTTTGTGCCGTCTGAAGCTCGCTGGAGATGCACGCCGATTATGTTCTTGGAAAGATTTCCCTGTTGATCCAGTACTTCCATGATGGTAGGTGTGCCCAAGGCGTCCGAGCTGGGACGACCTAGACCTAGGATACCATCCATAGGGTAATTGTTGAAGTCGTCCGAAGCAGTCGAAGCCAACCCAAACCCCATATGAAGAGTATAGTTGGCGAGGCTAACAGTGTCATTTGCTACAACCCCCTTGACTTCGCCCGTACCATAGGCTAGGCTCCATGTTTGTGAAGATTTCTGCAGGGACGTCGAATCATCACTGCCAAAAGTGTTGTGAATCTGGCAAGCCTTCGAGTTGCAATCCGAACCCATAACCCAGGTATTTGCTGAACCACTATCGATCAACATGTACATATCCTGTCCCGAAGATCCAAATTTCAAAATAGAAATATAGGTAAAGTCCGAACCGTCCGAGTCAATGGCCATGGCGTTGGGAATAGAAGGTTTATTCGAGGAAACTAGCGTAAAGTCGTTCTTCCTCTTCGTCTGTTCAACACTTTAGCATCGCCCCTCACATGGAAATTACCAGTCGACCTACTCTGATCTTCTGTATGTCGACTGTAACGCCTCCTGAGCCCTCTGATGGGCGAGACTCGGGCTTGAATGGAATGAAACGCCGAGACTTGCCTCCATGGTCGTCATGATATGGATAGAATGCGAACACGCAAGGTAGTAGTAGCAGCCGTGGAAGCCATGTTGTATAAAGGAGCATTTTTCTTTTATTAACTCATAGGATTGAGGATGTCGCGATCTTTTTTTCTTCGTTCGAGGAGCCAGTCCAATTTATTGCTGTGGTTGCATTAATTAGGGATATTTCTCGTTTTGTGGCCAGCCAAATGAGTGATTCTGTCGCAAGATAGTCGGTGCTTGTAAACAGAAAGAAAGATGAGAAATGCTCAATCAAGAGATCTCACGTCAACGTATCTAGACCAGTTGGCGAAGCAGTGAGGATGTGAGGGAGCAGAGGGGTAGAGGTTGTAGACTCAGACGAGGAACAACACGCATGTCTTGAATGTAGGGACCGCAGTTGACAGCCCGGCCTTCCAGGACATCCATTTCGCATCGAGCGCCAGCCTTTGCCATGCCAAGTTCCTCCGAGGCATCTGTGCTGTGTCTGTGCGGGTCTTAACACCCAGGGGTCAGAAAGAATGGTACCTGACGATCACTTGCATTCGTCCCTGGGAATGTGGGCTTTGAAACCAATGACAGATGGCGGATCCTCACACCCAGCCTCTCGCTAACCAAGTAATCTTGGGGCGTTGCCTCATCTGGGAATAGAGCGAAATGCCCTTCGTAGCGAGCAGGGAATCCAGGCAAACACTGACTGTGCAGCTCTCAGATACAGATGCACCTCCAGATGATCATCCTCAATATGTTCAAGCCCCTCCGGATGGTGCTACCCCCCGGATTATTTGAGCCCAGGCCAAGAGTGCTTCTCGACACCAAAATGATAAGTTACTTGTTCAGGGGCTCCGTTGAAGGTTGCATGTGCTCCGTACATAGTCTGTATGCACTGCCTCCTCGTGCAGCTAAGCCGATGAGACATAATGTGGAGACTGCCAAAGACACTACGGACGCGTCAAGTCTGGAAGGGAAGCAGAGCAACCATGAAATGGAAGATCGTTCTAAGCAAAACATATCAGGGAGCGACAAGTGCGCAGTGCACAGAAGAATAATGTCCAAGTCAGCGAGGGTCTCATCTCCCAGCCTCCAAAAGGACTTCGTATTATTAAGGGAAAGACAACGCGTTCTGCAGGCAGTCATAATCGTCGAAGCGTCGGCGTCCACGAAATCATGCGACACCGCACAGCTCATGCTCTGGCACCTTTCTGTGGGCCACCCAACAGATCATCAAGAAAACCGGACCAAACCTTGCGGATGGTCTGCTCGTCTTTGTCTTTGACCATATTGGCAAATTGTTGGGCGCTGTTGCCCGCCTTTTCGGTGAACACTGTGAGCATGTCGACCGACATTTCTTTATCATGATGACCATCATGTAAGTCGCTCATCGCACTGGCCGGTGTGCCTAGGGCATCGCCAACCGCAGATATCTGAGGCTTCATGATCGTTTCTGCACCCTGCGTGTCTTGATAACCTCCTGCAGCTGCATCGAGCTCGGGGTATCTCTCCAGGACCGCTTCCGCCTCTTGTGAGCTGATGTCTGGCAGAATGGGAACTCGGATCTCCGGTGGCTGGGGACCATATTGCTGTTCGAAGAGTCTGGGTAGGTAGGCGAAGTCAATGGTTGACGAATCATGGACAGCTTTGGATTCTCGCGATGTATTGAAGTGTCGCTGACCGCCGGTTTCGGAAGGACTGCTTCTTAATCAGTGAATGCATATCGATTGCAGAAATACAACTTACCCAGATACCGGCTTCTTGGTTTGTTCAACAGCAATGCGCCTCATTGCCATGGAGAAGGCCCGTGCCTGCAAGCTGTCATGACCAGCCAGGCGATCAATGAGCTCGTGTTTGGTTCCAGAGGCCGAGAGGGTGCGTTTTTGGCATTCTTGACGAAGGTCTTGTAGATTCCACGGCATGTAGGTGGTCTTGTGAGTAGGATCAATGGGTCGTGGATGGGCGTGAACTCCGGTTATGTGGAGTCCCCGTTTGGCCGGAGTCGACCCAGAGGATCGTTGAAGGTTGCGAAGCGCTTTGAAGGAAGACGCACGAGGAGCAGCCATGATGGACGGATGTTTGTGTGTAGTTGGGAAGTTGAGATCGTGTGACTAATGGATGGAGTGGTAGATGGTATGGTCTATGTAGTCTTGCGGTGGGTTCATAAGAAGAGGTGATGAATCGATGATCAGATTTGAGGAACTGTAGCTTTCCTAAATATGGCGGTGATGGTGTAGCGAAAGGAGGGGAGTACGGAAGAGGTCGGAGTGTAGGACGGAGGAGAGGAATGTGTGCTATTGATCCTTTATCTTGACCTGTCGGCGTTCAATTGTTGAGGATGCTCGTAAGCCACAAGCTTCGGTCCCCGCGCCATTGCTCGCCTAACACTCCGTAGGGACGCTACTCTATAGGGACTGAGTTGGGGCAACGCCAAAACTGCTTCCGCGCAGCCATCCATCCCTGCCCATACCTGTTTGATTCGTCCATTCCATTCTGGCGGTGTATCGACCGCAGGATCATCACGCACCGCATCTCCTGATCCTGCAGTACTTTGGCTAAAATGCGGAGAAGCAATTGGTGAGCATGATACTCCGTACGCACCGAGTATCATCAGTCGCAGTTGTCTCCTCTGTGTTTGGGATCGGCAGATGGTTTTACCAGGTGGCCTTTGACGATTGCAAGGTATCCGTATAGCACCAACGTATCTCGTATCTCACCCTGTCCCTGTGAGTCAGTAGTTTTGAGGCTGATGACTTCTAAAATTGGCCGATAGGGAGAAGCTGAGAATCCACCGTGGCTCGTCCGCCGGCGCTAACATTGTAAGGATCCATCCGGATTGACAATTCCGATATCAGCTTTTCCTCAACATCATTTCATCCCTTTTCGCGGATCTGATGCCATCTAGCAGAGGCGGCACACCAAATGACGATGCTTTGACATGCTCATAGCTAGGTGGTCTTGGATACCTTGAGATTCCTCACATCGTCTGCCTCTTCATGCTTGTTCACTGTAGCTGTTGCATCCACAGATAACTTTGGTGTACCCCTGCTGTACTCGATGCTCTTGGTTTCCAAGAAGCAGTAGCTGGTTGCGAGGAATGTTTGGTACACTGCAAATCGCCTCTTCTTGAATTTGTTTGGAATTGTTTATTTCCAGGTGTTGGGCCTCAAGGCAGCCAACAAGGCCATGTCCACGAGCAAGAGGTATTCATGGGACGTGCTATCTCCGCAATGTTTTCTCTATTGTGTCGCTCCTCCCTTCTTCTGTTGCTTCTGGCCTGTGAATTTTTGAATGGAATGGACGGAGATGGTAGATGGCGGATGAAATGTACATGGGCACGAAGGCTATCTCGAAGCGTAAGGCTTTTGGTTGAAACATGCTTGGACTCCCTATGCAAAGTTGGTCCTTCTTTGTCTGCTCTTCAACCTTCACCTTTTTCCCTACAGTCTTTCCCTTTCTGTCTTGTCGCTCTGTCGATAATTCTTTTGATGTGAATGTCACTCAGCCTGTGATTTCTGATCCTTTAATGCGCTTGTGGTTTCTCTCACTCTGCAGTACCTGAGAGCACCCCTCGCTGCAACCCAATCTTCTTCCCCTCGTTGTATCTATCTCGACGACTCAGCGACGCAAGCAAGAGATGGTTTGCCAAGAGTGTTTATTGTTTGTTCTTGTTAGCTGGATCTGAAAAGTTGAGTCTCACATCTCTCAAAATTTCATACCTGTCTTCTCTCCACCGCCTTTTCTTCATATGCACTTCCCTCAATCGCGGTGTCTTACCATTTAAATTGTGTGGCAAGACTTCCCTCAGGCTCTACTCTAAGGGTCTCGAGTTTCAGATACGCGGCTTGAGGACTGTTTTCGGTTTGTTTGAGCTCGAGAAAGTCCGGCGCGGTCAACTAACAGTCAGAAGTCTTGTAACGTTCCTATCACTCCACGCGATCACTACCTCCGACAGATATTTCTTCCTACTTCGTCAAGCAAAGTTGCGAACATGGGGCGAAAGAACCGCCGTAAGGTAAAGGTTCAAGACGAGGAATCAGAGGATGGCCCTGCCTCATCCGATATGTCGCCCAACACGCGCAAAGAGTATGAAAAATCACAGATCATGAAAGTGAGGAGAGCCCTATACGCGACCGAGTGGTCGATGCTGATATATTTCACAGGCAGATCTTGGTCTAGCCACGGCCGACCACATCAAAACCAGCGACTATCGTCGTCCTATTCAACAGAACTTCGATCTTGTCCGCTTGTGTGATGAGGAAGGCAGCGAGGAGAGAAAGCTTGCTGTAGAGAACAAAGTGCAGACATCCCAATGGCTCAGTACGACATCTACAAGTTTCTCCCCGAGTTTTCTGTTTCTGACACAATCTAGAATGGGGGAATACAGAGGAGGCGCGAAACACTGCGTCCGGTGACCGTCAACTTGGAACGGGCAATACTCATCGACGGGCTCTCGCCGAGTCTCTTGCAGAAACGAGTCGGCAAGCAGGTCACGCATTAACCCTGGCAGACACGTATCATGACCGAGGCAGCAAACATCCCAAGGGTGATTTGAGTATAACGGCTGGTAAGAGAACAATTTCAGTTGAACAGTATGTCAATATAGCTCTCAATCTCTACATATCTGCTAACCCTGTCTCCAGAGCCATACCCAAGGGACCCGCGAAGATATCTATCTCAGAGATGTCGGCTTTCAAGAAGAAACCTCGTCCAACTCCTCTTCAGGGGCGTCCATGGCCTCCCTCAGCTCTCGAAGGGTCTCCTTTCCTGTCAGCACCAGCTCAACCCATATCTTTCGGGAAGATACCCACGCCGCAGCCTCCCTTTACTGCCATTGCAACTACTTTCCAAGCTGGCACAACCATTGATCAGCTCCGGCCGCCTAAGTCAGCCGTGCTACCATCTCCGCGTCTGAGATCTAGACAATGCGTGCCTTTAGTCGATGCATCGACATTCATGTCAAGTGCCACAAACATGTTGGCTTCGAGGCCACAGTCGAAGATGCAGGAATCCCCAGCTGGAACTAGTCTTTCAAATACTGCTGCTGCTCCTGTATTGGAAACCCAGGCAGATCCTCGGCAAGAAGGCGGCGGCATAGTCACTCAGTCCGCTCATAATGAATCCGCAATCCGCAAGGTCCCTGTAACAGAATTTTCCTTCTCTGCCGACGCAGCACTTGCAAACACACAGGTCTCCACCCATACAGACGGTGCACCTAGCTCTGCAGTACTTTCTGATTTCTCACCCGCCGCCGAGAGTGAGCGACTGGTCAAAGATGCCAATGGCTCTCAATTTGGCACTCCCCTTGTTGGTCTAGGTATTCAAGGCCCCGGCTTTGAAAAGATAACCTCGACGAAACCCAGTCTCCCTCCAAGCCCGCTCCCTACAGGCCTATCCTCGCAAAATGGGAGCTTATTGGACTCGCCTATTCTTGAAGACATGGGTGGCAGTGTCCTTGTCGCTGACAAGAGCAAGGAGAAAGAGGTCGTTGTGATCGACGGAGTACGATACATCCCAGAGTCCAGACTTTTGGCCTTCAAACAGAGCATCGAAAAACGTGCAATCACTATTCGCGAGGACCCTCTTTCGCCTGTTTCTCACAAAGAAGCTCCGCCGATCAAGCCTGAAGTGCAAATTCCGCCATTGGCGCTCTCCACGAATGAGCCTGCCAAAGCAACTGTAGAGGTTCCTACCAAACCTATCAACCCTTTTGAGTCACGAGGTACTGCTCCTGAAAAGACGTCAGATCCAGTGGTTCCACATGCCGTTGTTCCTGAACCATCTCAAGTTCCCCAACGTCTGCCACTGACATTGGACGAAGCACTGGTTGTCGCTGTAAACTCGCCTTTGGCTGCGTTGATTACGCAAGGGACTGCTAAAGCATCTGCTAAGGCCAAAGCTACAAAGCATGCGATTGTGTCGAAATGGGCAGCACCTCCTGGAGAGGTTTATGAGTCACATCAATTGAGCAAGGACATTTCTCAAATTGATCTAGTTGATTCTGAGTCTGTTGATGCAAGCAGCCAAGTCAAGCAGCCGGTTCTGCAATCAAAGTCTACGAATGGAGGTCACTGGGGAAAGAAGCCTAAGCATAACCCATTCGAAGCAGTGCTAGCGCGCGTCGAGTCAGAATCAGCATCGTCTGCCGGTGAAAAGGAAGCCACTAATGTCATTGGTGACCAAAATGCGTTCAAAGCTCCCGCTAAACATGCTGCAAAATTTTCCATGTCTGTAACTGCACCAGCAGCTTCGTACTCCGCTCCGAAACGTTACTTTGCTGCTCCAGGCCCGGGATATGCGCTCCTTCTGGCTGACCTCGTTCAGAAAGAACCATCGACCTCTGCCTCCGCTTTCGATGGCGAGAGTGACGACGAGGAACTGTGAGTCAGACACCCAGCAATCGGGTGAGCTTTGAGGCACATCACAGCACTGCTCGCATTATCATCACTAAGGCGCTGGAGACCTTTCAAGAAGAGACACGTTCTCAAGGCCATCCAGTCTCTTCTACGAGAACACAGAACATTTCGACCTTTTGCTGCCCCCTTGTATGACCACCAAGAGTTTCAACCCCCTTTTTCAGGTTAACCATTCGACAATGATCCTCTCAAATGGTAAGTTTTTGGTACTCTGCAGAGTCTTTCTACATAATACTGATACATGTGTTGATCCCAGCACATGCACAAAATAAGAAAACAAGAAAAAAAGTCGAAAACCAACAAAGAAACTCCACGAAACAGCTTCTTCGCCCGGCTCATATCAACGACTGAGTCGAGATCTCCCCATCTCGGTTTACGGTTCGCAGCTTAAACAAGCTTGCTGTTGCTTTTCCTCGATCCTGTACTCCGGTCTTTACTTCAACGTGGAGACGAAAAGGAACTTCGGCTGGCACCAGCTGGCACGAGCTAAAAGTTCACAAAATAGCATCGGTCTTCAACAACCTGTTGCTTACCCCTCACAAACTTGGCTCCCCTTGCTTTTTGCGACACCATTTTTTGACGCCTGTATGAGATACACCACAGGGCTCCGGACGATTGGACGGTCGGTCAGGGAGTGCCGCAGAAAAAATGATGACATAAGCGTCACTCGAGGTGACAAGGAGGGAGAGAGAGTTGAACAAGGCAAGATTCAGCGATTTGGGTGCGTGCATGGTGCGCACGTACCCTTCTACGCTGCAAGAAATGGAAATCCAGCCCTTTTGTGGACTTCTATCTATTTTTTTTTTGTCAATTAGCTAGCTTTCATTACCCTCGAGAGCACTCGTCATCAGAAAATGGAAATTGATCCAACCCAAAAAAGTGATCCCCTAATTGCCACCGCCGTCCTAAAAAGCATGAGCGAGTAAGAACTTTAGAGCGCCACTACTTATTCCACACTCCAAAGGCGGAAATGTTCAGGAGGAATTGCGAGGTTGTATTCAAGTCTGTGGCTAGATGCTATCAAGGCACTGGCACGAGGCGCCATCATACAGACTCGGAGAGATTCCTTGAACTGGAATTCGCCAAGTTGCAGGAAACACTCATTCGGGACAGGTAGAGAGGAATCACCTCATTGGAATCCTCATTTTCCGGCCCCATCAGTCGTGACCTTGGTCAATGCTGGATTTTCTTATCTCGGTTGCAGATTCAATTGGCAACCCTGGATCAATTCTCCCTGTCTTGACAACTCGTTGCGTCGTGATTCCCAAACTCTCTTTTTTTTCCCTCGAAGGTATTGAAGGTATGAGCGCTTGGTCTTGGTCATGTGAATATTCCCAGCCAATCTCATTTCGGTCCGTGACAAAACATCAGAGAAGAGCGGCCTTGAGTCTTGTCTCCACGTCTGCTCCAGCTCTCTGTCTCACCATGCTGACCACCCAGTCCTGCTGTGCTTTGCGGGGGAGTGTCTTCAGGCGAGACACGTATAGACCCAGGGTCTCCGGCCTCGATTGGAGATCGCTCAGACCGGAGGTGATCAGCCAACGTTGTAGACGTTGAGGATCGGCCAAGATGGAATCATCAGAGGTCGGGCCCGGTAGCTCTGTGCTTGACACTGTGGCTGAAGATCCAGCGGGCGGCGTCGGCGCTGGTTGGAGCCTCGCAGAACGAGTCGTCAAGTCTTCGCCTTCCGAGTCGGAGTCTACATGCCTCAGTACAGCCCCGCTAGCAGGTTGATGGTTCAGTTGAGAACGTTGCCCATCGTTCTCGTCTTCATCTTCCTCGACCCTGGCAGCCCGAGGATTACGGGACACTGACACAGCCTGACTCGGCTCGTCATCATCTGATAAGGGTTCGAGATCAGGCATACTATCCCCATCGTCGTCTTCATAGATCTCAGAGTTATCACGATCAGCGTCTTGATAGTAATCCCACCCGCCGGCCATACCGAGACCTGCGGCAGTCACTCGTTCATTTGGTGCTTCGTCGTCACTGCCAAGTTCGGCTTGTAACATTTGCTGGACCAACTCGGGCGAAATGTTATCGCCGAGCAGTTCCTGAAACTCTTGAAGAGCAGCTTGACCATCGGAATCGCCGTTCACATCGTTGGGATCCGCTGGTGTTTGGAACCAGCGCATTAGTCGTGTAAGAAGACCCCCCGTCATACCAGCAGTGACTCCAGCAGCGTGAAAGATGGCCTGAATTGGGCCATCGCCAGCTTGCGCAGCTGCTGGGGCACGTATGACGAAGCCATCGGAGTCAGAGGACGGAGGAGGTAAGACATCGTAGGACGAGGTAGGTCTGGAGGTGAAGGAGCGGGGCAAGAGCGAGATGAGCGAGGGTATTTCGAGTAGCATGATGTGACGAGCTTCCTCCATGGAGATTTCGAGTTTTGGCGCAGGCGGCGCTGCAGCTATGGCGTCGCTGTAGTGCGATAGGGTCTCTGCTACTTCACCGAGCAGACTTATCGTCTCTGGAGTGTTCCATAGGTCCTTGGCACGTGTGACATAGAGCTGCGTGTGAAGCTTCTCGGCATCAGTTGATGGTAATTTTGCCCACAAGGATTTGGGAAGAGGCGAGATGTCGAGTGCTGAAGCCAATGCCGACAGGATGTACGGGTACTTGTGCATAGCGACGGCCAACTGTCTTCTTGCCTCCTGCGCTTTCCCTGATCTGAGATATGCAAGAGACAGAGAAATCTGAATATTCGCGAGGAAATCCCAAGCTTGCCCATAAGCATCATCCGAGCATATATCTATCAATTGGGCATGCTGGCGGCCTCTGAGAGCGAGTTGATCGATCATTAGCGTTACTCCATAGGGATCGGTAATTGGATTTAGTTGAAGAAGAATCTTGGACCACTCGAATGCCGTTCGCCATGTACCTCTCATCTCAAGGTTCTTGATATACCGCCATATTGCTAGGTAGAGTTCACGGTTGGCAGTCTTATCGAAGGGCACCCGTACAATACCTGTTCTCAGCGAAGCCGGAAAAGAGCTGTGTACTGACTTCCCGAAGGAGAACAAAGCTCGCTCCAATAGATCTCCGGAGACTGCGTGGTCCCCTTGGTGCTTCGCGATTTCAGAGACCTGTAGTAGGGTGGCAATGTGGTAGGGATACATGGAGAGCAAGCCTATCATCCTTTGAGGATCCATGGATTCAACTGCCAAGCGAAATTGTACTTGAGTCTCTTGGTAGAGTGTATTGTGCATGATGTTGTAGATCTTCTCGAACGAGGTCGTGCTCGAATCTGTCTTCGAGCCATTGACGTACTCCATGCTCAAGCCACCGCTTGTGGCCAGCGGCCATTCTTCTCTGCCTTGCACGAAAATATTCCTTCGGTGTGCAAGCGCGCCCAACTCTTTGCCTCTGCTTCCCACACAATAACGCCCTGTGAGCGCAGTCGCCAAGTCAACTCCGCCTTGTAAATTCTGATCACGACGCCGCTGTTGACGTGGTGGGGTGCGGGACTCTGGAGTCTCGAGAGCAATGTTCCCGAAAAGACTTTTCATTTCATTCACAGGGTTGAGATTCTTTTCGTCTACCGCAAGTAACTTGGTCGCCCGCGCTTCCCAGGTGGACGTTTCATCTTCAACAGCGGTAGCCGCTCGGGTGTCCTTCACTGCCAATTCTTTGAGGGCTCGATCGACCTCGTCTCCTGACTCATCTTGCTGTATCGTGGTTTCCACGTTCTTGTTCTTGGCCTTGCTCTTGCCTTTACCTTTCCTTTTCTTCTTTTTGGACTTTGAGGAAGAGGATGGGGGGTTTCGAGATTCTGTGGGAACTGCAGCCTCTTCGGCTTGGGATGTCGGCATGTCTTCTTCTGACTCGTCCTCATTATCCGCGGCAGCCTCTAGCATGTCGAATGCATTGGCCGGACGGTTAGATGTGGGTAGGGCATCTTCTTCTTCCTCTTCCTCTGATTCCTCGGCCTCTTCGTATGCCTTTTTGGCCGCTTCGATTTGTCGCTGGAGTTCTTGCTCACGTTGGAGCTTTCGCAAGGCTCTGGAAGACATAGTGGCAGACTCGGGGTAAGATCAAACTCTCTATATATTGGTCAAGTAAGCAGTGATACTGCAAGATCGTTGGGAGGGATAACGAGCAAACGGCGTAAATTTATTTCAACAACGCTGCCTCGATCTTCGATTATTTTGGTCTTGTCGATATGACGCATCAGTCTTTCGGTGACCTTTTAAGTGGTGTTAGCGGGGCATAAACAGTCCTGCTAGCACTATTAGGGCTCGCCTAATCAATCATCCGGTTGGCTGGACTCCTTCTAACCCGAGCCTAGCTGCCCCGTCGCTAAAACAACATAGTGAGCCTCGTGAACGGTGCAGGCGATGATGATTCTTTGAATGTCGCCAGTGCCCTTGGTGAAATTCATCGTCGATTCCTTCACATCAAACCCTTTCTCCATGTCGTCGCCCTCATATCCTTGACCTGAACCGCCTCAATGCGTCGAGCAGCCGTTTTCGCTCTTCGTACTGCTCGACGCTCTGCATTTCGCAAGCTCCTCCCTAAGTCGGTATTATCGTCGGCGAGCAATGCAGCACCCGTATCTGGCTACTCTTCTGCGGTCATACGAAGATACAGCACCTCTCGGCAGCCCTTGCAGGCTTCTATGCGTCTCCCAAAAATCCCAATTGCCTTTGTCGGGACGCTTGGGGCCATAGGCGCATGGTACGCTTATCGGGGTGATGGCCCTGAACAACTGCTGCGAAATCCGACTGCACCATTTTCAGCCCAGCCGACGAGAAGTTTGAGCACAAAGCCAGACATTGCCTCGCCAACATCGGAGCCCACCAGTCCTGCTCCAGTAACTGCAGGTCACGAACCCAATCGCAAGGCATTGGTAGTAGACAACGACCAATTTTTCACCGGTGCAATTGTGGGCGAAGGACCATTGGCAAAAGACACTGATGATTACGGGAGAAAAGTACTCGAGATGATGACCCCAGAGCAAGCAACGGAGAGGCTGCGGAAGAACGAACAATCATATCTTGTTGGTCGAGGACGAGGCGTGGTCCGGTACGACGTTGTCCAACTGCCTAGCAATGACCCCATTGAGGATGACCACTCCGAAAAGATTGTAGAAGTTCCAAGCTCTGTCGCTGCGACAGATGGAGCCGCTTCCTCAGACTGGATGTTTTGGGGTGTTTTTGATGGTCACTCCGGCTGGACGACTTCGGCCAAACTGCGTCAGGTGCTGATCTCATTTGCTGCACGCGAACTGAACAGCACCTACAAGGCCGCATTATCTGATGCCAAATCGCCATTCCCTCCTCCTGCTGCCATTGATCAAGCATTGAAGTCGGCCTTTATCAAGTTGGACAACGAAATCTGCCTTGACAGTGTCAGCAAGCTGAGCAAAAACCCTAGCAAACGCCTCGCCGCTGAAATCCTCGCCCCCGCACTTTCTGGCTCATGTGCCTTGCTCTCGTTCTATGACTCTCGCAGTAAGACCCTGCGTGTGGCCTGCACTGGTGACAGCAGAGCGGTCCTCGGACGACGCAACACGCAAACCGGCAAATGGTTCGCTACACCATTGTCTGAGGATCAAACCGGGTCCAACCCCAACGAGGAAGCACGGATGCGCGCTGAACATCCTGGTGAAGAGCACGTCATTCGCGCCGGTCGTGTTCTGGGTAATCTGGAACCCACCCGAGCCTTTGGCGACGCGTTCTATAAATGGTCACGCGACACACAGGACAAAGTCAAGAGGCATTTCTTTGGCCGCACACCACATCCACTGCTCAAGACGCCTCCGTACGTCACGGCTGAGCCCGTTGTAACCAGCACATCTATCGAGCCGTCTAAGGGTGATTTCGTGGTGATGGCGACCGATGGCCTCTGGGAGATGCTCACAAATGAGGAAGTCGTTGGTCTTGTAGGTCAATGGATTGAGCAGCAGAACAAGCAAGCGAGTAAATCATCGAACAATACCGCATGGTTGACGAGCTGGTTCAAATCTTCATCTCCAGGTGCCCTCCCAGTCGAAAAAGGAGGAAATATGGACAAGACTGGACGCATCGACAATGGCAAGGCTGGAAGTGGAGAGAAACCAATTCGCCAGCAACAGTGGGATGTCAAGAGTGAGAAGAATGGGCGCTTTGTGGTCGAGGATAAGAACGCCGCAACACATCTTGTCAGGAACGCACTCGGTGGGAAGGACCGAGACATGGTGTGCGCGCTGTTGACGTTGCCGAGCCCGTACAGTCGACGATACAGGGATGATCTGACGGTCGAAGTCATTTTCTTCGGAGAAGGAGACAACACCGGTGCCGTCGTAGTCAATTCGGAAGCTACGGCGCAGAACGGCGGAGAAGGTCTAAAGGCGAAGTTGTAACCAATACAATGAAGACTAGAGATGTACTTCCAATGGCGGTTATGCTTTGGCGGCTCACACCGGTCACTCGACTAGCTGCGGGCAATTGAAGCGATTCAAAGAGTTGGAAGATGGAACAACAAGCAAGCATCGAGTGGAGTAGGTTTTGTACTGTTTACTTCGGTTCGAGTCTTGTCTTCTTTACTAAATCATTCCAGTCTATGGTCATGGGTAGAGGAGGGAGTAGGCATGGCTAAGATTGTAAGAGCTAAAATCAAGGCTCAATGCTAGCGAAAGTAACATCAAAGAACTCATATTCCGTTCCAAATCCATCTTTTTACAGCCTCTAAATTCCCGATGTTTCTTCTGCCCGGCGTATATTTTATACACGCACTGGGGGGTGCTCGTGCCCCCAAACACGCAATTCTAGACTTGTCCGGTTGCATGCAAACCTGGTCCAGATATCCCTTCTCTCGACCGCAATAAGTATATGACAACCTCTGTGGGATGTCGAAAGCCTTCCAACCCCAGTGTTGTTGTGATGTGGCCATTACCCAATTGGGGAACCCGATCCAGCGGTGGCATCTGTAAGCGGTCCGTTGCCATTCCTGAACATTTTCAGGATAAGACAAGAGACTCGGACACGTCCATCGCATTTGCCTTTGGCGCGGTGATCTTCCTTCGTCAAGAGCTGTAACCACTGCCGTATCGGGAGGAAACACTGTTCGAGGCGCTGTTATACCTGACTTCATTCCAGAGCCAGATTCACAATAGCAATAACAAGATCGCTAGTCTCTCAAAGTTCCGCGTGGTCTGTTCAATTAGACTACGACGTCCATCGTGTCCTACAAACGTCACGTCGGAGCTGGTGCCATACGTTTCTTGTTGACCTCAAGTATTTCGAGGAGTGTCTTTCTGACCTTTGGGTTTTGGTACCCTCGTCTCCAAAACTTCCATTGACTTGTTGATGCCGAGGGTGTATCTCACGAACGGACGCTGGACCATTTGCATCCCCACACTTCCGATCAGATAGAGGACGACGGCGGACGGCATCTCACCTCTGATGATCAGATAGCCGAAGACGAAGGGGCTCGCCGCGAACAACTGGGATATCATGAGGATCCAGACCTCGCGGGTCCTGGCCCACCCTTGATCCATGCCCACGATCTTGCTCTGCCTCTGCTTGATATCTTTCCCGAGCATCTGCCAAATACTGGCTCCCGACAAGGCCGCAAACGTCAAGGGTAGCACCCAGGTATGGTCGAACTGAACCAGGTCCGGGAGCCAGAGAAAACTCTCGCTCGCTAGACCGGGTTCGGGAGGAATCACGGTGGTAGTCGCGTCTTCGCCCGACTTTGTAAACACGCTCAGCAGTGTCCTGTCGTCCCCCGACATACTCCTGACGACCTGGGCGTTGATGAACCAGATGGGTAGGAACGAGAACTGCAGAGCAAGTCGGGATTGCCAGCTCATGTAGGTGGTGTGTCGTTGGATGTCTTTGAGTTTGGTCCGAAGCTGCGTCTGTACCCACGACTCGGCCAATTGTGCAGACTGATCGGTCCCCTGGGGGTATTTCATCCTGGCACGATCTTGGTACGCCTTCCGCCACCCCTTGAGGACACCGGCCACTTTTTGTTCTTGCTTGTTGGCTCTATTGGTGACGTAGAGGATGGGGAGCCACGCGAGGCGAAACGCCACGGCCGTCAAAGGGATCGAGAGGCCCCATGACAGTCCGCTCAGGTTGTGGACCTGTTGAAATGCAGCTTCGGAGAGTTGGAGGGCTTCGGCGACGAGGTGGTTCGGTCTCGAGGCATGGAATCGTCTGTTCAAGCGGAGGGCTTGAATGCCGCTGGTTCGTGAGGAGGGACGAAGAAGCCGTCCATAGCTAAGTAAGGAATTACTAGGTACGCATCGTATAGGATGCCGTAATGACATTTGGGTGGTGGAAGTAGACGCTCATCAAAGCGAGCCGCAAGGAAAACTCATGCACATTGCTGGTTATTGTACGTGAAGTGGTTTGCGGAGAAAAATGGCTAGAGGAATGCAATCCGCAACGCCGACTCCCCCTATCACTATTGTTATTCGACACAACATTTCTCAGTACTTTGCATCGATTCGTTCAATTAAAACAATGTTCTAATCTTTTGTATATAGTCGAGGTCCCGTTACATTTACTTCAAGTCCTCAAAGTCTGAGAAAAGTACCATGTGTTCTCGCAGTGCCAGCTTGTGTCTAGTCCTCCATACCTCGTCTGTCTTCCAGCGGACAATGGCATCTTTCAAATATGAGTTTCTCTCGAAATGCGAGCGACGCCTGTATCGATAAACATCCGCAGCTCCATCGCTTCTACGATTCCTTGCACCATCAGGTAGGCTCGTGGATGTAGTTAGAAGTATGTTGTTGAGAAGCGTCTAAAAGCGGCGCGGTTTACATTGACGCCCACGTGAAGGACTGAGCAGATTTCAGTCGCCGCTTTCTGGTCTCCCAATTGGTGCGTCATTGTTGGCTGAATCAGAAAATGAGGATACATTTGCCTGGTCTCACTATCCCCTCTAGCATTGGTCTTTTCTTTTGTACACCTGCCCGCCAACAAGTCTCTGTGGAAGTATGTCCGTTATCGAGCCTTTTAGGTTGCAACAGTAATGGGTACTTCATCCATAGTGGCAGTATTGGCAGTGGCGCCTCTCTTACCGCTGATCGGACTGCTATTTCTCAAATTATCACTCCGGAGCGTTGGCAGGGCTTTGCAGATCAAGGGCGAGGATCGACGGAATGCAATCGTATCTCGAGTTCGCAGAGACAGAGATGCCGTTCGCGAAAGTCAGATTGCCCAGGACGTGAACGAAGATGGCTGGGAGACGGTCGAAAAGGCGGCGGGCACGGCTGAAAATGGTAAAGCCATGCAGCATGATTGGGATGGGGTAGTAGGGTTCTTTCACCCATTTTGGTGAGTATCTCTCCATGCCCTTCTTGGGAATTCCCAAATTCATGTTCGTTTTCCTTGTAGCAATGCTGGAGGTGGTGGCGAGAGAGTCCTGTGGGCTGCCATAGCGGCGACTCAGACACGGTGGCCGAACGCGATTTGCGCCGTCTACACCGGTGACCATGACATCGACCGGAGTGTCGTTGTAAGTACGGTCAAAAGTCGATTCGGTATCACTCTGCAAGAACACTCTCTGGTCTTTTTGTACCTGTCTAGCCGACACTATGTACTTGCCAGCACTTGGCCTCGTTTTACCTTGCTCGGACAGTCTCTGGGATCTCTCATCCTGGCGTATGATGCTTTCCAGCTTCTTGTTCCCGACCTTTTCATTGACACCATGGGTTATGCCTTTGCGGTGGCATTATGCAAACTCTTGTTTCCATGGGTGCCAACAGCGGCTTACGTACATTATCCCACCATTTCTACCGACATGTTGGACAGCCTCGACGACACAACCGGTCAACGTGGCATCCACTCGGGCGCTGGCGCTGGATGGAAAGGGAGAGGCAAACGACTTTACTGGCACGCCTTTGCGTGGCTCTACGGCTGGGTTGGTGGGCACGTCGACGTGGTCATGTGCAACTCGACTTGGACACAAGGGCACATCAAGAAGCTCTGGAGTACCAAGAGAAAATCAAAGTCGTTCGCAGCTATCGTGTATCCCCCTTGCCCAGTCGAAGAACTTGAAGAGAAGATTGAGGTCACGCAAGAAAGCGAGAAGCGAAGAGAAAACATCGTCCTTTACATTGCACAATTCCGACCCGAGAAAAATCACTCCCTCATCCTACGAGCATTCGCGAAATTCTACCACAAGGCCCCGGCCACGGATAAGCCCAAACTTGTCTTGATTGGGTCAGTCCGAAGCAACACGCCTGATGAAAAGCATATATACAATTTACGGCTCGAGGCGAGAGAACTGAAGATCACTGACGCTACCGTCTTCATCTGCGATGCTCCATTTTCGGTGATTCTCGAATACCTCCAAAAGTCGAGCATCTCCACCAATGGCATGTATTCGGAGCATTTCGGTATTGGCAATGTTGAAGGACTTGCTGCAGGCCTGATCCCCGTGGTCCACAACAGCGGTGGCCCTAAGCTGGACATTGTCGTGCCGTACCAAGGCAAAGAAATCGGCTTCCATGCTGAAGCTGATGAAGACTTTGCAGCTGCTTTTGCTCGAGTGGCTGCCCTTGATCGTGAAGAGCGCCTCGCCATGCGACTACGGTGTCGAGCAAGTACGTCACGCTTCACCGAGGAAGTCTTTGCCAGAAAGTGGGCTGAAGAGATGGAGACATTGATAAAGATGACTTCTGCAAAGGCAAAGGTCTAGCAGACCGTTCATGGCGATGATATTCTCTATTAGCGTCCGGTCGTGCTTTAGAGGTTCGGTGCAGGTTGCAAGACCGTCTCGTCGGTGTAATGCCGATAACATGGTGTTCTATTGGGAAACTCATTTATCCGTGGATGGACCTACTTTCGTAGATTGACTCGTAAGAGCCGTCAGTGGCTTAGTCTCTTGGTCCTTGTCTGTGGAGACGCGGCAGCAAGGCTGAGCTAACAGGAGAGAAGGCTTGTTTATATACTTGATCAGTCGAAAGAGGGCCTTGGGCTTGCCCTTCTTGCGTTAAATTTTCATATCACTTGTTGATGGCCTCGGTATTATGCGCTGCTGCATGAGAGACCTGCCTTCTCATTTCTTCAGTTGCGCGAGACTCGTGCGACTCAGTCCGAGTTGGTTCCTCCCATATTAGAGGGGCAAGGGGCCAGGAACCTTCTTCCTCGCGATGGGTTGAACGCTGGAGATCCCTTCGAAAGCACAGCATGAAGAGTGGGAGAGTTGCTTCGATGAATACATCATACCTACGTTATGACTTGTGGCTGGAAGTGTCTATACAGCATATACAACAAAACGCCTTGGTGCCCTGTATGCAAACGGCCGATGGACGAGGATAGCATAGAAAACTTTCTCGATCCCTATAAAAAGGGACGTCACGCAGCAAGCAAGAAGAGTCAACAGAAACATCACAGGCGATGGTCGATCTGGGCACCAAGGATTCCGATATCCTTTCCGTTGTCCCAGATGTGATAATGCGTCGCCTTGAAAAGGCAGCAAACTGCCCTTCCACGGGTTCGCGCCTCATTTCTCTTTACCAAGGGGGAATGGCGTAGAGACAATGGTAAGAATACATAGGGCAGCAAAGCGCCAAGGACAATGTTCTCTTCATCCTCAAATCGACACACCCCCCAGAAAATCGCTAATCGTGCGAAGCAGTCGAGAGTGCTCCGATTCTCCTCTTTGTGAGATCTCGTCGACCAGCTGTGCATACGTGAGGACCACCCTCCGTGCAGACATTGGACCTGGGATGTAGTCTTCACCACCAAATGTGAAAGGCCCGCCCTCGGCGATGAACCGCTTTGTTAGAATTGTGTTTGACGATGAAGATGCGGCGGCAGTTCCATGCAAAGGCGTAGAGAGGCCTTCAGCACCAACCGACGGCCAGTCTGGCCGTAGCAGCAGCTCTAGAGGCTCATTGGAAGCCGTCAGAGTCATCTGATTGGCGCAAACGTACATGGCCATCACGAGGGCAGCATTTGACAGGATCAATTCGGGTAGCAGAGTCTTGACGTCCGACACCCTGTGCTGCGAAAGGACGTTGAATATCTGCGCCGAGTGGATAATGGCCCGGCGCGCACTCGCCGTCTGCGACCATGACGCCAGGTCGTTCTGGGCTTTGAGGGCAGCCTCCAGACCCATTCTTCCGCAGGCCGTTTGGACGCGATCGATATCCGCGCACAGGAGCATACATAGATGGTTCCACAAAATTGCCGTGGACGCATCCTGGTACAGCAGTGCCCCGTTGATTTGAGCGGCAGATACCAAATCGCGTGCAATACTGGCTGCTTGTTCATTTTGGGCGTAAGTGACTGCAGGGACAAACGAAGTGTTCTTCAGAGCAGACGGTGTTTTGGAAAGTAATCTGTGCCGATATGCCGCTTCGCGCAAGACTAAAACATCAAGGAGGGTGCGTAGGCCAAGCGAATCGAGCTGTATAGACAACGGCTTCTTTGCTCGTTTGGTGGCGACTCCCAGATCGGCTTGTTCGCCCAGCATCGAAGCTCCGGCTGCCACCCGTTGGAAAAAGACCGACGCAGATGGAGCGTCGAACAGGGCCGAATCGCAAGGCAAGACCACCTCTATTCGGTCTATGCCGATGTTGGCGGCAAGATCGAGCATCCGCGTGTACGCTGAATCAATCGATATCAGGCATACAATCAGTCTCTTGACCGACTCGATGCGTGCCCACGCCTTCCACTCCTCGTCCGGAGTCGCTTGAACGCGGAACATTTCGTCAGTCACCAGCTCGCCGTCTTGAGCCGTGAACATTCCGTGGCGGTCGGCGATGAAAAGGGTCTGGATCGCGAGCATGTGTGCCTGGTGTTCATCGACGAGACGCTCACAGCTGAGGCCCAGAAACAATACCAAGAGAGAAGATGTGAGTGAGGTCAAGAGCTGCTGAGCCCCTCCCTTTCCGAGCCCCTTGTATGTCAGGTTGAGTCGACAGAACCGGATCAACTTGCCCAGATACTGTCGGATGAAGTTCTCGGCCCCGGTCGGGTTCAGGGTCGACAGTCCAATGAGACACATTGGCAGTAGCAAGGAGCTTGGGGTAGACTTTGCGTCGAAGGTGGCGGCGTGTATGAATGGGAGGACCGGATGAAATCGTCGGAAGTAAAAGTCAATGCTCATGTCGAGCGTTTCAGTCGAGGGGAAATTGAGTCGGGGCACTTCGGGAGAGAGACCGTCGAGTTCTACCTCCTCGTTCTGCAATGGCTCGGAAATATGGGGGGACCCCGGCGCCGTAACACCACCAGTGTAGCTCTCCGCCGGGAGAAAATTCGTCTCACAATCGGATATCAGTCGGGCCCTGCACTCGTCATCCATGTTCCATCTCGATTCAGAGCGATCTCGACACATTGACGATGACTCGAGCGGTGTTGTGGCTGTGGCAAGCGAGAAGAAGTTGTCGGCCTGGTGCTCACTGGCACACCGCCACATGGTACGAATGACGCGTATGACTGGTGAAGCGCGCCTTCTGGGCCACGCTTGCTGAACCCTTTTGGACAGCTGAAGCGAATTCGAGTCGTATGTTGTCGTCAAGTCTACCGTCGTTCTTCCGCCGGGAGAGAATGGTAGCATGTTATGATCCGCAGATCCGAAAGGGGCAAACCAGACATCGAGAGCTTCATATACCGAAGGAAAGTTCACGTTGTACTCGTATGGCGGCATCGTCAGATCGAAACCGGCCCCGGCGGTCATTTGAGACTGATCGAATGATGAGGTCGTAAGCACCGGTTCTGAGAACTGCTGCATTGAAGCCATCATTGAGGTGTCGACACCTTGGGCGGCCACATTCGGATTGCTGTCGAGAACTGTAGAGCTCATGCCCGCAGCATGCTCATCTGCAAGTGAAGGGACACTGGGTTGCTCACTTGTTGGGATTGTCTGCCGGTAATTCGAGAACAACACCTGTTGTTCCGTGGAGCGTTCAGTAGTGGCGAGAGTGGACGTGTCCCGATCGTCGGTCTCATCGTTGTCGCCTTTGTCTTCTAGACTGTGGTTGCGAACGTGGCGGGCAAGGACGTCGCTGTGTAAAACGCAAGGTCCCAGTCAGTTTTTCTTTTCGAAACCGGATTTGACGCTCGAGAGCATTCCCTCTTACCTTCTCGCATAAGCTTTGTGACAGAGGTGGCACTCGAATGGCTTTTCGCCCGTGTCTAATCAAGCCAGTCATTAGCTCTCAAAAAGGCCGTCACTGTTCAATAGTAGATCTTACGATGCCGTTGGTGACGCTGAAGATGTTCGTTCCTGGTGAATCGGCGGTCGCAAAATGCACATTTCCTGCCGAGCCCGTGTGACTTGCGACCCATGTCTGGGACAAATGCTCAAGGCAATTTCAACAAACCATACTACATTCCAACGCGTGAGGTTCAACAGATCAAAATAGGCCTCATTGCTTGGAGTTGAGTCGTTTATTAAAGACGATGAGATTGGAGGAGACGTGATGTTGAAACACCCAGAAGAAAATCACCCCGTTGTTCAACCTCCGCAGGGCGGAGAACGTGGGGCTGACCAGGGCCAGCACTGGACCTATTTAGATATGTATTCATTTGAACCGAGTTCAGCGCAGCGACTCTGTGCTAAGGGCGTTCGGCTACGGTTTGCATTAGATTTTGAAGAAAAAGAATTCAAGGATTTGAGAATGATATCAAGTACGACTTGCTCCCTAGGCGAGAAATAATGCTCGCCCAGCTGAGATTCACTTATGCTACTGTCGCTACTCCGTACAAGCTACACGTATTTCATGGAGTTTCTACCGAAAAAGGGATCTTCATTTGCCAACGCTTTATGCCTCTAGTGGTTCCAAGCTTATTGCGGTCTCTCCGTCGTATTGTTTGAGATACTCCCGGGCCTGGGCGGCCTCCTTTAATATCATCTCCTTGTGTTGTTCGCTGCGTGGGATGAATCGTGCTTTGAATGGCTCTGGTCGCATGTTTTCGGACTCTCCATATGCGAAGATGTCTACGGGGATGTCATTACCCTGTGACTGGTCAACAACTGCCTTGGGGCGCTCTACGAGGACCAATTTTGGAAAATCCAGAAAAAAACTTACATTCGCGTCAAGACCTGGTCGAATGTCAAAGGCCCAGAGGAGTCGGGCAAAGGTCAAGAACAGTCCCTGTTCTGCAAGTGGTTGACCGCTGCATTGCCTTCGACCCCAACCAAAGGCATTGTGACCCTTTTTGTTTGGATACGGTCGAGTCTTGTCGATAAAACGCTCGGGTTTGTACTCGTCCGGGTCGGGAAACTCGTTGGGGTTTCGATGTATGGCCCAGAGGTTCCCCGTGATCCAGGTGCCTTTGGGGATCAGGTATCCATTGTACTCATCGTCCTGCGACGGCGAATGTGGAATGCCACCCAAGATGGTCACCGTTCTCCACCGTAAAGCTTCCTCGACACAAGCGCGAATATAGGGCAATCTCTCTTCGTCGGTCCAGGATGGTAGGCGATCGGCTCCGCCGACGACCTCGTCGATTGCCTTTTGGGCTTTTCGTTGAACCTCGGGAAAGGCACACATGGCGAGAATGAAGGTGAGGGTGGTGCTTGCAGTGGTATCAACTCCTCCTCCGATCATGTTGCCGGTGAGAAAAGAAATTTCTTCCTCCTTTAGACCGTTGGCTTCTTTCTCCTTGAAGAGATTTTTGGCAAAGCAATCTGACCCAGAGGTGGAAGCTTCCCGAGATAAAGAAGTAAAGAAACGATTGAATTTCTTGCCGTTCTCGAGAACCTTGGACGCAGCCGGGTAGATCCATCGGGGTAGTTTGATCAAGAGTGGGATGGTTTCCATGATGAACATTCCCGGCATGACCAGGTCTACGCCCTCCATGAATTTGAGAGCCACTTTGGCCACTCCGTCGTCCATCTTGTCGATACGTCTACCGAAACCGATGCAGGAGACGATGGAGATGGAGTACCGTTCGATGGCCTTGACGTACTGATCCGGCGTCAGGAACAAGTCGCGCAGCAACACCCTAATCTCAGAATCCTGAAACTTTCGGTACGATCGCACCGCCTGGGATCCTGTGGCGTTGTGTGTGAGGCGGCGGTGGTACCTCCAACGATCGCCGTACGGTAAACAAACCTGGTCGTATTGTGTGGCGTTTCTCGAATCCCCCAACATGACCATATGCGGCCGAGAAGAATAGATGTTGGCCCTCTTGTCGAGAAGCTCAGAGATTGACCAGATATCGTTGCAAATGATGTTTGGTTTGTGTCCGTGCCAGATGGTGACCATGGAGCTGTTGTACTGCTCGGCCAATTCTGCCATGTAAAGCCATGGTCGAGGCAGTTTGATCTGGTAGTGGTTGCCCACGAGTGGCCATGGAAAAGGCCCCGGTGGAAGCTTTCGCCGGACTCTCAGAACCCGGATGTAGTCGATCAGTACATAAACCACACCCAAAAGTAAGGATGTAGCGAGGAATAGTAGTGGTGTCCGCAGCACCGGCGGAAGCGCGACATGGACGGCGGTGACGTGTCTGAAAAGACCTGTTTTTTCAATGGCTGTGATTGAATCCATTCTTGATTTCTTGACAAACAGGCACCCAGATTGGTTTGTAGTGACTCCGTTACGAGTACAAAAATGCAAAAAGGGAAGCTCTCGATCTTTTGAATAGCCAACTCAATCTAATTAACGCTGGCTGTTCTGGTCGTCGTCTCAGGTCTTGTTTTAACAACTTGGTGGATCTTTGCGTCCCGCTTGGGTCTGGCATGCTGGTCAGGAAGGGTCCTCATGGGGGACCTTGAAGGGCTTTGGGCGGCCCCCAGCTCGTTGTTGTCCTTCGCCTATTGATGAGATGTGGCCTGCATACTCGTACTTTGAACCCTGCAGAAAAGGAACCCACTTCCCACTTCGCCCTGTTCATTGAAAGGAGGCGGTCCCCCACATAACACTGCCCACATGACCGTTATATCTCGTATGTGGGGTACCACAGACGTTGAAGAGTTGACTGGTGTGTTTTTATGTTCTTGTCGGGCATTCTTTCTCGATGTGGGGGACCTTGGGGGGCTCTTCGAAAGCAGGCAAACTTGTTGTTTGGTCCGTGCCAGCCCTTGTTCAAAATGTTGAGTTGCTCCGCCTACGAAAAGCCGTGGATAACTTGTTCATCCAGGAAATGGGTCGAGATTGTCACTGGATACAGTCCCGTATTGCCCAATGTACATATGATTGATACTTATGGTACGTAGTCGAAAGATTACTTTTTGGGGAGCGCAGTGAGTATTCAGTGAAAAGGAACACCACAGTATGAGCCAAAAAGACAAAGTTGAAAGTGCGATCTGGCATTGTAGATAGATGTAGAATTTGATCTACCTTGACTCCGACTCACCTCCCAGTGCTAGGTGTCGGTGCTCAACCTAATCCATCCTATGCCTGTGGCTTGCTCTTGTGCTCTGTGGCAGCTACCTCGTCCCTTCCAAATATGCCTTCCCTCTCCATGTGGACGGCTGTGTGGTTGGTGAGATACATTGAAGGGTCCCGGATGAAGCACGCAAATACTAAAGCGATAATTCCAAAAGGTATTGTGGCGTAGAAGACCATCTGGAAAGCTTTAGCATAGACCTGTCTGGCAGCAGTAACTGCGGCAGCTTCGATCGAAGGGGTGATTCCAGGAACTTTGGCGAACGCATCGGGAACGCCGACAATTGTGCTCATCGTCGCTGGGATGAGTAGTTCAAGACCGTCTGTCGAATTGAAGCCGGCCCCAATCGCAGCAGAGGCAACCCTCGGGCCGAGATCGTTCCCGACCACACCTTGAATGATGGCATTGAAGATTGCATTGCCAACACTTCCACCTAAACTCCTAAAGGTGCCAATCAGACCGGTGGCCAGGCCAAGATACCTCAAAGAGATGTTCAATCCTGCGATGACATAGCAGGCCAGCACGACGAGTGCAAAGGGTCCCACTGAGAACGCTTGAAGAGCAGACCAAGCGGTCTTGTTCTGCGGAATGGCCGCGGCAAGGCAAGCTGTAAAAACGGTCTGAATCACCAGAGCCACGATGATCTGGGCTTTGAGATGTTTGATCTTGCCCATAAAGCTCGTGGCAACAGCTCCGAAAAAGAGCTATAACACTAATTAGCTTTGCGCGTCGATGAGAGTCTTGAATTGGCTAAGACTGACCTGAAGAAAGCCATTTGGCAAGGCGATATAGCCAATCTGAATAGGATCACTGGTGAAGATGTACAAGGAGCCTTGTGGAAGTAGCGCGGACATAGAATAGAATATGACACCTGGAGGATTCATCAGCACTCTGAACATCGGGTCAGAAGACCTAGACAAGATGTCGACTTACCTGCAACAAACACGATACCCAGTAGTACAGTAAAGTCACGCATCCTCTTGAAAACCTCGAGGGGAAATAGAGGCTTCTTCGCAATGGTAAAGTCGTAGAGGAAGCATGCGACCAGTCCCAGAAATCCAATGATGATGGGAGCAATGACAGAGACGCTTCGCCACTGATGCCCAGCTTGACCTGCCCAAGTCAAACCAATGAGCATCGTCACTAAGCCAGAGGTGTAGAGAAAAAGACCGATGAAGTCAAGCTCTTTCACTTCCTGCCATCGGGTTTTGTCATGATCATGCTGTGGTCGCGCCGGTGGCCAGTAAAACAAGAGAGTTCCAGCCAAACTGATGACAGCAAAGATCAAGCCGAGATAGTAGCACCATCGCCATCCGAGTTTGGTATGTAGATTTAGTTCGGTCGCGATGAGGACGTTCGCTACACCCCACGGCACATTGATGGCGTATTCAGTGAGAGCCAGGCCGGTACCACTTTGTCTATGAGTCAGTGATGGTACAATATCAAATATGCTCGGTGCAAACCTACCGCCACTTATTTGGTAAGAGCTCCGAAATGCCAGCATAACTGACAAAGATGATGCCACAGCCAAAACCCAGAAAGGTTGATCCAATGATGATTGTATTTACAGTCTTTGCCGTGGCACACACAATCTTGTAGACTCGTCAGTGAGGTTCTGATCGGCTGTCACTTGTGAAACTCACCGAGCCAGCGATACAAAAAATCTGGCCAGAGACGATAGTCCACCGTCGCCCAAACACATCGGACAATCCACCCGCCATGGAAAACGAAACGGACGAAGCGATAGCCCATCCACCTACCAGCCAGGTGATTCTGGTGGCATCTCCCAGGTCCGTTCCTATTGCTACCAGGATACCCGTAGACAAGGCGAAGCCGCAAGAGATTGGACTGATATACGATAGTGCCAGTGACTAGCGGGAGTGAAGTTAGGTACCATATCTAGTTTTGCAATTCCGCAACCAGTAATCGACTGGCTTACCACAACAGCAAGGATAGTCGACAACGTCAACTTCTGAGAGTGCTCTGGATTCATTTCCAGAGCAGCACGATGAGGGTCGATGAAATCGAGCGGGACATCGTCATCGTGCTGCGCCTTTTCGGGTGATACCTCGATCATGTCGCCGGTGGTATGCTTCGTTTCGATATCCATCATGCAGTCAGGATCCTAGATCGACAAAGGGTAGTAAGTAAGATCTTCGTGATGCGTGCGGTGATGTGATTCACGTATCAACGTGTCTCATGACTGCCTTATAGCAAAATGCAAGACGTGCTGGCCAGCAGCGTATCCACTGAAAGGCCCCCACCTCGCTTACCCCTGGGTCGAGTTAGCCGGTCATCTAGAATTTGGCCAGATGTACCGAGATGCTAGGGAACGGTTCACAGATAAATGACCGAGTCTAGAAACTCCAGGTTGGCTAGCTTTGATCAATTGCCCCCAGAGTCGTCGGTGATTTCCTCCCCCATTGTCATAAGAAGCCGGGGAAGAGAAAGAATGGAGAGGAGACCGGGGTATGTGGGACAATTCGGCTCCCTTCGAATCAGAGGCCCCCACATCGACCATCCCATTACGAGGGAGTCATTGCTTGAAGCGTAATTCGTCTTCAGTCGATACTGCGGGTCAATAGCGTACCTGATCCTTTCTACGACACTGGCTATACAACTGCGACGCCTTTCACCAAGGTATTTATGGATGCAAAGAGCCAGCCTCAGGGAATTTGCCACCAGAGCGGCAAGTAAGGATGAATTCTTGAAAGACTGTTTTCGCAAAGCACCATTCCATTCCCTGACCCAACTTCCATTCAGCGGCAAGATGATTTTCAATCCGTTCCTCATCTTTCCATTGCTTCTCTGCCTCGTTCTGCTGTATGAGCGTCGGCGGGATAGAGGCCTGCCTCCGGGCCCACGGCGACTCCCAATCATTGGCAATCTACATCAGGCCCCGAGCGAGCTGCCATGGCGGACATATCAAGAATGGACCAAGAAGTATGGTCCGATCTTCTCCGTGCAATACGGACTGACGACTGTAATCATGCTCGGCACGCACGAGTCTGCAGATGCGTTGCTGAACAAGAAAAGCTCCATCTACAGTTCCCGGCCGAGACTGGTAATGGCCGGCGAATTGGTGACCAAGGGTTTTCATGTTCTCTTGATGACATATGGGCAAAAGTGGCGGACTCACCAGAAGATGCAGGCCTCTTGCCTTAACATCCGCCAATCTCAGGCATACCGACCTCTCCAAGATCTGGAGAGCAAGCAACTTATGCATGACCTTCTTCATTCGGATGACTTTGCGAAGCTCTACCACCGTTACACGGCGAGTCTCATGTTCGGCCTCTCATATGGGAAGAGAAGCCCGGCAGGGGACGAGCCTGAAATCAAAGGAGCTGACCAGGTCAATGCAAATTTCCTCGACGCTGCCAAGGTGGGACGAAATATTGTAGATGCTCTGCCCGTTCTCAATTACCTCCCTGCCTTCTTGGCTCCGTGGAAACATAGGGCGGAACGATTCTGGCGGCTGGAATCCAGTCTTCACATGTCCAATCTGCGGTTTGGTATGTCAACGCCGTCGTGGAACTTCACCAAACAGATTACGAAAATGAAGGAAGCGAAGGACATGCCAGAGATTGAGGTCGCATATGACATCGGCATCATCTACGAAGCAGGTCTCGACACCACAAATATGGCTCTCGAGATATTCACTCTCGCCGCTGTTCTCAACCCTGGGTTTGTTGAGACCGCTCAGCGTGAGTTGGATGCAGTGGTAGGCTCAGACCGCCTGCCTACTTTCGACGACCAGCACAATCTCCCATACATCACCGCAGTGGTCAAGGAAACATTGCGCTGGCGCCCCGTTTCCGCGGGAGGGATCCCTCACAGTGTCATCACCGATGACGAGTATATGGGCTACCGCATTCCAAAGGGAGCAACTGTCATTGGCAACCACTGGTCTATTCACATGGACGAGGCCGTTTTCGCTGAGCCTCAAAAATTTCTCCCTGAGCGCTGGCTTGAGAATCCCAATCTCCCGCTCCATGCATTCGGGTTCGGTCGGCGTGTGTGTACCGGCCAGCATGTCTCTCAAAACTCCATGTTTATCATCGTTGCCCGCTTGCTCTGGGCGTTTCGCTTTGAACACGTTTACAAGAATGGCGTGCGACTGGAGATTGATGACATGGCATTCACTTCAGGCTTCAATTCTCGGCCCCTACCATTCCAAGTGCATTTCGAGCCGAGAAGTGCCGCCCACAAGTCTGTTATTGAGAAATCCTGGGCAGAGGCGGACAAGGACATCAACAATATTCTCTCGCAGATGGGAACAGTTTGAGGCTTTGTCGATGATGATAGTGGCCTGCCCCACAATGAAGACGTCTCATTGACTAAGTGAGGTTTGCTCTTTGGTCGTGCCCAAAGGGATACAAGGGGGTTCGGAAACTACAACACAAAGATACTCAATCTCAAATGATACGCAGAACCCTTTGATATGGGAATAAACGGCTGTAGAATGAGATGCATTTTAAATTGCCAGAGGTTTGACAAAATAGTGTCGACAAGGCTGGCTGACTACATAGATTAATGAAAACATGTTTCCGACCTTGTTCTCACCTCGTTCCAGACTTGCAGTCCTTTATCACAACATGAATCTCCTTGAACTGTGTAGTAAACGGCGTTGCATATGCATGCGGGGGCAGAGGGTACGTGGAGGAGATATGGATACTCCCTAACTAACGTAAATGCGGTTATGTATGTGATGGGCTGCCAAGCAGATCTCGCCGGCGACAACTCGTGCCTTGCGGGATTATTTGCCGCAGCCTCCATCCTCGCCTCATATAATAATTCAATTCAGTCTTTATTCACTTCAACTTTTCCCTGTTTCTTTCTTGCAATATAATTCTTTCTTCACTTCAAATTTGTGCTTTGCACCAACTCACAATCAGGCTTACACAATCTTCCCGACTGCGCAAACATCTCCAAGCCTCTTTTATTTCTGAGTCCCTCGGCTGGATCGCAGCTAGACTCTCCTCACGAACCAAACCCACTTTTCTAGTCTGAGGGAGCCTTTTCCTCACGATGTCTCTCTGTTTCAATCGCCTCCAAGAGGAGAGGTCAGTATATCGTCAACATGAGATTGCGCATTCGCTGACTGGATGTTGTAGGAAACAGTGGCGACGCGACCACCCGTTCGGCTTCTTCGCAAAGCCCGTCCGAGGTACCAATGGTGTTCTGGACCTTAAGAACTGGGAAGTGGGAATACCAGGAAAGGAAAAGACCATCTGGGAAGGCGGCCTGTTCAAGTTAACACTCTCCTTTCCGGACGAATACCCTACGAAACCACCCAAATGTAAGGCGCATCCGTCGCACATGCGCAAGAAGACCGTCTCACCAGCATCTAGGCAAATTCGTCCCCCCTCTTTTCCACCCCAACGTCTATCCGTCCGGCACCGTCTGCCTTTCGATCCTGAACGAGGAAGAAGGATGGAAGCCGGCAATCACCATCAAGCAGATTCTTATTGGCATCCAAGATTTGCTCAACGACCCAAACCCTGAATCGCCGGCTCAGGCTGATGCATACAACCTATTCAAGAAAGACAGAGCAGCATATGAGCGGAAAATCAAAAGCATCGTCAAAGAAAATCCCGCACTGTGAGAGCATTGGACAGCGTGCTATGGGCGATGATACTAATGGGATGATTCAATGAACAATGTCTGCATGGATTTCAGCGAGGCGTCACGGTACAATTCAGTGGGAAGGGACTTTTTAGGAGATTACGGCATAGAGAATTCACTAGGTGCATGTCGCAGAGGCGCGAACGAAGATTTTGGGCAGTCAGGAGGAGTCATTCGCGACTTCAAATCCAGCATGATGCATTCCACGTGTTGCTGATCGAGAGGGACAAAGTTTACAAGGATCTGCCGCTTGTTGAGACCTAATAGGATGGAGAGGCTCACAAAGCCTTTGACGATTTCCCAGGGGCTCGCAACACTCCCCAAAGGGTGAAAGCGTGGGGGGCTCTATCAACTTGCTCTGCACAGAAACGAGCCCGGGGTCGGAAATCTGCAGGGAAGACATGGTAGTTCTTATTGGCTTAGCCTGGCTAAACCGCTGCCCAAGAGCCTGCAGCAGGGGAAGACATGTAATATTTTGCGCCAGTAAGCGTCGACCTATACGTGATAGCAAGTACAAGAGTCGCGTGTCCAAAATATTGGTGTAGACATTTCGGGAATATGGCATATTGGCCCAGACAAAAGAAGATAGTAATATTCAACCGCAGGGGCGAAGAAAAAAGGCCGTTACTCACTGGCACATGAGCCAATTTGCTCGTAATGATATGAGGTGATTCGAGTGAGGGGCGGCCATCGGCGTCTCATGCTCCACCGTTGGTCATTTTCTTATCGTTTCCAGCTAATAAGGTGGGATAGATATCGATTGCAAGGGAAGAGTGTCGAGGTGAGGCGAGTTTCAACACCACGAGACCAGGAATGGGACAAGGTGACCGAAGTGGAAGTCCGTAGAGAATCCGATGGACCTTTACAGAGTGAGAGTAACAGAATTAATTTTTGATTTTGCCTTCTGGTACAAAAAGCCAGAGCCAGAGTCGCAGTCGATTCTCCGTCGCTGAGCCTTGAGTCATTCATCCCGCTCCAAAATTTCGGGACCAACGCCGCAGTCACCTCTTTTTTTTTTATTTATCCCACGCCCACGCCCGCCCACACTCTCTCAGACCTCGCAATCACGATTACATTCTCTACACCCTCCTAAATAAGGTGTTCCTTTGTCTCGTGGGCAGTCATGTGTGGTATCTTTGCCTGTCATGGGTAAGTTGGAGCGCGCTGCGACGCCGTTAACAGCACTGGTACTAATTCATCTGCAGTCATCCGTCGATAGCCACCTTCAAAACCACTGCACTGCAGTGTGTCAAATGCCTTCGACACCGTGGTCCCGATTGGTCGGGCAACTGGATTGGAAACAACACAATTCTCTGCCATGAGCGCCTGAGTATTGTGGGTGTCGACACTGGCGCACAACCTCTGGTCAACGATGAAGGAAGCATTGCTCTGGCTGTCAATGGCGAGATTTACAACCACCGAATTCTGCGCAAGCATCTCCAGACGCCGTACAACTTCAAGACACACAGTGATTGTGAGGTCATCATCCCACTGTACATGCAGTATGGCATCGATGCTCCCAAGCACTTGGACGGCATGTTCTCATTCGTTCTGTACGACAAGACCCAAGATCGAACGATTGCCGCCCGGGATCCCATTGGGATCACCTCCTTCTACCTCGGTCGATCGAGCACAACGCCAGGTGCAGTCTTCTTCGCTTCCGAATTGAAAGCCTTGGCCCCGGTCTGCGACAACATCCTCTCTTTCCCTCCTGGTCACGTCTATGACTCGAAAACCGACAAGCTCACCAGATACTTCGAGCCATCATGGTGGGACCCTGAAAAGGTCCCTTCGACGCCTGTGGACTACAAACTCCTTAGAAAGACGCTGGAGAAATCGGTGCTGAAGAGACTCATGGCCGAAGTCCCGTACGGTGTCCTTCTTTCTGGTGGCTTGGATTCCAGCCTGGTCGCTTCTATCGCCCAGCGGGAATCACTCCGTCAGCGAGATCTCATCAACTCTCAAACCAATGGTACAACAAGCCAGGCCAACGGCGATGCACCGCAGACTGGTTCCAAGCTCGTCGGCATTGACGACGAGGACGAGTTGTCCACCGTCACATTCCTTCCACAGCTCCACTCCTTTTCCATCGGCCTCCCCAATGCGCCGGACACCAAAGCCGCCCTCGAAGTTGCCAAGTTCTTGGGCACCAAGCATCACGACTTCACATTTACCATCCAAGAGGGTTTAGATGCCTTGTCAGATGTCATCTACCACCTCGAGACTTACGATGTGACGACCATCCGCGCTTCGACACCCATGTATCTTCTTAGCAGGAAGATCAAGGCGATGGGAGTGAAGATGGTTTTGAGTGGTGAGGGAAGTGATGAAATCTTCGGTGGTTATCTTTACTTCCACGCTGCGCCCAACAAGGAAGAATTCCACAGGGAGACTGTCCGCAGAGTAAAGAACCTCCATCTGGCAGACTGTCTTCGTGCCAACAAGTCGACGTCGGCGTGGGGTTTGGAGGCTCGAGTACCTTTCCTGGACAAGCAATTCCTGGAAGTCGCCATGAACATCGACCCAGCAGACAAGATGATTACAAAGGACAGGATCGAGAAATACATTATCCGGAAAGCATTCGACACGACCGACGAACCGGAAACCAAGCCTTACCTTCCCGATAACATCTTGTGGCGGCAAAAGGAACAGTTCAGCGATGGTGTCGGCTATGGCTGGATTGACGCGCTCAAGGACAATGCGGAGCTCAACGTCACCGATGAGATGATGAAGAACCCCAAAGCTGAATGGGGCAACGACATTCCCGACAGCAAGGAAGCCTACTGGTACCGCATGATGTTTGATCAGCATTTCCCACCGTATTGCGCATCGACCGTCATGAGGTGGACTCCGACCTGGTCAAAGCAGAGCGATCCCAGCGGAAGAGCGATTGCAACCCATGTTGCAAGATATGAGAACGGAGATGTGATTCCATCATGAGTGAAGTCACAGGGTTACGCCGCATTGGTCGGAGTTGGGCTGGTTTTTCTGAGGGACAATGAATCTAAAGTCGAAAAGCTCAACAAAAGGTCCACGGGGCGGATCTCTTCCTTTTATTCACAACTTGAGACCTGGAGGAGCTGGGGGATAGTTTTGCGGCACAAGTACAGTACTAGTAAAACAATGGACATACCCCTATATACAGATAGACTATTACAGTATTCCGTATCTTTACCTACATCATATCCATAAGGCTCTGTATAGGTGGCCAGTACTCCGTACTCTGTACCCGTGATTCCTGCTTTTGCCGAAACGACGGTCTTTTCAGGGGAAGTTTTCCGACAACGACCGTTGTTGAAATTGGAGAGCTGATTGGCCCTCGGAGTTGGAGAACGAAAACATTGCTTGAGCTTCAAGTTCCATCCCAATTGAGGTGTCCATCTGATCAATCTGTCCGCCCTTTCTCCCTGACCTCTGTGTACTCGTCTTATTTGGATTATTCCCTTCTACAAGTCCCTCCTCTTCACTGCTCACTATCCCCGCCATCATGTCCGGTGTTCCCGTCCCCTTCAGCGACATCGCTAAGCCAGCGAACGACGTAAGACAATCCCACCCATTTGCGGGCGCGGGAATGGACCTCTAGCTGACCTTCACCTTCTCCCGCAGCTCCTCAACAAGGACTTCTACCACACCACCGCGGCCAACCTCGAGGTCAAGTCCAAAGCCCCCAACGGCGTCACGTATGGCCTTTTCCCTTGCCTTCCTCTAGGATGGACTTTTGGACCGAGCAGGCTCTGACCAGTGTCGCAGCTTCAACGTCAAGGGAAAATCTGCCCACGATGGACCCATCTCTGGCTCGGTGAGCACAACGATATCACAAGACAACTTTAGAATATCACATATTAACGGCAGGGGCAAGATTGAAGGGAAATACTCCGACAAGGCTGCCGGTATGTGACCTTCCCTCTTCACAGCCCTGGTCCCTTTTTGATGGTGGTGGCTCCACGCGGTCGGCGTCCACGTTCGACCTTGCGAGAAGACCCCCCCTTGAGCTGCGCTGGTGCGACCGTGCGGCTTTTTTTGGCGGTATTTGTATGATCTTTTTGGCTGATTCTGAGAACCTCCCCTTCGCAGGCCTCACCATCACAAACACCTGGACCACGGCGAACAGCCTAGACTTCAAGGTCGAGCTCGAGGACAACCTGACCAAGGGCCTCAAGGCCGAGGTCCTGTCCAACTACCTCCCCGCCAAGAGCACGTACGGCGGCAAGCTCAACCTGTTCTACAAGCAGCCCAACATCCACACGCGCCTGTTCACCGACCTGTTCAAGGGCCCCACCGCCACCTTCGACGTCACGCTCGGCCACGAGGGCTTCCTCATCGGCGCCGAGGGAGGCTACGACGTCGGCAAGGCCGCCATCACCCGCTACGCCCTCGCCGCCGGTTACTCGCAGGGCAGCTACGCCGCCGCCGTCACCTCGACCAACAACCTGAGCGTCTTCAGCGCGAGCTACTACCACAAGGTCAACACCGAGGTCGAGGCCGGCGCCAAGGCCACCTGGGACTCGACCGCAGGTAGCAACGTCGGTCTGGAGGTTGCGACCAAGTACAAGCTCGACCCAAGCTCGTTCGCCAAGGTACGTCTTTTGTCACAGGTCTCTTGGTCACTGCCGGAAACCCAAGACACAAATCGACCTCCCTTTTTCTCCTCCGAGAGAACAAAAGAGAGTACCAGATGCTGACAGAATGATACTTGATAGGCCAAGATCAACGACCGCGGTATCGCCGCCCTCGCGTACAACGTCAAGCTCGGCACCGGCGTCACTCTCGGTCTCGGCGCCAGCCTCGACACCCAGAACCTCAACCAAGCCGCGCACAAGGTGGGTGCCTCCTTCACCTTTGAAGGATAAAGGAAACGTCACCCACCACCATTACCCCGTGTCTTCGAGGCGGGATACGGCAGCGGTCCGCGGCTTTGAGATTGTACAGAAACTAAAGACCGGCGACGGAAGGGGGAAGAAAGCATAGAACAAGGGGAACAAGGAAATGTGTCCAATATTTTTTTGATCTGCGCGTACCATTCGAGGTTCGAACGGGGAATGAAAGGGCTTGTTGTCATCCTTTTCAATGCAACGCATCCATGAGACCAACTAGTCGCAAAGAATGTAGTAAATTTCTCTCCTTCCTCTATGCAATCACCCCACCCCGTCTTTCACATTTTACTCTGACAAAAGATCTCGAAATGTCGCCAGTGTCCCATCCATTTGTGGGTCATCTGTCAACAACGCGTCCTTCTCTTCGCCGATGCTGTAAAGGAGCACTCGAGCCTGAGAGTGCCGATATCTAGTCTGTCAAAACATGTGTCATATATATGGCGTGGACGGTTAACGATCCAAAATTCTAGTTTCGCCGGCTCCAAGCAAACATCCTCTTAACGACGTCTACACAGGCACTCGAGCCCTCTTACGAGTACAGTAACAACGGTCGGCCCGGGGCCACATCATGCTTTCGTCCAGTCGTTGCGCGGCCCATCCCTTCGACTTCCATCCGCTCTCGTGAGGCCACCCCTCGGTGTGTTCGCCATGCTGACCACTATCGTGCCGACGCTGACGCTGAGGGTTATGACGCCGGCGACGATGATGAACCTGCCCCAAAAGTCATTCTCCTCGGCGGCGGCGGCGCGTGCGGCTTCCACCTCCGCCGCACGTCGATTCGCACGCCGGTAATCTTCGTGCGTCTGGGTTTTGAAAGTACTTTCTGGATCGAAGGCGAAGCCACCGCGCGCGTCAGCGTCGGTAAACGCCGCCGAATTGAAAGTCCCTGCCTGTGCCTGCTCCTGCGCGGCCGCGCTGGCTTGTGCTTGGCTCGTCGTGTTCGCGCTGGGTGTCCCGTGGGCGTAGAACGAAGGTGGAGGACCCTTGAAGGCGCTGCGGCGTTTCGAGAGACCCGTCGCCGGTCGCGATCCGGCGTAACTCTTGTGCGCCGTGTGGGAAGAGTGGTGACCATGCACGCGGGAGTGCGTGTGGTGGTGGCCGCCGTGGTGCACGTGGTACACGTCCCTGTCGTACCGACGTCTCTTCTCCGGGTTGGCGAGCACGCTGTACGATTCGGAAATCTGGGCGAAACGTTGGGCGGCCTTGGGGTCTTGCCTGTTGCGGTCCGGGTGGGTTTCCTTGCTCAAAACGTAGAATTGTTTCTTGAGGTCCGAAGGTGTGGCGTCGGGAGGGATGCGAAGGATGGCATAGTGGTTGGGAGGGTGGGCCGCGGAGGATAAGGGGCCGCAAGACTGCGAAAAGGCACGTGTCTGTCGTCCTCTAGTATTCGGACATCGTACTCTCAGAGCTTGATCAAGGGTGGACGTGGTCGTAGAAGGATGAGGCAAGCTCCTCGTGCGTGCGCGCGTGCACGTGCGTGTGCAGCATCCGTGGTCGAGAAGGGAGAAGTGAAAAGGACCGGCGCCGCGGAGCGATGTGAGGGATGAGAGGGAAGTCGGGCGTAGGATCATGCCTCATACTTGAGAATCGACGCCGCTACGCTAGTTCTTGAATTGTAGTATAAAGAACGGGGTCAAAGCATCATGTAGCTGTTTATTGTAGTGATAACCCGACATCTCGAGACCTTCAGGGAGGATCGAATATACGAATATGTGACGTCTTGCAGTTTCTGGCACTCGCTCTTTTCGTTCATTGGCGGATTTGACTCGCCCGCAATTTTTCCCGCCCGAGCCCGGAGAAAAGTGAAAGCCCGGCCACCACGACCGCAGCCTGATATTCTCTCCCCTCGTTGAACCAAACACTCCTTCTGCGTACGCTGTGTGTGTATTGTTGTTGGCACAATCCCAATCTTCCGTGCCATGGCATCCAAAACTGCAGACGAGCTGTCCAAGCTCGCTCTGAACAATGACGGCGCCAACCCTCAAGCCAACGGCGCAAACGGCACCAACGGCCATGTCTCAGACCAGGACGAGTCCGATGAAGACAGGGACGACGATGCCACCGCAAACGGCACCGGAAACACGGCAAGTGGTGCAGCAAAGAAGAAGAAAAAGAAGAAGCCAAAGAAGAAGAAGGCCGCTCCCAAAGTACAATCCGACCCTCCACGCGTCCTCGTAAGCCAACTCTTTCCCAACGGCTACCCGGTCGGTGAGGAAGTCGAATACAAAAACGACAATGCCTATCGTACGACGAATGAAGAGAAGCGCCACCTTGACCGGATCAACAATGATTTCCTGCAAGAATACCGCCAGGGTGCTGAAGTCCACCGTCAAGTCCGTCAATGGGCGCAGGCCAATATCAAGCCGGGCATGACCTTGACGGAAATCGCAGAGGGCATCGAGAACGGCACCCGTGCGCTCACGGGCCATTGGGGTCTCGAAGAAGGAGACAACATCAAAGGTGGCGTCGGCTTTCCCACGGGACTGAGCATCAACCATATCGCAGCACACTACACACCGAACGCAGGGAACAAGTGGGTGCTCGGCGAGCAGGATGTCATGAAGGTGGATTTCGGTGTACACGTAAATGGACGCATCGTGGACTCGGCATTCACCATGACCTTTGATCCCAAGTACGATAACCTTTTGGCTGCGGTCAAAGATGCGACCAACACCGGCATTCGTGAGGCTGGAATCGACGTGCGGGTGTGTGACATTGGCGCCGCTATCCAAGAAGCCATGGAGTCCTACGAGGTCGAGCTCGATGGCAAGACCTACCCTGTCAAGGCCATCCGAAACCTGAACGGGCACGACATCGTGCAGCACAGTATTCACGGTGGCAAGAGTGTGCCGATCGTGAAGGGTGGAGACCAGACCAAAATGGAAGAAGGGGAGATTTTTGCAATCGAGACGTTCGGCAGTACTGGACGTGGATATGTCGTGGACGACTTAGAAGTTTCCCACTATGCTTTGCGACCCGATGCCCCCAACACGGCCCTGCGTGTGCAGAGTGCAAGGTCACTGTTGAACGTCATCAAGAAGAATTTTGGAACGATCCCTTGGTGCCGTCGGTATCTTGATCGGCTTGGACAGGAGAAATATTTACTCGGGCTGAACAATTTGGTCCAGTCAGGCATCGTTGAGGCTTACCCGCCACTGGTGGATGTGAAGGGCAGCTACACGGCCCAGTTTGAACATACAATCTTGCTCAGGCCAAACGTCAAGGAAGTTGTCAGCCGTGGTGACGATTACTAGAATGTCGGGATCTCGTGAGATGACCATGGCCTATTGAAGCCTCTGGGGAGGAGACATCTTCAAGGCAATGAAGGAACAACTCAAGGCCACTCTCCCAAGGTTACCATATTCAAAACGCAGTCGATTATCGACATCCATGGTTACACATTATGAATTGAATGAAAAGAAAAGCTTCCGTTTCGCTCCTAGAATATGCTGCCATTAATGATCTCTCGTTTGCCTACATGCAACACCGTCCCATAAGTTGGAGATCTGACATAATGTCCTTTTGTTCTCGTTAAGAATTGAGCACGAACATTGTCGTGGCCTTCTCCGAATATTGTGATGAGGTGGTGTGTTGCGCCTTACAACATCTCGGGAAAATAATATACCGTGACTGATAACGACGTCGACACACGACATTGGAAACTAAGGTACTTGATCTTTCCACACATGTTCTACTTTTGCAGCACATGCCAGGTCTCCTGGCTTTTGATGCTGCTAAGATCATCATCTATTTACGATGGCTGAGAATTGTAAAATTGTGGTCGTAGGGTGAGTCTGGTGACTTTTCTTGTCAACACCTCAACTCCTCCGCATCGCCACTCACTATTTGTTCTACGTACTGACACATCCCAGCGCCGGTATACTTGGTCTCACGGCTGCATTGACACTCCAAGAACATATCAAGCAGCCAGTCTTGATCATCGCCTCGGAATTCCCCGGTGATGAGTCGATCAACTATGCTTCGCCCTGGGCCGGAGCACACTACCGACCCATTCCAGCCCTGACGCCAGCCGATGTTCGTGCTCAGAAACTCATGACGGTGACAAACGCTGTGCTCCGCACCCAAGCTTCGACGCACCCAGAAGCCGGAATCAGGTTCATGGAAGGGCGCGAATACTTCGAGGATCCTCCCGGGAGCTACGTAGGTCTACAGGGAGGCTACGGCGACACGGATGGATTCCGAGTCCTCCACAAGTCGGAACTACCTAGTGGGGTGCAATGGGGCTGCACGTATCAAGCGTGGAGTCTGAACTCCCCTGTCTACTGCGCGTTCTTGATGAGACGATTCATTCACCGAGGTGGCAAGACGTTGCGCATGAGATTGGTCAGTTTACAGGAGGTGCCGCATATCGCGCCGAAGAGTGAAGTCGTCGTCAACTGCTCCGGCGTCGGCTTCGGAGATCCTGAATGTTTCCCGACCAAGGGCCAGACGTGTCTTGTCAAGAACGCTTGCCACAGGACGATTACCCAGCAGAACAAGGACGGAAGCTGGACGTTCATAATCCCGAGGCCATTGGAGGGTGGAACTGTGATTGGGGGCACGAAGAATCCGGGGGATTGGTCCTCAGGCGCGAACGAGGATGTGCGGAGGACGCTGCTGGAGCGTGCCGCGGTGATGTATCCGTCCATCGTGGTAGACGGCGGGTTTGAAGTCATCAGAGACATCGTGGGCCGGAGGCCAACGAGAAGAGGAGGGTTGAGGTTGTGCACGGAGATGATGGAGGTAAAGACTGAGGAAGGGAAGGGAAAGAGAACTTTGCAACTTGTCCATGCTTATGGAGCGGGTGGTTCGGTAAGTTCATGTTGTCCCCCAGGCCATCTCACTATATCGTTCCTGTTACGTATGTTGACGCACACCAGGGTTATGAATTGTCTTGGGGAGTTGCAAAGGAGGTAGCGAACTTGGTGGCCAAGGGTCAGCAGAGCCCGTTGAAAGCTTCGCTTTGAGGGCATGAAAGAGCGACACAACATTGTCATGTCTCGCAATATCATCCTATTCTACGACATAAACGTTTTGTAAGAGAGGTTCCCGAGACCTCTCGACCCGTAGTCTGCCCAGTCTTCTCTTGCAATCTCTTGCAACCCGCCGCTCTTGCAGAAGAGCTTGGCAGCAGCTGAGACACTAACAGAATAGCTAAAACAGCAGCCTCGTCAGAAAGCATACAGCCGAACAAATTGCCCACTCATCATGTAGAAGTGAGTATTGTGTACGGATCCTCGTATGGTCAGAAGTAGTGTCAGGAGACTGATCATGTGACCATCTTGGCGAAGCCTTGTCCTCGCTCTAGCTTCCTTTCTGGGATTTCTTCGGCATAGTGGGTGCTTGACGACTCATACATGAGAAAACTTCCTCCACTTCCTTGACCTCAATACAGTGAACTGAGGATTCTAGATTTAATGATCAGTTGACTATTCGACGACTTCGAGGACGATTGTAATCTGCTGACCCATCGTGTGAGGAACTTGGAGAGCTGTGGAGGTTGTCCTTCACTTGTTCAAAAATGTCTACCTTTGGCAGACATTTTCGGGTCACCACCTATGGCGAATCACATTGCCGTTCGGTCGGATGTATTGTGGATGGCTGTCCACCTGGAATGCAACTGACAGAGGCTGATATTCAACCACAAATGACCAGGCGGAGGCCTGGCCAATCTGCACTGACTACGCCGAGGAACGAGAAAGATCGAGTCGAAATTCAGTCTGGGACCGAGTTCGGCGTCACGCTTGGGACGCCCATCGGTTTGATCGTACGGAATGAAGACCAAAGACCAAAGGATTATGGTGGAAAGACAATGGACCTCTACCCTCGACCGAGCCATGCTGACTTTACTTACCTGGAAAAATACGGTGTCAAGGCGAGCAGTGGCGGAGGCAGAAGCAGTGCCCGCGAAACGATAGGTACGACTGCGGCTCCTTTGACATATCACATGCTAAACCCACGCAGGCAGAGTGGCGGCCGGTGCCATCGCAGAGAAATACTTGTCTCTGGCTCATGGGGTTGAGATTGTGGCCTTCGTTACGTCTGTGGGATCCGAACACCTCTTCCCTCCCACAGTCAACCATCCATCACCTTCGACCAACCCAGAATTCCTGTCTCTGATCTCAAAGATCACGAGAAAAGAAGTCGATTCTTTCATTCCTGTCCGATGTCCCGATGCAGGCGCCATGGAGCGCATGACGAAGGTGATCGAGAAATTTCGCGACGCCAGTGACAGCATCGGAGGGACAGTGACCTGTGTGATCCGAAATTGCCCGATTGGGCTAGGAGAGCCCTGCTTTGACAAGCTCGAAGCAGAACTTGCCAAAGCTATGCTGAGTATCCCAGCTACCAAAGGCTTCGAGATAGGTTCTGGATTTGGCGGCTGTGAAGTACCAGGTTCGATCCATAACGACCCTTTCATGGCCGCAGAGCCTGATGAAAGCGGAAAGAGGAAATTAGTCACCAAAACGAACAATTCCGGGGGAATCCAGGGCGGCATTACGAACGGACAGCCCATCTATTTCAGAGTAGCCTTCAAGCCTCCTGCGACGATCGGGCAAGCACAGCAAACCGCCACATTTGGTGGTGAAGATGGCCTTCTAGAGGCAAAAGGCCGACATGATCCCTGTGTCGTACCTAGAGCTGTGCCAATCGTCGAGGCTATGTCGGCCTTGGTCGTCATGGATGCCCTCCTGTCTCAAGTGGCCAGGGAGGGTGCCAGGAGTGTTTTGCCGCCTTTGAAAACAACTCTACCCGCCAAAGAGACAGGCACTGCTGCGGACATCAAGAAGATCGGCGAGCATCTAAAGGCCGCGTCAAGCAATGGCATGAACTGATATTGCTGCGCCAATGCACTGTTGGCACGCTGTTCACGTGATTGGGTCTGGACTCTTAATGTATTGTACGTAGACAGGGTTATGGTCCCCCTAGACTATGTGACTTTAGCACCAAACGTAGAGCGCTGAGAAGCACGCCGTCCGGCTCTACTGTAAACTAGCAATAGGTCTGATTGCGCAATACTAGTGTTTTACAGCAATGGTCGTGATAAAGGTCGCATAGAATGCTCTACAAGTTTGACTTGGCGCGACTCGGCTATCTAAATCTCACGCCGTTGTCGTGACAACACACCAAATCAAAACATCCTTGATCTCGCTGTTCATGCGGCCAAACCTCTAGCTACTACAGAGGTGCCACATCCATTGCACAAACTCCATGCCGATTGGGCGCGTTTGATGACTGCCGCAAACCCTGCACAACCGCTGGTCGCCCAGGAACCCTTGATCAAAACTTGTGGTCAGCGTGGCTGGCGACTTATCCGCATCTGTTTACGACCCTTGTACCACATACAGCTGATTTGCCCCGCGACAAAGATCACGCATTCCAGCCTCCAGACTGTGTAGTCTCTGTCGAAATCTTGTCGCAGAACCAGAGGGGAACTCGACTCCCACCTCTTTTGACAACAGCAGCCCGACCATCCTCTCCTTCGACCGTTCGGCCGCAGATGGGTTTGCTCAACGTCGCAAGTACCGAACCAGCCCGACAATGACTTGAAGACAATCGCTGAGATATGTTACTCCCACACGCCCTGTTCCACGCTGGTCTTTTGGCCTTCGTTACACCTGTGTCTGCGCAACTTCCCTACAACCCGACACGTATCATACCAACCGAGAATGGCGAGATCGCATACATATTTTCACCGCAGCCGTCGTCCTCCCAGTTCTCACTGTACTCGCTAGACATCTCTCATGGCTTCAACTCGACATCGACGAAGGATCGACTCTCGGAAACCCTGCCGTTCCTGTCCGAGACGACTCCAGAAGCATTCATAGCAATACCTGATGACGAAGGCATCACAGTATTGGCAGGCGATTGCAACAATAGTACGAAAGAGATTGGACTGTGGAGGCTTGGAACAAAAGGCGACGGCAAGAATAGTACCTGGACACAGTTCCCGCTTTCTACAAGCGATGCATCCTTACGGCCCAGATACCTATCGGCGGGATTTTCCTTCTCTCCTACGGATTCCAGTGATGATGTGTCGGTGTACGTCTTCGGAGGGATGTGTCCCGACACTTCCACCCCCAATACCGCAGACTGGGTTTCAGATGCCACATACTCGAACACCATGTTGACACTGGCTCCGAGCTCAGAGTCTTCGAGCAGTTCACCATATCAACTGTCTCTGACTGGGGCAAGAGCGCCGCCTATCGCCGAAGCTGGGCTCACGATAACACCACTGACCCCGATCTTCTCGAACACGTCTGAAACAAGTGTCTCCCAACAACAGAATGTTGTCCTGCTCGGTGGCCACACCCAAACTGCATTCATCAACATGTCTCAACTGGCTATATTTTCTCTACCACAAGAGTCTTGGGCATTTGTCGGCGCTGCCCAGCCTACGGACGGGACCACAGTCGAACCTCGATCTGGACATACTGCCATACTGACACCGGACGGGTCGAGGATTATTGTGGTTGGAGGTTGGGTAGGAGACATATCGACCCCTGCACAACCGCAGTTGGTCGTACTTGAAGTCGGACAAGGCTACGGTGGTGGAGGCGCCTGGAGATGGACGGCACCGTCTGCATCTTCTAACCCTTTCTCTGCCGGATCAGGGGTCTACGGTCATGGTGCTGCTCTGCTACCAGGAGACGTCATGGTGATCTCCGGGGGGTTTCCCATTGGCAAGTCAGGCACACGCAAAAGAGACGGAACAGTTGGAGACATGTTGTTTCTCAACACCACCACAATGTCTTGGACGAGTACATACACAAACCCTTACCCATCTGGGTCGCCAACTGCCGCTGCGAGCTCAAATTCATCATCGGGGGGTTTGCGACCTGCAGAAAAGGCCGGCTTGGGCGCTGGACTTGGTCTAGGAATAGCAGCAGCCGCCGGTGTGGCAATTGTCTGGCTTCTGTACTCGCGCAAACTGCAACAGAAGCGAGCCGTAAGGGAGAAGGAGTTGCGCGAACAGGCCTTGGGCAGTCGCTTTCAATCACCCACCCCACCACATCATACTGACAGGGATGCTCCCAGTTTTCGTTCTGCCAGCTGGGGCGCTATGCAGGAAAAGCACATTGAAAGTTCCGGCAACCCTTACCCCTGGGCTCCAGTCACTGCTCCGGGAGATGCTGGGAAACTGCAAATGCCCTCTGATGAAGACGGCAATTATTCGAAGCTTGCAGAGCGTACTGGGGTACTGATGGAGGTCCCCAGTCCTACTCGAGGGTTGAGGAGAAGTCTCAGCAATAGAGCACCCCTGGGATTTGGACCCTTCAATCAACACCCACCTACCGGGGTACCAGGTCCCGTTTTCCGGATTGACGAGGAGGACGAGGGCAGCCAAAGCGGCTTTTCCAGGCGCGCGAAGGGTCTTCAGGGCGACTTAGATCGCAATTCCATCCAAAGCAATCCGTTCAAGGACCCTGTGACCGCTGTTGAAGATCCGGCAGCACAACGAAGGAAAGAAGTCGAAGGCTGGGTGGAGGATTGGCAATCTGCAGCAGAGTCATTCAGCGTCTCGAGAAACACTAGTCAGGCGCACAGTCGAACACATTCGAACCTCTCTCAATTTCGTCCACCAACCACTGCTGGAGACCACTCAGGGCGAGGTTCACCAGAAAAGTCAGACCGTACAGGAAGCAATTTGTCTGACAGTAGCGCATTCACCAGTTCTTCGCTTCAAAGGTCCATGGCTGGCACGATATCGCGGAATGTCTCTCAAAGAAGTGTTAGTGCGGGCTATGCGCTGTTTGCAGGGGCTGCAGCTGCGATGAGTAGATTTGGCGGCGGCCGCACAGCTCAGAACGAATCCCTGAATAACGGGGGTCTTGCTCGAGCGCCATCAAACCGGAGTGTGTCTTTGAACACTGATTCGGCGGGGCGTCCAAATGCCAGCGATAATGCCGACAGATACGCATTTGCTCGTGGCAATCCTTGGGGCCCTGTTACGGTAGGTGAGAACCAGGGCCTGCTCAAGACACGTGGTCAGCCTCAAGTCAATCGATCATACAAGACATTGCCTGAGAACACTCTAGCAGACAGATATGCGAGAGCAGGCAGTCTTTCTGGCACGACTCGGAAAGCCATGAACCTGCTGGGTAGTATGCGACGTGTTTTTACAGGCACCGGCAACGTCGATGTCCAGGAGCGGGTCGGCGCGCTGGAAGACCGCAGTACACAATCAAGCCCGACAAAGCGAGCTGAGATGAGAGACGTCGCTCCGAGCAGGACTTTAAGTGCAGGAGCATCGTCGTTCTGGCAGGGCAAACGTGGAGCGAAGGACTGGGACGAAGACCTGCCGGATCGAGGTGAAGCTGGACCATCCTCGGTGCAAAGGAAACCCGTGCCGAGACTAGCTATCGGCGACAATAACCAGGAATTGGACGACGATGACGATGACTGGGACGTCGAAACTGCCGTGCAGAAAAGAGTAGTCCAGGTTATGTTCACAGTGCCCAAGGAGAAGCTGCGTGTCGTCAATGCCGATGCACTGAGTCTGTTAAGCAGCAACAGAAGCGAAGCCGACCATGAAGAAGACAAGGAGAGGGAACATGTCAAAAGGATGAGCAGCGTTCGGGAAGGGGATGATGAAGATTATGAACCTGACGACCCCACGACTCAAACGAAAGGGAAAGAGAGGGAGCACTGAGTGACCAGCGGGTGCCATTGGACCACGATTGCAGATTATATTCTTGTACTTAACTTATTCTTGTGCTCTTTCAGTATAGAGACCAGGGTTGGGAGGGTTATCTGATATTCTAGGACTGGGTGTGGGTTGGTGTGTCTCAAGCCGAGCGAAGGTGTTGGCGTTGGCAATGTGCTGTGTATATTCGCTACATGTCGTTAGATGAACAGTCAATCCATCTTGCTCCTCAAGGGTACCTTTGGTGTGTTCTCTGCATTTGTCAGCCATGTTTATGGTGGATGGGTTGAGGCGCGTGTGGTCGGTGCTGTCCAGGTTGTCACCGAGATCGGAGGACGCCAGTGTAAATCCCTAATTTCGGGACCCTGTATTTAACCTGTCTGTTTGACAGAATCCAGTTCACGTCCAGCATTGTTGAAGATGGCATTTTACATGTAGTCTCGAACGCCGATGGAGGCTGGTAGGTGGCATGAGGCATGTTGTGAATGGGCCAGGCACAAAAAGGGAGCCGGAATTGCTGACGGATGTGGTTCGTGTCAGACCAAAACAATTCCAACGCAAAGGCTCTGTACGGAGTAGAATCACAACCAAATTAGGGGAGGAGGATTCTGTCAGACACGATGGTATGATTAAAAAGCTGGGGAATGACGCAGTGGCGATATTGGTGACATTGAGGGGCCAAGTCTTTGCTCATTAAAAACGCGAGAACGCGCTACTAAATGGGTCTCGAGAGGCGCGTTCCTGCATATAACTGTTTTGCAAACCGTTCTCTATGCTTTGTTTCTTCTCATCTACACCACTTTCGCTTCCTGCTGCCTGCGTTTCTACAGCGACAAGTCGTTAGCAAGAGCACAGATAGACACATAAAGAGGAAAGGCCGTCCTCGACCGTGTTGTTCCTCCTTGCTCTTCCTTCATCACCACCTTTCTCCCTTGACTGAACTGCATTGCAAGATACCGCCCTAAATTACAATCATGTTCGTCTTCAAACGAGGTAAGATCTTCTCAGTCCTTGAACGATCCTCGTGGCCTCGCAAGACGTGGCCTCGAGAGTCTCCTCGACGTGAGACCATCTCGCTGACAGAGTTTTCCAGATGGACGCAAAGAACGCGTTCAGTTCGACAAGATCACAGCACGTGTCTCGAGACTGTGCTATGGTCTTGATCCTGAACACGTTGATGCAGCAGCTATCACCCAGAAAGTGATTTCTGGTGTCTACCAAGGTGTCACCACCATTGAGCTGGACAATCTGGTGAGTTTCTCCCTGCCGTTGAGCCCGCCGTTGCCCTTGCTGATTTCGAATCCAGGCCGCAGAGACCGCAGCGTACATGACAGTCACACATCCCGACTATGCCATCCTAGCAGCGCGGATTGCTGTCTCCAACCTCCACAAACAGACCAAGAAACAGTTCTCATCCGTGGTGTCAGATCTCTACCACTATGTCAACCCCAAGAATCAAAAGCCGTCTCCTATGATATCGAAAGAAACATACGAGTGTGTCATGAAGCACGCCGATGAGCTCAACTCGGCCATTGTATATGACCGAGACTTCAACTACCAATACTTTGGCTTCAAGACGTTGGAACGATCATATTTGCTCAAGATCGGCAAGCAAGTTGCTGAACGACCACAACACATGCTGATGCGTGTGTCTGTCGGTATTCATGGCGATGACGTTGAGAAGGCCATCGAGACTTACAACCTCATGTCTCAGAAGTGCTTTACTCACGCCTCTCCTACGCTGTTCAATGCTGGAACGCCTCAGCCTCAATTGTCTTCATGCTTCTTAATTGACATGAAGGAGGACAGCATTGAAGGTATCTATGACACACTCAAGACCTGTGCTATGATCTCCAAGACCGCTGGCGGTATTGGTCTCAATGCTCACTGCATTCGTGCTACTGGCTCATACATTGCCGGCACCAATGGGACCTCCAATGGTCTCATCCCAATGCTCAGAGTCTTCAACAACACTGCCCGTTATGTCGACCAGGGTGGCAACAAGCGTCCAGGTGCCTTCGCCATCTACCTCGAGCCATGGCATGCAGATGTCTTTGACTTTTTGAACTTGAGAAAGAACCACGGCAAAGAAGAAGTCCGTGCTCGTGACCTTTTCTACGCGCTGTGGACTCCTGATCTTTTCATGAAGCGTGTTGAGAAGAACCAGGACTGGACTCTCTTCTGCCCTCACGAGGCGCCTGGTCTTGCTGATGTATATGGTGAAAAATTCGAGGCTCTCTATGAGAAATACGAGCGGGAAGGACGTGGTCGTCAAACCATCAAAGCCCAGAAGCTGTGGTATGCTATCCTTGAGGCTCAGACTGAGACTGGCACACCCTACATCTTGTACAAGGATGCATGCAACGAGAAGAGCAACCAGAAGAACTTGGGCACTATTCGAAGCTCAAACTTGTGTACGGAGATTGTCGAGTACACTTCGCCTGATGAGGTGGCTGTCTGCAATCTTGCCTCCCTGGCACTGCCGACCTTTGTCGACCAGGCGAGTGGCGAATATGACTTTGGCCGCCTCCATGAGGTTACCCAAGTTGTCACTCGAAACCTGAACAAGATCATCGATGTCAACTACTACCCCGTAGTTGAGGCCAAGAACAGCAACATGAGACATCGACCTGTCGGTCTTGGTGTCCAAGGTCTTGCCGATGCTTTCCTGGCACTACGTCTGCCTTTCGACTCTCCAGAAGCCAGACAGCTCAACATCCAGATCTTTGAGACCATCTACCACGCCGCATTGACAGCATCTTGCGAGCTCGCCAAGGAACAAGGCACTTATGAAACCTATGAGGGCAGCCCAGTCTCACAGGGCATCCTTCAATATGACATGTGGAATGTCACTCCTTCTGACCTCTGGGACTGGGATGGCCTGAAAGCAGAAATTGCTAAGCACGGTATCCGCAACTCCCTTCTTGTCGCTCCTATGCCTACTGCATCGACTTCCCAGATCTTGGGTAACAACGAATGCTTTGAGCCATACACATCCAACATCTATTCTCGACGTGTATTGGCTGGTGAATTCCAAGTCGTCAACCCATGGCTGTTGAAGGACTTGGTCGACCTTGGCCTCTGGTCTGACAATATGAAGAACCGTATCATTGCCGATGGTGGCTCAATTCAGAACATTCCCAACATCCCTGATGATATGAAGGCTCTGTACAAGACTGTCTGGGAAATCAGCCAGCGTAATGTTTTGCAGATGGCTGCCGACCGTGGTGCCTTCATCGATCAGTCTCAATCTCTCAACATCCATCTCAAGGAGCCGACCATGGGCAAGATCACATCTATGCACTTTGCTGGCTGGAAGATGGGTTTGAAGACTGGCATGTACTATCTCCGAACCATGGCTGCCACTCAACCCATTCAATTCACTGTGGACCAAGAGCAGCTCAAGGTTGCAGATACCAATGTTGCCCGGGAACGAAGCGCTCCTAAGAAGCGGACCTCGCTCGGTTATGGACAGAGCTACACAACTTCCAGCGTGCGACCCATGTATGCATCCAAGAACTCCAACTCGAACTTTAACGGTGGAGCTACATCGTTGAATGGTATCCCGACCCCTACATCGACACCACCCCCAACGGAAGAGAAGCAGCTCGTCAACAAGCTAGCTCGTAGCCGTCTCAGTGACGGTGCTAGCAGTGGTGAGCCTAGCCCCAAGGTCTTGCCCACCGACCCCATCGACAAACCCATTACCGAGGAGAGTCTGGAAGACAGAGAAGCCACCAAGGCTCTTCAAGATGAGGACAAGGAGAGTGACTCGGAAGAACGTGAGGGGGATATCTATGCACAAAAAGTTCTACAGTGTAAGTTCTCATCATGCATTGTTTGGGTTGGTCAAGACTAACATATATCACAGGTTCCATTGAGAATAAGGAGGCATGCATCATGTGCAGTGGTTAGACGATGTCTTGACTTTTGTATTGTGATCAATATTGTTGGTGCGCCGGCATTATCAAGTGCATAGAGGGCACGTTTCCAATGAGCAATCGATACACTTTTGTTGGATGCTTTTCATGGTTTTAAATGTACAGACGGAGTTTCGAGGCACGGCATGATGGGATGTATGGAATGGAATCAACACTGGATTGGATGGAATGTAGTAATGAGACCTTTTTCATTGTTTTTGCTTTGAGATTTCATGGCCTGTCGGTTACACGATAGACACGCCTTGCACGTCTTGATGGAGATTGTACCATTCGGGCCCCAATGTGTATGAAAGAGAATTCAGTTTAGCAAATTTCTTGAGGGCGAGAGGTACCCCGTGTGCCTACGAGCCTCCAATCCACCCCGTAACGATTTTGTAAAATTTGGCACACGCCGTATCGTCTAGGTCGACCGTAGGGAGTAGGTAGGTTCGAGTCAGATCACTACGGGTGAGGACCCGTTCGGGTACGGAGTACACGTGTCTTTTTACAGTTGAGATGTCAACGCGACTCTCGAGCAGGAGACGAACAAGCAAAAATAGAGGGAGGTCATGGCCAGCCCTGCTTAGATCAGGTACCCGTACGGGTTACACGAAAAACCAAAAAAAACAAAAGAAGAAGAAAAAGGAAGCACACGAGGTGTCTGACCTGACCTTTACAAACGCGGCAGGCTCGACGGTGACGGCGATGGATAAAACGTATTGATCTCACCATAGGATAGGTACTGGTACATGTTTACATGAAACCCCACGCTCGCAGTCCTCTGCTCTCCGAGTCTTCTGTGTAAACTCGTCTGGTAAGGCAAGTACGAATAGGTACCTAGTGGTCTCTTTCTTCTTCTCTGTTCCCTTCGCTTCACTTTCTGTTTCTCTCTTTCTAATCTGATCTGCCACCTCTCGCCATTTCAGGAAGCGTAACCAGTGTGTCAAGTTACCAGACCGAGATTCCTCGTCTCGTCGGAGGCTCGGTCCTGGACGGGGAGGCCGGATGATTCGATCCGTGGTGGTGTCGCAGGGTCTCGGCGCACGTAAACTTTCAAAAGGGGGCTCGTCGTAGGAGCTCAAGTCGGGTGGTAGGGTAGGGTGTGGATGGGGTTGATGAGTGTGATCGTTCATGGTGGTCGATGAGATAAAAGTGGCACCCATTTTCTGGGCTAGAGTGACAGTGATGCTGAATGTGCAAACTGTCGTGAATGCTTGTGCGCGTCTGGCAGCCATAAGGTGTGGACGTAGAGCTCAAAACTCCTCCAACACCCTGCAAATGATCAAGTCGGAGGTAGGTCAAGGGGTATATTCTGTTTCATACTCCCTGTTCGCGGTATTCTCTCTTCAATTGCTCGCCCTTGTCTTGGGAACGGTGGATGACGCTCTGTAGCCATTCGTATGTGAGCATGGTGGTCATGGCGGCAGGAACGGCTCGTATCAAGTTTGTCCCAATGCCAGCATAAAAGGCTCGCCATCCTTCTTCTTTGAGAATTACTCTGCACATGTGCAAAATACCGGTGTAGCGTGCTTTCACTGCTAAGCCGTCGGAAGTAGTGAAGCCGGATTTCCGTTGTTGGGTCTGAAGACGGGTGCGAAGCACTTCATGGGGATATGTCGCTGTGCTAGCACAGATTTTGCTCAAAAAGGTGGCAGCTGAGATACCAACCCAGTTTGCACCGCTGTCCTGAGGTGGATGTTCACCAATGCCATAGCCGGTGAATTTCATCTTGAAGTACTCGTACAGGGGGAACTGTACAGCGACATGGGTCAAGCCGAGCAGGGCGGGTGTCAAGCCCGAGTAGAATGACCGCATCCCCTCATGTCGATACATTTTCCTGGCGGCATCGAAAGTCGAAGTATAATAGTAGGGCGCACGCATGCCATCACTTGCAGCTTTGGCGCTCTGTGTCATGAATCGTGTTTTGATCACCCATATGGGATTTGTCAATATGGTCGAGCAGGCGCCCGCTGTCAACGAGGAATAGCAGCGGGCTACCCACCAGCTTCCACATTGATCATACCAGAATTCCCTGGTGTTCTCGTATACAGTCAAGTAAACGGCCCACGTCGGGAGGTAGCCCAATAGCATGGGACCCAGCCCCCGGTACATGCCCCGGACACCCTCTTCCCGCCATATCACGCGAGCGGTACCGACAATACCTCTATACAGTTGGTGGGGCTGTTTGGTCTGTTTGTATCTTGATTGGAAACCACCTTGGGCTTGTAGTTTCGTCTTTATCACATCGAGCGGGCAAGTGACGATGCCGGATGCAAAGCCAGCACCTGCGCCGCATATGGGGCTTATCCACGCCTTCGGAATCGATGTCGAGTGTATCTGTAACTTGGCGACGAGAGTGTTACTCGGTGGACTCGTAGGCATTGTATTGTGGTTTGTTGAGGTGGATGGCTCTTCGGTCGAGATAGCATATTGATTGGGGGACAGGATACCTGGAGTTTGGTCAGGATCTCGTCCAAAGGACATCCTTTGACTGTCGGATCTCGAGGTCAAGGACAGAAGAGCGCATGTGACGTGCTCATGGCGGAGAGGGTACGATTCTGAGGTTTGGTGGAGGAATGCTTGAGGACGATTCGGGGGGGGCAGCAAGTTCTGCTCCGTTGCACCGTCTACTCGGTGTCGTGGAACTGAATTGTACTGCGGGGTCTGGCCGGAGCCAACTGCTCCTGTCAGCGGTTGACAAAGGCCATGAATGACTGGTACAAGGCACGAATCAGTGACGTTGAGGAGAAGGACAAGATCAGATCTTGACGATAAATGCTGGGTTGGAGGTGGAACTGCAAACGTTCTGCTCGAGCAAGAGGGATGATGAAAGTGGGCAAACACTGTACAGTATCTACGGCCTTCAACTCGCCGAGCAAGAAAGATTGAGCTTGCGGTGAGCGAGCGGAGATTACCTCATCTCTGTCACGTGCATAGATCCCGCCCTGTGATCGGGTCACGTGCCTGGCATTATCGGCAAATTGTGCTCGTACGTTGAGACATGTTGTTCTCCTATCTTCTGAAAGATCAAGGAAGTCATAGCCAGCACAGGACCTGGACAGTCTTGTATGTGCGAGTCTTGACAATTCATATGGCCGGTCTAGTCGCTAGGCCGCCTCCCTCAATTTGCTTCGACACCCACCTACGAAGCCATCTCTGGTGAAAGTTGTCTTGCTTCTGAACACACTGTGTCAGGTATCCAATCGAAGCTCTGAGCCCTGTACTATGCCCAGGACGTTCCTGCTTTTCAGCTCGGTTTCACGCATAGCTCTCCTCACACGGGACATGCCCCGTATATGTCCGCTATGATGTGCTACAATGCGATGGTTCCCCGTCAATGTGCGGGGGACGCCGGGGTTCCCAGTCCGGCAACCTGGTTGTTTCTCCATTCGAGCTCAATCAACCATGCAACAGCAAGCCAATGCAAGCAATGCCGCCTCTGATGGCATCTGCGCTTGGAGGGTTGATCCTCCTTGGCTCAATCTTGGCCATGTTCAGTGGCGTGTTAACACGTTCCAATGTCCAAGCTGGTTGGCGCAATTTCCATATTGATAACACCTCACTAGACTCCTCAACTCCTCAGTGCAACCGACGGCGCCATGCATGAGGAACGTTCCTCGAAACCCTGCACATCTCGTGTGAGACTTACCGACTTCGAGGCAAGTCCTTTTGACGAGGTGCTTTGCCGGAGTCGCGATCAGCAAGAGAGCCGATGTTACCTCCACAAGCGACCATCAGCATAGGCTTTTCACACTCTCTTCATCATGATGCCCGTCTTGGCCCTAGCACGCTTGATATCATATAGGAAGGTAGGTAGCCGTTCAACATGCATGGCTTTTCAATCGTCTTTAAAGATATCTACCGAGCGGCTGGCCCGAGGCTCGAGCACATTGGTGTTCAACTCATCTTCAGATATTCAGTAGATTGTCACTTCACCTTCTGAGCGCATCAAGCACCATTGCACCCTTTTCCACTGCCCAAGATGCATAATCGCATGGCAGCAGGATGGTTCTACTCTCCCAGTCAGATCAAGAAATATTTCCTCACCCGCATCACCAGCCTCAAACCACCAAGAACAAAACTTGGAAACCCCTACCATATTCTCAAAGAACTTGATAAGCATCAATGGCTGATGTTCACTGCCGGTTTTCCTTGGTTGGACGTGGGATGCATTCGACTTCTTCACCGTGTCTCTTACTATAACTGAAATTGCTAAAGACTTTGGCGTCGAGAACTCTGACGTCTCATGGGTGCGTGCGCCGATATTGTCATACCATGAACATAGACAGGCTAATATGTGCCAGGGTCTCACGGTCACATTGATGCTACGTTCTGTTGGTGCTCTAGTCTTTGGTACTCTGTCCGATCGTTACGGACGGAAGTGGCCCATGATCATCAACCTGGCCCTCTTCATCGTCCTGGAACTCGCATCGGGCTTCTGTAACACATTGCCGCAGTTTCTCGGTGTTCGTTCGCTTTACGGTATCGCCATGGGTGGTAAGGAACACTCGTTGCCAGATTTCCTTTACATCATGCTGAGTAGATTCAGGTCTCTTTGGTCCAGCAGCCGCCACAGCTCTAGAGGACCTACCATATGATGCTCGTGGCCTACTCTCTGGCCTTTTTCAGCAAGGCTATGCGACCGGCTACCTGCTCGCTTCGATCTTCTATCGAGCTGTGAGCATTGCCTCCCAGGTTACGTTTATCACACTGACCACCCGTAGCTTGTTCCAACTACATCCCACGGCTGGCGCTCACTGTTCTGGTTTGGCGCTGGTCCGCCTGTCCTGATCATAGCCTTTCGCTGGTGTCTCCCAGAAACCAACAACTTCCAAGTGATGCGTGCCGAGCGTGAAGCCCAACTCCTTGCCGAAAAAGAGCAGGGTGGCGAGCACCACGTCAAAGCTGCCGGCTTCAAGGCCTGGACTCGAGAGTCTTGGGTCGCCATCAAGCAAAACTGGGTGCTTTTCGTCTACTTGGTCATTCTGATGACTGGATTCAACAGTTGCAGCCACGGCAGTCAAGATCTGCTCCCAACCTTCCTGAAGAACCAAGTTCTCATGGGCCCAACGGATGTGACAGTTGTAAGCGTTGTTGGCCAAATCGGTGCCCTCATAGGGGGGACAACACTTGGGTACATCAGTACCTTTCTGGGTAAGGCTTTTCCTTCTCTTTTCTGCCTCACCGCCCATGTGAGAGGCACTGACTAATCATCACTGCAGGTCGTCGTCTCACCATGCTTATTGCTTGTGTGTGCGGAGGTGCTCTAGTGCCGGCGTATATCCTTCCATGCAATATGGGCCTGGTCGGCTCAGCATTTGCATTGCAATTCTTTGTCGGTGGCGTTTGGGGGTAAGTTTTGTTTTCATTTGTCTTCGTTGTATGCTCTCCATTGGTGTCCAGTTAACTCATCTTGAGTGCATAGTGCCATTCCCATCCACTTGATGGAAGTCTCGCCGGAAGCACTACGAACTACCGCTGTTGGGCTCACCTACCAGCTCGGGAACCTTGCGAGTTCCGCCTCTGCAACCATTCAAGCAGTCATAGGCGAGCGGTATCCTCTCCCTCCACATAATGGGGTTGAACGTTTCGACTACGGTAAGGTTATAGGAATCTTCATGGGCGCGGTCTGGGCATACCAGATTATCTTCCTACTCCTAGGACCTGAAATGAGCGAGAAAGAGCGTGCGGCTTATGCAAAAGAGGCGCATGAGTTGGAGCGTCTGCGTAAGGACGGTGTGAGTCTGAATGACATCGCGGTGGAGAGGGTCAAGAGTAGGCAAATGGCTTCGCCACGAGCAGAAGGTAGAGAAGTAGTAGAGAGGAGTCCTGCCGAGAAGATGGATCCAGGTGAGCACTTGGAAAGCGCGTAGAGCACTTTTGTACAAGCAGGTTGTCCATAGCTGAGTAGGTGCCGATTAAGGAACACCGGAGTGTTTGTATCGATGTTGGAAGGACTGTACCGTTTGCAGTCGAAGTATACGCAGGGATCAAAGAGGTGTGAGTGGCTTGGGAACAAGAAGACATGAATGAAGTTAAGAGTTTTGCGCGATTCCTCGTTCAAAACTGCCAATCATAAGCCAACGTTGTTTGGAATGCCTTCATTGTGCTGTACAGAAGCGTGTACGGTATACGTTAGCAGTATGAGGCTGAATATATTTATTTGACTAAATTTGCGAGAGCGGTCAACGAATGAACATTGAATATATATATATCGGCTCCAAAGGTCCTTCATTATTTGAGATTTTGCGTGACGATTTTTGTTATTCTGTTTTCCCCTTGTTGATCCAGGCCACATCGATATGAGGTCAACGTCGAGCTTTGTGTATGCTTGTAGTTGTCTTCATGTGTCGAGGGGTGAGCGACGCATCGTAATACGTCCGTCGAGCTCCCCCGTGCTTCAAATAGACATGAAGCGAAAATGAGATCACGTGTTAAGAGCCAAACCAATCATCGTCATCCATTTAACAACTTTAGCGCCAAGAACCAGTAATGTTTCTTCGACTTGGCCCATTCATCGAAGCGACAAGCTCCCCAAAGGCGTTGCGCTTTCATTGCTTCCGCAGCTTCCAAGTCCCAGCAACAAAACCTCGAAACCCCCGGAGCTATTTCACGTTCGCCATGTCTGCTCCTTCGTTAGCCCCATACATCCTGAAGAGGCCATGGTTGAAGAGATGGATGATGCCGCTGGCCAACTGGTACGCCGACGCAGCCGGATACAGAAGATTAGGTACGACACCATTTGGACGATTTTGCTCCGTGACAGACAAGGAGGAGCTGTCTGGAAGGAGGGGATGAAAGATTGTTGACGATATATAACCTACAGGTCTTCGCGCCGACGACTTGATCCCTGAAGAGAACGACACTGTGCAGCTCGCCCTCAAGAGACTGCCGCCCAAGGAAGCATATGACCGAGTTTTCCGACTTCGAAGAGCTTTCCAAGTGCGTCAAACCCACGAATTTTACATCTCCCTACCCTCGATGATACCAGGTGGAATCAAGAACAGAACTAACGGTGTCCCCGCAGTGCTCTTTGGCCCATCAACTACTACCTGCCGCCGAACAGACAAAGCCAGAAGAAGTGAGACAGACCACCGGAATCCTGCCCCCTTGGCCCAAGATACAGCTTGTGGTGACGCCACAATTTGCTAACATTATGGTTTTCTAGGACCGACCTTATTTGAGTCCCATCATCGAAGAAATCGAAGCCGAGTTGAAGGAGCGTGCGGATCTGGAATCCATGAAAGTCGAGCGGAAAAACTGAAGAAATATGAGACACCAAACAAGTGCCATTGAACTTGATGCGGTCGCTTGTGCTTTGACAGATCGGTATCACAGACACCGAAAGGGTGCTCTCAAAGTTTTGGTGCCAAAAGATTGGTCTTGAAGTCCAGGCGGTGGGCAAATCCGAAGTAACTTTTTTGTACATGTACATACAAAGTGCCTGGTGTCTTTTTTCCCTTAGCTAGGTATGAAAAGGACGGTTCCGGGCGCCTCTTTACGAGTTGTTAATCTACATGGTACTCATAACCTCGACGTCCACGTCCTCGACGCGCCACATGTACCACATGAAGAGACTGCGATAGGGGGCGAAGGGAGCAGACTTGTCCAACATGTCCTGCTCCGACATGTACTTCCACTTGCCCCCGCCTTTGGCCTTGAGCTTCTTGACGTCCTTGCCGTAGAAGGCGGCCATGCCCCGCTGCACGCCGAGGTCGCCCGTCGAGAGGATGTCCAGCCTCTTGAGGCCGAAGCACGCAAACATCTCGACGGACCACCTGCCCAGGCCCCTGACCGCGATGAGCCGCTCCATGACCTCTTCGTCCGTGGCCTTCATGAGCATGTCGGTCGTCAGTTCCCGCGTCGTGAACTTCTCCGCCAACCCCTGGATGTACTCGGCCTTCCGCTGGGACAGACCGGCGAGCCGCAACCGTGCCAGGTCCGTCGCGGCGACCTGTGCCGGCGTGGGGAACTTGGGGGGGTGTTCGGTGCCCTCCTCGTTGAACAGCGCGATGAATTTGTTCTTGATGGACTTGGCCGCCGCCCCCGACACCTGCTGGCCCATGATCCCGCTCGCCAGCGACCGAAAGGGGTCGATCTGTTCCGCCAGACCCCGGGCCGAGAAGACGTGGCACGGGTGCTTCTCTATGACGGGTCCCAACCGGGGCTCGACGCTGACCAGGTGGGCGCAAGCTTGGTCGAGGAGCGTGTTCGTCGTCGCCGTCGGCCGAGGGAGCCCCCCGGTCCTGGACGGTGTCGAGTCCGGGGGCAAGTCGCTCGAGTACGCGACCTGCTGCGTACCCCCTGGCGTCACCAACGCCGCGTTGGTCACGTGTGGCTCGACGGGCCGTTCTGGCGGCGGCGTGGCATCGTCAATATCTCCTGAACTGTAGGGCGCCCTGATCACACTGATCAAACTCGGGGTGGGCGTCAAGGGGGGTTGCTTGGCTTTGGCCGGAACCCTCCTGGCGTTCTTCACCGGTGTCACTGGGACTTTGAACTCTGGTGCTGACTGTACCGACTCCCCATTGACGGCGGGCACGTCTTGCGACGATTTGGTCTTTTTATTCGTCTTCGTCTGCGTTTGGGGAGACCCAGTGCTCAACGACCGTTTCCTGGACGTGGTGACAACCTTGGTAGGCTTTTCTGACGCAGCAGCAGCATCAGCAGCAGCAGCCGTAGTGGAAGAGCCAGAAGCAATTCTGGTAGATCTGCGAACGGTCATTTTGAACAGACCACGGCTCAGCATTCAGGTTTGCGAACGTAGGTAGTAGTATTGTGTCGGCCAGGCCACGGTCTTGCTGGGTAGCAAAGCTTAACAGGATGATGTTTACCAATCAATAGGCGGGATCGCCTTCTGAGTTCTCAAAAGACGAGAAGTGGACTTAGGATTGCAAGGACGACGTCGATGGAAAGACCTCTTTCACGATGCATTGATCATACAATTAAGCTGAAGTATTTCTTCTTTACCCAATTGTCGTCATGCCCCGAGTCGTCTGGGCTTAAGGGTGCCCGGGGCCTTGGCCAAGCGCGTATTCGTACCTGGCTGACCTAAGCCAATGATGCCTGGACAGTCACGTGCTGACGCGCGCACATTGGTTTTGGGGCGTGTTTTTTTTTGAGATATTCATTCACTCGGTGTTCCGTACTTCATATCCGTACTCTTGTCCGGATCTCTTACCTACTCGTGCAGTAACCTACCTAGATTTTCTCGACAATCAAAGCTGGGAATATTACTCCGAAATTCCTTCGCCCGTTTCCTCCATTTTTTGGGCAGACACAGACACGATACGCATTTGATGCGGCAGGTTATTAGTCGCCTGGAACGTGCTTCATCCAACGTGTCAAGTAGTGCAGTGTGCGTTCCAGCCACGCACCCTGCCGCGTTACTCCGTGCGTTATCCGAGATTCTGGGTTTGCTTGATTGACGGAGTATGTACTGTATCTAACGGAGTACGAGGTACCGGTGTCGTAGGGAGTTTTCTGTGATAACAGGATTTACTCCGTACGGCGCTCCTAGGCGGCGGAGCTTTTTACAGCAATATTATCTACTCCGTCCGTCGCTCGACTATTTGAAGTCAATGATGATGATAATAAATAAACAAAAGTCGACATGTGGTTCCGATTCCTAGCGCATCCGTATGATATCAACAAAGAGAACTGATTTCGGTCCATGTGCCTTGTGAGTGTTGTTGGTAGGCGGATCTGGATGGAAATTGAAGAGCGCATATCGAAAGTGGCATCCCCAAAAACAGACTGGCTGATCTCGTTGGGGGAACGAGGGTTGTGACCTGAGATGTCGGTCGGTGTAACGTACCGTAACAGCAAAATGCACTAAAGCGATGGTGGAACAAGTGTGGCGGACAATCCTGCACCGGGCCCATTCGAGCCCTGGTCGATTGGAGAGAAGGTCGGGATGGCATCAAGGGCCTCAAAAGGGCCATGCGGCCGTTCGGCTGACGGACCATTGACGGGTCTGGTGAAGTTGACATGCATGTGAACGTTACAAGTAATTGAAATCTACTCCGTGTCTCGTAGTAGTAGTGCTAGAATTTCATCGGTAGTTGAACTACCATGTAAAGTGCGAAGAGTACGGAGTAACTGATATGTACAATCCACCTTTCTACCGAAATATTGATAAAGGAGTGAGATCAGCGAAGTTTCCCCCCCATCCACCCTTCTTGACATGAAGCCGAAGTATCATCCTTGTTTTTCTTTTGTGATGTGTGATGGTGATCGGCTGGATGTGGAGGAGATGAGTTTCATGATTGAAGCACAAGCGGAGAGCATTAGCTGGCTTGTGAGGTGTCTGTGCCAACTCTTGACGTTGGAATGCGTGTCACTGATGAGGCAGGTTATTTTCCAGATCTCGTGCTTGGGATTTCAAGTGTGGTCAAATTACTGAGAGCCTAGGTATGTATGTACTGTACTGTATCCTGTGAATGCGCACAATGCTACGGAGTACTACATACTGTAAAACTATATTTCAGAGTAACCTGAGGCACTATTTCGGTTAAGTAAGATACAAGTACAATATGCCTGAAAAATCTACCCTACCTACTGTAGGTAGCTAGATCACCGGAATAGCACGGCTGATAAAACAAACTTGGTCGCTAAACCAACTCCATTATTTTATCTTGTTCACGGAGGACAGTACCTGGATAGTGGTGGATCTACAGAGTAACTTAGCTTTGTCGCAATCGCAATCACAGTCCAAGCGGAAAAAAGAATCGAGCAAGCGAAATAGCCTCCTCCAGCCATATCGGACGAGCACTCGTAGTCAGTGGACGGACAGTGATAACAAAATCTCGGTAGAATGCCACACTGTACAATACCTACACTAAGGTTTTTTGAGGATGCACCTCTGTCCCGTGGTGGCGAGTGCATCGAAGCTGTCAACATGTCTCAGATGCGAGTTGCTTGAGAAGGAGGCGAGAAGGGTGGCATGCAACTTGGACTCCGTACAGTGGCTGAGGCGAAAGCTTGGAGGTTGAATCGCATGTTGTTAGGTGGAGTTGGTGCAAGAATTGGTGGTTGTTGACATGAAGGGACGCGCAGCCTCAGGGCCATACGGTATCAATACAAGCCATCCCTTTTTACTAGTCTGCCCATCCATCTCCACCGCTGCAACAAGTGAAGCTGCAACTTGCTGGTGATCCCCTTGCTGTTCCCGCCGGGCCTGATGGGTCGTACGGGCGCTGCGACAAGCGTGACTGGTGGGCTTTTTTGTGTTTGGTGGGCGCCCTGTACAGCGTCCGGGCAGATAGCAGAGACAGGCGGGAGTGCTGCAGCTTGCCCTTTGCACCCAATCAGCAGCCGAGGCCAATGCACTTCATCCTCCTCCTCCCCGTCCTCAGTCCCAATCTATTTTCCTGCCATCCCCCTTCCTTCTCAAATCTTTCCCGTGCACACACTTCAACCCTCACCACTCAGTCCATCGTTGCTGCTGTTTGTTCCTTTATTTCTTCATCAAGCCAGCCACACGTAGTTCTTAAGAAGAACGTCGTGCCTGCCCTCGGCATTTCCTGTCTTAACACCCATTCGAGCAACTCCAATCCCAGCTTCTCCTTCGCTGAAGCTTTTGTTTGTTCGTTGCGAGTTCATCCTCATCCCAACGGACTAATCACCAAAAAAGTTCTTACGACTTGCCTTCAAGCCAGCTGTATCACGCCTTTCCACTACTATCCTCTTTAATATTGCATTTCAGGTGAGTTTGTTCTTAGATTCACCCATACCTCACTGCTGCCTCACCGGGGCGGTTGGCCGCGTCACCAACGCCCAAACCAACCCTCCCCGACCTCTACCTTCCTCTACCTTTTCTCCTCGAGTTGTTTTGACCGTTTGCAATCACTTGACTAACACTCATCACAGCTTCTTCGCTGATCCATACAATCACAATGGCCTTCACCAAGTTCATCCTTCTCACACTCGCGGTTGCGAGCAATGTCCTCGGTACGTACACACGCGGCGCCCAGGACTACTTTGGAAACACACGCACAAAGAGACGGGACCAATCCATCCACGGGGAAGAGAAAGGCTAACAGATCGAATGTAGCACAAAACGATGCCTGCGATGGACCTTCGATCACTATTTCCAGCAGTGGAGACGCTCAAAAGATCGCTAACTGCAAAACCTTCAATGGAGATGTTATCATTGACTCGACTGCCTCTGGACAAATTGCCATTAACGGCGTTCAACAGATCAAGGGAGATGTCACCTGTAACAACGCCACTCAGTTGACTGCCATTACCTCAGATCAGCTCAACACCATTACTGGTACCTTCAGTTTGACCGGCCTCACCATCATGTCGACTCTCCAATTCGATTCTCTCACTGGTGTGAACAAGATCAACTGGGTCGGTCTGCCTGCTCTCCAGAGCTTGAACTTCGCCCAGGGTGTTCAACAAGCCAATCAGGTCTACATCTCTAACACACAGCTTAACAATCTAAACGGAATTGAGCTGCAGGCTGTATCGGCTATGGATATCAATAACAACCCGTACCTTACTGACGTCAATGTTAACGACCTCAAGAATGTCACCACCGCGCTATCCTTCTCTGCCAACGGCCGGGATCTCGAGATTAGCTTCCCGAACCTTGAAGATGCTGCGAACTTGACCTTTCGAAACGTCAGCAAGGTCTCCATGCCATCCTTGAGCAACGTTGGTGGTTCCATGGGCTTCTACTCCGACTCTTTCAAGACCTTCTCTGCTCCCAACTTGACCGAGACTGGTGGCACCTTGGCTTTCGTTGACAGCCCGGAATTGTCCAACCTGTCTTTCCCAGCATTGACTCAGATCGGTGGAGGTTTCTTGATTGCCAACAACACCGCTCTCAAGGCCATCGCTGGTTTCCCCAAGCTCAAGACCATTGTCGGTGCGCTTGACTTTGCCGGTGCCTTCGGCAGGTGAGTACTTTTCGGTCCCCAATATTCTAGCCAGTCATCTAACCATTTCCGCAGTGTCAGCATGCCATCCCTCAACGATGTCCGTGGTGGATCCAACGTCCAGACCACCTCCACCAACACCACCATCTGCGACCTCTTCAACCAGGCTCACTCTGCTGGTGTCATCAAGGGCGTCAACACGTGCTTGACCAACAAGGCACATCCAGAGACCAACCCCTCGGCTACCTCGGGCGGTACTTCCTCTACTTCAACCAGCAGCTCCAAGAAAAACTCCGGCGTCACATTCGGACCCAGCGCACCCCTGACTGGTCTCAGCGCTCTGTTCGCTGCCATTTTCTTCCTGTGAAGTATTGGTTTTGGCGTCTCGTGTTCTTACTTAGACTAGCTTAATACGCAATGGGTAATGTCCTTCCGTCCTTATCTTGCGGGGTATATTTTGAGCGAAAACCTCTCATGGCGGGACCACAAGAATGGAGTGGATGGTGACTCGGAGCCTGCAAACACAGAAGCGCCTGCGCGCCTTGTGTGTTCCAGGATTCGAGGTTCGTGTTTGGGAACATCTACTGGGCAGATTGTCATTGAGGGCGAAGGGTCGCTCAAAAAGGCTTGCGTGTGGATAGGCAATAACAGACAAACGAATATGTTTCATTCTAACTTACTCCGTAAGCTGATTTCAAACGATTTCCGAGCTGAAAGCCAACTTGCTAGCGCAACCTCGTCAAGCTCATGTCCATCTTCTCTTGTCTCGGTAGGCATGAGGTTAGCCCACGGATACGGAGCATGACTCATATACTCCGTATCTGTGCCATGGCGTATTTGCCCAGTTCTCGACCTTTGGTCTCTTATTCAACTCACCTGACTCATCCAACTCCGGTTGTGGCGATTCGACCAAGGCTGCCCAAGGATTAGGGAAACACCCGACGTTGTCTCAACTGATGTGAGATCAGATGCATTTCGAGCGTCATGATTCGCAGTCTAGTGTAGTCATCAGCATGAGCAAAACACTTTGGGGGAGACCGGGGGGTGCCTTTTGCTGGTCCTGCTTCTTCAAGCTCCACATCATCTTGTTCGAGAGTTCTACGAAAGTGATCAAGCTAAACCTCAATGAGATGTTATTTCTGTAATCAGAAAAAGTTGCGGCGCCATTGACGCCATTCACATGACAATAGTGTCTATTTCTAATTCTCTCTCTCTCTCTCTCTCTCTCACATAAGTTTTTGTAAGAACTACGACAAGAATTTGAGAATCATCACTTTAGGGCACAGTCGTTACTCTCCGTACCTTGGGCAAGTAAGAAAAGTAAGTGCCATTTTGGGCCAAGTGTGAATGTAAGATCTACCCTACCCAGGTTGGTTGGGTCCTATTGTCGTCAACATAAACCGGGGGTTTCGTTTTTCTGTCGTCCACACAATACGTACAGAGTACGGAATGGACGGTAAGGTAGGTAGGTACGTAGTAGATATTTAAAAAGAAGGGGACTCTTCTGACCACCATTTGATACATACTTACCTAACTTACAGAGGTGTATGCCTTGTATGTGGATTGTTAAATAACCCCTTGCATAGAATAGCCTGTGAAAGACTCATCGCCTTCATTTGCTCATTGCTCATTGCCATTGACACTTGCTGCTGCAGCTGCAATTGGTCTCTCAACTCACTGATTCTTGTGCAAAACCTCCGAGCTTGACCTCAAACTTGCTCTTTCACACGCATCACACCAAACGTCAAACTTTGGTTTCTAACAAAATGACTCGTACCGACATCGAGTTCAAGACGTCCGACAATGTCACGCTGCGAGGTTGGTTCTTCACTCCGTCCAACGTGGCGGCGGGTACGAAACTGCCCTGCGTCATCATGAGCCACGGCGTCAGCTGCGTCAAGGAAATGGGTCTCGGGGACGTCGCGGCAAAGTACGTCGCCGACATGAACGTTTCGTGTCTGGTGTACGACTACCGCGGATTCGGGGAGAGCGACGCGGCGCCGCACATGCCGCGGCAAGAGGTCAATACGTGGCTCCAGGCCAACGACATCCGAGACGCCGTCACCCACGTGCAGATGCGGGAGGATGTGGACGAGACGAAGATCGCCGTCTGGGGGTACTCGCTCGGTGCGATGCACGCCGTCTACGTCGCCGGGGTCGATCGTCGCGTCAAGGCCGTGGTCGCCGTGGGCCCCGGCATGAGCGGCAGCGAGATCGTCAAGAGACTTGCACCTCCTCATGCCGTCAACGCGATGCAGGACCTCTTCGGGAAGGACAGGATAGAAAGGGCCAAAGGCGCGGACCCGATCAAGGTGCCCGTCATCAGTCCGGAAGGAGGTGGGCAGTGCCTCTTACCGAGTCCGGAGAGCACCAGATTCTTTGCAGAGTGGATCGGAAAGAATCACGAGAAAGGGTGGAGGAACGAGCTTACATTGAGAAGGTGAGTCTTGATCTGCCTTTCATGGGTTGTCGTAAAGACCCTGGGACGGGAATGGCTTTTGTGAGCTTTTGCTGACCGCGCAAATTTCAACAGTCTGGATGATCTCTCGACATACGCGACTCCGATGGCGCACTTGGCCAATATCACTCCGACACCCGTCTTCTTCGGTGTGGCAACCAGAGACACGAACAGCCCACCTGACCAGGTGATGAAACAGTATAGGAAGTTGACCGAGCCAAAGGAGTACGCCATAGTCGATTGCAATCACTACGAATTGATGGGCAAGGCCAGGGAGGTTTTGCACCCGAAGGAGGTTGCGTTCTTGAGAAAATGGCTGTCTTTGTGATGCCACTCTGGCATGTATGTGCCTGCTCTTTCACTCTCTTGTAGCACTTTGTCAATGCCGGACTGGCGATGGGATTTTCGAGGTGCGAGGCCTTTTAGTCTTGTTCCTCTGCTCATATTGGTTTTGATCGATTCAAAGTGTGCAATGAGTGTTCGGAATTCGAGGAAGGAAAGGCACATTGCTATGCTATCATGGATGAGAGACTGTCGGTGGTTGATGACGGTGGATGCAGCGCAGGAGAGACTGGAGAGTTGAGGTCGTTGCCTCTAATGCTCGGCGTTGATGATCTCATCTCCGACCAGGAACAATGTACTGTAAACAGCCATTTGTAATGAGTTTCAAGTAAACAATGCCTCCATTGCTACACCCGTTGTTGCCCAAGCCCGGCTGCAGGTTCATGAGCCCCTGTCTCGAGATGTAATTGGAGAGTAAGTATGGACGTTCGACAGCAACCAATGCAGCGCCACCGCGCGCCTTGCAATCAGCCACTCAGCCACTAGGTTCGTGAACTAGTCTCGAATCTATATCAAACGAAACTGGCGACATTGAAAGAGGACAAAACCCGAGCCTCATGGCTTGCAATGATTTTATTCTCGCGATCCCAGTTCTCTCAGATAATGTCATTACTAGCATTCGTGCTTTCAGACAATTCAAGAATCAAATATGAAGGACCTGGTCGAGTTTGATGTCTATCACAAAGGTTCACGAAGTTGCCAGCCTCGAGTCCTCCGAGCTAACAGTCTCTAGCTGCCACTCATTCCTTCGTCGAGCACGAGAGAGTTGCCGTGGAGAAGTTTCTACAGGTCAGGAATTGTCATATGTGTCCCAGCCATAATTGACAAAATGCGTGACCGATCCAAGACCAGGAATCCAGATAGTGTACTGCTTATACGGAGTACCGCTCGTTCTTGTTGACGGGCTGGCATGCTGACATCGTCCAAGATTTGGCGACATGGATAACAATGCAGACTTCGATGCTGTGAAGGACCTTTTCGCTACACAATGGGCCTATCCTTCGATACTGTGGCACAGTTCCAGGTATCTCTCCAACGGCTATGCGGGAAGTGCACGATTCATGCATGGTGATGGAAGTACGGTAACAAACAATGAGAGAAAGCCCGAGATCATTGAGCACCGACGAATGTTGTCTCACTATTCTCAACAGCATCGTGGTTCAAGTTCATCATCATACGAGTGAAGTCAGTCCTTGCCACCACACCCAGAAGTTTAGGCGAGTGGAATGAGGATCAATGGTATGAGATGATCTTCTATGTTTATGCACAGTCAAATGGCAGTGCAGTTGCGTTCTGCATAAACGCCCCCAAAATATTTCGTGAGAAGCTGGTGGAAATGTTGAATTCAGAAAACTGCGACGTTTCAAAGGACGCAACATCTCTGCTCCAAAACATGATATTGGCAGAGGTGGTCAAATTGTACGATAGTGCTGTTTGGGCCACCCGAGGCCATGTTCGGAATCTCGAAAAGGTGAATTTTCCCCTACTGTGCTGTCTAATACTACCCTTTTGCATCGTTGAGTGCACTCCCAGGGTCGAGATGCTACTGGACCGTATCGAGATTTCCCCAGACTCCACGATCTTGCGAGACACATTATCCATAGTGGCGAGGCCCTCAGCGTTGCTTGTGATTCTGTTTCAGAACTCCTCGATCCAAGAAGAGGAGGAAACTCATACCCCAACACCAACGGCCAAGCAGTCGAACGTGGATGGCATGAAAATGACATTGAAATGGCCTTCTTTTTGAGGTCGCTACAAAATCTCCAGCGTCGATCGGATACGCTGAAGGTGCGACTTATGAATGAGATAAATTTGGTCGGTCTCCTACCCGCACACCCTACGTCGCTGACAGCCGCCAGGGGTTCAATCTTGCTGTGAAAGGCGATAGCAATTCAATGAAGACCATCTCTTGGATCACACTTACGTTTCTCCCGGCAATGTTTGTTTCGGCATGTGATTCACATCGGTAACACAGTATGCGGGGGCTAATCGTGACCGGGGGTGCTAGACGATCTTCAGCATGAGTTTCTTCTCATTGCAATTCGACGAAGACTCGGGCGAACAAGAGTGGTTGGTGTCTGACAAACTCTGGATATACTGGTCGATCGCCGTGCCGTTGACTGTGTTGGCCGTAGTATGTTGGACCTATGGGCAACACATAGGAGGCATGCGTTTGCCACTGACACTGCACAGCAAGCATCGGTGATGGTTGATTGAAATAGCAAAGACATCGCACTGGCAATTCTGAGCCAAATACACCCTCTCACGCCCTTCTTGACGAATCCTATCAGCACCGACGTTGGTGGACAATTATTTGTACCTTTTCGTGCCTGGTCGGTCGTCATAGTCCGCACGGCCCCTGAAGTCCGCGGCGTCATGGTGATTTTTCAGCACGCCCAACAACTGCGACTGCGTGATTATTGGAAGAATACGTGGCTGAGGGCGATGTCAACTCCGCGGCATTCATTCTATTCCGGGATCATAATTAAAGGAAGAATATATAATGGACGCCAACCGCTCACTCAAAAATGTGATTTCTTTCAACTTGAAATCTCCCAAACCCAGCGGTCTTTCCGTGCTCGTACTATCATACCCAGTTCTCTCGGTGTCCCCTGACAACAGATGGCAATGGATCTCCCTAAACTGGACTCGCTGACAAAAACGTGGCACACTGAACCATATCCTTCCATCTCTCCCACCAGACCAGAGCTCTCGGCCAAAGGGAAAAATGTCATCGTTACCGGTGGTGGGACGGGGATCGGGCGAGCCATTGCTGTAGCCTTTGCCCAAGCAGGGGCGAAATCAGTGTCCATCCTCGGCAGACGAGTCGACAAACTGAAGGAAGGCGCCGAGGCCATCTCCAAAGAAGCGACGACCAAAGAAACCAAAGTCCTGTACGAGAAAGCCGACCTCTCGGACAGAAGCCAGGTCGATGCCGCGTTGAAGTCCATCACCGATCAGGTCGGCAAGATCGACATTCTCGTCTCAAACGCCGGCTTCCTCCCCACGCCCGGCCAGTTGCTGGACTACGATCCGGCCTTCCTCATGCGAGGCTTTGAACTGAACGTCCTGACCACTCTCAACATTCTTCAAGCCTTTGTCCCACTCGCCGGACCCGAGCCGGTTGTGATCAACACTTCGACGGCGATTGCGCACTTTAGACCCGTCACGGGAGCAGGAGGCTACGGAATTTCCAAAGCGGCCAACCTGAAGTTGGTCGATTATTTCGCCTGGGAGAATCCACAGATACATGTGGTGAATTTGCAGCCGGGTTTTGTTCCTACGGATCTCAATGGACACCCGGACGAGGCCACTGACGTTGGTAAGATTCTGCTCCCCCTTGTCACTGCGACACATGCATCGAGGGACCATGAAAAATTAATGATGGCTTTTTGCATTTTAGCTGAACTGCCCGGACAATTCGCCGTTTGGCTGGCATCCCCCGAAGCCAAGTTCCTAAAGAGCAAATTTGTGTGGTCAAACTGGGATGTACCTGAAATGTTGGAGAAGGCGGAAGAGATCAAAACCACCAAACTGCTGGACTGGAAGTTGGAGGGTATCGCGATGTAGGAACGTTGAAGCGGAGTGAGCGATGTTGTGTTTGTTGGCAGCCTTGTCCGAGCTTCTTCTGGCATTTGTCAGCACTTGAAGGCCGCGGACCGAGCGACTTCTTGGCTCACAAGGCTGTACCAAGTAATGGCCGCCTCCCACTTGGAAGTTGCAATCCCATACGCATACTTCTTCAGATCCGTTGATGGTTCCCGCTGATTACACTGCGACCGCTTAATCTCATACCCACAACTTTTACTCACATTCTGTCATGGAGGTTCCGAATGGTCGCCGTCGAGCGATCGGTAGAAGAAAGGTAGGCTGTTCAGTCTAATAAGTAGATGCCTCTGCACGTACTGACCATAATCCGCCTTTCTCAAAGGCTTGTGATGTATGTTACCTGAGAAAAATCAAATGCGACGCAGGAGAGCCGGAATGCTCTCACTGCGTCTTGTACAAGGCCAAATGCACCTACACTCCACACCTACAACGACCCAGAAAGCGGCAAATGGTCTCAGAGAGGTGAGGATTGCCTTCCCACAAGACTATGGCCATGCCCAACTCCATGTGCTATTAATAGTACTCATACGGGTATCGAATTCCCAATCGAATACTAACGTTCTTCAAGATCAACAGAAGACTTTCAGCGTCTTGAAGACCGTCTTGTTCAACTTGAAACAAGAGTCAAGGCTGATGGTCGTCGAGGGCCTTCGGATACAGCGACAGATGACCTTACGGTTGCGAGGAGAGCAAGTGATCAAGGTATCGCGTCCTCGGCTTCAAGGACGCACGACTCAAATACCGATATCTGCCGGCGATCCTTTCGCGACCAAGAATCCCTGACCACAACTTCGTTCGAACGATCGTTGCCGAGTCTTCAAGTCGTCCGCCCACTGATTGAGGAATATTTTGCTCGAATCAACAACATGATCCCACTCTTTCACGAGGGCAGGTTCATGCGAAGGCTCTTGAGATGGTATGATACACCGTCTGAGCGGACCCCTGCGACGTACGCTGCTATCAACGTGGTCCTGGCTTTGTCGATATGGCACGACCCCACCAAAAAGTCCGAGGGGGAGTTCGAATTGATGCACAGAAGCGTCCACAACACGCTGTCCGTCTTGTCCAACTTGGTGACGCGCGACCAGGATCTCATCGGCGCCCAAGCCATCCTCGGCCTGGTCATGCTTTTCAACGCCGGGCCGAACCCCCGGCCGGCCTCGACCTTGATCGCCGTCGCGTTCAAGCTGAGCCACCGGCTCAGACTCCACACCCGATCGGGAAATGACGGATTCGACGAGAGCATGGCCCTGGAGCGGGACCGCGTCTTCTGGATCATGTACTTTCTCGAGCGTGAAATCAACCTTCGCCTCAGAGACCCGTACCTCCAACAAGACGACGACATGGACGTGGCCCTTCCGGCGTTCAACGACACCAACGACCGGATCAGCATCGTGTTGGCACCCGACGGGGTCACTTGGCTCAATCTGCTTCTGTGTCGTGTCGACCTTTCCCGCATCCAAGCCCAGGCGTACCACAGCCTGTACTCCGTCCGGGCCGAAAGGTTCTCACGGAAAGAACGCAAAGCCGCGCTGGCCGACTTGGACCTGACGGTCCACGCGTGGAAGGACTCGATCCCTGTCCAGTTCCGACCGGAGATGCTGTCAGAGGCGGGGTTTGGGAGCAATGTCCGATTCTTGGTCCATCTGTACTTCATCTACTACCATCTGTTTTACGTTGCGCACGGCATCTATGCACACAATCCGGAGTGGATCAGACGCATCACGACCTACAGCGAAAAATACTCGGGTCGACAGTCTCGGATCATCGAGAGCCCCGCGCAAGGGGATCTTCTACCGTCGACTTGGTTGGAGGATATCGAGACGGCACGGGAGTGCATGAGGTTGTTCAAGGTGGTGGACAGGAGAGATCTGGCGCTTCTTGGGTATGTCTGCATATTTCCGATCGGGATTCTGGATTTCCTCCCCCGCCCCTCCCCCCTCTCCCCCCACCCCGAAGACTCTTGAGGATTCCTGGGAGGTGGCTTTATGATGATGGCATTCTCCATAAAGGATCCTCTTATTCTCACCCAAGAAGCTGACCATTTTTTTTCACGGTTGAACCAGACAAATATCTTGCGTCTACTTGACGTCCATGATCATCCTGCTCACCAACAAACTGGCCATTTACGAACTCCCCATCCGGAGTCAGATGGAGTCGGACGGCGCGTTGATCGAGGACGCCCTGGTGTACCTCGCCACCATCGCGGGGAAATTGGAGGACGACCGCCTCCGGTGCCTCTGGAACGGGTGCGTCGAGATGAAGTTCCGCGCCGAGATCGCGGCCATGAGTTACAACCATGCCGGCGAACTCCATTTCCCCGAAGGCTACGACCGCGCCAGGCAGAGTTCCAAGTCCATGGCGGCCTTGTTCGACGCCTTCACCACGGCCGACATCAAGGCTCCGGATGACCGGTACGGCGCGAACGTGTGGCCCCAGGACGTGGCGAGTTTTCTCGACGCCGAGGGGGCCCTGCCGGTGTGTTTTGCCCGGCAGGCCAGCGCGAACGAACTTGGACTGTGGGGCGCTGTGTATGACTGATGATGAAGAAGACTGATTGATGACCGACTGTACGAGTACAATAAACAACAAAAGAATAAAATGTCGACAAAAAAGTGCCCTTGTCGCGCGACCATTTAACACAATAGCATTCAACGTTTTCCCAATGATGATTCGAGATGCCTTTCTCTAGTAACGCTTTATGGTAAGGTCCGGAACCTGGACGTCAATAACAGACCCCACCATCATCCGCCTCCGACCTCCGACCTCCGCCTCCGTGCTAAACCCGCCACCCACCGCAGGAGGGCTCTTTTTTCATTCTTGTTGGAACCGTCGAGAAACGGGACGTCTTCTTCGAACACGATCCTACTCTGTTAATGCAACATGATGTTGGGTTTCTCTAGATGAGCTTTCTTCCCGTCAAAAATTGATTTTAATGTTTTGAATTAGTATACGGGTATCCTTTCATCAAGGCACCTCCACGACAGTGTCTCGCGTCTCATCTCTTGTCCTCTTCAAGAAAGGGATGAGTTCAGTACCTCCGGTCCCATACAATTGAATGTCGTCTCTTCCACCACCACTACCACCACTCCCGCCGCTTTGGCAGCACTTTGAGGAAGCCGAAGCCAGATTCACTGCTCCTTTTTGTTTTTTTATATAAGGAGCCGGCGGAGATCTCGATGGCATAATGATATATCGACTGACGATCCTGATGTGGACGTCTCGCACCGCGACAACAGCGGCGACGGCTTCGTTGTACGCCTCGCGGACCTCGACTGGTGTCGTAGACCGACGCACATAATCCCTGATGTTGCTCATATGCTCGACTTCCGACAAAAAGTCTCGGTGTGCTCGGGGCATGTATTTTCTCATTTCCTAGAATAGCAAATGTGTCAGTAATAGACCAGGACCGTTTGCACTCTCGGCGTTGAGTAGACCGGGAGAGGGACGGGATGGAGAAATAAAACAGAAACTCACCAGCATGAATGCATTCGTTTGGCGTGACTTTGATGAACAGCCTTCACTGACAGAAGATGACGAGGAATGTTCACCTGTAGCGTGATGATCGACACGGAGAAAAATATCCAAAAGTTGGATCAGCGAGCTCTGGGCGTTGCTCCCGCCACTGTATTGGCGCCAATGACCTCGACCGTCGCCTTCGTCGTAGAAGACGCCGTTCGGCAACCCGGCTGCCGCCATCCCTTTGCTCCCCGCAAGGAGAGGTCGGATCTCATGGTAGAACCGCTGTGGGTCGCAGTGCTCGTGCATTCGGTCCAGCAGTTTTCCAACATCGTTGACCCCGGCTGTGATTGAGCGCAGGCTGGCGATGACGGTATTTGTGTCGTGGTACTCTGTGGCGTAGATGCAATTGAGGATTTCCTTGATGAACAGGGAGCCCTTGGCCTCGATCGCCACGGACACCAGGTAGAACCACTCTTCATCCCTGCTGCCGGTACACGTGTGCAGGGAGCGCAAATTGTCTGGGTTCGAAGAATCGGCGCCAGGCTTCTTGGTCGCAAAGTTCCACAAGTTGAGAGCCGCATAGGTCGCCACCGGTGGCAGTCCAAAGTAATCCGAGACCTTGAGCAGAGGACATGTAATCTGAGGTGGAAGCCTCTACCAAAAAGACCTTGTTAGCCAAACTAGGGGAGAGAGCATGAGCTTGGAGGCCTTACTTCGGACGGATACTCCCCTCCCCATATGTACGCGTGCGTCAGGAAACCAAGAATTGAATATGATCGTTGCCATTCGGCTTCGGATTCGAGAAAAACCGTGTCAAGCAACGGGAGGCCGTCAATTTCCGATCGAATCAGTCGGGAAGATATTAGGTGGGGTAGGTTGCCAATGAGCGCCTCCCAAGGAGCGTAATATGGGTGTGGAAGGCAATGTAGAGGTTCAGTATCTGGAAGGAAGCCATTCCGGGCAGTAGTGCCGTGTCGTCGTAGCAAATCCTGTACACGTTCTCGCATTGTGATAAATCGTCAATATGGAGAGCCGTGATAGATCATGATGTCGTCACCATTTTATGGACGGGCAAAACCTTTTATATTGCTTGAGGACCTCGATCAAAGCACGAGCGGATGTTCCGGCGCACGCTCAGCTGTAGACTGGTGTGATGTCCGGAGGGAGAGAGGTTGTATTGCGCTCGGTTGATACATGCCGTCGGAGGCGGACTTTGGACCTCCGGAATCCGCTCGGAGCTTCGACAACGACAACTCCACATGTAATCAGTTGACAATTTCAGATCGACCTGCCCTGGAACCACCAGTCGTCCATACTCCCAACAAAGTCATCTCCCTGTGCGAAGTAACTCTCTGCTAGGATGGCACCTTCGTGAAAGGGATCCACTTGGTCAACGACTGATATTCCTGGCACCACATTGTTCGATGGCGGTGATAGTTGCGGCGCTGAGCTTCCTGCGAAGGGCTCTCCGACTCCCCCAGAAGCCATACCATTCTCGTTTATATGGGTAGGCTCGGGCAGGAATTGGCTGCGGAAAAAAGTAGCGGTGTTCAATGGTTGCCGATGCACCGTCAATGACGTTCCAAAATAAGAATCTGCGGCGCGAGGGAGCTCGCTCGTAAATGAAGATTCAATGATATCCCAGAACAAGCTGAGGTCAATGAATACTCGACGGTCAGCTTCACTTCGCCCTACCGAGTCATGAAAGGAAGTCGAGACCACTCTTTCGAATTGTTCCAATTTCTCCGCCTGACACTGGTTAGATGCTAGTCTGCGGGAATCTAGGTCATATAGTCCTTACAATTGCTTTCGAGTATGGCCAGAAGGCCCCAAGGTCTTGAATGAAAGAAACACATTTCCGAAAGCATTCCTGTTTCTTTGCTCGCACTCCTGGATCCTCAGAAAAGCTTTGCTGGAGATATATTGTAGCTGTGATCGCTACAAGGGGAGCTAGAGCCGGATCATACAGATTGAACTGCTTCTGCTTTGACAAATCCAATAAATGGACGATCCAATGTGTATGGTTTGTCGTGAGATACGCGGTGTGCTGTAAGAAGACTTCTGGTACTTGCGTCATTCTGAAATTGCGGAGTGCGAGGGACATGACAAGTGGGTGATTGAGCAGACAAAGGATAGAGTGGTACATCATCTGCAGAAGAAACCAGGTCACCCAAAAGTCCCTGTGTTGTTCCAACTGTGCAGGTTCGTGTTCCGAGTATCGAGCTGGGCGAAAACGATATTTCCAAGGAAATTTGCTCTCGTATTCCATCAAGTGAGCCATGATCTGTGCATACTCGGACTGTGACGACCAGCTGGGCAAGGAGCCGCCTGGTTTGCCACGCCGGTGGGCCCATCGCGCCGTCTTTCGCCATATTTCACTCAGTTGTATTGCATACATAAATATGCCTAAATCTTTTGCCTCTTCGTCGCTTGTAACGCCTTCGGGTTGTTCCAACGAAGCGTCCCTGATAGCGGAACTGGTTCCCAACGGTGCTTCCGGACTTTCAAAAGGCTTCGGAGTTTTGTCGTCCTGCAACATCGAGAATAAACCACTCGGTGACCCATATAGGTTCTTGAGGAGCACCACGCTCCAATAGCAACGACGTCTTTCTTGGTAGTCTTCGGTTTGCTGCACTCTCGAATTTTCTGAAGACAACCCAGCAGAAAGTACAAGATCTAGGGCCAGAGAGCTGTAAACGCTAGCAAGGTGTGTATTACTATCTATTATCCCAAATTAGTGGTCGAATAGTCCTGTATTACGGGGGCCTTACTGTTAAATTCGAGAAGGCTTAGTATGCAAAGCGTTTGAATTGTCGAGAGTTCCACGGGTCCTTGGGAAAGGCGTGTCATCACTAAACTGCGACTGGAGGAGGCATACTCGGACGCCTTCGTATCGAAATTTGTATCGGTGGTGTATGAAAACCGCACAGATAGGGCGAGGATCGCTAGCAACAGCTCATCGTCACGGCTCCTGAGAGTGGCGCGCAGATGTGGAGGGGAGAATAGTGGCAAGGGTTGATAGTTGCAATAACGGAGAAATTGATCGACAAGGAGTGTCACAATGTCCCACGATGGTACTCTGTAACTGGTCAGAGTTGCTCTGTACATTGGCAGAGTCCTGGATACCTGGCTATGGTCCCCGCGGATGCTGAAGTCTGCACTGCATGGCTCCTGGCCGGGGAAGCATTAAGGTTGTTTGGCAGCGCGAGCTGAGTATCTGGTGTTATACTCCGATGGCTTCAGCATATTCTCAGTTGGACACTCTTCATGCTTCCTGTTACAGGGCAAAACAAACCTCAAAGAATTTTGCATCTCCCTCATTTGCATCTCGAGAACCCTCAGTCGTTCAACCTGAAATCTCCACTCAGCAATAATCCCAAGGAAGGCAACCCGGATTTGAGAGTCTTAGTGCTCGCATACAGTGCTGTTTTCCTCCTGAGACGGTTGTTGGTCCACAGTTCGGTCTAGAGATGTGCTCGTACGAGTCGACCGCAGCGGAGTCGACGCATTTCGCTCCGTAGCTGATTCATACCAACACTGTTGGTTCAGTCTCTCACAGTGAGAGCATACCGGTCTTTCTGATGTACACCTTTGCTTTTTGCGGCTGTCAGGGAAGGTAAGCATGCTGAACACGGAACATACACGGAAGAACGGGCTTGCTCACCGACATGGTTCGCACGAGAGCCGCATACGCTTTGCCGGGGGTTCAGAGGGCGCCATAGCAGGCAAAATCATATCAGTAGCCTTCTTCAGGGCTATGGCATTCGGCGAGCTTAGCACTGTGTAAAAACTGCTCGTAGTGTTTCTTCAGCAAGTACGCACCGACGGAGGATGGAGTTTCGGAAAGCGGAAGATATCCAGGTGGGCAAGTGATCTCTATCCCTCACAGTAACATACGGTCGAGTATAATACCAGGATGGGACATTTCCCCGCATCTCACGCGCTTTGACTCCAGATCCGAGCTCGACAATGTATCTCGCTTACTGATTCTCTTCTGGTACAAGTCTCTCTAGACATCGCCTCCTCCACGTTACAGTCGAGCCTCGTGCGCCATTGATGTCATGTCGATCTGATCGTCCTGGCCGGAAAAGAGCCTGTCGTCTCATCCCCAGGTGCCGATGACCACCACGACTAATCATTAGTTCAGTACACTCATGAAGGTATAATAGAACTCTCAACTCCCTCCAGGTGAGCCTCTTGTTTCCCGTGGATGTTGCAACATCTGCTACAGAACAGACTCCTGCCCGCCATGCTTGCCCTTTCTATCGCACTCTTTGCCTTTTGGTTTCACGATGCTTTGGCTCAAAGCTCAGGCTCGTGTCGGGCTGTAACTCAACATCTCAGTGATCCACCTTATGAGAATTACTTTTATTCCGATTGCCATAGTGACTCCCAGGTCGTCGTGACCAGCCCACTACCGGACTCGAATCTGTCAATCATCGGACCTCGACTCATTGTGGCGTGGCCAGCTGGGAACAGTGGAATCTGTACTTACTTTCAACCTCAAAATGGTCGGAATGGCTCTCTGGGTATTGAACTGGTCAACTCTACCTTGGGGAGCCCGTTGGGACCAGTGTACAAAGAGAATGATGGCGCCAAGTACCCTTACGTCGGCATTGAAGGTGTTATCTCCTTCAACAGCTCCGCGACGTTGACCATTCCAATATTGGGAAGCATCCGTACGATTCGAGATTTCACAGAAGGTCCAAGCCTTCTCCGTCCCATCATACAGGATGCTGTCAATGCAACCAAAACCAATGGGACAGGAGCAACACTTTCTCGACTCTGGCTCGACAATGTCACTGTCTCTACATTTACTTTGGTCCCATATCAAAATTCGGGCACCAACATCACCATCCACCAGCAGAACAAAACCCTCAGTTTCGGACCTGGGTTCTACAGCTTCTCGGCAAGCTTCAACTATCCCCAGTTGACTCAACTGGCACCGGGTCGAGTTCTCAATTCCGCGTCGCAGAACCTGATCCAGCAACAGCCGGACCAAACCACCTCTCTTTCCTTTCTGTCGTACTCGGAGAAGCTGCTCGCTGGAGCGTGGAGGTTTTTGACCTATTTTGGCCGAGACAGCATGATCAGTGCGCTCCTCCTAGAACCGGTCTTGAGTCAAGGTAACGGGTCGGCCACAGAGGCAGTGATCGGCGCCGTCCTGGAACGCATCAACCGCACGGATGGATCCGTCTGCCACGAGGAGACGATTGGTGACTACGCGACGTACCTGAATCTCCAAGACAACATCACCAGCACTGCACCGGGCTTCACCTATCCCATGATCGACACGGACTACTACTTGCCAGTGCTGATGGCTCAGTATTTCAACCACAGCCCTTCGCGAATCTCGGCTCTCCTACAACGCAATGCCGGTTCTGTTGATGTACAAAACCGCAATCTGACCTACGCCAACCTGACGCTCATCAACGCCGAAAAGATCATGAACCAGACGGCCGCGTTCGCCAAAAACCAGACCCAAGCCAATCTGATCCACCTCAAGTCCGACCAGCTGGTCGGCCAGTGGCGCGACTCGACCTACGGTATCGGCGGCGGCCGCATCCCTTTCGACGTCAACACGGCCCTCGTCCCCGCCGCTCTCCGAGCCATAGGCCAACTCGCGCGCACGCCGGGCGTCTTCCCCAACAACACTCGTGCCAACGTCACCGCGTGGCGTACTCTGGCGGACAGCCGTGCTCGAATATGGGAAGAGCAGACGCTCCGTTTCTTCGAGTTCAACACCACGGCATCCATCGCTCGCTCCAGGCTGCAACGCTTTGTCAACACGTCGACTTTCTACAACGGACCCACGAACGCCTCGTCACTCCCCGCGTCGGGTAATGTCACAAACTACGCAATCTCGCTGGACGGTAACAACCATTTATCTTCTGTTGATGTCATGCACAGCGACTCGGCATTTCGTCTGTTCTTCGTCAACTCGACGCCTTCGACACCCGATGAGCAAGCTCAAGAGACGCGTTTCATCAACGCCACGGCAAACAGCCTCGTGCGCTCCTTCCCGGCGGGCCTCATGACTCCCCAGAGCATGGTCGTCGCCAATCCGGCCCTGTCCGGCTCCGACGTGCTGATCGCAAACTTTACCAACGCCGCCTATCACGGCACGGTCGTCTGGTCGTTCCAACTCTCCATGATGGCCAAGGGTTTGGAGAGGCAATTGGGTAGGTGTGACAACGGATCAGCGCCATCACCGTCGCCATCATCATCGTCCATGATGGCCTCAACCCCCTCGTGGTGTAACGACACGAGTGTTTATGGGAACGTCAAACGAGCGTACAACATACTCTGGGACAGCATCGAGGCCAACTCGGCCCAATTGCAAGGTGAAGTCTGGAGCTGGACGTACAGCAACAGTACGGGGTTCGTGACAACACCACTGGGCGTGTTGAGTTCAGGCACCGAGAGCGACATCAGACAGCTTTGGAGTTTGACCTTTTTGGCCGTCAAGAGAGATGAGAATTTGAAGTGAGAATATGTTCAACAACGAGTACTTTTGTAGTAGGTTTGATCTGTCATGATAATATTCATGTTGTTATTGATCTTGAGGTTGAGTCACACTGGCTAGTAAGTGTCACAATTGACAATGTACTCAATCGCTTTCCAGAGTCACTTGTTCTTCTACTCCGAATTTCGTCCCCTATTCCCTTTTTCTCAATGCGCACGCCGGTCAACCACACTCACACACACGCACTCCACCCGTCTCGAAAATCACAATCTAGCCTGCAACTTCTCTGCCGTCTCGCCCAGGGCGTAGTCACATCTGGCAGTCTTGCTCCTGACCTTGTCGGCCTCGGCTCGGGTGACCCCCCTGGCCTCGACGGCCGGGTTGTACCCCAGGCCGGAGAGTTCGGCGATCTCGGCGTCGCTCTGCCGGATGGCCGTGTTCTTCCGCCCGTCGGCGCGCTTGTACACGGTGATGACGACGGCGCCGCCGAGGCCGAGGTTGTGCTGCAGGGCGACGTCGATGTCCTTGACCAGGCGGCCGTTGTTGGGCCACCCCCGCAGCTGCCACGTGAGCTCGGCGCACTGGGCCAGGCCCGTCGCGCCGAGCGGGTGACCTTTGCTGATCAACCCGCCGGACGGGTTGACCACGACCTTGCCGCCGTAGGTGATGTCCCCGCTGCGAACCATCTTGTGGGCCTGGCCTTGGTCGCAGAAGCCCAACCCTTCGAGGATGATGAGTTCGTTGGCCGAGAAGCAGTCGTGAACCTCGCAGACCCGGATGTCGCGAGGGGACACGCCGGCCTCGGCCAGGGCGGCCTTGGCCGCGCGCTTGGTCATGTCGAAGCCCACGAGGTCCATGGCCCCTCGGGAGTACAGGGCAGGCGAGTCGGTCATGAGAGATTGACCGGCCATCAGGATCGCGTGGGACTTGAGTTCGGGTCGAGAGTCGAGGAAACGTTGGGACACGATCTGTAGGGGGTTGGTATTATTAGTAACCTGCCATACTACGGCCGTTGCAGAGAGACACAGTTGCGGAGGGGAAGGGCAGAGAGTGGGATTTTTTTGGTAGAGAAGATGATGACTGTGATCGACAGAAAGCAAGACTCACAATTGCTGCGCCCGCGCCATCAGACGTAGGACTACATTGTAATTTGGTAAGTGGGTAATGAATCATCTGCGACTTCTCAATATCTTCGAGAGAATAGACCTGGTTGAATTGGGCATATGGGTTGCGGGAGGAGTGCTCGTGTGAAATCCGGCCTATCTCAGCGAAATCGCGTGCCTCAGCGCCGTACCTATAAAGTCGAAAATCAGTGAGTGATTCTTTTGAAGAACAGTATTTGTACTGTAGATAAAGGCCGTGCCCAGGGTTCTCGTCGTCGACATCAAATCATGACAATACGGGAGAATTGTGAATATAGGGAGAACAGGAACTTACTTCTCCATGTACTCTCTTCCGGCATTTGCAAAGAATTGCGCGTTCCTAGGACTATCGTGTCTGCCTCGGGTGTCCTCCATCATCTTGGTGCCCAAGCCCATTGGACTCGGACGGTCATCCCAAACACTCTTGATCGAACCAGGCTTCATGGTTTCGAAGCCAATCACCATGACAACGTCAACGATGCCGCCTCTGACCATAGTCCTGGCGAGTTGTAGACCAGTACTGCCAGTCGCGCAGGCGTTGTTGGTATTGTAGATGGGAATGTTGGTCATGCCGAACTGGTAGAACACCCGTTGGCCACTTGTGGTGTCGCCATAGCAATAGCACGCTACACCAGTCTGTACGTCGTCGTAAGTGATGTGTGCATCGAGAAGAGCCTTTGTTCCGGCCTCGAAGCCCAGTTCGGGATATGTCCTGAGTTGTCTTGGTTTGATGAACTTTGTGAGGCCAACGCCGAGCACGTATGCGTTATTTGAGGAAGACATTTGGGGGCTTGGAATGTCTGCAGTTGTCTGATCTAATAAGCCGTGTTTGCAATTAACACGATGATGATTGATACAGAAGGAGATTCGACCACGAAGATGTTTGTGCAAAGGATTGTTTGATCAATTCATCTTCTCCCTCCGCGAGACAACTGTAAGTAGTGCTGATGCTCCCCGCATTGATTTTGTCCAATGCCGAGGTGTACTGAGGCCGAGGCCGACGAGGCTGACGCTGGTATCGGCAACCTCGGAAGAATTATGTACTGTAGGTGCAGTATTTGGAGGGTGGCTAGCATTGCTCCAAAGATCGTTGGCAACCGGCATTCTTAGTTTGAAGCCTCGGAATGACCATATCTTTGGTGACTAATTACTGCATCGCACTGCACAGCCAATTCCAGGCCATAGGAATTAATCTGCTAAGACTGCACTGAAGTAACCGGTTAGCGAGACGGGTCTAGGAGCGATGGCAAGTATAAGAGGCTATCTTCTGGCTGTATCTCGAATTACTGATTGAGAGAGTACGATTGCCGATTCTTCCTGTACACTGTTGAGCAAATTCTCTCTGCTCGTCATTGGCTCTGCTCTCCAGCAAGGTGGCTTCGATGCGTGTGTCATAATCGCTTCGTCCATGCTTTTGATGACCTGCCTGTATCTCTCACGCTGTTCTTGGCTATATTCGGCAAGATCGGGTACTGTCCACTGATCGTACAGCCTGCCATGCGTGTTGGCAGCAGGGAAGCCAGAGTGAAATTTGATAAAGAGATAACACAAGTAGCATAGATATTTGCTTGTGCCCATTACCCGAGGCATGAGACTATCATGGTTCGGATCATCCACCATGTTAGTATCACACGAGCGCATGTCGTAATAGACCACGAGTTGGATCTCGGCATGAACGTGGCATGTTCTCGCCCAGTCTTCATAGCCAATACTTGTAGGAACGCTTGCGTAGGGAGCCAAGTATTCCATACGCAGCCCCTCCGCTCGGAAGTACTGAGGGTAGCGGTGTGAGACGCGTATGAGTGTAGCCGGCACACGGTAATACGCAGCAACCTTCTCAATCTGTCGAAGAGTCTTGACCGCAGCGCGAACCTGATTTGTTTGTCCGGCATTACTCATCCTTCGAGCGTAATCACGTGCGGTTGTAGATGTGCAGAAATCGTAGCTGACTTGAATCAGGTGGACAAGGAGTTCGAACTCTTCCACCGACTTTGCGGATACACTTTCGAACCTGGAATATGTATCGGCAAGTGTACGTATATTATGTTGGACATCATCTCTTAGTTCTTTCTCCCGCTTCGTGTAAACAAATTGAACCCGGTGGGCAAGGTTGTCAAAATCTTGCCAGAGAGACTTTTTATGAGTTCGGGAGAGATACTTGGGCTTCTCCCATTTCGAAGAGCGAAGACGTCCTAGGATGCGCTTAAAATGAAGCCTTACCACAAAGTGGAATAGCTCTTTGGACCGAAGGTCTCTGTCGTCAGGACTGCCAGAGGCACCCAGTATTATACTGACAGTGTGCAGAGCTTGTTGTAGGTCCAAACTAATGGTGTCTACAGCAGCAAAGCGGACAGTGAGCGTGTGCTGACGAATGTGTTCTTCTAGACAAACTGCAGCAACACTCTGAGCGCCTTCTTGCACGGCAGCCAGGAAAGCAAAGGCATCTGCGAGTGTCTGTTCATCTCTGATTGACAAGCCATAGTGTCTAGCGGACCGTGTTTCTGCAAGCGAGGCGACTGGAAACAACTGAGAGTCCACCGGGACTGCATTCGTCCGCTCTTCGAGAAGCACCAGATGGCTGCGAAACGTGTCTTCCGAAAAGTCTTTCCATATGGATTGTTGAATGTCAGCAGTACGAGGATTCATACCAGATTGATACGTTATCGGTAGCCCCGGATACTGGTCACCCAGAGAGCGAGTGAAATTCCTTCAGAGGAAGGACTCCCTACCGCAATTCATCTGGAGTTGGTCTCTTAAGCCGTAGTTAAGATGGAAAGCAGCCGCAATCACTTTTTCATTGGCATCACTTGAAAGGCCTTCTGCCCAACCGTAACACTACGGTTGTTGCGGCGCATAGGAAACGCAGTTTTGTACAAACACTTTTCAACCAAGATCGGCAGAAGATTTGTGAGGCTATTCTAGATTCACAAATTTAAGACCGCTTTTGCTTGATTCTTTCTATTCAAGCTGCCATGCAAATTCTCCTCTGATGCCAGCCTAGGATGAGCACACGTTCCTCAAACTGTTCGATAAAAGACATCCAACCAAGGAAAAGAATATCGCGCCGGGATAACAGTTCATATACACATATCAATCTTTTGAAGTTCGTGGCAGCCCTTCTAACTCTCACCCGTCCATCGCTGGCAAAATCATTGGGCTTTATAGGTAGAATCTCAGCTGGGACAAACCACGTCAACATTCATGGTGTGATTTACGTATCAAGTCCTGGGGAGTCTGCGAGTATCTCCTGATGTATAAGCAGCACCGTGGTCGTCTTACGGTGTTCGTGAGTTGGGCCACTGAAGAGTCTCTTGGAAACGTCCAAATGAAAGACCTTCATCAGGTGCAACAGAAGACTCGAACGTGTCCTCAGCAATCGCCAAGGTGGTACTAGACATGGTTCCTTCAGCGTCAGGGCCACTAAGGGCCTGATCACATCTCAGCGCTTCAGACGGGTCGTGCTTCGGATAATCAGGATGAAATCGATCTAAGTGAATGAGATAGTTTCCCGTATTTCTGAAGGGGGAATGTGTGCATTCTAGCACAGGACAGTAAAAGCTCTGCCCTGGGGGAGCTCTTCCTTTCCGGTTATCTTTCGAGTATGGGCTTTTGGAGTTTGTGCGGCTTCGTACAATCGAAAGTGGCATTGGAGTGCCTGGTTGTGTTTGGATAGTGGGGTCTACCATCGGCCATGGACTGCTATCGCTGGGGCTATGCCCGGGCGTCGGGTGGAACGATCCAAGGTTACGCGACATCTCTGGGGACCCTCGTTCTAACCGAGATGTGGAAGATCCTGATCTTGAATGTAGTCGTGAAGCAGGGAGAGCCGATACCCTCTCCACCAGATCGTCTTGCAGCTGGTCGAACTGGAGGTTACCCCTCAAGCACAAGAGACAGTGCCAAAGCCCCGGGGGCAAAGGTCCGTAGATGTGTATGAGATAATCACTCAGAACCTTCTGAGCCGGAGACACGCTTGGAGTTTGGAACAAGGCGGCCCATAAGTCTTTCGGAACCAGGAGGTAGTTGCAGACAGCGTCACGGTGGTGTTGAGTCTCATCATGCTGAATTAGGGCGTCCGAGAGGCTGGTTGCAGGAAGAAAAGGCTGGCTGGATATGTTCAGCTGGGGGATCCCGAGATTCGGTCCTGACGTCTGCCACGAATCAATGCTCGTATTATGATGATACTGCGTATATTGCAAGTCCAGACCATTGCAATCGTGTCCATGCTCCATGGTGAACCTTCTCATGGTCTATAAGGCTGCAGAGAGATGTCGATCATGCCATTCATTGATGTCGAGGAGCTCAAAATCGATGCCATCCATATGTGAGACTGGTATAGAGTTCAGAATCTTAAGAGTGTTTCAGGTCAGGCGGCGCGCTCAAAGGATGTTGAACGCAAGATAGGTGGTCTCGAACCGACCAGCGGCGCGACTCGAAGGCAGATCAGATAGCACAACACTATGAACGTTTTGAAGGAGTGACAATGAAAAGAAGACACAGATTTGCGGAGGACTGGCTGGCAGACTATTGTTGCAAAGTGAGGTCAAGCATTTTGCATGGTTCGTAAGCCTCGGTAACTGAGGGAAGGGCCATTGTATATCAAGACGCCGCTGTTTCCATGGGAGGCGCCTTGCCGGCCCTGGATCGTCTACACTGCTGGTTGAGGAATGGTGAGCCGAGACTGGGACTTTCTGAACCATCGACATGTATGACCTAAAGCTATGGCAACCAGAAGAGTCACGGCTCCGAGGATCATTGCGTGACACCAGCAACAATCAGGAAATTGACTGCTCCCTGGGATGGGCCGCTGCCCGCACACGGCATCTCAACCTGCAGGGAAAATGGTCAAGAACCAGGTCCTATTCGTTCTGGTTGTCATGCTATAGGGATAGAGGCCGTTGACTGCACAGCCCCTTCGTATCGGCTTCCGCGAATCTGACCAGCGGATGCCCCATAAATAGGGCTGAATGGCAAAAGTACGGTGAATAAACTGCCAATCAGCAATGGCCTCATGACCAGGGGTTGCTGATAGGCACAGCCATGGCCAATTCCGCAACGCCGGTTCGAGGAGCTGATGATATCCAAGCACTTCTCTACGAGTATGAGCAATGTAGTCCGTACGGCTGTTGTCAGACACATTCGTTCACATGTGCCATCTCATTCCTTTCCACACCGAGGATGTTCGTACGAGTATGCGTATTCTAATCGGGACTTCCGTGATCCTTGTAAGGAGGCTGAACTGTTGGGTGGCTTGACCTGCTATTCCTGTGCAGCCAATTTGATAACCGGTGAAAAGAGCACTGTGAGAATGTGGCTGTGTCTCGAACAATTCAATGCCGCGGAGTTGTGATGCAGGATCGCAGGATATCGAATCTCCTCACGCAGCAATGTGTACGCCATTTTACGTCGGATTTCTGCCTCCATAAGGCAATTGCAGTTACGCAAAAGCGCCATTGGCTGGGATATCAGAAAATACCATGCTACCAAGAACAATTGCAAATCCTGGATGGAAATGCAAGGCGTGGTGACGGAACAAAAGTCTGCACTTTTGTTTCTTGCAACGCACAGGTTTGACAAACCCCCGAACGTGAATTCCCGGAGTGGCATAGCCAAACTTGCAATATGAGCCACGCCATACCATGCTGATGTATCAAGTGGCTATAGGTCTGGCCGAAGGCACTCAGCCATTGTCGCAAGAATTGAATCCGTCCAAGAAGGCAGAATTTTCCGTGTCAATTGCGACCAACGTTTCTGTCTCTCCATTATTCGTATCACTCTAGAAACCATACTCTTTCAAGGCAGCTGCGCGCTGTAGAAGGTAGTCGCATCGCTGACTAAATTTGACACATCTGGCAGCTGGCTGTTTTCGAGTGATGCCATCAACTCCATTTGTTGCTGTTCGCTAAGTGATTGCATTTGATATGCAGAAGGATACGTTTGATGCATGTAGCGGGAGTACTCCTGGCCAAATGGCGCCAGGTAAGGTAATTCGTCATAATTCATGTTGGGCGACCCGGTGAGGCCAGGAATAATACCGGGAATCAAAGGAGACGATGTCCAGGGGTTGGAGCCCGGTGAACTGGTTGGGATGTAGTTAGATGTATGTTGAGGGTCGAACCCTGGAAGGCTGAAGTGCATAGCCGGGATATCGAGGCGAGGGGCTGCAGTGGGCATGTACTGCGGGCCAAGCGTGTTTGGCTGAGAGGTTGGCGGAAAATTCTCAGGCTGAGGCTGGTATCCTTGCTGGACGTGATCAGTGAATTTATTTGTGGAAGTTTGGAAGGTGTGTCCAGCTGCTTGAGTATGAACACTGTGGATGGACTGGGGTGACTGAGCACCAAACAGTGATGTGTTGGTGGTGCTGGCCGGACTGTTGGCAAACTGGGAGGTCGATGAGCTGATGTCTTGTGTCGTTGTGCTTACGTAGTCAGATACTGCTGGGGATTCCGCAGCTTTGTCCGCATCGTAGGCTTTCAAGCACCCGAGAACAAGGTTCTCGTAGAGTTGCTGGGCCGACCTTACGCCAGGCCAACGATCCGCACATAGTTCAATGGCTTTGAGCGCGTCCTGAATTTGCAAGCGGACTTCGTCAATGGGATGCTGCTGTCTGATCGCAGGATACGACAGGCACCAAAGAATGGTATTTAACGCCATGAAAATTGCTTGGGTGAAAATCCATGTGATGTCGATAAGATTGGCTTCGACCTGGCGCTTCTGTAATTTGATGTTGTAGATAGCCGCGTTGTAGCATTTCTGAGCCGCATCGAGCGATGGATTGGGAATTTGAGGCGAAGGGCGATACATGAAGACTATCATTGTATTTTTGCGTCCAATGAACCTGCCAAAGGGTTAGATATGGAAATTGCACAAGATGTCACAAATAGTTACCAAGCCTCGCTCAAGCCAGAGCCTTCGTCATTTTGAGGACAATCGCGGACCCAATCGTCAATCTTCTGCAACATTTGGTGGAACCAAGGATCAGTGTCTTGTGTTGGGGTCTCCCGTTTGCAAAGATAAAGGGTGCGCCTGATTTCAGCCTGCAAAAGCCGCATCTTGAAAAAATGAATGGAAATACATTTCTTCATGATGGGATGATTCCCAGGAAGTAATCCATCCGCGCTGATGAAGCGGTCGTCGCACAGTTCAAAGAAGTTCACATTGATGTTGTCAACAGATACAGCAAATGCGCTTGGCCTGCCCAGACTGTGAGAGAGCCCATACTCCATCGAAGTGATGATCCAGAAAAGTCTCCGCCGCATGTCAACCTCGAGTGCATTAGGTCGTGTACCTGATGGTGGTTTGTGGATTGTTTCCTCCTCACACAACCCAAGTTCCTGACACAATTTGGAGGCGATCCCTACTACCCAGTATGCCGCTGTTCGTGTGGGAGTAAGGAGTGAGTACTGGGCGATAAGAGCAAAACATTGGAGGGTAGAGAGATCTTTCTTTTGCACAGCGCCAGTCAGGAATGGGAGGGCGGCTAGATAGTAGCTATCGGCAAGACCAGCGTACTGCGTGTCAAGTTTCTGCATACTGATAGCAATGACGAGCCGGACTTGAAAATTGAGTGTCGGATCTTCAGACCCATCGTATACGGCTTGCAGGTCTCGATGGAAGGATGGTTCGTGGAGGAGTGGGAGCATGTACTGTGCCTTTACCATGTATATCTCCACCAAACGATGCATTAAATCCCGAGTAGGCAAATCTGGTGCAGCGACAGAACTGATCAACGGATAGACCTTTGATGTAGGCTTGTTGCTTTCCTCATCAAACTTCTCCTTGATCTCCTGCGCAGCTTTATGTGGCACAACCTCTTTGATCGTCTTCCGAACAGCGTTCTGTTTGGCAAATTCCATGACGAAGCGAGTAATGGCAATGCCACTGGATGGCCCCAGGAACCGGCTTTCATCGTTCTCGCTGAAGCGCACGAGTCCGGCAGAGCGCGCCATCGTCTCATGCGTAGGTTCATAGCCTTCCTCTCTCTCCAATACTTTGAGTTCCTCTTGAAGCCGCCGTACGGTGTCCTGCAGGGAGGTGATATAGGTACGTGGAATGGTCCGATTCTTTGTGGAATCATAATACTCGCAGAGGGCATTGCTTCGCTCGCATGGTTCGCAGCGTGGTAATGTTGCGTCACATCTTGTTTTCCTCTACAGAAGAAGGTCAATTGCCGCCGCGAACGAAAAGGATTCTGGGAACAAGGCCTACCTGTCTGCATCTTACGCATGCTGTCACTGTGTGGTGCACCTTGTCCTTGCTTTTAGTCGTTTCTGGTGAATCTGCCATAGCAGCATTCTCGCTGTCGGCCATAAAGTCCTCGGGAAAGATTGTCGCAAACTCGTGGTGTACAAATGCGCGAGGGCAAGACTAATGAATTTCGTCATTCCTCATAGCCTGGCGCCAGAGAACCAAGAATTGAATTGATTGTCGTCGCTACTCGTGGACATTGGAACTGGGAGCTTACAGGCTCCATTGGGCCTGCTTGTGGGCGTGTAATGGACGTGAAATAGGCCTGGTAGGCAAAGGCACAAGTGGCATGAGATGCCCGTCAGCACACAAAGTAAGTGGGCTGCGGTTGTTAGCCGAATTCACTCGGGGGAGACTGAAGAAGGTGGGCCTTCGAGGCCAGGGCCTGCCCGCCATGACCACCGCCCTAGGGAAGTCCTGCTGTGAGTGATTGCAGGGGTGGGCAATAGGCTTCGAGACCTGACATGCTGGTATACCGTGGCTGTCGTAATGATGACCTGATATGTCCACGAGAACTCCAAGGTGTTGCCCAAAACGTAGTCCACCAAGCTGACTGACTCTTAGGTACTGTACGCAGGCAAAGCCAAAAGCAAACGACTGGTAAGCCGGGCACTCCCCAGCAGTCCCTGTGTAGCTGGACAATTCAGCCCCCAAGCCCCCATGGCCAGAAGCTGAAGGTCTGTGGCAGATCACAGGTGTCAAGATAAAGACGTAGGCTTAGCTGCGCTCAGTGATTGACGCAGGGACACGAAGGAGGGTGATCGGCGACCCTGTTCAAGTATCCGCACACTACTCGTATCGACGGTCTGGCATCAAGGTTACAGGTAGGGCTCATCAAATTAGTTACAGTAGGTCAGGAATAAGGACGTAACTCGTGAGTTGCTCGGACCAACTCTCGCGAACAGCTGGTTTGAATGCTTCATTGGATACCTGAGGAAGACGCACCAAAAAAGAAGTTCGCTAGGGGCGTTTAGTGGGTGTCTTGGGCTTCAACAAGTGCAGAAGCTTTCCAAGTCACACTGGCCTTTGGGAGTCTGATTGGCCTATGCCTTGTTTGTCGTTGAGGGTCTGAAATGCCCCCCGCCTATAACGTCAGAATCAACGGCGCTGTCAAGTCCACGGCTTCTCTGCCGCGCTGTCTTAGTTTCCCATTGACCACCAGTCAGACAACAAAGGGAATTACTTGTTGTGTGGAAAGTACCGGTCTATCAGAATGACTGAAACCCGATCGTCCAACGGCCACAGATGATGTGAATCAATATCCAAGTACGGTACGAGCACGAGTACCACAATTTTATGACGGCAGTCAATCCTCGTCTTACTGTACACCCATCTCGACCACGTTCCGTCAGCCGATTGAGATCACGAATCTGCCCCATCCTTTGGCTTCCTTGGACACTGACTGTACCCATCGAAGTTTCGAAGCTGTTGAGCACTTTTTCCGGTTGACCCCGCGAAATGTCCTGAATTCCACGAAGCTCAAGTTTCACTGTCGCAATGGCTAAATTAGAGCCCATCGAGGCTTTGCTGGCGCCGTCTCTGCGTGTTTCCAGGCCTGTTGCCGCCTGTGCACGTTGTCGATCAGCCAAAATCAAATGCGACGGAAAATTACCTGCCTGTTCAGCCTGCGAGCGCTCGGGCAAGGGGACGAGTTGCACCAGTGCCAATGATGACTTCGCGCGTGGCAAGGAACGGAGTTATGTCGCCGCACTCGAGGGCGCTGCACAACGACTCCAAAGGAAGATTGAGCGGGCTAGAGCAGAGGCCGCCATCCAAGGCACCTCGTCTTCGACGCATCGTCCTCCGAAGCACCGAAGAATCAGTGGCACCCGTCGACGCGAAGCATCAGACGTCGATGAACTGGTCAGCGACTTCGGTTTTTTAACAGTGAATGCCACGTCGAGAGACTTCCACGGCTTTACGTCTACCATGTCATTTGCCAAACTGCTCTTGTCGGCTGCTTCAAGGCGAGAATTGCCTCCAACCGAGACCCGAGGACTCCCGCCTCGATACGCCATCATGCCTATGATCAACCACTACCTGGAAAACATCTATGTTCTTTTACCCTTCTTCTCCGAGACAGAATTGATGAGTAGTCTCTCCCGGATATACAACGAGTCAGCCTCGATTTCTTCATCTGTGACACCTCTAGATGTCTGGAATGTGAGGCTAATATTGGCCATTTCTTACGCCTCTTCCTCACAGCAAAAGGATGACGAGAACGACAAGACGGCGTTGGAGCACATGGCTGCAGCTCGTAGCTTGGCGAACTATGTTCTTCATCCCGGCTCTATCACTGGCGTTCAAGCACTTCTCCTTCTCGTCGAATACGCATTGGTGGACCCGGCTCATTTCGATAGCTGGTATTTGGTTGGAATGGCTTCAAGATTGGTCGTTGATCTTGGCCTTCATTGCGAGCCTCCCCCCGAGACCAAAATCAGCAAAAACATGCTGGATCTTAGAAGACGAATATTTCACTGCACCTATGCCCTTGACCGATTGGTGAGCATGTCTCTTGACCGAGCATTCTCCTTCACAGATGATTCGGCTCCGGATGTGCAGTTACCACATTTGACCACAGAAAATGTGCCCTCTCATTTGTTCCTGCGTTCAATCAGGCCGTCGCTCTTCCTTTTCGACATCCGTCGAGTACAATCCTCGTTTTATCAGACCACGAGATGGTCATCACGGACACAATGGCCCCTGGCCACCGCAGCAACGTACGCAAGCTCTGTCTCTAACGACATTCATGCGTGGTATTCGACAATTCCACCCAACTTGTCCCAGCGGCATCTTATGCTGTTCAATCTCGAGCGGATATACTGTCAGATCTTGGTGGTGTCGCCGAACCAGAGAGTACCTGCAAACAGCATGACTGATCTCAACAAGGAGCTGGTTTTTGAATATTCTGCTCAGTATGCTGATTTATTTCAGCCCATCACTCAGGATGTCACCTGGCACGCGTACTTGACCTACGCCGATATATGTAGGGCCAAGTACGTAGGGCAGAAATTCGTTGAGGTGATGTGGTCAGACTTTGACCGTCTTCTCAAGACTTCACATACACTGCGAGAAGGTTCGCCCCTGGCACACAACCCTCCCCTAGAGAATGCAGAGCGTGCGACTATGTTTTTACGCAAGATCGTTGAAGTCCTCGACTTCGCCAGACATCGATGGGCAATGCCGGAAATGCGAGAGCAATTTGAACAAGAGTCTGCTGTACTCTTATCGCGTCTAAAGAGTCGACAAGGCGAAGCGAAGCCCAGACAGTACACAAACACTTCAGACACCGGCGTTGATCCTAATATGTATGGTATCGCGAGCAATAGCGTTTATGCGAGTGCTTCTCAGTATGCCTACGATGGTGCTCCAATGATGCAGCTGCCGAGTCCTCCAGTGCAACAAGAATCAAACGCCCAAGGGGAGATGAAACCACAACAGATGTTGACGCCGCCCGAAGAATACCGGGTGCCAGCGAATTATGGCATGCCTCAAGGATCTTTGCCACGGCGCAGCTATGAATTTTTCGGCGGCCGATCATGAAATATGAGAACAGGGGACACGAGGACAAGGTTTTTCAAACATGGCCACCCCCAAGCTGTAGCATGTGATGGTGTGTGTACCCTGTCGCGTGCACCTGGGTCCAAAAAGTGATAATGGAAATCTGCGGAGTCAAATCAGTCAGATCATGCATGCGCGCCGTCACGGGGCGAGGATGATCAAATCGCGAAGGTCGCTCGAGGTCCTCAGTGGATGGGGTGTGTTGATAGAGTACTTTCAATAGTGTGGGAGTAATTTGGTGTGGGTGTGAGGACAGCGGAAGGGTTTGGCTACACTGCGCCCAAATCCCTTTCATCGCTGCACGTGTTGGAGAGGCTTCAGCTTATTGCACCAAGTAGTAGCGTGGTGGTGCTGTGGCTGCAACCATACTTTTGTACCATGGTGGTATAAGAATGGCACACGAGTCCTTCGTAGCCTCGACATGCTGTACCACTGTTCGCTTTACTCCATATTGCCTTTCTATGTGTCGTGAACCAAAGATTCCTGCAAAATTGCCTGCATGTGCGAGCAATTTTTGGCCATTTCATGCGGAGCCACGCAGCCGAGTGCCATCCCTGTATGCAGTGTACGAAAGACTTTCGCCTAACTTACCTTAGGTCCCCTGGCCAGAGACGCGTACCTGAAAATCTCTGGGCGCGCTATAGGTGCCTTAGGCCGTCGGCAGACATTTCCAGGTACCAGCTTGCAGCCGAACAAGGGGCTTTTGGCGCCCAACGAGGCCTGGCTTCGCCCCAGAATGCAGCAGAGCAACCAGGCTCAAAGTCAAGGTCCTCATTCGTCACCTATATAATTACGTCAACTTTGTGAATGACTTCATACCCTTTGCTCATTCTCCCTGCGATTCCGACACTTGAAGCTGCACGCAGACTGCATTTTTCCGCTGTCCGTGGATGCTCTACGCCCTCAAATTTCTACATTCGACACTCTGCTCGAGATTGCGATACATGAGTCCTGCTCAACACCGTTGAGACATCATGGTTCGCTTCACGGGCGGCCTGCTGTTGTTCTCAGCATGCGCAGCCGCGGCGCCGCCAAAGTACCCTTCCAACGGCCAAGGGAACCAACAGGCCGTGTTCAAGTCACTGGAGCCGCAATCGAATCCTAGAAAGTTACAGGGAAAATTCCTCCACATCACAGGTATGCAGGCTGATTTAACCCGGTAAACCTTGAACTCACACTTCTCCCCAGACATCCATCCCGACCCTTTCTACAAGCTTCATTCAAACCCATCCCATGCTTGCCACACTGGTAAAGGCGAAACTGGCTACTTTGGTGCCGAAGTGACAGACTGCGACACGCCTTTCTCCTTGGTCAACGCGACCTTTAGATGGATTGAAGAGAACATCAAAGATGAGGTTGATTTCGTGATTTGGACTGGCGATTCGGCGCGGCATGACAATGATGTAAAACATCCGAGATCAGACAAGCAGGTCATCAGGCTCAACAAGTTTATCGTGGACAAGTTTGTTGAGACCTTTGGAAAATCCGACAACATCGACGATCCCGATCCGACCAACGACTTTGTCGTTCCTATTGTCCCTACCATCGGCAACAACGACATCCTACCCCACAATATCTTTTCAGCAGGTCCGAATAAGTGGACTCGCACTTACAGCAGTATATGGAATAAGTTTGTGCCGGAAGCGCAAAGACATTCATTCGAAAGAGGAGGATGGTTCTTTACCGAAGTTATACCCAATAAATTGGCAGTCATCAGTCTGAATACGCTATATTTCTTTGACTCGAACTCGGCTGTGGATGGCTGCGAGTTAAAGTCAGAGCCAGGCTACGAGCACATGGAGTGGCTGCGAATCCAGCTCCAGTTCATGCGCGAACGAGGAATGAAAGCCATTCTGATTGGTCATGTACCGCCAGCAAGGACCGGGAGCAAGCAGAATTGGGACGAGAGTTGTTACCAGAAATACAATTTGTGGATGAGGCAGTACCGTGATGTCATCGTCTCTTCCATGTTTGGCCACATGAACGTCGACCATTTTATGTTTCAAGATGTGAAGGATCTGACATACAAGTTCAAGATCGACGGTATTGATGACGAATTCACAAGATCTGACTTTGGTGATGCCGACCCGAACAATGAGACACTGTCAATTAGCGCCAAAACAGCATACCTCAACGAACTGAGAGCCGACTGGGCCACACTACCCAAACCTCCTGCTGGCCACTCTTACCAATTAGACACACCTCAGGATACTGTGGATACTGAGAAGAAGAAAAAGAAAAAGAAAAGGCCAGACGACAAGGACGAATTGGATGAATTCCTAAAAGCCATTGGCGGACCCTGGGGTGAGAGATTCAGTCTGAGTTTGGTGTCACCGAGTGTGGTTCCGAACTTTCTCCCAACTCTTCGGGTAATAGAGTATAACATCACCGGTCTCGAAAAGCACCACCCGGCTGTCGGGGCCATAGGCACACCCGCAGACAAGACGGTTGAAGATATGCTCTGCGAAGGGAGCAACGATGAACAAGAAGCATTCGAGGGTGATACCGAAGGTGGGATGCAGGATCTGAAAAAGAAGAAGAAAAAGAAGAAGAAGGGCAAAAAGAAACCCAAATTCCACGTGCCGAAACCCCCTTCCAAATCGTCTCCTCCTGGCCCAGGCTACTCAGCACAGCCGCTTTCTCTCGTTTCCTGGACACAGTATTATGCCAACCTGACCCAGGTGCACGAGGAGATGGACAAGGCAGGAAACAAAAAACAGAAAGATCCGTATCACTACTTTGATTATCAAGTCGAGTACGACACGAAGAATGACAATGCTTACGAGATGAATGATTTGACCATGCGGTCATGGCTAGATCTTGCCGAGAGGATAGGCCGCAAGAACTTGTCCAAATCCAAATATGATGCGTTGGACATGACCGATAATGACGAGGACGGTCCATCCGAGCTAGAGCCACAGGCGTCTAGGAAACCCAAAGGCCAAGGAAAGGGAAAAAAGAATCATCCAAAGACGACGAAAAACCATCTATGGAAGACTTTTATCAAGAGGGCATTTGTGCATACGAAGCCCGATGATGAAATTGAACAGGACTTTGGTTGATCTCTCGGGACGAGGATGTGGATTGAGTGTATGAAGTCGAGAAGAAAGTTGAATGCCCTGCTCCCCCTTGTATTTCTATGTACTACGGAGTACCTTTTGCATTATTATCGGATGGGGGGTTGGGTTTCAACTAGCGAGCATATTGACGATGTTATGAGATATGGTAATGTCGAAAAATACCAGGTACCCTAATATACCGAGTACCTACTTGGAGTTCAGGTTTGGGATATTCATAAAATTTTTTGGTGAACAATATGTTCAAAAATCTACTTCGGCATGTTCTCTCTACTGTGATGTTTCCAGTATGAGGTACAAATTGAGCCGCGGCAGAGTACGGGGGAGCGCTTTCGAGCACTGAGCGAGCCACAGAGAAGCGCTCGTCCGATGCCCATTTCTTAAGTGCCAGTTCGGGCTCAACCAACCATAGTTTCACGTCGTCACAAACAAGTTGCCATCTGCCGGACATCTGGCTCGACTGATTATTGTCTGGGCCCGGTGATAATTGTCGCCTGACCAACAAGAGAAGGATACGACCAACAGTAAACGAACATGTTACATGTCCACGAAACTTGACATCAATAGTCGTCAACCTGTAAAGGGGGTAGTAGGCAGGCGGTGCTTGCTGTTTTGGGCATGGTCGCGGGCTGGGCCCCCTGGCGCTTTTGACATCGATTAGAACCCTCGTCGACTCTTCCATACTCTTACTTCCGACCTTGCTTCTTCCTCGCCTCCTGGCCTCGATGCGCCTGTCGTGCGGCACGTGCTACAGCCTGTGTCAGCGATATCCCTACCTGTATCTCTTTATCGTTCACAATGTTGCTCTGGTTTCTCTCGATGGTGGCCGCCGACTAGAAAGCAATAGATGGAATCTCCCCCACCTCGGGGTTATCTACATATCGATAACTCGGAATGCACCAAAGTGGACGTGCATGCATGACATGCCGGAGACGAGGCCGCAAATGCGGCAAGACTCGTGTGACTAAAATGATCAGTATTCTGGACAAGCCACTACTACCACTTTCAATGCGCATCTCTGACTTCACGCCTGTGAGTATCCCACCACCTTTCACTTTCCCTCAGCACCTTTTCTTCCCACCTGGCTACTGGTCCTATGAGCCCTATGTCCTTCTGACCCGACTTTACAACATCACGGCAAGGTAGTGACATGGTCATATTCTCCTGATTGTTATCTCCCGTCAAGCGTTTCAAGTTGGCTTCGCTAGCTGCGTAGAGAATGCGACCGATGTTGCTCCAATAGGCCGTGCCCGTACACATTGCGCAGGGCTCCCAGGTTGAGACCAACGTGCACTTTTCCAAGTAGTCCTGGGTGAAATGAATGCCTGCTAACCGAGCGATTTCGCTCTCGGCGTGCTGAAAGTGGGATACGGAGAAATGGGTCATGGGAATTGTCGTGTTGTCTGTTCCAACTAGGAGAGCCGCGAATGGTCTTTTGCCGTGGTTTGCGGTAGCGTCGACTTGCACTTCCAGGCAAGTCTTCAATGCTTTATCGATCTGAGCTTCTGTCAAAGGGCAGCGGTTGGACGAGGCCATGGCCGAGTCTGTTCTTGCTGTGGAATGCTGATTGACTGTAGGTAGAGGGCCCGAGTGAATGTGTCGCCGATGGGCGCCAGTGGGTTGATAACTGATGTGAGTAACGGTGGTGTGTATAGCAATCATGTGTTTGGTTTTGAATTATATTCATCGGACAAAGATAAAGACCCATTCAAGGTCATTCACTGTACGATACGTAGCTGATGTATCCGAATTCGTTCGAGTCAGGTGCTACGAGTCTCTGCTGGCGAACTCTAGGGCGCATATCTTGTCCAGCCTAAGACTAGGCGGTCGGACACAAGTAGCCACAGGCCAGAGAGTCTTAGACTTGGTAAAGACAGCAACACCATGATTGAGATCTGACTCGGCACCTTTGCAACCCAATCATACCTTACAATATCTTCTGACGCCAAGGTATCGAGCAGACATCGATCAGAACCTCCCGTTACATACATATTTGGTATGTCAAACTCAACTGTTTTCACTAGCTTTGGACGGGGAAACTTGTCATATGTTGGCACATGGCAGGGAAAATACTGGTAACGACGGTACAGTGAATCCCCCGACTGAATAGTTGTTAGCGGAAGGGCAAAGCGGCGAGGGATGAGTCAGCGAAACAGGCATGGGCGTCAACTGTTCGGGGAGCTTTTATATTGTAGCCTCACTTTACTCCGCCAACTATACCATCATCATCATCGTCGTCGTCATCATTATCATCAACACCTCGCTTGCTCAAAGATTTGGTGTCTTTGTGGTAATTGTTGGTACGCTTTGAAACGTCCAGACAGGTACCTTTTGAAGTACATTCCTGGTACCAGTAAGTTCGGCACCATCAGCCATTTATTACAGGTATTATTGGATACTACTACGGGAAAGAAAAGGGGACCTTCTAACACGGTCAATCAATAGTACTAGTACAGGTATTCCAAATCTAGTGTGTGCATGTGTCTGAACACAGCAAATCTTTCGAAGGGGTAGAGAGAGCGAACGCAAGAAGAAAAAGAAGAAACAAGAAAAAAAACAGAAAAAAGAATGGCTACCAATTTCGAACCCGTGGATCATTCTCACCTCTTCGAGGAAGGAGGGAGACTGTACACTCGACCCTCGACGTTCGAGGACTACCCTACCCTCCAACCCGCGATGCGGTTGATCATCGAGGTCGGTCCCACGATGAACGTCGGATCCTTGTCACGCGGGACTCCCTTGACCATCATACCGCTCATGGCGGGCAGACTCGTATCCGAACCAGGGTTCGAGGTTAATGTCGATTGCCACCAGGTGGGAACTGGGCCTGACTGTACGATTTTTCTGCCTCTTGGTACTTTTTTGGTGTTTCGTGATGAATGCTGACTTTCTCGTCTGTGTGTGTGTTTGTGGTGGTAAATTAGATATCCATCATGATCCGGACGGTAGAAGGATGAGGTTGAAAACTGATATTCTAGTTGGGTATGGTTTGACTTTCAACATTCTCCGTTACCGAGTACTGGCGAAAACTCTTTGGGTTTGACCGAGTTAACACACTCTCTCATTGTCATTTCTCACAGGGATGAAGATTCCCAGGTATGTCTGCATTTGACCCAATCCTACCATGCTTATATGCTTCCCTTCATTCACACCTACATCCACCTTCCCCATTCGCGATGAGAGCGTCGTTTCTGAACGAGCCACAAGAAAAGAAAAGACGACGAACTGTTTGGCTGACCTTGTATCGATCGTGTGCGTGTTCCTGTAACAAACAGTATATCAATGTCCACTACGAGGGAATTTTGGACATAACAAATGCTATGCGTAGAATTCTGGGCCGGGACGAGTGGTGTACATCGACCGAGTTCGGGAACCAGTGTATGTGTCCACAAAATCACCCGATTTTCGAAACCGGATGAAGGAGAAAGTGTCGAGGCTAAAATTTGCATTTGTCACAAAGTCACCACTGTATCTTTCGAAACCGGATCTCTGCGATACAAGGCCTTGGAACAGGGAGTCTTTGTGGCGTCGGGTAGAGTCCTCATAACCATGGAGGGGCCAAAGATCGAGTATCTTATCAGCAAGGTCTGCAAGGGTCCAGGACCGAACCCGACAGGGAGTACTACTGGCTCAGGAAGTAATACTGGTTGAGACGTTGATTGATCAAGTCGGGCGCGCGCCTGGTTGCGGTCATAGTGGTGATATAAATTGACTTTGCTTCCTCGTTCCCTCGAGCATCGACGATTGTCGGCCTTGGGAAGTGTTTTCTTGTAAAGGACTAAAATCAATAAGTGCTGAGGAAAGGTCTTGGCGGACATGGTCAATTTGATGACTCCCGTGGCTGGCAATTTACAGAGTAGATTAGTTAGGTTGGGATCAAGCAAGCAATGGAGTCGTTTCATCATTCTGGCGCGGAGGTTGCGATGTGATGCCATCGCCGTCGCCTTCACTGTCGTTCTCCTGGCTTTGGGGAGCAGCAGGGTCTCTATGCGTCCTTTGCATCCAGGTAGGAACCCAGTTTCGTGATCTCCACCAACCTTTCTGTCTCCTTCTCCATCTCCGCCCTGCCCATCGGCAAATGGTGATTAGAAGCCATATGAGCTGGAGAGACAAGAACGTGGCGACCACAGCGACAACAACGCTGACAAAAGTCATGCTTGAGCAGCGACAACTGAATGGCCGAGCTCGAAGTTCCCACCTCTCACGCCATCCAAGCGGGCAGAGAGAGTCGGTTTTCAGGGGCGCCAGGATCCCAAAAGGGTAGTCGTACACGGTGTTGGGCACGCAGGTTTGAGACGTAGCGCACCAGGAGCACGGGTATTTGTTGTCAGGGGACAGACATGCCGGGCAATGTGGTTTGATCCAGCAGTGGAAAAAGATGTCGAGGTCGTCGCGTGAGGAGGCTGTGGATGTGTTGTCGATGGAGTCGAAAAGCGTCGAAATGATGTGCGGCGGCAAGGAAGATATGTCGTATTCTTCTTGATCCATTGTGTTTATGTGCGTGGCATCTCTATGGTGTGACTGGGGGGGAGTCATGGGTAGTTGTTTCCCAAGAAATTCAACCTGCTGGTCTGGATTTGTTACGGATATGTGGCAAGGCTGAACCGGTCGCGGCTTGCCCCAATCGGGAAACAGGGTGATGCCGCCCTTAACTCACCCTCAGCTCACGTGAGCCGGATGGGCGATCGTTCATCTCACCAATCGCGAGAACAATTTTTTTGGCGGTGCACCATTGCCATGGGGGCTTCTATAGTGAGATACGAATCGCTACTGTACAGTAGGTCAGTGAAAGGCAGACGTCTAACTCTCATTGATTAGACTGTCCACCCGAAACCGTTACCAACAATTTGGCCTTAGCAGCTACCCAATCAGCGGCCGGCAGCCTCGTTCAACACCGACTCTGTAACTGTGTCCAGGGAGCCTCTCAGGGAGCAATGTAATCATGTCTGCGCTTCATCACATCGTCCCAACGAAGAGGCTGTGCACATGTCACTCTCCCTGCAAAATGCTGACATTAATCGCACAAGACAAGCGTCACTTTGCCACGGCCTTTAAATCCACCATCCCCCCCGTCAATCACGCAATCGCTGCCACAGGCACTTTGCCCACACTGACAAACGGCTGGCCACGGATTTGAACCTCTTGAAGAAGCTAGACCGGGTTCCTCTTTCATATTTTGCTCAGCCGTGGATACCCACGTTACGGCCTTCAGCCTTGCAGGTGCTGTTTTTCTGTGTCAAGCGAAGTAACACCAGCACAGTAATTTGTGTGTGGGCAGAACAGACAAATTTGCACCGAGGATTGCGCGATCGATGAATATCATCAAAGATGTAGATCCCGGGTTAGCCACCCAGAGTCGGCGACATGTTCATTTGCTGAATGCTTTATCGTCAGCCCACTGTGTCGGTTTGAAGAGCCCTGTCTTCTCAACAGCTCACGCTATGCGGATCAAGGAACCAGCGATGGCGTTTGTGTGTCTCACAATGCAACCTTGAGAGCACCATGCATGCCATGCGGCGATGCATGTTCCCGGCTCTGGCCAAAAGGTGCAGGGTGGTGATGGAGGTGGCCCTGTCAGAGGTATAACAATGCTCGTCGGCTCGAGCTCGAGGGTTGATTGTCCACTACTCACAAACCCATTGTCGGCAATAGCCTCACGGTTTTCAGTACAACATGTTGGACAAAATTCGTTCACACATCGCACCTAGGAGTGTTGTTCATGAAGCAGTTTCTGGAGGAGCAATCAAAGATTCGTCTCAGGTGGGCTTCGATGCTGGTCCAAGCGATGGTACGTCGTCTGTATCTTGCTGGGCCTTGCAATTCCCCTAAGCACTTCACTGACCTTGCCCCGTACATTCAGAATCTCAACTTCAACCCACCCTCTCTCAGAACAAACGTCAAATTGGTACCATTTCCGCCTTCTTTCTGATATTCAACCGTATGGTCGGTACCGGAATTTTCGCCACGCCCAGCACCATCTTTGCCCTCTCCGGTAGCGTTGGACTCGCCCTGTTCATATGGGTCGCAGGTATGATCATCGCTGGCTGCGGCATGGTAGTCTACCTCGAGTTCGGCACCGGTATGCCTCGCAACGGTGGGGAAAAGAACTATCTTGAGTTCGTCTACAGAAAGCCAAAGTTCCTGGCCACGGGATTTTATACTGGCTATGTCATCCTCCTGGGCTGGGCTGGCTCGAACTCGGTCGTGTTTGGAGAGTATATTCTGCACGCCGCCCAGGTTGAGGTGAACCGATGGAACCAGAGAGGAATTGGCCTGGCCTGCATCACCGCGGCCTTTCTCATTCACGGCTGTGCATTGAAATGGGGTCTACGTTTGCAGAACCTTCTGGGCGTCTTCAAACTTGTCATAGTACTGCTCATTGTTGTCTCAGGCTGGGCCGCACTTGGAGGCGCGCTCAAAGTTCCCGAGCCGCACAACTTCGACAATGCCTTTGAGGGTACTACGGGTAGCGCTTACGGCGTCGTGACCGCTCTCTACAACGTCATTTGGAGCTACATTGGATACAGCAACGCCAACTATGCCTTGAGCGAAACAAAGGATCCTGTTCGAACACTGAAGCGGGCCGCACCTACAGCTCTTATTGCGGTCTCGGTACTTTACATGTTGGTAAATGTAAGTCTCACGCCTCCGCACGCATTCACAGCTCGTGGCCTAGGAAAACTAACGCGGTGCCTCCAGGTCTCATACTTCGCCGCTGTCTCGAAAGAAGAGATTGCAAGCTCAGGCCGAATTCTAGCAGCTTCATTCTTCCGCAACGTTTTCGGTAGTAGGGCAGAACGGGCGCTTTCGGTTTTCGTGGCTCTGTCTGCCTTTGGGAATGTCCTTAGTGTCATCTTCTCCCAAGGTCGACGTACGTTTATATCACAGTCACATTGTTTGTCTCTCTCTCCAGCAATAGCTGACATGACAAAACAGTTGTCCAAGAACTCGGTCGCGAAGGTATTCTGCCGTTCTCACGTTTCTGGGCAAGCAACAAGCCTTTCAATGCACCATTGGCAGGGCTTTTTGAGCACTGGCTCGTCTCGGTGATCATCATGCTGGCACCACCGCCGGGAGATGCGTACAATTTTATCCTGAAGTAGGCGGACCCCCTCTCAACGTCGCACGACTTTCACCTCTGGTACGAGAGCTAAATCTGTTCCTCCTAGTGTCATCTCCTACCCACTGTCAATCGTCAACTGCTTCGTCGCGGCAGGTTTGCTCTACTTGTACTGGAGGCGCACGGAGTTCAATTGGGCTCCTCCGTTCCGTGCCACGTGGCCAGTTGCTTTGCTGTTCCTCCTCAGCAACATCTATCTTGTCGTGGCACCATTTGTACCACCTGACGCGGGCCAAAATGTCTACAAGAGTCTCCCATACTATCTTCATTGTGTCGTCGGCATGGGCATAATTGCCGCCGGGGGAGTATACTGGTTGATCTGGGCCGTCCTGCTGCCTCGGCTTGGGCACTACGAGTTGGTGCGAGAGACGTATGTCGATGATCTGGATGGCTGGGAACGCAATGTCTTCTCCCGACGCAAAATAAGCCCCAGGGAGAAAGGAAGTCCCAGCTTAAACTGAGACCAGTATAGATAGAAGTAGTGGAGAGTAAACAGGGGAAGCAGCATCAAGGTGGGTACCTACTGCACATGGGGAAACTACCATACCTAACCCGCGCTCGTCTTCATCTTGACAAGAAACGAGCGCGGACTCTCTCACAATCTTTGCCGTCACTTCGATCTCGAGCCAACTCCCTGATTGGTCGTGTTAGGCGAACCTCGCTTGATCTTGTGCGTAAGAAAGGAATCATATCGATCTTGTTTCATACTCCTCTGTCAATTAACTTTTCTTCTTTCTTTGGAAAGAGTTATACTGCCCCGAATCTGGAGGGGGGTTTTCACTTTGTACGGCGACCGGGCTTCGTTTAATATGCGCCGGTTCTACCTCTGATGGGGGAAGTCCAAAGCACTACCGAAAAACGACAGTCTTTACCTGATCAATCATTCGTGGATTTTTCCCGTAGAGTTATGCATACTGCAATTGTGTACTACTGCCCCCTGTGTTTCTCTCTCTCCTCTTACAAAGGATAGATAAAGTACTTGTTTTCCCCATCGGTCAAGTCCAATAGACTCACGTCAACCTCGACTTGGACCTTCGCCCCATCCTCGGTGACACGATCGATGACCCCGGTCCTTGTCTTGCCCAGTCTTTCCTGCTCTGCGATCCACTCATACCGCTCCGCATTCCTCCTCTTCAAGATGAAATGGATGATGATCAATATTAAAGGTGTCCCCGTCCAGCTTATGACGATCTGCACGACCCAGGCGGGATAGTAGCGAGGAGCGTCTCGCGACGCCCAGATCTGCGGGGAGATCAAGTTGGCAATTCCATAGCCCGCCATGAAGAAGACGTTACGCGCCAGCTTCTTCGTGTATCCGGCCGAAGTGCTCGTCGTCCAGCCCAGTGCGATGATATACGTGATGCCGAAGGTGCTCCCTGCCAGGATCAGGCACGCGAGGAGACTGAGTTTGCTGTCCCACTGTAGGGCACACATCCCGATGCCGCCGGCGATGGCGGGTAGACACCAGAAAGTAGACCACTGTCACACATATTGAGATCACTGGGTTAGAAAAATGATGTGCGACGCTATGACGCTTCTTGATCTGGGTTTACAGGTTCCCGGGCAAGGTGTGCCTTGTTTAAAAAACCATGGATGCTGGGAGAGGGCGGGAAAGAAACTTACAAAGGCTTTATTCAAGGGGATGTAGCGCAAGAACAAAGTCGCCGCGATACAGCATGCCACGCTGAAGCCGCCGGACGCAGCGGAGACAAGGGTAGACCCGAGGTTCGACACGCCCAAGGACACAAACAAGAGATTCTGCTGGTATGCGATATTGTTGGAGATCATGAGGGTGAATGCTTGGAGTCCGAAGAGCCACGAGACCGGGTCACGGACAGCTTCGAGCAATTGGTACCTTTTCAGCTGCTTATGTTCGATGCTGGAGGTTGTTGCGGCATGAATCCGATGGACAAGGTGTATCCGTTCCGGAACAGTGAGGAAGTGTGCTTCAGCCGGGTTGTTGGGATAGAGGAACGCGACGAGGATTGTAAGGAGCTGTGGAAAGGGGAAAAAGGTTTCCCTATCAGTACGTAGACGCTACTAGTAACAGTAATTTGTCTCTCGCGGAGAGAGACAACAACACCGGACAAAAAGGATACTCCAGGAGTGTCTCAGACGCGGAGCACAAACGCAAGCAAGGAAAGAAACTTACAAAGGTCATTGAGCCTGTGATGATCATGAAGAACTTCCAAGGTAGAATTGTCGAATGGATGTAAAGCAAACCATAGGCAATAAATCCAGCGGGCACAGGTGCACCCATGCACGAAATCCAAAACAGAGGTTGCAAGAGACCTTGAGTGGCAGGCACGAAGAACATCCCCAGGGTGATCTCGATGGCGGGGACAACCGGAGCTTCGACCATTCCCAGAAAGAAGCGCAGAGCGATGAGGTCGCCGTAAGAACTGGCGGTGCAGTGTAGAAACACGATCAGCGTCCACAAAAAGGTCGCGCCGGCCATGAAGCGCGACAACGGGATGCGTTGCATGAGATAGTGACCCGGAACTTGACCGATGATATACCCTAGAGTAACATGCTCAGGTTGGGATGTTCTGGGATATGGCAAGACACTCCTCCTGAGAAAGACGTACCAGCATAAAAGAGAGTGTTGAGGTTGTTGTATTTCCCGCCATCGATCCCGGTCTCTCCGAAGAGGCCGAGGATGGAGGAGTAGGCCAACGTGGCCTTGTCAATCTAAAAGCCCCTTGATAGTAAGTAACAATGCTGCCATGAGTTTTGGAAAATTGGGGAGGACAATGAGCTAGAACAACTGACGAAGAGCAGGAGGTTGATGAGTACCAGCAATGGCACGAGGATGAAATAGAGCTTCCGATTCAATCGCCGTTCTCCGGCTCGGTCAAGGCCCTGAGTGACCTCGCCTCCACCGTACTGTTTCAATAACCCGAAGGTCACGTCGGCATCCCGTTCAGACACATGAGGCTCGGGCACTTCGGTCGCCGCGGGTTGAAGTTGTTCCTTTGTCGTCATGTCGAGTGTTCTGTCGATACTGTTTCCTGTTGCCTTTGAGACTACCTACATAGCCAAGTATTGACCATGAGCTAGTGACGAGTTTCTGTACGTATATATATGGATCAGTGTGGTATGGCCCCCGGACAGATGGGAAGAGAAATGTCGCCATTTGATATTTACGGGTAGACCGGAGGCGCAATACTTGCGATTTCTCGCGTCATCTGCAGGGCAGTACATTTTTCGAGCAGAATGCATGTGAAGGAGTGAGAACCGCCGGTCCCTTATAGGATGGTACGCTCACTAAACTTCGCAGCGTTGAACTCAGGCAAACGGGAACGGCCGCAACCTGACCATGTGGTATCGGGAGAACAAGCTTTGAGAATAAAGTCGTAGACTACTAGAGTGTAAAGATGATAATAGATCAATCATCACGCCTCCAAATCGAGAATTGACTTTTCTTTCAAACAATAAGAACGTTGAGCAGGTCGATAGGTAGTAGCGCAGATACTACAACAGGGGTAACCAAGCTTTGATCGAGGTGTAGAAGCTTTAGACCATTCTTGGACCCCACAAAGGACCCAGACCTAGTTTTCATCTCTGTCCCTTCATGAATCTTCTCTTGGACTTGCCAGCATAGTCCCCTGTTCAGTCCTGTTCCCTGCGTGGCTGCAACCCCATTCGCGAACTGCTGCCCGATTTACACCTCATACTAAGTCATGGCATGCTCGTTCCTGGCTACAATTAATGCCTTGTTGACCTTTGCTCGTCATCTATACCGAAGTTCTTTTCTAGGCGCCGCTACCGTTCTCATTCCACCAATCAGCGCTTTTGTCATTTCAGATTGGCCTGACACGGTCAAGTTCTTGAACGTGGAGGAGTGCAAACTCTTGAAGACTCCTATCCTTGCAGACACCGAGGGCGTTACAATGAACAGAGTTGATAAAAATGTGGCCCAACGCGAATTCAGAGATTATGATCTACTTTGGGCATGAGTACTTCCTGTTCACCTTCCTGGCCGCCGTACACCGAAGATAAAAGCTAAATACATGTGCAAACAGCATCTGGCTATGGTTTGATTTTCTCAAGGAGACCACCGAGATCTTGCATAAAGCAGCCTACGCTGCTTCAATATGGCAGCACCAGGGAGAAGGGAATGGAATCACACCACAACGTTCTCATTCTAATCCTCCAGTGGAATTTTTTTTGGTGCACCACAAATTGTAACACAAAGCTAACTGAACACAAGAATCGCTGTCAAGAACTATTAATCATCGCCTCCTGTTTTGGTGGTGCCTTGTCCATTCATTTCTTTCTGCCTTGGGGGATCCAAGAAGGGTGAATTCACCCTGACGCCCTTGGGTTTCTTGAAATGGCTCCGGAGTCCCAGCCATGTCTGAGTGTTATAATTTGTTTGTCTCTTACCGCACTCGGACCACGCCCACGAACTGATGCCCAGCAACATGTTTGACTCGATCACGAACGCCATACTGCCCTCGCCGACCTTCTGGGGTGCTAGGTGAGCCTCGGAGGCGCGGGCGTGGGTGGCGCTGTCGGGGCCATGGCCGACCATGACGTTGTGCAGGCTCGCTCCCCCTGGGCGGAAGCCCCCGTCCACCCTGGCGTCGTATTCGCCCTGTATCAGGCCCATGAACTCGGCCATGGTGTTACGGTGGTACCAGGGCGGGCGGAAGGTGTTTTCCATGACCAGCCAGCGGGGCGGGAAGATGGCGATCTCGGCCACCCCTTCGGAAGAAGCGAGTAGGGTGAAGATGGACGGGTCCGGGTGGTCGTACGAGACGCTCCCCACGGTCATGAAGCGACCGAGGTCGTACTTGTAAGGGAAATAGCTGCCGTGCCACGCCACAACGTCGAAAGGTGAGTGGTCCTGCGAGGCCCCAAAGAGACGGCCGTTGTATTTTGTGATGATGTGGTAAGATTCCTCTGCGGTTTCGTCGCTGTTGGTGGCGACCGGGGGTTCGTCATATGCGGCCACAGGGATTTGGAAATCGCGCGCGTTTGCACAGCCAAACGAACCCAGAGGCCCCAGGTTCGGGAGCGTGAATACCCCCTGGTGCAGTTCGAGGGCGTAGCCCCGGACTGGACCCGAGGGGAGGGAGACGTGGTACTTGATGCCACGTGGGATGACCGCGATTTCGAGTGGACGCACAAGAAGATGGCCCAGCTCCGTTTTGATGTCGAGGACGCCCGTCTGAGGAATTACCAGAAGCTCACCATCGCTAGAGGAAAACGCCGTGTGGTCGTCCATTGACCGGCCTGCGGAAAAGACGAAATATCCCATCCCAGACTTGGTGGAGACGTCGCCGGCCGCGCAGAGGAGCCGCATCGAATGTACCCAGTCACAAGTGGTGTCAATGTCGAATGGATCCCAACGGATCTGGGTTGGAATGTAGGCGAGATCGAGGTAGTCGTTGAAATTCTGGAAACTAGAGCAGCCATTGGGTTTTGCTGTGCCAATACCATTACTGACACCATTACTGGTAGCATGGTCACTTTGACGAGGTGGCTCTGGTTCTGGTTCGAAAGGCAAGTGTGCCACCGTTGGGAGTATGCGGTACATCCATGTCTGCTGGTTTTCAGGCCGAACAGCCTGGAAGGCGCTCCCGGAGATCTTTTCCGTATACAAACCAAACGCAGGACGCTGAGGTGTATTTTGTGCTATTGGTAAAGCATTTTCAATGGCTTCAGACCTGTGAAAGCGTCAGGTTAACGTCTTGTGAGTGGGGTGTTGTTCGCTTACTCTTGGTAAGATCCAAAGCCTGTGTTGTATCTGTACTTTTCCAGAGTATCAAACTTTGACGAAGGCATTGTCGTGGTTCTGACGATATCAGATGTTATCCAGACGTGTGTGTCCCAACAGCGGTCGACTTTCAACAGGCCAAAGTCCGGTCATATGACTGTGCTTTTACCCTTTTTATCTTGACCCAGGGCTCAATATCAGGACTATTCCGCAAGATTCAACCCTTTCCTAGGGGAAAGCATAAGCCTGACACACATGTCGGTTATCGAAAATGTAGATGGATGTCTCTCCGCTGACGACACCAGGGATCTCGGAGCAAAAATTCCGAGTATCTGCCATCACTTCCGAGCAGAACCCCTCCAGATGCTGCTCCTTGTCTCCGACCTCGGCTTCTGGTTTGGACATTCACTGCCGTAGATGCATTTACAACTTGAAGAGACACTCCGATGACTTGGTCGGTTACCCGCCAAAAAGCTTTGGTGCGAGTTGAGGTCTTGATGTGAAGCCACCTCTTGATGATGCGGAGCGGAACTTATGGTATGTCCTGTTTATAGGTCGGTCGCTCAACTGTGAAGCCATCGAGTAAGAATAGATCGGTCATTTCAAGTATCAAGTCGACTGAAATGATGAAATCTCATGCTACAACTGAAGGAGTCTACGTGCCAGATGCTGTCTGCTTATGAGCGGGAAGTAGCACCCCCGCAGCGTCGCCGAAGCCGATGTATCCAGTACTCTTATCACCCGCCCAGGCCTTGAGAATCACCTCGTCGCCATCCTCCAACCAAGTCCGTTGTTCTTGTCCTTCCAGTTGTATGGGTTGCGTACCGTTCAAGGTCTGCTCCAACAAACAGCCCAGCGACGATGTCGTCAGGCCACTGATCGTGCCGGACCCCAAAAGGTCTCCGGCCTTCATGGGACAACCTGTGACAGTGTGGTGCGCCAGCATCTGTGGGAACGACCAGACGAGCCCATCGGCGGCGTTTGTCGAACAGAGGGTGGATTTGTGCTTTGTCGCGCCACTGACCAGCTCCACCTCGAGATTGAGGTCAAACGAGAAATCATCGCGGCGTTCTTGGAGGTACGGCAGCAACGGTGTCGAATTGGGCGGCCGCTGCATGCCGGGTTTGCGGAACGGTTCCAGCGCGTCCGCCAGCACGACCCAGGCACTGATGGTGGTGGCGAAATTCTTCCCGTTGAACGGACCCAGGGGGACATACTCCCACCGTTGCACGTCTCGGGCCGACCAGTCGTTGAGTAAGACGTAGCCGAAGATGTATTCCTCGGCGGCGTCAACGGGGATACTGTCAAAAGGTGCGTTACCACCGCACACGAAGCAACCCAGCTCAAGCTCAAAATCCATGGTCCGGCAGGGGACGAAGATGGGCTTTTTCTCGGTCGCCCTCAGATCCTCGACAATCTGACCCCACGGCCTGCGGACGGGCGTGCCCGAAACGAAGATGGAGGACGAGCGACCGTGGTACGCCATCGGGAGATGAACATAGTTGGGCAGTAGGGCGCCGTTCTGACCCCGAAACAACGCACCGGCATTGTACGCGTGGTTCATGCCGCCGTAAAAGTCGCTGAATCCGCTAATTTCAAAGGGGAGATGCAACTGAACCTCTGCCAGTGGCGAGAGACACCGTCTCTGGAGATCGTGATTGTTTTTCAAAAGATCCGGGTGCGGCGTGTCGAACTTGAGAATGTCCTGTATGGAGCGGCGCACCGCCCCACAGAAGCGTCTTCCCAGCGATGCTAGAGCGTTCAGTGTCGGTTCGTTAAACGCTTCGAGCTGACCTTGAGTCTCGGCCACATGGACAAATCCATTGTTGGACGCAAAGACTGACAGATTGAACGCATACTCGCCTATGGCGGTCGTCACCACACGCTTGGAAGAGCCAGGAAAAGTGGCGATGCCGAATGGGATATTGGCAAGGGAGAATCGTGAATCAGTGGCAACATCGAGCCACGATGCTGGTGCCATCTTTCTTCCGACTCTATATCTGATTTTACTATCAACTTGGAGAGCTTGGCCTTTTCTCATAATCTAAGAGACTACTTTCAACAAAATGAATGGGAAGCGTGTGTTTGCTGGCCCCCGCCCATTTTGTGCTCTATTCCGATCTCCGAATCTGGTTTCCGTATGGTTTCGGTCTCGGAAACAAGCTGGCTCGCAAGGCTGGGAGGTGACTGTCAAGCGATCTGCTAGCGATCGAGAAGGACGATCGAGGACAAATTGAGAGAGCTATACTGTCAGATCCACGAGACCTGGGCGGATATAGACACTATGCCACATTAAAGGTACCTTTTTAAGGTTTGCAGGTTTAGTTTGGCAATTGGTTTCTATGATCTGCGTATTTTGGTCTAGGTATTTCGAATCCCTGCATGACTCGTGCATACACCATGCCACCTAGTCGAGAGATAGGGCGAAGTATGGCAGGATCAATCGAACTGTGGTCGTCTGTCAGGGCGTCTTCGCGGACCCAGAAGCGAACACCCTCAATGATAGCCATGGAGCCGGACTTTGTGTTCTTGGTCAACCGGCTCTCGAAGTCTCGAATCTCCAAGACCTTTCCCTCGACGCTAAAGATACTCTCGGCGACGCGGTCCGCCTTCACGTCTGTACAGGCTGCCGGTGTCAGACCCGTCAGCGACCATTCACTCATCCCGTAGGGCGCGTCAATCGCCGCCGCGTTGGCGGCCTCGACAAAATGCTCGCTGATGACATTGATGACACACTCGCCGGAGGCCCTCAGGTTCTTCAGCGTGTCCTTGTCTCCGGAGCCGGCGAAGCCCACGACAAAGATGGGCGGGTCGTGGTTGACCACCTGCGTATAACTGAAAGGAGCGAGGTTTCGTGACACTGCGGTGCCGCCTTCCTTGCTCCCACCGCGGGTGCTCAAGAATCCTATCGGCCGTGGAATGATGCCTGAGATCAACAGTTTGTAGTTGTCCAGGGCGCATCGGCCGGGCTCGTTGGGATCGATTTCGATGTGCTTCTTCGAAGGCGCATCTTCGCCGCCTCCTTTATAGGCGCCATCACCCCATTTCCAATCAGGAGACCGCGTCTTGGTCAACAAAAATCCGACAGATTGGTCAAACTCTGGACGATCTGCTTCGACCTCTTTGAAAGGCCGTCTGGGCTTGCTCATCTCATACCTGGCACTTTGAAGTCCGATTCTTGTAATGACTCGAGTCGCTAGGAGCATATGAATTATTCGTACGTAGACACAGTGATGTTGTCAAACCGGAAGAGGAGAGGTTTGAGTTGTCCAAGGCGATTCACAATCAGCCCTTAGTTATTCACGCCCGAGGAGTTTGGGCCGATCAAACAAGCATCGAGTTCTCACTCGCCAATCCGACTCCCAAAGTCATGTCTTCGCCCGTTCGGTCTGATCTTCCGCTACATGAACTGGCGATGGGGGAAAATTGACAAGGATCTCGGAATTTGTGGAGACAAAATGGACTGTTAAGAGACTATCCCGCTCGGAATCTCGGAGGTCGGCCATTCCGCTTACACCTCTCAGTGGCCGTAGGATACGAGGAGGGTTGAATCAATTGTTGTATGTGCCATTGGGCCAGGAGTTGAGGGGAGGTCAAATATGCTGAGTGGTAATTGTGTCGGCCTTGGAGACCATCGACACTACTCAGCTTGGCTCTCACCCCCTTGACTTTCACGATAGGTTATCGAAAAATATAGATACTTGTCCACGAAACATGCCAGTAGCCGACATAGTGAAGTTCACCGAAGACAGATGGATTTTTATCTCTCTAGCCATCCTTGCCCTGAGCGTCGTCGCCTTTTCCACCTATGAATTGGTACGTTGGTGGGCGCGAGTGCCTGGATTTTGTGGTCCTCCAGGGAAACCAATCGTGGGCAACTTGTGGCAAATTCGACGACATGACGCTCCCGAACAATATCGCCATTGGTCGAAGAAGTATGGGCCCGTATATCAAATTCAGCTGGGCAACATCCCTGTTCTCGTGGTCAACTCAGCAGCAGCAGCAAAGGCGATATTCAACCAGCACTCGCACGCAACGAGTTCGAGGCCAGAGTTTTATACTTTCCACAAAGTACGTGGGCAAACCAGCTTATTGTTCCCTCTGTGCTAACATCCGACCCGAAAGATCATTTCGGACACCGCGGGAACAACGCTGGGGACGAGTCCATGGTCTGAGTCACTGAAGCGGCGAAGGAAAGCAGTGGCAACGGCGGTCAATAGACCTGCTGTGGCAAGCTATGTTCCTCACCTCGATCGGGAAACGCGAGTCTTTCTCTCGGAGGCTCTTCATGTGGGGCATTCTGGAAAGACGGGCATCGATCCGATGCCGTTGTTTCTGCGAATGAACATGAGTATTGGCCTGACTCTGCACTGGGGAGCTCGGATGGAGTCGCAGAACGAACTCTTCCGAGAAATAGTCAAAGTCGAGGACACCATCAGCAACTTTCGCAGCACCACGGGCAACTTGCAAGACTATATCCCGCTCCTTCGTCTGAATCCCTGGAACACGCAGTCGGCCCAAGCGAAGGACATGAAGACTCGCCGGGACAAGTACATGCAATTTCTGGACGGGGATCTGGACGAGCGTATCGCGAAAGGTATTCACAAGTCTTGCATACGGGCCAATGTGCTGGTCGATGAGGAGGCCAAGCTCAATAACTTGGAGTTGAGCTCTCTCAACTTGACGCTCTTGGCCGCTGGCCTGGACACCATGAACTCGGCCGTGGCTTGGGGCATAGGTATCTTGGCCGAACGCCAGGATATTCAGAAAAAAGCGCTCGCGGCCATTAGAGAGACATACCCTGCTAACAATCCACTATGTGACGCGTCCGACGACCAAAGCTGTTCTTACCTTGTGGCAGTCATCAAAGAGATTCTGAGGTAAGGCCTCTCTGCTTTATCTTACCGTCCCACGGGAGGTTCTTTATCTTTTTGCTAATTTTGACATCCATGCACTTCTAGATACTACTCGGTGACAAGGCTATCACTACCCCGCTGTACTATCCAAGACTTTGTCTACGAGAACAAAGTCATCCCAAAGGGTACGGTGATTTTCTTGAACGTGTGGGCCTGCAACATGGGTAAGATTTTTCGACACAGTCTGCCATGTTTCTCGCCTACTGACAACTTTTCTCCTTACAGATCCGGACCTCTGGGAAGACCCAGAGGTCTTCCGTCCTGAGCGGTGGCTTGAACGACCAGACGCACCAATCTTCACGTTCGGCACCGGAGGCAGAATGTGTATCGGCATGCAGCTGGCCTACCGGGAGCTGTACATTCTCTTTCTGAGAGTCTTGAACAGTTTCAACATTGTCCCCGATGGCTTTATCGAGACTCGACCAATCGAAGGCGTTGCCAACCCAGCTTCCTTGACCACGCAACCGAAGGGATACCTTGTTCGTTTTGTTCCTCACGATCTGCCGGTGTTGGAGGACTCCTTGAAGCAAAAGACAGATGCATGAATTGCATAACTGGGATGGGATGTCGCGTAAGGTGGCTAAATATTGGCCCTCTGCCATTCAGGCTCGAGGCTTGTAGTCTGAACTTACCTCATTTGATGATACATGATGAGCATAAACTGGTAGGCTGGGCTGACGGAGCACAATGTGCTGCTGGAGGAAGTTTTAACGTACTTAAATACAACTAAACATAGTCATTGGTGCTCGTCTCGTAACGAAATATTTTTGCTTGATCAATCAAGAACCAACATGAATCTTGATATTGGCAACGTAGTCCGACCAGGCGGTTTCCCCACAATTAGCTGCACCAGGAGGAGTATAACTCTCTGCACCCGGAGGGTCCGGGTTTATTGGGTGTCCCGGAATCACTGCTTTGTTCCCCGGATTTTCACGAGGTCTTGTGAGTCTCGCTCAATATCCTGTAAGCTTGTAAGTGTTCAGTCAGATGGGGTTTAATTACGTGCATATCATTATCTGATCTCATCATCTTCCCGGCTTTTTCCCCAACCTTGTAATTGCTGCCATCCCAGTCTTCATTTTCATAGCCTTAGCGACGATGACGCCTCATACAGATATCGAACAAGGTAACACATCCATTCAGAGGAGACTTGCGGACGACAATGTGAAAGAAAGCCCTAAGAGCAAGCGACCTCGTTATGTCTCTAGTGCTTGGTGAGCCTGCCCATATTTCTCTGTCAATGCAGCCGTGTTAAACCCTTTCTGTTGCCTAGTAACGAATGCAAACGGCGCAAGGTCAAGTGTGATGGGGAAAAGCCTTGTTCACGATGTGTGAACAGTATGATGCTGTGCAGTTACAACAGACCCTCGGCGAGGATGCGCACCGTTAGCGTATCAGCTGCACCGCCACCCTCGTCACCCCCCCCTGCACGACGCGAGCCTGAAGAAGAGGAAGGAGACCTGCGTCGAATGACGATGCAGATTCATGCGTTAATGGAGAAGGTTGACAGCCTTCAGGATAAACTGGCCGGCCTGTCTCCTTCGTCCCTCGATGTTTCTCATGCGCCGTTCTGGCCGGGGCTTGCGACTGCCAGCATGCAGGCGACTGATGACCAGGCCAATCTATGTGATTTGCCGACCGACGCACCACCACCACCTCCTCCTCCACCATTATGGAAGAGCCCACAAGCGATAAGAGACGAGTCAGTGCCACCAGACGCCAATGACGAACCAGAGGCCATTTCGCCAGAATATCACGGGCCGACCAGCTCCGAGTTCACCTTTGAGGTTGCGAACGAGAGCCTCACTCAAATGGGAGTAGGCTGCTCGATCCACAAGAGCGCGGCCCCTGTGGCCAAGTTCTTCTCCTTTGACACGGGCCCGACGGGTCCACGCCTACGAAGGCTTTTTACACGGGATCGTTTATGGACGATCGACCGCACCGTGGCACTGAGCTACATCGAAAAGTACCACAATACAGTAGGGGCAATGTATCCCGTTACAGATGAGGCTCGCCTCGCGCCTAAGGTTCAATATCTCTTTGATGCGTGGGATGCTAACCGAAACCAGCGACACCAAGGGGGATTAGGTAGCCTCATCGACCTTATGCTGAGTATTGACATCCAGATCATCAAGATCCAGGTGGCGGTGGGAATGATCAATGTGCTAGGCGTGGCGGGGATGGATGTTGCTACCGAGCTAGTGCAAAGCGTTCTCGACTCATCTGATGACTCGATGATGAACCTAGAGCGTCTAGGCGGAGTCCAACTTCTCGTTTGCATCGTAAGTCGAGAGTTCCATTTGCCGCTCACAGCAATGAGGGGTTCATTCGCCAGAACAGACGAATTGACTGGGGCTAATCAGCAGATATACCATAGGTTTTGTTCTACTACAACCTCGACGACGAGGTCAAGGCGAGTCGGTACTCCTGTCTGGCGTCGCGACGGTGTCTGGAAATGGGCCTCCACCGCCGAGACATGCTGGCCAAGCATTTTCCAGAGGCTGCGGCACAGAAACAGGCCTTGAGAGTCTTTTGGTCAGTCTTCACCCTGGACCGTCGGTCCAGTCTCGGGTTAGGAGTGCCCTTTGTCATCCAGGATTCCCTGGTCGACCCGACTTTGCTGTCCATTGACTTCGATCACGCGTATCTACGGAGCATGGTCCCATTTGCCAAACTCTCGGGCAAGGCCTGGCAGATGGGCAACGACTTTACGGCCAAAGAACCTGATGCCGTTCGCGAAGAGATTGATTACCTCGACTACCAAGTTCTGCAGTGGCAGAAGCAGATCCCAGCCTCACTCAGCTACCAACACCACAGCGGATCGAAGAGCGTACCAATATACCCCGCGATGGATGGTACCGCTGCTAGGGATACGGCGCGTCAATTTTACCTCTCTGTCGTCCTCTTCGCGCGCGCCAACCAACTCCGCAACGTCATCTACCGACCACTTCTGCAATCAGCCTCACGGATCCAGGGGAACCTAGCGCACACATCCACCGCGCTCAATATCGCTAGGGACTCTATTCGCGCATTCTCCGAGCTCGACGAGGCCACAGACCTCCTCGGTACCCATGCAGCCTTCTTCAAGCATTTCATCGTCTCGAGCCTGGGGAACCTCCTGCTGATTTTGGTGCACAGCGACGATGCCACAGGCACAGAATACTGGACCGACATCAGAGAAACGTTCCACGTGGCTTCGGTACTGATGAGGAAACTCAGTGTTCGGTCCGGGTCGGTTCTGCGAGCCTGGGACCGACTCAAGGGTCTCGAGGACCTACAGGCCAAAATCATGACGGCGCGTCGGCGCAAGGCTGAGGCCAAACAGCAGGGTTCACTGAACAGTGAAAGCGGCGTTATCGAAGGGATGGGAACTGGTGAGCAGGACTACGGGGAGCGTCCCAGCAACAATGACGACGACAACAACCACAACTTCGACTGCTTCAACAACATTCTAGATGAACCGTCGTTGATCCGAGGTGGGGACTGCACATTGTTCGATTCGCAGATCCGCAACGATTTTGCCGGCTTTCTTGATCCTGCGTTTGCATTTACGGGACCGTACGATGTTCAATTTTTTCAAGGCGGCGGCGGGAGGAACCAGTGGAATATGTAACTTGTTAGCTCCTCAACGAGCCAAGGCCTGTAAAGGGTCTCTGATTGTAACTTTGCCTGCTTTTACCTCGATATGCATAAGTCTACATCTGCGTGGACTCATGCTATCATGTCATTGAGAGTATTAAATCCGCCCAACCTCAGTCATTGTCGAGCAGAGGGCGGGACTGTTCGTTTATCTTTGCATCACAGGTTACGACGGGGCACTTGTTTGAGGTGATTTTTGCTCGCCCTCGATTTCCCAAAAAGGCTAGAAAGGGCGAGATCTCAATCGCTGACTGAGCAAAGAATTGAACTGTTTCCTGGTGCCTACAAATACTCCCGTCTAGATCTGCTGCTCACAAACCGACGACGAAGCAAGATCGAAGAAATAAAATATCATCATGACGAACGAACAAGAACAAAACAGTGATAGCGGTACTGCTTCGAGGGTTCTGCACCCGTTGCAAGTAATACTCAATGAACTCGGTCTCATTACCTTGTTCCGTGCCTCTACAGACACAAAGATCCTCATCCTACAACGTTTTGTTCGACTCTTTGCCTATGGTGGCTCGACATTGATTCTGGCCTCGTATCTCTCGGATCTGGGAATCGCAGATGCCAGGATAGGATTGTTCATGACGTTGACCTTGATCGGCGATGTCTTTATCAGCTTCCTGTTGACCCTCGTGGCCGATCAACTCGGTCGTCGTTGGATTCTTGTGCTCGGAGCTGCATTGATGAGTGTAGCGGGTGTCGTCTTTGGTCTCAGTGGGAACTATTGGGTACTGCTTGCCGGTGCCATTGTTGGTGTTATCAGTCCTAGGTATGTCTATCTGTGATCGAGACAGCCCCTCCTCTGGGGCCACACGACTTTATTAATCGGTCATGCAGTGGGAATGAAATCGGACCATTTCGGGCGATCGAAGAGTCAACGCTTGCTCACCTCACGGCCAGCGCGGACCGGAGCGACATCTATGCTTGGTATTCTCTCATAGGAACAGCTGGTACAGCTTTGGGGTTCATCAGCTGCGGATGGATCATCACTCTCTTGCGAGACGAGAAGCACTTCAGTTCGATTCAAGCATATAGGGTCATATACTTTATGTATACGATCATCGGACTAGTCAAGCTTTGTCTAGCGCTCCTGTTGAGCAAGGAATGCGAAGTGAATGCTCATCCAAAAGCTGCGAACCCCAGCGAGACCTCCCCCTTGCTCGGCGAAAACGGGACGCGAGAAGACAACAAGAAGCAACGACGCTGGAGTCTTCTACCGAACATCAGCAAAGAAAGTAAGGTCGTGCTGGTACAGTTGTGCATTCTCTTTGCTTTTGATAATTTTGCCTCAGGCCTGGCACCTGTGTAAGTTGTTCTCTCACCACTAGAGTTCTGCTCCAACTGATCAACTTTAGCTCTTGGGTCACCTTCTACTTCAAGCGCAGATTTAATCTGTCGGAAGGCCAGCTGGGCTCAATTTTCTCGGTGACAGGAGTGATCTCGGCTCTGTCGATGCTAGTCGCATCATCAATATCGAAGCGAATTGGGAATGTCAAGGTACGGACGGGTTCATATAATTTGCGCTTCAGGGCGGTACTGATTCTGTGTATAGACGATGGTATTCACGCATCTTCCCTCGGCCATATGTTTGGCCCTCATACCAATCCCTCCCACACTCTCTGGTGCACTTGTGTTCCTCATAGGTCGCTCTTGCACGCAAGTCATGGATGTGGCTCCTCGTTCGGCTTTTCTCGCGGCCATAGTACTGCCCCATGAGCGGACGGCTGTTATGGGCACGATCAACGTTGTCAAGACTTGTGCTCAAAGCTTGGGTCCTGTCATCACTGGCGTTCTCGGCACCAAGAACCACTTCTGGGTGGCGTTTGTCGCTGCTGGATCTCTCAAGGCTACTTACGATCTAGGGTTGCTCGCACTGTTTGCGGAGAGAAAGAGCCGTGAAGACAAGGTGATTGATAGGACAAATGAAGAACATCAGGATAACACCAGAGGCAATGAGTCAGCATAGTCATTGTCGGCAGACGTAAGGATCTCAGACAAGACAGGAGGGTCGATCAATATCATAGAGCCAAAAAAATAACAATGCAATTCAATACCCACATTTGCGGCTCGGCGCCGACGAGGCTGAGCTCGGCCGACTTTCCCCAAATAAAAATTTCTCGTGGCAGAAACATGAAAAAGTTCCCTCGACGGATTTTCTGACTTATTTGGAAAGAAGAGCGTTGCACATTCCAATCGTTTCTGGGAGTCCCTCCAAAAGACGAACTCACCCGCTGTGTTTATCTCCTTCCCTGACAATATCGCATTTCAGGCCGCTCCCGCTGACCATGAGCGATAACACCAACGGCACGGGCGCAAGCCCCGAGCATTACGCTATTGGTATCTCCTTCGGAAATTCCTACAGTTCAATAGCACACATCTCTGGTGAAGGCAAAGTCGAAGTGATTGCCAATGAAGAAGGAGATCGACAAATACCCTCGATCCTCTCTTACGTTGGTGGAGAAGAATTCCACGGTACCCAGGCCAAATCGCAGTTGGTTCGAAACAGCAAAAACACAATCGCCTACTATAGAGACTTTGTCGGAAAGGATTACAAGGCCATAGACCCTACACCCTGCCATGCCTCAGCCCACCCTATCGAATCGAACGGTCAAATCTCATTCTCCGTGCAAGAGAAGGAAGATGGTGAACAAAGCACTCTATCTGTAGCTGAGGTCTCGACGAGGCATTTACGGCGACTACAGAATTCTGCGTCTGATTTCACCGGAAAGACTGTCAATGCTGCTGTCGTAGCCGTCCCCTCAGACACAAGCGAGGAACAAAAGGCCGCATTGACAAAAGCGGCCGCGGCCATTAATGTTGAAATCCTTCAGTTCATCCCCGAGCCAGTCGCCGCCCTACTAGCCTACGACTCCCGATCCTTTGATGCTGCCTCCGACAAGACTGTTGTCGTTGCGGATTTCGGCGGCAACCGATCCGATGTCGCCGTCATCGCTTCAAGAGGTGGAATGTACAGTATTTTGGCTACTGCCCACGACTATGAATTGGGTGGCTCGCAGCTCGACCAGGTCCTCGTTGACCACTTTGCCAAGGAGTTCGAAAAGAAACACAAGTCAGACCCCCGTAAGAACGAGAGAAGTTTGGCCAAGATGAAGCTCGAGTCCGAGGCCGTGAAAAAGACTCTGAGTCAGAGCGCCAGCGCCACTTTCAGCGTCGAGAGTCTCGCGGATGGCATCGACTTCCGGTCGACTGTGAACCGAAGCCGTTATGAGATTCTAGCGTTGAAAACATTCAGTCGCTTTACACGACTAATCGAGGAAGCCATCAAGAAAGCCGACCTGGACGTGCTCGACATTGACGAGGTCGTGCTGTCTGGAGGCACATCCCACACCCCTAAGATCGCAAAGAACATCGAAGCTTTCTTCCCTGAAACCACCCAGGTTCTGGCCCCTGCAACATCGGCAACAGCGCTGAACCCATCCGAACTTTCGGCAAGAGGCGCCGCGCTACAAGCGTCTCTGATCCAAGAATTTGACAAGGAAGATATCGATCAGTCAACCCACGAAATGGTGACAGTCACACCACACCTGACGGCAGCTATCGGGTACCAAGTTACCGGACAGCCGACTAGTTCGCTTTCGGTCATCATCCCTCCAGACACAGCGGTCCCTGCAAGACGGACGAAAGTAATTGAGGGTCTAGAGGGTGATGTGCTCCTCCGCATTTCTGAAGGAGAACGAGAAATTAAAGTCACTCAGGCGGAAGCTCCACCGAAACCAGAGACGAACGGTGCCAAGGATGTCGAGGATGACGATGACGATTCTGATATGGACGAGGATGATGAGCCTGAGGAGATCCGCGAGAAGGTCTGGAAGCCCAAGAAGGCACTGGCCGAGTTCGTATTCAAGGGTCTGAAGAAAGGATCCAAAGTTGAAGTTATGGTTGACGTTGATGGTGAACTAGCCGTGTCAATCACTGCTCGACCTGTCGGTGGCAAGGGTGGTGTTAGAGGCGAAGTCAAGGCTCCCCAAGTGACTTCTAATGGCAAAGCATGAGAATTGATTAGATGAGATGTTTTGTAGACGGGTGGTTTGCTTTTGAGCCAAGCCCATCTGGCTTACTAGATATTAAGTAGTTGATGGCATCGGCATGGTACGGCGTGCATGGTTAACATTACAGCAACATGCTCTTTCCCCTTGCTTTGGTTTGTGTGGTCTTGGAGCAAGAGGAGAGATCATATCAGTAGATAGCCAAAAGAAAAGAAGAACAGAGCCGGTGCTTTTGATAGGGGGTCATTTCTTATCTCATGCACAAACAAGACTTTTTTCTCTTAAGTCCATTGACTCTGGGACTTTGATGATTCATATGCAGATGGTCTTGATGTATGGATTTAATTTTAGACAGGCAAACAAAGAGTCTGAGTACTCTCACTTTTAGAGGTTGATATGATTAAGATTGATTTTTAGCCACGGAGTATAAGTAGATCAAAGATCTTGAACGTCACAATTTAGTTCGTCTGCTCTCGATTCACGTTTCATTTCCTCCCATTCAATGTTCGCCACACTCAGACCGGCAAGAAGCATACCGGCGTCCTTTGGGCTTTTGAACCTGACGGCGTCGACGGACCAATTTTTTCTCTTGGAAAAGTGTACTTCCATGGGGTCTGCGTCTGGTGCTTCCTCGTCGTATCCCAGAACCTCAAACAGGGCCACCACGATGACGCCCTTTGATCTCCAGTCGGCCTCGTCCACGACGACGTAGTGCCTGGGCCAGAATGGTGTCTTTGGGACGGCGAATTTGGCGACGTGGGTGGTGTAAGATTTCATCAAGGGTTCGTCGATGAAATTTAGTAGGTCATCGTCGTGGTGGTCACCATCACCACCGTCAGACCCGATGAAGATCCGTTGCCCCGGCACAAGTTTCAGAAATTCGCGTTCGTTGGATACACCAGAATTGAGGGCATCCAAAAGTTTCCCCCAGAGATTTTTCGGACAGCCCACGAGTGTGTATGTACACCGCCACCGGTAGGTTCGCGGCGTACTCACAAGGGGTGGCGGTCATCAAACGGGAAACGCTCTCTTCGGTCGTGACGGGGAGAGTGGTGTCGATGCGTGATGACAAATTTGGGATGGTATGCGTTTCTTCCCTCGTGGTTGTCGTCGCCATGCTGCCGAATCGTTTGCTGTACGCTACAAGTGAAACAAGGTAATGTCAAGGAGGTGGACTCTTGGCTTGTGTAGGCGTCTGTCCCGTCCAGAGGTCGTTGAAGACATGCACAAAGCATGAAGAAATGTGAAGACGGCGTTTGATCCATCGAGTTCTTTATAAACTTGGAACAGGCATCAGGTAGGAAGACCCTAAAACAGGCCCTGTACTACCACCACGGATTCAGGCCACCCGATCGTCCTCCACCACGCTTTCACCGGTCAAGCACGGAGGTATACAGAACCGAGTAACGTACGTACTTTAGAATCCTTACGTCCTTATCGTCAACGGTAAGACTATTGCCGTCATCCCTTACTGTAACGTAACAAGCGAGAACACGAGGGAACTCTTGAACACCCGAGGATAGACTTATACCATCCCGGAGATTGTTTTTGATCCCTGTGCTAATGCTATGATATCAGGCTTGAGAGGTCACTAGACTAGAGTCGATTAAGGTGGTTTGCTCTCATCACAGTACCAGTTACATTATCCATAGCTTGAACCATTGGTGTGTTAGTTGACCTGATCCACATGCATAGATGTTTCCTTCCCAGCTTCTTCTGCCTTGGCCTCGTAAATGGCACCATGAGCGAATTCTAGTGACAAACCAACGGTCAGTAGCTGTTCTAAGCCCCAGAAAAACAGCATTCGACTTACGATCGACCTTTGTAAATTTGAACTTCCTTGCAGATACCTTGTTTTCGAAGAGCAAATCAATCTCGCCAAATGAACGGTCCTTGGTCTCTGGAAGACGGAAATAACACCAGATGATACAACACATGTTGGTTCCAGCATAGAAGAGACCGGATTTGGCACCCCAGTTCCAGGCTGTACACCAGTTGTCAGCAGACAGCCACAAACACGAAGCCTAATTGCGGTACTTACACGTTGAAGATAGCATGCGTGGTGTAATCGTATTCTGGATCACGCTTGCCACGTTGTAGGCGAATCTTCCAATTGCGATGGTTTTGTATCTCAAACGTCCCGAGGGGGTTTCTGCCACGATGGGATAACACGTCGGTCCCATACAAATGGTGTTGACCAGAGTACATATCACCAACAAAATACCTATCGCGAGTTTGGAACTGTGGGTGTGGTTGAATCCAAGTCCGCCGATCTGGTGAGAATCCAATGGCATCAGTCTCTAGTCCGAAATTTGAAGATCGTTGCTGGATTTTCAAACAGTATATAACAAGACGTGAGGAACGTACCGTAACCAAAATACAAAACATCGCAGATAGACCCGAGAGATAGATTGTCTTCCTACCAAAGAAAGGGAAAATGCCGTAGCAAATGAGGACACCAATCACAAAACACGCGCTGATCGAGATGTTGATATCGAAGGTTTGAATTTCATTAAACCCTGCAGCTTCGAGAAAGACAACGGCATAGCTGGTTAGTGGGTTTCCATCCCAGATTTGTGACATCCAAGTCACGCAGTTCTAAGAGATTCAACTTGTCAGCCGCTACTATTCAGCAGGACAAAACGGTGGGGGGCTTGAGCTCACAATTTCAGTTCGACGCAGGTTAGTACCCTTGAAGCATTCAAAGAAGCTCGCCTTCTCGGTGTCTGCCTTCTCAAGCTCTGTTGTGTGCCTGATGTATGCCAGGGTAGCGTCCACCTCCTGTTCTTTCGCGGGACTGTCGGAGCGAAGCCGCACAAGGGATTTTCTTGCAAGGTCATACTTGCCACGTCTCACCGCGTTCCAGGGAGATTCCGGTGCGAAGAAGGCGCCGATAAATAGTGGAAGAGGCCAAATCCACTGGAGACAAAACGGCAACCGCCAGCCAATGTTTCCCTCGAGGCCAGTCACCGCCCGGAGAACTCCAGATGAAAGGAGGATGCCGCAGCCCCATGACAGACAGACGTAGGCAGTCACATAAGACCGTAGCACCGTCGGAACGATCTCACATGCATAAGCAGTGGTCAAGGTCTGATTTTGTGTCAAAGAGAAAGTTCCCAAATTTCTTTCTTTCCGTCTAAAATAGGCACCTGCTTACCTGAAAGACACCCCATGAGATCCCGCACATTGCCTCGCCAAAAGCCAAAACTGACAAGGATGGTGCGAACACAGATATGAAAATGGCACAACACAGCCATGCCATGAAAAACAGATAGGTCGGCCGACAACCAAACCGGTCCTGGGCAAAAGTGTTGACCACGAGACCGGCCAATTCGCCGACCAAGGCGGAATTTGCAAGGCCAGACTGCCATGCCGCAGTGATTGTTTTTTTACCAGTCGCAGGATTGACTGTGCCGAATCTCTGCTGGAACTGCGACTGACCGAAAAAGGAGTTGATCTGTGCGTAGAAATGGTGTCAGCTGTTTTTTTGTCTCTGCTAGCAAAAGGTTTGTATCGTGGAATGTATACGAACAATGACAACATCATAGCCTTCCATGACCAACGCGGTGGACAGGAGACAACTCCAGAACACGGCCTTTTTGTATTTCTTCACAGCCTGGGCGAGCGTCAACTTACGGTCGGCAGCATCGCTTTCCTGCGCTCGTTGGATGAGGGTGATTGTATCCGCATTGTCCAGTTCCAGATTCCTGAGCTCTCGCCCGGTAGGAACAATCTTCTCACTCTCCATAGTGGTGGTCAAGGGTAGAGCCGTTAATCAGAAGTAAAGTTTGGTTAGTAGCGACAATGGGTTGATCGAGGAGAGTCAGTATCCGAAGGAAGTGAGCAGCGTGGACACTTTAAGATAAAGATCTCCACCGGGAATTGGCCTAGGGGTCCCCGTGCCACGTGAAGCGAAGACATTGCATCTCCTGTTGCGAGAGATACCTGTGGCGTGTTCAAAGTCTGGAAACAGATTCGATAAAGCCGACGGTAGATTTACTCCCTCGTGTGAAGCCCCGTGCGGAGCCCCAGAATTCGAGAGGCGGGGGAAGATGTTGTCCACAGGCAAGTTTTGGGGCTTTCCTTCGTTCTAGCTGACATACGGATAAATTGAAAGAGCAGGGTGGCCAACTGGAAAAGTGTCCATCTGCCGGCAAGGATCAATAATCTTCAGAATCCCAAGACACTGGTTAAATGCCCTGGGCCGATTTTGCCGTGCACGGGTTGCCAGTAGTAATAAAGGCCCTGCCGAGGAGCGGGAAATTTCCCTTCGGCTTTTATGCGAATGACAGCCATAGATCAGCGACTTCGGGTATTCTAAGGAGAAATTAAAGAAAACACCTCCATCCGGGGATGTGTTCAATTTGACGATACACGTCTATCCCGTATTTGACAGCCTACAAGGCTAAGCCCCTTGCGCCCTTACTCCAGCGGTACAAAGAAAGTGCCCTGCGACGAGCTTTGCTCTCTTCCGCATTTGTGGCTCCCGCACTCCTTACGCTATATAGCGTTGATCGAAGGACTTTGCGAAAGCGTTTCTAGAAGCACGAATTGTTAGTCGTTGAAGGCTCAAGGGGAGGGGGGTGGTCCTTTTATTCACCTGGAACTCAGTGCTCAGCGTAACCACGCATACTTCATGTGCACGAATAATTGTCTCACAAGCTGTTTCGACGGACTTATTGGGCCCTAGCTGCGGCATGCGATCTGCGAAGAGCAAAAGAATAAAACTTCCGTGTAGCAGGTAGATGCCGAACAAATAAGGCATGAATGTCAGCTCTGGGTCGCAACGCAAGATCTGCGAAACAGCCTCTGATGCAGATATGGCATGAGATGCACATTTCATGAATTGAACGGACGTGATCCAGCCATCATCATTCTCGAGCATGGACACGGCATCCCATTTGCCGTGGAGAAGGACGTGGAGGACATGTAAAATGAAAGTGCCATATACGGTCACAAGCTGCGCCTGCGCCCGACCTCGTGGCCTGTACGATACCGTTGCATCAAAAGGCTGGCTGTAGGGCGTATCCTGGTATCCCGAACTTGGGGAGAGGAACTCGCTGGCGGGAATAGTTCCGTCGAGACCACCAGTCTCGAATCGGCTTTCAATCTCACCGATGCTTCGCGCGCAGTTGTCCAGAGATGCTTCGATGAGAGACACCGCATCTCCATCATCAAGGGTTCCAAATCTTGGGTGTAGCTTACGGTGGTGGACTTGGATCACGTCACCCAGAATCGTCATCAGTGGCAAGAACCAGTCGAAGAGGCCAGTGCCGGTGATCGCTGTTGGCGGCCCGTAAGTGCGTGCTGTCAAGAGTTCCATGGGTGCACATTCCAAGGTATTCCACACGTCCTCTGATAAAGGTGTGTAAACCTGACACTCGTCGTCCCCTATGCACATCGTCGAGTTGTACGACAGTGCCAGGTGCCGATCGAGGCAGAATAGTAGCCAAAAGACTCGACGACTTTCTTCTTGCGATTCAAGCAACTCCAACGAAACATTCGAAGTGTCGGACTGTCCGCCTTTGCACGAAGATGTGAGACAGCTTGCATCGGAATTGCTGCATTTCATGTCTTGTCGATTTAATCCCATAATATACATTAATCTCACGGCCTTATTCCACCAGACCTGGCAATCTGTCTTGAAATCACTCCCAGAGACGACAATGCAAATCAAAATGAAAGTGAGCACGTCATCAATTGTATTTTCGGGAGGGCCATTCTCGATAATTGTCGAGTTTCTGTCATTTGCATATGTGGGTTTCAGGACAGAGGGAAATCTCTCCACCAACTTTCCTCCCGGGTGACGGTCCCAGCAGTCGCGATCTCTCGTCTGCACAAGCTGCATACACAGCTTTCTAAGCGCCTCACACACGGTATTTCGCTGACCTGGGAGAAGAAGGTGTGGGATGTCTGCTGTTTGAGCGCTGACCCAGAGCATTGTACATGTGAGTGCTGGCGTAGTCTGGCGCGGCTTTGTTGGATGGAGCAAGGATTTTTTGCGGAGCACATGGGTCAATATGTATGGCGAAGCCGACTTGAACAAAGAGCTTCCTGGTTGAGCAAAGTAGAATTCCAGCAATTCACAAGCTTCATCGGCATTGACTATGCCTTCGAGAAGTGGAAGAAGCGGCTCTAGACATCTGTATGGTCGATTAGCTCGCGCTTCAATCCCCGAGTGGTGAGAAGTGCTTGGTCGCCCTTCAGATACACGTGTTTGTGGGGTTTGGCTGAAATGGTCTTCACCAGGCCCAGAGTCAAAAAGCCGAGCGGCAAGAGGAAGTGTAGGGCTGTGTATATGCTGACCAAGAAGTCCCACAGCGCGAGATGGCGCGTCAGGAGATACAGCATGGTATTCTGAAGCATGGGCGATCAAACTACCCTGGTCCTTTCCACGTGGTTCGGGGTAGTCCGTTGAACGAAGCGAGTCAAGTTGCACAATAGCATCTTCGTGATCAACTACCTCGCCTAGCTCATCTGGACGTCCTGGGAATGATGGGGTCTCAGCAGCAGAGTGAGTGGAAAGACCTTCTCCATTGGGTGCATATGAATCGTCAACCTGGTCGCCTGTAGATGGCAGGCGAACACCAGGTTTTCGACCTCGCTTTCTCAAATCTCGATTGTAGTGGCATGCGTGTCCATACTCTTGACACCGGCGACTACGTGACCATCAGCATACAGTGCGAGGCACTCCGGTGGCAGGGAAGCGGTTACCAGGGGCATTGGCCGTCGCATCTTGCTCGCGAACTGCTGCACTTATCACATGCCCTGCGCGTTCGCTTTCTCAATTGTGACCCCAATGAAGGCTCCTGGCTCATGATGGAGGAACAGTGGTCAAGGTACGCATTTGCCCACAGGGTAATTTTCGATGGATGATGTTCTCCTGACAGACGTGATTTTGAACTGTGAATTTCCCCTCGCTTAAATTGCTGCTCTGGATCCTAATCTGTAAGAGTGAGTGGAGCATCTCCCTCCTCTACCACCGCCTTCATTTACCCGGAGCGGGGTGTTAGTGCGATCAGAGACTTTGTGTTCCGGTGGGCTAATATGGGGTACGGTCCGGGATCCATGACCTGTACATCGCGTGAGTGGCAGTTCTCACCAGTATTTAACATCCTTCTTTGGACTAGACTAAGAAGACCTCGAGCCGACGAGAGAAACTCGCCAGAAATCAGATATTGTTCGGCTATTTACAATAGCGTGCCAGGAAGGGTTCTCGCATACTGTTGCCGTTAGGCTTTGGTCACAAACGCCTGGCTAAACGGAGGATTTCGGCTATCGAGCAGATAGGTTTGGTATGATCAAGTGAGATGCCTCACGGAAATGAGCTGATTTTGTTATGTACTCATGCCACATTCCGGTGTCATTGTTTTCCCGACAAACGTGACCTCAAGTCCTGCTACGATCTGTTTCGACTTGGGACGAGATATCCCGAATATTGCTCAGGCCGATGGCCGTTCGCTGATCCTCAATAGCCTTGCGCAGATAGTTGACGGTAACTTCACCTTCAATTCCCCTTTCTCTGAATCCCAAGTCCAATCTCCGTCGAACCCCGCCGGGTATAGTAGTTCTGCTGCCAAGGTGGTTTTCCCATTCGCAACAGATATCGGCAAAGAACAGGAAACATCACCCCCTCGACGCCAAACTGCAAGATATTGGCATGAGCCCGCGTTGAGTCCAACAGCCAACCAATTGTCGTGCCATCCAGGCAGTCCCAGTGGCCAGTACGGCTTACTGCTTTTAATGTCGTATCTGAATTGTTTGTAAACATTCATCCCGTCGCGGACAAGCGACAGCTGTGACTTGCTGAGACAGTGCAGGGCTCCAGAAAGGTGAACGCGACCCATCAAGCTGTTCACTACAGTCAGTGCGTTGATTTCGTCGCTCCACTCTGGCTGGGGGTAGGCCCAGGAGGCACTTTGCTCCGGCGTGACGGCTGTCGCGATTGCAGTAGACACAGCTGCGTAGCGGACAGGGTCCTGCTGGTCGCTTGTTGACTGGACCGAGTGGATGGCAAGAAGCGCATAGTCAAGCCGCTGCCCGCCACTCGAACAATTCTCGATCACCAGCCCGGGGTGACGATCAAGAATCTTACTCACCCAATCTAGATAGGCGCGATTGTGGCCTAGTGCTCCTGCGCCAGAGCTGAATGCATCGAAGTCTGTGCCGTAGATAATGTCAATGTTGTAATCAAACTTGAAATACCCAACACCGTAATCCAAAACCAATTCGTCAACAATCCTATCCATTCTCTGGCGCACAATTGGGGAACGGTAGTCGAGTTGGTATCGGCCTTTCTCTACTGTACGTATTCCGTTCTCTTGGAAAAAGGCCTCGTCAGGGAGTTCTTTCAGGATGTTGCTCCGGATTCCCACGACTTCTGGTTCTAGCCAGACCCCTGGCGTCATACCCGCTGAATGAATGGCATCGAGAACAGATTTGAATCCGTTTGGAAATCGTTTCTTTGAAGGCTTCCATTCGCCGACACTATCCCACCAGTCTGTCGTGTCTGCATACCAGCCAGCGTCAACGACAAAATACTCGGCGCCAGCATAAGACGCGGGTCCAATAAGGCCCTTGACCTTCTCTTCGTCCGGCTCACCCATCAGACAGTTCATGTAGTCATTGAAGATAATAGGAAGCTTTTCGTTGTCCACATGTTTCCGTCGTATGCGTCTTCGGTAGTCTGTTAATGCTCCAAAAGCCTCCTCGATTCCCCCATGAACATGAGTGATGGCACATGGTACTGTAGTGAACGTCTGCCCAGGTCGCAGACATTCCTTCCAACTGTGGTTGAAATCGTTAGGGCCGCTGATGGCAACATAAACGTCTTCCTTGAAATCTCCTAGCTCCCACCTCCACGATCCATTGTTTTCGATCTGCCACAGCCATGTATCTTGACCGTCTCTTCTCTTCAACATTCCCATTGCAAGCATACCGCCTGTGGAGAATCCACCACGATTTGACACAGACCAACTGGTGTGGCCGGCCAGGTGACCTTGATTTAGTTCGCAAACGCCAATACTATCCAAGCCAATGCTCGGCAAGTCGTGGTCATGCCATTGTGCTTCTCAGAACCAAGTGTTCGTTGCGCTTGAGGCTACGTAGTCATGGAACCATTCGCGACTACCTCCTGTCAAACCACCCACAACTAGTGAAGTCACTTGACAGAGAATAATATTCTTGTCTCCCTCATTTTGGACCTTGGCGAAAGAACGCAAGACTGGAGTTCCTGTATAAGCTACAAGAGTCGCGGTAACAGTCAGCTTTGAAACATCGTCATGAGACGTGATTTCCAGGAACTGTTGCTGGTCACTGGCTGATTCTTGATGGCTTCGATATTTGAGTCGTTTCGTGACGGCTCCACAGACCAGCGTCTTTGAACTCTTTGTATCATCAGTACCTTCTCCAGCCAGACGTATCTCTGTGAGTGGTAAAGATGACTCTGAAAACAGGCTTGATCTTGGCGAAATCGTTTTCTCGTTGACGGGTTTTATTTCCTTCAACCGGACAATTTGGTCAGCCTCAATTGTCAGGATTATCGTCAAGTCAGGAGTCTGCCAGCAGATTTCTCTAGTATCAGCCATGCTGAGTGCTGGTGACAATTATGTAGGTTTGAATCAACTACGACACGCAGTGGGTATTGAAAAGATATATTGTTGTTCTGAGACGCGGTCGCATGTCAATGGCGAAATTGCCGGCGGCTTATTTCAGGTGTGCAGTGACAACATGATAAAGTGGGGACTTCAACTTTGGTATAGGCATTGTGCCGCATCAATGAACGGTGGTCGACTTGATACTCGACCGTGCTCTTCACAAGGGAGAGCACGGATCGGAATGAACATCCTTACATTCCAATGCAGTATCTTTAACTCGTGGAGATGACCGGCGAACTGACGGATAATAAAGTAACACTTCTCGTATTCGGCTCCAGCACCTAAAACTTGATTACCCTCAATCGAGTTGGAGTCCTGAGTAATGTAACTTCCGAGGATTTTAAACCTGACAGGAAAAGAATGCTAACATCGCAGGCTGTTTGGCAGATCTTCCTGGGAGAGGACAAGTGCCGGCTAAACACCTCGAAAGATCTATACGTATGAATACTTACAAAGTCACCCCACAACATGCGGGGATGATGAATTCTTCCAGCCCAGTAGGAATCTTACGATGTCTCGACCAGGGTCGACTGATCATGGACAGAGTCCTCCTGGGTCTTTACTGGCCTTTGTAGGTCCGTTGTACAGAGCTTCACCTCTTAGATGATGATCCTACTGCAAGACGATAGAGGCAGCGGGGTCCACCTTCGATACTTCGATACAAGCGTCATGAGGTATGGCTAGGATGTTTCATTCGGCAGCTCTTCATGGCCCTCACGAATTTCACCTCTCATATTGCCAGGTCCGCTATGTTTCCTACCAAGGTATCTTGTACCACTTCCATTTCGGCTATTCTTCTATCGATGGAGCCCTGCCGGCTCAATTGATTCGGGCTTCGTACTACGATATTTAAGCCATTGAGAGAATCGCAAAAGCGAGGCTCGCGGCTATCTTCAGTTGATGGTCACAAGAAGTACCCTTTTAAAAAGATTATACTACAGAGTTCCCAACCACAATGCTCTTATTACTAGCATTGCTACCAATTCTAGTGTTGGCACAGGAATACCCAGATTGCCGTCATGGTCCCCTTGCAAACAACTCCGTGTGTAACACGGCCTTGTCAACAAGAGAAAGAGCCCAAGCACTCGTTAGTGCCATGACAGTTAGCGAGAAGCTCAACTTGACACACAACAACTCTCCAGGTGTTCCAAGGCTGGGCCTGCCATCTTATAATTGGTGGGGAGAAGCGCTCCACGGTGTCGCATCCGCTCCTGGAGTCAACTTCAGTGATTCAGGCGACTGGTCATATGCAACGTCCTACCCTCAGGCAATAACGATGGCTGCATCTTTCGACGATGATCTATACTACGCCATTGGAAATGCAATCAGTACTGAGGCACGAGCTTACAACAATGCCAATCGATCTGGTCTTGACTACTGGACGCCAGATATCAATCCATTTCGCGACCCACGCTGGGGCCGTGGTCAGGAAACACCAGGAGAAGACACTTACGTGGTCAAGCGCTACATTGACAATCTTGTCACGGGTCTTCAGGGGGGTCGCAATCCTGAACCATACAAGATCATTGCCACTTGCAAGCACTTCGCCGCGTACGATTTGGAGGGCTGGCAAGGCAACAATCGTTATGGGTTCAACGCAATAGTCACCACTCAAGAGTTGAGCGAGTTTTACATGCAGCCATTCCAACAGTGCGCCAGGGACACCAAGGTTGGCTCTATCATGTGTTCATATAATGCCGTCAATGGTGTGCCTGCATGCGCCAATTCATACAACATTGACTCTATCCTTCGAGGTCACTGGAACTGGACCGCAGATGAGAACTACATCACGTCCGACTGCACAGCCATTCAAAACATGTTCACAGACCATCATGCTTTCGACACAAGGCAGCAGACTGTGGCAGCCGCCCTAAATAGCGGTGTCGATGTGGATTGCGGCTTCTACAATCCTACTTATCTGCCCTCTGCGCTGGCAATGGGTCTCATCCAAGAATCAGCTCTAGACCGCGCTCTCCTACGCCTATATTCAGGGCTGATCAAGGCAGGCTACTTTGACCCCCCAGATACACCCTGGAGATCTCTGACGTGGGAAAATGTCTCTACACCTGAAGCTGAAGGCCTTGCCCTCAAGGTGGCTGAAGAGGGCATAGTTCTTTTGAAGAATGATGGTACACTTCCTCTGGCTCCTCCAGAAGACCGAAATATGACACTCCTCCTCGCTGGTGGCTGGATCAACGCGACCACACAACTACAGGGAAATTACGCTGGTCCAGCTAGGACATTAATCTCGCCATGGATGGCCCTGCAAAATGTCTCCAACATCGAACTCATCGTCGTTCAGTGGTATGAATCTCCAATGATTCGCGCTATTGATACCCAAGCGGATGCTATCCTGTGGATCGACGCCACAAATGAAGCTGCTGCGGAAGGCGAAGACCGCAACACTATTCAGTGGGACAACCTACAGATCGATGCTGTCGAGATGTTGGCAACTCTTGGTCGGCCCCTGATTGTTGCACACATGGGAGAGCAAGTCGACGACTCTGCATTCTTCAGTAACCCCAACGTGAGTTCAGTTGTCTGGGCCGGCTACCCTGGCATGCTTGGAGGAGAGGCACTCATCAACGTAATCACAGGCAAGGTGGCACCTGCCGCCAGGATGCCTGTAACTCAATATCCTGTTGACTACATCCACCAGGTAGCTATGACGGACATGAACTTGCGGCCCAATCCACAGACCGGCAACCCTGGACGCACGTACAAATGGTTCGACAACGCTACTGTGGAATTTGGTTATGGGCTACATTACACCAATTTCACTACTGCCATTAACAGCCCCTCAAATTCATCCTTCGACATTAATGCCCTTGTCTCTGCCTGCGATTTTGCCACATACAGCCACATCGACCAGTGTCCCTTCCGGCCATCTGGAGCTTCATCCTCCTCCGTGACCATAAACGTCACTAATACCGGTACTACTGGCTCTGATTTTGTTGGCTTGGCCTTCATCTCTGGTGAATATGGACCTACGCCACGTCCCCTGAAGTCTCTTGTGGCGTACCAGAGACTGTTTGGGATCGAGCCGGGGAGCAGCCAGACAGCTAATCTGAATATTACGCTGGGCTCCTTGTCAAGGTACGACGAGAACGGCAATCAGATACTTTACCCCGGGAGCTACAGTCTACTAGTGGATGTGCCAACGCAGACGACATGGGACTTTGAATTGACCGGAAGTGAGTATATGATGGACGAGTGGCCCCAGCCTCAATAGTCATATAGCAGCAACGACGGTGATGAGACTGTTTGAGATCTGGAAGACGAGTATATACGAGCCAGTAATGACCGAGGTCGTTCCCCTTAGGCGCGGGTGTGCTAGAATCGACAAAGGGAGAGAATATTCATTGAGGGCTTCAACCTGTCCTTCCTGTGTAGGCTCATATATTCGTTTCCGACCACTACTATAACCTAGGAGTGCTATTTCATCGGGTAAAAGCGGCATACATCCCCAGAATCTGACCAAGTCCGAGCCAACTATAGACATCCCCAATATAATGACTTGAAAGCCATTCTTTCTCCACCTTTGACCGCCTTTCCGGGTAGCTATATTCAACCGTGGGACTATATATATGGCCTTTTCAATGCGGTGTGGTAATTGATTCTTTTAGCCAAGAAGCTTGCTCTGTACCTGATCATAGAAAAGGACTTGTCCACCGGGCGATCAGCGCTGAAGTTTGCAACTTGTGACCGAAAGTTCCGACAATGTTGCTGCTCATGACAATCCCTATGTTTCACGTCCCCACTCGGGATAAATCCGAACCTACGGCTAAAAGGTATAGTTTTCATTGATATATTGATCCAGGAAAATAGTAGATGTACCATGAAAGGATCTACAATTTAACCTGCGGGAATTTTTTGAGAATCAATTCCACTGGACGACGTGACCGAGCGTTGAATGGATAGGTACAAAAGGTACAGTGGCCAAGTAAGGTGCGAGTCTCTGAGACTCGATATCGAGACCACCAACTCCAAGAATATTTGGCGATGATGGCAGTAACAAAGGTCTTTGGGGTCGCTGCCTCGTTGCTTATTCTGTCAAGCCCAGCACTAACAGCAGCTGTTCGACCTCCCAACTCTTCTGCTCTTCCATCACGCATCTGGGCTGATGAGGCAGGATTGAATCTGACTGATGGGTACCCGTTGGGGAATGGCAGACTCGGTGCCATCTCGACGGGTGATGTGACGTCTGACCACGTCACCTTGAACGAGGATTCGTACTGGTCTGGTCCCCTGCTCCGTCGTGTCAACCCTGATGCCGTACAGAGCGTGGGAAGGATGCAGGCACAAGTTCGGCAAGGCTACATCCAACAGGCACAGGAACTTGGGAGTCTGGGCTACGTGGGAACGCCTGTTTCAACCCAACACTACGAGCCACTTGGATACCTGACCCTGGCTCAGAACGTGACGGGAAACATCACCAACTACGAGAGATGGCTCGACCTGGCCGACGCCACCGCCGGAGTGTACTTTGTCAACTCCAACATCTCTTTCCAGCGTGAATATCTGGTGAGCAACCCAGCCGACATCATTGTCATCCGTCTCAACGCGAGTGAACCTGGTTCCATCAACTTCAACATCCATCTTGACAGAGATGAGGCCTCTCTCAACCGCTGGGAAGACTACTCACAACCAGTCAACGGCAATACCATAGTGATGGGTAGCCGCAGCGGAGGGGCCAACTCAATCGGTTCTGCGGTTGGTGCGAGGGTCGTTGCGACCGGTGGAAGGGTCTCTACGCTGGGAGACTATGTTCTGTGTGACGGTGCAGACGAGGCGTACGTCTATATCTCTGCACACACAACCGTCCGGACCAATGACACCCGAAGTGCGGTGCTCAAGGACCTCGGGGTGTTCTCTCCAGACACGTACGACACCCTCCGCGCGGACCACGTTGAAGACTACAAACAATATTACGACCGGCTCCAGCTGAACCTTGGGACTTCGTTGGCGAAGCAAAGAAACATGTCGACTCCGGCGAGAATGGTTGCGATCAAGCCAAAGAGCTTCGACCCGGAACTGTCCGTGTTGTACTTTCAGTACGCGAGATACTTGCTGATTGCAACTTCGCGAAATGGAACCCTGCCTCCTAATCTCCAGGGTATATGGAGTGAAGATTTCGATCCGATGTGGGGGTCCAAGTATACGATCAATATCAATCTACGTAAGTGAGACGACAAGTATTGTGGTTATGTCTTCTAACAACAGCATTCAGAGATGAACTATTGGCCCAGTTTGACCACAGGTAAGGCAGGCATCCACTAACTTGACAATTCAGTCCTTTTCCTTTTCTTTCGTTCTACCAATTCATTGTCTGACTCTTTCGAATATTGCAGGACTGTCCGACCTGGTTGGGCCTTTGCACGACTTGATCCAAACCATGACGGCCGAGGGGATGGAGGTGGCCAGAGACATGTACAATTGTTCCGGAACAGTATCTCACCACAACGTCGATCTTTGGGGAGACTCTGCTCCTCAGGATAACTACCTCTCGTCGACGTTTTGGCCCATGGGAGCCACGTGGCTGATCACGCACGTAATCGAGCACTACAGGTTCACGGGCGACACGGCCATGTTGCAGCGGATGTACCCTGCTCTCAAGGCCAACGCGGAGTTTGCCCTTGACTTTTTGACCCCCTGGGGAGACTACATGGTCACGAACCCATCCCTTTCGCCAGAGAACATCTACTACGCCCCCAACGCCTCGAAGCAACAGGTGTCCATCACCGCCGGGCCGACCATCGACAACACACTTCTGTGGGAGCTGTTTGGTTTCATCCTCGAGGCACAAGATGCGCTGGGTATCACCAATGACACCGCTTTCGCAGACCAGGTCACCGCCATGAGGGCGAAGCTGCCTCCACTGAGATTGAATCAGTATGATGGTATCGCGGAGTGGATCGAGGATTTCGAAGAGGTAAGTCTCAAGCCCCCTCTTTTCGGCTCTTATCATTTCAGAAACAGCACTGGGAGTTTCGGTGATTGGTTCTGACAATAAACAAAACAACAGGCTCTGCCAGGTATAGGTCACATGTCCCATCTCGTAGGTCTCTACCCTCTCGGACGGATCACGGCATCCAATACGACCACCTTCAATGCTGCATTGACGAGTTTGAACCATCGTCTCGTGTAAGTTCCCCAAACCATCCTCTTTCCCCACATGAGAGAGAAGAAGAGAACAAAATGGATCTGTTGTTATGTGGAGAATCTGCATCCTGACAGTTGCTTTTTGACAGTAATGGCGGCGGTTCCTGCGGCTGGCCTCGCGCTTGGACAGTCGCCCTCGCCGCAAGGACGTACGACACCGACATCGTACACGACTACTTTGTAAACCAGCTCAACAATTGCACCTTCAATACTTCTCTGCTCAACTACGGGTACCCTGCACCGTTCCAGATCGACGGTAACTTTGGCACTCCAGCCGGTGTCGTAGAAGCTTTGCTCCAGAGTCACGAGAACGTGGCGACAATGTCAAATGGCACCACTGCCAACGGACTGAGAGCCGCTTACACCGGAGACCTGGACAAGGCGGTTCTGATCCGACTCCTCCCGACCCTTCCGCCGGCCTGGGGAGCCAACGGAGGCGGTTCGGTATCTGGTCTCGTCGCGCGAGGAGGCTTCCAAGTCGACATGAGCTGGTCGAGTAAGGGCACACTCACCGGTGCCAGCATCACCTCGAACTTGGGCCAGGAGGCGTACGTGACCCTTGGGAAAGCGGCGATCGGGAGCCTGAACAGCCAGAATGCCACCTCCATCAAGATCGAGGGTATGGGATCGGGCAAGTTTGTGCATCTCAAGTCTGTAAAGGGCACGACGTACAATATCACGCTGGCTTGAGGCGTAATGTGCGTGAAAGAAGATGACTGTTGTGTATACAGCGTGCTCAATCAAGTAGCTTCAACACCACACCATAAGGTTCTTTAGACACACTCTGTATCCGCATAGCTCCAAAAGCTTACTGCTTTCGAACAGGATAGAGCAAGAAACCAAAAGGATAAGATCACAGTTTGTACTCGAGGGCACCGATGATGAAGGGGCAATGAAGCGAATAGATTATTTAAAGGGGCATCTTGGCGCGTAAAGCAGCGCAAGAAATTGTTCTCTCCAACATCATTCGAGTTGATAGGGCGGCACAACCACATCCCCAAAGAAGAGTTTCTACCTTCAATATCAGATTTACCTGGTCTTGGCGTCTCTGTTTCTGTTACTTCGTGGTAACAACCACCCTCGTAAAGGTCCTGCCAAACGGGAATCCAAAAGAGTCTCAAGAGCATCTAGTTTTATTACTGGTTTTGCTGTTTTTGCAAGAATACAAACAGTTATGGCGACGACACAAATCGTCCTCCCGGGGGACGTTGTCGCGAGCAATCAACTACCAACATCACAAAAACGCAAAATAGGTCGAGGCCTGAGACCAAACCCGACGACGCACGAATACACGGCCACAATAGGTGGTTTACTGGAAGTGGATTACCGCAAAAAAGCCGCGCAGGTATCGGCTCCCGACGCGAGATACGTTCCCAAAGCGGGAGACTTGGTCATCGCCCAGGTGCGAGGTTCCTCGATTGATTACTTCCACGTTTACATCAACGCCCACTCGCCGCCGGCCATACTCCCACAGTTGGCGTTTGAGGGCGCCACCAAGAAAACCCGACCCAACTTGAAACCGAACGATTTGGTGTACGCAAAAGTCGTGTCGGCCCAGAAGAACATGGAGGTGGAGTTGAGTTGCGTGAACCCGAGTACGGGAAAGGCGGAACCAGACGGCCTCGGACCTTTGACGAACGGGATGGTGTTTGACGTGAGTCCCGGCCTGGCGGAGCGGTTGTTGAAAAAGGTCGGCGTGGTGGCTCTGGATGAAATGGGTTCGAGGTTGCCGGGCGGGTTCGAGATCGCCGTGGGCTGCAACGGCAAGGTCTGGGTCGAGTGTGCCGAGGCCGGTGTCAGAGGCGTTTGCGCCGTCGGTAGGTGTCTGAGGGAGATGGACGAGTCGGAGTTGAAGGAGAAGGAGCAGAAGAAGCTCGTCAATCGAATAATGGGGGATTTGGAACGTGGATGAAGACCAACCAGAAAGGGTGGGATTTGTTTTTTGCAAGAGAGAATTACTACCGAGCACCAAAGGTATGACTCTGAGAGGGTGGTTATGTGCAAAGAGTATGGTTGTGAGAGAGGATCACTGGTGACATGCCACACCAATACCAACGACAGGATACCCGGCGTGGTGTTCTCAACTGTCTTCACCTATGGCCTTCATTGCCATGAATCTCACCGGACTACCCTATCGAGTTGGCTACGAAGTTGGTGTCGCTGGAGAGGGATATTGCACGGTTGATCTTACCTCGGGGTGGAAGTTCAAGCACAAGTACGACCCAGGCAGGAGTGAACCAAAAATGAACTACTGCCACATTAGAGGTGTCGGCAATATTGCTGAAGCCAAAGCTGGCGCTGACGAGAAACTACAAACTAGACCCTGTACGAGTAATGACAAAAATTTAACAGAACCACAAGATGCTTTTGGAAGATTTTTTTATTGATTGCCCATGGACTAAATGTACATGAACCATCCACGAATGCACCATGATTGAGCCTTGAACGCTAGGTCAAAGGCCTCATCAACATGCAAGATCTGCCGTCCTCACATCACAAGCTAAAAAAAGAGAAGTGTATGTTCATGCAGGATCCCGCAAGCCTCTGCCCATCATCCCAAGCACTGAAAGACTTTTTTCGTTCTTGTTTTGCAGAAAAAAAGCATTCCCCATCCATTTGGTCGAAAAAGAGTAGAACAGCAAGATCGTGCTGTCTTGTTTTGTCGTTAATCACAAGAGGTTTCCTCGCCATGCGTGTGTGAAAAGTCTTCTTTTGCAAGATATCCGGAACTCCAAATCATTTTGTGTGAATCTGGCGACAAGGGGGAGTCTGGGAATCCATCTTCTATCAAGCAAAAAACATGCCCATCAAATCATTTTCATTTTCTGGTTCGTCTACTTTCTTCGGAAAGAGCAGCCCTCTGTGAGTCTGGCCTTGCCACCGGTGGGTTGGCAGAGGACGGTTTGGCAGCCTGCGCACTGGACGACCGAGTCGGCGTGCGAGAAGACGGTGGTGATTGTGAAGCAGCCGGGGCACTTGACGTCCATGAAGAATGATCGGGGGCCTGGGACGAGGGTCTTGACAACTTGAGGTTAGATTTTGTTCCAATACTGTTCTTCACAATAGTCGTACCTTGAGCTTGTGCTTGCGGGCCTCAGCCTGAGGCGTTGGGTTTAGGAGATCGACTGCGAGAACCTATACAGAAATTTCTCAGCATGAATTTTCATGATTGATTGCGATGGCATTGAGAGTGATGGTGGTTGCCACCTGATCGTGTGCTTCCACCAAGGCGGAGTAAAGAGAATTTTGCAATCATTGATTTGTGGCAGTGTTGTAGAGTTGTGCATACCATTTTGACGGCTTGATTAATTCGACTCGAGACTTTCGCTTGAAGATGAGTGCTGGATTACTCAAAAAAGGATTGTAGCTGCGACGATGTCGAGTGAAATGATGGTTGGTCAAGAGTAGAAATGGTCGGGGGGTTGAAGAAGTGTGCGAACCGTCTGGATTTTGGCGCAGTCTTGGCGGCAACCGACACGCTAAACTTTTTTAAGCTACATTTAATCACGTGATAAAGAATTTCATCTCCTCCGGCCAATCACCGTAGGCACAGATGTATTTGCCTATTCGTCGTCGCCTCATCAAAGAGTCATCTTTGAACACATCCATTTCCCAGGGCCTCTTAAGTCTAGATCTTGTCTATGGGGGTATCATCTATGAACGTCTGGCATATATGAGGTGGTACACAAGATCTGACTCAGAATGGCACATCCATATCCTCTACTTTTTCGTCCTGATCTGTGTCCACAGTTTGCGATGACATTTTCTCCCTGATAAAAGCGGCGATAGTATCGAGGTACTGCTTTCCACTCGGCACAAAATGGCCACCAGGATGCATGATGACCTGCGTCTTTCCTTCCCCTCCAGTAGCATCAACCAGTCCCTGTGTCCTCGCCTCCTCAACTACGCTGTCGAGACTGCCAATGAAATGGATAAAGGGAGTTTGGACATGAGGTGCCTCGTAGAAACCTCTGTATCTCTCGCCCGGCGCTCTGAACCCACAATATGCCGCGCCGAATTTGAGAGGCGGGTGATTGAGACGCTCGAATGACATAGGGTAAGGAATTGCCAGTGGTGATTTCGACCTTGCCTGTTCGAATGCTTTTTTTCGAGATTCGCCCTCTAGCAAAGAGGCCACCATGGTGGCCATCGCTGCGCCTTGTGAAAATCCGATCACCCCGTCAAAAGGGCCTTCGGTCTCGAGGACCTTGGCGATAGTTTCTAGACCATCCTCCAACCGAACATACTCTGGCGGATCCGATGTGTCCGAACGACGCCACCATCCGTATGCTTCAACGCTGTCAGGATCGTCACTTGACGTTGGATCATAACCGGGCACGTCTTTTGGCCTAAGCTGTACGGGGCCTGTAGGATAGCTCAAAGAAAGTCCGGGAAAGGCCTTTTGCAGGTGTTTCTCCATGGCCCGCGTCTTCGCGTGGAACAGTGGTCCGCTCTGAGTGTAGCCATGAAGCATCAATACTTTAATCGTGGGGGAGTCCTTTGCAGCAGGCATAATCGAGAGATGTCGTGCTTGTGTAGGCCGAACCAGGCAAAAGAAAGCGGTTCCGGACGATTGAAATGATCGAATGATTGTTGTGTTGAAGAAAAGCCTATTCATGAATCTATCGTCAGCATCAACCGCCGTTTCGCTGCGGAAGACAGAACGTCAACAAAGAATGGTTAACTAGTTGCAAGTATCTTGAAGATGACAGATATCGTGACTAATCCACATCCAATGCCGCCCCGAGAAGCGCCAAGCATTACCTTGTAGAGCCTGAGGCGCCTAAGTTTGCGACGTCGCGCGACATCAACATCACAACATCACGACATCTGCGCGGTACAGTCCGTCAAATCCTAACCTACACCTGCATTCATTTAATGTCTGGTCTTCCTATGACTTTGCAGCAACAATACTAGTTATGTGCTCTGCGCAACTCAAAGTCCCCAGATGATCCCCGTCTAGATCGCATCTCGCTGATCTCCTCCGCAAACATGATGAATGATCACTACTGACGTCCTAGTTTGTTTTTGTTTTTGGATAGAGCGCGGAATGAGGTGATCACAAAGATGCGCCGAAGACTTCCCCCTCATTTTCTCAACAAAAAAACTTCTTCGCCACTGAACAAGGCATCACAAGGTCGCAGATCATGTCCATCGCAAAGCGATAGTCAAGATGAGCCCATAATATCGAAAGGTAATTCATCCAACCTCCTTTTCTGAGTGGTCTACTTCCATGCTTTTCCTCCATAACGTAGGTGCGGAATCTGGAGACGCGAGCAGCCTCCTCGAATATGCCTCGCATGCAGGCAGGTCCACAGATCCTCATGGGATGGGGCTCCTCTGTCTGCCAAATATCTATATAAACAGACGCAGGTCTCATTCTTGTCCTCTCTCTTCCATCATCTGTTCACACACTTTCTGAACAACGTGCCCCCAATCTTCAATCTTCATTCATCTTATCTTATTGTATCACACTGTGTCAAAGCAAGACCTTTGACTTACTTCACAATGTTTGCTTCTGTCCTTGGTGGTCTCCATAATTGCATGGAGCACATCAAGCGTTTCGACGTCCAACGTGGACGCCACTCGGGGCTTATCAAGCCCCGAGATACCATTATACCGATTGCTGTCGTCAGCATTCTGTTTTTCTTGTGGGGTTTGGCCTATGGCCTATTAGGTACGTCTTATATAGCCTCTGAATATCTTCAGGGAACTGTTGCTAACCGTCCTGCAGACATCATGAATTACCACGTCAAAGTGGCGATGGGTATCAGCCGCGGGCAGGCTGCCGGGCTCGCGGCTGGTTACTATACGGCATACATCCCCGGTGCCCTCCTCATCGGGGGTCCCTTGGTCAAGAAATGCGGCTATCGAGTCGCCATGGTTGTCGGTCTCTTCCTTCTTGCTTTTGGCGACCTGATGATGTCGTTCGCCGCAGGGGGTTGCAGCCTTGCAGGCATGGTGGTCGCCCATTTCATCGTTGGGCTTGGTGTCTCGACTCTGGAGCGCTCGGCAAACCCATATGCCGTCAATTGCGGTCCTCGCGTGCAGGCAGCCTTGCGCATCTTGGTTGCCCAGGCGTGGGCCGGAATTGGAACGGTTGTGGCTCCCTTCTTGGCCAACGCTTTCGTCTTCAACCCGGACACGTCGTCGCAGGCACCTGCCTCGGACCCGGTCCACCCGGGAAAATGTCTGATGCCGGTTGAAAACAAGGACACCTCTTGCTCCAACCTCAGCTCGGTCATCACGTTTTACCGTGGGGTTGCAGGTGTCATTTTCGGCCTCAGCGTGATCATTGCGCTCCTCTTGTTCCGCACCAAGATGGTGCCTGAGGTGGAAGTGCCACTGCCTCCGGCTGTGGAATGCGGCTGGAAGAAGTGGAAGCACCCTCTGGTCTCGTGGCGGTACTCTCGCGTGTGGTGGGGCGTTGGCGCCAACTTTTTCAACCTTGGCTGCCAGGTGACCTTTGCTCAGTTTTTCATCGAGCACATGAAGGTCAACGCGTGCGCCAGCGACGCATGGGCTGCCATTTGCATGTCCATCGCACAGTCTGCCTTTGTCGTCGGGCGGTTCACTGCGGCCGCAGCTGTCTCCACGCCCAAGGTCAAGCCTCGGTTGGTCCTCGTCGCCTTCATCGGCGGTGCTGTCGCGTTCACCGCCGGTGGCACTTCGGTCACGGGCACGGCGGCAATCGCGTTGGCCGTCCTGGTCATGTTCTGGGAAGCACCCTCGTTCCCGATGATCTTCGAGAGTGCAACGGCAGACTACGAGGAGTGGACCTCGACCTGTGAGTCCCTCATGATTCTCAGCATCTCTGGCGGCGCCGTACAGCCCGCGCTGATGGGTCAGCTGGTCGAGTCCGTTGGCATCTCTGCCGGGTGGTGGTTGACCGCGGGCTGTTTCTTGTTGGTGTTCACATACCCTCTGGCCACGAATGTGATCCCGTCGTACAGACGGGCGGTCGACAGGGCGGTAGTGAATGCTCCTGGCCAAGGCTCCCCCGGCGATGAGGAGCAGGCAAAGCCGGAGCATGGCCCGGTGGAAATGGTGCCCACCAACAGCAACAGCAGTGGGCAGATTGAGGGCGTTGAGCCCACCTTTGAACCCCCCGTCCGGCCCAAGTACAACGGGGGTCTGTTTTCTCGTGGGCGTGGTGGACGGCCGTGATGTTGTTCATACTCACGCCGTCATTTTATGATTTGGGACTGATGATTCATGACTACTTTTGCATGGGTTAATGAGAGCTTTTGTATCATTCAATAGGTTGTTTTGTAACTTTTATCAACATTATCCCAAGATTGCTCCTAAAGAACATGATTCCTTCAAGGTAGATTCAGACAGAAGCAGTGCAATAGAGGTTCTTTTTTGGATTTGCGGAAAATAGTAATACAGCCATGGAGTAACTCCATGATGATGGTGCCTTTCGCTTTTCAAGACTTGCTCAAACGACCAGACCTCCTTCTCCCACTATTGTCCTCTGTAGCTTTGCCAACTTCAGGCTTTTTGGGTTTTGGCTTGATCTCTGTAGCGGTCGACTCTTGTTTGACTTGCTTCCCTGTCTGCCCCTTCACTGTACCATTAATAGCCGTCCCTGCATCATCTACCTCATCCTTGACCACTGCCTTCTTGTTGCCTCTTGCAGTTGTCTTCTTCTTCTGGGGCATGATGACCTCCTCCTCAGCATCGTCCTCGTCTTCGTCAACTACCGCCTTCCTCTTCTTTCCCTTGGCTTTTGGCTTTTTCTCTTCTTCACCGTCGACAATCTCGGCCTCGTCCATCTCTTTCGCCACGGGTCCAGTCTTCTTCTGGACGCTGGGGACGACTGCACTTGTCCGCCCTCCGACCGTAAGGAAAGCAATCTTCTCCCCGTTGGGCAACGTATTTGACGCATTCTTCTTGCCCTTCTGCCACCTGTGCTTGAACAACCAATCGTCCGGAAACTTTTCAGAGTCCCCCAGCAGGTCGACCGCGGTGGTACACACATACTGGATACTCTTGTGGAGCTGCGCGATCTGATCGTCCGACAGAGTGTTTGCGTACTGCTCCGGGTGCATCTTTGCGTTGTACATAATCTCGTCGCCCACCCAGTTCCCGATGCCGCTGATGTTGGCCTGATCGAGCAGCATCGCTTTGATCGGCACTTTTTTGGCTTGACATTTGTTCCTCAACCACTCCACCGTCACAACGTCCTTGTCGATTACAGGGTCAGGGCCGTTTTCTTTGAGAGGCGTCACGTTTCGGATCTCTTTTGCTGGACAGTCGACGAGTCTGATCCTCGCGAAGCGCCTCATATCCACAAAAGCAGCCTCAACATTTTTCTCCTTCTCATCGCCATCATTGTTCTCGGGCGGAGCGGGCTCGGTTTCGAGCAGGAATTTCATAAATTTGGGTGGCCAGGGTTCTTCCGCCTCTCCCTCCTTGGGGCGATAGTAGTACGTGTGTTCGTCCTTGAACTTGAGCCAGCCGGACATGCCAAAGTGCATGACGGGATGAGGAGGTGACGACATTATCATCCAGAAATATTTGCCTTGTTGGCCGACATCGACGACTTGTTTGCCGGTCATGTGTTTTTGGAATTCTGTATGTGAGCATCCCGCTTTACCATAAACATTGTTGTCTTCATTCGCTACGACCTTGGCGATAGTTTTGCCCACGAGGAGTTTGCGAATGTAGTGCACCGTGCGGGCGACCTCGGCGATCTCAGGCATTACGAGCGTGCTGTTCTTGTTGGTGGGTGGTTGTCAAGTGAGAGAAATTACCAGGGGATGAGATGGCCGAGCAATGAGTGACTGTTTGCAGTAGAGGATGAGTAGACCAAAAATGAAAAAAGACGTCAGTGTAGAATGAAGAAGTCTGAATCAAAGCGAAGGTCTTGAAACGATAGTTGCTTACCTATTCACTAATACGAGTACGCCCTTCTGTGTCGGTTTCTTTGAGTCACGGCGGCGGCGCGTTTCGACGCGTAAAGTGGTCGATGACGTGATGTGGTTGACTAGAGAATGAATTTCGCCGCAGCCTCCTCCGAACAATCATTTCAACGAGTATGTTCTCACATTCGATACGGACCGCATTCAACTTTACCAGCCCAACAGTAATTGAAGCAAGACATTTCTAGTGATTTTACAAATTAAATCTTGACGCACTCGCTATTCTCATTGGGTCTAGTCTCGAGACTGCCTAGGACCTTGGAAGGTGTGTTCACCTGAAGCTCCCCTTGTCACCGCAGTCATCTCGCCACGACATACTCGGCAATACCGACTTCGACATCGCCAACTTCAACTACGAGTACGACCATCAAACTGGCGTGGTTCTGGACCTCAACCCCTTCCGACGACAGCTCATCCACTTCGTCGCCTAGTCGGCGCCCTCCTCCTACCACCTCTCCCACACCACCGCAGCCTCGACACACACGGTCATCGTCGTCCCAAACCAACAACCTCGACCACCACAGTCCCAGTGGCAGCCCCATCATGTCCCGACCGACGCCCACCCCACCGCTCACACCACAATTCTGCTTCGACACCCGAGTGCTGCGAGACTTTCTCCGACTCTCCCGGTCGAGCATAGACGACAGCATCTCGACGACGCTCAACGCCCTCGTCACCCCAGCGAGCACGTCTCCCTTTGACCCGAGGTCCACCGCCGTCCGCAGCCCGCCGTACCCTCGCCCTCCCATCCCCGCACCCACGACAAGAACCTTTCTCGAGACCGTGCTCTTCCCGAGTTGGAGTTCTCGGGCGAGCGTGATACAGTACTGCACGTCGGTGGCGACGTCGCCGGACCCGGAGGACCCCGAGTCCCTGGAACGAGAGACCCTGAACCGCCGGGACGCCGAGCGGGTCGTCGACGAGCGACTCGACCCTTACAGTGCACGTTTCTTCCCCCGGGAAGCGCGCACGGAAATGTTGGCGAGCGTCCTGCGCAACGAGGTGGCCGTCGAAGGGATAATAAGGACGCGGACGTGGGGGATCGTGGCGGACCGGTGCGAGGGGGTCGGCCCTAACTGGGAAGGCGAGTTCGACCGGTGGAAAGAGTCTACAGAAAGAAAAACAAACACCGGTTGAAACACAATGCCAAACTGTGTTTCTGTATCGACATTGCGGCACATTCTACTCCGGACCTAAATGTCGCTTGACAAAGTTTTGAAACAAAAACACAAACAAGAGGATGATACGGCTAGCATTTCCATTTCCTTGCAAGCACCAACTACGCCTGTCATTAACGGCATGGGGTTGTCGCAGGTTCATGATAGCCCCCCATGGCGTGTGCATGCATTCAAGGCAATCCACCGGGAAAAGTATAGATGTGCATCAATGTAATGGGAGCCGTTTACGGAGTATAGGCATATTCATAGCATATAGCATGGACGGAGCGAGCGACCTTCCAATGTCTACGGCACGGGACGATGAAACCGTGTTGAAATATAATCCCTACTTATCTAAACGAACATAATACACGTGTGAGTCAACACACTATTTTCACGCTTGTAGACGAAAAGATATGCAAGGTGTCAAATGTCTCTCGTACACATCATTTTCTATGTATCTCAAATCATACTTCTAGAACCCAATCATCATCGTTCGTCCGTGAAAAGTGAATGTCCATAACCTGTCCTGAGAAGCCTAGTTGACCTCGATGTTGTAACCCAATGCTCCCCAGATGTTCAAATGCGTAATCGCATGACCCTGATATATGCACAATATACGAGCCTTACCCCAACGCCATACCTTGGAATGCAACCAACTCATAAAACTACCAGCCCCCTCCACTCATTCCAGCAATCTGCGCGATCATGGCTGTGTCATCGAGGGTTTTGGAAGCTTTGTTCTTTCCGACATCGCTCTCGACCTCTCTAAATGTCGTATACGCCAATTTCTCTAGGGGTATGGCAACCAGGCTGGACCAGTAGTGTAAAAAGTCCTGGACCTCTGTTGTGTTGATACCATTGATGAACTGCCGGTGCCCGTTGGTGAGGTGGCCATTCTCAACACCGGTGCCATTGGCCATGTGGACGTCGCCGTCGGATTCGTTCTCAGATTCAGAGTCGGCAGAGTAGTAGGCCTCATCAACCCTTTTGAGCCACTCCTTCTGGCTCTGCGGGCTTGTATTGACTACTTCCTCGCCTCGCGTTTGAGGTAGAATGGATGCAACGTCGTCGATCTTGATCTGACCGCCTCCGTTTGTGCACCCACCAGGACATGCCATAACTTCAACGTACGCGTAGTCACTTCCGCCACTAGCACTTGCTGCCATACGTCTGGCAGCTCCAGGGAGTTTCGACTGTCTAGCTGGCTTGAGCTTGCGAACTAGATTTTGAATATTCCTGAAACCATAGTACCGTGCGCATTTCATCAGCGGTTGCCCTGACGTAGATACCAGCGTATACTCCGTAACATCGGCATTGCGACCACGTTGTACGGAAATGGTGCTGCCCGGATTCCGTGCTTGCTCAGTCATGATGATGTGGTACAAATAGCCACCAGAGGAACCTGCTGTGACGGACTGCTCGGTCCGCCGCCGTGGTTTCGGAAACAGAAAGTTGGAAAGTCTGTTGCCAGGGAATGGAGTTCTTTCCGAGGGTGATAGTGGCTGAAGGGGAAGCTGAGCAAACTGCACACCACGGGCTTCGGCAAGCGACAGGAGTTCTCTGGACGTGATCACACAGTCAACGTCCCGGACAGGCGTCTCGGTCGAAGAAGAGGACTGCCACCACTTATGCGTCAATTCCTCCCTACTCGCTTCTAGTTTCTTGTCGAAGCATGGCATGACCGCCAAGTGCCATATCTGCGACGGCGGAATACCGAGTGTTTTGCTGAGGACCGACTTGAGTAGCGTTCCTGACAGAGCCTGTGGTGACTTCAGGTTCGACAAATGAGGCAAGACATAAGGATGTGTCTTCTCAGCATAGCAGATCCAACCGGGACAAGCAGACGTCAAGACTGGCTTCGGCTTCGACTTGGTCTCGATCGCATCTGCCACCTCTTCCGCTCCGAGCACAAGACAAGCCTGCCGTAGTTGGTTGGTGTCAACAACGTATGAGAAGCCACTTCTGTACTGCCCGCCTATCCGTAGACCCTGTGATCCACTGAGAAATTGTTCGACCAGGAACCCTGATTGGTTTTCTGAGATACCGTAGGTAGCAGCCAGACTCGCTCGCACCTGAGGACTCACGCTGGCGACAAATAGTTTGGCATCATTGGGAGGAGGGGTATTGCCGTTCATCAAGCCGTTTCGGCTCTCGGAGAGGTACCGGACATCAAGAGGAGGATATGTGTCTAGAGTATTCAGGACTTCTGTGTGTGACTGTAATGAGACGAGGACTGCTTCTGCGGAGGTAACGCAGCCAGAGCATGCGAGACAATCGGTCAAGGAAATAGAGGCGGGTGCCGGATTCGGAGCCTGTACTTTGTCTTCGGTAGTGACTTCGTAAGGATTGGAGTCCGCCTGCGCAGGAAGAGTCTCGACGGGTTTTATGCAAGCGACGCCGGGCGAGATGAAGTCGTTGAGATCATCCGCAGAAAGAATGGCGCTCATGGCGTCAAATCAGTGGGCGCCGCTGCCCGCAACAGTGACTGATATCTCCAGCGTAGTTCCTGATTGCGTTCAGAGATACTGGGGGAAAATGTCTTGTCTGGTACCAAAAAGAACTCGCAAGTCACAATGTGAGAGCCCTCGCAACTTTGCAAACTGGTTCTTGTTGAAGGAGGCAATTAATAATAATGGTCGGCGCATGCGACCGGTGTCGGAATTACATACGGACTCAACGCAACTGGCAGAGAAATTTCCCACTTGAATGTGGCGTTTGCCGCCCGCCGCTTTAGGTCCCGCTTTTGGTGGGGGACGAGGCTGTGACTCCTCCGATAAACGAGGCTGAGTACAGTGTCGTTGCAAGCAGCCCTCAGGTAAGCCCTTTCGAACATATTGTCTCACGACGCTGATACATATCTACTAGACTCTGGGGCATTAGGTCTAGTCTCGGATGTTTTGGTTCAATATGGCAATGTAGAAAGATAGTTATCAGTGTCTATCTCCTTTTGTTGTACACTGGAACCCTACAGTATTCCGCCCAAGAAGCAAAAGATCTAAACAATCTTCCCGGCTGGCAGTGTCTTCGATCACCTCTGCAAGAATTCTGCTATATAGCTCTTGATGACCTCAGTGTCCTCTTTGCTCCCGCCACCTCCACCTGCGACATGACTACAGACGGTGTCGATCATCTTCAGCTCGCCCTGCTTCAAGTGTCGGGCCTCTTCCACACTATCGGCAGGAGGGAAACATCAAGATCTTGGTCCACAACTGTCGGTGATATGTCGTAGATAATGAAGGCTTGCCATTCAGCCGCTGATTTTTGAGAGACGCCAAAGGGGTCTGGAATATTTGATCTGCTTGTGATGGAAGCAATTAGGCGTATGTTACTTAGCGATTTGGCTGTCGCTAAAAGCCTCAGAATGATTCGGATGCCTCTTTCACTCTCGCACTCGTCCAGTCCATCTACCTCGAGAAGAATCGTGGATTGAGAAAGCTCGCTGTCAAGTCTTGAAAGTGGCTTGAGAATTAATTGGTCTCGTTGATCCCGAAATGAATGAGTCGCAGCATTTTCCAGCTACATGATTGCTTCGCGGATGTTCTCTCTCAACTGAGGCACCTCGTCCGCCAATTGTCGGTCAAAATTGTGAGCAGCTTGTCAGTGCTGGACACGTCTCCAGTTCCTCTTGAGAAAAAGAAGCTTGCACCTAAATTTCCTCGCTCAAAATATGTACCCACAATCGTATGAGCAGTGGTCGACTTGCCCGTACCTGCTATCCCATTGATGATGTGTGTCACTTACCGTGACCATGGATGAGAGCGCTAATCGAAGAGAGAGACTCTCCCAGCCCTTGTGAGAATTCATTTCAGCATTCTAGTAGATGTTGATTGCACCGTCAATCAAAGCCATCACAAGCCGTGAGGCGGTAGATGAAACTGGAATGCCATGGCAACAAACGGTCCCACAAACACTCGACAGTCACGTAGTTTACAAAGACTATTGTCAGCGATGTCAGTTATCCGTCGGCCTTGATGGTAAGACTTCAGAAACCACTTTTTGGCTTGGGGGATGTTCTCGAGGTTTCACAGTGATATCAAAGTAAGAAGGGTTCAAATTTTGGAAAGATATTATACTGAATTTCTTGCGATGTTGGCTGATCAAAAACATAGACACGTGTAGGTGTTGCAGACATTGCGGGATATTGTTCTTCCGTATTCCGAAGTGATGGCATCTTTCGGCTGACTTGCCTTGTCGGAGGCGATGCTGTACTCATTGAATTTGCCCTGGAGCTTCCCACTGCATCCCTGCAGCAGGTACCTTTTGAAAACACAGTGAATGGCCGAGAGGTGCTTCAGAAAATCATCTTGGAGAATTGGAGTAGTTCGGGATCTTTTCGATCACCGAAACACCTTGCTATAAGAAGTGTCTTTCGTCGCTTATTTTCTACACTTCCTTTTTTGGTCATCCTAATCGGGATTTAAGCGGAGCCATTTGACCAGGCTTGGCTACCTATTCTCTGTTCCTGCGTCGAAGCACATCCAAGGTGCATCAAACTCGGCTTCTCGGATCCCTAGATCATTTGCTCTGTGAAGGTCTCCAAATTGCAGAACTACTTTCGCTATCGCTAGATCAGCATAGCGACTACCGTGTGAAAGAGGACGCCATCCCATGCTGCATCTCCCTTCCCCCAGGCTGGAGTTTGATCTACCGAAAAGTCGGGGTCGAGCAGCGGAGAGCATGGAGTGGATGGCTTCATTGGCAGAGAGGAGACTTTCATATATGGTCTTCCAAGTCCACTGAAGCCCAAGGTAGGTATGATTTTCTGCCAGGTCAAGTGCAAGTATGCCTCGCTTGTTCGTCTCTTCTCTCCTTTGGATCCTACTGGCATCGTATGCTGCCGTCGATGCAACAGGCTTGACTCATCGACCCAACATCATCTTGATTCTCACTGATGACCAGGACCTTCACCTGAATTCCATTGACTATCAACCGATCACGCTGAAACATATGCGTGATGAGGGGACTTTCTTCAAAAAGCATTATTGCACCATTTCCACGTGTTGTCCGTCGAGGGTCAGTTTATTGACCGGCAGGATGGCACACAACACCAATGTGACAGATGTTGTACCGCCATACGGTTCGTGTGACACGTCCATATCCATTGTGGCAGCTCACCTAACTCCTTGAGGTCAGGTGGCTATCCGAAATTCATCCAGCAAGGGCTCAATGACCACTACCTTCCAGTGTGGCTTCAGCAAGCAGGGTATAACACATACTACACTGGAAAGCTCATGAACGCCCACAATATTCAAAATTGGAACAGTCCGCCACCAGCAGGGTGGAACCAAACTGGATGTGAGCTCACTGTTGATTTCTTCATATGCACCGCCTTCTGACAATTACCTCTACTAGTTATGATCGACCCTGGTACTTACACTTATTACAACACCTGCTGGCAAGCGGACCTGAATCCACCAGTCTTCCGTCCCGGCGAGTACTCAACCGATATTGTATCAGGGACGGCCATAGGTTACCTGGAGGCTGCCTCGCAAAACGATCGACCCTTTTTTCTGGGCATTGCTCCTATCGCCCCTCATTCACAGGCCGTGTTTCCAACACCATCTACGTATTACTTTGATCCTCCTGTGCCCGCAAAGCGACATGAAGGGCTCTTCCTTGACGCGAAGGTACCGCGGACCTCAAGCTTCAACCCTGTTCAAGTAAGTTTACGTTCGAGTTTAGCTTCAGGACGCTCGCTAACGATAGCACGAAGCCACAAGGCGTAAGTTGGATCAAAACCTTGCCTCGTGCTAACCAAACTGAGATCGACGCGAATGATGCATACTACCGTGCAAGGCTCCAATCTCTGCAGGCCACCGATGAACTTGTTGGGGCAGTGATTGATAAAGTCACCGAACTTGGAATCGCAGATAACACATATATCATTTACACCAGCGATAATGGCTTCCATATAGGACAGCACCGCTTACAGCCTGGCAAAACCTGCATGTTCGAAGAGGATATCAATGTACCTTTCTTTGTTCGTGGCCCTGATATTCCAAAGAACCACACGGTGAAATTCGCAACCTCGCATACTGATATTGCCCCGACAATATTTACTCTGGCGCAAATACCACTACGAGCCGACTTCGACGGTACACCGATACCTTTGACAGTTTCGGCAATGGCACAGGCGGCTCAGTCCCCCATGCACGACCATGTCACAATCGAGTATTGGGGTGCTGGTGCTGGCGAAGGCATTTTTGCAAGGAATGGCCCCAACGGAAGTTTTAGTAAGTTGTTATCACAATTATACTTCTTGCATTTGAGCGATGGGATCTCACAGTATTTTTAGCTTCGTGGCCGAATAATACGTACAAAGCTATGCGGATAATCAGTCCCAAATACGACCTATTCTACTCTGTGTGGTGCACGAACGAGCATGAACTATACGATATGAAGGTACGATAATACTGACCACCCCATCCACAAAGCATCAAGGAAGCTTTCTAAGGTATTCTTCCATGGACTAGACCGATCCTTACCAGACAAATAATCTGTATGACATATCGGGAAGCTTCTACGGCCACTCGATTGACCAAGTCACTGCCCGGCTCGATGCGCTCCTAATGGTCTTGAAGTCGTGTAAGAACAAACAGTGCACGCAACCATGGCTGACCATCCACCCTGGCGGTCAAGTGCATAACCTTGCGGAGGCTTTAGAGAACAACTTTGACAATTTTTATGCCACACAACCGAGGATCAGCTTCACTAAATGCGAGCTTGGCTATATTCCCTTATCGGAAGGCGCAATGGATGTTGTGCCCTGGCATCTGGGTGACTAGAGCTTCTAAATGTAAGCGAAGATAGAATATTCCCACAAGGCTTGCCGATGAGTGGTGTCAGGGGATGAAATAGTTGCGCCATGTTTATAGAAGGTGAATTCACTTTGCCAGCACCAGCATGTTGCATGCCGTATTCTCAAAACATCCGCATAATCGTTCGTGGACTTTTTGCCCATGGTGAGAAACAATATGTGAATGTCACCAAGCGACCTCATTGGTCCCAATGCAAAACCTTTGTGCTTTGACCTGGAATAGCCAGAATAGGTCGATGTGCATTTCTGAGGCAAGTGGAGGACCCCACACGGTAGAGCAGCTTGGAGTAAGCAAGTCAAACATTTATCCCAAAAAGAGTGTCATGAATGGTTGCCAGTTGACTGTCAGTATTGTGGCCGGCTTGGGGAAAACCTCGCACCGAGAGACGAAGTGGAGACCTCTTGCCAAAGGATTGATTTGATATACATAGGGATTCCCTTGACGCAGATCAGTCAGGTTGTTATCAAAGCCAACAGACTTAGACCTCGTTTACTCCGGAATCATGGCCTTCCTCGCAGACATCCAAGCCTCGATCCCAGCTTCCAAGCTTTGGACTATCCTCGCCTTCTCATTCACCGCGACTCTGCTCCCGCTCCTGGTCGACTACTTCAGGGTGTTACGAGCACGTCAGAAACTCCCACCGGGACCTTTCCCGCTGCCAGTGTTTGGTAATTTCTTTGCCATCCCCAAGAGCAAGCCTTGGATAACGTTCGAATATTGGGCCACGTATTATGACAGTCCATTGATCACAATCTGGCAAGGCCACCGGCCCACGATTCTATGCAACGATGCATGGTCCATTTCCGAGTTACTCGACAAAAGGGCTAA